ACAACAACAACAACAACAACAACAACAACAACAACAACAACAACAACAGACACGTGCCCCTTCACAGAATCTCACTACCAGCCATTTGGAACGACAAAGAGACCTTCGCCGCACGCCGCTGGGAGTGGTTCCTTGATCACGGCTGCGCGAGATTTGCACCGATTCACAAAGTCTATGAAGGTGATGAGGATCTCAGCGATCCGTGGAAGAAGAATGAAGAAGAGGCCGAAGCGGCGCGACCGAAAGACGTCAACGACGTCTTGATTCAGATGGTCCGCATAGCTGAACATTTGAAGCGCCGCGGACATGCTGTGAAATCCTGGAGTGATGTTCGACTTCGGATCCGTGATGCACACTTACGCACAGCGCCACGAATGACATGGATCGAGGCGAAGCTTGTGGTAAAGCAAGCGGAGGTCTTGTCAGAAATGAACAGTGGCTTGGAGAATCGTTTCCTGAGCCCGAGAAGACTGAAAATAAATAAATACAACGTACACTATGCAAAGGAACTAGTGGAGTGCTCGGCCTGTCTCCCACTTTGTACTGGACAGTCAGGAGAAGCACTTGCGGCGATGATTAAAATACGGCGAACGAAGGTCAACAAGAGTCACCGCGATGGCAGTTCCAAAAGCCTTGACGAGAACAACCTTGAATGTTTCTTCAGTAAATGGGAGAGAGCGAGGGAGGAGGCGCCCAATGGCTTCATGCAGTATCAGCTTGGAAGATTACTCAGGGAGACCCTCTACACATGGGAGCAATAGAAGAGGCTGACGAGAATGAGGTCCATCGGAAAGAACGTCCAGCGGGATGAGTCTGTCATAGTACGAATGCTGCACATTGGAGGGTCTGCTATTTGGACTGCATGGCGGTCGCCGGATGGCCACGACGTCTTCAATTTGTCAACGAACAAGCGACATCGAATGTTGTCGCGAATTTGTGTTGAGCACGCGAATGCTCCACAGTTGCGTTAGTCCGTCACAAAACATACTTAGTTCATAAGTATTGCGGCTTGGACGTGTATAACGTTTCAATGCATCTAATTTTCATCAATATCCATCGTCACTCCATAGCGTAGGCTCGCAATTTGATTGTCTCGCGGCATGTGAGTCACCGTTGCTGTGACCGAAGCCGGTGTCTGCCTGTTGTGCTTATTGCTCAGCAGTCTGTGCCTCTGAGCTCGGGCTCACAACAAACATGGACATATTATATACTACATGTTACCCGCGAGAGCTCCGCCACACAATATACCACAACGAACAATTATGCCAGCACGAAAATCATTCTTGGAGGCGCCGGACGCCCTCGAACCCTTGGAAACATCTCGGAGAGAAGACACTTCCTACAGCCAGCGCAGAATCAATAAGACATCAACAATTCGGTCCCATCGGATAGCAAGTTCTTCGAGCAGCACACCAGGCACCTCGCGAACGGTGACAAAAATCACCTTCACTCAGGTGGGGAGCAGGCCTACCTTTGATCGTGACGCGCACCTTAACCACGTGCTCAAGGCCCAGCCTTCTATGACATTCAGCAATGATGCAAAGTCGACCGGCATGCTTACACTTCTGGGGCAGCACTTTCCTGAGCTACTGTCTGATGGGGCGTTCAAGCGTGAGCTGGAACGAGGAAAGTCTCGAGAGCCGCATGGTTCGCTTCGTTTCCGCAAAAGCTCTGGGCTTCGTCAAATGGCACAGGATACCCGAATCGATAAAGGACGGTCGAACGGCCGTCGCCATCAGGAGTACTACGCTTCTAGCTGGAGATCGTCCAGCTCTAGTCGATCAAAGGACCCAGGCAGTTCGGTCATATCTCTCAAGCGGACCTCGCCGGCTGGCATTGATCGTGTCGAGGCTTCGGTCCGGTCTACAATCCTGCGTCCAAATTATGAGGAACTGGAGACCGAGTATCCCAAAATTCGCCTTGAAACTGCCAAGGACGAGCCGAGCTTCGGGTCCCAGGGCACGTCGCCTCTGGCCAGCAGTGAAGGAGCAGAGACAGATCTAACCTCGCCGTCTGGAGATTATGGCATGATTGAGCAGAATTCAAAGCGCCTCAGGCCAACGGTGGACGTTCCATATCAGTCCTACGTGGAAGATGATGCCGACGAAGAGGGCGGCTGAAACGCTGCAACAATTATGGGAGAGATCGGGAGAGGGCCGCTGCCTCCGCAGCGATACTATGAATTGGCAACTGATTGATGAGAAAACTACCATATGATCATGATTGAGACGAAGTGTTGTGCGAGATAGCATGTAGATAGCAAATGTAGCAACTGTTGTTGTCAACAACGATCAGCGGCTAAGCGGAGCTAGCGCCATTAGTCATTCTCGCTTGTGCGCCACAGCGCCACACCTTTTGTGGCTGCTTCCAAAAATTCATCCCAGCCTTGTGTAGTATGATTCGGCGGTCCACTCCGACTGCTCATCCTACATCTGCCGTACGGTCTATGTCAAGTCTGTAGGTGGATACCAGTAAGGACGAATGTTTTGCTGAGTCGTCTGCTCTGCACCTTCTTCTATCAAGTTCGACCATGGCAACCACGATCATCAGTACGACCACACCGACCATCGCGAATTTACCAAGCCTTCGCTAACAATTGTAGGGGTGCCATGCTCCTCGGCCAACATTGGTATGCGACTTTCTCAGTGCCATTGACACTGTGCTGATTGTTTCAAGGCCCTGGCTACGATGTGATCGGACTTGCGTTGTCGGAATATCTTGAGCTGCGAGTTACAGTGAACGACGAACAGTCGAAAGGCTTCCCACAAAATTGCAGAATCACTCAAGAAGGTCTTGGTGCAGACCAAGTCGATCTTGATGCCGACCGGCACTTCATTACAAGAATCGCGCTGTATGTGCTTCGCTGCCACGATGTGCGATCGTTCCCGTCGCCGACTCATCTGCACATCAACAATGCGATCCCCTTCGGACGAGGTCTTGGCTCTTCAGGTGCTGCGATTGTCGCCGGAGTAGCATTGGGCAATCTGGTCGGCAACTTGAAGCTCGACAAAGATCGTCTTCTGGACTTTTGCCTGATGATCGAGAAACATCCTGACAATGTGGCCGCATCCATGTACGGAGGCTTCGTTGGCAGCTACACCAAGAAACTGGATCCCGTGGACGTGAAGCGAAGAGAAGTTCCCATGTCAGATGTCCTGCCTATGCCTCAAGGTGGCGAGGATACTGGTCTGAAGCCTCCTGTCCCACCACACAACATCGCAAAACACATCAAATTCCCGTGGGCGAAGGAGATCAAGTGCATTGCGATAATACCAGACTTCGAAGTCGCAACGGCCAAGGCTCGGCAGGCGGTCCCAGGGGCATACACCAAGGAAGACGCGATCTTCAACTTGCAACGAGTGGCGTTGCTCACTACAGCGCTTGGTCAAAGCCCGCCGAGTGCTGAGCTCATCTACGACGGCATGCAAGATCGCCTACACCAGCCATATCGTCAAGGTCTCATTCCAGGCCTTACGGAGATTCTTCAGTCTGTCACGCCAGTGACGCACCCTGGGCTGTTGGGTATCTGCCTTTCGGGAGCCGGGCCAACTATTCTTGCCTTGGCTACGGAAAACTTCGATCACATCGCAAAGCACTTGATTGAGCAATTCAAGAAGGAGAACATTACATGCACATGGAAACTGCTTGAGCCGGACTTTGAGGGCGTCACAGTATTAGAGGAGCCAGCCTCGAATGCCAATGGCGCAGGCATGACTTATGCAGATGCAGGTGTCTCAATCGACGCAGGCAACGACTTCGTTCAGCTGATCAAGCCAGCTGTGAAGTCTACAAGCCGACCAGGCACCGACGCGGTAATTGGTGGCTTCGGAGGGGTTTTCGATCTACAAGCAGCAGGCTTCGGCAATGATGCACCAATTCTCGTGCAAGCGATCGATGGCGTAGGCACAAAGCTGAAGATCGCATTCGAGATGGAGAAGTTTGAAGGTGTCGGCATTGATCTGGTCGCCATGAACGTCAACGATCTCGTCGTGCAAGGCGCCGAACCCATCACCTTCATGGACTACTACGCCTGCTCAAAGCTCATCCCAGGCGAAGCCGCCAGCTTCATCAAAGGCGTAGCAGAAGGCTGCAAGCAAGCAGGCGCAGCGCTCGTGGGTGGCGAAACCGCCGAAATGCCAGGCATGTACTCCGGCAAAGACTTCGATGCAGGCGGTGCAGCAACTGGAGTGATTCGAAGAGGCCAGAAAGTCCTACCCGACTTTGATGGCATGAGCGAAGGTGATATCTTGCTCGGACTTTCCAGCAGCGGCGTCCACTCCAACGGTTTCTCCCTCGTCCGCAAGATCCTCGAGAAGAAGAATCTCAGCTTCCACGACCAAGCTCCTTGGGCTAAAGAGCAAAACATCACAGTCGGCGACAGCCTTCTCGAGCCCACGAGAATCTACGTCAAACCACTTCTTGCAGCCGTAAAGAAAGATCTCCTACTGGGTATGGCACATATCACAGGTGGAGGCCTCGAAGACAACATTCCTCGCATGTTGCCAAAGCACTTGGCAGCCGAGATCGATGCGAAGGCCTGGCCGGTGCCGGCTGTTCTGCAGTGGTTGAAGAAGGCTGGGAATGTGAGCAGTAGGGAGTTTGCTCGGACGTGGAATACTGGTCTGGGAATGGTGATTGCTGTGAAAGCTTCGAATGTCGATGCTGCTACGGAGGCGTTGACGAGTGCGGGTGAGAAGGTGTACAAGGTGGGTAGACTCGTGGCGAAGAAGGACGAGGGTGTGATTTTGCAGAATTTTGAGCACTGGGATCAATAGAGGAGAGCTCAGGTGTTGTTGTTCTTGAACTGCTATTAGATTCCTGGATCATACGAAATGCATTCTGGATATATCTCTCGACTGTCATACGAAATCTGAGTTCCTGTCGTTGTTCCTTCGCACTTGCGCCTGAATCGCTATAGTCCTCATCATATCAAACCTCATATCGACAATTGCTTCCCATTAACTGTGACCATAGCAGTATACATCGCCCTCCCACCATTCGCATTCGCATGGAACACCGTAAACTTCAAGTCTTTCGAGAAATCGGCTCCTCCTGGCCCGGAAAGTCCATTTCGTCCTGTGGAGAGCAGCGGAGTGGAAGCTCGAGTATATGGACCTCTGACTGAGGTCGCTGTAGCGTAGTCGACATCGTAGTTTGTCGTTGTGAAACATCCTGAACTGAAAAGCAAGAAATAGAGTCCGTTCTTCTTGACCAGGACGGGTGCTTCGAGTATTCCATCGTCAGAGGCGCCGTTGTGGTCGAGGAGAGCTGTGGGGTTTCCTTGTAGTGTGTAGCCGTTTGATGCTACTGCTTGGAGCATCAATGGCGTGGGTTTCAGTGGAGGGACTGATAATAGATTAGATTGGATCTTGTTCAATTTGAGGTTATGACTTACCGCCACTGTTGCAAGGTCCACCAGCACCAAGGGAGTTGCCGTCGACTTTGTACATGATATATCGTTGACCATTATCGTTGAAGCCGGATGCATCAATTGCGCCGCCTTGCGCGAGCGGGCACACGAGGGGTTGATCACTAGTTGGAGAGTATGGACCTAGTGGTGATTTGGAGACAGCAGCTCCAACGCAGTGTTTGGATTTGTCTTGGACAGTGCTGGCACTGTAGTACATCACGAAGCTTCCATCGTCTAGTTGATTGACATCTGGTGCCCAAGTGTTTGGATTTCCCTGCACCGCCCAAGCAGGAATGTTGGGCAGAGCATTGTACTGAGAGCCATCCGCATTGCGTTGAAGTGTCCAAGTGTTGAAGTCGGTGGATGTGGCAACTTGGATGTGTATATTGCTTCCGATTGTTCTTGTTGCAAATGCATACCACTTGTCGACGAAAATGATAGCCGGATCTGGAAGACTTTGGTCAGGCTAGACGTTGACATTTGAGTGTCTCGAACGTACCTGGGAAATTGGCTCCGTTTAATTTAGGGCCCAATATTGTGTCCCGCTTGGTCAGACTCCTTATGAAGACATCTTCTGCAGGCAGTGGGCTTGCCAGTGTAGGGTGCAGTAATGTGAAGAAAAGATAAGAAACGCAGTGGAAGAGGAGCATATTCGTTTGCAAAGAGCTCGTGAGGCGTACAAGATACGAGAATAATGTGCACCGGCTGAGCACAAATGCTCGCTGAGAGATGGATGTAGATGCTAGATGTCAGCTTAGCATTCCAGACCAAGTCCTGAGCAGTTTATATGGAAACGAGACGTCAGGTTGGATTCTGTGGCGCACTACGAGACCTTTGAACGGCCCGCTCTGTATTGACCCGGAGCAGCTTGGTTGGCGCTGTGGGCGCGCTGCGGGCTGTATGAGTACGACCTAAGATCAACAATCACGAGGCCCAAATCGAGCAGACATCGTCACTTGATGTCAGCATTCAGCGGTGGCCCGTAAGCTCCATCAGTGCATGAAGATGCAGGTCGGAGAATACAGCAGTTCGCTTAGGGATTCCTGCAATTCTGGATGGCAGACCGCTGCTACATCAGCCAGCCAAGCTGTAGTTGTGACGAAAAGGCACATTGTGAATGCGTACGGAGGACTTGCGTGCTCGAGGAATGCATATTGCCAGGGATCGGCCAGATGAAGGTGGGGTGCGTCCGCCAATGTGCTGGATGTGCTGCGCGGCCAACACGTCCTGCGTGCAGAAGTGCGGATGGCGCCATGGCATCTTCTCTCCGTATCGTAGAGGTGCGCAACGCGTGACCGTACTAATGATCTCCATGGAAAGGTGACGCCGTGTCGTGTCGATTGCATTTTCGGGCCCAACGTTCCTGCTCCCGACATCTCCAGTCAACAGTCTCAGCGGAGCCAAGCCGCCGGGTGCTTCGTTCGACGTCTCCTTCCTCGACCATTTGTCAACTGCAACTCTCATCACTCCATCTCACCTGCGACATGAGGATTGCAGCGCCTCGGGCACCCATAGCCAAGTGATGAGGTCCTGCAGCCAACAGAAAGATGACAGCCGCTAGCGCTCACGCTACTGTGCAAAAATAGTCGCAGGCATCTGGATGCGGAGTCCACTGCGGGAGCTGCTGTATACGACGAAAGTCTGTTCCTGGATCAAGATGTACTGAGACATGCTTGAACAACAGCGTCGTGAAAGCGTCCGCAAACTGTGAGAGCATCGCGGCAACCAGTTCGAGCACTCGGGCCCGCGTCCAGATGGAGGAGGGCCAGAACTCTGCGCCCGCTTCAGACGGCGGATCCTGCTAGACTGCCGAAAGCTGACATTGCGCTCTGACGTAGGCCCGGCGGAATCTGGAGAAGCAGCACGCTGCGAATGATCCCGCGAGGACGGGCAGATCGGCGTAGAGGCGTGAGTGCGACGCAGCATCAGCTCATCAGCGACGCCTGAAGACGCCCATCGAATGAAGGCGTGAAGGAAGCAAAAGTGTGGTGGTGCGAGAACGCCTGGCCGGAGTGGCCACTCTCCATGCGTTTCCCGCTGCGACGCTACTCCACCTCTAGCTCGGTTGACCACATGGCACTTCTCACTCCAATTTTCCCTTTCCGGCCGTCATTCAACACATCATTTTCTGCCCTTTACATGCGAACTGACTGCGGCGACCCGATAGACCTCGGCGTGTGTCATGGGCGGCAGGCGCAGCGAGATACCATTTATCGAGCGCAAGCTACCCTAGGCCCCCAGACGTGTCGACGAGCTTGGCGCGCTCGCAGCTCTCCACCCCCTCCGAGGACATGCCCATGGACGTCGCAAAACCGCAGGATCCTGAGGCCATAGTGATCGAAGCATGGGCCCAAGGCTACATGATTGGATCTTTGATCATTATGGCATGCGTCGCGTTCAGTAATATGAGATCAAGAGTCTTATTGCACAAATTGATTGTAATTGAGGTAAGCATGACTCGATGCGTCCGGATATGTTTCACATGCTCACAGAGCTTAGTTGCTTCTGGGCACCTTCCATGGCACATTTATCTTTACAAGTAAGGAAACAAGCTTTCATGCTGCATGTGCCGGATGTTGATATGCTGCAGATCCTCCCGTATACAACTGGTATCTCAGCACTACTGCGATACTTCTCAATGTCAGCTGGTCTCTGCACAATGTCATCGCCTGGATGAAAAACAAACCTTTCCTCAGCAGAAGAGGCAGTATGTTCTACATCGGCACCGTCATTCTGGTCCAACCCTATTGGGTGCTAGAAATCACGGCCAACTTCCTCTACTTCAGCGGACAGAGTAATCTATTCCAAAAGACTCGACCCTACGAGGCCCTATGTCGGGATCCATGGTGGATCTTCACAGCTTGCAGTCTCTTCTACAACATCAAGTCTCGCTATGACTTTGGCTACATCGAGCTTATCCGAGTCTCTCCACGCTTCGGAGTCCTTCTGGCGGCCATGTTGACCAGCATCGGCTTCCTCATTGTGGATATACTGGCCGTCACTCATGCAATCCCATCTTCCGGTCTACCCGACGGCATCAATCCATTCTGGAAATTGGCTTTCGTCTTCCGATGTCTAACCGACATGATCATCTTGGACGACTTCAAAACAGCGCTGGATCGCTTGAGCGCCATCAAAATGGAGAGAATGGGCAGTGTGCTCAGTGATGGCATTCGAGGCGACTTCACAGATGTCGAACAGGCGCGGAGGAAAAAACTTGAGCAACTTCAGGTGAACCCTTCTGGCAGACCGCATGACTCAGTAGTACGTGATTACGGAAAGTCACAAGACAGCGAGCATATTGATCTGGAAGCCGCATTGGAGATGGATCGACACGATAGCGGTAATCACCATAATAATCAGAGCGAAGAGCTTGACTTCATCACTGCGCTGAACATGGAAGCCCCAAGCGACCAGTCAGCGTCAAGGTCAAGTCGCGGTGGACTTGGATGATGACGACCCAAAGAATGCCGCGGGCAGGCAGATATCAAGAGATGGCTGTTGAGCGGCTATCTGATGAGAGCACGACCGGTCGCTGAATCTCAAGACAGGATGGTGTCAGTGCCATCACATTCTGGGTTGCAAAATGCAGCAGCCCGAGAAGCTCGGACAGCGACATGCCTTCGCTGCGCTGTGGATGCGTAGCTTCAAGACAGGCTATAGCTGACGGCCTGTTGCACGAGGTCAAGGCCATTCGCAGTGTTAGCAGGCAATGCAACTGCTTGGAAGAGCTATCCGTCTCGAAAGGGTACGAGCAGGAGCAGGAGCACGTCAGATGCCAGACACGGGTGGTGATAGCAGAAATTCAGCTCTAAGATGGTGTAAGAACATCGGAAAGGTATAACAGGCCTGATAGCATAGTCGTGATAGTCGAACAAAAAGCGTAACAATTGCTCAAGTGAAAGCGCAACCATTGACTTGCAACGCGAGTCATGCGTCAACAGCGAAAAACCCTGTGACATAATCCAACCCAGCAATGGAAGCTCCTCCACTCCACACCAACCAACAAAGCTTCAGCTTCGAGCTTTCGCAAACTTCCCATTCCACTCACTTGCTTGATTGAAAACCCACAACACGAGCGACTCGCTCGCTCTGGACTACAACAACGATGTCCGACGCCACTTCCGCGGCGCGCCCCAAACGCGAAGCCGAAGACTTCGCGCGCTCTCACGATACCAACAACAATGGCACAACCAAAAAACCCCGCTTCGACTACCGCAACCCCAGCACCCTCGCCGCCGACGCCCCCTCAGAAGACCTCATCCTCGACGCCGACGTAATAGGAAAATCCGGCACAAACACCAAACGCAACGCCGTAAACATTGACGGCTACGAATCCGATTCGGATAATGATAATTTTGATGCGCGAGCGAGAGAGAAAGCGAGGCGACAAAAAGCTGAAGAGAAACAGCAGCAGAACAAAAGTAAAGATGAAGAAGACGATGATATGTTTGCTGATTTGGAGGAGGATTTGAATGCGGATGGGGATGAAGATGAGGAGGTGCAGAGGGAGGGGAAAGGTAAGGGGAAAGATGTGAGGTTTTTGGAACAGAGTGAGATTGAGGGGCAGGTGATGAATAGTGAAGGGGGAGGACATGTTTCTGCTGATATCTTGATGAGGGGGAAAGGGAAGGGGAGGCAAGATGAGGAGTCGGAGTCTTCGGGGGATGAGGAGGAGAGGGATCAATTACCTGATGAAATGGATGATGAGGATGCGAGGGAGTTGGGAGCGGGGAGTAAGAAGAAACATGCACCGAGGTTGGATGCGTATAATTTGAAGAATGAGGAGGAAGAGGGGAGGTTTGATGAGTCTGGGAATTTTATTCGCAAAGCTGCAGATCCCGATGCTGTGAACGATAATTGGTTGGAGGGGTTGAGTAAGAAGGATATGAAGAAGGCGAAGGAGGCGGAGGAGAAGAGGGAAGAAGAGAGGCGGCGGAAAGCGATGGAGGACGATGCGGTACTGACCAGCGATGTTCTTTCCAAGCTTATCGCGCAACTTGAAACTGGTGAGACACCTCTCGAAGCATTGCAAAGACTGGGAAAGGGCAAGACAGACAAGAAGGTGCCCAAGTGGAAGCAGAAGAAGCAACAGAAGAAGAACGACGGTATGGATGTGGACGAACCCGAGGCCAATGGCAATGGCACAGTTGATCCCAAAGAGGATGCCAGAAGAAAGGCGGTCGAAGCCATTACGGGTGCCGCAGATGCTCTGTATTCACGCGGGCAGCATGAGATCTACCAAGCAGAGCGGGAGATCCTAATGCGACAGTATCGTAGGGAGACGGGCGAAGACTGGAAAGCAGCAGCCCCTGCAGAAGGCGCGACAGGAGCTGGTGCTGGTGCTGGCTCGGAGGGATCATTAGACGCGTGGGAATACCGATGGAGCGATGCAAGAGATGGCGGATCGTCTCATGGTCCATACGATGCTGCGACCATGCGCGCGTGGAATGAAGCCGGATACTTTGGTGAAGGTGTGGAGTTCCGTAGGGTAGGAGATTCGGCAGAGTGGAGCAAAATCCTCGACTCTAGCTAGGCACGCCGACGAACCGGGCCTGCGGTCCCATTTTGCTTCCTTGTCTAGTCTCCAGCTTGACCCGGTGCGCGTGTAACTGCCGACTTCAGGTCCATCGACCATTGTCGCAGCGCCTTCTCCTTTTGCGCAAAATTCATCCCCGTGTCGATCGCACAAATTGCGGTCGTGTGAGCAGAATGAAGGAAATGAATGATTTCTCTTCACCGCAACGTGGCCGAAGTTTTGGTATACTTTGTGTGCAGTCCTTGCCATGCTTGCTAGCCTTGCGGGTGGACCACGACCCTTGAACGAGTTCATGCATCCACGCTGCAAAAGTCCAATGACGTCCTGGTCCGCGGCGAGCACTTTTTTTCTTCGCCGTAAGATCGGACATCGGTTTCAAGTCGGTTTCAGAGCTTGTATGATAATAAATGCGCAGCGGAGCTTGAACGTGGTTGCCAGGTGTGTTTTGCGATCCGTCCTGACGCTGGCACGGCTGGCCAAACGAGATTGCTCATATCCAAGATGTGAGGGTCGGCGAGATAGGGTTCGGGTTTTGTGTCACTACTGCTCGATTCCTCCTGTTCCCCACCAGACGGAGGCAGTTCTGGCGACGCGGCGGGATGGACCAGGCTGGCCGCGAGCATATCGTTCGATGACGGCGACGATACCAAGCAGCGGGACAAGCATCCAGGGCATCAGCTGACGGGCGTGCGGTGCGCGATCACGCCAGGGGCACGGTATTTGGTAGCTGTCAGGTCCAATCGCACAGATGCGAGGAGCCAATCGCAGATGATGGAAAGCATGGAAGCACTGCTTCTGTCGACATGTGCACGAGCGAGGGAGCGGCGTGCAGGCCGAGCAGGCCGAAGCTGCACCGCTGCTCGAGACAGGACAGCGGTGGCAGCGGATGTGGTGCCTTGTGTCGCCGGGTGTTCAAGGTTGGTTGCAGCTTGTCGCGCTGCGGTGCAACGGGCAGCGCGCCTTTGGTCACGACGTGCTGTGCTGCCGCTCGTTGGACGACAGGTGCCCCTCATTCGAGACGGCGTGCATGCAGATGGAGCAAACGCAGGCTGGCAGCACCGAAGCGAGCTGTGCTGCATGTACGCTCTCATCATGCCGCAGGACGGCGGGCATCATGATGGGCAGCGTACAGCAGGATGCGCGCTCGTCGTGCATCCGCGCGCTGGCTCTTCAATATTGCGGCTCCTACACCTATGGTGCCGAAGCCGGGCAGGGGAGACAGCTGCTGCTGCTGTTGCTGGGGCCGGGACTGCACAGCAATTGAGATTCGACATGGTGAGTTTAGGGGCGGGCCGCAACGCCACGAGGCGATCTACAGGATTTGGGGGGCACGGAGGTTCTCGAAATGAGAGGACGCGAATCACGAACGGCCGCTCGTCACTGCAGACCCTTTGCAGCCGGCGGCGGCGGGCAGGGCGCAGGCGGCGGCGGAAGGCAGCGAGGGAGGTGGGCGAGCGAGCGGATTGGCGCGGCGAGTGTGAGACATACAGGTTGTCTGCGCTCCTCGGCCTGCTATACGCGCAGAGCAGCTGCACGCTATCGCTAGCCAAGCAGCTATCCCGGCATGTGCAGCGTGCACAGGCATAGCAACAGCGTCCCAAGGCCTCGCACGGCAGGTGGGCTGGCAGGTGCCTCGCCGCCCCGAGAGTGGGCGCCGCGACGGCCACTTTGTCACGGAATCGTCCATGCAGCAGAACCTGCACTGGGCGCACCGTACGCCAGTAGTCGTGTCGAGTGAGTGGGTGTCGTCTGGGAGAATAGGAGACGAGTGCAGTGGACCAGTCCAGCACAGCGCAATAATTCGTCTCCCAGCTGCGTGGACACGGACTCGCCCAGTAGGCAGCGCGCGTGGTACTGTCGGCGGAGGCACGATCGTGTCAATCATTAGTATTTAAGCTGTTCCGTAACACATCATCATCATCCACCATCCCTGCGACGACTAAACTAAGGAGAAAGGGAGGGCAGCGGGCCTGTGCGTCGCCGTCGCTGTGCCTGCAAGTCACATCGTTCGTTCACTCGAAACAAATCTGGCCGGTCATCCATCCATCTGCTAGCACGGCCGCGCTCTTTTTCTCTTCTCATCCCCCGTGCAAGACACAACCAACCCTCCATCCATCGCCCGTCCGGTGTGGCACCGTCGTTCTTTGTTCGTCAGCCCGTCACTGCAGCACCAAGGCACGCCGCCCGCACGACTCGCGCAGCTGTGGTTGGTTGCCAGCGGGACCAGAAATCCGAATTCCAAGGTCCTGCAACCTCTGCTACGACCTAATTATCCCCCACGACACACCTCACGCCCTGCACTCCTGCTGCCGTCCGCAACGCCTCCTCCGCCCCCGGCGTGCAGCAACCTGCGAAGCCCTCGACGCGCGCCTGCCCTGCTGCTGCTCCCCATCACCCACACGACCCTGGCGGGCAGCGCTGGCCTGAGAGCCCGACCTCTGTCCACCGCATCTCCTCTGGCGTGCCACACACGCCGCCACCGACATGCAGCATCAACAGTTCGCCGACATGTACTACGACAACCCGGCGAACCGCTCACCCACCTCTGCCCGGCAAAATTCTCTGCACCGGCAAAACTCGCGCCAGCAGTTTGAAGCCTATGGCCACCTCCCCTCCGGCCTCTACACCGCCGAAGATCACGCGCAGACCTTCAACGGAAACCCACGATTCAACCCCAGCGACATGCGCAACGCGACTGTAGGCGGCTACGGAAATGGCGGATATGACATGGGCGGCCAGTCGTGGAACGCCGGCGCCTTCGGCCAGAACAACACGCTGAATGGGCTTGGTGCTTCCAGTCTGCGCAAGCCTCCTTCGCGGGGCGGTCGCTCCGGTCTGCCTTCTGTACGTTATGAAGGAGAATTTAAATGTAGGCTGCGCCGTGCACATGCTGACTTCCGCTTCTAGGCCTGGATGGACCAACAACAAATGCCCATGAGTCAATACGCCGGTCCAGGACTTGGAGGATATGGCGGGCAAATGGGTCGACACGATATGCATTCTGAGCCCGATGAGGAGCTCATCCCAACCGCAATCGTGATCAAGAATATCCCCTTCGCTGTCAAGAAGGAGCAACTCGTGACCATCATGACCGAAATGGGTCTGCCCTTGCCGTATGCGTTTAACTACCACTTCGACAACGGCGTCTTCCGAGGTCTTGCTTTCGCCAATTTCACCAACCCCGACGAGACGGCAACAGTGATTGACGCAATGAACCACTTTGAGTTGAACGGGCGAAAATTGCGAGTGGAGTACAAGAAAATGCTGCCCGCGGCAGAGCGGGAACGCATCGAGCGCGAGAAGAGAGAGCGCAGAGGCCAGCTCGAGGAGCAGCACCGTCCGATGGCAGGCGGTACCTTGCAGACTCAAGCCTCTGCATCGTCATTGTCTTCGCGCATTATCAATGCCGGATCGCCCTCACCAGTGTCTGCTCGTCAAAAGATTGGACCTGGCTTCCCCGCCACGGCTTATCCTGACCCGAACACTGGCGCTGAAGTTGACTTGAACGATCCTATGACCCTCCAGTACTACACGAAGCTCCTCTTGTTCAAGGAGGACCAAAGCCGCGATCTCATGGTGTTCGCCCCCACCCTTTCGCCTCCCGAACGACGAGTCGTACACACCCTCGCCCACCACATGGGACTCGGCCATGTTTCCAAAGGCGAAGCCGACCGGAGAGCAGTTCACGTGTTCAAGGAAGGCCGTCAGCGACTCAGCCCGCCTATGCCGCAACTCTCCCATCTTCAGACTGAGCAGCGCCGCCAGCTGAACCGAGCGGCCACAACAGACTTCAGTGATGTGCGTGCAAATGAAGGCTACTACGCTCAAAATCTACGACACCAAGGATCCGGCTACTTGGGCTATCACGACACTCCCAACGGCCTCAATCCTGGTGCCAACCTGCGTTCCGCCAAGTCCTTCGCTGATCTTCGCTCATACACACCATCTCCCGTACCATCTACTGCCAGCTTTCCAGCTGCCCTCAGCAACAATGTGCAACGACTTCAACAGGACTTTGGCAGAGAGACCGGCCAGTCCAACACACCAACTCTCATGACCCCAACTTCTGGCCTTGCCGACCGTGGTGACACCACTGGCTTGATCAATGGTCTTGGAAACATGACTATAGGAGGTGGCTTTGGCGGCAGTCCACGCGGCCTTCGCGGCTTCCCATCATGGGAGAGCGGCAACCCAGGACCCATCGGAAGCAACCGTTCTTTCAGCACTAATTACGACGACCGCTCTCAATCTCGCAGCGCCATGCAGCAGAATGGTCCCGAACGTCAGCCGCGCGGCCCTCTCCCAGAGCGTGGCGCCGGCTTCCCTCGCAGACAGAATGGTCACGTGCAACGCAACAGTGACGAACTCTCCCAACAGAGCAGTGCCGCCGAGATCACGGTGGAGCACTAGAGCTGCTTGAACGACGTCTCGCGATCACTGTCCTTACCCTATGTGCTCAGTGTTGGGAGCTGATCTACTCATCGCCCAACACTGACAACGAAAGCATGACTTACGAAAGCATGACTAGCATCATCAGCGAATCGACAGCAACTACCATGTGTCGATGACCGCTCTGACAACACGATGACGACAAAACCCTTTATGATCGCAACGATCGATACGAGAATGAACACCAAAAAGTAGAGAAGAGAAAGATATCAAGGAGCTCGCTGCCCACCGATACGACCGATACCAAAGAACCATAACTTGCAACAACCAACCCCCACAAATGACCGTATAACGATCTCCCCACTACTACTGCATTGAACACCAACACACTCTTCTGCATGGAATGGAAAGAAGGAAGGCAAATCGGAATGCAACTATAACTGGGTAATCAAACTGGAAAACGGCTGGTTGTGTTTCTGAAATTTTTCTGTTGTTTTTTTTTTGCACACACACTTACCACCATTGGAGGACGAGAAGAAGATGAAGATGCAGAGATGTTGGCATTTCTAGTGACATGGGAAAGAATACACATTTTGGCGTAATGAGGAGTTTTTTTGATTTTTCGGCAACGCAGACTTTGGAAAGGGGGCGGATGAGCAGGAAGTGGGCGACCGAGTTGCTTTCCTTTCACTCACAGTACCCGGAACACGAAATACCCCTCTTGCTGGTCAGCTCTTCTGCACGACCAGCAAATCTTGGACAACAAAAGACTATCTTGCGCGGAAGAGAGACAGGGAATGGGAAGAACGAATGAGAGAAAGAAGATAATGGGTTGTGTATGCCATGTTTCTGCGTTGTTGTTGCTCCGCTTGTTTACATCTTCTTCACTTCATGATATGATGTATTAACGAGAGCTTGGTGATGCCTGTTTTTGTTGTGCTTTACTTCGGTGCTTGCTTGGCTTTGATTGCTGTTTGTTTTCTGTGCGTGCGTTATGTGTTTTGTCGTGCGAGGTGATTGATGGGTGATGATTGGACGAGGAAGACACGGCTGCGCAGTTTTGGAATGATCACGGCACCAGGGGAGGTTGGTCGGTTGCTTGGTAAACAGGAAGTGATCGCTGAGTGAGATGAAAAGAGGTACGAACGTACGTAATAATTCGAATAGGAAGAGTTCTTGTGATATATGAGCTTTTTGGCGCCTTGCTCGCCTTGCCTCCTGTCTCAGAGTCGGTGCTGTTACTGACAAACATCTGGAGTTCTTGGTCTGTCCGAGTTGACGATGGCAACTACTGTCTGTCAACGAAACAATGTACATGTATGATCAGCGAGCTTGTTGAGCTTCAAGGGAAGAACACTGGTCATAAATGAATCGATAGCAGTAGCGATGCCGTATAGAGAAGGAGCCAGCCAGGTGATGCCTTCCCTGCCTCTCTTTCTTTTTTCCCCTTCGTGATTGCATCGCTGCTGCCAATGGTGCCTGGCATTCCTGCCGAACAGAACATTCCCATCGGAAAGAACGCGCCGAATCGTGTACATGTAGCTATCGCAAAGTGACGACAGGCGGTGTTGGAATCCGTTCTCATTCGAGTAAAAAGGCTTTACTATACATATGCTGCCTCATGACTTCCCATCTCTCTCGACTTGACTTGCCTGGCTCCTTTGAAGAGGAGCGAGCCTACGAGCTCCTGGCTCGCCAGCACGTCCACTTCGATACTACTAATAAGTAAAGAGAAGAACTGCTTCTACTGCCGTAAATTCTTTTTCGCATCTGTTATTGTGTGTCGTCTCGGACCGCTCGCTTTCGTCCACTTAGGACGGTCATCCGTGACTGACCGGAGGCTGTGAAAGAACAACAACTCCGCCAACGCCTTACTATGCGATGCTCGCACCCTTGTCCCATCGACAAAAAGCCACAAAAACAACGCTCAATCAACAACACAAATGCACCTCTTTTCGTTCGCGAATCTCGTCTGGTAGCAGCTGACTTCAGAAGCATCGCGCATCTAGATCTTGACTTCCTTCATCTCGTCTTCCACTGAAGCTATGCTGGCGATGCCGGAATCCTTGGGAGGCTTGACGTTCTCCTTCTCTTCGTCGTCGCTGTTGCTCATCATGCTGCTACCGAGTCGGCTTCGCGTCAGAGGTTGGCTGCTTCGTCTGTCCTCGATCTCGCCGTTGGGAAGTGTTGGGCTGTCTGCCTTGTCTTTGCCCTTGTCTAGTCTTGGCGTGTCAATAGCAGAGATGAGCTTTTCCGTCGACTTGGTATCGATAGACGTGTCAATCGACAAAGGCTGCGAGGTAGTGTGGATTGGCGAGCTCTCCTCTGTGACGCGTGCAAGTGGACTGCCAACTCCTCCGTGACCTCGAGGACTTGAGTTGTGCATTGGCGCCTTTCCGTTCGCGAAACGTTGTGGTGATCGGCCGCGGTCCTCTTTGGTGGGTGAGCCGTAAGGAGAGAATCCATTCATGCTTGGTGAAACGTTGCTGTTGATGCGCAAAGGTCGCTTCTTCGGAGGCCTTCTGCCGTACTTTTGATCTGATCTCCATCGTAGAATATCAATGTAGGCAGGCTCCACGCCTTGTTTGGGAAACTCTCTCAACTTGAGCTCTTTCGTGTCCTCGTCAATGAACCACTTGTCGGTGTGCATATCGTCGGCCAGAGTGGCGAGGAAAGCAGACCACGATCTCGAGACGACGTATTTGCAGTCGTAGTCGCGTCCCATCAGGATGACTTGACCCCACCTGCCTGCAGGTCCTGGAGCCAGATCAATGGCAATGTTGTTGCCTCCCCAGTCTCGCGCCAATGGAATCCATGCCGGGTGGGCATAGACCTTCTGAATCGCGCCAGGAGGCTGCGAGTCCTGCTTGTCCAGCAGCTCCTGTCGCCATTTTGTGTTGCCGGGTTGCTGTGGCTGCGCGACCGGAACCGCGGACGAGGATGACCCGGCAAATGCCTTTAATGGCGCCTGAGGAATTTCGTACGAATGCTGGTCGCTCAAGTATGCCTCGTTCACTGTGCGCCACTGCTGCCACTCCTGGATGATTTCTTCGATATCCATGAGCATGCACCCGAAGACAACACCTGTGGGCAAGCCTCCTCGCTCCTGTCCGTCGTGGATTTGCAGTGATTCTCTCACTTCCTGTGGCAATGTGCAGTCGAGCTCTTGCTCCAACATATTAACGTCGTTCACGGTTGCTCCCATGCCCAAGTTCTCCCACAGCTCTTCATAATTGTCCTCCAGCCAGCGGTCAATGCGCTTCCAGGAGTGGCTGACCGGTGGTGGAGGAGGCAGGCCGTCGCTGAACGCCTGCATCTGGATCTCCCCTGTGCCCACCTCGGGCATCTTGCCATTCTGCGCTGAACCTCGCCGTGAGAGACTGTTGCGTGAAGAGGGCGAGGCGGGAGTGCTGGTAGTGCTGTTGACGAAGCCATGACCGGCTTCCAGATCGAGATCCGTTCTTGACTCCAAAGCACTTGTGTTTCGTGAGGATGTGAGGGCACTCCGCGATTGCGAGACGGGAACGTGGCCGCGTCCGAAGGGGGTGTCAGGGCCGGCGTGGCGGTCAGGAGAGGTCATGGTATGCCAGAATGCGCGCCATTGCGAGGCCAGACTGTGTTGCAGCATTGTCAGTAGGGCTCTGTGACGATTGACGGTATGCTTGGCACGAGGGAGTCTAGCTTTGGGGTAATACGAAGAGATTTTGGGGGAGCAACGTACGCGCCAGCCATGATGGGTCGCGAAGGGAGTGCGGTGGAAACGGCGCGGTGGCCTTGCGGTAGCGACAGTCGACAGCGAGCGCGGGCAGCGGAGGTTGTGCGCAGGGACGGTCAGCGAGTGGGCGGGTGGTTGCTGTGAGGGTTCGCAGTGGTGATGGCTGGGTGATGGAGACAGGCAGCGGTGGAATGGAGGTTTGTTCTCGAATGTCTCCCAATCCCTGTCGCTCAAGTCGCAGTCCGTCGGTGGCCCCTGGACCAGGATGCGTGAAGTTCTGCCGCAAACTCACCGGCGCCTCGGAGGGGAAACGGACGCCGTTTTAATACATGCACCACCTCCGCAACGGTCGACAATGCGAGGGGAGAATGAGGAGAAAGCAGGACTGGCCAGCACTGCAGATGCTATTCACAGAAGCGCAGTGCAGCGGGCGGCGGATGTTGTTTGCGTGGGCGGCAGGAAAGCACCTCACCAAACAACAAGCAAAGGCTTGGCTGCAGCTCTCCGCCCGGCAACACACAGAGCCGCATTGCACCCATCCTCCGCCAATCGTCCAACTTTTGCCTCCCCACCGACTCGCCCCATCAGACACCACGACACCGCGCTCATTTGGCGGCGACTGATTTTCACCGTGCTGGAAACTGACACTCTCCCACCTTTTTCGCCTTGTCGAGATTGGCCTGCACGCGATATTGCTGGACAGGTCTTATCGCCGGATCTCCATCTACTGCCGAAGCGCAAGTTGAGCTGCACCAGATGCATGAAACACGTCGTAGATTGCGGCTGATCCTCCTGCCCATCATTGGACACGACACTCGTGCACCTCATGTGCCTCGTCTGTCGAGCTGTAGAGCACGTTGCATTGACATCGCCACATGAGCATGACAGCCAACCTCATCATATGCACCTGGTGACCACCAGAAAAACGACATCGCGCTGTTCCTGGCCCTCATCCTGGCAACGCGACGTCACTGCGCGCACACATGCAGCGGACCGAACTGCTGTGGAACCATGAGCTTGATATGGAGATTTGCCACACTGAAGTCAAGCTGCCCTCGCTGGCGTGAGAGTCATCTTGCCAAGAGGCTTCATGGGTCTGATGGGGGATCCGACGCACGACTTCGTGGCAAGGTCGCAATTTAGACTGATGATTCTATCAAGCATGAATTTTCTGCTCGGATGGCTTTCATACATCTCATCATGTCTAGGTGGTCGACGCGACTGTGTCTCCAAGGTATTGATTGCTGCGATTCACATTTCACACAGTAATAAACAACATGACCTGCCTTGGCCTTTGCCACAAACATTCAAGCGCAAGCAGGCTTTCTACATTGATAATGCCCAGTTTCTTTTTCAGCTGCTTCACAGACCAATTCTTGCGTTTCGGCCGATTTTCCACACGACGAGCTCGCCTTCGGTTTTCGAGGCGCCCGTACCACAATACACGATCCGAGCGAACATGTCTTCACACCTTCATCTCCAATTCAAGGATGTCAGAAACAAGGGGCGATTGGTCATTGTGCCTTGGGAAAGTGTCCAAGCCTTGTTCAATGATAACACGTCTCTCCAGCAACATCTAGACACTCTACGCAAGACTGACGATACAGTGCCCAAGTCTGACGTGCAGAGCACAATCAATGAAGCCATAAATGCTGCCCATACACTGGACCGTTTCGTCTCGCAGCTAAGGACCTCATGCCCACCCCGCTTTCATCCCAGCGAAGGACCCGCGGCGAAGGCAGTTTTCAACATTCCAGAACTCCTCGAGAACATTTTATCCAATCTCAAAGGACCCGACTTGCTCGCTGCCCAGCAGACGAATATGTTGTTTCGAAATGTAATCAACGGATCTTCCTCTATCCAGAAGATCCTAGGCCTACAACCGGATGAGCAATCGCACTTTCACTCTCCTTTCGCAACAGGTGCAATGGACATCGGCCCGCCATTGACGCTCCTTCGACCGCAAACTAGACGTCCCAATACCGTTATGGGACCTATCTGCGGCATCCAATTGTGCGTTGGGGGTCACGGACGTGCTCATCCTCCGCCTCCTCTCCCATACTCGTCGAACCATGTGTACGTCACAGGCCGCATTGACAGCATGCCTACAGAAGTCGGCGAGCGCTGCCTTCGAATGCTGATCTGTCAACCTCCAGTGAGGGAGATGTCCATCTACTTCTGTCAGACAGATCATGACTCTCCCTTTTCTGACACCAGATCTGCTTCATCTCCCAGACGCGAACATGGTTTCACTGTCGCTGACCTCTTGTTCTCTGCTCGTCTCGGCATGGAGAAAAGGGGCTGGAAGCAGCTCGGGCGCCATGGGCGGTACACGAGGTGGCTGGAGTTGAGAATGGTGACTCGGCTCAAGGATGATGACCCAGTCATGATCAAAGAGAGAATCAAACGTGGCCAGGAAAATGCAGGGTATTGAAATGGCGATGCGAATTGATAAATACTACAGACATGTTTGACTGAGTTCTACTTTGGCTTCGCCATGGTGGAGAGTGGAGCAATCAACTTGGTGGCAAGGTTGCATTGCGAAGGCATAGCGAATGGTCGAAACTTCTGGAGGGCGCATGTTGTTACTTCGCATTCGTTGTCTTGTTTGGAGACTGTGACAGAACCACGGAGCTTGCAAGTTCGGCCTTACGCTGGCAGTTCATGTATTCATCTGCCAAGATAGCTTTTCAGACTTTGCCTGCCCACAAATGTAAAGCTGGTTTCCACGAAACAAATACTGGTTCATCCACATTGTGAACTTTCTTCAAGCTCCCCTTTTGCTGTTGGATAGCAGAACTTGCAGAAATCACAGTACTGTAGTCAATGTGCAGATCATATTCGAAGCAAAGACCCCTTCACTAGCCTAAAGGTTTATCCATGTTACCCACGACTGTCTCCACGCGTAACCTCAACCCATTGGACTGCAGCCATTACCACCATGACCTCCTCCCCCAAGAAAGACCTCGTCCTCGTTACCGGCGGCAGCGGCCACCTCGGCGCCTTCTGCGTCCTCGCCCTCCTCCGCACAGGCCGCTACGCCGTCCGCACAACCGTCCGCACCGCCTCGCGCATCCAAGACGCGAAAGCCAAATACCAACATGGCGGCGCAACAGACGCCCAAATCGCAGCCATAGACTTCGTCACTCTCGATCTGAATAATGATACCGACGAAGCCTGGACAGCCGCCTGCGTAGGCGTGAAATACGTCTTCCACGTCGCGGGCCTCATCGCGACAGGAAAGGAGAAGACGGAGGATGATTTATTACCTTTTCTGAAGAATGGTACTCTGCGTGTCCTACGGGCTGCAAAAACAGCAGGCGTAAAGAGGGTGGTTTTCACAAGCTCCGTCGCATCAATCGCGCATGGACTCGGTTCAAAGAGGAATTACACTCAACCTTTCACGGAAGAAGACTGGACGGATTTATCTGGACAAGCGGAGAAAGTGCACATCTACGTGAGATCCAAGACACTACAAGAGAAAGCTGCGTGGGAATTCATAAATTCTCAGGAAGGTAGTGATGAAGAGAAAATGGAAATGGTTGTAATAAATGCAACGGCAATGTATGGTCCCACATTGAGTAAAGAATTCGCATCGAGTTTGAAATTGATTGCGATTTTGATGGGTGGGATGCCTGGTGTACCGCAGTATGGGACTAGCATGGTCGATGCGAGAGATGTGGCGGATTTGCATGTTTTGGCTACGGAGAGTGAGAAGGCGAATGGACAGCGGTATTTGGCTATTACAGGGACGGAGGAAGAAGTGAATTCTGAATCGGCGGTGTGTAATTTTGTAACTGTGATGCGGTCGGCGGAGATTTTGAGAGAGGAGTTGCCGAAGGAGAAGACGGGGAAGATTCCGACGAGGACGCTGCCGAATTTTGTGATGAGGGCTGCGGGGTATTTTGATCCTGTGGTTAGTGTTTGTTTGCCGGATTTGGGGAAGGAACTTGCGGGGTCTTTTAGGAAGGCGAGGGATGAATTGGGGTGGAAGCCTAGGCCGGTTGATGTGGCGTTGTTGGATAGTGCGAGGAGTATGATGGATTTTGGGGTAGTGTAGAGATCACGTGTAGACTTGTACAGTATGTACTGTATAGATCTAGATATTCACGTCAGTATGCCTAGTAAAGCGTCCATGAATCGAGTGGCGTACAGCGACAGTCGTGGCAACGAAGATTCTGGTTTCAGGCAGGAAGGATGAAGCTGCATTCACTGTTCTTATGTAGCACCTGAGAAAAGAAAGCGATAGTCCCGCATCGCCGCATATGCCCGCACCAATGTTTCTCCCCAACCATGTCCTTCCTACTCAGCCCAACGGAGGAACACCACACGCCTCCTCCAAGGAAATGGAAAGCCATTCGCACTCCACTCCCTCAGGACTGTCTTGCCTCGAAAAACCCCCAAACACTTGTTCCCTCCCATCTCCCACGTAACAAACTTGGGTGATAAGCTCTGGTTCCGAGCCATTCTCTATGCAGGATAGTTGGTTGAGATCATCGCGCTCACAATTGAGTGATCTCAAAACATCAGGTCTTACGCCCAGTGGCGCGACTTCATTCTGGTTGTTCGGGTTTCGGAATATCCCGACAGGCTCGTCCCCGTCGCTCGTGCGAATCTCAAAAGGAGACGGGCTGTCGGGAGTTATTGGAGACAAGACGAAGGTCGAGGCTTCATCTCGGTCGGGGGTGAGATCTATGCCTGGAATACTGCTGGCGATATCTGTGGAAAGCTGCCACCAGGCATTGGCGAGCACGCTGACGTAGTATTTGGTGCATGGCGTTGGAGGCTCTGTGAAGGTTGAGGTCTAGAGGTAGAGCGGTCAGTCGCTACTTGTGCAGACGCGCTGCATCGAGGGCAAGCACACGCTGGTATACATACCTCTGTAATTGTTTCCGTGATTATCTTCGTCTCAGTCGCAACTGGCGACGTGATGGTTTTGGTGTCGACCTCAGTCTTGATCTCGGCGACGGTCTGCGCGACGAGTATGAGCAAACTTGTCTCTGCTTGACCAGGTGTATGCACTTACTGCCTTCTTTGTGACACAGGGCTTCGCGGGAACTGTGATTACTGGAGTCGAAGTCGTGAATACAGTCTTTGTCGTTGTCACCGTCTTTGCCTTTACAGTCGTTGCTTTTGGCACTCGCACCCCAAGACAGGAGCAGGCAGAAGAGTATGCATCTTTGTTCTTGCACGTAGCCGCGCATTGCGGAGTTTTGGTGGCTCTACGGGTTGTCGCTTTGCAGCCATTGCGTTCCTCGAGCTCACGTTTCTCGAGCAGCGGAATGCCAGTAATGGTCGTGACGGTGGTGGTCGTTGTGGTTGAGGTAGTTACCGTTGTGATTGTTACGGGCTCGGTACTGTCCGAAGCTATCAGTATGCTAGAAGCCCATGTCTTTGAGCAAGCGTCATGCTTCAGAGGTCGGAATCGTACATGATGTCCGTGACCACAGTGGTCTCCTTAGCGGTTCGCGTGGCGGTGACAGTGCAAGGCTTGGTGATCGTGGATGTTTTGCAAGCGGTTGTCTTGGTGATAGTCTTGCAAACAGTTCTGTTACGTGACCTTGTGAGCTACATTTTGTGGTTGGCAGACGTTGCTTGTGTGGTACTCACACTGGGCATGGAGTCACCGTTGGCTGCAGGAACGACGAACAGTCGGCTTTCGCAGTGCGCGCTTTCGAAACCTATGAGACATTTCAGCATACAGCATGGCGATAACTACCTAGGTCTTGCTCACAGCTCTCAAGCAAGCATCTTTGTTGCAGTAATTGCGCTCCTCGAGCACATTCTCAGGCGAAGCGCTGACGGCCGTCAGCGTTATCAGCCAAACTGTCGCAAGAACGTGGAGATGCATTGCGACCTGAAGGGATCCCGAACGCGAGCAATGCGCGAGAAACAAGAAACACCGTGGGGAGTTCCATGTTGAAGTACAGGACTCAGGCCGCGGGCGATACACAGGAGCCGACGGCTTGTGGTCTGCAAGCCATCAATATCGCATCTGGCCCTTATGGGTTAGTCGCCCTCATTCCAGCTTCTCAGTTGGGAAAGGTGGCGACTCCTTCGCGTAGAAATGGTACTCGAAAACAGAGTTTCGCACTTGTGCAAGCCGCTCCATTCGTCCACGACTCGAAAGTGTCATCAGACCACCACTGGGCCTTGTCCAGATCGTATGTTGATTGAGTTCAGGCGTCTTTGGCGGACATTGTGCGATTGCATGGTATCTGCCCGATAGCATCAGTACAAGTGTCAGGAGCGAAGTATGGCTCCGAGCCTTCCCCTCAAGCCGTGATAGAACCAAGACATCGCCATGATCTATATGGTATACCGGAAGTTCGGATCTCCCTCCAGAACCTTTTCGCCACGATCTGCCTTCTGATTCTCGACCCGAAAGTACACCGTGTTGACACAAACCAGAATAGCAATGATGATATTGCAAACCAAGCAGGCATAAACACCTGGCAAGTACTCAGGCTTGTCTTGCGATCGGAAGACAAGAGAGCCAGCGATACCGCCTATCCCTCCTCCACCTATCAGAGTCGCTGACGTGAAAGCTCTCTTCCAGTGTCCACGGACGTTGTTGGCCTGGTAAGCCATACACGTAGGAATTCCACCTTGAGCTGAGGCACAAATGAGGAACGTACCGAAGAAGCGGACACCTGAGGAACTGGCGAAGCCCAGAAGAGGGAGACCAATGATGCCTAATATGCAGTTGACGAGAAGTAGTGGTCCTCGTACTTTGTACTTGTCGCCAAACCAGGCGCAGGCCATAATGACAAAGGCGGCAAAAATATATTGCGGGGCGGACAAAATCTGCGAGAGCATGACCGAGAATCCCATATTCTCTCGGAGCAGGATTGGCAGAAAGTACGACATCGCATAAGCCGGCGTGGTGAGACACTGGCACTGCTGTCAGCGGTCTATCCGATTCGTCTCTGGGACGAAGACTCACGAAAAAGATCAATGCAAACGACCACACCTTCCAATCTGCTCCACCACTCAACCAGAGTCGGAAGTTCCAAGGCTCGGCTTCGGCATCGTTCCTGTCCTTCTTGATGCGGCGCATGATAAACAGGATCTCATTGTCTTTAAGAAAGCGCCAGTGCTGCTTCTTGATCGCGCGATCTGGAAAGTCAACGAGGAATATGTACCCAGCGATGCCAATGATGACGGTGAGGATACCCTCGATAATCTAGGAGCAGTGAGCAAACGCCGGCTGTTTCGCAGTAAGTGGCGGTATTGACTTACAAATATCCAGCGCCAGCCTGTGTACCCGGACAACCCGTCCATCTGCTGTAGTCCGTATGCTAGAATGCCGCTTCCACCAGATGCTACGACTCCGAGGATGTAGAAGAGCGCGAAACGCTTTTGCTGGTCGTATCGGGCGTACCACGTAGAGATCAGGAAAACACAACCTTGATCTGTGTTAATCACCACTCTCGTGAAAGGTAAGGCATCCACATACCAGGAAAGAAGCCCGCTTCAAACGTTCCGAGCAGGACCCTCAGAGGTATCAGCACAACCCAGTTCTGGACGAAACCAAAGCCGATCATGACAGCTCCCCATGCGATACAGAGGCCGGCTAGGAATGGTCGCGGTCCAAGCTTGCGGGTAAGGATTGTGGCAGGAGGCTGAAAGATCGTATAGGTAACGAAGAAGACAAGAGCCACAGTAGACTGCAAACCAGATAAGTAGCAAATCGAACAGTCTTGAATGCATTACTAACATATCGAAAGCCGACATTCACCTCTAGCTCAACATTCATGCCAGCAACTGCAGCGTTTGGCAAGTTGGACCGGTCCATTAGTGAGACGCAATACATGAGACCAGCCATCAGCACCAGCCGCTTGTCGATACGATGTATGATCTTGCGTTGCTCGGGGTATGAGAACTCTAGATCTTCGTCAAGAGCCTCAACCCGCTGAGTCTGGGCGCCATACTCGCTGTCTGAGGTATAGGGCGATGCCCTCTCGATCCTGAGGACTTCCTGTTTCTCGTTGTCCATGATGGAGAAGGAGGGAATATGGACCAAGTTAGAGCTGGAAGTTGGAAGTGATGAGAGACCTCACCTGAGCTTTGTAGCAAGCACAACGGATCCGAAGACAGTGCCGCTGCCTAGGCAAGCGAACCGATACATGCTCACAACTTGGTACACCAGGATTCTCCACGGGGCCCCGAGTTCTGGCTTGCTACTGTATGCAGTCCTCGCCAGTAAGAAAGGCACTGGTTGTGGATACTGTATGCGCCAAGTGCACAGGGACCGATGAGGTTCGCTGTCACCATGTGCGTGAATCAACGGCAGTAATTTCGTTTTCGACTCGAGACATGAAGAATGCGAACAGCGTGTGATCGGCAGGCTGGACTATGCGACAGTGGAGGGTCAAAGTAGCATTTTGGAATGCTGGATAAGACGTTTATCAGCTCTTGTAGATGCCGCCACTGCCCAGCTTCGCGTGCATGGTTCGCGTGTTTGGGCATTGGCACTCGGGCGCGCCACCTCGTTCGGCAGTGCTGTTCGGAAGCGTATCGGGTTCAATATCTCTTGTCAATACAGCTCAACAAGTGGGTCTGGACGTGGGATTTAGCCGCTGATGCATCGCGCAGTTGTGGATGAAAGATGAAGAGGAAGGCGAGGAGGAGAGGAGGAGATTGAAGACGGAGCTTGGGCGCGGCTTACGTGAGCAAAGACTTCACCTCCAGCACCATCCTGTCCAAGCTTCATGTCATGAATCAATCCTGTGAGCGACTTACTGTATCAAACTTCGACTGATTGGTGACCACGCAAGCTCACATATCTCTGCGAAGAGGGGGCAGGTCAAGCTCGTCTGCCGCAATCTCATCACCTGCAGCCGTCCTGCAGGAGCCTACTGAGTTCACAGTCAAACCCCTAGACCTCACGAGGAAGATGGTCTGCACAGAGCTCTCCTCAATGTTTGGCTTCGTTGTGTAACTTGTCTGAGCTGTAGGTAGGGGATAATTTTCGTTACAATCCACGCAATCACGGTGCTGATCAAGATGAAAGACTTCCAGCAAGAGCGGTCGTAAGCAACTGGATGAACAACGCTATTCTGCGCTCGTTATCGGACCATGAGGTGCTGCCCTGTCACATGATTCCCATGTATGGTCTTCTATTGCGTTACTCTCTGAATCGATCATCTTGGTAGCATGTCCCTCCGGACCAGCCTTGTGCCTGGCTTCTGTCCTGCTATTTGATCAGCCACTAATACATCACATTCTGTGCCGTGATATGTGGTATGGGCTTGCGTGACAGCAACTTTACAGACCTTGCACGAAGCCAGACAAACGCCTCGATTTCACATGCTAATGTACAGATCTAGAAGCATACAGTATTTTCCTGGCCTGACGGTAACTCCAAACTTTAGCTGGCCGTCCCGACAGCCACACTAAAATTCTTCACACCGACCGAACTTGAATGACTTCGAACACAACGCGGCGCATTTGGAACCACGAACATGCAGTCTCAGGCAGCGGGAAGCGAAGAGGGCTGGTCGGTCTACGAATCGAAGAGGACCAGGAAGATGCGCGATCGCATTCGCAAGGAACACCCCTTCGACTCGATCGACAAGCCAATCATCAGGACTGACCGCGACGAGTTTCGCCCGCCACTGCAACTCATAAACCATCACGAGGACATTCAGTACATCAGGAGCGCATTGAAGTTCCTCGGTCCCTTCGACTGCGCGACATTCAGCCAGTACTGCAATCCCGTGCAGATTTCAAGTCTCAAGTGCAGACCGCAACGCATCAGAGAAATCGAAGTGCGATACTTTGCACTTACTCGACGTGGCTTGGTGGCAAAGGTACCGCTATACTTGCAGGAGAGTGCCGGAAATCACGGACACCCAAAAGAACGCGCGGAGCTACTTGTGCTGGATGGCGACTCACTAAGACCATTCGCTGACTGGCTTGGAGACCTGCCAGCACCTCTCGGACCGCCACTACTCGGCAAAGATGGTTATCACTCGATGCATATGTGGCATCGCGAGCGCCGAAAGTTCACAAGCACGAAGCTGCCATGCTTTGCTGATATGTCTACTGAAATCAAGGAGAATATCCTCCTTCATATGGTTGGCGAAGTCTGTACCTTGGACTTCAAGTACTGTTGGGAAGAACCGGTGGGGCCCCTATTGCCGGACTTCGACACTCCTCTCTACGGCTACGAGCTCGACCGGAACATTCTCACCCTCAACAAAGAGATCCACCAGCTAGTGCAGCCGATCATTAGAAGAGGGACTATCAAGAGTTTGCGTTACTACTACGTGATCACGGAGGCCCTCAACCCAGCACATACCTTTGTGAACGATCTCACCCGCCTCCAACTTACATTCAGCGATACGGAGTACATATGTTTCTTCCATTTGATCTTGCCGGGCCTGCGACATCTCGTAGACCACGGAGACAATCACGCGACTGCTTTGTCGCAGTTACCACAGCTGAAGTATTTGGAGCTCTGGTTTGATGCTCCACTTGATCCGGAAGAATCTAATGTCTGGTATTTGCAGTGGGAGACAGAAGCGTCGCCTGACATCGACAAATATGCCCAAGTTCATCGGTTTCCCTGTCGTAAGACCATGATCGATTGGATCCTCACCGCAGCCTTCCCGTACATTCAACACATTCCGACCGTGAATGTCACTGGATACGTGAAGACCGTGACTAGGACCAAATGGCTCGAGATCTTTCGCAATAAGAGAGCGCGCGAGAGCCAGCTTGCTCAAGTCCAGGAAAAGCTCAAAGAGTTAGAGACACTCAACAGAGAGCAGGTGTAAGTCTACCTCCTTGATACCAGCCACATCGTTCTAGATTGCTCTTGTCGCCACTGCTGACATCGCAAACAGTCCACCACCCTGCTTGTGCCCGACGTCGTGCTACTATGATCCTGACTGGCGCGCTTCTGCGCCGGGAACGGACGAGAACTATCGCTTCGACTTTGATGACGAAGGATTCGAGGATAGCTCTCTCGCAGTCGACCGTCGCCACTCCGATAGAACTACTCAGGTCTGAGCCGTGCTGGACAAAGAACGGGGCTGGACACAAGCTATGACATGGGGCAAAAGTCGGCGCTCTGCGGATGACGGAAAATGGAAACAGTCGCGGCGACAACGGCGAGTAGTCAATCTGCTCCATGTTATGGCTGACGCCCGCAGCTATCCGACAGTCAAGCTCGCAGCGCGACGGACTCTGAAAACTGCGTGATGGACTTAATGAAGCGTCGTGGGAATGTGAACGGTCCACCTTGGTCTGCTGCGCTCCGTAGTAATGTTGTTGTAGTAATAGAGCTGCTGCAGCAGCAGATACCAGATCTGCCGTTCAGAAGACGATCACTGGCAGTCCGGATAGAAACACAGACTTGTCAAGTGGTCTCGCCATTCAACAGCCGTCTTCCAGCTCGCGAGCGATTCCCGCGTTTCTGCGTCGGACATCGGCTTCCACATAGCCACCTCCTCGTCCTTCCATACTGTACAAATATGGTTTCAATTTCAAACATATGCCCGTCTTTATGTCTCAAACGCCAGACGCCTTTCGCTAACCCTCAGCAATACAGTGTTCCCGCTCTGTCCAGCACAAGTTCCGTCTCTTACAGTTCCTGCTTTTTTCCCCACTCATTCCCAACATATTTGAACCAGCTCGGTCTACAGTCCTCCTTCTGCAAAAATGGCTCTCCGTCGTAGAACTTGCCAGCCTGGCATTTCTTGCACTTGGGCGAGTTCGGGCAATTGAAGAATGGAATGTGTCGGTATCCGATATCTTTGAACCAGTGTATCCGCTCGCGCTCCTCGAAGAGTCCCAGTGCGATGGAGTGCACAGGAGCATCGCCCCAGCGCTCATAGAAGAAGCCTCCTGCGCGGTCCAGATGCTCAAAGTAGGCTTCATAGGCTTCGGAGCGCCAGAAGTTCATATCTGCGATCTCGAAATTGGACCAGAAGTGGCATGTGCTGTAGCCGTTTGCAATTTGGTTGTGCTCGGGTCGACGTTCCTTGTCTGTCAACCAGCCCAGAGCATTATGGTTTGCCAAATATTTGTTGTTTCCAGCGAGAAACTTGATTGTTTCAGGCCAAAGCGACTCAATTGACTGCGGCGAATCGTAGATGTTGATCGTAAAGCCGTACGTCTTGTTATGATCTCGCATATAGCGGAAAACGTCGTAATCCACATCGCAGAAGAAGTTGACATGTGGTTCCACACGCCAATAGTACTGCATGTCCTTCAGGGCAGGGTGCTTGTAGAAATACCCACTATTCCATCTGCACATTTGATGATAGCTCTTCATGCTGGCGTACTGAATGTTCTTCTCTTCCAGTATCTTGGCCGACTCCTTCATTAGGTCTGCGTTGATCCAGGACGGAATCTCCCAGTGCTCCTTGGGTATCTGGTAATATCTGCATTCTGCCTTGGTGTTCGCGGCTGTGGCCTTCTTGAACTCTTCGGTAAAAGGTTCATCGTTGAAGAAAGTCCACGGGTAGTTGAATTTGTGGTTCCATGTCCGTTCCAGCTCTTGCATGCTCCCTACTATTTGCTCCAGCTCACTATTTCGGACGAGAGAAAGGAGGGTGGCATTGATGCGATCGCTATTCGGGTTGTCTGCGTCGTAGTTGTGGCCGGAGACTCGGTGTAGTGGTTCTGGGGGCTCTAATGTCTCTGATCATGCCGTCAGTACATTGCCTAGCCGCGTTGTTGCAGTTTCCGCCTACCATCTAGATTAGGATCTCTGACCATGTCCTCCAGCTTTGCATGTCCTTCAGGCAGTTTCGCGACTGTGGGATTCCGCATAATCTGGAAGAGCAGGAAGACGAACAGGGCCATCGTGGCCAGCGCCAGGAAGCGGATTGGCTTGGGGATTCCCACCGCCATGATGGAGAATTGTCTGTCGCTGACCAGGTCTTCACATGCCTCGAACGCAAATGTAACCAGCCACAAAATCGAGGGTGTAAGTTCCACGTTCTGGCGTAAAAATGTCCCAACTGCAGCCCACGCGGCTCTCCTGTGCACCGGCGTTCGGCTCATGCTTCCGACAAACTCTAATTCAGCATACCTCCTCTTCGCGTTCAGTCGCGTTCTGGACACGAACAACATGTGCACGCCATGATGTCGGCCGAGGATTATGGCACACGCAGCAACACTGGACAAGCTCGCCGGTGGGCTTGTCACCGCCATCACCGGCCGGACTGAGAACGACGCCAACTACAAGCGTTCAAAAACCCAAGCGGTCAAGGGACTACGAGACAAGAGCCATGCTCGAACGAACCAGTTCGCCATCAGTGCCAAATATGATGGTCTGCTAGAAAAATTTGCTGTCTTGAACAGAGAGGATCTTGCGGGTGCGCTGCAAACACGACTCGAACAACTGCCTGCTGGATCGCAATGGATCCCAGAAGTGCTTTCGGTATTCCTGGAACTTTCGGATCGACCTACAGCCAGAACGATCCTCAGTCATGTAACTGTAGGCGATGATAGCCCAGAAACTAGTGTGCCATTGACCTGGGAAGAAATCATCGCGGAGGATCCGCTTGACGAGCCAGGCATATGGGAGGATGTTGATCGCGGCTATCACTCGAGCGCTGATGAACACACTGACCTCGAGGACGAATCCGATCAGACGGTATCGACTGTCGCGACGTCCACTGACGATGACCCGAGCTCCAACGCAAGACTTCATCTCACAGTGCCACGTGAGAGCGCGGTCTCGGCAATTCGTGAGGCACAGCAAGGCTTGCAAAGTGGGCAGTACGATCAGCCGCACGTCGTCAGTGAGCTGACTCTGGTACGTGAGATGCTACTCATGCTGCATGGCCTCCCGACAGAGCTGTTTCCAGTCGACAAGGCTACCGGCCGCGTGACCGTCTCACAAAAACTGCAGCTTGCAACAGCAAGCACCACTTCTCTCGTCCACGTTGTCACTACGACTGTCAAGAGTGCATCGGCGCTGAATTATCTGCGCGCCTGGGTGAAAAGCTCGCAGTCTCTTCTATATGTCCGTGCAGTCCAAACTGCCACACAGAGAATGCTGGCTATCTTCACTTCTCGACTAGCTGCTTTAGAAAAGCGATACATCGACCCGATGATGGATACTATCGTGAGCATCAACGATACAACAACACAGGCGCAGAATGCAGCCACCGCATTGGTTCAGCTGTCCACCATAGTGCAAGTGGCAGCTCTTTCTACTGGTGGCGGGCAGCAAATTGTACTGCTAGACACTTTGTACAATGAAGCTTGCCTTGCGCAGCTCTCTGGCGCTACAGAAACCTTCGATGCCTTGGCCACAGTATTTCTTGCTGGATTGTGCGCATATTTGAAGCCGATTGCTGCATGGATGATGTCCGGCGAGGCAGTCGCCACCTACCACGATGTTCCTCTGGTGGTTGCTACAAATGAAGATTGCGACGTCGCTCAAATATGGAACGGCCAATTTACGAAGAACACCAAAGCTGATGGCTCTGCGTTTGTGCCGAAGTGTATCGACATCTATGCTGACAGACTCTTCGCGCTCGGTAAAAGCCGTGCTTTTCTGAATCGTCTACATCCCGGTCTGAATGAGATTACGAATGAGGCAGCAGATATGCCCACAATTAGTCATCAGCAGGTCACAGACTCGCTCGTCTCGTTTTCTCAGATCTTGGATGACGAACTATCAGCGTGGATCGCCAAAGTCGGCCATGACTGTACTCCCTTGCTCCTCAAAAGCCTCAGAGAAGAACACGGTCTGTCTTCAACCATATTAGGACTTCCGATGATCTTCTTCTCCGGCAATGGCATCGCCTTTCGAGATTTCGCCGATGCTGTGGTCAAACGCATTGTGGTCAAAGGGGATTCAAAAGCCTGGAACGATCGCTTCATGCTGGTAGAGCTGGCGCGGACTTCAATCGGCACATGTGGCAATGTTGATCCGAACTGTATCCAAGTTGATACACCTTCTGGTGAGGTAGGCACAATCTCGACATCTACTACTCGTCTTCTGAATTCTTTCACGCTGGAATACATTCTCGCATGGCCTCTTCAGAATATCACAGGCTACAGGACGTCCAACACGCATGCCAAGGTCTTTTCTTTCCTGCTGCAAGTCCATCACGCGAGCAGCCTGATGACAAAGGGCTTCTTCAAGCTGCGGTCGGAGCAACAGCAATCGACACTGGATCTGGCGCTACGTCAACGATTGTTGTGGTTCACTGACACTCTACACTTCTTCATTGCTACTACCGCCAGCACCATTCACCAAGACATGGCACAATCGATGGATGTAGCATCGGATATTGACGCTATGGTGTCCATCTGGCAAGAATACGAGACCAGACTACAGATGAGTCTCTTATTGTCCCCCAAGCTTGAGCCTGTGAGAGATGCGATCACGGGAATTCTGGAGCTCAGCGAGACGCTTGCGAGGACAACCCGATTCAGCAGTATCGCTGCGCTGCAGGATCAATTCGATCAAAGCTTGAAGTTCCTGGTTGCCGGATTACGTGGGCTAAGCAGAGCTGGGGGAGAGCTGGCTTTGGAATCACTTGCCGACAGGCTAGAATGGACTCCTCCTTGAGAAGCGTGACGACCGCGTGCCGTACCGTTCTGCTCCCTCGCTACGGTGCCAAGGTCAGCCATGTGAACGGGCTGCCAAATCAGGAAGGCACATGCGAAGCGAGACGAGGTCGCGCCAAGCACAAGACTAGGATATGACCATCCACCTCGCTACCCATCACTCCTCGCGAGCCACCGTATTTGTTGCATCGCACTTCGCCGAGTACACAGCATCCACTGCTTGAGCCAGCACATCACCTTTCTAGACCCAATACAAGAAAGCTCGCATGCAAGCTATTTTCGTGACCACATTCTTGTCTTCACATCAACAGTATTGCTGGCTCAAAGTGGTCAGCAAGTGTTCTGCCTCAAGACTGAACGTAGTACGGTCACAAAGTCGTGGCTTCACAACCTCAGGCACGAAGTCCACCTTTGCTATTCGAGTCCGACCACATCAACACTCTGCCACCTCGAGAATGGCTCCACCACAAGGCTTCCATCTTCCTGCAGAGACGGATCGTCATGAGTGTACAGTAATGACGTGGCCGACCCTCCAGTCCGTATCTGGAGAAGAATACGACTACCCTGGCGGCGAAGTTACCGCGACTCGACAAGAAATAGCCAATATCGCACGAGCGATAGCCAAATATGAACCTCTGCACATACTCGTCCGCGATTCGAAGTCCGGTGAGGGAAATGGAAAAGAAGATACCAACCTGCAGTCTATTCGAGAAGCACTCGGCAAAGCCAAAAATGTGTCTATACACGAATCTCCGAACGTCCATTCCCTGTGGGCACGAGACGTTGCACCTGTGTTCGTGCGGTCCCAAGCAGGTCCCGTGTCCATATCCTGGGGCGAGAAAGACACTCCTGGAGTTGGCTCAGGCAAGAGGAACAATTCTAGCACAATTGTCGGCATGATCTTGAGCTTCAACCAATGGGGCAGAAAGAATGCACAAACTGCAGACTCTTACACTGCGCCAACCGCAGCCGAGAAAATCAACAAAGCCTACGTCTTAGCACCCTTCATTGCCGAAGGAGGTGGACTGATGTGGGACGGCGAAGGCACTATGCTCGCGACCGAGTCTGCCATCCTAAATCCTAATCGAAATCCAGGGATCGACAAAGCGACAATGGAGTCTTACTTCGCGCATTGCTTTGGTATCGAAAAGACGATCTGGATCCCTGGTCGACGTGGCTACGATATTACAGATGACCATATCGATGCTCTGGCCCGATTCGCTGCGCCCGGAGTCGTGCTACTCGGGAGGCCTTTCCACAAAGATGACGCTTATGAAATGGAAAGCTACCTTGCGCTCAAACAAGTTCTAGGCAAAGAGACTGACGCCAAAGGTCGCAAGTTCACGACGATTGATGTGCCGGAACCAGATGTCCAAGCTCTTTTGGGAAAGGACTATCACCCGGAATCCGGACCTGTCGCTTCCTATGTGAATTTCCACATTGTCAATGGAGCTGTCATCGTTCCGGCTTTCGGACAAGAGCAAAGAGATGCCGATGCGGCGAGGCTGATCGGGGAGCAATTCCCTGGAAGGAAGGTGGAGCAAGTGAGGTTGTATCAGTTGCCTATGCAAGGCGGCGGAATCCATTGCGCGACTCAGCAGGTTCCGGCCGAGTAGGGCAAATGCCAAAAGCCCTGCGTATGAGAGCTAGTATTGAATCGGCATTCAGAAACTTGCACTTTCCTGGAACCGTGTATATGCATGCCGTCGTGAACAGATCTCATCTCAAACATTACTTCCATCGTCCCAGCTCCATGCACATCTTCCATCCTCTATATACATGAGCATCCACTTCTAATCCTGCACCATCTCATCCTTACACCACGATGGTGCAGTTACATGATTACACTTCGCCACTTTCCCCCTCCCCAATGTCACTGCGTAATCTCGATCCCATCTCGAACTCATCCCATAAACCGGAAAATCTGTACTGATAATCTGCGCACCGCTCGTGAACGCCGCGTCCCGCATCGTTGTATTATTCTCCAAAACAGTGGAAATCGGCTCATCGGATCGCGTCCGAACATAATATCCCAATCGCACGAGTCGTTGAATTGCTTTAATATCATAAGGATTATTATACTTGATAAAAGCACAATCCTCTTCGCCTTCGACTGCATTCGTGAATACGATGCGGTCTTGGAGCGATTCGTGGCCATCGGAGCGGTACAAGGTTCGGATATCGGTGGTTGAATTGGAAGGGTCGTTGTCGAAGAAGAACATGAATTTCCCTCGCGCTTTCTCCATTGTGGGCCAGCCATGTTTGAGGACGGAGGCTTCGAGTGTTAGGTCTTTGCGTCGAATGTCGTCGGGGACGATGAGTTTGGAGCGGGGGAGGATAGAGAGGATTTCCGTATCGACGTTGAGGATCCGGGGAAGGGTGAAAGAGGTTGCTTCGGTGGAGTTCACGCCGCCGAGGGCTGCGGCGAAGGCGTCGGTTTTGAGTTCGAGGTCGATTGTGATGGGGAGATGGGTCGGGTTGGCGTCGGACCAGGTTTTGAGTTGGGTGAGGCAGTCCGTGAAGGTATGGCAGACGGAGTTGGTGTCGACGTCGGTGATGTGGAAGACTTTGAGGCCGGGTTGCTGCATCACGGTGTTGTCATATGGTGCGGTTCCATTGGGTCCGGTGGTGAGGTTGGACAGCTTCCATATCAGAGGGTTGGCGTAGAGACCGCCTTCTTCGTCGGAGTGCAGATCGAGTTCGAAGGAGCGCACTTGCTGGTATTCTAGTTGATCTTGTAGAGAAGAGTGCGAGTAATATAGATCTTCAAATCCTGGAATGTATTGCTCGAGTGCTTTGCGTTCCGAGAGCGCTATTTCGCGATGGTATGAGTTGTGGGTGCCGATAACTTGAACCTGGTTCATGCGGATGAGTTTGGAGTTGCCATGCTTGACTGAGCCCCAGATGGAAGCATGCGCTGGCTGGCCATAGAGGCCGAAGCTCACAGCAAATGGAAGTAGCTGTTGCGCGTTAGTGGCGTTCGAGCTGCACTGAGGAGTCAACTCACAGTCGGAAGTCGCATAGCTTCACGCCGTCTGTAAGCACGCCTCGCTCTGCCAGCCTCGATGTCGACTTACTGTACAAACCAATGCTGGTGATTATCAGGAAACAGAGAGTCCACGCGATCTTGAGCCGCCTATCCATGTCGACCCCTCAACTCAGACATGGCGTTTACTAGTGCCGCGGTGGCGGTCGTGAGCCTGTGCGCGTGCTCCAATTGGAGAGACCCCTCGGCTTGAACTGTAGACTAAAGGCTATGATAAAGAGCCGCACGGTATCGAGAGGGCTCTGAGATGCGCTTGAATCCATCGGGACTCCTCTGACACAAGATGCCGTCAGCTCCTTGATTGGGCCAGACGAATCCTTGAGTTAGATTGGCCCTGCGTTAATCATGTCAGCTTGACTGTTTCGCTAGCCTAGGTGCCGCAAAATCTCATCATTAGAGTTGCAACATAACATAACCCAAACTTTATTAGTCAGCGGGAGCAGCATTGACATTTCGATGCCCACAGTCGTCTCTGGTTCTCCACCATTTGTCCAGATTCTGCTAGCTTTGGAAGGAGCTTGATCGATTCTTGTGCTACTCATCCTACGCGGTGGCGTTGCGTGCATTCGGCTAATCATGTCACATGCTGATATCAGCGATACAAGCAGTACTGACTCGACGAGATGGCTCAAAAGAAGCTGTGACTCGTGTTACTCGCGGAAGATCCGTTGCGAGATAGAAGTCGTGGGAAAGAGCTGCGAGAACTGCGCCTACTACAAACATGCCTGCACTTTCGACCGGCCACTCAATCCGCGTGGACGAACAGCGAAGTCTCGCATGAGAACTTTGGAACAGAGGCTCGCGAAGGTCGACACCGTGCTGACTCGACTCGGCTTGCCTTCTTCCCAGAACCGTGGCGAGGGCGTCACTCCCGATCGCGGGCCAAATGGACTGAGATCGAAGCTTTCTGACGTCCTCATCACTGATCAGCGTCTCCCTTCCGCTGACTATTCAATTCCTTTTCTCTCCGGTCAGGGGCAGAAATGGATCCAACTCGCAGGCGAGGAAGCAGCCCAATCATCACCCTTAGGCGGTCCAAGTGGATACGGCCAAATCGATCCTTCGACTTTCACAACATTACCCGACAAAGGAGTCGTGCAACAATGCTTCCAACGGTACAAATTTTCGAGATGGGTAGAAATGTTTCCAGTCTTTAGGGACGATTCTTTCTCGGCGACAATCGACAAGGCCTATGGTCGACCAGCATGTACAGCATCTCAGGCATGTGTACTAGCAATGTGCACCGTATCGCCATTGTTCTACTGGCATACGCAAGAGCAGCCACCCGCCATCCAGTCAACGGACATCGCGATCGTACACCTACTCATGCCGCATATCCTGGTGGGAAGGCCGAGCCTAGAGCTGGTACAGACTCTCGTACTGATGACAGTGCGGATATTCGCTCTAGGCTCATTCGAGGGTATCGACATGTATCTCTGCCTCGCAGCTCGCGCGCTCTTCGCCCTAGGCGCTCACCTGAAGCCCCCATCCGGCTCTGCAGAGGAGGAGAAGCACATTTATCGCGATCTTTTTTGGATCGTTCATATCATCGACGTGGATCACGCGATACGCTCAGGACGTCCCACTGTCATGAGCAATGCATGGTGTGACTTGACCTTGCCTCAGGGTCGTTGGCCATCGTACGAGAATGGTCGCGTGCGATATGGAATGGATCTTCACCTCAACCTCATCAAGTCTGAGGCCTATACCAGATTGTACAGCTTGGAATCACTCGGAAAGTCAGACGCTGAGCTTCTGAAAGACATTCGTCTCCTAGACAAGGCCCTTGAGGATTGGCGAACGTCCTTGCCTAGCGACATTCGACCCGCCCTCACTTATCGTGAAGATTGTTCGGTTGCGGGGCCTCTTGAGGAGGAACTGGTCTTTCTGTGTCTCGAGTACCACCGCTGTGTCAGTTCAATACACCAGGCAGTGACGAGGGTGACTCGCTCTGTTGGACACGAAGATGCCATAAGCTCGAGCCTTGACATTGCAATAGACGCCAGTCGTTCTACCCTGCTCTACTTCCGAGACCAGCACAAGTATCTAACTCGTGCTCTCTTTTGGCTCTGGAGCTCGTACCCGATCACAGCCCTGTTAATGCTGTTCACAGAAGCAATGTCGAACACTGGCAGCAGCGGGTGCGCTGATGACAGTCAGTGCTCCCGTGATCTGGCTGTGGCTCAGGACGCGGTAGACGCTTTGCGTGAGGTAGGCAACGCAGCGACGGGCCACTCTCCACGCCTTCAAAAATTGACGCGCTTCCTTGAAGAGATTCTCAGCATTGCACGGGTGCTAGGAGCGGAGGCTTACGCTGCAGCCGCAAAGAGAGAATATGAGATGCTGGGACAAGAACCCATGTTGTGAAGAACGTCGACTCTCTTGCTGCCTCTTGGGTACACCCGGAGAAGCTGCTTCGCGTGCAGTCGCGTGCCTTCCGCTCTGTAGTCTCTGCACATCACAGCTGCCTCCAGGGCTTTTCGCCGAGCGTCGCTACCATCACACCACACTGCGAGGTCGCAGAACACATTCCGCACCACGCGACCAATGTCGCCTTGTAAAGAAGGTAACAGATTCGATATTGCAGTATCTCAATATCTTTCTACCCACACACACAAGGACACGGAGATTTGGACTCGCAAGGAGCAGCGAACTATGTCTACTAGGTCAATCTTGCCGAGTACCCAGGACATCTAGGAAGAGCAGAGGCCGAGGCGATTCTGATCACCAGCTACGATCCCAGTTGATGGAAGACCGAAAGCTTGTCCTCAGCCTCATTCATCGCCAGGGAAACTTCATTAGCGATGGAGCTGGCTTCGGTGGATCTGGCTTCGATGTTCACCAGCCCCCATGGCGTAATGTCAATGCCAGTCCAGAGCTTGTGATGTGCTACTCAAGGGCCACTCGCGAAGGATGCATTGAGATGTCCCAACCATTACGTGCTAGAGCGGCTTCCTTCGTAAGCTCGATGCGGGTCACAGGTGAGTCAGCGGTGCTTCCGAGGCTCCAGCAGCAAGACCCGGTCAACTATGCCTCCCTTCGGCGCCATTGTTCCGGGACATACCTGTATTAAAGACATACTCCACAATACTTCCTCTCTTGTTGACCATCTATGAGTACATTGAAAGATTTTCCAAACGTCGAACGCGGCATCTGCTTATTCCTTCTCCTTCTGCATACGAGCTACCTCGCACGGCTCCTGCGATTTACTCCCGCCACGACAATACTCACATTTCCGACCATGCTGAATCATCAGAAAATGCAGCCTAAACTTCAACTCCGACGGAATTCTGTGCTCCAAATGAGCTTGCGTTTTCTCTCTAGATGCGCTCTCAGGTGTCCATCCCCACAGCTTGGCCAAACGGTACACATGAGTATCGACAGTAAAGCCATTCCGCTTCAAACACCAGTTCATAACAACAAAGGCACATTTTGGTCCAATGCCTTTATACTTCAGCAGCTCTTGCATCGCTTCCTCATCGCTCACGTTGAAGAGGTAATTGAGATCCCAGTTGCCTTTTCCATTGCGAGCTTCCACTTGATTGAGCATCTCGAAAATGAGTTTGGATTTCCTGATATGAAGACCTCCGCAGCGAATAGTTTCTTGGAGCTCTTCTCTTCCCCGGCGCATAATCTCGTCATATGCGAAGACAGACCCATAGTTCTGCTCCATGCTCGCCATTGCTCTCTTCGCATTTGACCAGCTTGTGGCTGCGCTGAGCAAGGCGACGACGATGGCGTCAAGCACATTGTGTATCGTTTCCGGGGTGTAAGGATCGTTGAATTCTGCGTCTACATCGCTGCCATGTTGCTTGTCGAGATAGTCGTGGGCGATCTTACACTCCTCGGGAGTGGGTCTTGTATGCTTGGGGAACGGAGAATCCTTTGAGTCCGTTTTCCATCGCTCGAATTTCTGGCTTCGCGTCGCTTCTTTATCTTTGCTTTCGCCGCTCGCTTTCTCGGATTTCTGTTTTCGTTGCTTGACAGTCGACCGAGCTTTGGAAGTTTGCGTTGCCTGTGTGACGTGCCTGCTGGATCTACGGACTACCATTCTGCTGGCAGGACTGAGTCACATGCTGAGAGGAAGAATACTTGTTCGAAGGCATGGCGAGTGGATATAGTGCTTCGTTTGACAGCGTCGCAAGTATGGAAGCGGTAATATGCAAATATGCAAAGCCCGGCCAAAGCCACAGTGATGTCAATGATCCGGAAGAATCGTGATAATTTCGAAACTGCGAAGAGCGTCCGTGGAACAATAAGGTCTCACTAGTCTGGGGGACCTACGCCATAGCTGAGTCTGAAAGCTCCGCTTACTCATCGGAGCTGCCAAGGTTCTTCGAGGCATAAGTGTATTCCTTGCTGGCCTTTTATTCAACAAAGTCCTCGGTCGCCCGTTGGACATTGCTGAACCGTCGTTGCTTCAAGTATCTCTGCACAGCCCACGATCATTGTACCATACCAGATCTGAAGCTCCTGTCTAGGACGGGGCAGGCCCAGTGGAAGTCGATAAGCAGCGCCAGAGAACTTCCTGGAGACAGCAAACGGCCGACGCAGAAATGCAGCACTTATCGACCGCTCTTTCGACCATACGATCGACATCGACGACGTCGGCACATCTACTCCTACCTTGACCGATATGCTGGTCCCGTCCGATTGTTCTCGTCCGTGTCTGAACACCGCCTGACTTCGACCACGTGTGGCCTCCCTCTAGTTTTCTTTCTTACGCAAGAGGATTCCAGACGAAGACGCATAATATCCGCAAGTAAAATGCCGGGTCGAAGGTGACCAAATTGCCTGCCTCGGACTGTCCTAGGCTGCCGTTGGAGAATACCGAGTACTTCGACTGCTTGGCCTGACCGATTATTCGCAGGCTCTATGTGCATTCAAGATGCTTGGTCGTACATGCGAATAAGGCGAGCTTGCACGAGGAGGAATTGTATTCGAGGTGCATGGCATGCTACCTGTCCCTTCGTCGGACGGGATGTGTCCAGTCGGAAAGGCGGTGCCCCAATGTCAACATGGAAAGATCGAGTGCCCCATTTGAGTAGGCCACTGAACACAGCAACGGTGAGTAAGACCGTCGCAGTATGGGCGTCGATCTATCTCAGAGATGGGGGAAGATTGAAGGGATATGTTCATGGCTGTTATGGGGGTTTTTGCAAATGTTGCTCTGATCTCAGCTGACTAACGATTGTGAACAGCATAATCGTGCGTTATCTCGAGGACCTCGTTCACGCCCATGTCCGCATTCGCTGTTTCCCTGCGCCAGCAGCTCCGGCAAGGCGATGTTGGAAGCGTGCAATGAAGAGAAGTAACAAGAGTCGGAATCACACCTGCTGAGCTCGAGAGACTAGTCTTGAGTCGCTAGATGCTCGTCTCACCACAAACCTTCTAGTGCTTTGTATTAGTTTGCAGGTGTGCCACAAAGCCGTAGACTTACCTTCAGGCGACGCTGTGCCGAGCAAGCAGCAACAACACGTTCAATTTGAGTTCCGATCGCCTCTTCGCACATGTACTTTCCATGGGATGCGCCTTCCCCCACGCGGATCGCGCTGTTTGATCCCAAATGTCTGGTAGAACTTGTCCAACAGCTCCGGCAAACGAGTGTTCGGTCTTCTGATCGTCTGAGCAATGATACTAGATCTTCTGCTTCGAATAGAATCCGATACCGATCGTTTGTTCTTCTTGTGGCCTCTGAGCATGGTTGTGGCGTTGAATCAGGCTGACAGCGTGGCGATGGCCAGGTTTTGTTGCTGTTTCCATCGACCTTCCATCCTTCCTGCTTATACCTTACCTTGAACTCGCCCAGGTTACGCTCAGCCCTTCATCGCAGAGCTGCGGCATCACTGCGCGCTGTTTCGTGCAGAGGCTCCAGAAGCATGCTGCGAAGACGATGCCCTGGGATGTCCGCGGGTCAAGGCGAAAAGCGGAATTGGCAGACGCCGAAAAAGAGCACTCCGATCCAGGAATCAGCCTGTTTTGCGGGAGCGTCGCACAGCACGAGCACAAATACCACCCTCACGGGCGTCTTACCGGGATGGCCAGCCGCCGACATCTGCCGGCGATGGAGTGTATGAGCCAGCACGATGAAGCATGAAGGATGTGTTCCTGATCAGCGCAGAAGAGAAAAGTTCGCGCCCGCACATCATTTCCCATTCTCCCCCCACCAAAAGTCGCGCACGCCATTGCATTGTCTCTGCACTACCTGTGTCATACGCTGCTAGGGCCGGACCTCGGACGCTTATTACTCACTTGCACAAACCCACTACTCTCTCCTGCGCACATGCAAGAACACAGTCTCTTTACTGAGTACGTTGTCACTTTGCACTAATTCCTCCAAACACACACAATGGATTTCCCACTCATTCGGCGAAGAAACTCCCCGCCCATCGATGCGACCAACTTCATAAACGGCATGTTGGGCGACCGAAGACCGCACGTGCAAGAGAAGAGCATACCCGGGGGCGGCAACTGGGTGGTGCAAAAGTTCGGCGGCACGTCTGTGGGAAAATTTCCTGTCAAGATTGCAGAGGATATTGTGCAGTAAGTGCTATGAGTCAGTGAGGCAGAGGGTTGCACAGAGGAGGATATGGAGAACGATATACTGAATACAATAGGGCGAACCTCGAACCAGGCAAGCGCATAGCAGTCGTCTGCTCCGCCCGCAGCTCCACGACCAAAGATCAGGGAACCACGAATCGCCTCGTCCGCGCCGCCATCGATGTGCTTGAGCCGAACTCGGGCAAATTTCGAGATATCGTTGAGACGATCCGCCTCGATCACCTGCAGGCCGGGAAAGATGCGTGCAGTGTATGGGGAGCAAGCAGCAGTATACTGGATCAGTACACCCAGGCGGTGAACGCAGAATGCAGGAATCTGCTAAAGATCTTGGAAAGTGCCATGTTCTTGAAGGCAGTCACAGACCAGACTGAGGACATGGTAATATCGGTGGGTGAGAAGCTGAGCTGTCTGTACATGGCCGCGTTGTTGCAGAGCCGGGGAACAAACGCTCAGTACTTGGACTTGAGCGAAGTGATTCATTTCCACACTGGGAAGAGTTTGGATGAGAACTTCTACTTGAACCTGGGCATAGCGATTGCGGATAGAGTGTTGGCATTGGATGCAGATGCTGTTCCAATCATCACGGGATACTTTGGGCCAGTCCCAGGCGGTCTGCTCAAGGAAGTCGGCAGAGGATACACAGACCTCTGCGCAGCTCTCACAGCAGTCGGTCTCGGAGCTCAAGAGCTCCAGATCTGGAAGGAAGTCGATGGCATCTTCACGGCCGACCCACGCAAAGTGCCCACAGCCCGCCTTCTCGATTCTGTGACTCCCTCGGAAGCCGCAGAATTGACCTTCTACGGCTCCGAAGTCATCCACCCCTTCACCATGGACCAAGTGATCAAAGCGAGCATTCCCATCCGCATCAAAAACGTCATGAACCCCCGCAACAAAGGCACAGTCGTCATCCCCGATCTCGAAGACTCGCTCGCCGTCCGCCGACCAGGTCTCTTCCGCGGTCGCTCATCCTCCAACCTCACCGAACATGAACGTCCCAAGCGTCCCACAGCGGTAACCACAAAACGCGGCATTACAGTCTTGAACGTACACTCCAAGAAGCGTACGCGAGCCCACGGCTTCCTCATGTCCATCTTCCAAGCCCTCGACAAACACGGCCTTTCCGTCGATCTCATCTCCTCTTCCGAAGTCCACGTCTCCATGGCCCTCCACAGCGAAATCTCCTTACTCTCCGGCTCGGGCGAAGAAGAACTCAAAATCGAAAATGCAGCTCTCCAAGGCGCTGTCGATGAGCTTTCCTTCTGGGGTGACGTCGATTTGGTGCCCGGTATGGCCATCATTTCCTTGGTCGGGAGACAGCTGCGAAGCATGGTCGGCATTTCTGGGAGATTCTTTTCGACTTTGGGGGAGCACGGAATCAATATTGAGATGATCTCGCAGGGTGCTAGCGAGATCAATATTTCGTGTGTCATTGAGGAGGCCAATGCTGATCGAGCTTTGAATGTGGTGCATACGAATCTTTTTACGTTTTTGGATTGAGAAAATGATGACGGATTCATGATGAGTGGGAAGGTTACAAGCATGCATTAGCGAGTGGTGTTTGCTGGGTTTTCTTCTCGGATTGCAAAATGGAACTGGTGTTATTCTTCTTGCGGAGGAGAGGAGGAGCTGAGGAGGGAGGGTGAGATACAGATGAGACTACATGAGGCTGGGTAGCTGGCTATCAATACACTGAGCTATCTGAAAGAACTTCTTCAAATTGTGAATCTGCGAGCTCCATTTCCTTTCTCGAACGTGTGGCAGAAAAGCTGGTATCATTGCGAGCAACTTGAATCAGCAAATGAGAAAATTATCATCGCCGTTCAGTAGGCGAAAGCAAATGTGAACAGATATGATTGTTCTTCAGCGAGTCATGAGTGTGCGTGACATGAATGGTGGAGGCATAGGAAACGAGCCAATGTCTGCTTGAGCGCGCGGCACACCTTTCTTCGCAGGATGCATCTCGAGGCCGTCGTAGTCCGCCGCAGTCCATTCTTGGAAGCTGCCGTCGTCAAATTCGTCGTGGCCGTCGTTGTACTCAAAGCCAGGAGGGTATGGTACCGAGTCGTCTACCGGTTCTTCCCGATGGGTGTGGGCGGGTGAGGAGGAGGCCGGAACGAGTGGACTGGCATTGAGCTGTTCGATGGGTCTGAAACGGGCGAGCTGCGAAGCTTGCTGACTGGGGTTGGAGTGCTGCTGATGCGCAAGCGTAGTTGTAGAAGTGAGTGGAGGAAAGTGCTTAGAGCGCACTTCTTCTCTTTGCTTGGCAGCAGCTCGCTCGACGTGTATAGTGGTGTCGATCTCCTGGACCAGATCTTCATCGTTGTACTTCTTGGGCTGCCAGTCAGCTATGGCTCGCTTGTAAGCAGCATCCATTTCGGCGCGATAGTGTCGATGGGTAAACCACTCGTGGGCAAGAGCTTCCTTGGCGGTGAGCCTGTGCTCCTCGTCCCAATTGAGGCAACCTTTGATGAAGTCTTTGGCTCGACGACCGAGGTGCGCCCAGTCCTCGCCGAACTCGAAGGTGTACATGCGATCTTCATACTCTTCCTTGGTCAGGTCCGAGATGGTATCGTGGCCATCATTTGGGAAGAGCACATCGGTTCCGAGCATTGCACAAGCGACGCAGCCAACTGACCAGATATCGACGGCTTTCGAGTAATCGCCGCGATCTTTCAAGGCTTGTCTGCGAAGGCGCACGATTTCTCTGGTAAGAGTCAGCGTGTTCATAATATGACTTTGTGAAATGTAGACTCACGGCGCGCAGTAGCCTATAGTGCCAACAAGTGTTTGCATGCGGAACATGCGGGCCTGCTTGCCTGCGTTCTGGTCATCGACAATAGGCCTTGCTTGGCCAAAGTCCGTGAGCACGATTCTTCCACCATCCTTCCAGCATGTCATCAAGATGTTCTCTGGCTTGATATCCCGATGCACGATCCCGTTTGCATGAAGATACTTCACCGCCTCCAGCAATTGTCGGAGAATGATTGCAGCCTGCACCTCGGAAAGCCTGCCCGTCCTCTGAACATTCGACATCAGGTCTCCACCAGTGATCAAATCCTGAAAGATGTAGACGTTGTATGGAGTTGAAAATACGGCTTCGAGTGTCATGATGTTTGGATGCGAAAGTGCTTTGAGAATGTTAAATTCTCGAGCAACGGACTCATTGGTCCCCTTACATGTTCGTCGCAGCTCATGGTCCTCATCGAGATTGTCTGGCTGCTTGACAATTTTACAAGCGACTTGCTTGCCAGTCCTCTCATCATTGGCAACGTAGACTGCGGCGTATCCGCCAAAGCCCAAAACGCGTGTCGTCAGACGATATCGGTGAGCGAAGATGGGAATTTCTGCACACTGGCTTGAGTCAAGCTGCGGGGGATCGGATCTACGGCCATCGTCCGGGAGCTCAAAATCGAACCAGATGTTGCTGGTCAGCTGTATGGAATCGCCTCCATTGAGAAGGAATGCTCCATGTTCTCTGGACACGGGAATGCCGCCATCGTCATCGTCCAAGCCATTGCGGCGGAAGATGACGGCATTGTTTGACAGGACGCGTGCCCAGACCATCGGAGCCACCTTTTCATCATCATCCTCATACTTGACACAGTGAATTTTCAAGTGATGCTTTGATATGCAACGGTCTTCGACGCCTAGAGCTCGCTGTACCAATTCACGCCCGACGTGGAATAGTTCGTTGGCGAAGATAGGACAGCTGCCTGTGCAGGTCTAGTAAGAAATCAGATGCAGAAGGGAAACATGTACTCACTGCCCACACCGGGCTGACCTGAGTCTCGAAACAGCAAATGGCCGATCTCTGGCCGACAGTCTTCAAGCTCTGCCATGTTGAATGGCAGTGCCGCAATACTTTGTACTTGATCAGCTTCCGCCAGTGGATGCCTTGAAGCCTTGCTGACACGTGGGGAGGCGAAAGTGCTGGAACAATGTAGGATGTATGTGTAGCGAGGATCCGGGGCTGAAATGAGGGTGAGTGATCAGGAAATGTTGTCGTAGACTTTATGGGACATGTTGGGCACCAGAACACGTCCACGCGAACGCGGACGCATACTGCTGCCTTGATCGCGTCTGTGGAGTGTTGGAAGGAAGGAGAGATCACTGCGACTTCTGTCTGCTGACGTCGTTTCCAGTCTAGCGCAGTCTTGGCGGGGCACGCCCGCACAAGTTCAATTCTCGGAGCGTTGGCAGCTGTTTCTTCTCCTCACCAGCGAACTCATCAAAGCAACACCGGTAAGCTCTACCAACACGCCGATTGCACTGTCGCACAGCACGTACTGACGTTCACACAGCCAAGATGAGAGCGAAGTGGAGAAAGAAGCGAGTTCGACGCCTGAAGCGCAAGAGAAGAAAGACGAGAGCCAGATCGTAAGTCACTTTCCCAGCCATTGGCACTTGGTGCATCTTCAGCGTCACAATATACTGACTCCCACAACAGCAAATAAGCGCCTCGCATCACATCCAACGACAATCCATCCATCTGCCGCGATTCTGGTCACGCGCGCCCATCAAACACCAATGAAAGCAAGGTCTCTGAAGGAAGGATACGGCATACCTGACAGCACCTTGATCTGAATGGCGCACGCAAGTCAAGCACCACACTGAGTTGCAGGCGGGGGAAGGAGGACTTTCTCGCGTTGGAATGAATGAGACGATGATGGTGTTTATTTGACATGACACTGAGGGCCACGCCGTTTTACTCTCTAACACCGGCGAGACCTACGAAGTTCAAGACTTTCTCAAGTGGAGGATGGAGACGGGTCACGCCTTTGAGAGGATTTTTTGGAAGGCTCTGTTTTAGTGGTAGCTACCTGAATGGAAGCTGTGATCCGCTGCTTGTCGTGTCTTCAGTGCTGCTTCCATTTGTGCGCCTTCGCCCGTCAGAGCCGCTTGACTGACCCATCATTATCGCCAGGTAGGGCATCAGTGCTGTTGTCGCTACCAGGTGCCATCGCACACTGCTCGGCTGTCTTCTCACGACCAGCACTGGCTGGTCGCTCTGCCCAGACAATGCCAAGTTACCAAGACCGATCTCACTCCGACTTCACTTCACTTCCTGGCGGACAAATCGCTGGAGAGAAACATATCATCGACCGTTGCAGAACCAGCAGCTTTCAGGGCGCTCGTAGTTCTCAGTCTGGAAGCTCCTCTCAAGTTCTAGGCGTCGTCAGCATCACACATTGCACATCCAGGTTACGCGAAGCTTCCTTGGAGCCAGAAGAGCATTATGACAGTATCACTATTTCCCAAGACCCTCAAACAGCAGAAATTGGAACCGGACTCTCCCCATTACATCGCAAGTCCTCGACTGTGCCAAACGAATTGAACACACCACACTACATTACACGCTCCTCTTTCTCCATCGTCAAGCACCTCAAACGCGTCTCCATACCCTGCCTCTCGCGTTTCCTGTCCCGAATGGAACCCACCGCACGACTGCGATGTGCCGGGTTTGCTGTCGCGAGTTCTGTCAGCAATGTTGCTTGGGTGCAAACGAACATTTCCGAAAGCATCAGGCTTACGATGGTCCAGGACCATCGGGAATACATTGCGGGTACGTGGTGCAGGCTTCCGGACGAGGAGCCGGGAATGTATCGACTGCGCTGAGAAAACCCAAGAGAGCGACGAGTGTGGTACTGAGATCGAACTGCATTTCGCTGACGATATCCGGGATTCTGTGAGGAGTGACTGTTTGGTGAAAGACTCTCTGGTCTGGAAACTTTTGGCTTGTCGAAGTCGATTGAAGCGAGTGTAAGAAGGTATGTACGGGAAAAATGTGCATAGCGAAGTGCTCATATACTGGTGATCCAGGCGCAATACAGAAACGTATCTACTCTAGACATACTCAAGCCAAATTAACTGTCTCGCGAAACCACACGTCCATCCCTACGAGGCAAGTTTAATAATCTTACACCATCCATAACTTAATGTTTCCACAACTAGTCCCGTACAGTATTGCGGTACCTGCCTCAGCACCTGGATCGACAACGGGGGCGACTACGCAGGTGGAATTAAGCCTCCACTGCAGCTGGTCGTTCTTCTTCAGGAGGCTCCGAACAGACTTGCATGATGACAATGCAGACTTGGCCCATCGCAAGCCCTGGCAGGATCGGATGCTCTGGAAGCGATAGCGCGTCAGCCAACAACGCGTCTGATACAAGATCTCGGACTTTGCGGAAGGCCTTGAAAACCCGACTGTCTAAGCCAAAACCAGCACAACTTCAGTTTAGGAAAATTAGTCCGCGTGGAACAGCAGCTTGATTCTATCAATCACGGTCCACCGTCAACAACAAGACCGCACGCTAGTTGGAGTTTTCACAGATTGCGAAACTGTCGGCACGCCGCAACGATGGTTTCACACAAAACATTCGGATTTTTTCGAACTGAGCAACGGAGGCTATCACGGCTCTGGTGGATTGCGATACCAATCTTTCCGCTAAGTCAATGGTATTTGTTGTCTGTCGCAGTTCCTCTTTGCCAATCAGTTTGGTCCCCAGTCACAGTCCTCTATCACTGATGGCCATGCAACACTCCAGCGAAGGGTCTCAAGCCACCCCTCGTGATGACATCGATAGTTGCCCATCGTCTTTATCCAAGTTTGCACCCGCAACCTGTCACGGGTTCGCTAATCGGCAGAATCGTCAGTAAACTGAGCCTCATGCTCTTCAATGCCATTGCTCGCTGTGAGGATAAGCGGACTTACCAGACTTGGTGAATATTGTAAACAGCAGCCTGTAAGCAGTCCTTCCAAATCTTACATTCAGTCGCACAGTCGGGTGCAGCTGCGACTGCGCCCATCAGACCAAGTAGAGCGATGGCGGTCGATGCAAGATTCATTTGCATGGTCGCAGAGTTCAGTGTCGGAGAGACGTGAGTGGGCAAATGCTTGAGTGATTGTGTAGGAATCGATGAATGTAACAGTCGAATTTGTAGGACTCAGAATCGCTAACCAAGAGGAGAAGGCAGTTTATATATATCCTTCAAGTGAACCGCCATGATACGCACCGTCGTCTTCGTTCCATACCGAAGGAGTATGGTCGCAACTCCATGAGACGACTAAAAGTTTAACCGCTTTTTCCATACGAGTATCAAACAGACTAGCCTATGACGGGGCCGGATGCGGATAGCAGTGTGAATGGCAAGTCCATCTTTTGCTCCGTGGGTGCGGGAGCAGCTGGAGGTGACATTGTTGTCGCTGAGTTCCAGGTGCCTAGCTGTGATTATGCACTACTTGGAGGCTATGTGCGTTGGGCTGACTTGCGAAAGACCTCAGTCTCATCGTTCCTGACCGACTCTCCATCGACAGATTCTTACTCCATTGCACGTCATGTTGTACCCTTTCCGCTCCAGCAGCACGAGTGGTTCCAACATCCCTCCAACTCTTCAACATCACTGTGCTGGAAAACATGGAGATTCACTTTCGAAAGGCTACGGTCATCCAATGAGTCCCAGCGTGTGTTGGAAAGTCTTTCTCATTCTTTTTGTTGCCCATTTTCTGTTGCTTCGTTTCAATCATCTCCATTGATCTCATCAACTTCGTGCAATCATCCTATCATGCCTGCATTTCAATGACCCAATCTGTATGACTTCTAAGCAGCCAAATTGTACCAAATGCCCTCTCTTGCACGAAAGTTATACAAGAACGCATCTCGCGTCCCATCAGTCCGGTACCCCAACAATTTCGCGTGGATCTCTCCAACATATTTGCGCTCGTTGGCTTGGGCACTACAAACGAACACAATGTCAGCCTCAAACTTGCTGGCTCTAATTGACGGAGGGTATGCTTACCTTTGAATTGCGTGACGCCAGCTTTCTGGATCACTCAATCTAGTCTTTTCGACAAGGTCAAGAATGCTTCCTCGAGCTTCGATAGCGAGGATCTGGGAAGCTTTCTTGTCTTCTAGAGACATTTCCAATGCGCGTTGAGCTCCTTGGATGATCTCGTATTGGTTTGCTTTGCGGCCGCCGTGGTCGACACGGAGAACATCGACGTTGTTGTCCTGGAATACTGTTAGCTGTTTCATCGACCGTGCGCATAAATACATGGTAAGTAGCGCGGGAGTCCAGTGCCGGCATTACTCACCTTCCGCTCCTCTGTCTCATGCTGGCTTGAATGACTCCTCAAAAGAGGGATTCGTGCTTTGGTAGTCGCTCGATCGCGCAGCTCTTGCAGGATGTGGCCGGGCAAGGAAGAGATTGGGACTTCGACTTCCGCCTCCTCTGGAGTATCGGTCTTCGCAACCCGAACAGTAGTCGAAGTTTCGTGCCGCAGATATGCGATGAACACGTAGTCTTGAGAGTCAACCGATTTGTGGGCTCGAGAAAGCTCAGCCTTCACGTCATTTTCCCAAAGTGCCTTGAGAATCCCTATTGCTCGACCGCGTACGTTCTCGGTGCCATTAGTCACAACGACAACATCGCAGCGCTTCGGTAGTTGCTGCAATTGCCTAGGGTCCTTCAAGAATGTCGACTTGGATCCAGCTCCACTTTGAGCGAGAAGGTTCACGATGGGCTCGATGCCGATTTGGATGCCGACAGCACCTTGCTTGATGTTGGCCTGAGTCGAATATTGCGATCTGATCAAGCTGTCATAGCGTCCACCAGCAGCCAAGACTCGTTTGCCTTTCTTCTCCGCCACAGCAGCAGTGAAGATGAAGCCTGTGGCATAGAAGTCGGCCTTGTGGCAAGAGCGGGGAGTGATGAGTACTTTGCGGGTGACGCCGAATTGCTCGGTAAAATAAACAATGCGACGCAGCTCCTCGATAGCAGTATCACACTTGGTTCTGATACGTTGGTCGGCCGTCTTCATGAGCGTCGTCAATTTGTCGAAAGCTTTGCGTGGAGGCAGAGACCAGTCATAATCTTGCAATTCATCCAATGTCGTATCCATAAGGCCCATGTTACGAAGCTCAGTTCGGACCTTGGGCCAAGGTACTGTAAACTTGTCAGAGAGCACATCAGATTTTCAGACTTTGTCATGTACTTACTATTCTGGCTGTTCGTGTATCCAACGTTGCCAAGCATCTCTTTCACTTTTCGTTGATACTTGGACGGAACTCGACAAGCATCAAGGATTGCATCAATCAACAGGCCGTGACTGAGGTGATAGGCAGCTTGCGGCGCGACGAACTGCGGAAGCTCTGTAAGTGCTTCATCGACCACTTTCAGCGCTTCGGCATCGTTCATTGCGGTATCATCTTCTTCGTCATTCGCAATGTCGAAGTCAGCTTCTACGCTCACTCGTGGCGGTCCACCAGAATCGCGATAGGCACCACTGAATGTGAAGGTGCATCGCGTCGTCGCTGGTTGCCGCGCAAGCTGTCGCGCATACGGCATGATCAGATCGTGTGGAAGCTGCAACAAATTGCCAGAGGCATCGAGAACTTGCAGCACGGTTGGAGTGAAGTAGTGAGTTCCCACAGCGGATGGGAAGATGAAGTCACGCCGGGTTTCCTCCGCGCCATGTCTGTGGAAGATAGCTTCGAGCTTCTCACGCACAATGTTTCTGAGCCGTACATGCAGCGGCTTCTCGATGGCTGCAGATGCCTTCGTGTCCCAGGCGATAGCTTTGGCCTGCTGAGCGCCGCTTATGTCGTGAGAGAACAGATGGGACATCATCTGGCGATAGTAATCCGAAGTAGGATCTGCAAGTCCAGCGAGTGCCTTTCGTGTTGCCTCGTCCTCTATCTTGTATGGGAGCTCCTGGAGAAATTCTTCGCTGTTCGGGCGATCCTTGGGTTTATGAGAGACTAGCCGACCGATCAATCGTCCCTGGTTTGCCTTGTCGCCATCTGGCTGGAAAGCCGGAGGCAGAATGTGATCCTTCTTTCTCAAGCTGAGCAGTTGTTCGACTCTCTCCATGCCCGTGCTGAAATGCTGACACATTTCGAAGAACATGATGCCCAGTGAGTACATATCAACCTTGTTAGTATGCTGGACACTACTGCCAGTGCGCAACTCTGGAGCGACGTAGAGTGCTGTGCCAATACTGTTCGTTATGCCGCCATTCGTTTCTTTTGAACCTGTTCCATTATGCGCGTCTGACGTCGCGTACGTTGTGATTGTGGCCAGCCCGAAATCTCCAAGCTTGGGATTGCCGCCAGCGTCAATGAAAATGTTCTGTGGCTTCAGATCGCGATGAATGATTCCCGTTTTATGAATCGCCTTCAGGGCGTCCGTGATTTGCCGTATGAGTCTCCAGCAGTCTTCTTCACTGATGCCCTTGCGGATCAAATCGGCAAGAGTACGGGTGTCGCACAGCTCCATCTGAATATAAAGGATCTTGCTTGATCTATGCGAATCCGACCTTGACTTTCTGGGCCGAAGTTTTGACGACCCATTACTGGTTGAGATGGTGGAAGTGCCGTTGCCGTCGAAAACGTCCTCTTCCTCATCATCCTCTTCGAAGACTATTCCGTCATCATCGTTGTCGTTGTCGTCTTCGAATTCGTCCTCAAATTCGAAGCCTGTATGGCTGTTGCTGACAAAATCCAGGCCACCCGTGCTTGGGTACCCAAAATCGACATCGTCATCTTCTGAGGATGAGTCTCCGCTGAATATGGCAGTTTCCTACTTGACAGTCAGTCATGGCTCTGCAATCTCAACGAATAACACATGCATGTCCCGCCATCGAGAGCGACACTAGAGGCAGGATGCACAGTGCTCAGATCCTGCTCTCAAGCTGCGCGCAGATGGCGCAAGCATGGAGGCATCGTGACCAGCTGCACAGCTGTAGTCGCGGGGACCATTGGCGCAGCGCAAATCCTAGCGCGGCGGCTATGCAAGGGCGAGGGTGCTGACTTACCTGAGATGACCCTGAAACATCCTCTTCCATCCAGACATTGTAGTATCGCACTACGTATGGGTGGTTGACGCGGCTCAGGAGGACCACTTCTCCCAAAGCTTGGTCCAAATTCGATGCGCCCTGCTTGATCTTCTTGACCGCATAGTAGTTTCGATCCAGTTTGTTATAAGCTTCAACAACTTCCCCGAAACCACCTTTGCCCAATCGGCGCTTCTCAGTGAAGGTCTGTAGGTATCGTGAATCAGCAAGTGGCTCGGAATGGTTGGTCGAATTGTGCCGTGAGCGACGGTGCGGGCTGGCAAGGCCTGAGCTAGACTGTCTTGCATGATGTCGCGGCTGTGCTGTCCCAGGCTGAGTGATTGGTGCGTCAGTACGCAGCACCTCCGCGGATAGCAGCTCAAAGCATGTAGGCGTTTTCTTGGCAGAAAATATTTTGTTCAAGAAGACGCCCAGCAGATGGGAAAGCCCGCCCTCAGCGATCAGAGTATGGGGCGAGTCATAAGTGTCTGTGGTTGTCAGACCCAGGAACATCTGAATTGCGACCACGCCGAATTGCCAAATGTCGGCTGCATTGCTGTCCTGCAGATCAGACGGAACACGCCATTCTCTGGGCACGCTCTCATCCTTGAGACCAAGCACATTGGCATAGCCGAATCCTGAAAGCTTGGGCGACAAAGTCGGAGTGCTGGTGATATAAACGCTGCGAGCGCTCAGATACCCGTGAGTCATACTGTTCTGATGCAGATATTGAAGGCCTTCCAGCAGGTCTCTCGTAAACTGCTGCGCCTTGTTCTGATGCAGGTCGCTCATCGATAGCCAGTCATGTAAAGGGCCTGCGCAGTGTCAGCAAAGATGGAATATACACACCAATGGAAGCCACATACCTCGATCTGCATATTCGCGGCACAGCAACAGCTCGAAAGTCGACTCATTCTGGCTGTTGATGCGATATGTTAGCACATTCAGGAGATTCGGATGCTCGAGCTTCGCGACTTTGGCAAGAAGTGCTTCTAATTCTATCACGGCAGCTTTGGGCTTCTTAACAATCCTGCGCTTGACGGCAACGACTGGCACATCCGAGCCGACCGTGGCAAGTGGTCGACCCAAAAAGACACTCTCGACCGCTTTGCTGTTAGTGAGCGCGCCAGACAGTGCAACGTCTGAGAAGTTCACTACATCGCGTCTCATCCGAAGTTGGGCGGTCTGGCCAAAGGAGACGATCTCAGGCATGGGAGCTGGCTGGTCAGGAGGCTGGCCGAGCGACATGCGCGATCTTCTTCTGTTCTCCTGCCGCAGTTCCTCTTTCACTTTGCGCTCGAGTTCTCGATTCTTTTGGGCCTCTGCTTCCAGTTGACGTTGTGCTTCGGCTTCAGCTGCTTGCTTTGCCAGCTGGTTTGTTAGTTCCTGTGCGTTGGCCCTCTCTTCGTCCAGACTGGGCACTGTGTTCTGCTGGCGTGCGACTGCAGCATCGCGTAGGGCCTCAATTATGTCCTCAGCAATGTGATGGATCATGGCCTCTCCGAGCAACTGCAAGGGCCGAGTTCGCAAAATGTTCTGAATTCGGCTCACTGTCCTCTCGTGAAGGCGGTTGGACTCGACCAGCTCCAGCCCGGGCGGTGAGCGGGGATATGTTGCAGAAAAGCGAACAAGTAGCACGACCCATAGCTCAGTATCCTCGGAACATCTGATAGTCAGCCTGAAGCTGCGATCGGTGGTTTTCTGCCAGGCGCCTTGCGCAGCAACCTCTTGGAAGTCATCCCAAAAGATGGCTTGCAGAGCTTGGAGTTCGTCATTCTGAATTTCTTGGTAGTCGAGCGGCGCATTTTCAGCAATCGGTGATGTGCTGCTCAACAGATGCGCGGAAGCGGTCGTCTTCTTCATGGATTTCGGTGCCATACTGCTTTCGCAGCTTGAGTCGACATGAGATCTACAGCCAGAAGGTGGCTGTAGAGTCGCTTACGCGCTGGTGGGAGTCATTGCTGTTGCCTAGGTGAGGTTTGAGAAGACTGCGAGAAGTTCACTTTTCATGCGGGGGCCGTTGACAGCGAAGTGAAGGTGTTGTCGCACTCACCGCAACTAGAGTTTCGGGCTTGCATCCGCTGCCGCAGAGATGCCTGAGGCGCGAGGCGGAAGGAAGATGGAAGAAGCGACTTGAGACAAACGAAGAGGTTGGGAGCAGGGTGAGAGAAGAAAGCCACACACGTTCGCGCCGACCTACTGGTGTTATCTGCTCGTACCGGAGATGGAGGTAGCGATGGTTCGTACTTGCGCAGCCGATGCGACCGGTCCTGAGTGACTCAGTGCTCGTTGCCATGGCCCATTTCTCGGCCGTCGCGGGGGACAGGACGGTGATGGCGGAGCGTTGTCGACAGGTGCTGTGTCGTGCCTGATACCGTTCTCCTCCCCTTGATCGAATGCATGGTTGGGATCTGGAAGTGCGCGAAGGAGAAGAGTGGTAGGAGTCGTTGCGGACACACAGACGCGTCTCTCGTTCCACGGCGTGCAGTTTCCCCGGCGCGGGACTGTTTACTTCCTCACGTCAACAAGCTTTCCACCATCCTGCCACCCACCTGCGTCAAGCGAGACTCCCCACCACCCGCACGACATTGATGATCCCTCATCCCCGCCATGCTGTAGACCGTCGCTGCGAACCACTGCGCATCCGCAACCATGCTGCACTGGCTCGCTGGCCAAAAGGCCCATGACAACACCGCAGACCCGGACACCACCGGCTCCCTCGATCCGCCAGAAACCCCAGCTCCAGTCTTCGCCGTACGCGCCTTCAAACATGCCATCTTCGGCACGCCCGCGACAGAGAAGCCCAAAGCCCCGCGAAGACACTCCAACACCGACAATGCGCGATCTGGTCAAGCCTCGCGCCCACGAATGGTGCGGCCCCGCAGCACGAACGATGCGACCACTTTAGCCAGACCCGACGAAGCGATCGCCTCAGAGCCACTTCCTTCCCCTACTAAGGGAATCTTGATGACTCCGGGCACTGCAGGTGGCAAGCGCAAGACAGTGACCTTCCCAGACCACATCATCGACAACGAGTACAAGCGACCCACGAAGACGGGTTTACCAGAAGACTGTCCTGGGAAGTTCCCGAGTCCGTGGACGAAGGGGTCTGCCGACGCAGAGCACATAGAGGACTCTACGCAGAGGTCGGGAGGAAGGTCAAAACTCACCGAAGCATTGGAGCAAGCGCGAGAGGATGGTTCGAGACGCAAAGTGCGCCTGGGCAGAGCAGAGAAACCGCAGGAAGATTTGACCGCAGACCTGGCTGAACCCGTGTCTGACTCGGGAAGGTATTGGAAGAGAGAACACGACATCTATCGTGAGAAGAGCACGGCCGAGGTTAAGAAGCTTGTTGCCAAACAGAAACTCGCGAAGAGCTATGCGAAGGACAAGGACGATGAGTGCCTCGACCTGCGAGACGAGCTTGAGCAGGAGAGACAAATGGTCGATAAGCTGCAGCGACGAACTGAAGATCTCGAAGCACGATTGAAGCAATACCAAGAACTCCTGAAGCAAAGCAAGGAAGCAGAGGCAAGCGCAAAGGACGAGCTTGATCGCATCAAGCGCGGCTTCAGCGCAACGGGTTACAGACGACCAGTGGAAAGCGCCCCAAACCTGGGTCTCACGAGCAGGACAGAAACAGAACGGAAGCCTTGGCAAAGCTCAAGGCCGAATGCAGCAAGCGTCGACACAACGACCAACGGCGATCGACCAGCATCTGACAAGCCGGATCCGATACCCTCAGAACAGCCGGACCCAAGGAGGCCCCGGCGGCGACCGCGTGATGCTCAAAACAAGCCCCAGGACGATATCTGGGCGCCTTCATCAACAGTAGACCGGCCGCAGCCAGAGCGGGGCAATCGCGCAGTAACAAGCGGCACAGGAGTCACTCCTCTTCAAGCCCTCAGCATCAATACTGTACCCAAGGATACCGTCTCGTTAGCCATGTCCATGGGCCTCAAACCTCCTACTTCGCCAATTCGACCAGAAAAGCGCCAAGACTCGCCTCTCCAACAAGATGATGGAACAGCGGCAGAAGCTCATCCACCACCGCCTCTTCCAAAAGACGATATCTCCATCGTCATTCCCTCAAGCCCCTTCGATCCTGACGCAACAATGACTAAGCAACAACCCCCTTCGCCAACGGTAGAAAGGTCTGTGCGGAAGGAGCTGCGTCGGACGACAGCTGCATTGGATACCAAGGAGAATGTCTCGCCAACTGGTAGACCTAAATCAAAGGATGGCCCGGGACTGAAAGAGAAGCCTTCAGCGGCTTGGAGCGCGATGAATGCGCCTGTCCTGACTTCGACGGTGATGACTTCTAATGCAGCCAATTTCGCTGCTAACGCGGCAGAAAAAGAGAAGGACAAGCGACAAAGAGCACTGGAGAAAGCGAGAGAGAGACTCGCGTCACGCGGAAGAATAGTTTCGTGATGAGTTAGATACCCACAGTCCTCAGCAGGACAGAATCGTTTGTCTGGAAGGACATTGCACATACGCGGTCGCTCTGTACATAAATTGTATTAATCAATCGCTTGACAATAGGCCGTCTACTTGACTTCGTCGCTCTGTACATCATCTAAACAAGAAGCCACAAAACTTTAGCAATCACTGTCGACAGTACTTCTCAAGCTAGTTGCAAAAACGCGCAAAACAAACAACCTCAACATCCTCGTTGCAATTCTCGCATCATCGACCTCATCTCTTCCCATTGCTCTTTTTGTATTGACTTTCCGTTCGCTTTTTTCAAGTACCGTGTATCCCATCCAACCATCTCCCCCAATCCCCAAAAGAGAACACAAAACTCAAATATACCTAAACCTCTTCGCAACAGTAACACACGTCACCGCAAGCAAAAACACAACCCCGACAATCCCGAACCACCAACCCAACCCCTTATCATCCTGTCCCGGAACGTGAACATTCATACCAAACAGACCCGCCACAAGATTCATCGGCACCAGAATCGTAGCCAAAACCGTGATTTTGCCCAGCAGTTCGTTAGCACGAGAGCCTTGCTCCGTATGCTGCAGAGTGATCTGCGTGAGATGGTTGGTATGGCTGCGACTGAGCATTTTTTCAAAGTGCCCGAGATTGGACATCATGGTGACAATGTGGTCTTGAACGTCGGAGAGGTAGAGTCCGACGTCGCCGCGAGGTGCAATCGCGTAGGCTTCGTTGCACTTTTTGGCGAAAGATTTGATGACGTCGGCTTTACCTCCCAAGAGCCGAGTGAGAGCCATGATGCGTTTGCGACATTCGCCGATGCCTTGGAGCATGGCGCGAGAGTCTTCGAAGCGGGCGGTGAAGACTGAGTCTTCGATTTTGTCGGTCTCGTGCTCGACTTCGCGAAGGACAGGGGCGAAAGAGTCGACTATTTCGTCTATCAGGGCGTAACAGATCCAGTCGGCGGAGAGGTTGACGTAATCGCGAAGGCGTCCGATACGCTTGCGAACCGTGGCGGCGTGGTTGTTGGGGCAGAATGAGAAGGTCAGGAGACCTTCGCGGAATACCACAGCATAGATGTTGATTGGCTCGAGATAGTCCTCGTGTTTTGGGTCGACCATGTAGCAGGACCTGAAGCACAGGAAGTAATACGTCTTAAAGAGCTCGACTTTCTCGCGCGTTTCCTGAGTGGTGATGTCCTCGCGAGTCAAAGGGTGGACGCGGAAGGCGCTGCAAATTGCGAAGATCTCCTCTTCTGATGGGTTGAGCATATCAAGCCACCATACACCACCCTCGGGCCCAAGCTCGAAAAGGTCGCGGAACGTCTCGCCGGGCATCAAGAGGCTGCCCAGCTCTGGTGCGTGGATAGTTTCGTCGATCTCAGAAGAGAAGAAGGTCCAGCGATTCATTGGGAGCTCGGTTACGCTTGCGGTCTGCTTGAGCCCGTCACCGGATTCGTCGCTCGAGGCACCGTTCTCTTTCTCATCGCCTGGGGCATTGCATGCGCCATTTGCAAATCGCTCAACGTCGACGAAGTAGTTTGTGGCTGGATTATTCTGACGTTGATCGTTGAAAACTCGAGGCGCTGCGGTGGCGCTGAATTGTGGCATGAAGGGGTGAGCGACGGGGGTCTTGGTGTGCGTCTGAGCTACAAATTCCTCGAGGTCCTCGAAGTCAATGGTGTAGGTATTTGGCGGCTCTTCTGGAGGAAAGCATACGTCCTCAATTGCAGAGCTACGGTGGGATGCCACGTCTGATTTGATGCGCACGGCGGCATCTTCCTCACCGAAAGTAGGTCGTCTTCTCGGATGGGTCGTATTAGAGGCAGTGCGGTGCAGAGACCCAGCGGTGGATGGTGCCTTGCTGTTTACGGTGCCAGCTCTGCCTCGTCGAACCGGTGGTGCGAATGCGTCCACGGAGTTTGGTGGCGAGGTCGAGTCATTTGAGGCATTGGACCGGACAGAATCAGCGTCTCCGTCATTATTTCCTGCACGTCTGAAGTTCGCGCGCCGAGCGGGAACTGGGCTGCCTGTGCCTCGTCGTTCATGATGCATACGCCTCTCACGATGCCATTCTTCGTCTGGAGAGCGAACGATAGTCGACTTGCGGGACCTATTGCTCTTCAAGCTCTTGTCATCGTCGGCGATGGCATTCTCAAAGTCTCGCGCGATTGTGCCGTGCGCTTCGACTGGTAGCTGCAGTCTTGGGATTTGTGGCCTCTCGCCATCCACAATGCTTGCCAGCGTCCCGCGCCGGGCCTGAAAGTAGCTCTCCGCAGCAGGCGCTGGAGGAAGGCTCTCTGGCTGGTTCCTGTGGTCATCCAAGTCCGGCTCGGGCGTGCTGTATCGCGTTTGCGACTTCTCGGATCGTGGGGTATGCATTTTGTCGCCTGTGTTCTGTATTCCCTGAACGAAACTTTTATCCTCTACTGCTGCAGCCGAAGTTATCGTCGAGTCCTTAGTGCTGTCCGTCCGCTGGACAGTCTCGAGTCCTTGATTTGAGCCAGGTTGTCGTCCTGGGCTCTCACACGCCTTGACCTAATTCCTACAATTTATCCCATCGGTTCTACTGTATGCGTTTTGTGCGATTGCAATTGATCGCAATCGGTGCTGGTCTCGGTCGGTCGAGTTATGGGGGTTGCTTGATGTCGCCTCCGACGAACCAGCTTGGCCCGAGCAGAGGTCGGATCTGAACGAACTGAACTGCCTGAGACCCCGCCAACTTGGTGGTATTCGTCGAGGAGTCGCTGTCGCGACCGGGAGTGGAGTCGTCCGGAGAGGCGAAAAATGCCTCACGTAGGTCAGCCAGAATTAGCCGACAGGAATGGACGGGAAGAGGGAGGTCGTCGGATAGTCAACAATGGCCCATCTGTATGACCTCGAAGTGACCAAATTTGTGTATCGAGAATGATCGTAGTGGTGGTGTGTACTGGTCCAGAATCTAACGAGCTGTTGTCGTTGGGGAAGAAGAGGAGGAAGGGAAGGGAACAAAGAAACGATGACAAGACTTTGCACCCACTAGCGTCGCGTGAAAGTCAAAAGTTGGGTGCACGTGCCGCTGCGTCTGGACATCCGTTCGGTTGGGCTGGACTCGATTCGGAAGTTGTAACAAACATCGTCACCCGATCCAAGGCACGAACTCCCCGGGACAGTGAACAGACATAGTTCTTGCTTCAACATAAGCTGCCCATGCACATCCAAAACACTTCCACGTGTCCAGGTACGATTTGTGTCGTTGTCGATTGATCGTTGCTGCATTTCCGCTGACGTTGGTCAAACACAAGCCTTTTGATCCCCTGACAAGTGCCCGTTCTCCCGCATCCGCAGTCGGCATTTGCAAGCCAAATCCGCCGACTTGCGGTGGAGTCTGGACACCTGTATTGGAGCTCCAAACGACAACTGCATACCGACTCGAAGCAGCACACGAACAAGGCAGTTGAAACCATGGAAGCCATACTCGAGCAAGCGCGTACCATCTACGAAGGCGAAATTGTTCGTCTCAATCCTCAAGCCCCAATCATGCCAACGAACTAATCGTCGATCAGGACTTCGAAGGGCAGCGCCTTGCAGACTATCTCACATATGGCTTCCTCTCGCTCGTTGGCGCAGTCGCATTTCTCGTCGGCTTCTTCACCCAGGACATCTACCAGACGCTCTACATCGGTCTCGGAGGGACGGCACTCGCGTTTGTCATGATCGTGCCTCCGTGGCCTTTCTTCAACAAGCATCAGTTACACTTCCTACCCTTGCGAACAGCGCAGACCTCTCTACAGGGGATACATATTGAGGTGGACGGCAAGAAGGTCAGCTAGTGGAGAACGTGGTGCAGCAGACTCGACCATGGTCATGCTGTGAGGAGGAAGAAGCAGGGAACATAGCTGTTGATACGTGGCCGGCGGTATGCAGTTTCAATGGCGCTGAAGGAATCACCGCACACCGCTTGCGAGCACTATACGAGTGCACTGGATGAAGATACGGCAGAGCGATCTGCAAAGCTCTCATGGAGCTGGTATCATACTCTGCCTGTCCACGGCCACTTTCTAGCATGACTTGATCTATGCCAGCTTCAAACCCATGTCATGTCTTGGACAACACTTTTGCCCCTTGCGCCGTGAAATGCCTCATCCAGCCGTCCACCTTCGTGCCGTATGCGTGGGGGATTGACCATGCGTCTGCCTGTGCTCCAGCGCCTTGTCGCAAATACTCGTATCGATGATCTCTAAGCTTCTCGCGCCCGCTTCCAGCTCAACGACCATACTTCTGGAACTCCCAATCTCTGTTGTCCAGCGGACACACCTGACGCGTCTTGAGCCATCTCGAAATGCAGTGGAAGTGGAAAGCGTGCTGGAGTCACCACGTTAGCCAGACCTCTCCTTCCCTTCCTTCTCCTCCTCCCAGAGTTCGACTCTTGACTTACGTTGCAAATTCCCCAAGCAACTGTACATTCCTCGCTCGTAGCGCTGGCCTGATTGGCCTGGCAATCGATGCACAAGTCCATGATGTGGTTTCGACAGATGGCGCAGTTGTCGACGACGATGTCCCAAGCCCAGAGTGCGACGGCGTTCCACTATGCATCCCACACATGTCAGTATCCAGCTACGCGCAAATCGCATCGAGTGTCCCCACCTTCTTGACCTCGAACCTCTTCTTTCCGTCTGCTGCGTCGCCGCCACTTGCGCCAGCCTTGACCTTCTTCGGTGCCGCGTCGGTCATTTCGACGTCTGCCATGGTGTTCGTTTCGAGGAGGCTGTGTAGAAATGTGTTGGTTCAGAATGCGCGTGGTGTTCGGGGAGGTGTGTGAGTTGTGGTTCGTTTGTGTAGCTCTGAAGCGAATGACGGAGGCTGTTTATCGATTAACAAATAGGCACAAGGCAGGCACTCTTCACTAGCGTCAAAATATCCCTGTCTTGTTCACCAACATTCACTTGCTGCTCTGGCTAAACATAGTGATTGCAAATCTATAACGTGACTAGAATTAGCAGTACTGTGTACTTACAAGTTGCACTCATCATGGATTGTGAGAACTGTACGCCTTGCAGCCTAGATCTTCACATGAAACTTCTCGATGAACGATAGCGGGGTTACGCGCTCTTGAGCGCGGAAACGCCATGTTGAATGCAATGGTATCTTCTATTTACTTCCTTACGCCACCGTTGCTACCAATTCTAGCATTTCACTTTTATCTTCAGCTGTAGCGTGCATAAGCCGCTGAAAGCCAGAACTTCATTATCCCTCCCGTCAATGCCAGTGGTCCCGTCCAAGCCTTCTCTTGCACCAATACTGAACACAGCGACGAAGCACTAGTACAGCACTCTCGTTCTGATCCTGCTGCCCAAGTCTTCCAGGTTCTGATAGAGGTTCTTGATCTCGCTGACATTAACATCCGAGATATCCGCCATCAGGTAAGCAACATCGCCTCTGGAATCCGTCATCTGCTTGTCCACGTTGTGATCGCCAAGAATCTCGTTGACCCTGCGAAGCACACCTGGCACGTTCTTGTGAATGTAGATGACGCGCAGGTGGTTTGGCTCCTCAATGGTAAGCGAACGGAGCGTGACCTCTGGGAAGTTGACAGCTCCCTGCGTTGTGCCAAAGTTGACATAGTTGACTAGCGCGTCTGCGACTTCGACACCGATCGCCGACTGTGCCTCTTCTGTTGAACCACCAATGTGTGGTGTGAGGATGATGTTCTTGAGGTTGCGAAGCTCGTCGCCCCAGCTGTTGAGCTGTGCATTGAAGGTATCTCCGTTCTTGCCAGGCTCGTTGGGGAAGACATCGAGGGCGGCACCACCGAGCTTGCCAGCCTTGCTGGCAGCGATCAAGGCTGGGATGTCCACAACGCTGCCACGCGAAGCGTTGAGCAGGTATGCTCCAGTGCGCATTTTCGCAAACTGCGCTTCGCCGATCATGTTCTTCGTTTCTTCCAGCTCAGGCACATGCAGTGTCACAAAGTCGGAGTTCTGCAAGAGCTCATCGAGTGAAGGTACCTGGTGCGCCGTACCCAGACCCATCAGGTTGATGACATCGTAGTAGATGACCCTCATGCCCAAAGACTCCGCGAGAACAGAAAGTTGTGCTCCAACATGTCCGTAGCCAACAATGCCCAGCGTTTTTCCTCTTACTTCCCAGCAGCCTGCTGAGACTTTGTTCCATGTGCCATTGTGCATTTCGGTGTTTCGGTCGCCAATCTGTCGAGCAAGCGCGATGATTGTGCCAATCATCTGCTCAGCGACGGAGCGTGAGTTCGAGAACGGTGAGTTGAAGACGGCAATACCCATCTCAGCAGCAAATTTGAGGTCGACCTGGTTGGTGCCGATGCAGAAGCAGCCGATCACGATGAGGTTCTTCGCATGCTTGAGGACGTTGGCAGACAGTTGTGTTTTTGAACGAATGCCGATGACATGCACATCTTGGATCTTCTCAATGAGCTGGTCTTCTGGCAAAGAAGTCTTCAGTGCCTCGACTTGGTAGCCCTGCGTCTTGAGAATTTCCTGCCCCGCGAGGTTGACATTTTCCAGTAGTAGAACCTTGATGTCTGTCGTCTGGAACGGTTTGAGCTGTTTCGCGGATGCCTTCGGAGGGCCGTTGAAGGAGTTCTGCGGGCTGTGAAATGTCAAGGTTGGGCTCGTCGAAAGAGAGTCTTTGAAGGAGTTGGAAACGGTGCGCGAAAGTTCGTCAGGACGACCTTGTCGCTGGGGAATGTCAATTCCGTTGGACGGCATAATTGCGAGATGTGATGGGGAGAAGGAAGAGAGTGTGTGGGAAAGGTTCTCGGGAGAAAGAGTCAAAGAAATGGCGTTATATTTGTTTCGGCCTTACCTTTCAAGACTCACATGTCAATGGGCAAAAAGTGCTCCCACCTCAGGCCGATGTCGTCGGCGTCGCGATGCGTCATGCGCGCCGGCGCGTGTCTCACCACACTTTGCCAACCCTCCGCGAACCGCATCCTCACGGCCACTTTCTTCGCTGCAACGACAACAAGCCTCGACAGACACGCCGAGCCAGTGCATCTGATCTTCGAGATCTTGTCGCACGTAGTCGATGCTTCTTGCCCCGCATCAAATTCCTCGCACCATGAATATGCGACAAGTCGTCCGGCAAAGTCACGGGCATGCAGAGTTCCGCTGGTCTTGTTTGATGCCAAACAAGGGGCCTGGCATGTTTCATCCACCGTGAACTGAGTAGACTTCTCTCGTCCTTCTTTTGCTCTGCAACTGCCATCACTGACGGCGCAGGAACGGCCAGCATTCGAGAGCAGCATTGCCACAATGGCCCCGAATGCTGGATGGAACACATACCGATTGTACAAAGAAGGGACCACGAAATTGACCACCTGGCTCGTGGATAATGCTCTACGCTGCAAGGCTGATGTCCAGACGAGCGCTTCCCGAAACACAAATAATGGCGAGGCGAGCTCGAAGTCGAAGTACACAGTGCCTCTCACCCAGTTTGTAAGGATGGCCAAAACCATCGCCCACTCAACAGATCCCAGGATCCGCATCTCCCAGAATATCTTGGCCCTGATCAAATACACCATCAGTATGCGAAAGCATGCGGCGACCTTCTTCTCCAAAATGGCTTTCAATGCCGGAAATGACGAGCTGCTCAAATCTAATGCTAGCCACCAATACTTCATTGAGATCTTGGAGCAAGTTCTGAACATTCTGGACCCAAGCAACCAGAAGGATAAGGACATCAGCGATGAAGTGGATCTTCCCAACACGTTTAGTGCGTTGACAGTCGAAGAACCCACGTCAGAAGGCACGGCGCCTCCCGAATTACCTGAACAGCGAGCGAACGTCGATGTTTCTTACGAGCCAGAGGCGGACGATTTCGACAACGCATTTGCCGTGTTCTCCTTCTTCGAGGATCTGAACAGCATCCGAGAATTCATTTCGGGTGTTTGGGTGGACTATGCGAATGGCCAGCTTGACCTTATGAGTGCGGCCGTCACCACAGACACCGGCTTTCGCATGATCAAAGACAGCTGCGAAGCTCTTATCGACAGTCCAGCTTTCATCGAGATTAGAGACTCTGATGTCTGGGACCGGTTGCCATGGAATGGCAATCGGGACTACATGATCGCAGTTGCATTTCTGGCAGAACATTTCGGAGGTGAAAGCGAGGCTCTTAGAGAATGGACTTGTGGAAATGCGAACAACATGTTGAGCTCTTTTGCTCAAATCTTGACATCACGCAAAGTTCCAGTACTGAAGCCGGATCATTATGGAGTCTACAAACCCGAGCAGGATAGATCAGCAATGAGCCTCGAGGAGCAGGATCAGGAAGACCTGATCATTACGATGAACCTGCTGCAGGAGTTCACGAAGTTGTCTCGTGCCCACGTGGATCTACCCGTTGAGGACGAGCTCACCCGAGGCATTCGTCTCATGACAGACACTTGTGATGCACGACAACTGCCTATGTTTGCTGGGTTTGCCTTCCAAATCCTTCTGGATATACACAATAGTCTGCGCAATCATGTACTGCAAGCGCACTGCGATCTACAGAACCATGCAAGGAGAATCGTTGGCATCATGGACGACTATCTCAGACTTTCTAAGAATCGGCGGATCGACACGTGGGCACCAACGAACGATGAAGTGCTTCGTATGATCAAGGAGACCGCAAATTTTTGGGTCTTGGACGACATTATGACCAATTTGCCGCTTCCGGTTCCAGAAGGCGCGCCTAAGATGCCAAGCTTCTACCTGCTGAAAAATCACCCCGTCCTGGCCGGTCTACTCCTCTTCCATCTCAACCTTCGCGTGCAAGACGCTGGTATCAGTTTGTGCAATGCTTGGGGCTCTGTGCTCTACCCAGCTCATCTTTACAACGCATGTCAACAAAGCGCCGGGCTGACAGCTCCATGGCGCGACATCGAGTACATGATAGAAACCCACTCTGCGAAGCGTCTCTTCGTGGGAGCGCCTCCTTCTGAGCCAAGCGATTATCTGAAGAGATTCGTTCTCGCCCTTGGTGGCAGCGCTGCCACCTTTGCACGCAACCGTCGACCGGGTGGTGGCCGATCCCTGATCGTACATTCGAAAAAGGGCCCACGAGGCTTGAAAACCACCACGCCTGTTCGAGACACGTTCGAGCCACGATACGTTGACCACGATCAGGCTGTGGTGTCCAAAGCTAATCTGGTTGCCATGCTGTCAGTTGCCATGAAAGCGCGTAGAACAAACTCGCCTTCCGTGGATCTATCAGTTCTACACGCACAGATCACCACCCAGCGTGATCTAACACCTACGCAGGTTCTACAAGTTGTTCGAGAGGGCATGGCTGGCGAAGAGCATCACCTGTTCGACTACATCAATCTCCATTTTCGTGGATACAAGCTCCTGCGAATGCTGCACACTCATCTTACAGGTCAATTGTCTCGCTACTTTGGCCCAAATTTCATTGAGAACGAGTCGGAGCTGCCATTCATAATTGGCTATGTCTTCGAAGTCATGGCCGGCTCTGATCGGATCGCTCAAGCGCTCCAATTAGAGCTCGGAGGCAGCAACATGCTTCACACAGCTGCAGAAACGATGAAGGCTTTTCTGGAAGACGGCACGAATGCTCGCCAAGGTCTCATCAATACAAAGGTCTGGACCAGAGCATACCACTTCCATCACCGTCAAGGCACTGTCGATCAGCTGTAAGTATCTCAGAAAATTACTTGTGAGTCGTGCTAACAATAATCACATTCAGGATGGCAAGCATAGCCGATGAATGGTGAACCGTGGTGCGGATATTGTAAACGAGTGCGTGGCAGCCACCATTAGACTTGACCTCTGCCAACCTCTTTCGCGTGACCACACCAGAAAATTACTTGGGCTTTGTGCTCAGATATCTTCCTTGAGAGTAGAGGTCGTATGATAGCCTTTCCAGCACGATTCACGAACGTAATGATAGCAGTGACTTGCAAAGTCGTGCTCCTCGTGCGGCATATTGCAATATCCTCTGTCATTGGCGTGGCAATTTCATGGTCAGGACATTCCTGAGTGTCGTACTAGGATCAGAGGTGTATCGCAGCTGCGCAAAGGCCGCACCTCGCCACTGTAAGGACAGTCAGCTTTATTCGAAGCATCGGATATGAGTCTTATGAGATGTGGTTGACATCAACGTTCCATTCCAACCGAGTTTGGTCGTGCAGCGCAACCGTAAAGCGCAGATGCCGAGACGGCGCTTGCGCTCGGAGCGAGCGCCGGGAATCTCGCGCTATGGAGAAATCGACCGTTTCATGGAGTCCTCGCCTGTTCACTTGTGATCCTCCGCCGATGCGTCGATGCATCAAGCAGCCATCACTGTCGCTTGCCAAGGTTCCATTTGACTCTCGCAACGGGCCATCGCATCACCCTTCGGCGCTTGCCCCTTCTTCAGACCTCAGCCTTGGTACGGACGCCTTGGTCCAATCATAGCTCATCAGAAAACGACAAGGACACCCTTGACAGTTCTAGGTCGCGATGTTGGGTGGCACGGTTCCTGTTTCCGCACGCCACAGTCCTGAAAACAGGTCGAGAGGGTCCACGTAGCCTGTCGAGGTCAGCTCTAGTGCATATCTTCCTCCTAGCCTTCAACTTCTTCGCAGCCTTATGGAGAATTCATATTCATTCGGAATCACATGTTTGAGTTAGAAGAATAATCGATGGGATCCCCGCCAACCAGGCCGCGTCGCCAATATTTCGGCATCGAACAACATCCTGGCCGGACCACGGGGCGCGAGCCGTGATCTCCCACCTCACCACAGATGTCGAACCAGGCGTCGTCATGCCCCTCCATGCCGACTCTCGACAAGAAGGACTCCGGCGTCGATGTCGGCGACGACATGACCTCTCACGCGGGCGCGAAGACCGGCAGCCCACGCCGCAAGATGCTCTACGAGAGCCGTCGGGCACGGGAGTTCTATCGGTAAGCTTGGGAGCGGTCGCCTGCCGGATCACGATCGAGGAAAGTTTCTGCTCTGACACATTCTACGCGCGCAGATACTATCAGCCCATTCGAGAGCTCACCAAGGCCGGACCGCCGACATGTGATATTGGCGACGAAAGTGCAGTGCGACTGCATAGGCCGTTAAGCTGTCCGGACAGGGCGCTGACGGTATGATGTTCAGCTGGCAAGGGTTTGTATGAGGAGCTAACGACCATTTAGGCTTTCTGTCAACTAGGCGCATTACGCATGAACACGAAACGTGCTATGTTATTCTTCTTCGATGCTTCGAATGCATACATTCTCGCGGAGTCTACCAAGACACTGAGTCTCCAAGATGATTCCAAGCATGCGGTCGAAGACGATCTCTGGCTGGGCCATAGCATTATACCCCGCGGATACTCAGTGTGTGAGCAGACAATCATGTTGCCATCTAATGAGGGCTCGAACAAAGACGAATCCAATTCAAGCATAATTCACATTGTGAATGATCTCGGCGAAGACACACGATACTGCGACCGCCCCTTTGTGATCGGCGGACCGAAAGTGAAATTCTATGCCGGTGTTCCAATTACTACGCCGAGAGGAATCAATATCGGCGCGTACTGTGTGCTCGACGATGAGCCTCGCCATGGTCTTGACGAAGATAGCGTAAATTTCATGCGGGACATGGCGACCACCGTCATGACGCATCTGGAAATGGTCAGAGCTACTGCCGAGCACAAAATCGGGACGAAGATGGTCGCTGGACTTGGTGCTTTCATTGATGGCGCATCTGGCTTTCGGGACTGGGCTGAGCGGAATGCAGACTGGAATATGGAGGACGTTGAGCAAGATCCGGCGATGCAGCACCCACTGGGCGTGCAGCCAATGACCACGCCAACGTCTGCGATCGCTGCTACCGCAGTCGCCGTGGGCGAGCAAGAGGCAGACGCAAATCTAGCAGTGCCTTCTGCCAACACCTCTCCTAAAGGGCGACATCGTGCGTTCAGTGGTGTCAGTGGGCTTCCACCGCCAACTGCAACACCTTCACATACACTGAAGTATCGTCGAAGCACAGAGAAGCTGGAAGACCCCGAGATTTCCAGTAAACAAAGCACATTTGGTCGCGCTGCGAAACTCATCCGCGAAGCCATGGATGTCGAAGGGGTGATGTTCCTGGATGCTGCAGTTGGCACGTTCGGAGGTCTCATTGAGACTGTCGAATCTGGCCATAACTCCACGACTCACACGGATCATACCGAGATGAGCTCAGACAACCATCAAAGTGCAGCGGAAGCCAATACGACCGGGACCGACACTGAAACCAAGGCCATCAAAAAAACCACTGGCGAGGACCTCTCTCAAAAGCAGTGCCATGTATTGGCGTCATCTTGTGCGATATCGCTGGCGACCATGACGGATGCCGATACTGCACGAGAGGCCGCGGAAGCTTCCATGAAGTGCCACGAGCAGATTACCGAGAAGTTCTTGCGATCCCTTCTGCGACGGTATCCTCGAGGGAAAATTTGGGCCTTCAATGAGCACGGTGACGCTTCTTCCGACGACGATGAGTCTTCTGAATACAACAGCGATGCGAAGTCTTGCCGCTGTTCTTTGGGCAAAGCATTCGACGGCAAGCAAATGCATGCTCCATCTTGTTCGAAGCGAAGGAAACAAGGCCGTCGAGACGATTGCGCTGAAATTTTGCGATTGTTCCCTGGTGTGCGAAGCTTCGGTCTTGTTGGCATGTGGGATAACACAAGGCAGCGCTGGTACGCTGCTTCTCTTTTCTGGTCACATTCGCCGCTCCGACTCTTCTCAGAGGAATCTGAAGTCAAGTATATGACCGCTTTTTGCGATGTCATCCTGGCCGAAATCCATCGCATTGAAGCACAAACATCGGATCGCGCAAAGTCGGACTTCATTAGCACTATATCCCATGAGTTGAGAAGTCCCCTTCACGGCATTCTAGGCTCTGTGGAATGTCTGCAGGAGAGCGACTTCGATTCCTTCAACACGAATTTGATCTCACAGGTTGAGATCTGTGGACGGACATTATTGGACATTATCGATCACCTCCTCGACTTCAGCAAGATCAACCACCACGCCAAATCGCGAGCTCCGAGGACCCTGGATCGACAAGGGCGAAAGCTGTCTTCCAATTCTTCCAAGAGAACTCGCATGGGCGGACTCATGGCGCTGGACGTCGATGTTGCTCTTGACCAGATCACGGAGGAAGTTGTGGAAACGGCAGTGTATTCGTTCTGCTGCAGCAGAGATGCCGACACTATTCTCACTCGAAAAGTGGCCGTGATACTGGATATCGACCGAGCACCGGACATTGATTGGCGATGCTCTGTTGCCGTGGGAGCCTGGAAACGGATCTGCATCAATCTGGTCTCGAACTCGCTGAAATACACGCAGAACGGCCATATTCGAGTATCACTAAAGGCAAATCCACTGCCGGACAAGAATCAGAAGAAACGGTTCAATGTCACTTTTAGTGTGCAGGACACCGGCAAAGGCATGTCGAAAGATTTCTTGGAGAATCACCTTTTCCGCGCTTTTGCGCAAGAAGACAGCTTAGTTGAAGGCACTGGACTTGGCATGAACCTGGTCGCAAAGATCGTGAAGTCTTTCGAGGGTAAGATTGAAGTCTTGAGCGAGAAGGGCGTAGGGTCTTGCTTCTCGGTTACTCTGCCACTTGAGCTGAGTCGCACAAAGCGAGAGACTGGGGCACGCAACCCTGCGCGACCACTGCATCGCTCCATTTCCGGTATGGCGCGAGCTGTTGCTGGCTGCTCCGTGGGCATCATTGACTCTGCGAGCACACCTTCTGGTAATCAAAGAGCTGATGAGACTGCACGCGCTCTGTTGTTGAGCAGTGTTCACAAGACTCTTGGCGAGATCGGCGTCAATGCATACAATTGCACGTGGCAAGGCGATGAAGCAGCTGATATCTACTTGGTCTCGGAGGCAGAACTGAGCAATGAACATCATCGAAGGCAAGAAGTTGGCTGCCTCGACGGACCAATGTCACCGAGTGCAGTGAGCAACAAGCCTTTCATCGTACTGTGTGACAGCACTGTCTCTGCCAGGAGGATGCGAGCGCCTGGGCTCGGCAACATCGCGACAGGCCACATTGAGTTGATTGCCCAGCCAGCTGGACCTGAACGTCTCGTTAAGGCCATCTCGGCCTGCATGAAGGTCAAACGTGAGGTCGCACGAGATGTGGCTCTGGCTGGCGCCGTGAGCGATATACCCGCCATGGTCCCTCATCCTGATGCGGTCGACTCCTCACAGCGTCCCAGTCTGGTGCATCGAGGGCGAAACGATACCATAATCAGTCGGCCGCAGCAAGAGGAACAAATGTCGAGCAGTCCGTCCAGTGGGGAAGGTGTTGAAGACTCGGTTCGTACAGAGGCATCGAAAATGGAGCGGAACCTCTCATCCGACTACAAATTCCCTCGAATACCAACTCCATCGCTGAATGGATCGAAGCCGAGAGTCAGCACGATTGCCGGGTCGTCAAAACAGACAAGTCCCAAAGCAGATAGGAACAAGAAGAGCGAAGGTAGTGTGTCGATGATGTTGGTTGATGACAATGTAAGTGATCCTGTCACCACCTTGTCTCTGATCGAGCTAATGAGTCCGCAGTCCATAAACCTTCAGCTGCTCGTAACATATGCCGAGAAGAACGGCCATCGTAAGATAGTCGCCACCGATGGCCAGCAGGCCGTAGACGTGTACAAGCAAGCAGCTCTCGAAGCCGAAGAGAAAGGCGAGACGAAGGAATCAGTTCCCAAAGGTGAAGCGCCGATTAAACCACAGGTCGTTCTAATGGACATCAATATGCCTGTGCTCAATGGCTTCGAGGCCACAAGAGCGATCAGAGGCTTCGAGAAACAGAAGGGACTGGAAGCAGCAACCATCATAGCGCTCACTGGATTGGGCAGCGCGAGCGCACAACAGGAGGCTTTTAGTTCGGGAGTGGATTTATTCTTGACGAAACCGGTTCGTCTCAAGGAGCTGACGAATATCTTGAACGGGATACAACGATGATGCGGAACGGGTGAGCACAACGCGTATCGCGGTATGAGGGGTGATTCTGCCGGCGGCAGAAATCACTGAATGTTATGCTTGGCGCATGGCGGTCACGAAGGGCGTTATGATATAGAGAGAGGCGAGCGATCGACTACAGATCTTCACGAAGATGAATTCTGGCTATTTGCACAAACGGCTAAATTGTGAAAGTGCATAAGTCCTTCCTGGGCGAGGGGCCAAGGCGGTGCAACTTGCCGTTTTTGGTCTGCCGACGAGCGGGTTCTCAATTCATCGAGCGGCTTACGATCTTGCCGCGCAGTCTCAAATACCATCAACTAACATCGAACTAAGAATGCAGCTCATAGTACGAACTCATTGGCAATCATGACGGCAGCATCGAGCCGTGTCCAATCCGTGGCCGCAACGATAGCGGCAACCGCAGCCATTGTTGGGGCAATAATCTACCTTGATGTGCCGTCCTGGGGACGCCAGAAAATCAAGACACGTAAAGTCACGACAAGGAAGTTCGCGGAAGATGATCCTCCATCTTTGGTAGCTTTCAAGACACTGGTTGAGCAGAGTACACTCCAAGGCACCTACCCGCTGGCGAAAGACATTCAGAAGAACATTCCGATATACGATAGTGCAGCTTTCGATATTTCCAACATCGACCAGATTGAGAGACTCCAAGATGAGCTATACCATGTGCTCACCAGTGGACCGGGTGTATACGTCCTGAAGAACTTCTTCACAGATCTCGGTCCCATCGACTCGGCCAACGAAGCCTACGCCGCGATCATATCTCGTGAAGAGCAGGCCGCTGGAACTAAGGGCGATCATTTCGCAGCTGGAGGCGCAAACAGCAGAATCTGGAATTCATTCTCAAAACACTGCCTCCAGGATCCGGAAAGCTTCGTCAAATACTTCAGTAATCCTTGGTTCAAAGTCGTCTGCGAAAGCTACTTAGGACCAGCATATCGCCTTACGAGCCAAGTCAACATCGTAAAGCCTGGTGGCAAAGCGCAAAACCCGCACAGAGACTACCACATTGGCTTCCAGACAACGGAAGACGCAGCACGATTCCCTAAGGCTATGCATCCCGCAAGCGCACTTTTGACTCTACAAGGCGCAGTAGCGCATTCGGACATGCCACTCGAGTCCGGTCCAACGCGGTTCTTGCCATTCAGCCAAATGTTCGAACAAGGATTCATGGCATATCGAAGACAAGAGTTCAGTGAATACTTCACGCAGAAATGGGTGTCGCTGCCTTTGGAGAAAGGCGATGCTGTGTTTTTCAACCCTGCACTATTTCACGCAGCAGGTGAAAATCACACAAAGGACTTCAATCGCAGCGCCAATTTGATTCAGGTATCGAGTGCTTTTGGCAAGACGATGGAGGCGATTGACTCTCTGCCACTTGTTGAGGCGACTTTCGATGAGTTGAAGGCAAAGCACAGCGCTGAGGGACACAGCATCGAGGTCGATGCTTATATCCGTGCTGTGTGTGAGGGGTACCCATTTCCTACCAACCTTGATCGCAGACCGCCAGCACCTGGTGGTATGGCACCTGAGAGTGAGCAGGATATCTTGCGGAGAGCTGTCACTGAGGGCTGGTCCAAAGAGATCGCGGTGGAAGCGATCGCGAAGATGAAGGACGATTCGAAGGATCATGGGTTGGATCTGTAGGACTTGCGCGCTTCATACACTATGTCCCATCGACGACTCCAATTCCCTGTCTGAAAAAATTTGACATTAGTTAGTCTCTCGGCGCAGTGTGAAAGGATTCGAGCTTATGCTGCAACAAGAGGTGGGGGAGACATGATCTGCACAGAAGGATCATGCACCGCCACCTGGCTGTGCTGAGCTGTTGTTTTCGTTAAAACACATAAAACAGTACGTCCCTCCGTTATGATGAGCACGGAAGAGGGCACCAGATTAACCCATGTCACCAGTTGCTCCTAGCGCTGAGGCGCTGAGCGCCACGTACCAAGATGCTCATCAAGTTCAACAAGTCTCTGGTCAAACGCTGTTCTGGGCATTAGTCCCGCTCGCACTCAATGCCATGGGACAAGAATCTCCGACAGCAAAGATAATCTTCGATGCGGGCTATCTGGCAGAAGGAAGTCTCGTACCACATCTCTCATCGCCGGTCTTCGTCCTGGCTGATTGTATCTTCGACATTCTCGCCATCTTTCAAGCACTCCGTACGACATCGTCAGAGACGGCATCGGACGATGATGTATCAAGTGCCAACTTTTCAAGGAGCCAGTTAACTGTCGGGAACGTCTCCGTGCGGCTTTTGCTGTTCATCTTCGGGGTCCTGCCGCAAGCGATCAGACTCTTCGCCATGAAAGGAATTCCATTTGTCCAGGTATTGGCCGGAGTCTTCTTAGTGGGCAGCTTGGCCCGGATGGCAGCGATCTTTGCGTTCCGATTGAGAGACGACCCTCATCGCAAGTTTCAGGAATGGTTCTCGGACAGGCCTGAAGTCAAAGAATTACTACTGGGCGGCGTGTTGCTGTGCCATGCCGTCATTTGCTGCCTATCCTGGTATCAGATTGCCCAAGTGCCATATCTAGAGCATTCGAGTCTCACGGACAATTTCAACAATTTGTGCGCCTGGATCTCTGGAATTGGTGCCGTCCTTCTTATCGCAACGCTCTGCTACTGGATTCTAAGCGTTTTCTTCGCTCCTTTCTGGCGATACTCCCTTCTGCCATACACGCCACTACCGTTATGGTTCTGTGTTTCAAGCTTTTTAGGATATCCTCATCACCTTTTGCAAGCGGGCGAGACAAGAGCGGCGTGTCTACATGGAAGTGGCACGACAAGTTGCGCAGACGCCAAGATTTGCAATGGCAGATTACATTGTTACGCCAAACCTATCCAAATCACCTTTCCACTCATCGCGGTGGCACTTATGGGTAGTTATGCGCTTGCTGTATTACTGGTGAAAGGAGCTGCCCTCGTTCCTGGTCATTCTCCTGCTTCTGTCCCCGAGCCGAACATTGAAGAGCCTGCTACCGATACTAGAGTCGATGCTACAGTTGTTGAAATGGATCCAAGTTCTTCGACGTCGGAACCTTCTGGTCATGTTGCTGTTTCTAACCCTGAACCGGTCACGAAAGAGCCTTCGACTGGTCGTAGTGTCGATGCTACATTTGTTGCAGGGGCCGCAGGTTCTTCGATATCAAACCCTCATATTTATGTTGCTGCTTCTGATCCGGAACCGGTCGCAAAAGACCTTGCGAACAATCGTCATATCGGCGCTGCCGTTGTTGAAGTGATCGAGGGTCCTTCGATATCGAAACCGAAATCGGAATTCGAGGACGATGCTATGGTATACGGTCTCGTAGCTATTAGATCACTACTTAAAGATGTTGAAACCTTGGGCCGTAGTGAGGCGTACCATCGTTGGCTTCTGACGTCCTACATTTTCAGCAAGTACCGCCAATCACTACCTCAAACCATCGTTCGAAGCTGGAAGGGAACAAGAAAATCTGCGCGGCAAAATGAGGGCGAAGGAACTCTGGATGAAGAAAAAGACTGTGTCCAGCCCCAGAGTCTACAATCTCCTCGATACGTACGCTTCCCTCGAGATCTATTCTGGTTGACCGTGCTGGGCGTCATTCAGCTGATGTTGTTCTTTCTCTTTGCCGGCATGACCCTATGGGACGTGGGTCAAATGCAAAAGTCAGGCACTAAGGTGGCCAAACGAGTAAGCCCAGCAGCGTTCTGGGTAGCGTTCTCATTATTCAATTTGGCGACCGCTGCCACTTACTTCTTTGTAGCCTTCGAAGGGGCTGGCACAGAAACTCCTGCTTGGACAAATATATTGAATAGATGATAGGAGAGCACATTCATTGAGAGCGCACGGCAGATTACATTATCATTGTGCCTGAGCTTCGAACACGAACCTTGATGGAATGCCTTCCAGCCAGACCATGGACCTAATTTGAGCATCCAACTCCGAAGAAACTCCCATTGGATTGACCGCTACTCTTCCACGTGACACTGGCAAATGACCCCTGACCAGCAACACAGGAGCACTTCGTATTATCATTCCACTTCCTGTCTTCTCTTCTCTCGACATTGTTGTCCGCGGCCGCCGCGGAGAACTTTGATGTCCAGCCTTGTGATCCGAAAAAGATTCTCAAGACTGAGGGCAGTCATGAAACCTCTAAATGCCCGCACTATCCGGTGCTTTCGGTACATTGGTCTCGCGCCTGGCCAAGTCTGGACAGGAAGGCCAGACTTCGCTCGTTTAGCAGTTGAACACGATCGAGCTCCGACGATGCCATTGGCTGTGTCTAGCAGAGTCCGCTTACTCAGTTGATGACTGTCTACTCCGCATACGGCCTGGACTCTGGCAATTCAAGCTCTCTTCTTTGCTATCATCCGTCGCCAGTCAAGCAATACACCGTCAGGGATATTCCCTCCTCTTCACCATATTCCTCGCGGCAAATCTTGAGCGCTGCAACCACATCAGGTCTAGTTCATTACTTTTCCGGGCACGAACTGAGGCACGCCCTGCAGGTGGTCGACGACCTAGTCCAAAAGTGCACGACATTTTACGCTTGGAGAATTCCAAGCACGCGAAAGTCATTCTGTCACTTTCTAACAAGACAAGCCGCTTAGATTGCCCAGCAGCCTGCCCTCCGGTTGCGCTGTACTTCTGTCACGAAGATAATGGGGACCAGTGGCTGGCATCCGTACTCAGCCTAGTAGTCGCTGGCAAATGGTCTGAGAAGCATGATTCCAGCCAGCACGTGGTCGTTACAATGTGCTAACCAACCAATATGCTCTGCGTGACAGGCGGACTCGGAGCCTCCCAAAACGCCGCTCGGCATGCCGCCGCAAGCAGCTCAAGCTACTGACAAGCGAAGAACTAAGCCGTCTTATGATGCTTCCACCAATCAAGCAGAGAAGTCACAGCGCGATCGTGCGAGGGACGAGACAATGCTCCAGAGTTCGGTGATCTCGACCGGTGAGATGCAATCGACCAACATGCCGCCCATTGGCACCAATGCGCCTGAGACTCCGAATAGCAGCACGAATGTATCATTTCGCAGTATAAAGGCAAGAAGGATTTGCTCCTCCATTCGACTTTCATCAGCACACTCAACCAATCCAGCAAAGCATTAAAGCAACACAAACTCAAACGATCAAATCTACTCCACCAACTCCTTCGACCAACTTCAACCACCAACTATCAACTATCAAACAAAATGTCTTGGGGCAAGATTCTCATGATCGGCTGCTCGCTCTTCTGCGGCTCCCTTTTTGGAGGCAACAAGCGTGACCTTGATGCCGGTAACATTGCTGAGCGCACCGCCATCTTCTACTCGGACAAGCCACTCAGCGTCGATCTCTCAGGCGCCTCCGTCGAGACCAATGGTGACATCAGCAACACCACTGCCGTCTTCCACTTCCAGGATGGTCGCAACGAGACTGGCAACCTCACTGGTCATGCGGTACGTTTCTGGCATCTCCAACGACAGCGAATTCCTACTAACATGAAGACCACAGGCTCAATTCCCACATGGAGTTGGCTATGGCAACTTCTCGATCTCGGAGGGCGAAGGCGAGTGGATCATGGTCGATATGACATCTGGTGCTCCAGGCCTTGCGAACTTATTCCAGTGGATCATCAATGCCACTCAAGACGGCACTGTGACCAAGCAGGAGTTCGACCAAGCCATTACCATCGTCAAGGCTCTTGCTTGAATGATGGGAACCGTATTGGCGAGTGCAGGGACCTTGGAAGGCGTTGAATTACGAGCATTTGGTTGATGATGATATCGTTTCGTTGGGTTTGGATTTGCGATTGGCTACGATTCAATTTGTTGTACGATAGGGAGAAACGACGCTGCTGGCCAGCTATTTCACTTCACGCGTATCCGGCTTCCTTTTTAATTCGTTCCCATCGCTCAACTGCGGTTTTCGACCCGAACAACAGAACGCTGTGACGCCACGAGAATGTGCACAGTTATGAAAATTGTGGAGAGAAGTTGTTGGCTATGCCGATGGCAGGTTGTTGGCTATGCTGTCATCGGCATCAGAGCAGGGCCCGGAGTGTTGTCCGATGCCTGTTTCTGGTTCTTCAAAATCCCTGTTTGAGCTGTGGGGCCGACGTGCTCCTCACTGTATCCTCAACTACGTAAACGTGGTGATGCCATTTCTCAATCACGGTGGCTGAAGACTTGGATGGGGTGATGTAAGAAGGTGAAGTCTTTGGGTGCGAGTGAATGCCTGCGCCACATGTGGTCGAGAGCCACAACTAATACTGCGAGTTGTTGGTCATGAAGACGTAGAGCAGACCACATTACAGAATGGTGAGGAGCTGCTGTGGCCAATTCAGCAGATTAGTATGATGCTGGATACTATCATGCTCTTGGTATAAAAGTATTGCAGAACCTCTTCTCTTCAGGATATTGACAAACCTTACCATACTTGAAACATTGTCAAAGTTACAGCAACGCACTCACAAGTAGATCTCCATCTTTCGCACGGATATACTTCATCATGGACGCAGCAGCCAGTGCCGTTAACAAGCTCTTGTAAGTCTGCCATACATCTTCACAACATTACTCATGATTAACAACATATCAACAGGAGCAAAACTGGAGAGAAAGACACCACAGTTGAGCAAGAAGTCGCTCCAGCCGTCGAACACGACACCATCGTGAAAGAGCATGAGACACGAGAGCAGAAAGTCGTAGACAAGGAGAAGCACGTTGATCACTATCACACCACGGTTCAGCCTCTCGAAGACCGCGAGGTTCAGGAGACAAAGCACGACCACGAGCAAGCTGCTACGGAATACCGCAAGATCAACAAGGACACCAAGGCAGACGAGGCCCAAGCGCAAGCCGCTGCAGAACGCGAGAAGTTCAGAGACACAACCGACGAGGGCGTCACACATGAGAAGAAGGTCAACGAGGGAGAAGTCGTTGGCGAGCAGGTTCACCACCACTTGCACGAGGTCGTCCAGCCCGTGATTGAGAAAGGTCAGTCATCCTATAAATCCCGTCGCTATACCGAAGCTAACCTCACCTCATAGAAATCGTCAAGCCATCCGTCACACACAAGACCATTCCTGTCAAGGAAGTCATTCAAGAACAATCGCAGAACCATGGCGTCACAAGAAAGGAGCCAATCTCTGTCGATGAGTTTACGCACCGTCTAGATGGCGAAAAGAAGACTGAGCACAAGGTTGCTGGCGAACTTCCTGCTGAGCAGTAGCTGCCTTGTCTTCGTCTCCAACGACTATATTGTACGATATTACTTCAGCGATACCAATCCTCAACTAGCTACGGTTGAGTAGAGCCCATGCTTGAAAATGAAAGATGAATGAATCCAGTGCACATACACGTTTCATGCAGCTTGAAAACTTGGATATGAGAGTGACATGCCTGTGTCAATTTCAACAGTGCTAGTAGAGTGTTCACATCAACATGATCGGCCGGTTCGATATGCAGGCATTGTACCTGCGCTCGTCCGTTCGTTCTTACGTGCCGATCATAAAGAGGTTTCGCCCCATGTTTGCCACTCAGGCGACGTGCCACGCATTGATCGCGACACTCATCGCTGTCTAGCCAGACGGCATGCGTTGAATGCCGAAAGGCTTCACTGCTCTGAGCGACACTGAACACGATGTGGTACGAGAATTTCTCCCACGACCTTATATCGTCACCGGGTTCTAGAAGCCGTCGGGTCGCAGGATGGTAATAGAGCAGGATCAAGCATCGAGTTGGGCATGGCAAAGGAGGATTCGGATCTCTCAATGGCCCGAGTAGAACCTTCATGGGTAGATTATGAAGCGGTTGCTTCGCCCATAGTGCATCAGTCATTGTCGTAGAACGCATCGCTGGGCAACATAATCAGCACATTAACTCGCAGTTGCTTCAACAAGCCAGAGACACTCACATTCTTAACGCCGTATGTGTTCCGACAGGAACTCCCAACCTCTTCGCCAGTCCAGGTGTGCTGATCTTCACCCCCTGCGAATTGCCATTCCCAAAATGTCGATGTATCTTTGCAGTGGGTCTCCAACTCTTCCCGGAAACATATATGGGAGCGTCGGCGGCCGCTTCCTCATCTCTCGGGGGCTTTGTGGTTTTCCTCGCTGAGTTAGTAGCCCAACGAGTCAGACCAATGTCGTCGCGATAAGACATGCGCTCCGCTGTCTCGGCTGTTTGTTGCTGAAATTCGAGAACTGCTTGGTCGAAAAGCTGCTCGATTGAGGTTTTGCCAGGCTCTGAGATACCCAAAACGACTTGAGCTTTGGCTATGCTAGGCGGACGAGAATATATTTCTTCTTGTCTGCTCGGAATACTGGCTGAACGAGAGTGACATCTGCTGCCGCGAGGGCGATACGTTGTAATACTGTCGTCTTGTGACAATTGGCGTGGAGCTAATACTTTGCTTGGTGGTCGTCGATCTCGCGGAGTTTGTCTTCCTGGCGGCAGTCCTGCAGTTCGAGCGGCGGCGTGCTGCTGTAGGTAGCTATTTGCTGAGATGTGGTTCTCTAGCATCTTCAGGGTATTTTGACGTTCGGCCTCGGTTGCATCAACGCTGTGCTCTCTCCTCTGCAGTTCCATGGCTTCTTCGTAAGACGGTGGAGAAGGTCGTATCGCCTGCAAACTGTCTACGCGAATTGGGAAGTTCTTGTTCGCTGAACGCACGCGCGTCTTCCTCCGCATCTGCCTTTCACTTTTCCCGTCCTTGTCCTGTCGCGGTACTGATCTTGTCTCCTCGTTGACTTTGTTGGATCTCGTGTGCTCGCTGCTGGGCTTCAAATGTTGGGTCGACGCATCGGCAGACAAGATTTTTGGAGCTTGGGAGCCCGGCGGAAGCGGGAAATGGTATACGACATTGTCAAGCTGGTAGGGCACAAACACAATGTCGCCTGGCAAGCATTTCGCGTGTGTTTTCACCAGTCCAACGTCGATCAAAGTCCAAGCTACTTGATTTGGATCCAGGTGTGCAGAAGATTTGTGCCGCGTGGGATTGTCGCCTTTTGGAATCTGATCGTGTTGCTGGCCCTGAACGCATTGCATGGCTGGCGGTACGATGCGCTTTGTCCAGCTCTCGTTTTGATAGGATCAGTATATGAACTCTGGCATCACTCAGCCATCTGGACGATCGAGACCTCGAGTCGCTGGCGCGCATGCTTCGCTGTGTATCTTACGGCGGCCGCACAACGTAAAGATACAACGAAGTGACGTGTTGGTTTTGCACGGGGCACTGATCCGGTAGCTGTTGCCATGAAGGCCGCTGGCATGAACCCTGCTGTATCCTGTCCACACAGCAAACCTAAACACTCATTGGTCGAAGTATCCTCGTCAAACTAAGGTTCAACACAGCCATGTGCATCAGTGGAAAGTCATTCGTGAACTCTACTCTCCTGAACATCCCAGGGAAACTCTGCTCTACTCTGTTTGCTTCACGCTGAGAACACTCAGCTTCCGTGCCGAATTGCACGATGAGCTTGTTGCAAGTGAAGCGCCCTTCAGTTGCATCGCGCAGCAAAATTCAGGCAGATGCCATCTTTGTTTGGTCCTTTCCGAGAGTAAGAGTTCTCCTGACCAGCATCGTTGTGGGGAGGGCTCGAATCCCAAACCCGAAAGCAGCCATTGCAAGACAGAGATTTATTGAATGTGATCGCCAAGCTCACATCTTGATTCTAAAAAGAGTGTGCAACTGCAATCCTGGAGAGGTTACTCGTGACAACCGAGGACACCCGTTGGACAGCTCCATTGGCGCGGCTCATGGTGTTCAGTGAGCAATACTTATCGCAAACAGGGTGCACAACAATAAGCGACGATGGCAATTGACAAGCCAGCCATGATTGCTCTCTCCTGCAAAAGGCTTTGTTGCTGCATCAGACCGTGGTTGCTCTCTCCTGCAAAATGCTGTGTTGCTGCATCAGAGCCGTATTCTCGCAGAACTTCGTGCCTGTGTAGAATTTCTTGTACGACTACACCTGATGGTGTCACGATATTGACCCTCGAGTATGTGTCATGACAGGCCATGCTATACCAGATCTCGCTTGCGAGATCTTCAGGCGTCGGTAATAGTAGAGTCTGATACAGGCGTCACTGGTTGAGTGACACGAGCTTTGGCCCAGGCCAAGCAGGGCAGCCATTGATCGTCAAGCTCTTTAGCGACAATTGTAGTCAGCTGTTGCCCAATTCCTTCACTAGAAAGTTTCCAAAGAGTGAGTAGAAGCTTGAAAAATGATGAATGTTTAGGAAAGCTGCACTTACAAAGCCCATAGCTTGTAATCCACTTGATGGAGCACCACTCCGTAGTGGGCGAGAATTGCAAGTGCGAGTGGATCTCGATGGCGAAGCAATGAGATGTAGGCGTTCCCACTGAGGATAGGATAGCACATTGCCACACCAAATGGTCGATCTTTGAACACCAAAGGGGCCGCAATGGAGCCTAAGCTGTAAATGCTATTGTGATATGCCTTGCGCCGGGTTGCCGCGTCCAAACCGCTCGGGTCATGGTTCTCGAGACATGCCGTTTCAGCGCGATCCAAGAGCAAATCCAATGAGGATCGTAGCCCTGGTTCCAGACCATCCAAGTTCTCCCTGACGGGTTCGGTCCTTTCCAGAATGACCTTCATCGGCCCGTGATGCAGCCACTCCCACGCCACTTCTGCTACGACGGCCGTTCCGGAGAGCGCGTCGAACATGTCGATTACTCGAATGACCAAAGGCGGTGCCGTTTCTTCTTCGTCTGACAGCATGCCGAAGCAGATGATAGCGGTGACAATCGAGAATGCGAAGAGAGCATGGCAGTTTTGTTCGTCGATGTTTTGAAGCATAGGTATATAGAGATTGAGTGCATGTTGCTGATGATATCGAGCTACATTCATCAATGGCTGTCTCTGGCTACCCTCGGACTCATGACGGCGATGGAGCGCTGAAACGGCGAGAAGACCATGGAGAAGAAACGGATAAGAAAAAGCCAACCTCGGAACTGCATCTTGCCAAAGATGGTCATCGTCCGCCCGATCAGTCATGGTGCTGTACACGATTGACGTGTAGTGATGCAGGAGCTCCATGTCTCGTACGGGAAAGATCTGTGCATCTGCTGAGGTAGCACCCAGCGCACTGGGCAGAGCCAGCACTTGATTCGGGTAGTGACATGGCCGGTTTCCTCGCGTACAATTGCGGCAAATGGGCCTCTCAAGATCGCATCGGACTTTCCGTGCTTTGCAGGTGCCGCATCCATCGCGGGTCTTCGTGTGAGGTCTTCTTGTGGACATGGCTCAGACTACGGCTGTGGTCCAGGCTGTCCAGCAGGTCGGCCAAGTCTCTTCACTGTCGAGACGCGCGTGAATCTCGCGTTACCAGTCATGGCGTGTAAGGCTTCTTTGTGGCGTTCCAGCGATCGCCATGTAGCATGTGCAGTGCGGAAGAATTCAGAGTCCTCGTACGATGTACGAATGAGATGGGCAGAGAGGAACACGCGAAACCTGGAACGAGAATAGATTTGGCTGAGTCATCAATGCCAAGATTTCTACTCTTCACGTCCAACCACTCACATCTTGCACCAGCACATGAGAGACTTACTTCACGACTTCAGAGTCATTCGCTCGTTGGCCGTTAAGATTTGAATACTCGCGCATGGTCTTCATACTCCGACTATCTTGGCGCAGCATCTTTCATCAGCACCAGTTGAACTGAAGAAGTCCCAACGACCACAAGATTCATCGCACCAGAGCAAGAATTCATCCAGAGTTGCAAGACCCTAGCTGAGACTTGCGAACACAAGTCGGAACGAAAGCTGTAACAGGGCCACAGGATGGCCACGCCCGAGGTGGCGACACCTGATGCTCGAGCCGAACCACCACCCGCGGACGGACTAAATGCGAATGAGGCGGCACCTGAGCAAACGATCAAGAAAAGACCACCAAAGAAGAAGAAGCCAAACTGGGGTCTCATCCACAAAAGCCCATTGCCTCTCGAGATACATCCCCTCCCGGCATTCCACCCCACAAACCCCATATCAATCCTGCGATTCGCATATGCCTACTTATCACAGATTCTCTCACGGCCTTTGTCCCACCCCGAAACACCTTACATTGGATACTTTTCCTCCGAGACACGATCCGTTCATGTCACAGATCCCAAGCATGCGCGCGCCCTATGGGAAGCGGGCTTCTTTGGCAAAGGCACTCTCAGTCGAAGTGAAATGAGCTGGCTAAATCGAGAAAAAGCGCGACTATTAGCAAAGCGTGCTGGAAGTGGAGGAACAGCGGAAGAGAATACTAATGCGAGGCGAGAGAAACGAAGACTGTTCAAGTTGGAGCGTGCTCGAGCTGAGGCGGAGAAAATTGAGCGGCAAAGACTAGTGGAGGAGGGGAAGCTGGATCCGAGTGTTCTTGAAACTGAAGTTACAGAGGTGGATGGTGAGAAGGAGCAAGTGGCTGTGGAGGCCACTCCTCGACCACTGGAGACTACGATTCCGGATCCTGCGATAACATCTCTTCCCCCACAACCCGCAGACTTGGGTCTTGATGATGAAGACGAAGAAGAGCTGATCCCGGATTTTGAGAATCAAGAACATCTCCAGCTAACGCTCGAAGAGGCGTTCTTCCTCTCCTACGGACTTGGCGTACTCGAGATCCGCAATTCCGAGACCAGCAATGCCGAATACAGTGGCTACGATCTACTACGAACCTGTTCTGCCCACGGCTTCTTCCCCGTCACAAAATCAATACCCGAGCACAAGATCCGACCCGATGATCAATTCCTGCTGAACTACGTCGTGTACCACCACTTCCGCTCACTAGGATGGGTTGTCAGACAAGGCGTGAAATTCAGCGTAGACTACCTGCTCTACTACCGCGGACCAGTATTCAGCCACGCAGAATTCGCTGTAATCATCATTCCGGCGTACGCAGATGCTTACTGGAGCACGGATGAAGGGAAGCAAGAACGCAGGATCAAAGAGAGCCATAATTGGTGGTGGATGCATTGTGTCAATCGGGTGCAAAGCCAGGCATTGAAGACATTGGTCATGGTGTATGTGGATGTCCCTGCTCCGATTGAAACAGACTCGAGAGATATTGGAGCGATACTGAGGAGGTATAAGGTCAGAGAGTTCATTGTTAGGAGATGGACTCCGAACAGGAGTCGCGACTGAGATGTCGCCGCAAATGGAGATGGCAAGATATGTGTCGCTATATGCGGAGATAATGTACCTCCTCGTAGCGCCTGTAAAAGCCCCAAAGGAGTCGGACCATTTCGCACAGGCGACACAAATCATGAGTCATCCGCGTCTTCCCATCGCGAGCATGTCGAGCTCGATCTTCGTCGATTGGGGTTCCACAATGTCAATTTTCATCCAGTACTCACTGAAAGGAAGCACTTGCATCTTTATCGGCAGGCCCAGTGCCTGTCATGAAATTGAGGATGGGACAAAGGTGGGGTTCTTTCTGATAATGTCTGAATCATAACTCTATATCTACAAGATGCTCAATGCGCTGCGTCTGCTAATTCAACACCACCATGACCAGCATAGTAGGTCATCAAACGCCTTCTTCGGATCAATGCGCTGGCCGAGATTGCGCTCGATCGCCCTGGTTCAGTTCGTCACAGCCTGATCAATGCCGAGCTTCTGTGCAACGTTCTCTAGCAATATTCAACCCCAAGACAGTCTGATATCTTCCCTTCGTTCCTCTACCATTGCTCGTTGATTCGAGGGTTCTTGGCTGCTTTGCTGTTCGCAGCAAACCGCGTCCAAGTGGCTGTCTGCGGCTTAGGCTTTGCGGCAATAGATGCCCACGTGCTCTTCTGAGGCTGGAGGACAGTTGTCTGGCTTGCTTGACCACTGGAGCCAAGTACTTTGGTCTCGTTGCTTTTGACCGTCAAGCTTGGGTATGGCGGCTCAGCAGTTGGTTTTGCCTCGAGATATTCGGCGGGCGCTTCCGGGATGATGGTCTCTGGTATCACAGGCTGTTGGGGTCGCTTCTTGAGAAAAGCCTTGTATACCTTGTGCAACTCTTCGGCTGGCATCTCCCCATCGCGCATGTATGCCGCGAAATGGGCATCTCGGTCGTATCCAGTGGCTAGGACCCACAGCTCTCCTGTTGCTTGGGCATCTTCGACGGAGCTGTGGAAGATGCCTTGGATATCCTTGTTGAGGTGTTCAAGCGTCAATGAAGGCAGGTTGCGTTTTCCGTAGAGACTGCGACTCTGTGTGTCAATCATGTCGCTGCGGCCGAAAATGTCGGCGACATGCTCCCCGAATGCATTCCAGTCGCTGTGCACATCATGCATTACGACCGGTCTGTCCTTGCAGATCTTCGTAAGCCACAGCACAATATCTGCAATAGGCTGGGCACCGTTTTCGGGTTGGATGTCGCCGTACTCGACACCAAATATGGGTAGATCGAAGGATATGGTGAGACCAACTTGCTCTGGGTAGTAGCAGAAGGTGTCAAGAACTGTCTCGCCAGACATGTTGGTTACACTAACTCGACCAACTCTCTTGTACTTTTTGCCCTTGTGTATAGAGTGGTTGACCATCTCGGTGTCGATGGCGACAGGCTCTCCTGGAAAGAGTCGATCATAGCGAGGGTGGAGTTGTGTAGCTCTGCATTGTTTTCTTGATGTGCGCAGGCTAGCCCACGAGCGCTTGGGCTGGGCCTGTTGGCTTGGGATCATGTTCATGTCGATGAACGGCATTGTCCTTGGTGCGATGATGTATTTGTTGTAAGTTTTGTGGACGCTGGATGCGAGTGCTGTTGCTGTGTGCTTGAAGTCGAGGGTCGTGTGCAGAGTATGCTGCTTGCGTGCTAAGGCTTCTTGAAGGTGTTGATGGAAAGAAGTGCTAGCCCAGAAGAGAGGTCCTTTTATAAGAGAGGAGAAGTTCACGTGGTGAACGGGTCACCGTGCGTGTTCACTATGGTTGTTCATCGTCCCTATTCACAACCCCAGTGTTGAAGCCAATGAAAGACTCCCATGATAGTGAATGTCGGCAAGAACAAAGCTATTCATGTTGGAGCTTCGTTGAACAAAGAATGTATGGGTAGCGCGTATCGTTCGACTGAGCCAGGGTATAGACAAAGTAGTTGTATGTGAGTATACTTGTTCAGCATGCCACAGGACCGCTTCCTCGATGGGCACAGCGCTGTTTCGGGTTATATGTCACCATACTCGACGCCAAACTTGAATGGACGAAGAACACGCCGACGCTGAGCTCTCGACATCGACGGCAGATGACGTTCCAGTCCAGATCCAGCAATCTCTGTCGCGCGATTCCGATGTGAACAATGTCGTCAATCTCTTTTCTTCTCCGTCGACTGACATCTGCTCATCGCGTGTATACTTCCTTCAGTGACGGTATCCGGTGAGCAGTACCAGCGGCTCTGCCGTAGTTTGAGCGTCATCGGTGTAGCTAAGAATATAAGTCGGCACAGTCGATAGTATCCGGAAACTTCTCTCCAATGGCGAGAGGTGTTGAGGCTATAGTGTTCGATCGATAATCATATACCGTGAAGTCGTAAAGTCGGCGGTGTCTACTACTATCTTACAACTTCATCATACCGCTCTCCTCTTCGTGTGGCCTCCCACTGCTCTGGTGCTTGGTCATTTCTCCGTCTGCCTTAGCCAGCCTTTCGGCCTGCGCTTTGAGCTGTGCCGCTTCGCGTGCCTTGCAGTTCTGCTTCTCGGCCAAAGCGATGCTCTTCGAAACCACACCTCCTTCTTACCAGACTTCTGGAACTCGTGGCTGCTGCTGCTTCTTCTGGGGCTTGGTCGCCGCAACAGAGGCCCAAGACTTCACACCACCCTTGGCTGGCTGGGCTGGAACCTGGCTCTGAGCCTGCTGCTGAGCTACCGTGACTGTTTGCTTCCCCTGGCCACTCGGACCCAGGATCATGGTGCCGTAGTTGATCACGGTCATGTTCGATGGGCCGGGCTGCTTGTTCACAGTCATGTTCGATGGGCCTGGCTGCACGTGCTTCGATTTTGGAATAGGCTTCGCCCAAGCACCAGCAGCTGTGAAGCCTGCATTTGCCGCCAGAGGCTCTTGAGTTGCGTTCTTCTTGCCGTCCTTCGATGCCTTCTGCCGATTCTGGCCAGGTACCTGGTCACCCCACATGTACTTCGCGAACTCGGCGTCGCGATCGTACCCCGTGTAGAGAACCCAGAGCTCGCCAGTGACCTGAGCGTCTTCAGTGGAGCTGTGAACGTCGGCCTGAATAGTCTTATTCAATTTCGCGAGTGCAAGATCAGCCAATTTGCGCACGCCGTAAAAGTCCTGGGTGTCGTGGACTGTGCTTCTGCCGAAGATCTCGCTGGCATACTGTCCAAAGGCGTTCAGGTCGCTGTATTTGGCGTGCATGATGACATCGCGGCCGCTGCAAATCTTTCTTAACCAGCCTACAGCCGTCTCGATCGGAACTGCGCCATTGCTTGAGAGGAGGTCGTCTGCCTCGACACCAAATCTCGGAGGGTCGAAGAATTGTAATTCGAATGCATCATCAGGATAGTAGACATAGACGTCTAGGACCGTCTCTCCAGAGATGTTCGTAACGCTTACTCTACCGACTGCCTTGTGTCTAGTCTCATCGGCCAGCACGTGGTTTAGCATTTCGGTGTCGAGCGCGACGGGCTCGCCAGGGAACAGACGATCGTAAAGTGGCACCAGTTGGGTGGCGCGGCATTGCGTCTCCGATGTGCGCAATGTGTGACGACCGCGACGGGGGCGACGCGTGGGCTGGGGAGTAGTGTACGTGATATATGCTGTTGAAGGACCCATGGCCTGAGCTATCTTGTTGAAGCCAGCCATGCTGATGAATCTGATCAGTGATGTTGATTCGAAGTGTAGAGTGAGAAGATGTGTGCGAAGTTGTAGCGGAAGGTACTGTGATCGTGTAGCCGAAGCAGTGATTGAGGGTTGCCCAGGTAGTGGAGGATCCGAGTGTTGATGAAGAAAAGATCGATTCCGAGGAAGTCTCTTATACCAGAGGCGAAGTTCTTCCCGAACGCGTTCACCATTGCTGTTCACTGTTCACTCCTGCATAACACGGCTCTTCACTGTTGTGATCCGCTGGTGAAGGACGCCAGTGAACGCTGATAGGAACAATGGCGACTGGTGAAGAATATCTGCACATGATCCGTCGTGAATAGATTTTGACCCTAGTTGGAGTAGTGTTCAACGTGTCGTAGGATACCAGGTCTCATCCAGCTTCTCTGGGATCATTGTCCTCATGGGCGGCTACCATACAATATGTGGTGGACCATAAAGCGAATACCTCGAGCATTGTGTGACCGAGGTGTCAATCCAGCTTTCCTCATTTGGCTGTCTTCGCCAGTCGGACAGGCACGATCAGTGACAGTTCGGGAGCGCGGTCCAAGCCATGATATTGGAACTCCAGCCAAGTATCCGAGATACTCCGAGAAGACGTATCAAGAATCATTGAATATACCGTGTTGACTGAAGTGATAGGATGTTGCAATATTGATGTTGCGGCCATGTGAAGAGCTGGTGAGAGAGATCGAGCGAACCACTTATATGACCAGTGTTGTTCGCTTGCTCTAGGCTGATTGCCTCCTGTTTGTCTCGGCTTGATTGTTGCATTACTAACGCACTTCACTGAAGAAATGTCTCAAACCAGATGTGCCACCGCTTGTCAGGCAGCAATTTTTGAGATGCAAGCCTGGTCGTGCAAACCTGTATAAGACCTGCATTGTTCGAGATGTGTAAGCTTAATGATCTCGATATGAAGTCATTGTTCAGTTCAGCTGCTTCAGCAACGTCGCGTAGCGTCTATGATCGAGAAGTGTAGTGGTGCAAATCTGCTGCCTGACGGGAGAAAGGCATCGTTGCGGTGCTCGAAGGAATCGAAGGATTTGCGAAAACGTGTCCGGGTTTCCTCTTCGGGGTTGCTCAGCCTTCAACTGCCCATACGTCAGCTTCACCTTTAGCCGTGTTCCGCGTTCAAAAAGAAGTGATTTGAGCAGTGCCAGGCGGCCCCAAGTCCATTTTCGCAATTGCCCTTATTAACTATTCCTGCTGTACTTCGAAAGGGCGCCGCGTTCGGGTGTTCCTGATCAAGCTCTGGAGTCAGCGATACCACAATCAATTGCTGCGATTTTTTGGTGTTAAAGTTCAAGCATGGGTCGTGCTCCAGAACAGCAGAGGGACGACTTGTCAGATGCGGCATCTTCACGAGCAGACGCTCTCACACTCAACGAAGAAGAGCTTCCGACCTACGATACTGCTGCGCCTGCGCATTCAGGGACACCTATCATCGACGAGAAGCGAAGCTCAGCTGCGGGTCCAACAGTAGAAGCACCATTCCGCTTTCCAGAGGCCGACCTACCGACTTATGACACCGCAACGAGCGGTCGAAAACTCATCGCTATACCGCAAACGTCGCCATCCGCGACAGCACCTTTCTTGGACTCTTGGTCGCCTGATCTTCTGGCGTGCGGCATCACTGAGGAAAGCTTTTCTTCATTCCTATCCACATTATCAGCATTCGTATCTGCGAAAGTCTCCCAGCAAGTCTTGCAGCATGCTACGGACATTGGCAATTCGCTGGGCAATCACCAGAAACAATATGCCAACAATGTCAAGAAATCAGTGAAACGTATCGGCAACTCGGCCAAGAGTTTCAATCCTTTTGGTGTTCTCGGCGGCACCATTGCCCTCACAGTCGGCGCAGCCAGCCATGTAGTGACTAGCGTAGTCACTGCACCTACGAGTATTATCAAAAAGCCGCGAACGCCACGAGAGCGTGCGTTCGCATATCTTGCTGCTGCAAACAAAGATTGGTTCCAGGCCAGAGGACTGCAAGCGATGTTGCTCGACACAAACGAGTTGGCGGCAGAGCTGACCATCACTGCGCACGAGATCGTCGACGCGGGTGGAGTCGCTGGTCGTGATAGTCCGCAGGTACTTGCCAATGGTTTGGAGAAATGGCTTGCACCGTTGCATATTCGAGACCAGCAGGCGGCTGCGGAACTGGCGGAAAGTAGTCGTACAGCGGGCAAGCGAACCTGGCGACCGCAGTTGCAGCTCGGGCTTGCGACGCTTTGGCTCGTTCTGGTGTACGAAAGACAATAGATCCAATACGGTGCAAGTAGATCGCGGATGTTCGCTTCCTGTCAATGATTAAAGTTGAGGAGCCGCTCGAGTCATTCGAGCGACTGTTCGAGAAGATTTCTTCTGCAGCCTCAAGAGAATACGGGAGTAGGTGCTCCACAGGTCACCCACGGGTGAATCCTTTGTCCCCCAAGGTAGAGTCTCCGATTTGCCGTAATCATTAGCAGGCATAATAGGCGACCTCAGCGTACGTTGAAAGTCGCCGCAGACGCAGTCAATCGCCTCATGGCCATTGAAGTCCTTGGCAATCTCGTGTGGACGATCTGAGAGAATTTCCGTCACTGTAGTCTACGATGGGCAGCAGAGCCGGATAAATCAGCTGCCGAAAGACAATGTAGACCTCCCAACCGACTATACGCTGCACGAAATGCGGTTAGTGATGGCGTAATGTTCTCGTCGGGCAGGAATCCGGCATCACAGCTGGCAGGACGAGACTTTGCTCTGCGAACCACGCGTCATCCTCATCGCGACTTCTCTCAACCTGTTCGAAGATCTGCTCGGATTGCGGTCATCGTGCGAAGGAGAAGTTATCTCTTCTGTGTGGTCCAGAACGCGGCTCGCGGCTGATCCGTCGCGTGTCGCCATGTTCGGAAGGGCGGCTAAGCAGGTGCTTCGACGAATGAGCATTCCCGGAGTGCTCCGTGAAGGATTGCAGGTCATATATATCAAAGTCTGTTGTTTGCGCGAAGGTTTGTACCCGGCGTCCGCATATTGCCTTGGGAGTAGGCATGCCGTAAAAGCTGCTCTCTACTGGCTGAACGAAAGCCGCAGCATCCCACAGGATTGGCTCTTGTGTTCGCCATAGTGTTGATAATGTCGGGCTGATAGGTGTGCAATCTTGGGAGCCCGACAAGCCGTCGGCGTTCGCGTGGGCAGCAAGCCGCTGGGGTGCACCGACTTGGTGGTCTTGGTTTCTGGCGATCCCGGAGCCAGCGATCCTTCACCCAGGACACTGGCGTCGGCAATGCTGTTTTGGACGAGAGCAGCGAAGATCCAGCGCTCCTGTCGCCTTTCGTGAACGTCGCTTGGGCAGTCGCGGGTGTGCGAGATGATGAAGTCGGCAGGCACCACCGGTGGAGCAAACTCAACTCCGCCAAGCCGAACGACATCTCCGCCGGCCGACCTTCTCGCACTCTCTCTTCCTTCGCCATCCACACCCGAAACCCACCCGAGTCGTTGCAGCTGCCAGACGCAGTCGAGGTGAAGCATCACGTCTGCACTCTTGGCAGCGCAGCCAATCTGCACCGCCAACAGGTGCCACCGGGCCCACAGCACGCCGCAAAGGCAAAGGGTTGTAGGAAGGTGGGCGTCTTCTCGAAATGGAGATTGCGATGATAGCACGCCTACTATCGACGTGGAATGCGCCACCCTAACTTCCTGCTTGGCATACACCTCGGGTGCGTGCAGAGCCTGGAACTCAGCATCGCTATTGCCGGTCTGCGTACTCGTCTCGCTCGCCCTCGCGAAGCAATTACGCCAACAAAGCACGATGTGAAATCTCTGGGTAGGCTAAAGAGATGGTCTAGCTCTAATTACCAACACGTGTACCAGGAGCAGATTCGCTTAGCCGTCGCAGGTAACCGGTTTCAACATACGTTGTCTCGACGAGCGCTCGGTTGGCCGAAGAACCTCGTCACAATACAAGTACTGCGTCTCGAATGCACTCCACATTGTCCTGCATGTGTGGCGTGCAGCACAGTCATCATGGCTTTCAACAAGCAGACGGACGAGATATCCGGGCCCATCAGCCAAAGCTCGCGAGTGCCCCAGTGGTCTCGCTACTGAAACTCAATTCGGAGGCTCTTGCTGCCCAACCCAGACAGATGCTTGTGCTCACACCTGTGGAATAACTCGCGGTCGCGTTACTGTGCTGGCTGATCATCTCGCAAACTGGTTGCAATCCTGATCTGATATCACTCCAGCGTCCGGACGGATGAGGTGCTTCCTTTATTCGTTCTCAAGATGTCATCCTTGCATATTGATCACTTTCCTCGTTCGATCCTGCTCAGACGATCCTCTTTTGTGTGAGGGCTAACTGCAGTGGTTGTGAGACTGCTTTCCACATGGCTGAGGGCATGTACTATTCGTGTCCTTCCTTCCAACAAGGATTGCAACAGCCGGCTTCCAACGAGTACTGGCAATACTATCCGCTACCGACTTCGACGCAAGGGAGCTACGTCTCTGCTCATATCCCAGCATCTTCGTATTCATCGCACGCTCCGACACACGCCCTCCATCCAACAGATACCTCGACAAGCACATCACCGATCGAAGGTCTTGCTAGCAAGCCGAAAAGGCCTCGAGCTACACAAGCTTGTGAGCCGTGTCGTACCAGGAAACAACGGTGTGACGAAGGCGAACCATGCACGTTCTGCAGAACCAACAACTTCGAGTGTACATACCGACCGCTAGTCCCGACCAAGGTTGACAAGATCGTGGAGTATATGCTCTCCTGGATGGCAACGCACGGAGAAGGCCTGCAAGCGCTGACCGATAAGATTGAAAGTCTCGAAGTGCACATGCAAAGTATTGCAAGTTCGAAACACCCAACCATAACTCACGAGCCACAAAGAGCTCTCCTGCCCGGTCCTAGTACAAAGCGCGGAGATCGCACACGCCGGGTGCCTGACGAGATTCGAGGATCAGTATTCCACTGGCCGGAGATTCGCAAGCTTTTCGTGGCATCTGCGACGGCGATCGATGAAGACTACGCGGCTCGAGCTGAGGCAAGAAACGCACCTCTGCACGAAATGTCAAAAAATTTGGATTCTGACGACATGGACCTCACCATCCGCACAATCAACAGGCTTATTGAGAGCTTCTTCAGACGGCTATATCCACTACAGCCTTTCCTTCAACGAAGCAGAGTGACCTCTTTGTTCGATCTGTTCCGTTGCACATATGCCTCTGACGCGATCGGTGCGACTTGTTCCATGAACTTGGAGTCTGACCTGGACCGACCATCGAAGAGGAGGCGAACAGCGTCACCTCATGATACAACGGCAGAGAAACGACGCATCGAGCGATCACCGGGCAACGCCATAGCCCTCCTCGTGTTGGCTCTGGGCTCTACGGTCATTCCGGATCGTGGTTCATCACAGCACCTGCCTGAGAGTACGATGTTCGCAGCTGCGCCGCCTGGATACTCGTATTACCTAGAAGCAAGTAGAGTCATTGCAACGCAGATCGATGGATACGACCTCGTCCATGCTCATATGTTCATGCTGGCGGGAATGTATAAAGCACAGATTGGCCGGTTAGCGGAGAGTGCCAGCTGGTATTCGATGGCTGGTCGCGTCTTGTTGCATCTTTTGCGACGCCAGGATCGCATAGAACAGCATGGCAAATCTGCATCCAACCGCCACAGTCGGGATCGGCGAGCAGTGTTAGCAGCATGGTGCTGTCTCCAGCTGGAGAATAGCATTCCGAGCGAACTGCTTTTACCGAAGAGCGGCCTCCAACAGCTCGTGCGCGATCTCTCCCTCCCGCAAGCCACAACGAGTCAGACATTGCCCCAGACAGCTGATGAGACGAGTCTCCTTATCTGCAACGCGTTATGCGAACTGCATGGTATCCAATGCGAGGTGGATGAGCATCTGTACGAAAGTGCTGTTGATAGCAATAATTCCTCGGAAATAATGACAGTGGTCAAACGGCACGCCGCCGGTCTGCAGCTGTGGCGCACACGACTTCACCCATTGCTTCGTTGGGATGAGGAACGCGATTCTCCGCCATCGGAACTTGAGTCTGCACAACTACGACATGAATACTGGAAAGTCAAGCTCAGCATCTTACGACCGTTCCTCGACTTCGTCTTGCACATCCTTCCTGGGATCCGGCACGGAATGGACTTGCAGACCTGTTCGAAAGACGCCAACGGACGACTCCGGCCCAAATCAGAGCGTCGTATCATCTCTGCCATCGACAATTTGGTCAAAGAGTCTGGGGAGGCAGAAATCATGCGCCTCGCACAACTGTCCACGCAAGCTCTTAAGCAGAAGCTCGGGGCTTTCGACGGTTTATCTACATCGTCTTTCCAAGGCAACATGGTATCAATCATTCACGAGCAGTTTCATGACCTGCTTGTGTTGACTGCAATACATCGCAACGAGCGTCTGAAGCACTTGGTCTCGTTGTCATATTTGCGGCTTGCGTACGAACAAACCACCAACTATCTGGACAGGCTGAGCGCATTGTCAGCAATCTGCGCAGAGGACTGCAAAATTCTCAAGCGCATACAAGTCTCTCTTATCGATCCAAGTATGAAAGCGAGTGGCAGTTGAGGTCTAAGGACCCCGATGCTCAACACCTACAGAACACATTGCCGATGTTCTGCCGAATATATCACCGTCGTCACAGCCAGACCACAAGTCTTTCGTCAGCCTCAAGGAAGCCGCCTCCTCGCTAGCGAAGCCTTACCCCAATGCTTGTCGCGAACACGGATCCTGCGATGACATCGGGCCTCAACATCACCGGCTGGAAGAATCGCCTGCCATCAAATGCTGCAAGGTCCGTCGGCTCGTCGGCTTCAGCACAACTTTCTGCTGTCGGATCTCCAACGTGGACACGAACTCGAAGCCAGATCATCCGCTGCCGATGGACCAACACAGCGGCAAACATGCTCGATACGGTATCGTTGAGACATTGCTTCCGAATTGGTCAATGGAGTCCTTTCATCGACTGGAGGACGAAAGCAGTCGATTGCAACTGATGCAAGTCTGGCACATGGCAATCAGGCTCGTTGCGCTTGTCGAATTCGTCGCTATGGGGAGCACAGCATACAGTACATTCCTTGCTTGCTTGCATGCTGCAAGCACGTGGCGTTGACAAAGAAGGGATCGTCGCGTGCGCTTCGCCGACCAACCGCTGGCCGGTTCTTGCAACCTCAACCACCACATCGGAGCAGCTTCTCCACGCGCAGACCCCTGTTCCGACAGACAATGAAAGCTATGCTAGACGCATGGCGTGCTTTTGCGTGCTGCATTGGTACGCACGAGAAGCTCTACCCTGTCGCATGAGCTTTCAGCAGGACCCCAAGAAGATGTCTTTGTGCTTGCATGCAGAAGCATTGCGATTGGCATGCGGCTGACTTGGTACACATCTCCGCGGTACCTGTGGCTTATTATTAGACTTTAAAGTTCCCAGGTCCTGGAGTCTTGTTCGCGAGCTGTCTCACTTTTGGTCTTGGAAAGTTTGGGGGCTCTTGTCTTGTGACTTCACTTGACCTTTGCTGTCCTGTGCCATCGACGACACCTCTTGCTCCAGGAGCTCGTGTACGATCATGGCAAAGCTGCAAGGTACCCGGCTCGGTGCCTTCCGGGCATACTTCTTTGGATTCTTCATTTGCACTGCTGGTTTCCTCTTTGGGTACGACACAGGCATTGTTGGTATGTGAGAAGCAACAGCAGAAAGCTTTTAGAAACTGATACATTTGATCCAGGCGGCGTCCTTACCATGACATCCTACAAACGCGATTTCGGATACTCGGACAACACCACCGTCTCTGCAGTAATGGTCTCATTACAGAATGTCGGTGCCTTCCTCGCTGCCTGCGCTATCTTTCCCGTATCGGAACGATTTGGGCGTAAGAAAACCGTACAAGTGGCTTGCACCGTCTTTATTATTGGAGTCATTCTGCAAGTAATACCCTCACACTCGTTAGTGTGTTTCTACATTGGACGCTTCGTCTCTGGCCTGGGACTCGGGTCAGCAACAGCTGTAGTACCCAGCTATAACGCGGAACAAGCACCGAAAGAGATCAGAGGAAAGCTGGGATCTGGCATGCAGTTGCTCTTCGCAGCAGGTGTTTTAATATCATATTGGGTCGACTACGCTACAGTCCACGATATGCCTGTGTCTTCAGCACAGTGGCAGATTCCCGTAGGATTGCAAATGTTACCAGCAGCTGTTCTTGGTATCGGCCTCTTCTGGCAGAAGGAATCGATCCGATGGCTCGCTACGAAGGGAAGAAACGACGAGGCCTGGGAAGCCCTGACTTGGATGCGAGCAGACAGTGGTCCTGAGGTCAAGGCCGAATTCGACGAAATCAAAGCTGGTATCGCGGCAGAGCTTCTGGCGACTGAAGGGTTCAGGAAGAAGGAATTGCTGGAGCCCGCGAACCGATATCGCCTTGCACTCGCCTTTGGAGTATTCCTTGGGCAGCAGTGCACCGGAATGACAGCACTTGCTTACTTCGGACCACAATTCTTCAAATTGCTCGTCGGAGCTGGAGACAAGAATCTTCTCATCACAGGACTTTTCGGTGCCGAAAAGTTCATCACTGTCGCAACATACATCTTCCTCTTCTCGGAACGATGGGGACGCAAGCCAACACTCTGGATCTCAGCGCTTATCATGTCGGGCCTTTTCGTCATTGTTGCGGTCGTCAACAATACCACTCCAGCCCCAGTGAACAACCAGACAACCGGAGCCGGAATCGCAACAGTTGCGCTGATCTTCCTCACGAATTCGGTCTACCAATTCTCATGGGGTCCAGTACCATGGCCATACACTGCAGAGGTGAGATCAAACTACTCAACATGTGATGACCATTCGGTTAGCTGACTCACGCCCAAACAGATCTTCCCCTCCCGCATCCGTGAAATCGGAACTTCCACCGGTGTAGCCACGCAATGGCTCTTCAACTTCCTCTTCTCGCTCGTGACACCGTACATGATCGCAGCTTGGGGCTCCTATACATTCCTCTTCTACGCTTGCCTCGACATCATCATGGCAATTGGAGTGTTCTTGTTCTTCAAGGAGACAAAAGGCAGGACATTGGAAGAAATGGAGCAGATCTTCCATTCAAGAGCTGCGTTCGATAATGAGGCTGTCAGAAGGAAAGCTTTGGAACACTTGGGTGACAGTGGGAGCGAAGATCGAGTGTACACGACGATGATAGTGGATGGTCATAAGGATACGAGAGTATGAGGTGGCAGGATATTATGAGTTTCGCCATTGCATACTCGTACAGATCATCATCGAAATCATATCATATCATCATGACTCAAACCCACAACCCGGGCACTCTCATCAAAGCCCTCCCAACCCCAACAACCCACCACCACCACCATCACCTCCCTCTACCCCACCTGCAAGCGGCCCAGGACTTTGATCTCCATCATTATAATTATTCGGACACCCCAAATCCCTCATAAAAGGCGCAACCTTCTCCGCAATAACATTCACCACCCTCACGGGTAAATTCAACAACTCCCCCGTCGCACTCGGCACAGTCCCCAGAGCCAAATACAAAGCACAAGGCAAACCCTTCACACTCTCCTCATTTAGCTTCCCATCCTTGATATACGAACTAAAATTCAATCCCAAGAAATTGTTGGGACCGGAATTAAATCCAAAGGGAACGGGGTTTTCGAGGTACATTGCTGTGAATTCGGGGATGAGTTGGAGTTCACCGTAGGGGGTGAGGCGGTTGGTCCAGTTTGGTGGGATGCGTTCGCCGCCGGTGAATGTGTATTCGCCGGTGGAGGGGGATTTGGTGGCGCCGAAGAAGGACATTATGGTTGCTTCGGAGGCTGTGGGGCCTGTGCCGAAGAGGTCGTAGACGAAGGCTGCGGCGGCGTAGAGGGCGATTTGGATAGGGCCTGTAGGAGGAATGGGATTAGTATGTTGTTCTTGGGTTGGATTTCTTTGGTGGGAGGTGGATACCGAAGAAGAATTGTCCATTGTCTCTCTTGGATTCCTCATATCGTTGCTTGCGGTAGACGGAAAGTTTGGAGCGGTCGCATTCGCCGTCACAGGCGGCCATCATGCTGGTGAATAGAGTGGAATTGAAGCTGTAGTTGTCTCGGGTTGGGGAGAGGTAGTAATCGTTTCGTGTCAAAGAAGTGTCGGATTCGAAGTGGTTATGTCCATTGAGGCCAAGCTCGTCACCTAATAGACCGCCGATGATACCGGACGTGCGTGAGCTGGCATCACACCCGATGGACAGCTTCTTCGTCTCAAGCAAGTCGCCACCTTGACCAACGCCTGCAATGGCGAGAATGGTAGCGAGATCGAATCCGACATTGAAAACATTCTGCTGGGCGTCCATGAGTTCGTTGTATGTTGTAATACCATCGTGGGCGACTGTGAACACTCGTTAGCCAATACGACATACGATACCTACAGTTGAGCATAGTGCTCCCACTGGGATAACTGACTAAAGCCATGGTTCGCCAGAGCGTTCAATGCTAGCAAACGTCAGCTACGAGCGTTCTCCCCTCGAAATGTCATGCATACCAGGACAAGGCCCTCGAATATCAGTCTGCGGATTCGGCTCCTTGTACTCATGCGCTACATCGCCAGGAGCCGGTACCTGAATACCACCCTTCCCTGTCCCCGGCAGTCCGTTCTTCGCGCCGAGATAAGGAAACTCATCCGTGCTGGAGAATCCAGGTTCATGATTTGCATTGAAAGGACAGCCAGGAGAATCTCGTCGCGCAAGATTCGCAGCGCGTGGAGGGAGTGCCGAAGAGTCGACCCCAGGTGCATGCACTACCCAGGGATAAGCAGCAGCCTGCGCTGCGAAGAGAAGCGCTGCACGCGTGCTGCTGACAAACATTGCGAAGAACCAGAATGGGAGAGCTCGTATAGGGTGGCAAGAACCATCAAAACCAGTGATGAGGCTTCGACAAGTAATATGTGTTATGGACAGGAGGCATGATCGTCTATGTTGGGTTGTAGCTTGTGTGCTTGGGTCATGAAGTTGCATTTCGCAGAGATTCGATTCGTCGCAGCCTTGCTTTGCCAGCCGGCCACGACTCAAACGTCTGGTTGTACGTCGTCGGACTCAGAGCCGCCTTAGCTTCGAAGGCAATGATGTGCATTTACCGTGTCTTAAGCTTCGAGGGCTGACGGATGAGGCATGGCTTAGCATGTTGCTTGACACATGTACCTGCATGAAGCCATTCATCATAAACACGTACTTCCCAGCGGCCAGCTTTGCTTGTCGATGTATGCACTTTTTATGTGTGAGTATGGCTGATGCGATGCTGCCGCATCGTTCTTAGACGAGCAGAGCGCACAGGAAGCCTAATTAGGGTCTAGTGGTTGTCCTTCGATCACGATTCCGAGTCGGCCTACACTCACGGCTAAGGCGCAATTGCAAGACCTGCTGTCGTTGAACGTTGTCTGCCAATGTTGCGTGCGGATGCTGGTACAATATAGCATCAACGTCAGCAATCTGTGCAAGATGGAGGCCTTCTGCAGCAAAACCATTCAAGATATCCTCGTAGCAACTTGGACTGTAAGTGCTGCGATCGTGGTTTCCTCATCGCAAGCGTCGTTCGACAACCTGTAATCCGATGCTGCAGTGTGCGTCCAGACCGCGCTGGAATCGGCGTTGAGCACAGTATTCGCGACATCAAAGATGGCTAGCTGGATCCTCGACTCCATCATCGACAAGATAGTCATCAGTCTGCCTCAGCTCAACCCAAGATATGTTCGATTTCAGACTCTCTAGAGTCGACGAAATGGCGCTTCCGTCCTGCGTAAAGGTCGAATTTGCACCGCGTTGGGCCCACATTGCAAGATGCAACTCCTTCACATCGTCGAGATAGTGATCCTCCTCTCGGAGAGGGACTTCCTCAGGATGCTCTTTATACCATTGCTCGACAAGTTCTTTGGTCACATTTTCATCTTCGGGGGGTTCACCGGGAATCAGTATATTGTGCGACGAATATGGTTGCGGCCTGACTCGGCCAAGTCCATAGCGGAAATCTGGCTCTTGCTTCTCGATACAATAGGTTTCGATGGCCATGTCGAGCTGCTTCATTTGCGTGGGTGACAGTGGGAGTATGCCGGACATGTAGCGTAGTGTTCTCCATCCATCGGTGGTCAGAAGACGCTTCAGAGTGCCCGTGGTAGCGGAGGCGCACCAGGCATCGCGAGGTTTCCCACCCGGCAAAAGCCAGACGTTCTCAACGGTGAGTGAGTCGAGCTGTAGACCTGGAAAAAGCGACAAAGCTTCGTTGAAGTTGTGAGTGACATAGAAATCTGGTTTCGCGAAGGCGTAGACTGGCAAAGGAGTGTCCACCACGTATATATGGCGAAGCGCGCGGAGCTTCTCATCTGCCCATTGGCTGAGCACATCGACGAAGGCGACTGTCGAGGCGAAGTGATAGGTGACGGCCGAGTGCCAGCTGTCGTCGATCTCGCTGGATATCTGCTTGCACACACAGCGGAGTGCGCGAACCTCGAGCGGCAGGCCCGGCAACAGGGACAGGCCCCGGCTGGTGGCTACATTTCGATCTGATGTCGCAGTCCAATCGCGCCAGGAGACTTCAGCATTGCGGCCGTCGGTGTCCACAAAGCGACCAGGTCTGTCTTGCTCTTCCACCTGCTCGGCATCATACTCTTCTTCGCGGTCGTCGTCGTCGTTGTCGTCGCTCGACGTTTCGTAGCGGACATCGCTGTGCAGGCGTTCTGGACCTCGTTGGACACGGACTTCAAGCGAGGCGAAGAGCAGCTGGTAGATATGCAGTCGAATCTCGGTGGGGAGCCCCAGCAAGGAGCAGCGGGCTACGGCAGCCATGCTGAGCGATGTGTCTGGCAGTTCGGGCGCGTCGGTCCTTCGAAGGAGCTGAAGTAGAAGTTAGGCGCCCAGCGAGCGAGCGTGTTGGAGCAACGCTGTGAGTCACGTCCTCTCAGACTGTGCCACCACACTGCCGTCTCTCAAATCACGCCGCCTTGTCGGTTGGCGTAGAAAAAGAAGTGAAATGGAGAGGCCGCCCTTACCACTTTCGCGAGCCTTCCTGACACGCAGAGCTCATCTACGAGGAATACGCAAGCCAACTCAGCTGTCTTCAGCGGCACAGCCTGATCAGTCGAACGGCTGCTGAACAGGTTGAGGACTGTGAGTGCGCAGGTATGGTTGTTGCGTCGAGGGGGAAACGTGCACGACGGCCATGTCCGCCTCCGCTGCCAAGTCCCGCCGTTACAACATCCTCCACAAGACAACTTCCTTCTTCGTCCTTCCACCTCCACCAACATGCATCCGAGTCTTCCATATGGCGAGACTCACCATTCGCGCGAAAATTACACAAGCCGTTGTGCATGCACAAGATGATCTCATGTCCATGTCTCCGCACGACATACACCTCACGCCCGCCGCCAATGCACCGAGCAGTGCACTCGCTTCGCTGTATCATGCGCCGATACGAGAGCATCACTACCGGCATAGGCAACGAATCCTCCTTAGCCACTCTTGGCTGCATGACCATCCCGCATATGCGAGATCAAATCCCTCGCGTTCCTGGCAGGTACTATACTGCTGCTCCGCGATTTAATCTCCCATGGTATAGCCTGAGTTCTTCACACCTGAATCAGGCCGCGGCCTCGCGTTGGGGGTCAAGCAATGTCTCTGTTGAATGACACCATATGTAGGTCTGCGTTGTTCGCTTTCGCCCTTTTCTTGACTTCAGGCATGAGCAGATCCTGCTCTGAATGATCTCAAGCATGCCTCGTGTTTTCTCTCCTCTAGCAGCAGTGGCTGGGCTTCTGGGCTCAGTCACAGCTCAATCTTACACAAACAGCTCCTCCGAAAGTGTCCAAGTGCGATGGATTGGCTCTACGCCCGAATACCATTCAGGAACGACGTTTGGTCTGCCATGGGCTCGAGGCAAACACTTCCCAAACAGTACACGCTTCTCGGCCTCAGGTGACATTGACTTGCAGTCCTGGGCGACCGCATACTGGACCGATGGTTCTCTCAAGTGGACTGCGCATGCAATTCCAGAGACCGAGAACATCGCAGACGAATACACAATCACTGCATCGTCGGGCTCTCCAAGGACTTCCCAGTCTGCTGGCATCGCACTCACTGATTCTGATGGCTCAGTCACAATCGACACCGGCAAGATCTCAGCCAGCTTCCCCAAAAGTGGCAGCGTAATTGTCGAGAAGATTGAGACTGCGCGTGGCAAGGTCGTCGGGCAGAATGGTAGACTAGTCCTTCACTCACAATCTGGCGTTGCGGATAATGCTGAAGACAGGACCAACTCGTCGATTGGCTACTCTAACTTCGAGAGCAAGGTTGATAATGTCACTACCAGCAGGGACAACCAGGCACGTGCACTTGTCACTGTTCGAGGCACCCACACTCTCACCAGTGGGGCGGACCATATTGATTGGCTTCCTTTCATCTTGCGCTTCTATTTGTACGCGAACTCCGATGCCATTCGAATCGTGCACACTTTGGTCTTCGATGGCGACTCATCAACTGACTTCATCTCTGGCATCGGTCTTCGATTTGACGTGCCACTTGCCGAAGAGGAGCTTTACAATCGCCATGTTCGCATTGCTGGTGTCGACGGCGGTCTCTTGAACGAAGCCGTCAAAGGCATCACTGGATTGCGAAGAGATCCAGGACAAAACGTTCGCACAGCACAATACGAAGGCGACGAGACTCCGACCCCGGATACCTGGGATCCTCGCGTCGGTAATGCTACGCGACGTGGTTGGATCCCCAACTGGAACGACTACAGCTTGACACAGTTGTCACCCGATGGCTTCACATTGAAGAAGAGGACCCAGGCTGGGCAGAGCTGGCTGAACATTCCTGGCTCTACACGTTCTGGTGGCTTGGCTTATCTTGGAGGTGCTACACAAGGAGGTCTCGCAGTTTCTCTTCGTGACTTCTGGAAGAAGTACCCCACAGGTCTGGACATTCGTAATGCTGCTACTGATGTTGGTGAAGTCACCGTCTGGATCTACAGCCCTGAAGCTCAACCTCTTGATCTCAGACCCTACCACGACGGATTGGGCCAGGAGACTTATGCAGATCAGCTCGATGCTCTCGAAATTACTTACGAGGATTGGGAAGACGGCTTCGACACTCCATATGGCATCGCCCGAACCAACGAGTTCTACATTCATGCTTTTGAGGCGACTCCTCCTCGCGATCGTCTGTCAGCTCTTGTAACGCACGCCAACAACCCACCAGTCCTCTTCACTGAGCCAGAATACATCCACTCGACCAAAGCTGCTGGAACCTGGTGGGCGCCTCCTTCGACCAACACCTCGAGCGCCCTCGCTGCTCGCATCGAGAGCAACCTTGACTTCCTTGCTACCTTCTACCAAACAGAGGTCGAGCAACGCAGATGGTACGGTCTATTTGACTTTGGCGATATCATGCACACATATGATGTCGATCGCCACCAGTGGCGCTACGATATCGGTGGGTACGCGTGGGACAACAGTGAGCTCTCGCCTGATCTCTTCTTCTGGCCCTACTTCCTTCGCACTGGACGTGAGGATGTCTATCGCTTTGCCGAAGCTCTCACCCGCCACACTGGCGAGGTCGATGTCTACCACATCGGTCAGTGGAAAGGTCTCGGAACGCGTCACGGTGTCCAACACTGGGGCGACTCCGCCAAGCAAGCCCGTATCTCTACAGCACAATACCGCAAAATCTTCTACTTCGTTTCTGGAGGTGATGAGCGTGTGGGAGAGTTGGTTGAAGAGACCCTGGACACTGACAAGACATACGAGACTCTCGACCCTAACCGCAAAGTCCGAACAGACGGCTGGGTCCCGGCACCTGGTAACCGCGCCACGATCGGTCTCGGAACAGATTGGTCAGGACTGGCAGCGTCCTGGCTTCTCGAATGGGAGCGTCAGGGTCCTCGTGCGGAAGAAGCCAAGCTCAAGTTGACGAATACCATTAACGGCATCGTTAGCTTGAAGAATGGTTTCGTAACAGGCTCTGGTCTCTACAACAGCACTGATGGAACTCTTGACCCACCACCTACCGATCCTGACAACGAAGGTGTCGTAGCAGTATCGCACTTGTCAGCTGCTTTCGGTCTAGGCGAAGTCGTTGCCGAACTCATCGAGCACTACGGTGACGAACTTCCTGAAGGCTTCGAGCAAGTCTGGTTGGACTACTGCTATTACTACCGCGCTCCAGCCGCCGAACAACAAGCTCGATATGGGGGCAATTGGACTCGAACAGCCACGCTCCGACAAGACCACTCGCGTCTCTTGGCTTACGGATACTACCGTACTGGCAACGAGACCTGGGCGCAGCGTGCTTGGAGCGAGTTTGAAGCTGATGGGTTGAACACGACCGATACTTGGGCAACGACGAGAATCAATGGAAGTGCAGTTTTGGCACCTGTTGATGAGGTCCCGTGGTTGTCGACGAATGATGCATCGAATTATGGATTGGCGGCTATGACCAATTTGGCTTATATTCCTGGGTTCTTGCCAGCGAGCTTTTAGTCGAAACTTTTGTTCTGAAGGACATTCAGTGGAATTGTTTTTCACATTGCAAGAAAGCAGATCAGATCGATAGAAAGATTCTCTGTGTATACTAAATTCTTCGGTGTTCTTGGATACAACGAGACTCTATAAACATTGCTCTGTAAGATCTTTGGCATAAATCTCGCTCTTGGTAATCGGACCCACGATTCAGGAAGTCAGTCCATAACATTCTACAAACAGCTTACGCATTATATCAGCGAGCTTAGAGCACTGTCTCGTGGCCGGCGATCGACAGAAGAAGAAGACGAAAGGAAGAAAATGACCAGTCTGTGCCAGTCTCAACGATAACAAACAACCCCTGAAGTCTGCACAAAAAGAAAAAAATCCTGAACGCAATCTCCGAAAACTACAACGCTCCTCATCATCACCCCTCCACCTCCCTTCTCGCCGCCTCCTCAAACACAATCTCCAAACTCCGTTTCAGATTCGGTGGCAAATCCTGCTTACACGTTTCTCTCTTTACGCAATATGTCGGACTGCCACCAGCACAGGCTTCGCGACCGATGGTATTATAGATGCAATAGTCGCCAGTGCCGAGCTCTATACAGTCTGCGTCGGATGTGCAATAGGGTTCGGCCGGTGTCGCGAAGGGACTACAGGAGCCCGTTCCTCCGCAGATTGCTTCTGTGGTCAGGTAGCGGATGTCGCAGTAGCATCGTTCCCCGCCCGTATTGGGCCTGATTTGTGCGAAGCAGTAGTCTTCTTGATCCCGAGTGCAGCGTGGAGTTGGGCCAGCTGGGGGTGGGCTTGTGGTTGTGGTAGTAGAAGTCGTGGACGTTGTCGTTGTCGTGGTAGTAGGTGGAGTTGTAGTCGTTGTCTAAATTCCTTAGTGTTGCTTCATGCAGTCCAACGCATCCGATAATCTCTTACTGTAGTAGAAGTTGTTGTGGTAGTTGTCTAAGACGCTCAGTATCAAATCGTAGAACCGGGGAGTATTAATCGGCTCTCACCGATGTTGTAGTTGTTGATGTAGTGGTGGTAGTAGGCTCAGTTGTAGTCGTTGTCTATAACGATCAGTATCAAATCATGGAGTAAGGCAGTATTTGCCATGTCTTACGCTCGTTGTAGTTGTCCTGCTAGAAGTTGTCGTCGATGATGAAGAAGTAGTTTGAGTGGCCCTCGTGGAGCTACTGGTCGTGGACTGTTTCGGAATACACACGGTCTTGGTATAAGTCAAAGTCCGAGTTTTGGTCTGTGGATATCCCAAGCAAGAGCAAAAGGTGTGTAGCTGGTTCTTGTTCTTGCGCAGCTTGTCCCATGACTTCGAATAGGCATTGCTGTAGCCATAGCCTTGATGAGGAGCTGCGTCCGCTGCAGCGTCGGGCTCAGCATCTCGACTCTGCTTGTAGCCATAACCGTAGCCTCCCTTGGTCGATGTGACTGTCACAGTCTTCTTCACTGTAGTGTAGACAGTACACTTGGGGTATTTGCCTTCGCAGTAATGGACGGCAGGGCCGTAGTTGGAAAGTGATGCATAGCCCGCATAGGGGTTGCTCTTGCACACGGCTTGTTTGCCGTACGCAGCAGCACCGTAGCTGTCCCCAGCGAGGCACGTTAGCAAAACGAGCACAAGTTGCGAGTACATGCTTGTTGAGTATCGTCAGGTGGTCGCGACAAGGACGATGTGTTGATCAGCGCGCCCTGTGTACTATAGATACCATCACAGCATTCAGCACCAATACCGTCTAGGCAATAAAGAGGAGAAGTCTAGAAACGCTTGGGCCTGGCCGCCTGAGTTCGTCAATTGAGTTCACCTAAGGTCGCAGCCAGCGCCACGACGACCCAAAGCAGGCGACCAGTCCATAAGGGGCCAGAGAGGCGAGCCGAAAGCAAGAAAGCAGCCACAGAGTGACAAGTCACTTCTCGTGCGTTGCCTGTCTCGAGTCGGGGCATTGCTCTGATTGGAACGACATCAGCCATGGCGAGAAGTTTTGGAGCCGTCGCCTCGGACACAGCCGCATCTCCTGATGCAATAATGAAGTCGGGCGAAGGGCCGATAGGCGTGGCTGACCACGTGTTGTATTGCTCATTTCACGACGCGGCATCAATCGAAAGCGCTAGTAGTAGTGAAGACTGGCGTGGACAGTCAGTAGGAGGGAAGCAACGAGAGAGGGTGTTGTCGCGTGGAGTTGGATGCCAAGCGGTCGTTCCTGCTCCAGTTCGGTCCCGCTTGAACGTTTTCCCGACATTGTTTTTAGAGCGTGCTGCTCTCCATCGTCGAGATCAGTCTGCGCCATTGGAGCGGGCAGTGCTGAAAAGTAATCCCCACCATGGCAGCACTGGAAGCATTGGACTTCGTCCCCGCCGTCGACAAGTTCACGCCACTGTCCCAGCATCAAGAACAGACTCCCGGCACCTTCTTCGATGGTCCGCCGGTGCTTCACCTCCATGCACCGAACACACATATCACTCTGCCGCTCGCCTCGCACCAAAAGCACCAACCGCTCAAGAACCTAGCGGAGACCGTCAACGATGATGTAGCACAAGAGGGCAATGTTCGCCTCGCAGATGTCGACGTGTGGGTGACATCAAAGTGAGTCGCAACCATACCGCAACCACTTTGCGCGCAATGCTGATTCATGCACACAGACACTTGATCTTACACTCAACCAACTCAAATGGCGGCTGCCGCTTTACCTATCCCGCCATCACCATCACGGCTATCGACGGCGATGCAGTCCTCCTCGAGCTTAACCTGTCTGATGCAGATACCGCCGACGACGACATCGAGTACTTCCAATTGAAAATATTTGCTACTGGGGTACAACACGGCGCATCGGATGCTCAAGCAACTGCGGGTAGCTCTAATGGCACCAACGGCACAACATCAGACAATGACGCGACCACGGCCCTGTACAAAGCAATCGCAGATTGCCAGGAACTGAACCCTGATCCTCCAATGCCTGGAGAGGAAGGCGAGGATGGGGAGCCCGTCTTCGATGAGACGGCGCCAGGAGCTACGGGATGGATTACGAGTGAGAATATGGATCAGTTCATGGACGCTGACGGGAACTTTCGAATGCCAGAAGGCGTGACGTTCATTGGAGGAGAAAGTGAAGATCAAGAAGGCGCGACTACCGAAGGTGTCCAAGCACCACTTGGCGAGGGTGCAGGCAGAACGCGAACTGCGGCAGAAGCTGGTGTTGAAAGGGAAGACGAGAACAAGTGGCGCGCAACTGGCGACTGAGGGGACAAAAGCGCAGAGCGGCGAAGACAAGCATATGCGACACTTTCGCACGAAGTTACGAGCTGTGGAAAGTCTGGCCCACATGGACTATTTCCAAAGAAGCGCGGTCGTTTCTGTCGACCCAATCCGACATTGCCTCCAACGCTACAGCCTTGGCTTGCCTGCTGTCAGCGGATCTGCCACTGCCGGGTTCTTCGTATTCACAGGACTAAACCAAGGGTGGACTGGAGGAGAGTCTTTTTGCACAGTCGCAGTAAAGACAGCTTTCCTCTTCTCCAGGAATGCAGCAACAGCCTCGTCATTATCCACACTTCCTCTCATATGGCCCATGATTCGGGATTCCAATAGATGCGCTGCCTCTGCACTATCGACTCCCCGATACAGCATTTCTCGGATCATAAAAGTGCTGACCGTAGACGTATTCGATGCGATGCCCTCTGCCATCTCCAATGCTTTGGGAAGTACATCCTCCTGTCGATCGAGTACTTCCGCAAAGAGTCCATCAAGTTGTTTGGCCGTGGCCGGGATTGTAGCCCCAGTGGTCACGAGCTGAAGTGTCCGAGCATGGCCGATAAGACGAGGCAGGAAGAATGATGAACATCCCTCCATTACCACACCACGTTGCGAGAAGACGAATCCAATCTTCGATTTGGACCAGACGACTCGCATCACGCATGCCAAAGTCATGGTGATGCCAACACCAACAGCATGCCCGTTGATTGCTGCGATCGTCGGCTTAGTGCAATTGTGTATCGCGAGAGATACGCGGCCACCACTATCACAAATCAGCAAATGAGCTAAACCATAGCATCGATGCGACACTGAACAGCGATTCTTGCTACAATTCATAATCATGTGGACAACAAGCCTTCAATGCCAACGGAAGCGATAACAAGAACAGAGAAAAAGAAAAGAAGAAAATCTTACCCATCACGATGCGTCTTATCAGTCTCATTCTTCCCATTCCCTTGCAACTTGAAACCCTGCCTCAAATCCTGTCCAGCACAAAATATCTTGCCATGTCCTGTCAAAACAATACATTTGACACGATCGTCGATACTTGCGATTCCGAAGAAATGTTCGAGCTCATCGGTCATGATGTCTGTGAAGGCATTGTTGTTGTTTGGTCGATATAAGGTACATATTAGAACTGGTGTTGGCTCGGGTGAGGTTGAGGGGTGGTGAGAGATGCGGATTTCGGTGTAGGGGAGGGATGAATAGTGCTGAGGGAGCTTTGTGGGAGCTGGTTGGCCGGAAGACATTTTGAATTATAGTGAAGAGGGTTTGTGGGAATCTTGGGCGAGGAGTGAAGAGAGTATGGTATGCAACAACTGCATATAGATGTTCGAGGTGAAGCATGCTTCCGAGATGCCGAGGTCCTACCGGGTCGACCAGATACGTCAAATTTTGATGCAGCGAGGTGAGTGGTGGTTTCAAATGTGTCCCAAGAGATGAGATGAGAGATACTTGATGGTAATTTTGAAGCTACAAGGCTCCATTGAAGCCATTCTTTAAGTGAAATATTCCCTGCTCATCGCTTTGCTGCATGTCCCAAGGCAGCCGCTTTTGTCAAACATCAGTCGGTCATTCCGACTTGCCTTCCTTCCCTATGTATTTCGCTCAAAAATCATTTTGTCTCTCACATTATACTGAAGGCTTCAGGAACCGATCATTATCTCGAGTGAGAAATCCACTCGGTCTCTCTGACTGACATTGCACGCCAGATCGCCTCACTCTTTCAATACTGGACTTTCAATCGCTCAAGTAGGCTTGGCTGTCTCTGTCGAATTCGATCCCTTGATCCTGTTTCGAAGCTCATTCGCGTGAATGCACTTCGCCTGTGGCTCAGGGTCGGTTTGCTGTTCGCAGAGTGCTATGGGGCCAGCCATTGCCATGTCGCCAGGCGTGATGCCGCAAGTCGTCGGAGCGATCATGGAGGTACAGTTGTGCTGGTTCACAAATGTTAGCAGCGTGCCTTTCAATTCTGGTCCGTGATGTAAGTACTCACTATCGCCGCCATGGGGACTTTGTCTTCGGTCCAGCCACCGACACAAATGGACTTCATAGGCTTTCCAGGCTCTTTGCCAGCGCAAGTTTCGTTGAGAAAACGTTGCTCTGGCTCGCTGTAGCAGTAGCCATCCAATCCACCTCGGATCTGCTCAGGCGTAGTAATGTTGACTGGTGACTGGGACGGCCACGGTTCACAAGCTTTATCGTCGCGACGCATGTCTTGTCTTGGATGGTCATCGAGTCCATTTGGAGGCACGAATGATCCGTCCGCGTCTATACACCAGGGGTCATCGACTCCGACTCCATTCGACGAGTATGCGTCTCCTCGCTTGTGCTCGCGGCAGAGGCTCTTCCCAGCGCTACTACCGCAATGCTGTACGTGGATCTGGGCAACACAATCATACTTGGACTCTTGTTAGCAGATGACGTCGCAATATAGAAGTCTCACCCACGATGTTGTTTCCCAGACAGATTTGCTCAGTGTGCTCGACCCTTCGTTCGCAGAGCGTCGTCATGGTAGCCACAACGCCGCGCTTCGGGAAGACTCCTGCAGCCACTCCGTCCGGAGAAAGGCGCTGGGGAAACTCGCTGTCGCTCGAGCCCCTCTTGGCGTGTTGAGGAAAGCATCCTGCCATCTTGTGGGATTTTGAATCGCCTTCAGCGCCTCGAAAGAAACGAGATCTGCACGGCACGGATGCGGAGCAGGTCAAGAGGAGTTGGTTGTGCATCTCGCAGGCGTACTACAAGTCATTAAGATTAGCTGACCGGCGGGGTTCATTTTGTGGGAGCTGTTGCACTTGTCCTTACCACAGAATTGTCGTAGCACACACTCAAGGTGATCCAGCCCATAGCATTACAGTTCGTTGCTATGGCTGTTTGTGCGGCGTCATTGAGATCTTTGTACTCAACGCCCGAGACTATGTCAGGAGTCTCAGGACTAGTGGGGCGTGGTATCAATGGAGAGCTCGCAGTCGGAGAGTGTGGCACGCTCGCGGCGGAGTGATGGCCGGCAGATCGCTGATGCTTCTCGTGCGACGTCTTGATTTCCCTCACATCAAGCGTCGGAGCCGGTTGTGCATTTGGGGATTGGACTGGATTCGCCAGCACAACTGTGGTGGCGGCCACAATGGCGTAGAGGAAGGTTGAGGACTGCATTGCCGTTCGCCAGCTCCGCTCGGATTGTGAATATGAAGTCTGGATGTCAGTATGTTGTGTTCAAGTTGAGCTGGTGTGATCAGGACATTAGAGTAACTGAACGGGTTTGTCGCCGCCGTACACATGTGCTCTCCTGGGCCGAATGATCAAGTCACGCCTGGTGGATGGCGACGTGACGCAGGTCTACTTCTTCGTCAGCAGCTCATTTCACTTGATCTGCTGGACGTGACCACCTTGCCGATATTACCAAGCTTTGGGCAAGGGCGTGTGGCTGTGAGGGAAGGCCACTCGGGCGATGGTCATACAATTGGTGTCTGTACAAGTTCTGGCGGCTTGAGATGTCATCTATTTCTTGCCCTTCTTACCCGCTCTTCCCATTGCTCTTCGCTCGGCACTTCTAGCCTTTCTTGCGGTCCTCTTTCTCCACGCAGCAAATCTGTCTCCAGGAACAAATGGCTTCACAGCCATAGCAGCCTTGCTTCTCTCCGCTGCTCGGCCAATCTCCCAATTCGCTTCTCTGTACATGTATTTGCCAGGGCGGAAGTGGAGCTTCACTTCGTGTTTCTCTCCTTTCGGTCCTCTCATGATGGTGATATCTCGTGAGGCATTGGGCTGGTCTTTGAGGATGGTCGCGGGCGCTGATGCGGCATCGGGCGTATCTGGTGGTTCGGCAAAGGTCATGTCGCCGGTCGTCTCCTCCCCTGATACCTCTTTTTGTGGCATCTGATATGCCAGCATGCCCAGCTTCCTCCTCCGCGGCGCATTCGGTGGTGCTGGTAGCCTTTGCGTGCGCTCGAAGACTATGCCAATGTATTTCCGTTTTGGATGTCGGGCTGGATCACGATAATATGTCACGTAGCCTGGCTGGCCGGCATGTATTGTGTGGTCGCGCCCCTGTCTCATCAGTATGCTATCCACGCCGCCAATGCTTGCGCAGACATACCATGTAGCAGTTGTCTCCAGGAAACCACAATGTCCCTCGCTGCTTGTACAGAATGTTCCCTGGCACGACATATTGCCCTCCGCTCTTCTTTGCTCCTAATCGCTTTCCCGGTCCATCTTTGGCGCCGTTGGCTCGTCCCTGGGCTTGATGCGATGCGTTTCGGCGTCCTGATATCGATGTTGTCGCAGGTGCTATTCGAAAGCTGGCGAGAGCTGACTCCAGCGATGCCAGAGCTGTCAATAACGGCGCGCGAGGCGCTCGTGATCGGAGGAGGGAGGCCATGATGTAGTGAAGTGTTGATGATGATGTTTCGCCATGGAGACTATCTTCATCGATGCCAAGACTTCCACCTCCGCGTCGAGCGCCATCAATGGGGTCTCGTTGTAACCACGTCGCAAAGGCCGCTCAATAACCCCGATTCTGATTACGAGATATCAGGACAACAACAAGACCTCATCTGACGCGCACACCGACTCTCGTTTCGTGACAACTCGATCTTCCACTCCGTCCCACCGCCCAGCAGGAGCAACACCCACCAGCGCATACCGGGCCTCGAGCCCAAACACTACTTCACTCATGGCTTCAGCAGTTTTCTTCCTCGACCTGAAGGGCAAGACCCTTCTGGCTCGAAATTATCGCGGAGACATTCCTATGAGCGCAGTCGAGAAGTTCCCTATCCTGTTGTCAGAAGCCGAAGAGGAATCATCCAGCGTCCCGCCCTGCTTCTCCGACGAAGGCATAAACTACCTCTACATTCGGCACAACAATTTATACCTTCTCGCTTTGACGAAAAAGAACAGCAATGCGGCCGAAATTCTTCTCTTCCTCCACCGCATCGTGGAAGTGTTCACCGAGTACTTCAAGGAGCTGGAGGAGGAATCGATCAGGGACAACTTTGTGGTCATCTACGAGTTGCTGGATGAGATGATGGACTTTGGATATCCTCAAACGACAGAAAGCAAGATTTTGCAAGAGTACATCACACAAGAGTCACATAAGCTGGAAGTGGCCAGACCGCCCATTGCAGTCACGAACGCTGTTTCGTGGAGAAGTGAAGGCATTCGATACCGGAAGAACGAGGTATTTCTGGATGTCGTGGAGTCGCTCAATCTGCTTGTCAGCAGTACAGGCAATGTTCTGAGGTCGGAGATTCTGGGAGCGATCAAGATGAAATGTTACCTTTCTGGTATGCCGGAGTTGCGATTGGGGTTGAACGACAAAGCCATGTTTGAGACAACAGGAAGAGCAACGAGAGGAAAGGCTGTAGAAATGGAAGATGTCAAGTTCCATCAGTGCGTGCGGTTATCGAGATTTGAGAACGACAGGACAATATCATTCATTCCGCCGGACGGAGAGTTCGAACTCATGTCGTACCGACTGAACACGCAGGTGAAGCCGCTTATCTGGGTGGAGTGTATTGTGGAGAGTCACTCCGGGAGCAGAATAGAATATATGCTGAAGGTTTGTTCACTTGCAGAGAACGAAAAATTATCTGACACTGACAATTATCTCAGGCTAAAGCACAATTCAAACGCCGGTCAACAGCTAATAACGTTGAGATCTCGATACCCGTGCCCGAAGATGCTGATACGCCTCGCTTCCGAACCAACATCGGTTCTGTTCACTACGCGCCGGAGACGTCTTCCATTGTCTGGAAGATCAAGCAGTTTGGTGGTGGCAAAGAATTTCTCATGCGTGCCGAGCTCGGTCTGCCTTCTGTCAAGGGTGATGAGGAGCGTGGTGGTGGTATGATGGGAGGCTTCGGAGGTAGCATGGGAGGTGTTGGAGGCGGCGGCAAAGGCAAACGGCCAATTGGGGTCAAGTTCGAGATCCCATACTTCACCACCTCGGGGATACAAGTGCGATATCTTAAGATTATCGAGCCAAAGGTGAGTAACAAGCAGACCAGGAGACCTGTGTGCGAAGACTGACTTGTGCCACAGCTGCAATACCCATCTCTGCCCTGGGTTCGATACATCACTCAATCGGGCGATATTGCCGTCCGGCTGCCAGATGTGCAATGAGTCTAAAAGTGGTTTGGAAGAACATAGCGAAGGCGTTCCGGCAGTATTGCGGTCATGATATGCCAGAGCAGAGCAGAGCAGGTAGCTACGACTAGGCCTATGAAGAAGAGCACTCTTCGAATACATTACACTGTTGCGATGTGCATACGAACGGCACATGTTCTTTCCGTACTTTCGCCATGATACTGGAACACTCTCGTGCGATCGTCCCCAATTCTGCTGCGAGATGATTCACCTCAGTGGTAGCCCCAGTTTCTCATGCTACGTGCAGGTCATGCTTTAGCATGCCTGTATTTGCGCAAGTTCAGTGTACATGTAAGATCGGAGTATTGTTCTCAGGACGTGCCACCCACGTGACGTCAGTTTCAAAGGGCAAGGAAAGAGCGACGGAGGGGTCGCACCGACGCTAAAAGCGGGCGTCTTGAGGAATAACATTTTCTTGCGGCGACTCTACACTTATTCCTCCCACTCTCTTTCCTCCCCGCAAATCCCGCTTTCGAGTCGAAATTCACCATGGTTTCCGCCTCCAAAGCTGCCCGAGAGGCGAAGCGCGCTGCCGAGGGCAAGGCGCCTAAGAAGACCGCTGCGTCCAAGTTGGCCTCAAAGAACGCCTCCAAGGCTTCATCGGTCAACGGCGACGACACCCCGCCGCTCCAGGATGGCGACGAGATCGATGCTGTTCCAGCCCAGGACGCAAAGGTGCTCTCCAAACTTGAGAAGATCAAGTTGCAGGAAGATGCCGACGGTATCTCAGACCGTGTGACGACCGGTGTGCTGGCGTCGCTCGAGGCCAGCAGAGATGTAAAGATGACATCCTGCTCGCTGGTGTTCCACGGCAAAGTGCTCTTCAACGATACCACAATCGAAATTACCTACGGACGGCGCTACGGCCTGCTCGGTGAGAATGGCTGCGGAAAGTCGACTCTCCTCAAGGCCATCAGCAAGCGCGAGTTTCCCATCCCAGAACACGTCGATATTTACCTGCTTAACGAGGGTGCTGAGCCCAGTGATACTGGCGCTCTCCAGTGGGTGGTGAATGCGGCAGAGAATGAGATGGCTAGATTGGAGAAGCTTTCGGAGACAATCCTTGAAGAGGAAGGCCCAGACAGCCCCAAGCTCGAGGACATCTACGACAAGATTGATGGAATGGACCCATCCACATTTCACACTCGCGCTGGTCAGATCTTGACTGGTCTTGGCTTCAACAAGAAGACCATGGACAAGAAGACAAAGGACATGTCTGGAGGTTGGCGTATGCGTGTCGCGCTCGCCAAGGCACTCTTCGTCAAGCCTTCGCTGCTCTTGCTCGATGACCCGACCGCACATTTGGACTTAGAAGCTTGCGTGTGGCTGGAAGAATACATGAAGAAGTGGGATCGGACACTTATCTTGGTTTCTCACTCTATGGATTTCTTGAATGGCGTGTGCACGAACATGATCGATATGAGGTGAGTGTGAGATCTGTGCCACGAGGCCCGCGTCAAGAGGCTGGTCTCATGTTGGAGGCTAGACGCGAAGCTATGCTTCCATGCACACAGTCTGTCGACAGGCGCTAACATTTTGCAGATTCAAATCGCTCCAGTACTACGGTGGTAACTACGACTCCTACATGAAGACCAGATCGGAGAACGAGGTCAACCAGCAAAAAGCGTACGAGAAGCAGCAAGATGAAATCAAGCACATCAAGGAGTTCATCGCAAAAGCTGGTACATACGCAAACTTGGTGCGCCAGGCCAAGTCTCGCCAGAAGATTTTGGACAAGATGGAGGCAGATGGCTTCATCCAACCCGTGGCCCATGCTCGTGTCTTCACATTCCGCTTCGCAGACGTCGAGAAGCTGCCACCGCCAGTGTTGTCTCTTGACGATGTTACCTTCTCCTACTCGGGCAAGAAAGAGGACACTCTGTACGAGAACCTGGACTTTGGTGTGGACATGGACAGCAGAACAGCACTTGTCGGACCCAACGGTGTTGGTAAATCGACTCTTCTGCGTATTTTCACTGGAAAGCTCTCGCCAAACAGTGGCTCCGTGTCTCGACACACCCATCTGAAGCTCGGCATGTACTCTCAACACTCGGCCGAACAATTGGACTTGACCAAGTCCTCTCTCGACTTTGTGCGCGACAAGTACCCCAACATTTCTCAAGATTACCAGTACTGGAGACAACAGCTCGGACGTTACGGTCTTTCTGGTGAGGCACAGACTGCGATCATGGGAACTCTTTCCGAAGGGCAAAAGTCGCGTATTGTTTTCGCTCTGCTTGCTATTGAATCGCCAAACATGCTTCTGCTTGACGAGCCGACCAACGGTCTTGATATTGAGACCATCGACTCGCTGGCAGATGCCATCAACGCATTCACCGGTGGTGTTGTTGTTGTATCTCACGATTTCAGGTAAGACTTCAGGCCCCTTGAAATTTAGCCACAGCTGCTAACCTGTCAATAGATTGCTCGACAAGATTGCCAAGGACATTATGGTATGCGAGAACAAGACAGTTACACGGTGGGACGGAACCATCGGCGCGTACAAGAACTACCTCAGGAAGAAGATGATTAGCGCTGGTGCTGTCTAGAGTATGATTGGATATATGCCAAGTTCATAGAGGAATGGAGCGATGGTCGGACTGGCTTTGGTAGTGCACCAAGCAAGCCTGGACGGGCGGCTCTACTAGATTGCCGGTTTCGCATTGCATGAGTGGGCATATCCTGCTTTTTGGTTTGGCGTTTCACGATCAGATATAGATACCAAAAGAATGATTTCGAGCATGGCGCCGAGACGATTTGAGGTGTTTGTTCAACCGACTCCTCCAGACTGATGCTGTTTTGAGGCGCCATTGGATGAGAAAGATTTGGTCAGACACATCACTCTGGATTTCAATCCTCTTTGGGAGCCTTATTTGCTTCATCTAATAGCTGCTGGTAGTCCTCTTCGTACCTCCGCCAGACTTCGGCATCTCGGGCTATTTTCTTGCGATTGCGTACCATGGCTTCGTGCGCGATGAGTCTTCTGTCTGCATCGATGATAGCCCCGGCTGTCATGCCTGACATCTGCAAGAAGCTGTCACACAATTATTATACAACCGTTCTAATTAGTTCTGAGGACAGTGCGGGGGCATACACTTTGAACTGGAAGGTGAGGCCTCGATATAGAGGCGAAAAGGCATAGCCTGCTGCTGCAGCTGCGAGGGAGAGAAGACCCCACTAGATCGGACCCGTTAGCGTAAGTTGAATTGAGCTGTTGAGATGTACGCAGAAAGTTCTTCTTGCGGTGTCCCGGGGAGGCAAATGCAGCAACATCATCATGATCAATGCCATGCTCGTGTCTTACATGCCTTTGCAGCTCCTGCAGCAGCGCCCCGGGCGGCCACCCACGAAGCTTCATTGATTTCTTCATCTCTGGTCAGGCTGCCATGTGTCCGCACCATCACCGTCTGTCGTAGGCTGCAAGGGAAATGTACATGTGAAGTGAATAGACAGAAACAATGGCAGACAAAGAACTGTCGTTCGTCAAAAGCTCGGTGTGCACGTGCCGTCCAGCCGTCAGTGACGGAAGGGAAGCTTGTCTGCCATCGACGCCATGCCTCATTGATCCTAGTTCAACGTTGCGGTCTGCGTGACGATTACCAAAACACCCGCCGCTGTGGATTTTGACCGGTCGGACTTTAGAAGCTTCGCATCGGGCGAGTCCTGCCAAAGCGCGTGGTGTCTGTGTGTGCCGACGTAAGTTCTCGACTTTGGACCTTGCCGCCTTTTTCTCATCGTCATCATCATCTTCTTGCAAACATTCTCTACCGCACCTCAATCCTGCCAAATCTACCCACCCCCTGCGGAACGTGTATACCTTCGACGTCATTCCTCCTCTGGGTCGCACACAGCAGAGGAGATCGCCGGCTGTGTGCCCTCGACTCAATCGCCAATGGTCGACTTTCGGCCGCCGCCGCAAGCTGTGCTGGGACTACCACCGCTATCACCATCGCTATCGCTTGACCATCCGAGCAGCAATCCGCAGAGCACCGACGTATTCTACGCGACTTACCTCGCCGCTTCCAAATCCGGCACGCAATCGCTATGCGGCAACATTGAGGGCTGGGGGCCATTGAGTCCCTACCGATACGACCTGACACCATGTTTCCTCGACGTTCCCGTGCTGGCTGTCTCGGCTTGGGGCATGTTTGCGGGGTTGGCGGCGGTGTGGTGGTTATTGAAGAGGACAACTCCGCAGCCTGTGGCGAAGAATTGGCATTTTCACGCGAAGCTGGGAGTGATTGCCGCGCTTGTGGGAACAACGATTGCGCAGGCAGCGTTTCAGATTGACAGGTTCGACGGAGTGTGGTTTAAAGACGTGAGGTTCTGGACTACAATCGCGAATCTGCTGAGTTTGGGCGTGGTGGGCGTCGTACAGTATCTGGAGCACTGGCGGCTGCGACACGCGCACGGCGTAGTCCTGATATACTGGTTGCTTTTTCTGCTCGTGTCTGCGGTCAAGCTCCGCAGTCTGGTTTCGCAAGAGCTGTTCAAAACACATGTGGGCTATTTCGCGGTCTTTGCGGCCAGCGTTGGGCTGGCCCTTGCGGAATTTGTCCTCGAATGGCTGGTGCCGAAGAAAGTCTCTGCCTACGATGCTCTGGGAGACGAGGACGAATGCCCGCTGGAATATGCCGATTTCTTCTCGAAGTTGACCTTCTCGTGGATGACGCCTATGATGAAATATGGCTACAAGGAGTACCTGACCCAGGACGATTTGTGGAACTTGCGCAAAGGTGATACAACTAGAGCTACGGCCAACACATTTGAAGAGGAGTGGACGTATCAGCTGGAAAACAAGAAGAAGCCCAGTCTATGGATCGCTCTGATCACCTCTTTTGGAGGGCCATACCTGGTTGGAGCCATGATCAAAACGATGTCCGATTGTCTAATGTTCATTCAGCCACAGCTGCTGAGATATCTGATAGCATTCGTGGACTCGTATCGTCCTGGAAGGGTCCCAGAGCCGCCTATCAAAGGTGCGGCAATTGCCTTGGCAATGTTTCTCGTCTCAATCAGCCAGACTGCATGTTTGCATCAATACTTCCAAAGGTCGTTCGAGACTGGCATGAGGGTCAAGGCCGCGCTCACAGCGGCGATCTACTCCAAGAGCATGCGACTGAGCAACGAAGGCCGGGCATCAAAGAGCACTGGCGACATTGTCAACTACATGGCTGTCGACACGCAGCGTCTTCAGGATCTGGCTCAGTTCGGTCAGCAGCTTTGGTCGGCGCCGCTTCAGATCACACTTTGCATGATTTCGCTCTATCAGTTGGTTGGTGTAAGCATGTTCGCTGGTGTTGGTGTCATGATTCTTATGATTCCTATCAATGGCTTCATTGCTCGAATCTCCAAGACCCTTCAGAAACGACAGATGAAGAACAAAGATGCTCGTACGCGCTTGATGACGGAGATTCTGAACAACATGAAATCGATTAAGCTATATGCCTGGACTAATGCCTTCATGAACAAGCTGAACACGATTCGAAACGACCAGGAATTGCACACACTGCGCAAGATCGGTGGCACTGTCGCCATTGCCAATTTCACCTGGAATTCGACTCCATTTTTGGTGTCTTGCTCGACCTTCGCCGTTTTCGTGGCCGTCAGCGGCCGCCCTCTGTCCACGGATATCGTGTTCCCTGCGCTCACGCTCTTCAACATGCTGGGCTTCCCTTTGGCCGTGCTGCCCATGGTCATCACTGCCATTGTCGAGGCAAGCGTGGCCATAAATCGTTTGTCGGACTACTTCACTGCGCCTGAACTCCAGACAGATGCAGTCATCAGAGAAGAGAATGCGCGCGCTGGCGAGGAATCTGTTCGTATTCGCGATGCCACGTTCACCTGGAACAAGGACGAGGAGCGCAACGTGTTGCACGACATCAACTTCGCTGCCCACAAGGGCGAGCTCACCTGTATCGTCGGGCGAGTTGGTGCAGGCAAGTCTAGCATGTTGCAGACAATGCTCGGAGACCTTTACAAGCTCAAAGGTGAAGTCATTGTGCGTGGCAGCGTGGCCTACGTCGCTCAGAGTTCGTGGGTAATGAACGCTTCTGTGCGCGAAAATATTGTTTTTGGCCACCGTTGGGATCCGCAGTTCTACGACAAAACTGTGCATGCATGTGCCTTGACGGAGGATTTCGCAAGCTTGCCTGATGGAGACCAAACGCAGGTTGGCGAACGTGGAATTTCGCTCTCTGGAGGCCAGAAAGCTCGTCTGACTCTCGCTCGTGCCGTCTATGCCCGTTCTGACATTTACCTGCTGGACGATGTTCTTTCAGCGGTGGATCAACATGTTGGTCGTCACATCATTGACAACGTTCTCGGAAGTAAGGGTCTTCTGGCGAGCAAGACTCGAATTCTCAGCACAAACGCCATTCCTGTGTTGATGGAAGCCCACTTCATTGCGTTGCTCAAAGATGGAAAGATCATCGAGCGTGGTACTTACGAACAGCTCATGGCCATGAAGGGAGAGGTTGCTGCGCTCATCAAGACATCCAGCTCTGAGGAGAACACAGATGATGAGAGGAGAGCTGGCGGATTGGGAAGTCCGTCAGAGGGCAGCACGATTTACGAGCCAGACGAAGCGGAGGATCCTGAAGAAACTGCTGAAGCTGAAGACGGGATTACTCACATGCATCCTATTCGCCCGTCAGGTACGTACATTCCCCCTCATTCCTCCTTCTCACGAAGCTCTGCGGACATGCTCGTCTTCGCAATCGGCTGGATGTGGTCGTCGGATGGCATTCCGCTTGTTCAGCATGACAACGCATAGCCCACGCGCGCAGCCTCCACTATGGCAACAGTGCTAACTTTTGATCAGGTAATGGTCCAATGGCGACCCGCAAGAACAGCAATCTCACCCTCCGTCGGGCAAGTACCGCATCTTTCCGCGGTCCGCGCGGCAAGGTAACGGATGAAGAAGAGAACAAAGGCAATGTCAAGACTCGGCAGAGTAAGGAATTCTCCGAGCAAGGCAAAGTCAAGTGGGACGTGTACAAGGAATACGCCAAGAACTCCAACCTCGTCGCGGTGGCCATCTATATTTTCACCTTGTTAGCAGCCAAATCCGCAGAAATCGGTAAGTCGCTACTGCAACCTAGACTCGACTATCGATCGGGCATGGGTGAACCCGGGCATCGGATTTGCTCGGTGTACGAAGGTCGAAGTCATTGCTGGGCACTACCGTATGCTAACGCAAGTGTTCACAGGGGGATCAGTATGGCTCAAGCAGTGGTCAGAGGCCAACGATGTTGCTGGAGCGAACCCGAACGTCACGTTTTACATCATGGTTTATTTCGCGTTCGGCATAGGGTCCGCCGTGCTCGTTGTCTTGCAGACCCTCATTCTGTGGATATTCTGCTCGATAGAGGTGAGTGGAGGGATACCCGGCTTCTATTTTGGCGACGTGCAGGTCATCCCGGCTCCTTCGCGCGTGGCTGCTCAGGCGAATGCGGGCCGACCACATGAATCTGCATGCTAACGCAGGTGAAATTGCAGGCCTCTCGAAAACTACACGCATCCATGGCTCACGCAATGTAAGTATCTTCGCGGTCAGGTGTCATGTTGTCTATGCTGACGTCTTTGAAGATTCCGGAGCCCCATGAGCTTTTTTGAAACGACGCCGAGTGGTCGAATTCTGAATCGGTTCTCGTCCGACATCTACAAAGGTATGTACATCCACTAAAATGGCGAATACTGCAGAAGCTAACTGGAGATCAGTGGATGAAGTGTTAGGTGAGTGCTAGTGCTCGCGTAGATGCAGCCGACAGAAAAGCCCCGCTCGGACTGTTCCGCGATCCTGGTCATGCTAACATGTCGTGCAGCTCGCACTTTCAACATGCTGTTCGTCAATGCTGCTCGAGGTACGTTGTTGCGTGGGATGATCGCAAATCTCATCGTATCGTGTGGCTGACCATATCCAGCGATCTTTACACTAGTGATCATTACGGCATCGACTCCGATCTTCGTCGCCCTCATCATCCCTCTTGGCGGCCTCTACATCTGGATTCAGAAGTACTATCTACGCACGTCTCGTGAGCTGAAACGACTGGACAGCATCAGTCGCAGCCCTATCTATGCACACTTTCAGGAGTCGCTTAGCGGAATCAGCACCATCCGCGCCTACCGCCAGACGAAGCGCTTTTCGCTGGAGAATGAATGGCGTGTAGACGCCAACCTGCGCGCGTACTTCCCGTCCATTAGCGCCAACAGATGGCTGGCGGTTCGGCTGGAATTCATCGGGTCCATCATCATCCTGGCAGCGGCTGGTTTCGCCATCATCTCCGTGACGACTGGCAGTGGTTTGTCCGCGGGCTTGGTCGGTCTGGCCATGAGCTACGCTCTGCAGATCACACAGTCTCTCAATTGGATCGTGAGGCAGACTGTCGAGGTTGAAACAAACATTGTCTCGGTCGAGCGTGTCTTGGAATACGCTCGCCTACCAAGCGAAGCGCCGGAAGTGATCTTCAAGAACCGCCCGCCGAATAGCTGGCCATCCAAGGGCGCCGTGTCGTTCAACAACTACAGCACGCGCTACCGCCAAGGACTGGATTTGGTGTTGAAGAACGTCACTCTGAACATCAAGTCCCACGAAAAGATTGGTAAGTGCGAATTGGGCTAGGAGTGCGAGTGGCGGTGGCCACACATGTCTCTGAACGGCATTCCCATGCTAACATACTGCAGGCGTGGTCGGCCGAACCGGGGCGGGCAAGTCCAGCCTCACTTTGGCTCTATTCCGGATAATTGAAGCAGTGGAAGGTGACGTAACAATTGACAACCTCAGCACAAGCTCAATAGGTCTGCATGATTTACGAAGTCGCCTGGCCATTATTCCACAGGATGCGGCGTTGTTCGAGGGCACCGTCCGAGACAATCTTGATCCAGGCCACATCCACGACGATACGGAGCTGTGGAGCGTACTTGATCACGCCCGCCTGCGGGACCACGTAGCGTCCATGAATGGCCAGCTGGATGCTCACATCAACGAGGGCGGTTCTAACCTCAGTCAAGGTCAGCGACAGTTGGTGTCGTTAGCGCGAGCGCTACTCACGCCAAGCAATATTTTGGTCCTCGACGAAGCCACTGCAGCCGTCGACGTGGAGACGGATGCGATGCTACAGACTACCCTACGCTCCAATATGTTCAAGGATCGAACGATCATCACGAGTAAGTGTTTGCCTTGATATTCCGCCTTCAGAAGCTAACCCTTGCCCACAGTTGCGCATCGTATCAACACCATCCTGGACAGTGACCGGATTGTGGTACTGCAGAATGGCAGCGTCAAGGAGTTTGACACGCCTTCGAACTTGGTGCAAAGCAGAGGGCTGTTCTACGAACTGGTGAAAGAGTCGGGGCTGCTGGGTCAAGTGGAGGCTTCTAATCAATAGAAAGTCGATGAACAGTAATGAAAAGCTACGCACTCACGCATTCACGCAAGACCAGGTCCACGTCCCTTCCTCCCCATGTCGCGCAGCAGTTTGCATGAGCGCGAGCAGCAGACGTTGAGATGTCAAGGCCGTGTGCATATGCGGTGCGACGTCAGGTCTGGCATGTGGTCATAGAAAGGTCACAAAGTAGGTGGTGGGTTGCAATGCGCGGTGCGTGAGCGTGAGCGTGAGCATGGGGCAGACGGGCCGGCCTGGCGTTTGCTCACAATCGCGACACAGGCTGGCTCGCGGAAGAACAGCCGATGCTAATCCCTGCTCGCCCCCCTCGACGGCATGCCGAAACCGGTGGGCAATCGATCACGTAGGCAGAAATCAATCTAGCTGATCTGGGCAGATCTAGGACGATGCCATCGTAACCGGATGCGCTTGCCGGGCGCCCTCGACACCTCGACACAGCTGAAACTCGCCCGCCCTGGCGATCTCGGTGGTTGTCTTCCTTGTCGCTGCCACTCACACGCGATGGAGGATTGCGGGCCGCGGTGCCAAACCTCTTGAAGTAATCACATATCCCTGCTGAAGACATGCGCCCGGCGTCAGGGCGAGAGTCGAGGCGCGCGCCTGCCCCGCTCGGTGCAGATACAATGTGCTTCTTCAGCAAGAGCGGCGGAGCAGCGCNGACGACGAAAACTCCTCGCCCCACGCACGACACTCGGAGGCAACGCCACGCGCGCTTCGAGAGAAAACGGTCACCCTCACCACACCGTCCCAGCACTGCGGTCGTGCCTTGATGAGAACCAAAATGCACTGACGGGTTGCAGCATGGCGAGAGTGTTGTCAACCTGGTTGCAGTAGGCCGATGCGCGATCGCTGGCCGACCGGGAACAACGAGCAGCCTCAACTTGCACAGCGTTGCGGGCACGCCTGTGCCTGTGGGATCAGTTACACCGCGCGCTGGCCGGGATCCAGCGCGCGGTCATATGTTGCCTGCCACCCGACGCGTCTAGTTGCATGCTTCGCTTGCGCGGCACAACTCCATGCCCTTCGGACGACGAAACTTCCAGACCATCCAGGCACGCTGCGCAGGTCCTCCCAATTACCGCTTACAGTAAACCGCCATCCTCTGACGCTGTGAAGCAGGATCTCCAGGCTGATCGCGCTGCTGCCGGCCATCACCTTCCACGGCCACTCCCGTGCAGATGGACATGGATATTCATCTCGTCTGCAATCCCTCCCGACCCTCCCCAGATCGATGTCGATCGCTCACTGGCCGTGTGGAGCGCTCACCTCGACTCTGCCTCTGTAGCATTCGGCGTAGTGCAGCGCAGTCCCGGCGCTGCGGACCATGTTTTGTTGCGCCTGCAGCAAATTGGTGCAGGTCCCTTCGGTTGCTGCGCTGGCATTGGCAGCATACACCACAGCACAAGCCTTTCTGTTCCCGAGACCTGGTCCCGCTCACGAGTTGCGTTTCCCACGCTTGTGCCCTTGCCGCTGCCACAGGCTCCCTGAAATCTCTCGGCGTGGGTAGTCCATCTCTCTCCTAGATCACGAAGCTGATCTGGTGAGATGATGATGCTGGTCACGCAGTGGGGGTGGACTCGATCTAGGTATCGTACAGCTGTGGACTTCCTCGGCTGCCCGTCGGATGCGCCTGAGCGTGATGTCAACGTTCTCCGACACCTTCTCTGTTCGTGTTCCTCCTGCCTAGTCCTTTCTCGTTAGAGATTTCCATACAGTGCTCCACTGTCTCTCTGTATCTGAAGGGCTAGGGTGGTGTATCCACATCATTGACATCTGTCAAAAGGTGTGCACGTCCACGCGGGAGGCGAGCTGGGCTCTGCTGAAACTCTTCTTATTGAACCCAAGATCCCTTCCCTCACCGCATCTTTCCAAGTGGGAGGCTATTCTGTTCATCAGTTCCAACCATCCCTCGTTCGGTCCCTTCCTGTCATACACGCACCGACCCAAACATTTTGCTCAAACTCTATCTGGCAATCCCTCCAACCAGTCGTTACGGATCTCGCCCACACTACTGTCTAGCACACACCAAAGCTCAGACGATAGCACTAACCGACACATTGGTACGCCTGAAGCGTTCATGCAAGAAGCAACCTTATGCTGACCCTAAACAGACGTTGCGGTACGACTTACAGGCTCCGTCGACGACATCCATCAAGCTCATGAGACGGACACAGTGATAGTGAGTCGATTAGGCCATGAGAATATGCACACGTCGGCTAATATTTCCACGAGAAGCCATTGTGTGTAGTTGAGGCTCGGTTTGGGACCCACTGTTTCGGACCAGGATTACATTACACGGGCAACTGACCTGCTATCAACGATAGATCTTGTACAATGGTCGCGATGCAAAGCGTAGTCAAACGCCAAAGACGAGTGACGCATGTGGAGCCACGAGAAGTTGCTGCTTGCGAACCAGTATGTCTGGGTCCTCGATCATTGCAATCACCTACTGACTAATGTGCTCCACAGAGTCTCGAGCTGATCAAGCGATCTCTGGACAATCGAAGAGCTTACGCATTGGTAGCATTTGATGAGGCTGGAAACGTCCGTATCCATGCTTCGGACGACGTGAAGGCATATTTGGACGAACTGAACTTGACGAACCAGTTTCAGCGAGCCTACGAACAATCCAAAGACAGATCACCCAGCAACACACGAGCGGCACGACGAGGCCATCCAGTTGCCAATGAAGAGCCTCTTGAAGCTGATGATTCGGCTGACGATATGGGAATGATCCCCGTCAAATCCTCCACTCAGCTTCATGGACGACGAATTTTCCAGCCCGCAAGACAACGAGGCCGTCCGATACTGTCACGCCATGCGAACCGCTATGAATGTCCGACTCCGCCTCGCGAGCCATCAATTGGTGACTGCAAGCCTCCGACTACAGTTCAGCACGAGACGCAGGCGCCCACACAGAGACCAACCAAATCTTTCCGAATCGACGACACTGAGGCTGTCACGGCTTTCTTGCTCAACAGAGTTAAGCGCATGCAGCAACTGGCCAACAAGAAGATTGCGAAAGCATGGATCAAAGGCATCTGCCCAAAGAAACAAGCCAAGTACCCATACCAGAACAACAAACAGGAGAAAGAGACAGGTATCAAGCCCGAGGTTCCAGCGTGGTGGCCTGATATGCAAGTCTGTCGCTTCATCGAACCGGATCATATCAAACGAGAAGGTATGTTTTGATACGACCGACTCGCTGAATATTGCTGACATTCATGTAGAGCGCACGGGATTGTGCTTACATCTCCTTCGTCTCCGCCCAACACCAGACCAGCTGAAGAAATGGAATCGCTACGATACAGAGCCAAGCAAAACTCACATCGAACGCGGCTGGACGGCATGGCTACAAGAGCTGGCTGGGCATGAGGTGTTCGATGACTTACCCAAGGGTTCATCTCACCGCATCGAGCATCGACGGAGTCTGATGGACCAGATGTATGCAGTGGCTGAGATGGAGGAGGACTATCTCAATGATGCAATTGGTATGTGGGGCAAAGTGATTGGTTGAACGTATGGCAAGCGATGCTAACGAGATGTGACAGACGGCGACACGACATACACCTATGTCGACGAAGAAGAAGACCGCAAGAACTACTCGGCGAAGCGATACAGACAATGTTCGACTGCATCATCCCCGGATTACGAAGTGCCCAGGACTCGGTCTGCGTCTGCCGATGGCAGCAGACCGCCAACGAAGAGAATGAAGCGAGATTCTGCATCTCCAGTGGCGTCAGCAATGGAGCGCCATCACTCGCATCGTAAGCATGCCACAGAGATCAACGGCCCTCACACTCCGGTGTCTCCAATCGCGGATCAGAAGATTGCCGTGACGACATCCTTCGGCAGCAGTGCGGACCTTGCTACAGGAGACATGAATGCGCAGCTCACAGCTGGTCCTACCCATGTCTCGCCTTACGGCCAGCAGTCATCCCAGGAAACCTCTGCCCAACCCCAACACCACACGCACAGCCTTCCACAGCACAGTGGTGTGCAAAGTTGGTCTTGGCGTAGCTGTGATCAGCCAGCACAGTGGCCAAGCGTACCGTACGGCGAGCAACAAGGGAGCCATCTACCATACCAGGTCATTCCGGCTCCAAACACCTTCCCAGGCCGTCAAGACTTCGAATTCCCTCAATACCAGCAAGCTCCGCAACCCTATATCACTCACATGGCCCACGTGTCTCAACCAGAGTTCCAAGCAACGCCCAGCACACCAGTGTACTCGCCAATCGGGGCGCCACCAATGTCTATGGAAGCATTCGCCATGTCGCAGTCGTCCGTGGCAGAGACCGTCCCAGTACAGCACTACGCCATGACCATGGCTCCAGCTTCATACTTCGTGCCAGCAGAATCTGATCCTACGATTGCTGATTTTCACCCTCCTATGAACATCTCTGGTCAACAGTACTCACAGCCTTACCATCAGGAGCCCGACGTCATGGTCGATGCACAACAGCCTTTACCAGTACAAGTCAATAGCATCCCCGTCAGCCAACCACTTCAATGGCATAATCACCATCAACACCACAGTCGTCAGTGACGCTTTCTTCGACAGATTCCGGACATACACCTCAGCTTTCGCAAGCCAGTTTGTTGATTTTTCTTGATAGCGTGAAAGCGAGCGCGTCAGTTGTTCAGACACCCAATGTTTGAGGCGTTTGCCTATGTTGTTGCGAGGGCCTATGTACAGTATCATTACTTGTTTATCAGCGTTGCGATTCGATGGTTTGCTTTGCTTTGCGTTGAAAATGAGAGACGAGTGATGAAGACATGAAAGAAGGACAGGGCTGGATATATTGTGAATAGAATAATTCCGAGTCATTTGTGCATAGACTCGATTAGCGTTAGACAAAATGTAGAGGATTGTCCCGTAAGCTAGTTCCTATACAATGTCATCAACACGTGAAGTTGAGGGAATTGGATTGAGTTTGCGGCGCCAGTCATTCACCACACTTGGTGGTCCGGGCCGGCGGGAGTAGCCGCCTTGAAACGACGCGCCTTGGGCTTTGCACGTTATCACCGATTCCCACGCGAATGTCTTTGTTCTTCACTATCTTCGGCATGTCTGGACCTTTTTTATTCGCTTAATCCGGCCACTCACATCGCGCGCAAAGACACATGCGGGACGGCACACGCTCTTTCCCCCTCGACAGCCATGTCGACCGGGAGAACTCGCGGACGCGGTCGCGGCGGAGGTCTTGCTGCGCCGGGCACGACACCGACCGGAACCCCAACAGGACCTTCTCGAGGTCGAGGCGGTAGATTTAACAATGGCGCGCGACCGACGGCAAACACCACCCGAGGTGGATTTGGGCAGGCGACGACATTCCAAGGAGCTAAGACGACCAGAGGCAATGCTTCTCGCCAACCTTCGCGAACACCTTCTGTTATGAGCGGCACATCATCAGCTACGGCCAACATGGAGGCGCGATGGCAAGCAGTAAGTTTCTCCGACCCCAAAAGGCCACTAACGGTCTGCAGACGATGACTCGATATAGCTCAGAACAGCTCGCGACCGAGAGCGCAAAGATGCCATTCGAAAGGGCCTCATGTCCGACCCCGATAAACCCATGCGACTCAGCGAAGCGATCACGCCAGTTGGAACATGTCAGTCAATGTGCGCGGAATACGAACGAGTGCAGAGGGCCGTACAGCGCGATGTTTGGGACGAAGAAAAGGTGGGTCGATTCGGATGAGGATACGTGGGAGATACAGACCTGATACTTGCGAACAGCATCCCAATATGAGTGCGTCTACTCCTGATCAAGAATCAATGGATGAGAGCCGGATGGTCAAGAAGTTCAGGCGGTCGGCAGCAGGAGATGAGGCACAATTACCATCGGATCTTCGCCCTCCACCAGTGCTGAAGAAGACGTGCGACTATCTATTCCACACGATACTGGGAGAGTCGCCGCTTGCAAAAGTCCATCACTTCGTCTGGGACCGGACACGAGCCATTCGAAACGATTTCTCGATACAGCAACTGAGCAAGGCCGACGATTTGAGCATTGCGATCGAATGCTTTGAGAGAATTGCTCGGTTTCATATCATGTCGCTACATCAGCTGGCTCTCGAGGAGAAGCCGTATGAAGCGTACAATGCGCAACAGGAACGAGAGCAGCTGGACAAGACTCTACTTTCACTCATGCAGTATTACGATGATTGTCGTGGACGCTTCGCTCTGCCTCACGAGGCGGAATTTCGCGCATACTGCGTGATCTTCCAGCTTCAAGATGCGACGCCGGATCTCGAAGACCGCGTGCAGCAATGGCCGCGGGCAATCGCCACCGACCGGCGGGTGCAACAGGCGCTGAAGTTGTATGCTGCTGCGTGCAATACCTGGATCTCTCAGGGGCCTTTCACTGGAGTTCACGCTACATCTCATGTTGTTGCACGACAGGATTGGGATAAGTTCTGGCAGCTCATCAAGTCAAGAGGAGTGTCCTATTTAATGGCTTGCGTGGCTGAGATCTACTTCAACTTGGTCCGCAGGATGGTGCTCAACGCCATTGTTCGCACAACACGAGTCAAAACCGCAGGTCCTCCCAATACCGAATGGACACTTTCAGGCATGGCCAGAATGTTTTACTTCGATGACGATCAACAATTGGAGGACTTTTGCAGCCACTTTGGTCTTCATTTTCAGGACTTGCCGGACGGGAGTGACCGCTACTTGGATATCAGCTCAATCACCAACCGCACTCTACCCCAGAATGATGGCCGAGGTCCGCCACAGTTAAAGTCATATTTGGTCGAGAGCAAGCGAGAGCGACGGACTCCCGCTGCCATTATCGATGGTCTCAGCATACGCCAAGCACAAGAACAGGGGCAAATAGTGGAGGAAGAGGATGAAGAGGGAGAAGATCTGATGGATGGTGAAGATGGTGACGGGATGGAGGATGTGGAGGAGGAGGACGAAGAAGACACTCTGTTTGTGCCGGAAGGCAAGAAAGAGAGCGAAACCACAGCTGCACCGAAGCTATCCTTTGGTCAGCCTACCAGCACAGGATTTTTTGGTAAACCTTCTTCGGCTACACCGTCTGCCTTTGGTCAACCATCAACTACCGCCGCTCCTGCGCTGGGTCAATCGCCGTCAAATGCGTCTCCTTTTGCCAAGCCCTTGAGCGGCTTTGGTCAGCCCTCGCAATCTACGAATCCTTTCGCTTCGGCAGGTGGAGGTATCGGCGATACAGGGGGCGGCAGTCTTTTCAAGGCTACTCCGACGACTTCTGCTTTCTCTCAAGCACCGACACCTGCTGCATCGACCGGACTGGGGCTCACGGGCGCACAAACCAATGGAAACGGATCAGAAGCACCCAAGCTGTCTTTTGGTGTCGGCAGCGCTGGTCAAACACCAACAACCAGCGCTCCAAGCCTCTTCGCCGCAACACCAGCGGCAACTGCACCCGCAAACAACGCCGCTCCCAGCTTGTTTGCACCCAAAGGGCCGGCTGTCACAAGCTCGACTGAGGAGAAAAGCTCAAGTACTTCCACCGCTGCACCTCTCGGCGCGAGCAACCCTTTCGCCAGCAGCGCAGCGCCTACTTTCTCCTTCCCGTCATTCGCGCCGACGGAGCCGAAGTCACCTTCGCAGCCCGCGGAACAGCACAAGACGTCACTGCTTGGTCAACCTTTTGGTGCCACCACGGGCGCGCCAAGCCAAACTGCACAATCTGAAGCAAAGTCTATTGTGCCACCTCAATCCCCGCCGACAGCTCAGGCGACATCAAACTCGACTTCACAACCAACAACTACCGTCTCGCCGCCGAGTGGCTCTTCTTCACCGCCACGACGTCTGTCAGCGTTGGACACGAAACCCAAGCGGCCATCACCGCTGTCGAACTCCTTCACTGCAAGCGACGAGGCAGGTGCTGACAGCAGTCACCTACAACCTTCAAGTCAACCTGCTAAGCCATCGCTTGCTTCACAGCGCCAATCGCATGCAGCTACACCTGCCGCGACGCGTGCAGATACATCAGCATCGGAATTTGACGCGATCATCACGCGGCTTGCGAAGGAACTCGTGGAAGATCCTACGACTGGCTACCTCAAGCAGTACGTGGAATTCTGCGTGCGCGGATTGATTACTGAAGTGCAAGAGAAGGTCTATCTTGAGCGCATCAACCAGGAAGCCGACGACTATCGACAATTTTGCCTGCAGGACAAGTTCGGAAAGAGGTGGCGGGAAATTTCGCGCATGCGCCGTTTGAGACGAAAGCAAGCCGAGCGGAGAAAACGACAACAACGAAGACTCCAAGCGTCACAGGATCAAGAGATGGGTAACAGCGGCAGTGTTCTCGACACTTCTTCACTTCGCTCTAGCCGGGCTGGCTCCGTCATTGCTCGTGACAGGCCCACCAAACAGGCAGCAGTCGACGCTATGTTCCAGTCGACCAACGGAGGAAGTCGCTATGCGGCAAATGGGCAAGCACGAGCTGGCAGCAAACGCACGGCGGAGTCCGTTGATGGCAGCTCTGTCTCGACGACTGGCCCGTTGGGTCACAAGCGCGCGAAGAGCACCAGCTACGAGGACAGCAATGGCACCATGGCGAGGTCGACAACCGCCGGGAGCCCTGAAGCGGACATTTTGAAGCGTTCATCTTTCCTCGGATTCTCACTCGCTAGCGACGCGACTCATCGCACAAGCACCACCAAATCGACATACTTCCGCATGAAAGCGATGGGCTTGAAGCCGAATCGTAGTGCTCGAAGTGGTGCAGAGCGCGGGACCAAGAGGTCTCGGTCGGACTCCTTGGATGCAGCTTCTCCAAGACTGAGTGCTTCCTCACTGGCACGCTTGGACGCTCACCAGGACCAAGATCGCGCTCTGATGCCACCCCCATCAACTAGATCTGTCCGCTCCAAGACTGATGAGGATGACGAGGCCCTTTTCGCTCGACTCCGCGCGGCTAGAGAGGCATTGAAGGAGAGCGAAACTTTCATGAAATCCGAAGTGGCTAAGGACGAGGACCTCCGTCGGAGTCGAAGTGCTTCGCATTCTGACAGCGAGTCTCCGTCTCTGCAACGTGCACGCGCAGAAGCTCGACTGCGGTCATCAGGAAACTCTGATCTCGGGAGATCAGTTAACGATCGCGACGTTCCTGCTTACCGGCTCCGCGAAAGCAAGTTTGTGCCACGCGAGCAGTACTCGAAAGCTATCGAACGAGCGAACGAGATCCGAGCTTCAAGGTCTGCGCAGAACAGTCGACCGTCTTCACGTACTGAAGATCGCGAGGCTGATTCAACTTTCAAGACGGCAGGTACTGGATTCGGTGCAGATTCCACCACTCAGCACACCTCATTCGGTCTTGGAAATGGCAATGGTGGCACTATCGCTCCGCCAACACAAGCCGCACCAGCTGTGCAGCCGGCATCAGTGTCAAGCCCGTTCGCCGTCTCTTCAGCCTTCGGTCAAGCTAGCCAGTCTGCGAAACCATTGAACCCGTTCTCACAGTCTTCATCCTTCGCAACGGCCAGCAATCATGTCAATCCTTTCTTGCAGAGTACGAAGTCGGGACCGAATGGAACTGCAAACACCGGGCCCAGCGTCCAAGACACGCCATCCACGGTTCAACCCACTGGCTTTCCTGGCTTTGACGATCAAATTCTCGACCAACCCGTCACCGGCCAGAGCAGCAGTCATTTCACGCAACAGCCCTCGTGGAGCTTTACTACCGCGCCCGAGGAGCCCGAGCAGAGCCAAGACCATACAATTCCGCCATCTCAGATCCCTCAGGCCTTGTCAGCGAGCTTTGGGCACCAGGACGTCGCTCGCCAAAGTCCATTCGCGCCCACTTCGAAGGGAAGTCCTACTCCACCTACCAACTCCTACATGCCCTCCCAGGCTGCTTCGGAGGCCATATCACTGCTGTCTGACGACGACGAGGACGAGGTCGCGCAAGAAGATCAAGGTGCACAGGATGTGGCATTCGGCCAAGCGCAGTTCTTCAATCAAGTCAATGCCGCTGCAGGTCTGGAGGGCTTCGTCGATGATGTGCCAGCTCAGAGTGACTACAGCAACAAGTTCGCAGCTCTCGCTGATTACGATGATGGCGATGCTGGAGATGACTCTCCTGGTCACAGTGAGGACGACCTTGGAGATATCGACGACGAAGAGCAGCTACCTGGCAGCTACCACCATGGCCCACCCCTCACTGAAGAAGATCTCGAAGATGAAGATGACGAGGACATCGAAGAGGACGCATCTGATCAGCCCAACGGCCAATACATGGGCGAGTACTCTGAAGATGAAGACGGATCTGGCGATGGCGATGTGGAAGATGAGGGCGACTTTGACGAAGACGGCGAGGAGTATGATGAAGATGAGGAAAGCGAGGGCGATCCAGGCGTGTATGCGAACGGCTATCAACACCAACACGGCCGTCAGGTCTACGCTGCTCCGCCTAAGAGGCAAGTCAATGAGGCCTTGCAGCAGGTTGGGAATGATGAGAATGAGCCTATTGAGCTTAGTGACTGAGTTGCTGGCTGGCTGTGTGTGTGTACAGTAGATTTGTATGAATGGGAGTGCGTCGAGATTCGCTAGATGCGCGAATAGAATGAAGAAATCGCCAAGAGTCATGAGAATACATTTATTGCATATCATGTGGCTTCTTGGTGTCTGTTATCAGTATTCAGTGAGGCTCGCTTCTCCGTTATTGGCTCTCGTGCTAGGGTTCGTGTGTCCGTGTTGCAAGGGTCTGCTTAGGGTTACGTGAGCAGAAAGTTGTGGGACGACGACAGCGAGCTGATGCGCACTTCTATGCGGACAGTGAGCTTTCTGCTATATCTTTGATATGCTTCGAGAATACATGAGCGGTTTGAAGCTGTCGCATGAATGTGTCGTGACGCTATGTTCGATTCTTTAATTTTGGTAGGTTTAGCTAAATCCCTAGATATGTGACATTGAGCTTGACAATGCACCGTTTCGACATTCCTCGGTACACGAGCACTGGAAAATCGTCGACACACAGCCCGGTGCGAGGATATTCAATGATTTTGAAGGCTCGCATGACAAATTCGCAGGTATCAGACAATAAACTAAAAGAGATATCACATGTATGCAAAGAGTCCATCATTTCGTTTCGTCAAGCCGTATATATATCTCCTTAAGCCGTAACAAATCCATGCTCCAAAGCGTTCAATTTCTCTCTCATCATTAGCCAAGCCTTCCGGTGCTGTCCAGGCCCTGAACCGACGAGGGGATTGTTTTGATACACAGCTACGATGTCCATCGCTCGCAACAGGAAGAGCACGTCTTCACGTTTTAGACCGACCTCTTCTTCGTCCGCATCCGAGCACTGCCAAGTAGCTGCGAAGTACTGTCTAATGACCTTTGCCAGAAGCTCGACGCTCTCGAGACGCATGCCTTGCAAATCCTTCGAAACGGGGTATGTTCCTGCTGTAACGGTCCAGTTTCCTTCAGCTTCATGAATGGGTTTGACGAAGCGGTTGGACCAGGCGGAGGGGAAAGAGTCTGTTGAGGAAGAGGTGGAGATTGGGAACGTTTTAACTTCTGACTTCAGTCTTGGTCGTTCCATGCGGATGTAGAAGCCTGAGTGCCCTTGCCAACGCATGGGAGCGGGGATGTTCCAGTGACGACTGAGTTGGAGACTGCGGACTCGGGAGAGTGGAATGGGGGATAAGCTGTTCATCCAGGTTGTTAGGCGTTTGAGCCAGAATTGGGGTCCGTCGTCCATGGCGATTGTGAAGTTGGAATTTGAGGTGAAAATGATGAGAGTTTCATAGCGGAGGAGGGTGTTGACGCGACTGATTGCAAGTGTGAGATTTGAGTAGGCTGTGAGAGTTTCGATGCGGTTGGGTTGGAGATCGGGGAGATAGTCGTAGATTCTGGAGGATGAGGTTAGTGAATTGCTTGGTTGCAGAGAGAACTTGAGTATGCGTACCTCAGTCGAAGCTCTGCTGGAAGGGTGAGAAGGGACATTGTGTCTGTAGGTTAGTATGGCAGAGTCGTGAATGTAAACATAGTCACGGGTCGTCAAATACATATATGCGCTAGCTCATGAGGGGCAGAAGGTGTCATCGGCAGCCTCGAGGAAGCGAAGAACAAGCGGTTTCATGTGCACTACAGGTCTGATAACATCATCGCCAATGCTGTTGTCATCGGCATTTCATAGTACATGAGTTGTGGAGGAGATTGCGACCAAGGCGCATGTGTATAGGTTTCCATGTGAAGTCCGGCGCGAGAGGGTGAACTTGGGTGGTGTCACGTGGTGCGGAAATAGCCGGCAGCGCTCTCCTCCTCACAGGCTTTGCCGCAGGGCGACAGCAAGCCCGTTCCATCAGCAGCGTCTTCTCCACCATCGCCGAGGAGACTCCCGCTACGACTTTCTGCGAAGTCTGTCCAAACACGCGCGACGCGCGACGGAGCGGACTGCGACTGCGCAAACGACCACGCCCAACGCGACGTGTCCACTCTTTCCACACCACACGCCCTCCCGCGACGAGGCTCCCATCACGCCTGCCCACACCCTCCCACCACACGTCCACCCAGCGACTTCCCCAGGCCGCGTTCGAGGTCACGGGCTTTGCGACATCACCACCCGCATTGGACACTTTCCCTTGCACCCCCGCCCACCCGCCGTTGATGCGCGCCGCCGCCTAGGATATCTCATTGGTGGACGGGACACGCGCGTCTTCAGCTGGACGCTTGCGCTGTGAGGACACCACTGCCGGGGCGATATCGCGTCCTCCATCGCCCATCATGGCTGCGGTACAGCCCAACCAAGGCATGCCGCAACAGCAGCAGCAGCAGACGCAGGGCAATGCTGTCGTCAACCAGGTCCTGCCGCCTGGGATGACTGGCGACCAGGTCAAGGCCATGTTCCAGGTACGCGACGATATGGTTGTATATTCGTGCATGGAGGGATACTGATATGAGAACAGGAGTACCAAAGCAAGAGGAGACAAGGTGTGCCGGATTCTGACCCACAGATGCAGAAGATGCGCACCGTATTATCGCAGGTGCAGCAGCGAACGGAGCAGGTGAAGCGCATGCAGCAGATGAAGGCTGCGCAGATGGCGCAAATGCGACAGCAGCAGCAGAGCGGTATGCAGCAAAATGGCGCGTCCATGCAGATGCACGCAAACGGTGTTCCCGCAGGCATGGCTGGGCAGCCAGACGCGCAGGCGCAGACAAGTCAGCAACCAGCCGTCAATGGGACATCACAGCTCAATGCCCAGGCAACCCAGCAAACGCCCACCGGTCCATCTTCAACCCCACAGCCTGGGCAGATGGATACTGGCAAGGAAAACCTGAACAAGAAGCAGGTCGAACTCCTTCGATTCCAGATGCAAGCATTCGGCGCGTTGCAGAAGAATCAGGCCATCCCGCCTGCCATAGCAGAGCGCATATTCGCTTCACGACAGACGCAACGGAGCCCGAGCCTCACCGAGAATGTAGCTGCCGCAGGCAAGACGCTGGAGGATGCCTCAAATGGCTCAGCAGGACCGAGCACAGATCTGACAACCCGACATCGCTTCGAAACCTTCACAGACCCTCACGGCCTGATGCTCAAGCGCATTAGCTATGTCGATCACGCCCATCGACCCTATCGACCGATGATTCCCAGCATAATGCCACTCGGGATCGATCCAGAACGCGTGCGGGAGGAACGAGAGAACATCGTCTACAACCGAGTGCTGACACGGAAGAATGAGCTGAGCAAGCTATCTGCGAACATTGGCGGCTGGGACCCAAGCAAGTCAGATGTACCAGAAGACAATGCCCATCTCAAGTTGCGAGCGATGATTGAGTACAAAATGCTCAACTTGCTACCAAAGCAGCGCGAGATGCGACAAAAAGTTGGGAGGGAGATGATGCTTTCCGACAACCTGTCTATGACTGCCAATCGATCCATGTACCGTCGGGTGAAGAAGCAAAGCCTGAGAGAGGCTCGCGTCACCGAGAAGCTCGAGAAGCAGCAACGCGATGCTGCCGAGAACAAGGAGAAGAAGAAGCACAACGAGTACATTCGATCGATCATGCAACATGCCGAGGACATCAGAAACGGCGCTCAGGCTCACAAGCTTCGTGTGCAGAAGTTGGGACGCATGATGATCTCGACACATGCCAATATCGAAAAGGAAGAGCAGAAGCGTATCGAGCGAACGGCGAAGCAACGTCTGCAAGCCTTGAAGGCCAACGACGAAGAGACCTACCTCAAGCTGTTGGGACAAGCCAAGGACTCGCGTATTTCACACTTGCTCAAACAGACGGATGGGTTCTTGAACCAGCTCGCGGCATCTGTCAAGGAACAACAGCGAAGAATGGGCCACGATGTCCAAGACGAGGTTGAAGAAAACGACGAAGTTGACAGCGAAGATGAGACCAAGCCGAAGACGGATTACTACGAGATTGCTCATCGCATCAAGGAAGAAGTCCATGCGCAATCGTCCAATTTGGTTGGTGGTACTTTGAAGGAATACCAGCTGAAGGGTTTGCAATGGATGATATCGCTGTACAACAACAACCTCAATGGTATCTTGGCAGACGAGATGGGTCTCGGAAAGACGATTCAGACCATTTCTTTGATCACGTACCTGATCGAGAAGAAGCGTCAACAAGGCCCGTATCTCGTCATCGTGCCGCTGAGTACACTGACGAACTGGACCAACGAATTCGACCGATGGGCTCCAAGTGTCACCCGCATCGTATACAAGGGAAATCCGACTCAGCGAAAGGTCTTCCAAAACCAGATTCGCTATGGGAACTTCCAGGTTCTTCTTACCACCTACGAATTTATCATCAAGGATCGTCCGATTTTGAGCAAGATCAAATGGCTGCACATGATTGTCGACGAAGGTCACCGAATGAAGAACGCCCAGTCGAAACTGAGCAGCACCATCTCTCAGTACTACCACACCCGATACCGCATCATTCTTACTGGTACTCCTTTGCAAAACAACCTTACCGAGCTGTGGGCTATGTTGAACTTTGTACTGCCGAATATCTTCAAGTCCGCAAAGTCGTTCGATGAGTGGTTCAATACGCCTTTTGCAAACACAGGCGGTGGCGACAAGATGGAGCTGACAGAAGAAGAGTCACTTCTTGTCATTCGGCGTCTTCACAAGGTGCTCCGACCTTTCCTCCTGCGCCGTCTGAAGAAGGATGTCGAAAAGGATCTTCCCGACAAGCAAGAACGTGTGATCAAGTGCAATCTTTCCGCACTCCAGGCCAAGCTGTACAAGCAGCTCATGCAACACAACCGCATCAATGTTATTGGCGCTGATGGCAAGAAGACCGGTATGCGCGGGTTGAGCAATATGCTTATGCAGTTGCGAAAGCTGTGTAACCATCCCTTCGTGTTCGAGGAGGTGGAGGACCAAATGAATCCAAACAAACTCACGAACGACCTGATCTGGCGTACGGCGGGTAAATTTGAACTGCTGGACCGTATCCTGCCCAAGTTTCAAGCGACAGGACACAGAGTCTTGCTGTTCTTCCAAATGACACAAATCATGAATATCATGGAGGACTTCTTGCGATTCCGAGGCATCAAATACCTGCGATTGGATGGATCCACAAAAGCCGACGACCGATCCGAACTGCTCAGATTGTTCAACGCACCTGACTCTGAATACTTCTGCTTTTTGCTGTCCACGCGTGCCGGAGGTCTTGGTCTCAACTTGCAAACCGCCGACACGGTCATCATTTACGACTCTGATTGGAACCCTCACCAGGATTTGCAAGCACAGGATCGTGCTCATCGTATTGGTCAAAAGAATGAAGTGCGTATCCTTCGTCTGATTACTAGCAACTCGGTCGAAGAGAAGATCCTGGAGCGCGCCCAATACAAGCTTGATATGGATGGCAAGGTCATTCAAGCTGGTAAATTCGACAACAAGTCCACGAATGAGGAACGTGACGAGATGTTGCGTGTCATGCTGGAGTCTGCAGAGGCTGTTGATCAGATGGAGGGCGACGAGATGGACGATGATGACCTCAACGACATCATGATCCGACACGAGCACGAGCTGGCCATTTTCCAGGAGATTGATCGGGAGCGAGCTAAGAGCGATCGCTACGGCCCGGGCGACAAGAAGTTACCTCGTTTGCTCGGCGAAAGCGAGCTTCCAGACATCTACATGAATGATGACAATCCCGTGGTAGAAGAGATTGAGGTCAACTATGGCAGAGGCACTCGTGAGCGTGCCAAGGTGAAGTACGATGATGGGCTTACAGAAGAACAATGGCTCGAAGCCGTGGACGCAGACGACGACACGATTGAAGACGCTATTGCGCGGAAGCAAAAGCGGATTGCCAACCGATCAGCAAAGAAGGAGTCACGACTACGCGACGGCGAGGGCGTTGATACTCCTCCACCTGGTATGGATAGTGAGGACGAGTCGCCGGCCCCCAAGAAGCGCTCCCGAACGAAGTCTCGGCCGGAAAAGCGAAAGGCGGATGAGGCCTCCATGGATGGCTTGCCGGAGCCTCCAAAGAAGCGTGGTCGAAACCAGAAGATCACAGAAACGCTATCAAAGGAAGACCGCGAATCTCTTCAGCAGATCCTCGACAACGTCCATGACTCATTACAAGACCTTGAAGAGGAGTCGTCTGACCCGAACGTGCCGCCGCGCGGCATTATCGACCCATTCCTCGAGTTACCACCCAAGCATGACTATCCGGACTACTACCAGCTGATCAAGAACCCCATCTGCATGAAGCAAATCGAGAACAAGATCAACAAGAAGCAGTATCAAAGCGTGCGGCAGTTCAGAGCAGACATAGCGCTGCTGTGCAACAACTGCCGGCAATACAATGACGACGCTAGCATATTGTTTGCTGACGCGCACACGATTGAGGTAAGTTATTCCAGTGCGTGCAGATTTGAAGAAGTTTACTGACCTTCGACCAGCGTGCTTGTCTCGAAAAGCTTCGTGAAGAAACTGCCAACTTCCCACAGTGGCAAGATTTCGATGGCGACAGTGCAGATGGCGGATCGACAAGGCCTATGTCAGGTGTCAGCACACCGCAGCCGGCGAAGTCAGGCATTAAACTGAAGCTGAACGGCGCGAGAGCTAATGGCAACTCATCGCGGGGCGGCACAGAGAGCGTGGCTCAGAGTGATGACGAATAGAGGCTCTACCACTGTTCATGGCGACAAGGATGGGATTTGTTTGCACGATACCGGCGTCGAAGGAATTGAGATTGGTCTGAGAAGATCATCCGCAAGGAGCTTACCTGCATGGCATCCACGTCATGCATTGGCGGGAAGCTCGTTTCATTTCACGCAGAGTGGAGAAAGAAGCGAGCTCTTTTGATGAGACGAATGGCAGAGTTATAGTAGACGCCTGGCATAGGGTGGTTTCAGTGCTTCTACACTACTTCAGCTTATGTACTTTATGCCGCGTCTCTTAGGAGAAACAAGTAACGCTGTCAAGGAACAGTATTCGTAACATCTGCACTACAGTCTCATGATCAAGCCTTGAAGTGGCCAGATTTGAGGCCGGAGCCGGAGGTCACTAGACTTGTCATGCTTACACTCAGAGCAATACGTTTTCGTGGGTATCTTGAGTCTCTTTTCTATACATGTGCATCTGTCGTTCTCCATACACGACCTCCGAAGATTTCAAATTCATGTGTTGCAAATGTGAGCTCTTTCCCGTCAAGCAACACCTTTCATCATGTTCATAAAAACCCAATTATGTATCTCAATATAGCACTCCCTTCGTGCTGGGCACTTCTCCTTCTCTTCCAGCGACAGGCGTTGTCGCGAATCTCAACGCAACAGCCAAAGCCTTGAACGCCGACTCCGCACGATGATGATCGTTATTCCCTCGCAGGCAATCCACATGCATCGTAATTCCCGCATGCAGTGCAAAACTCTCCAAGCAATGCGGTAGCATCTCACAGCTGAGATCTCCAATCTTTTCTCGCTTGGTTCCGAGATCAATGACCGAGTATGGACGATTCGAGAGATCTACGACCGCGCGAGAGAGAGCTTCGTCGAGAGGCGCGTAGGCTGATCCGAAACGTGCGAGGCCTGTGATTGTGCCTAAGGCTTGCTTGAAGGCTTGACCTAAGGCGATACAGGTGTCTTCGGCTGTGTGGTGGTCGTCGATGTGAAGGTCTCCGACGGTTTTGAGGCGGAGAGACCAGCCGGCGTGTTTGGCGAGGGCGTGGAGCATGTGGTCCAGGAAGCCGATGCCGGTGGAGACGGAGATGGTTTGGGATTTGGAGGCTTGAGTGGCGTGGCCATCTGTGGTGCCGTTGGCGATGTTTTCGAGCTCGGGTAGGGCGCCGCCGTCGAGGTTGAGGGCTAGTTGGATTTTGGTTTCGTTTGTGTCGCGGGCGATGGTCGCGGAGCGGATGCGCTTTTCGGAGGACATGGTGGGTGGTGTTCTTGTTCACTAGTAGTCTGTGTAAGTGTTTCCAACTGAGGACGGAGGTGAAAGTATCTGGCAGAGATTCTACAAAAGTTGTTGTGACGTCGGATCGCTCTTACTTCTGGAGCACAAGCATTGGCCAGACCCTGCAGCCTCCGGCAAAACCTTAAATCCGTGCCTGCCTCTTCGACATTTCTTCAGGAATTCCAAGGCTTATCGATACCTTCTCACAGAACTCGCAAGGTTCACGACGTTCGGAATGTCACACGATGAAGAGATGGCCGATGCGAGCGCGGGCGCTGAGGTCAACGGCGAAGAGATTGTGGTCGGCAAGCAGCGACTAACTCTGGTGCGATTTATTCGCAAAATCATCGCAGGTGAAGACAAGCTGACTGATAGCAGCTTCGCGGATCCACCGATACAGCTGCATCATTCGCATTCGAGAAAGAAGACCACACTCTCGGCAACGCGCTACGATACATGATCTCCAAGAAGTGAGCCGGATCTATGCCAAGAACCATCGCATCAAGCCCCATTCTAACCAATATGCTCAGTCCTGATGTCGAGTTCGTCGGATACTCAATACCGCACCCTTCAGAAGCTGTCATGAACCTGCGAATACAGACATGGGGTATGTTTGATCGTGCTCGGCCGCTAATGAGAGGTGGCGATTAATGACATGAGTTTCACAGATAATGTCAGCGTCTTTGAAGTTCTCAAGAAAGGTCTTCAAGACCTCGCGGACATGTGCGATGTCGTCGAGGAGAAATTCACCACTGCGCGCGATGACTACATGGCCCAGAATCCTGATGGCGTGCACGACAAATGATCAGTGAGCACGAAGAAAGGAAGAAATGCTGATCAGATCAGCCACGCAAGTCATCCGAGAAGAAGAAGCGCACGAATGGCAGAGCTGAGCCGAGGTTGGCTCGAACGTCAGATGGCTGGTGTATGAAAGGATCTGTGCTACCATGGATGCGACCAACCTCCCAGGCCAACTCGACGTCAATCAGCAATGGCTCGAGGAAGCAAATCGCTGCGACGAGTGAATCGTGCGAAGAAGGCACGATTGCGACGGTCAAGGAGGAAGCACTTGCTGTTTTAGCAAGATAGGACAGGGCGAAGTCAGTTGGTTAGAAGCAGCCTTGATACGGGTATGATATATACAACATGCTGCGAGCTCTTTCGTGACGATCCGTGCTCTACACTCAGTTGCGGCCCTGTCATACGTCGTTAGTCTTTGCCCCACGCGTTGTGCCAGACGGTACTCACCTCAATGAAGCCTTGAATGAAGTTCTTCGGCAGTCTCGCCTGAGGATCCTCCTCCGCTCGGAAATACTTCAGCACGTGCGTGAGTTGTTTCCAGAAGTTCAGCGTTTCCTGCAGCGACACAGAGTCAGCGAATTGTCCGGTAGTTCCAGTACTCATGCATTCGTAGCGTTTTCTCATTTTCTTCCTCTCTCTCACTTGGCTGAGATATCCCATCGCGTGTCTCGGTCCCGCTTTCTCTTGTCCCCTCGTCCAAAGACTCACCTGAAACTCCTGATGACTATTCATCAACAGCACATCCACCGTCTTCAACTGGCTAACATATCGATGCCGCTCGAACTCCTGCCGGACTTTTGTGCGAATCGAGGAAACGGGCATGTTGAGCGAGTACATGGTTTGGACTTCTGGGGCCTGAAGCACTTCCCATTAGCAAGAACTCTCCTCATCCTCCCAAAGACCAGCGCCTTGTGTCCACGCCGCCAAAGACACGGTGCTTTTATTGTAATATTTTCCACGTACCGCCCTCAACCAGTCCCGGTAACTCGCGAGAACCCTCGTCTTCGCATCGCTCCAGCTCTTTGCTGTCTTGCAGGTTAGTCTCGGCTCGCTGTAGGGGATCTCGAGGTCGGTCGTGTCGTACATGAGCGCGTCCGCTGCGCGAGGTATGTTGGGTTTATGACCATGGTGTGCGGTGGTGTGTGCGGGAGAGTGGGGAGGGAACTACATGCGTTGTGCAGTCGCGGGCGCTCAGATGTGAGGTCGAGCTTCGGGATGGCGCATTGGAAACACCTTACGTAATCAGTCAGCCACATTGGAGATGCAGCCACCGTCAACAGACAGCAACACAGTTGAGGAGAATAGTGAGTATTACAGTGGTCTGGTTTGGTCAATTGCGATCAATTACTCTCTATGCACTTATGGACAAGTATTTACAGCTACAGCCGAATAAAAAAAGGAAAATCGATCAATTGACAACGCAAACCTCCCATGCTCCATGTCCGTTAACAGTACAACGCTTTTTCTAGCACATGTCTTGGAAAGCAGTAGCCTCTCGCTTCTATCTCGAAGCAAAGACGGCTTCCTCCCCAAGGCCACACAAGTGGCTCCGAATTGGAAAACACAGAACAAGAAAAACAAAAAGAGACGCATGCTCGCCGCCCGATGTATCGATGCTCCTCATGCCGTGCGAGATCATATAGCCATCATGTATGCTTCACATTCACGTCTCTCACTCATACTCGTGTCGGCTAGCTGTCATCAACCAGCTTTCTCGCATCATGCGCCTTCTTGGCGTCCTTGTGCAGGATGTCAAAATCACCAGTCATTTCACACATGCCTCGGAAAATGCCTTTATCCGTGCTGATGAGGTCGTATGGGTCACCATATTCAATCACCCGACCTTGATCGAGGACCAAGACCTTGTCGTAGTCAATGATAGTTTGCAGCCTGTGTGCGATAGTGATCGTCGTGTTCTTAATCTCTCGGATCGTCTCTTGAATCTTCGAATCGGTTGCGTAGTCTATAGAAGCCGTGGCCTCGTCCATGAGCAGGACTTTGGGTGCCTTAAGCAACGCTCTCGCCAGGCAGAGAAGTTGCCGCTGACCTTGGGACAGGTTGGATCCGTGCTCTGCAACGGGTGAGTTGAGGTTGCGGAAAATGTTCTTGTTCTCGAGCGTTGTTGGGCTATCCGGAGTGGTGGGGCTCTGCGCAACAGCTGTCGTCTTGCTGGTCGCTGCAAGCTTCTTGGTGGGAGTGTCAGGCGAAGTGCGGTCCGAAGCATTTGTTGGTGTGTCTGGCCGTGAGTTCGATGCCGAATTGCTTGCTGTGGCAGCCCCGACCAGTTGAACGCCTCGAAGGGCTTCGAAGATTTCCTCATCTGTGAAGAGGCCAAATGGATCCAGGTTGCTGCGTACCGTTCCGGTGAAGAGCGTGGGATCTTGAGGAACCATGACGATATTTTCACGCAAGTCCTGGAGACCGATGAGGCCGACATCAATATTGTCGATTAGGACCTTGCCTTCCTCTGCTTCAAGAGCTCGGAATAGCGCCAAGGCGAGCGAACTCTTGCCAGCACCGGTCCTGCCAACGACGCCAACTTTTTCGCCCGGCAGAATCTTGAAGGTGACGTTCTTGAGGACGAAATCGAAATCGCTGCGGTATCTGGTACTGTAGTCCATGAACTCTACAGCTCCCTGGCTCGGCCAGTTCGCTTCAGGTCGATTCTCCGGTACAATCGGAGCAGCTTCTTGGTCGACGTCCAGATACTCTTTAACTCGCTCGATAGCGTTCATGTTCTGTTCGTTGCTTGCGTAAAGTCGAACGAACCAGAGCACGTTCTCAGTAAACGTCACAGCATATGTCATGGCCAGACCGGCAGCACCAGCGTCAACTCGTCCAACACTGAGAATGACGAAAACCCCAGTGAAGAAAGAGACCAAAGCACCGACAACATCAACACGGAATGCCAGCCATCTGTTTGCTGCCCAGAGGTAGATGAAGGGTCGCGAGTGAGTGTTCACTCGATGCAGGTTCTCGCGGATGAAGCGTCGCTCATCTCCGTACGCTCGAATGGTTGTCATGCCGGTCAAAGTCTCTCCAAATTGTTGATACAGCGGGCTTCGCTGCACTGATTCTAGGCGCTTGAGATCTCGAGAGGAGCTGATGTACACTTTGCCAATCATAAAATAGAGGATGGTGATGAAAACACCAGCAATCAAGAAACCAGGAGTGATGGCTGAAATCAGGACGACAATGGTGATGATTGAGAACAAGCAGTGCACAACGCCGACGGCCACTGGCGCGAGTTCTTGGTCGACTGCTTCGATATCCTTGGAGAAGCGGTTCATGATCTGACCAAGTGGTGTGGCATCGAAGAACCTGAACTTGGCGTGCATGACCCGCTCCATGAGTTCCCTATGCATGCGCTTGGAGGCCGACAGAGAACCACCGAAGAGCACACCTTCGCGGAGAAGCGTGATGACCATGTAGCTAACACCCAGAATTGCATAACCGGCAAGATAGTAGCCCACGTTGACGTCGCCGTTCATGACTTTCATGCCCTTGATGTCTTGCAATGCGGATTGTGCTGTGAACGGCTGAGATGTGAACGGCATGTTCCAGACGCAAGTTCCTGTCCGGAGACAGCTTGAAGAGCTACTAATGCCACCACGGATGTGTGCAATGTTGTAGGTATGATTGTGTGCGACACCCAGCGCCAAGTATTCGTGCCTGGTATATGAGTTCGACCATCTTTGAATCCAGACATTGGTTGCAACTTGCGAAAGTTGTTGTAATGCGAAGCACATGGCTGCTAGCATCCAGTAGAACCAGCCACCCATGTATCTGAGGTACATGGTGATGATCGAGAGTTTCACCGAACCTGATGCCTTCTCCTCATCGAAGATTCCCTTGCTGTCAACCGGCTTGTTCATGCCTGGGATGTCTTTCGAAATGACATGCGTGAGGGGATCGCCGTGAAGTGTCTCGTTCGTCTCTGTTCTGTCGGTCTCTGTGCGCTGCAAATGTCCGTTCGCATGACCTGGTCTGTCATTTGCGAACGAATGGAGTTCCCCGAGACTGTCGCCGCCGATGTCCGAAGGAACTCTCGAAGGCAACTTCGAGGCGACTGCAGATTGTGGTTTGAGGTCGAATTTGCTTACGTCTTCAGCAAGCTTGCCCGACTGAATGACATCGTATGCAGTTCCTTGAGAGGCTACTCTGCCGTTGTCAAGCACGATAGCGAAGTCGGCGTGTGGGAGGCAGAGCACTGCGTTGTGCGTGACCAGAATGCACGTGCGATTGTACATTAACGGGCCCATCAGAGCTTTGTCGAAGATCCATTTTGCGGTGTGAGAGTCGACTGCACTTAGCACATCGTCGAGAATGACGTGACGGGCGTCTGAGTAGAGTGCGCGGGCAAGACTGATGCGCTGTTTTTGCCCTCCGGACAACGTGACGCCTTTCTCTCCGACTAATGTCTGGTCGCCACCGTCGAGAATCTCAAGGTCGCGCTGCAAAGAACAGGCAACAATAACGTTCTTGTATCTCCTTGGATCGAATCGGCTGTTGAAGATAATGTTATCCTTGATGGTTCCATTCATCAGCCATGCCTGCTGAGCGCAGTACGCAATGCTTTCAGTCAAGCCGGTATCTGGATTCTTCTTCAACTGCTCACGACTGCGACCTCCTGGCAGATAGACTGCACCATTCATTTTGGTCATCTCACCAAGCAGTGCCATGAGGAGAGAAGTTTTTCCACAGCCAGTTGGTCCAATAATAACGTTGAGCTGCCCAACCTTGAAGAACAGATCGAGATCGATCATTTTGAAATCTTCTGCGTCTTTACCACCCCAGCTGAAGGTCGCCTTCTGGAATCCAATGAGTGGCTCACCAGTATCATGGTCGAAATCCTCTTGCAGTTGACGGTATTTCTCCGTCTCTGGCTCGTTCAGATATTCTTCGACACGATCGATAGACACTTTGGATTCTTGCACGTGAGCAACCATGTCCGCAAGCTGATCCAGTGGCATGCGAAGCAAACTAAACAGTGACAGCGCGGTGAATGCAACAGACGGAATGAGGTCCTTCTTCTCGACTACCGTATAGACGAGGAATGTCAGGAACGTGATGACTACCGGGGCTCCAGACCAAATGGTGGCGGCGGCTGCCCAAACGATATATCGGTTGCGAAGGTACTTGAGTTCGACTTGGCGTTTCTCGTCGACTGAGCCCAGGAACCTCTGCTCCCACGCGAAATACTTGATGATGCGAACGTTTGTCAGGACCTCGTTCGTAACATGAATGCGGGCATCAGTGGCTGCGAGGATTTGTGCTTGCACGGTGCTGAACTTCCTTGCGATGTACATGTTGACAGGAAGCAGTGCTGCCATCATGCCAATGCCGACGATACTGCTATTGCCCAGGAAAAGGTAGAGCAACGCAATTGCAAGAATGAATTGCACAGGTGTCTCGGCCCAGAGAAAGTGTAAATAAGCACTAATCTCGGCGACCTTGAAAGAATCGACTGCCATGAGATTGATGATCGCTCCAGAAGTGACCTGCTCGTCTGAACCTTCCGCTGGCTTGTCGGCGTCGGCTTCGTCATTCTGGCCGCTCTTCTGCTTCTTCTTGCGTCCGAAGCTCAATGCTTTCTGAAGGAAGTTTCGCTTGCTCTCGGCATCATCTTTCAGCTTCCCTTGACCGAGAACCTTGTCAGCCGATGCTGCAGCGCGCCTTCTCAAAGCCTTAGCGTAGATCTCTCCAATGATGATGGCTCTCAGTCTGATACAGATCTTCCTGCCAATCCACAGAGCTTGCCCGTTTGCCAGAGCGCTGACGCATCCCGTGACGAACAACAGGATGACATAAAGCCAAGCTGCATTTCGAGGAGTTTGCGTTGGTTCCTCTATGTATTGCAAAATGACTTTGAGCAGCAAGGTGGGCAGGAACGTGACGATACCGGAAATCACAGCCCAGAGACCCTGGATGATCAAGTCGCGTTTGAAATACTTGAGTAGATGCCATGCTAGTATCGAGGTCTTTTTCAGCTGTCGATAGTCGGCCAGGATCACAGCAGCCTTGTCGGTTGGCATCAAGTTCCAGACATCCTTCATTTCGAACGACTTCTTGTACCCAGTCCACACGATCGAGTCGACCCAGCTGAATGTGGCCAACGAGAACACGCTTGCGAGTGGCTCCTTCGAAGGCTCGATGTTCTCTTCGTATTCGATCTCCACTGCGTGATTGCCTTTTCGCGAGCACAGTGCAATCATGGCAAGCAAGGTCGTGAGGGCGAAATGAGTGCTCATCAGAACCTCGGCAGTCCTCGATTCGGGATGTATGATCTCTGAACGGAAGACGAGCACAGAGAAAACCCATTGGGAGCAGTAGAGGACTGCGGTGTGGTACCACAATTGCGGAAACGACCATTTCGATGTGCTTGAGAACAGCAAACGGCCAGAAGCGAGTGCAGCAATATATGCCCACACAGCGACTTCTGCAAATGCGGCCATCCTGCCTCTGGGCTTGCCCCATGCTTGCAAAATCAAAGCCGCAACTTGGACGCCCAGCTCGGCGAGCACTGCAATCTCCTCGATGAATGTGATCCATATTTCGCCTCTTGGTCGGTCCACCGTAATCGCCGAGGCATTGGTGTGAATCTTCGTCAATTGCAGAGCCAGCTGCTCGTTCCGCCGCATCTCGTCGTCGCTGCCGGTCTCTGTCGTGGCATCACTGTCGCTGTCCACCTCTTCGCGCCCCCGCGCATCATGATGCCCGCCATTCGGTATTCTCTTGTAGCCTTTGCTCGATCGCTTCGATGTTCTCGTCGCTCGGAGGATTTGATATGCCAGGTATAGTGCCGATATCCCGCATGTGATCAACGGCAATAAGGTCTGCAGATAGTCATGCTGAAAGCACGGCGAGAAGTCGTCGCTGTGCCAAATCGCGCCTTTACACCGGGCGAACATGACTGCGGGCAGTACGGCGTATGATCACTCCAAATCCGCGTGGCAATCGAGGTTGGCGGACTCAATGGGACATTGTGAGGAAGTGAAGCGGGCGGCGGGGCAAGACCACGGATTGTCAGGCAGCGAGGCGATGATGCGAGTGAGTCGCGATGAGTCGACAGTGGAGGCGCGCACACACAGCTCGACGGAAAGGATCGACGCTACCGGGTGATGTTATGTAGTAGCTGCGACGAGCTCGCGAACGCGCAACACGGGAAGAGTTTTAGTGAGAAAGCAAATGGCAGCACGGCAACGAAGCCATGACGAAACGACTGCTAGCGGGACCGCTCCGGCGCAGGCAAGCTTCGCTAAGTTCGCGGTTAGCCAGCATACCCACCGCATTCTGCAACGGCAGCATGGGCACCGATCCGCCGTTGGGAGATTGTTATCACCGCCTACGGACACCGCAACACGCACCGAGCAAAGTCGGTGTGGCAGGTGAAGCCCCCGGCCAGCGACCAGGGCCTTATCTGCGGCGGGCGCGGCCACTACGACTGAACGAGCCATGCGAAGGCAAGCTCTGTGCCGTCCGTCGAAGGAGAGCACAGAGAGAGCATTGCCGCAGGGCACAAGCTTGACCATCCTCCGCTTGCGTGATTTAGACAGGTCTGGAGAGTGCATGCATAGAAGCCCTCCACTCTCCGCACGTTGTCATACGGGAAAGCGGTAAGGTCTGGCTGGGATGCGCATTATGTGTCACCCAGTCTATGCATATGTACAGGTGCGATGCCCGCAACCGTTGTGAGTCAATGCATCCTATCGCTCGGAACCACTGCTCTGCCCATCGAAACCGCCTCAACTGCTGGTCACGACAGCAACAACCTGCTGAACGCCCGCTACACCACCATGTATGCGGCTATATCGAGCGTATACCGGTCTTTGTCGGTTCTGTGACTAATGCTGCCGATGCATGCTCATCTCGAAGCTGCGACAGGTGTCCATGCTGAGTACTTGGGTTTCGTGCTGTGCATCTATTGTCAGTGCATGCCAAATCCAGCCGGAGATAGGTAACTCACGTATTGTATGTTTTGAATGCGCTCCTTGAAGCGGTGAGCACCGGCACATGCTTTGATGGCTCCCATGCTCGTACTTGGCGTTGCAGCAGCTTATCCTCTGAAGGTGCCTTGTCCACCATATATGACATCCAGGCATGCCTGACATGGTGTTAGTGTTGCTCAGTGGCAATGGAGTGCAAGTGAGCATACCAGCCCGGCTCTATCTGTGAACTAGGCGTTGTCAGCAGTGTCTCAATATATTGCCTGCCACGCGCGCGAAGCCTTACGGATCATATTCGCTGTCCTTGTAGTCGACCCAGCGTGTGCGCACTTTGTCCCATGTCAGTCCCCTCTTCGCAGACCTCTGAGCATTGTGACATACGAGGCAGCTCCTCCTCCAGGTTCTCAAAGTACTTGTTGCCGAAACGGTCAATGCCAATCAGTGTTCCGCGCTTGGTATCACCTGTCTTCCTCAGTGTCCGTCTTTTGTCGCAGCTCTCGTCCTCGTCATACCGATATACTACCAGATCGCACTCAAGTCAGTATTCGCTGCATGTGTGTCGTGATCGAACGTGAATCGGGGCTCTCGTACATGAAGTTGGTGTCCGTACTCCTGCGAAACTGGTCAGCTACTACTCGGACACCTTCTTTCCGCAGCGCATGTACCTTCAACCCGATGCTTCGCAAATTGCGGAGAGTCCGCATGATCGTCGACATGTTGGCGGTGTTGCTCTGCTCGGAGGACTGGCAGCGCGATGTTGGTGGTCAGTGGTGATGCTTGCCAATGGCGCTAGGAAGGGAAAGAAGTGGCCCGTGCGTCCAGTAAAATGTACGGCAAGTGTCAACATCATCCAGACTTCACCTTCTTCATCCACATCGAAGTTGTTGCAGCATGAGGTTCCAATGCTAACAAGACGTGTACTTCATTGTGTACGGGCCTCCAGGCAGGTCCGGTCGCTCAAGCAAATCAGCAGAAATGGCATTCTGCAACAACGCTCCGCGAGCACAGCTTCGGGACAAGCCGCATCAACAGTATCATCGCAGTCCTCGGCTTCACAGCTAGCAGTCTTCACTGGCGAGTTGGACAAGCTATCTCCTCGCTTTGACATCAGTGCGGATTCAATACAAATCTTGAAATCACCCGCAGAGTTCTATGAGACCTTGAAGGTACAATATTTATGGTCGACTCTGCAGCGCCCTTGGGCTAACCAAGAACAAAGTAGACAAAAATCAGAAATGCAAAAAGACGCGTATATCTATCTACCTTATACATTGGGAAAAGCGAGCACGAGTTTGTCAGTCACCGAATTGTGCAAGATATTTACCTTTTCTAATCTGGGCAGATCGATACCATCCGACAAGCTTTAAAATCAAATCCAGATTTACAAGTGTCGCTATTGACCGACTATCTCCGCGGGACCCGCGAAGCGCCCAATCCATCATGTGCAAGCCTTCTCGCATCGCTCATCCAAGAGTTTGGTCCCGACCGTGTCGAGGTCCGTTTGTACCACACACCCAACCTCACTGGAGCACGCAAAGCGATTCTGCCCAAACGAATCAATGAAGGATGGGGCCTGCAACACATGAAGCTGTACGGCATTGACGACGAGATCATCATGTCCGGAGCCAACCTCTCTGATGACTACTTCACGAACCGACAGGACCGGTACCATGTCTTCAAGTCAAAGCCCATCACGGATTACTTCTCCGAGCTGTATCGTACCATATGCGACCTTAGTTATCGAGTATCACCGTCTGACAAGGAGGCGAGCGGGTTTATCGCAGAATGGCCTTTACAGAACGTCCAACCAGAGCCGCTCAAGGATCCAAGTGGTTATATCAAGGCAGCAAGCAAGGTACTGCTGCCTTTAGCTAGCCCACCAAGCGTAAAGACAACGCAGCCGGAGACAGACACTTCCGTCTATCCACTTGTACAGCTGACACCGCTGCTCAAGCCGGATAAATCCACGGAGTTGCCGGCTCTGACGGGGATTCTGCGCACCCTAGGTACCCCAGAGTTCGCGGGATCCAAGTGGACTTTCACGGCAGGCTACTTCAACATGACTCCGGAAGTGCGCAAGCTGCTTTTGAAGACCAAGCCTGCTTCTGGCACAGTAGTCGCGGCCTCACCATGGGCAAATGGATTCTACGGCAGCAAAGGAGTCAGTGGTATGTTGCCTGCTGCATACAGTCTCCTAGGTCGGCGCTTCCTAGATGCTGTATCGAAAGCGGGTCTCAGTAACCAGATAGCCGTGAAAGAATGGCGCAGAGGCACGGTAAACACACCTGGAGGCTGGACATATCACGCGAAGGGCATCTGGGTGACATTGCCACAAGAACAAAACCCCAGCATCAGCTTGATCGGAAGCTCGAACTACACGAAGAGAAGCTACTCGCTAGACCTGGAAGCAAACACGCTGATTGTCACACGAAACGCTGACCTTCAACGACGGCTCGGAGCAGAGCAGAAGTGGCTTCAGGACTATGCCACACCCATGACACAGGACGACTACGCAAAGACAGAGCGTAGGGTCGGGCTGCATGTAAGATTAGCGATGTGGATTGTAACATTAGTCGGGGGAGCGTTGTAGAGAAATACATCTGGAATTACAAGCATTGTATACGACTAACTTTTGCCGAGTGCAATAGCTTATTGTGGTGGTGCAGAGAGAAAGTTCTTCTTTCCGCGCCCAATTCATGGTTGTGGTAGAGAAGACAACCTTGTCCGCGTGCTCGCTCGCATTGAGATCCTGAGGTGCCAAGACTTCTCTTTCGCCAATGAACCTTGCCAATCTCGATCATGCTGGGATAGCGCCTGTCCTTTCTCGCGTGCTTTGACTGCATTGAATCTTCCTAAGAACTTTGTCCAAGCGCGATACTGTGTAGGCCCAAAGCATGAGAGACCCTGCATTTGTCAAGTGTGTACAAGGTTCTGATGGCATTAATTACCAAATCCACCACCATTCGTGCTCTCATTACCATCAAACGGACGTGATGGACGTTGAGGCGGCCGAGTAGACCCAAACATGTTTCCGAGCATACTGGGGCCTCGCGGCGTCGGCATGTAGAGAGGACCACCGTATGGCTCGCCAGGCAATGGGATTGAGTCCTTCTTGCGAGTGAGAGGAGGAAAACGCTCGGAGTTCTCGCCGAAACTCTCGTTCTGTTGTTGCAGCTGGTTTGGCACTCCCACCACTCCAACAGGTAGACCGACGGGGCCGCCCATAGACGAGGCAGAAGAGGTTGTGTTCTGCGCTTTGAGAGCGCGGTTCTCGGTTTCAAGTTCTACCATACGACTCTCGAGGCCATTGACCTTCTGTGCAAGGTGTCCCACCATCTGCGTGAGGTGGCTCATGCCTCCTGAAAGCATGTCTGGTATCTGCTGAAGTTGTGCAATGACATCGGGAGATGGTGGAGGAAGCTGCATGGCGGGCACCTGAGCTAAGGACATTGGTCTTCCGCCTCTAATGCCACGGGCTTGAGATCCGAAAAGTCCTGGAGACTTCGGGCGCTGTCCAGAAGATGTGAAGACATCCGTAGATGGACGGGCTGGTGCGATTGGGACAAAGCCGGATCTGCTGGTCTTGCGCTTCTTGTCGCTGTGGGATGGAGATTGCTGATATGATGTCGCCGGTCCCGTGTCGATGAACTCGCTGCGCTGAGGAGTGCCGATAGGTGTGTTGCGCGGCAATTGCTGTTGATTCGCCATGGGAGGAGGCGGATGGCTATGGAATGCTCGCGCAAATTGAGGCACTGTGGATGATTCTTGCCCCATCTCGAAGTCATTGGCCTCTGGTATTGGAGGATAGGAGGAGGATGAGTGAGCCTGAGGCGCCATGTTCCCTGTTGCCGTGGTGACTTCACATTCACCTGGACCTTCAGCCGAGCCTTGAGCCGAGCGTTCAGGTGCGGCCGATGGCAGTGAGTCACCTGGATGACGGTGGTATGTGGGTCGCTCCGCAGCAGCTGATGGCGCCCCTGAAGTGACAAGTGGAAGCGCAGAATCTGCGTATGTCGCGTTGCGCGTAAGTACTTGCTCCTTTCCCAAGGACGAGCGCTGTCTTGCTCCGTTGGAAGGACCATCTGCTTGATCCAGTGCAGCGCTCGGCTCTATGGGAGCGTCGTCGTTCGGGAAACGGGTGTTCTTCATGTCAGGAGCCATGACATATGGGGCTTTGTCGATTTTCATGTGGTACCAAGCTTTCGAAGTGAAATGTGATGTGAGTCGGACGGAGAGTATATGCCTTCTCGTGACCGTTGCTTCAGATTCGCCCGCCGTTTCGCCAGTTTCTCCATGGGCGCAGTGCAATGCTAGTTGAACACGTTGGTTCTGTAGCTCATCAATTCCAAGACGGAACGCACCGACAACTCATCTCCTTCACTTTGACCTCCCTCATTTACTCCGTTTGCATGTGGCGCTCTTCCCGCATCACAAGCAAACGATTCACTCCGGCAGCACGGCACGGGAACGTGACCCGCTCACCTGCGCACCGAGTATTTCTTCAGCCATTTCTCTCCCTCGATTCCTTTCTTCTTCCTCCCACACACACAACCAAAGTGCCAACCTCAGCAACTCACCACACCTTCCACACACTTCAACACACCTCCAACACACTTCATCACTCAACAACATCCACCATGAAGTCCATCATGAAGATCGCTGGCGCCGCCATCATCGCCTTCATGGCTACCACCGTCGCCGGCTTGCCGGCCACCACTGTAAGTCAACTGTCACTCATCCTCGAGGCAAAGAGCTAACAATATCTAGGGCGCCGAGAACCAAGCTCCGGCTGCCATCGTCGCCGAGAAGGCTGCTCAGACCATCACCCCTAGTGGCTGGTAAGAAGTGTCTCGACCCCTTTTCGAGAACATCTGCTGACATTTACCTCTCTAGCAACCCACCAGCTTGGGACCGCTGCAGCGCCGAGGAGAAGCAGTACCTGCTCGACCACGCCTGCGACTTCCGCCTGTGCCTCATGGCCGGCAACTGCACTCCCTGCTAAATGCGACACTGAGGCGACTCGAGGTTCCTCGACTCTGATGTCCTTCGACCTTGAGGTCCTTTCGCTTTGGGTCTTTCGACGTTGGGGTTCTTGACACTCTTGAAGACTCCGCGGTTACGATTGGTGCGAACAGTGCAATGACGAGCTCTGCCTGATTCTTGGTAGCGGCGAAGTTACTCTCTACTCATCCTCATGCATCGCGGGGCGCGCGATATAGCATGAGACCAGCATAGACACGATGCAATGAAATGGCAATGAACTTTGCAAACTTACTGAACTCTTTCCAAATGTCTCAAATGTCTCGTGAAATGTCTTGTTTGTGGCCTCTGCCAATCGTGCAAGTAACGAGTTTTGACCGTTTCCTGCCCGCCTGCCATTCCTACTTTCCATGGCGGCCTTCGGAAATTCTTGCGGTGGCTTGTGCGAAGGCGAACAGAACAGTGAATGCATGTGACACAGATCAAGGCTGTTCCTTCGACTCAAATCTTGCCATGACTTCGTCTGAGGCATCGCCGTGTGCCTTGCGTTGCGACCGAACGACTGGGAAAGAACTGTTGGTCAATGCCGCCACGCAGAAGCGGGCGTTTGTCCGCTGCATCTCGCGCAACAATGAAAGCTGCGCAACCACAAATTCCGGATGAGGACACAATGAAAGCGAGACGTCCTCGCAAAGCTACCAAGGTAAGTGTCTCTTTATGTTCGCAAGCTCTTTTCCTGATCACATTCCTTACCCTCTGCACTTGCCTGTCGATCACGTATCGCAGTATCGCACCGGAGGGGAAGAACCGCTCGCAATGGCAGAAACGCCTGCCCGTGCGCTATCTCAACGTGTAGTAAGACTGACTTTGACCGAGCCGCCATCGCTTGTGGTCAAGCTGCCGTTGAAGAGAGAGCTCGACGATGCTCTAGACACAATGCCTAGGCGCGATTCGGCGGACCACACGACTATAGCAGGTGCGGCTGCCGACCTCGAGACCGCCATGGAGGACACACTAGAACCAGCGGGCCCGTCTACGCCGAAACCGACCGCCGTGGACAATGAGATGTCGTCGAATGCGCTAAAGTTCGATCCTCGAATGTACGGTCGCGAGCGGTCTAGTAGAGCACGTCCCACGAAACCGAAGTATACAGATACAGATGTGGTACCTCGCGGACCGCAACCATCCGCGAAGAAACGCAAAATCAGCCACAACATCGAGGACACCAAGTCTCTTCCCACGACGCCGCCTCCTGCACCGAGCCTGGTGCGCACGCCGCCTCATGAGTCGGTTTCTGTCATGTCTTTCATGCCTCCTCCAGCGGCATCGCACACCGATTCGCTTGGCAACATTAGGCCGCTTCGCGATGAAGTCAGCGATCGGAGATATGTCGAGGCAATGTTGGACGAGCTACAGACCACCTTGCAGGTGGACCGTAATACAGTACACAAGCGCTCGGCAGGACGTCTGCGGGATTTGTTGTCGATGGCAGAGTATCCGAACAACAACGAAGCCAAGTTCCTCTCCAAAAACGAAGCTCTTGCAGAAGTGGCGCCCGGGCAATTCTTCAATGGCCCCATTATTACGGCTGAACAACAGCCTCTCCCATTGTCGACAGTGCCGGAGTTCCTCGGAGAGTACTACGACAATACTGCCAAAGCTCATATTCAAGACTCAAGCGCCAGGACTGGTAACACCGGGGTCTCAGTGCGTGCAGTCACTATGCGGCAAGTCAAAGAGCGTTTCAGCTCGAGTATTCCAAAGGATAAAGAGTACCCGTGGAACTTATTGGAGCTCGCAACACACCACGATGATGGCCTGAGACCGTTCTTTCTTAGCAATGAAGACTGTCGGCTGATCACGAAGCTGAAGATCCCCAACTCTGCCGATGAGACGCGTCGTCGCAAATACGAGCCAGGATTCAAGGACGTCGAGAAGTGGGCACTCCTCGCACAAGCAGGTGCCCTGACAGAACCCCATCAGGACTCGCATGGCTACAGCACTTTCATCACACTCAACCAAGGCTGCATTGGCTTTGGCTGGCTCTCACATCCTTCCGCAGAAGAACGCGCAGCGTGGAGACGAGATCCCCAGCGCTTCCGAGATGGAAGATGGCGCTATGTTGTCCTCAAGCCTGGCCAAACTGTGTTCTTCCCAGCAGGCACCGTCCACATGGTCTTCCGCTTACGCGCAGCGGGCGACAGTCTTTCGTTTGGAGGCCATGTTTTGCGCTGTTCCAACATCGTACATTGGGTCAAGACTCTCTTGGAGGAGCACGAGAACCCGAATATCGTGAATGAAGACTTGAGCGAAGCGGCGTTGGGCTATCTCGATCGCGTGGAGAGGTTCGTGGATCAGGCGAAGAAGCTTGGTCAAGAGGACAAGTGGGGAGGAGCGCAATCTATCGCCGAATTCAAGAAACTGAAGAAGCGTTTCGTGGATCTGCCTAAGCCTAAGGAGCCTAAGAGCAAGAAGACTGCGAATGCTGCGACTTGATGATGGTGGAATGTAGACAAGCGCGAGACGCGAGGTGCCAGAGCAGGGTGCACGGACTGTAAGCCAAGTATCACTAATGTTTCGGAGAGTTTAAGAAGCATGCAACAGAGGCATTCAGTACACGAGAGGGATGGCTCTTGAAGATGAAGTAATTGGAGACGATGACCATGCTTGAGAGCGTGGTTCTGTAAATTTCATAGAATCACACCTGAGCCTCTTGTGGGAATATGCGAGATGCGCTGAAAGAGCTAGCGCTATCTCGCACATTTACTTTCGCTGGTCGTGTGATTCGACGTGCTACTGTAATTCATTCCGCCCTGCTGTCGCATCTCCTTCCGTGATCGTCAAGTCATGGTGCGTAATGCGCCGAGGCTCCTGTGGCTTGGATCGTATCTAGTCTGTGAGGCGGTGTCATTCCAGTCCTGCTGGCCAAAGTCTTGGAAGAAAATGGCTCTGTCTATTGTTTGCGAATCGCATCTTGTTTTCATTAGCTCAAGGCTAGATTGGCTTTGTGGTGGCTGCTCTTTCTCTTGCACTTGTGGCAGTTGTGACACCAATTTCTCAGCGCGTTGCTAGTCAGTGACATGAAGCACTCGACGCTGACGCCATGATCTCGGAACCAGTTGCGGAGGATTGCAAGACCGAGGAGTTGGTACTCCGGTCCGGGTCTGATCACATGTGTCTTCTCGTGAAAGATAGGCGTCCTGCATTCGTCATTGTTGAGGAGAGAATATGGATGCAATGAAGGACTCCAGGCCACCTTCAAACAGCTCATTCGCCACGCCAACGCCTTTGGGATGCTCCGTTGGCGCAAGCGGACTCTTCACAACATACTCCACGTACAGCGTAGCCCAGATCTGATGCAGCACGGTGCGCATATTGCCAACACGGGTGTCAGTGAGCATGACGAGTTTGAGTTGCGTCGGCGTCTCGAAATAATGAAGCTTGTATTCTCCAGTGCGGTATGACAAGAACTGGTCATCTTGCCCACCGAGCTGACGAGCCATACGCCGCAAGGAAAAGACGGTGCCGAAGATAAGTTTGGCGTCGTCCTCGGCCTTCAGAGCCCTTCGTGCTGATACGGGAAGTTCGCCATTATTGAGGGCGCTTGTGTTTGGGGCTCGTTGCTGCACGGCGGGAGGAGAAGTCCAGCGCTTGGAGTAGATGCATTCGGCTGAGACAGCTCGTCAGCCAATGCGGTGCCCATGGATACAAGGTACCGCGCAGGAGTGCTCACTGTGCCTGTCGAAGATGTAGAACGAGTAGACGCTCATGCCCGCCATTTGTGCCTCAAGTGCCGGGTAATTTGGTGCGTGAAACTGCGAGCATGGCCCAGATCAGGGGAGGTTGTGAAGCGGAGCCGCCCAATGGCTCTCCCACATGCAGGCCGCACGTGTCGCGATGCTTAATGCGCGGGTGCTATGGTTCTCGGATATTGGAAGGAGGCGCGCCAGACAGGCCAGACAGTCCAATGGCTGCGCGGAGTTGGGGTGTTGGTGGTGGATGACTTAGCACGAATTCAACGCCAGTCAGACTCAGCCGGACCCCACACCTTCTTGAGTTCTAATCGTTCCTTCGATAGCTGCTGCCAGGCGTGTGCAGGAGCTGGCTGATGGAGCTAGCAGCGACCTCATCCCATGTGAAGAAGCGGAGAATCACGCCCGTCTCCGTTTCTTCTTCTTCTTCTGCTAACATCATACCTGCGCTGTCCCTCGCCCGCCCGCGCCGCCCGTCATTGACAGCGTAGGAATGCCTCTCTCCCTCGAACCTACGTGAGAAAAAGCAGCACCGCTCCGCTCCGCCATGGCCGAGTCGCCCTCGCCAACCCACCTGAGCCCAGCCGCTGCCGCTGCCACTCCCACTCCCCCGGAGAAGGACGCCGCGCCCGGCATCGTCCCGAGCCACGGCATCAGTATCAACGTTCCTGACCACGGCGGACACCACTCGAGACACCCCGTGCGACATGTGTAGGTCCCTCGCCGCGCCATTGCCCGCACCATGCTGATCCCCGCAGATCTGCGCCGACATATCAAAGTCCGCTGCGACACCACGCACGAGCACCCTCACGATCCAAAGGCGTCAAAGAGACCCTCGACGCCCGGTCACACTATGGCAGCAGCGATGACGATGGCGGGGCCGTCCACCGCATTAACCAATATATGATAAAGCAAGAGATTGGAAGAGGCAGTTTTGGGGCAGTACATCTGGCAATAGACCAGTACGGTCACGAATATGTGAGCCATCCATGATACTCCATGCCCAGAACAGCGCTGTTCCGGCTCTGCGTCAAGCACCCTCTTCATGTGGACCAGGACTGATATTGCGGGTTGCACAGGCTGTTAAAGAGTTTTCCAAATCTCGGCTACGAAAGCGAGCGCAATCGAATCTGTTGCGGAAGCCGAATCAACACAGGAGGCCGGGCCACCTATCTGCAGGCGGAGGATTCAATTCACCACTACATCGACACACCTCATCCGATAAGCTCAATGGCGTCAACAATTCGCTTGAGCTCATTAAGGAAGAAATCGCCATTATGAAGAAATTGGATCATCACAATTTGGTTTCACTCATTGAAGTCCTGGACGATCCGCAAGAGGACTCACTGTATATGATACTCGAAATGTGTAAGAAAGGCGTTGTGATGCATGTCGGGCTCGACCATCGCGCGGAGCCATACGACGAAGAGAAATGCCGCGACTGGTTCCGCGACATGATTCTCGGCATCGAGTACCTGCACGCGCAAGGCATCATACACAGAGACATCAAACCAGACAACTGCCTCATCACTCATGACGATGTTCTCAAGATCGTCGACTTTGGCGTAAGCGAAATGTTCGAGAAAGAATCTGAAATGCACACAACAAAATCAGCAGGAAGCCCAGCTTTCATGCCGCCCGAGCTTTGCGTGGTCAAGCATGGACCCGTGAGTGGCAAAGCCGCAGATATCTGGAGCATGGGTGTCACACTGTATTGCTTGCGCTACGGACGCATACCCTTCGAGAAGTCAAACATGCTAGAGTTATATGAGGCTATCAAAAGCGACGAACCTCAGCTCGAGGAGGAGAAAGACGACACATTCACAGACCTGATCCGCCGATTACTGGAGAAGGATCCAGATAGGCGTATCACCATGGCTGAGCTTCGCGTATGTATTCTTGCATCCGCGGTAGAACGAGGCTGACATTGCACTAGGAGCATCCATGGGTCACCCGGAACGGAACGGATCCGATGATGCCTGCAGAAGACAACTGCGCAACGCTCGTCGAGCCTCCAACTGACGCAGAGATGAACGAAGCTATCACTGGCAACATGGCACATCTCATGACGGTGATGAAAGCAGTGAAGCGATTCAAGAAGCTCATCTACCGGAAGCGGCCTCAATTCATGGAAGGTCTCTTTGGCCGCGAATCGCGACTATCAGCGCCGCCATCCGCTGTGCACCGATCATCTCGGAGCGTTGATGCATCAGACCGCCGACCAGTGGAGTCAGCTCTGGTAGTTGAAGGCGTGCACCGTGATATGGAGGAAGAACTTCCAAAGGGACCAGACGTTGGCAGACGTGGCCGCGAAAGTCCACAAACGCCGCCATCGCCATTTGATAGCACCGGAACGGAGGCACGGAGTTTCGGATCAGAATCATCGCATCCTCTAGCTGCTCAACCAATGTCGGCATCCGATGACCACCTCGAACGACCGCACTTGGACCACAAAGCCAGCACGTTCCCGCTGGATGAGCGAGGCAAGGGTCAAGCTCACGATCCACTGGAAGACCGAATTTACCTCAACATTGGTGCTGGTGGCGATACCGAGGGTACTGACGACAATGGTCAGTTCTTGGTGTGCGAAAGCCCCAGCGGTGTCGACGATGACATCTACGAGGCTGCTTACCAAAAGGAACTCGAGCGCATATTGAATGACCGCGACAACGCCAGTGTGGTCTTGGTGCGGCGTGTTGAACACATCGAACGCCTTCGACGACATCCAAACGTCCTGGCATCATCGATCAATCATGCCATCGATTTTGCCGGCACGACCGCATCTAGGACTCGCGCTCGTGCACGTACGAGTCGGCTGGCTTCATTTGCACGCGACAAACGAGACCGAGCTCGAGCCAACGTCAATGAGCGCATTGATCAACGTGCTGCAGATCGCGCTAATGAAGAGGGGCGTGATCTTTCTACTCCTACTCTCATGGTCAACAGCGAAGCAGCTGCGTCAGCATCACCGCTGCCAAGTCCTGGCATTACAGTACCCAGCGGACTCACAACGCCTCCGTCCCGATCTCGAACGCCAAACAGTGAACGACGACTGCGTGATGCGGCGAAATTTCAGGCAGGGCAGACTCTGAAAGGCGTTGCAAGACGACTGAACGAAACCGCTTCCAGGCTCGAAGCCCGAAGCAACAGCAGCCCAAGCGGCACTGTGTCACCTTATCCAGAAACCTGAGGCTCATCTTTAGCTTTCCGGAGTTGCAAACATTTCAGCCATATCGCGCCCTGGCCCCTGCTACCCCCTTGGTATAACTTGTATCAAAATAGTGTATATGATGGCATAACAGCATGACAGGGACATGTACTACATGTAGCTGGCGCCGGTCGCTTGCTCAGTCTCTTGTTGGATGTGCTTTAGCGTGGAGTTGGGATGGCGAAAAGCAACATTGAGTCGCCGAGTCGCTACATATTATGAAGCATAGCACAGCATATCACGACATCATGGCTCTTGCCTACTCAACAACTTACATTGGTTTCTTCCGATCTCTACCGAAGATACATATAGGTGTTGTTTGATCTCTTACACCGATTTTGGCGCCCCGGCATCTGGCTCATGATCCTCCTAGTCGTGTATTTCGTTCTCTGTATCCCACCCGGTAATTTGCAGCTGACGAACAAGTAAGCCCCCCAGGTCATCACTCACCGTGATCAATGCTTTAAGAACCCTTTCGCCTTTCCAAATAGCTTTCCCTTAAGCCCACCTAAACCCGGCGAAGGTCGCGTCTCTGCCGGTGGCGGAGGTGGTGGCCTATCATAGCTGCTCGGGTTTGATGGTGCTTGAGACGGAGCTGCTGCTCCTCCACCACCAGCTGTAGCGCTCTTACCGCCAACACTGACTGTGAACAACACAGGATCCCCGGCATTCACCTTCCCTGATTGATCCTCGCCCTCATCCGGTTGCACATCATCGTAGGCAAAAGCATAACCTTTCTTATCGACATTGTGCTCATGCACTAATCTCGCATAGTGATTCGTTGGATCTCGAGTGTAGAAAGTATGAGGTTGACTAGGATGGTCCTCGCATTCCGTCAAAGCAGAGCGAACGAATGCAGCTGCTAATCGAGGGATAATAGCATTTCTCGTAGGTGAAGGTCCAGTCGTGAAAGGTCCACTATTACAGCCAAGAATATCTGCCGTAGTCGGTTTCTCGAATTCTTCGTCGCCGATCTTCAATTTCCCTTTGTGGTTGACGTGCCCTTCAAGTACTCCTGGCCCGGCTTGCGTGTTGATTTTACATTTGCAGTCTGATTTGTATTTTTGCCAGACTTCTTCCACGTAAGGTTCGAAATATCCATCGAAGCTGGCGCCGACGGCACCTCCGTGTGTTGCGTTCAGAATTCGCAGGTTTCGGCCATCTTTGTTTACTACCAATTTATCCCATGGCCGCCCGTCCTTTTGGGCTTGTTGGGCGAGGCTCTCGGCCATGCGATCGATTCCATCAGGAGCCATGCCTGCCACATGCTGCAAGTCTCCAGAGTTGGCTTGTAAGGTGATCGCAATGGGTATTCCTGGCACGAAATCGACGTATGAGATGTTGGCGTATAGCTGAGCATCGTTGAGGGTGAACTCTGCAAACCCAAAATTGACCTTCGCGTTCGGATCACTCGGGTTCAGAACAGAAGGCTCGACTAAGGCTGGTCCACCGGGATTCAGCAAGAATGTGAGATGGCCTTCTGCGATCCATATCCGGCCTCCTGCGATTTGTGGGATGGTGATTGTGACTGTGTTGCCGGGCTGACCAAGTGGGATTGCGCAGTCTTCTTGTAATTGAGAACCAATTTCTGTCACGTCTGTTGGGAAATATAAATCTTTGCCATTGGCCTTGAGGAGGCAGCGTTTGCCGTCATGTTGAATGGCGATTCCGGTGACGTAGGCGTGGATGTTATCGAGGTCGCTGTCGTTTTTCAACGCAATTTGTAGTGAGTCCGGCATAATTGCGATTATATCAGAGACTGAGAAGAGGTGGTGGGGAAGTGCGATACTATGTACGCCCACAACTCACACGTGAAGTCGACTGAGCAGAAACCTGGTTGTGTTCGGCCCCGGAGGGAAGCCGCGATGAAGTCAGCCAAGGGTATCCACTTACAGGCAGGATCTCGTTCAGCGGCGGCTTAGATGGCAAGAAGGCAATCGCTGTTCAATCACAGGCATCGTTCGTCTCGAAGATGTATGCGACTACGAGGAAGTTCTGCCATTGAAGCCTATGAAGCATGGTCCATCCAGGTCGCATATCGTGATGTCCACATCAGTACAGAGACTACATCTCGTGCTGAGATCTGCTGAAAAGGTGGGTGTGCAGGGCTCCGACTTCCATCGACGACCTTAAGGCAGAAAGAGCCATTGTGATTGGGAAGCACTGAACGCGAAACGCAATGAGCGAAGTCAAATCGTCCCTAGTCGCATACATGCGCTTCATGCAGCTGTGTCTTGCACCATGCCACACCATCGTAGACATCTCCGCTAATCCTATGCATCTTGTGGAGATAAACGTGCCAGGATGGTCGCGTTCGATCTTCGTTCTCACATCTCATACATCATCGTCGTACTCTAGGCCAATGTTGATGGTACGAGCCTGCGAGCTGCAACATAGCTCCTGCGCATCCTGATCACCCGAGTATTAGCCATTACTACATCTGGAGAACAAATAGGTCGATCAGGGCCGGAGAAATTGATCCCAGGAGATTCTTGAGCTTGCTGGATGTATCTTCCAGTCCCTTTCCGCTACTTGGGCCCTGCAGTTCTGATGTTGTGAGATCCATTAGCTTCTCGTACGAGCGCTCAATTGTCGTTCTCGCTTTCGAGCACCCATCGAAGCCCAGATGATCTGATCGAGAGTCAGCCATCGTCGCGGTCGTGTTGCTCGTATTTGCAGTTCGTCATCAGCATCATGGTCGGTTTGGAGCATGCGCACACGATCCTTCAGTCGCCCGTACCCCAGACAACGACGGCCCCATCTCCGCCAGCACTCGCCCACTGCTTCCTCAGCTGATTCCAAGCGACAGCAGACACAACATCCTTCTTACTCGCAATAGTCTGCGCAGCACTCTCACTCTTGTGCCAAAGCCTCTGCGCCACCACCCCAGTCAAAACATCCCAAACCAACACTCTTCCATCCTCCGTCCCACTCATCGCATAAGCCTCTCCCATTGCCAAAACACTCCTCAACCTATACGTCTCATTCCTAAATCCCTCATCCCTAAAACTCTGCAAACACTTCCCCGTCCCGCGATCAAAAAACCTCATCGTCGAATCCAGACTACTCACCAAATACCCATCCCCAGCCTTCGTGGGACAAACACTCGTAACGCCCTTCCCAGGCGCCACGTAATCGACATCCACGCAACCCATACTCAAATCATAAACTCTCACACACCCATCCACAGACCCAACAAAAATCTCATGCCCATTGACAGCAACACTCGAAACCGAATCTTTCGCTTCGGAGAAACTCATAATAGGTTTCTCACTCCGACTCTTCCCATCCCAGATCTTGACAGTCCCATCAAAACTTCCACTGATGACGACTGAATCGCCTTCGCCTCCGAAAGCAACACAATTGACTCTCGCAGAATGTCCCGTGAAACGTCGCAGTGTCTGCGCAGTGGCAACGTCCCAGAGGAAAACTGTTTTATCGCCGCCTCCGGATACGAAGCGTGCATTGTCGTCGCTGACGCTGAGGTCGAGGACTTCGTAGCCATGAGCAGAAAAGGTCTGAATCAGTCGTCCATTGACCGGATTGAAGAGTCGCACATTGCGGTCTTGACAGCCGGTGAGGACGTATTGGCCCGTTCCGGCGGAGAAAGTGACGGCGTGTACCGGTCCATTGTGGTTCGTGAGCCTCGATATCTGCTTCGTCGGGAAGCGCGTATTGCTTGTCATCGTGGTAGTGGTAGCATGATGTGATGTGGAAGGAGTGAAGTCAGACTTGAAACATTAGATCGAGGTGAGGAAGGTGCCAAGACTGTGGTTCGCACTTCTAAGCAGGGATCGGAACAGCTGCAGGCTTAGCATGTGGGTATATTGACATGTGAAGATGGGGTCCAAATGTAATTACAACAAGTGCTGTGCTGATATTACATCCTACAGATACGCACTAATGCTTTTTGGCTCGTGACCGCGATGCTCAGCACTTGACAGCCTCGCAACACCACGCTAAGCAGCTTTCCATAAATCTCTCCTGAACAAACACAATGAAAGCAGTAAAGGTATCTTCGCACTTTGCAACCCACCCTGAAACGAGTCCCACTCAGCGCCATAACAATGTCTGATTTCCTGGCGATGGAAGGGACGCTTGAGATCTGATTCTGTCGCAGTTGCCACTGTCCTGCCGTGGCGTGGTCGGTAGCTTCTTGCGTCTTCATACTCATATCCTGCACCCCTGATGCGCCTAGCGGCGACCAGTCCTCGACATGCTACCCTGCAGCGTCTCGACTTCCGCCTCGAGTTGCTTGATGACCGCATGGCTCTGCTCGAGATCCTTGTTGAGACGATCGCGCTCAGCAATAAGCTTCTGCTCCCATTGTCTGAAACGCTGCTCCTCCACCTTGACTTGTTCGGTGAAGCGCTTGCGGAGAGCCTCTTCTTCCTCCTTGAATTTGGGGTTGTCCAGCTTCCGAGGTCTTGCCTCACCAAACTTCCTGGTCTCCATCTGTTGCGCGCGGTACACCTCGTAGTGGTTCTCTTCTGTGGTGTGGATCAGGTCGAGCATGTGTGTGCGGATGAGGATAGCGCGGAGCTTCTTGAAGTCGCAGTGCTCCTCGTTCTCAACCTCAGCGACACCCCAGTGGTAGTGACGACCCTTGACAGTGCGTCCATCAGGGGTAGTCACATCACGCTCGGAACCGATGACCGAGAATGGCATGGCGGAGATCAAGCTGCGAGCGTGCTGCAGGCCGGCCTCGTCGTCCTCCTCGAGCGGTGGAGTATAGATTTTGATGCCTTGTGCCTCGATGACGCTTCGGATCTGTATTCGACAATTGTCAGTGTTCCAATCCCAAAGCAATCTCTGTGTAAGCTACAACTTACGCGGTGCTTGAAGCGGGCGAGATCTGCCGGTGAGAGAGTATCGGCCTTTGCAATGACTGGAATCAGGTTGACGCGGGTGGCCAAGCGCTTCATGACCTCGATGTCCAATGGCTTCAGAGTGTGGCCGGTAGGGCGGATGAAGAACAGACAGGCGTGGACACGCAAGTCGATCTTGTCACTTCTCTTTGGCTGTTGCTCCTGCAACATGTAGCTCTCGTGCTGATCGTCCAAGAATTCTATAATTGGCTGCCAGCTGTCGCGGTTGTTCACGTAGTCACCAAAACCCGGTGTATCGATGACGGTCAAGCGGACCTTGAAGAACTTCTCCTCGAGCTCCGCCTTTGTGATTTCAATCTCCACCGTCTTGTCGATCTGCTTTGCGTGACGTCGCTTGTGGTCGGCGTAGTTCTTGATGGTCGTGCTGAAGAGAGTGTTGATGAAGGTAGTCTTTCCAAGGCCAGACTCACCGGCCACCATGATCGTGAAGGCAGCACCACGCTTGGCCACAATCTTGTGGCGCTGGTTGGGCAGCTGCACAGGCGGTCAGTTCGCATTCTCCTCAATATTGTCCACGCGCAACGTACGTTGGCAATGCCAATGGGCGAACCTCCTGTCTCTGCCATGGCTGCTGGTGGAGGGGGAATCTCGCGGACGGGGAGCTGCGGGAGGGTCTTTGCGGGCGCTGTCGGTGGAGCAATGGGCTCCGGTGGAGGATTGTATGCGCCGGGAGGGTGTCTCAGGTGCGTGAAGCTGTCTAAGGCGCGGCGGACGTTAGCCAATGGCTTTTGTTGCATGGTGAGCACATCCATCTCGCGGAGGAGCCGAGCACGCGCGGTGGACGAATTTCAAGTTGGGGAGCAGATGGAGGAGGGTGTGTTCGTACAGGACAGGCGGAGCGCACGACGAGCGGCGCTGCGGGAGAAGTCGTGGATGGGCGGGTGGGTGAATGAGCAGCAATTGCGACTGCTGGGCCCGGGATGCGGTTGCTTGTGAAGATGGAGAGGGAGTTGCGATGCTGGTGCTGGTGCTGGTGCTCTCCTTTCCAGCTGGCACTTACCGAATTGGCTCCGCCGGTGGCCCCTGGCATTGGACCGGCGAATGGGAGACGCCAATTCTGAGGGCACCGCAGGGTGCGCCGTAGTGCCCGCTAGCGCTTGCGGGGACGAGGGAGCTTCCGCCTTTCGAGACTCCATCACGAAATTTTGGCCGTCCATCACTGTCGCGCGCGTCGGGAATGGCTTTGTGGTAAGCACTCGAGCTGCTTCAGAAGACAGGAAGGTGGAAACAAAGTGAGCAAGATGAAGACGGAATTCAAGGTAGGCGCGCCCCGCTTGTGCGACCTCGAAAAATTTGATGCGTCAGGCGTCAAGCAAACACATTTTGACGAGACTGACCAATTGACCAAAAGCGCAGTTTTCGAACCTCCTGGGCACCGTGTACCGCAAAGGCAACCTGGTCTACACCAAAGATGGGACGTGCCTACTGTCGCCCGTCGGCAATAGAGTCTCGGTATTTGACCTGATCAACAACAAATCATACACTCTACCCTTCGCACATAGAGTCAACATAGTCCGGACAGCCCTTCATCCAGCGGGCCAGCTGCTCTTGACCATCGACGAATCCGGGCATGCTATTCTCTCGCACTTCCAGCGCCGAATCGTGCTCTACCATTTCTCGCTGAAAAGTGCCGTATCGGCTTTGACCTTTTCTCCAAGTGGCGATCACTTTGCTGTAGGGCTTGGCAGAAAGATCGAAGTGTGGAAGACTCCATCCACCACTGGCGAGGATAGCGGATTGGAGTTCGCGCCATTCGTGCGATATCGACAGTATGCGGGACATCACGATACCGTTCAAAGCATCCAATGGAGTAGCGATGGCCGCTTTTTCCTGTCGGCGAGCAAGGACTTGACAGCACGAATATGGAGCCTGGATCCTGAGGAAGGCTTCATGCCCACTGTTCTCGCTGGACACCGCACTGCTGTACATGCTGCATGGTTTAGCAAAGATCAAGAAACGATATGGACTGTGTCCAAAGACGGTGCATTATTCCAGTGGCAGTACCTGCCTCCACCGGATGCCGATCCAGAGAATGTGAGCGAAGACGACGAGCGATGGAGGATCAACAACAGGCACTACTTCTTTCAAGACCAAGCGCACCTCACGATAGCGGCATTCCATCCATCGTCAAATCTGCTCGTCACGGGCTTTTCGAACGGGCTGTTCATGTTACACGAGCTGCCCAGCTTCAGCGAGATCCATAAACTCTCCATCTCGGCCTCCAGTGTAGACACTGTCTCTATCAACCACACCGGCGAATGGCTTGCATTTGGCTCATCTGCACTTGGTCAGCTTCTGGTGTGGGAGTGGCAAAGCGAGTCCTACATCTTGAAGCAGCAAGGGCATTTCGACAGCATGAACGCTTTGACTTACTCTCCCTCTGGAGATCGTGTAATCACATGCGCCGACGACGGCAAGATCAAAGTCTGGGACACAACATCCGGCTTCTGCATCGTCACATTCACGGAACATACGTCTGGAGTCACAGCTTGCGAATTTGCGAAGCGTGGAAATGTGCTCTTCACAGCATCACTTGATGGCAGTGTACGCGCCTTTGATTTGATCAGATACCGATGCTTCCGAACATTCACAGCGAGTAAAAGACTGCCGTGGACATCTATTGCGGTGGACCCTAGTGGCGAAGTAGTCGCGGCTGGCTCCACAGATGACTTCGACATCCACATCTGGAGCGTTCAGACAGGACAGTTGCTGGATCAGCTAACAGGCCATGAAGGACCAGTGTCATCGCTTGCCTTTGCACCTAATGGAGGGAATCTCGTCTCGGGCAGCTGGGATCGCACCGTCCGCATATGGTCGATCTTCGGTCGAACACAAACGTCAGAACCTATACAGCTCCAAGCAGATGTGTTAGCAGTGACGGTACGACCTGATGGGCGGCAAATTGCGGCATCATCGCTAGACGGACAGCTTACGTTCTGGAGCCTCAGCGAAGCGACGCAAGAAGCTGGCTTGGACGGCCGACGAGATGCAAGTGGAGGCCGCAAAGCGACAGATCGAAGAACTGCAGCCAACGTGGCTGGAACGAAGAGCTTCGGCACCATCGCATACAGCGCAGATGGCTCTGTGTTGCTCGCCGGTGGCAACAGCAAATATATCTGCCTGTACGCGGTGGAGACTGGTGTGCTACTGCGAAAATTCACAGTGTCCGTCAACTTGAGTTTGGAAGGGACACAGGAATTCCGAAACTCAAAACTGTTGACAGAAGCCGGACCACGCGCACTGTTGGACGAGCAAGGCGAAGCATCAGATCTCGAAGACCGCATGGACACGAGCCTGCCCGGGGCCAAACGTGGAGATGCTGCGCAAAGAAAGATAGCAGCAGAAGTGCGAGTACCAGGAGTGACATTCTCGCCAACAGGCCGAGCGTTCTGCGCAGCGAGCACAGAAGGCCTACTCATCTACTCACTGGACGCCGGCGCCGTTTTCGATCCTTTCGACCTCGACGTAGATGTTACACCGGAGAACACGTTAGCAACACTTCGGCAACAAGACTGGCTGAAGGCGATGGTAATGGCTTTCCGGCTGGGCGATCTGAAGCTCGTGCGCAAGGTCTATCGTGCAATTCCAGTGTCCGACATTGGCCTCGTTGTTCGCGACCTCCCACAGGTTTACTTGGACCGACTGCTTCGATTCGTTTCAAAAGAGTCAGACCAGAGCCCGCACCTTGAACTGAACTTGCTCTGGATGGAAAGCCTGCTCAACCAGCATGGTCGCCTCTTGAAAGAACGACAAGGTGAATATGCTGAAGTGGTACGAATGATGCAAAAGGCGATCGCAAGAGTGCAAGGAGAAATCATGAAAGTGGCCAACCAGAACAACCATACACTTGATTACTTGCTTGCTCAGCCGACAGCGTCAGTCGACGCAACACCCAAGATGCTGGCTATTACGAGCGGTGGAGCAGATGAAGACGAAAGTATGGCTGACAGTGACGAAGACGGTTGGCATGGATTAGGATAGTCTGTATTGTGAACGACCTCCTATCTTGTAAATTACACCTTTCCAAATGTACACCATCAAACGCAGTTGAAAGCGGCACCTCGCCACAGTACAACATGAGGAATCGCAGTCTTGTCCTGCTACCGGCATCCAAAATGTCGTACAGGCCATGTATCGACTCGTCCGCTGCTGCTCTGATACCCCGGCCTCAACCATCGTCTCTCGACCTCTATCCATGGCCACCAATCTTCTGTATCTCCTCGCTAGAGCATCACCATCCCACTTGGTCGTCACGGGCGGCGAGGTTATTGTCGGAGTTCAATTCTGCGGCTCGGGCTGCCACTTCGTTTCGCTCGACATGCTGTTCCTCGCTTGTCAGCCATGCATATCGTTAGAGGGTAAGATGAATTCATACCCGAGTTCTCGATTGACGCTCGACAGAAACGGCAACATGACGCTTGTAGATGCCGTTATACGGGTTATAGCCGTAAATCGCAGGGTCCAGTTTCTCACCAGTTTCGGCGATCTGGTTTCTGCTCCAGTCGATAGTATACTTGCCATCAGCAGTCTTCGAGAAAAATCCTTTGTCGCTGTGGCCCAGTTGCGTGCTCCCATAATTGTAGGTGTAATAGGCTGGGTTGTCCTCGAGGCGGACTCCGTTGCCGTAGACACCATTCTGCTTGCCGCCCGTGCAATACTCTCCGACCAAACCCAAACGAGGATCATATTTACAACTGGGTGAGTTGTCCGTTATGTCCCACGGCCCGCCGTTCTTCTCTTGATTGTCCTACTAGATGTTAGTGTAGTTGACTCAGTGCGAGCTCGAGCATCTGGCAATACCTACCCGATCTATGAGTTGAGCTGGATATGCTGCTGCTTGACCGAGCATGAGAGCAGCGGTAACTGCAATGACGTTTTTGGAATACATGATGCTGTATGCAGTAATTGGGAAGCGCCGGCGCTGCAAGAGTGACGACCAAAATTGCTGAAGCCCGATAAACGAAAATGCCGTGAAGTGTCTGGAATAGGTCCAGGCTAGAAGTTTTGAGCCTTGGAGACAGACCTATATATTGTCCTGCTCATCCAGGTTGCTATTTTCACTCAGGCTTTGGAACACCCAAGAAAGTAGTTCGTTTCTCCGAGCAATGTCGGCTTACATGGTAGACTCTCCTAACTCGCGAACAGAGTTGCATTGCAGTGGAGCCTTCCAGGCCAGCCGCCAGCCGTGTGAACAGCCATATCGAGTTGGGGGCGGTGCGCCTTGACCAATCCAATAGCCTGTAAGTTTTGTGTGTTTTCTTTAAACTTCATCATGCTGGCACTTTCGAGAATGTTTGCCCTTTAGACCAGTAGGGCTAAGCACCGATAGCTCAAGCAAGGAGCAAAATAGCAACATCTCCCCTGCCTCGCCGTCAGGTACGCATCACTCCTTGTTGGTAAGGCCATGTTAAGCTTTGAGGAGAAGCATCGTCCTCGCACGGCACTTCTTCGAGCTTCCCAGAGAAGAATGCCGTGGAAGTTAAAAGCTATGCAACTGCCTCAATTGGCGCGGCACCAGGCAATGATTGGCTGCGGATTTGTGAACATCAGGATTTGATGATGATGAGTCCAACCCTTCCTCCGATGACATGAGGTGGAGTCGAAGTTGCCATTTCGAGCATCGTCCCAGGGCTTTTGCGAGTTTCCCGGTTGTGCCGCAACCCTCATTCATGTTTTCACCTCGTGGTCGTTGCCCAATCCATCGAAGCAATCTACGAACATGCCTTCTCAGCGATCAGTCGCCGTCATCGGCTCTCTCAACATCGATTTCGTGACCAGAACGTCGCGTCTGCCGCAGCCTGGCGAGACTCTTCAAGCTATCTCTTTTGACACGGGCTTCGGAGGCAAAGGCGCCAATCAAGCAGTCGGCGCTGCTCGTCTCGCGGGCGAAGATGTCAAAGTCCGAATGATTGGCGCTGTGGGCGATGATGGCTTTGGCAATGATTACTTCGAAGCTCTCGGCAAAGAGGGTATTGATGCCAGTGGAGTCCGAAGACTGCAAGGCGAGAAGACCGGGGTTACGAACATCATTGTCGATGAGAGTGGGGAGAATAGGATTTTATTTGTTGCTCATGCCAACATGAAGTTTGGAGACGCGGAAGATCTGATCACTGGGCAAGAAGGCGATGTTGCCGTGTTCCAACTAGAAATCCCTCTGAACACCGTGAGTACCTCTCCTTTCCATCACGCTGCTCATTTGTCTACTCTAAGTCCGTGACATGTTGATAGCAAAGGTAGGTTCTCCACAACATGCGCAAAGCAAAAGATGCTGGCAAGCATGTCATCTTCAACCCTGCACCTGCAATTAAACTGCCAGAGGATGCCTACGCGAACATGGACACCTTGATCATGAACGAAACAGAGTCGGCTATTCTCGCTGGGCATGCGGAAGCAAGCTCAGACAAGAATAGCCTGCTCGAGCTTTGTAAGACTTTCTTGACTAAGGGTGTCCGAGAGGCAGTGGTAATCACTCTTGGTGGCGAGGGTCTAGTCTACGCCACTGTCTCCGGTGCATCAGGCCACGTTGGTGCCCACAAAGTGAAAGTCGTCGACACCACAGCCGCTGGAGACACCTTTGTTGGTGGATACGCAGTGCAGAGAGCGAGACATATTTCGGGAGACTTCGACTACAAGCGTGCGTTGGAGTTCGCAACATTGGCTGCGTCCAAGACTGTGGAGAAACCTGGCGCAATGGCAGCTATTCCACATCTCCACCAGTTGCAATAAAGAACACTACTACTCTCGACGAGAGACAATCCAATTCTGCCATTGAGACAGACATCAGACAACGTGTCTTGCAATCAACTCCTTCCACCAAATCACTTTCTCTCATTAGCCTCGACTTCAAGTACTTATTACCAGTCTCCTCTTCTTCCCGAAGAGTCTAAAAAGCAACAACAACCTCTTACTCCATTACCACAACGCTCATCACAACCATTCTCACACCTCCAAACCCGAACAGCGAATCACAATGCCGCAAGACCAAAACACCAACCAGACTCAAACCCCCTGGACAATCGACTACGGCGGCGACAGCTACCCACTAGACCCCAACAGGCCCAACAGCACACGCATGCACCCCTGCTATCTGAAACGAGGAGAAGAAATCAAAGGATTTGTGTGCAAGTGCTGCTGGACAAACAACCCCACTTGCTCGGACAGGGCGTGCAACCATCCATACCGACGGTGAAGAAGTGGAGGAAACGAGGAAGAGTGCTTGGCGGAGAGCGGTTGAGGCGAGGTGAGATGGTGGCGGGGAGATGTTGGGATGACAAGGGGTAGCACTGGGTGCATTCTGACGCGCAGGACTAGACGAAGACGATAGAAGCATGTAGGGTATCGCAGGCGAGCCTTAAATGATGCTGTAGGAAGGAACTGAAATTTTGGAAAGACAAAACTACAATGCCTTAGTCTATGCTGGGTATTGATGACGGATGATGTGATATGTACAACTCAGGAAGCGCGACCATCCACCGAATTATACCATGTTGATGCCTTCACTCAAAGGGTATATCCTCCCGGACTAACTTCCCTCCACGGCCTCACTGGCTTGCTATCTTCAAGCTCTACAACCCACCACAGCGCCTGCTTGGCCTTACCAATTTCTCTGCTGAGCTCATGTGCTCTAGCAAGCATAGACCAAGCCTCCGAATCATCCCAGCCGGTCCCTAGCTTCGTCAAGTTGGACAGCAACATGTAAGCTCGGTCGCGAGCAGCCAGACGATTGAGCTCTGCAGGCGTAGGGTCCTTCTTCCGGAGCGCGATCTTCTGAGGCCGTCCATCACTGACTAGAGAAGGTCGTCGCGAAGGATCTGTCGATGTGGCGGTGTTGGGCCGCGTCAAAGAAGGCTGTGCTTCGTTGATCAGAGAACCTGAAGTTGTGGCAGCAGGCTGTGGGGTGGGAAGAGGCTCTTCGGCAGGAATATTCTGCTCGTAGATATCCAGCAGAAGGCTCGACAAGCCGATGATGCCTGCACTGTGGTCAGGATAGTACGAGAGGGCTTGCTCAAACGCGGCGATGGCTTCAAAGGGTTGTTGGCGAGACGAGGCAATATGTGCTTTCTGCGAGCTGGTCAGTGGAAAGAAATGATCGAGCCTGACAGGCCACACTTACAGCGGACCAGACGTCGGCCCACAACTCGTCTATGCTTTTACTACTCCCCCAACCTTTCTCGAACAAGCGTTGTGCGTTGATACCGTCTGCACCGCTCCCAATCTCGACTTCCAATGATTCGACGAGCTTCGAGGCACGTTCAACCGCATTCTCGGCATCCTCAGCTGAGTCTGCTCGAAGGTACAGACCTGCAACAAACAGCCACGTCTTGATCAGAACCCCTACCTTTTGCCGTCGCTCGTGCATCGGCAGTAGATGTGACTCTGGTAGGGTGGAAGCAGAAGCTGGGTGTGGCGTTGGCAATCGAACGTCTTGAACAGGTGGTTGTTCGTCGTGTCCAGGGGGTGGCGGCAGCTCTCCATGCGCTGCATTGTGCTCCATTTCTTTCAGAGGCTGCTGTGGGCTAGCATTGGATTCCTGGGCCACCTGCGCTGCCACCGCGTTGTGCTCGGTTGGTTTGACATTCTCTTTCACCTCAGCGACACTAGTAGCCGAAGTTCTAGCTGATGTGCCATTGTGTTGGTGCCTGTGGAATGGCAAATGGAGATGGCCATGGTGGTGTCTTTTGCTCGACGGACTCCCGTCTTCATTCGTGACCGTGATGGATATAGGTGGACCTATACTTTGCGCGTTTGTCGATGGCCGAAGATCCCCTGCACTCTCTGTTGACGTGAGAGACCGCTGCCTCACAGTGGTCTTGCCAGCACTGCTACTGCGTCGTGATCTGGCTGATCTCGGCCGAATGCTTCCTGTAATGCTGCGTAGCGTGCCGCCAAGACGCGACGGGGTCGCTGTTGCTGCTGTTTTAGGTGGCCGGCTCTCGGCGATCCTGACATGCTCTGGATTGCCAAACAATCTAGAATAGAGTCCAAGCAGACTGTCAGTGAGATCGACAGCAGCATCCGAGCCGTCCATTAGTTCAATCAAATGGATGTGGGTCATCCGGATCTGCAGGATACTCTCTTTCTCTGAACCTTCCATTTGGTCAACAATGCCCGGCGTAGCACGAGACAACGTTGTAGATTTCTCCGGATCCAGTGACTGCTGCTTGGGAGCCTCACCGAAGAGCACTGAGGAATTGCCAAATTGCTTGTAGGCGGCATCACAGATCTGCGCTGCCACATCGAATTTGTCTTGCGCCGACAGACACAACGCAAGCAGATGCCAAAGCGACAAGAGCCGACGTTCTCGTTCATGGTGTTGCTGTGTTGCTGCCTGCCCTTTAAGCATGACTGAACCGTTCAAGGCACTACGAACGACCTCGACAGCCGCTGGTACATCGCGCGTCTCGGCCAGCACGAGCGCTAAGGCATGAGCAGTGTCGATGCTGGTCGGGTCCAGCTTCTGAGCATGTCGAAGATGCTCCACTGCAGTGTTGAGCAAAGAAGTTCTTTCAGCAGACTCGTAGGTGAGGTAGGCCCAGTGCGCTTTGCTTAAGCCCATAGCTCGGTATGCAGTTGCCAGAGTCTCCGGTTTCAGGACCGACTCCACGGATTGAGAAGTCTGTCTGTTGTGACCACCGCCATTGCCATTGATGAGAGTGGTTCCGCCTGTAGTTGGCTGCAGCTGGGCTAGCCATCTGACTATGATGCTGCTGACCTCGTTGGCTTTTTCGGCCTGGTCTCGGTCGCCATATCTGCACAGTAGTCGGACAGCATCAGCGGCGAGGAGCATTGCAGTATCGTTGTCATCGGAGCCAATTTGTTGCTTCCCAGTCTTCTCAGCTCGCGCCTTGGCTTTGTCGATGATCTCCACGTAGCTGTGAAAGGCGTGCATGGCCAAATCAAACTCGCCCAATGCAGCATGCACCGTAAACAGCTGCCTGAGAATCGGGGTTGAGTGGAACGTCTTCGTTGCCGCCCGATAGAGAATGTCCAGAGTGGCCCGCGAGACAGCATTTCTGCCTCCTTCACCCAGATCAGAATCCGTCCATTCCAAGCCGGTAAAGTGACGCCAATTCGAGACAACTTGCGTAGTCCACTCCTCTACCTCGCTGTTCGACTGGCTAGCCTTAGGGAATTTGGTTTCCTCGAGCAGGAGTGATTCGTAGACCGTCTCGACTCGACACATCTCGGAGCGCTGTCGTTGTTTCACTGTCGTTCGCTGTTCTTGGGGTAGTATGGTGTTTGAGAAAATAAAAGCGTCAGAGGGCGAATTTGAATATGGGCTGTAAATCAGGTCATGCTGCAGAACGGTGGAGAGCAAGTCATAGTACGCCTTCCATACTTGCCGCCGGGACACATCCAGAACGTTTCCAGAAGGATCGGATGAAGGAGAGGATGCAGCTCTCTGCCAGAACTCTCCCCACGCTTTGAAGGCAGAGTATGTTTCGCTGAGGTCGCGTATTGAAGGTGAAGGAAGCTTCTTGACAGTGTATACGCATGCTCTTCCAAGCAGCCTCTCAGTCCACCTGCGTAGCTCTGGTGTTCTGTAGCCCGGAGTCCGAGAAACAGCAGCCTGATAGCTCTCTCTTGCTTCGGGCTGACTGCCACTTGCATCCAGACAAGCCGCCCTGATATAAGCTGCTTTGACCTCGCATACCTCCAGCCAGCCAAGGGTAGCTGGTCCACCCTTCTCTGCATCGCGCGAGGCTACTGTAGACACCGAAGCAGCTGGGAGAGCTTGCAGAGCCTCTAGCGGAGCCTCTTGGATCCAATGTATCTGTGCTAAGCATGCGCGGGCAACGAAGGCATCATCGGGATGTTCGGCTTCTGCTGTCGATATCGCTTCGAGGAGGTTCGGAACGGCTTCGCTCAGGCCGTGGATGCTGGTCGCCGTTGTCGAAGAGGCAGAGGTGGGTCGACGAGAGGCAGAAGCAGCTTGTGCTTCTGTGCGAGCGGCAAGGGTGAGACCTGCGAGTCGGTGGCTTCAGCAGGAGGTTCGGGGGGCTTTTCAGCGTGCTCTTCGAGGAGAGTCCGTACATTTCCGCTGCGGCGCATGCTTCTCTACCTTGCGCGCCAGCTCGGGCACCTCGTCCCAGCTGCCATTGCACAGCGCCGCATCCAACAGGCCAACATAGCGCGCGCCCTTCTCGGGGTTCGGTACCTTCTTCACGAGACCGCTCATTGTGGACCTCACGCGGCGAAGGTGGTGGCGGCAGTGCTATTGAAGCCGCATCGTTATGCAGCCGTCGTCCCGCGCATGTCGAGGAGGTCGAGAAAGCAAGAATGGCGAGAAGGCAACGATAGCGAGCTCCGGGAGTCTTGTGCTGCACAAACACGTCAACTTTAGAACGTGCTTTAGTGATCCCTGTAATTGGTAACTCGCGGCTCTCGGCAGGCACAGCTTAGGGTTCAGATGTGCCTGGGAGACACAATTTTTTATGGAGACAAGAACAACCACTTTCCATCTCGTTGTCGATGTCCATAATGTCGCAGTCGGCGGCCACGCTGCGTGCGCTGACATATCGTCTGACCTCGACGCCGACGAAAGATCTGCCTGCCATTGCGCCGCAGATCGCCAGCTCATTATGGACTTGCAAAGACGTCCTGTCCATTTCTGCAGATTCCAAGGCTACGGGTGAAGCTGCAACAGCTGCACACCGGTTCAAAGTATGAAATGTTTTGCAGGCGAGTGCAACATATCTGACAATATTCTCAGACACAACTCAATACACTTCTACAAGACCGCTCTATTGAAGGCCGGTGGGCTGCTATAGTGCTGACCAAAGCGACCATCGAAGCCGGAGGTCTCGAAGTCCTGAGCAAAGCCAATCCCTGGGTCAAGCATCTCCTGGGCATTCTGAAGCGACCTGACCCACCAACAACGCGCACTCTTGTCGTTCTCACTCTAGCTCGCATCTTTATGCTGACATGGGACTACTCAAACCTCATCCGGGAAATCACCACGCCTGCGTTGACCGCATTCATTCCTACCTGCATATCGAATATCGAGAACAGACGTTGCTCCGCGAAGGAGCTGCATACCGTGCTTGATGCATTTGCACTTCTGATTCCCAAACACCCGACCATCTTCCGGCAGAACGAGAGCAAAGTCTGCGGCATTCTTACCATCATCATCTCCTCCAAGTCAGCCACCATCTCGGAACGCTACTACAGTGATGCACATCGAGCAGCCGCTGAGCGATTACTTGTACTCTTGCACCACTGTGCTCCCAAGCAAGGTGGCGGCGATAAGTGGCAGCAAACATTGAAAGCCACCGTCGAAGCTACGCACGCTACCTGCGATCGCGTCTTCCGCGCAGTACAAGAGGACTGGCAGTCCGTTGCCGGTATTTTGCCTCCCAATGCATCTCGAACTGTTTTCAGTGGCGACGTTGAAGCAGAGGACGAGGATGCAGTTGGACTGAAACCATGGAAGGGTATCTATGCTGGGTCTGAGCGTATCGTGGCACTGCTGCGTGTCCTCACAAACCACTTGGCCAATGCCACTTCTGCTACCATCTCCGTCCGCATTGGTCTCATCATGGACCTGTTGACCAGACTGTTCGCAGTGGTCGTTCCAAGTCAAGGCAAGCAACAGTTTGTTCAATTCAACAACCAGATATCGAAGGAGGAGCGTGAAGCGCTGTTTTCTGTCGTTCCCCGGATGCACGTTGCTGCGATTGAGCTCAGCACAACTCTGATCCAACGCTTCAGCAGGACAACTCTTGCTGGTTACCATGTTATTCTAGAGCAGGTGCAGTATGTTTTCCAAGCGGAGCGCAGTGATTCGAGCATCCGTGCGGCCGTGTACGATCTAACCGCAGCCATTCTCGAACTATCTGGCCCATCGATGGGAAAAGCTGACGTCGGTGAGCTGGCATCAATTCTCAAAGCATGTTGCTCTGATCTTCTGCCAAATACGGAGCAGACGAAATCAACTCTTGACCCGAAAATGAATGGCCAGGCTGTCGGCATCAAACAACAGCTAGGACTTGCGGGAGGCCAGACCGCGCAGAGTCAATCCTCAGAGCAAGCGGGACTTTTACAAGCTGCGCAAGCCCTGCTTCGCTCAGCACTCCTGCGAGTCGATGCACTGCCCGCGCAGCTACGCGCACAAATCGACCGCACAGCCGTGCTGACACGCAGCCATGAGTTACTACAAGCGAGTGTGATGAATCCGCCAGCTAAGAAGGCTACTGCTGGCAGCGTGCCGGCAAGTCTCTTGCCTATATTGGCCCGGGAGTTCACCCACACGGCAGATGTGGAGGTCCTTCTGCGACCGAGATTACCTGTGGTAGGCAGAAAGTCAACCCGAAATTCTAGTTCTATGGAGGAGGAGGAAGAGGAAGAGGAAGAGGAAGAGGAAGATGAGGCTGAAGAAGAGGATGAGGAGGATGCCATGGCCGTGGACCAGGAAGCTGAGATAGAGGTCCATGCGGATTCTGAGAACGCTGAAGAGGTGGCCGAACGCACGAGCAATGATCCTACACTTGGCCTGCTCGACGCCTTAGGTCACAATGCTTCGTTGGAGCCTCCCAGCTCCGTGACTGCCGACGCTGCAGCTGAGAAGCGGAAAGCTACAGACGATGCTGCAGCTCTGTCAGCGAAACGCTTGCGAGCATCTCCGGACACATCTTCCTTAGCAAAAGCGTCGACAGTGCTGCCCCCACCGATCACGACTTCACAACCCGCGTGGACTGCACCGGCTTCGAGCGCTCCCACGATTGCATCTTATCACACTGCAGCCGGTGATGATTCGGAAGACGAGAGCGACTTTGAGATTCCAGAAATCCACACCGGTGACACAGACGATGACGAGTAGATAAATCTCGTCCGTAAACAATACATAATTATATTTCCAAAATTCTCCTACATGCCAGGGTCTGACGCACTCCGTCAAAATCCCTGCACTCTCAGCCCTAAGACCAGGGCATGGGCTCTGGAAATATCACGGAAGGACGTATAAGATCTTTCAGCTCGCTGAAGATGGTGCAGAAGCAGTAAGATGCTGTTCGGTGCTGCATTTCTCCGTAAGGGCGTGTCCATGGGTGTGGTGTACCCTACTATGCAGGGTGCATAGGGCTTCCAGTCTACTGGATCTCGCTGACCGGCACTGGCCATGGCTCGGACAGGTCGTGCAGGTGTCGCGCAGAGTGCCTAGAACAGACAGCCTCGAGCATCGCGCAATTGTCAGACAAATCGCACTTCCCGGCCTAAAGGCAAAAGCAAAGTTGGAGGTTGGCACGCAAATGTCCACGTCGCCACGTATGGAAGATCGCAGTGACCGAGGCCTACGATCAGCGCCACCGACCCCTCAAACAGTGCGAGGTCGGAAAAAGGTTTGTCGAAAGCATGCCGGTGGCACGATTCAGCCAATGAACAGACGCTGTGAAATAGGCTTGTTCCTGCTTCGTGTGTAGCGCGCGGTCAGCATGCGGTAAAGACGGTTAGGCTGGTGAAGGTAGGCTTTTGCTAGACAGCGACGATGTCTTCGAAAGTGGGAGCGCAGCCAATGACAGGCGTGTCATTTCGAGTGACAATTGAAAGGCGCATGCTACTCCACACAGCCAATGCTTGTGGGGCGCGCCGCAGAGGTCATCTAGAATTATGTACTCAGCGCGAGGAGTCCACATATGTAATAAGCGGCAGTTCGCTTTGCACTCGGGACATTCCCCATCCGCTGTTGGTATTTTGTTTCCGCTGCGGCCTCTCTCTTTCTCTTCCCTCCCCACCTGTCTACACCCACCATTGACGCTGACACACGACCACACGCACAATGGAGGCTCTCATGGTGAAGAGCCGGGCCATGTGTCCATTCCTGAACAAGACGTCGCCCGCCACGCTGCGCTCGCTGAGCACCAGCACAAGCGTGCAGCAGACCACGGCGCCCGGCGGCGGGGCCATGAGCAACCTGCAGACCATCGCTCGCCGCTGCCCCATCATGGGCAAGGCGCTGTCCGTCCGCAGTGCGCAGCTCGGCAACACCGTCCTCGCAGGAGCATTCGGCGGCTCTCGTGCCTACCACTCGAAGGTCCCGCGTGCCAATCTGCACACCACTGCTGAGAACAAGGCCCGCGCTGTCGAATCTCCTCGCGTCCGCACCGATGGCCCACTGTACGCACGTCAGCCCGCTGAACCCGCCAAAACGACCCAGCAGAGTGCCGTTCCCGAACGATATGCCCGTCCGCCTCCACCACCGCAATCCGAGAAATTCGACTACGATGCCTTCTACACAAATGAGCTGGACAAGAAGCACAAGGACAAATCGTACCGCTACTTCAACAACATCAACCGTCTTGCCCAGGAATTCCCACGAGCGCACATGTCTGCACGAGATGAGCGAGTTGACGTATGGTGCTCCAACGACTACCTCGGAATGGGACGCAACCCTCAGGTTTTGAAGAGAATGCACGAGACATTGGACATGTACGGATCTGGCGCGGGAGGAACGAGAAACATCTCTGGCCACAATCAGCACGCGATGAGCTTGGAGGCGACCTGCGCGAAATTGCACGCGAAAGAGGCTGCTCTGGTCTTCTCGTCATGCTATGTGGCGAATGACGCAACGCTGGCGACATTGGGAAGCAAGATGAAGGACTGTGTGATTTTGAGTGATAGCATGAACCATGCTTCCATGATTCAGGGTATTCGACACTCTGGAGCGAAGAAGATTGTGTTCAAGCACAACGATGTGGCGGATCTGGAGGCCAAGCTGGCTTCTCTGCCTGGCAATGTGCCAAAGATTATTGCTTTCGAGAGTGTGTACAGCATGTGTGGCAGCGTAGGCCCGATCGAGGAGATTTGCGACCTGGCCGACAAGTACGGAGCCATCACCTTTTTGGATGAAGTTCATGCAGTCGGCATGTACGGGCCAAACGGTGCTGGTGTTGCGGAACACCTCGACTACGAAGTTTACGCAAACGGTGGAAACACCAAGGGAACAGTTATGGATCGCATCGATATCATCACCGGAACACTCGGAAAGGCATATGGCTGTGTTGGTGGCTACATCGCAGGATCTGCGAAGATGGTTGATACAGTCCGCTCTCTGGCCCCAGGCTTCATCTTCACCACTTCTCTGCCACCCGCCACCATGGCCGGCGCTGAGACCGCGATCAACTACCAGATGGAGTACCAGGGAGACCGCAGACTTCAGCAACTCCACACTCGCGCTGTGAAAGCGGCGCTCGATGCGAAGGATATCCCGGTTATTCCAAATCCATCTCACATCATCCCTGTCCTGGTCGGAAACGCAGAAGTCGCCAAGAAGGCTTCTGATCTTCTCCTTGAGAAGCATAAGATTTACGTGCAGGCCATCAACTACCCGACAGTCCCTGTTGGCCAGGAACGCCTCCGCATCACTCCAACTCCAGGACACGTCAAGGAATTCCGTGATCACCTTGTTCAAGCTTTGGACAGCGTATTCAATGAGCTCAACATCAAGCGCACCTCCGACTGGGCTGCGGAAGGCGGATTCATTGGCGTTGGCGTGAAGAATCCCGAGGCCGTCGAGCCCCTGTGGACCGACTCTCAGCTTGGCTTGGAGGAAGTCTCTCGTGAGCTCAAATCCGGCGAGGGCGCTCACGGCGTGTTGGAGCGCGTGCTCAACACTGCCAACGCGGAGGCCAGACAAGCCGTTGCTGCTGCTGCTTAAGCCACGCAACACAAGTTTGCGCTTGTCTACTTGTCCGCCTTTCCTGCGCGCGTGTCCGATGCTGCCAATGCTCTGCGATTTGTCGCCATTTTCTGAAGGCCTGAGAGATGCAAAATTTCGAGATAGTTCCGCTGATGAGTGCGAGATTCTTCTATGATTCGACTCACCCAAATACAATCATTTTGATATCCTGCTCGGGTCACAATACGTTGTGACCCTTGAGCTATCGCATATTGCTTCCCCTTCCTTTCTCTCTGTGTCAGATTTCTGAAATTTGTTCATGTTATACAGGTCTGGCAATTGTTGGTTGCATAAGCTGATTTCGTGGCTCCTGCTGCAGCTGATGAGCACGACATTGGCACACTGACATTGCAGTGCTTCTCGGCTTCGCGACAGGATGAAGATCGATTCGAGCGCGAAGGCGGCCATGCCGTAGAAGAATTCGCCGGAACGATGCGGCAAAGTTATGCCTTTCTGATCAAGCCCTGCCTGGTGAAAATCCTACTTCCCTGTCTGCTGTGGCGTCAACTCACGCATACCGACTTTCTGGTCAGCAAGTAGATACTGAAGATCAAACTGCTGATGCATACAGATTATGTAGGCATGGCCATCTTGGTGAGACACAGCGCAATCACGGAATCATGCGAACGCATGGGCGCATCAATAATAACATGAAGTCCCACCATTCTCTTCGCTCCCAAGCTGACGACCAGGGTGTGTGCAGGGATGAGTTGCATTTGAGTCGCCGACAAATGCACAGCGACAACTATACCGAAGGATCAACCGGACCCTGGGACATTGTGCTTGATACGAAGGCGGTTGAAATTCTAGAAGTCCAATCGCTTCGTCAATGGATACAGCGTAACAATCTTTAGGCGGTGCTCACTCACACAGTACAGATTTTCGCACATTGTGAGGAGTATCTGGCCCCCACGCTGAATTGCGAGCGGCAGCACGGCAATGCTACTTTGGATTATCATCGTATGGTTCGGCCTGCTTACCCCCCATAATGCTGTACATTTTCGATATTTACTCGCCGATTGCTCCCTGCAAGTATGAGCGTCCCCGAGAGCCTCGAATGCAACAACATTGTCGCCCGAGTACATCGAATGCACGCTTCCCCAAGAAGGGTGTTTGCATCGCACTATCGCTCCGAACCACAGTTGCATCTCATCGGCTTCCTGCCCAGAATCTCGGTTCCAGCCCCACGGCCTTCATGTCGATTTCGTCAACGCTCAATATACCTCGCCACTCAGGAATACTTCAATAAGAGTGGACAGTCCTTATCCGCAGCGCTGGCGCCCTCTGCACGCAAATCTGTTCATGAGCTCACCTTGGGCTCTGGAGTCTTCGCTGTCGAACCAGTGCGTGCAGCGACTAAGAATACACAAGCAGAGCGTGGATCTCCATCTCGTCGATCTTGCTGGCACATCGATCCACTTCACGCACCTACCGGCGGCAGGTACTGTCCGGCGGAACGTTCCATCTATCGCGCGCAGTCTTGTTGACCGAGACGGATTGGCTTAGTCCCCATGATGGCGCAAACATCGCAGCGTCCATCGCCGTTGGCTTGTCGGGGTATGTGCATCGGACATTGAGGCAATGACTAGAATGCAGAGAATTCAAGGGGATGGGAACATCCGCTGACTGGTGGAAATTAGCCTGCCGCGAGAAGCATCTAAAGTGCGACGCGATGACACCCGTCTGCTCTCGGTGTCGCGATCGAGGCCTTCATTGTAACTATATAGCATCGCGGCGTGGTTGTGGAGGTCGCGTCAAGAGACAAGTCGCGACGAGCCAGGCGCCAGGAGCAAACCAACCACAACGACCACTCCCAGTAGCCGCTTCTTACACGACCCATACTCCAGAGACCAATCATGGACCAAGAATATCCAACATCTCGACAGACCTCTCACCGCCGCATTCCTGGACTGATCAAAGCCGCGACGGCAGTAGCTATACAGGGCAACAGGTACGTGATTGATTCTTAAGTTGCTTCCAGTCGCACTGCCGCAGCCAGATACAGCCATGCGCCAGGCCAGGACTATCCGCAGCTTGAGGGAATGTCACTGATGTTGTGATACTCTAGGTCTCCACTCCCGCATCGTCCACCTCGGGCACGCCGTCATCGCTCCGTTCCGAGGACGAACATCTGGTCAACTTATACTATGCCAACTTTCATCCTAGCCATCCCATGCTGGTACCACGAAGCCGCTTCCTCAACCAAGGCTACCCGGAATACCTCAAATTGGTCGTCAGATTCATAGGCAGCCAATACGCGCCAATCATCTCAAGCGACACGATCCGGTCCACGGCAGCAGAGGCTCTTGCTTCCAACAGCAATGAGAAGTCTCCTGAGATGGTTCAAGCGTCGCTGCTTTATTCCATGTCTCTACACGCACGATATGAGCCTTTGGGCGCGATGGCTGCGATATCCAAGGCGGCAGATGTGGCACTGGAGCTTGGTATGTATCAGGCAGAGTTTGCTTTTCAGCAAGGTCGCGGAGATACAGTGTATGAGGAAAGCCTGCGACGTACATGGTGGGAGCTATTCGTCACAGATGGATACTTTGCTTCTCTTCATCGGCAGACGACCTTCAAGAGCAATTCGGTCAACATCACCACCCTACTCCCATGTGAGGATGAGGCCTATGACCAATGCAGGATCCCTCAGCCACTTTCCCTGGAAAAGTACGATGATCGGCTATTTGGCGACGAGGACTGGCACTTTTCCTCGGCTTCCTATCGCATCGACGCAATTCGCATACTTGCACGAGTGATAGCCGTATCGAGTGCGAACGAAGTGCACGCCGACAGCATCCAATCGATCGACAATGCCATGGCCAGCTGGAAATTCCACATACCAAACGACAAAGCTGGGATCGTGCTGCGCAGCGGCGAGGTCGACCAGATGATGTTCCAAGCGTTTTTGTTCGTTTACATTTCTAATATCTTCTTACACTTTCCTAGGAGCGAGTTACCGATTACCATGCCAGCATCAGCAGAAATTGCTTGCGCGCGTCGTCACATGGAGCAAGTTTCGCCTACATCCTCACAGCATGCGGCCAAGGCGCTTTCGGCTTCCAAGGAATTGACAAATTTGGCATCGCTGCCCGTGGAAAGATATTCGCCTTTTTTCATTTGCGGACTGGTTTTCGCATGCGTGGTCCAACTTTCCGCGTGCTCGGCATATCCGAAGGCAACGACAGAACCGAATCGTGATCGGGTCGCTTTGATTGTTGGCGTGCTGAAGTCGCTCAGTCGAAACTGGTCGATTGCGACATATGTCGGACAACAGCTCAAGAAGGCAGCGCATGAGATCTTCCACCCTCGTGCAGAGACCGCATCTGTACAGTCAGCATCATCATACGACAGCGCTATTGGCGATATGACAGGCTTCGCACCTGACATGTCCTGGTTCGACATGTTCTACAGCGACGGCATGCAGGGACTTGCAATGGGCCCCGGAGAGCTTGCTGGTCTTTGAGGCGCATGGGACATGTCGGCGGTCCATGTCGACTATTGATACATTATACACAAACGCCACTCCGCGGGATGACACAGGACTATTTTACAGCTCAATGCTAAAGAGGAAAATGACTAATAAGGGAAGGAGCTCTACATGGACTTCGAGAAAATGCCGCCTCCAACTCCGATCCTGGGTATCATGAGAATCATGCAAATGATGCAAAGAAATATCGACCCGATTGCCATCCGGGGCAACCGAATACTCAGGCTCCGTCAAGTTCCTCCAGATCCTCAAGACCACCTTCTGCAGCATACCGGATCACCAGCTTCTTTCCGCTCTTCCCAATCGGCCGTTCCCGCTCATAAATTGGCGTCAATTGCGCTTTTCTCTCCGGCGGAGCATCGTTACTGGTGTAGATGCGGAAACTCTGGAGATCGCGAATCAACATGTTGTTCCGAGCGCGGAGCTCGAGTTCGGCCTTGGAAGCGCCTGCGAAGATATGCTGGCCAATGACGAAGGCGTACGTTCCACCAGGGAAGTGTAGCGCCGTTGCTTTGAGGTTGCCGATGGAGAAGGTTTGACCATCTGCGAGTCTGGTGTCTTCGTACTCGCTACTCCACGGACTGCCATCTGCAGCTCGCATGCTGTATTTTCGCTTGTACATGCGATGTACAGCTGCCATTGTTTTGCCGATGGTGACTTTGGGTGCGTGGCCGGTGGATTGGAGAAGTTGTGCTCGGAGGTACCAGGCTGAGGAAGGGTGGTCTCTCGATTCGTGGGTGTGGAGGATACGATCGACGGTATACCGGTTCTGGCGTACGACTGACAATACACGATCCGCGGCGATTGTGGAGATCGATGTTGCTGATGGTGCGTTGTCTAGCTGGGGGTCCACGATGATTGCCCTTCGCGATACCGGATCTGCCACGACGAATTGCCAAGTTTGAGAGAGCTCCTCGAACAGAGAGTGGATGAGTGGTGGAGGCTCTGGTCGGTTGTCGTCGTCTGAGGCCTCTGTCCAGAAGGTCGTGCCGGAGAACAGGGAGCTGGGGGACGACACCTCCGAATCCCTTCTCGGATCCATCTCGTCGCGTTCAGGTGATTCGGAGTTCCGGTGTTCTTTCAACGACGGCAGCAGAGTCGCGAATCGATTCGGATGCCTTCCAGCGGTTCTGCGCATGGCAGGCAGATGAGGAGACGCACACTCTTCATGACGTTCCTTTGTTCGCATCCTGTGTGGTCCGGTTCTTCGTCGGCATCAGGGTTGTAGATGTTCGGAGCCCAGGCTTGATTCAATTGGCGATGTGCAGATCCATGACCACCCACGCCTGGACGGAGGCAAGTCTAGTCTTGCTGCGCAGCAAGGGTGGCAGTGTCCAGGTGTCGTGAGATGTGCGAAGCGGGTTCCTGCAGAATTTGTGAAATGGGCGGGCTTGTGTCACCTTCATGCGGTGGAAATCTGGAGGATCTGTCAAAGGATTTTGGTTTGTCTTTTTCGCTTACCCTGCCACGGGTTGTATTTCATCCTCAGACACATGCCGTGCGTGGCCGCAAAACCCTACGGAATGTTGTTGCCCGCAGGCAGAATCCTGATTTCCGGACTTGAGGTGAGGTTAGCGGCTGCTAAACAGGGGATGGCTTCGGACTAAGTTACGAGCTCGAACATGCTAAAAGTTTGGCGACCGGGTGTGTAATCTTAGACGCATGGTCGACACGCAGATCAGGGTGAAGCTATGGACGCCTTTTACGTAGGAACAAAGCCTTGAACATGTTCGCGTTGTTGGCATTGGGAAGGAGCCGTCTCGCAAACCCTCTCATCACGAGCCTTTGAGTGCGATCGCTTTTGGCGTGCAGTGCCAACCAAGACGCATAATCTCGCTACCAGTGAGCGGGATGCGATAGGAGGATTGATCAGCATAATGGCGATAGAATTCTGGCAGTTCACGCGATCTGCCACGCGTAGTAGCTGCATACATCGGTGTTTGCTGTTTGATTAATGGTCGCGGCAGGGTAAGACATGGCTGCAGAGTGCTCGCCGTGGTGGCATGAGAGTGGCGCGGGGATATAAGACACCTCCAGGTCCAAACTCGCTCTACGATCGGATTTGCGCGCAAAAGCAGATTGCGGGCTCCTGCGCTGTGCATTGCGGAACGCAGTTGATCGCGAGAGAATGTCACGCTTCCAAAAAGCCACCAGTTTTGTGTAACAAGTGCTCGTTGTCTGCGGCGTAGTCTTCATGGCGCGGCACGAAGAAAACGCCATGCCTTCAGATCATCACCGTGATCAGATCGGCCAAGAGCGCAACTCCACTTTGCTGTTGAACGAGGAATGAAGTCCGAGCGGTTTGGCTCGTGCTACGCTCCGAAGTGATACTTTGTGCTCGTGTTCCGATATCCTTGTCGCGGATGATGACGCATTGTTCGTCTCGAGGCCGAATGATAGCTCGGATCCCTGCTTTGCTCTTGTGACGAAGAGTGTGAAGACTGAATGAAGAAGGTGTGCGCGCGGTGTCTAGTCCGAGGCGTAGCGGTCGTATATGTAGCCGCATGGTTCCAAGCTGTAAAGAAAGTTCGTACCTGCACTCCTGATACACTCACCGTCTGTTCGTGTGCTGCTGGATTGCCGCGATGCGATACTCAACATGCTGGCCTTGCAGTCTCGACCCTCGTTCATGCATGGGATGAAAGACAACATGCTGGAGATGGCATGCATCAGGACTTTCGAGCTGGGAAGAGCTCGTTTATACTATCCTGCACGGCGGTCGGCAAGCAGGCGCAGTAGACGAGCCCTAAGGGCCGAGTTGTGATCAACCTCTGCCGACAGCTTTCGCTCGGGCGATCCAGGCCCGGAGATCAGCTATAGCAATCCGGCTATCATTCTTCAAGCGCTCCAGCTTGAAAGTAGCTGTCGCACCGGACCAGAAGTGGCAGCTTGCGCAACGCTACTGGCTGAGCGGGACTTTGCTTCCAAGTGTCACATGCAGTTGGTGGCGTCGCAAATGCTGCACACCGTCTTTGTGCGAGAACCGGCAGTCGCACGAAGGCGAGAGGGCAATCTTTCGTAGTTTTCTGCCCTGTTGTCGAAAAAACATGTTGATGGTGGTGCAAAAGTCGCAAGTTGAGCGAAAGCGGAACAAGGGAAGCAAGCGCGGTGACTCGGCAGCCAAGACCGATATGAGACGCTATCGGCCATATTCGACTCCACATACGCTATTCACAATCGAGCAAAGAAACCCGGCGAGATGGAGCGTGACACACAAAAGCGAGGCAGACAGCAAATGGAGTGGCGTTCAGCAGCAGAATTTGAAGAAGGCCTGGCCGTTCGTCGCGTCTGTCGTGTCTATCGTGCTTGTCAGAAGATCTGGTGGTGGAGCAGAAGCTTCGAGTAAAGTAGTGGTCCCTGCCATACCGTGAGACGCGTTATCTTGCAGATTCCTGTCTCTCCCATCTTGCTGCTGTTGTCCGCTACTGTTCTCCTCTACAAGCACGCCTTCAACAGGTCTTGTACAGTGATCCCTCCCTGCAATCAAGGTTGGAAGTCCCATGTCTCTGCTCCAGCGTGTCACATCGATAGACGGCATTGACTATGAGCCCCATGCGCCACCCAGCAAAGACCTGAGGTATAGTTCTGTCAAATCTGTGCGACGAGTGGTTTCCTACGATGTCCTGCATGAACCGGAGACAGAATCTTACCCAGCACATCCTCAGGGTGCTGTGACTGCCTACAAAGTCTCTACGGCACAGCGACTTGGTGAGCATTACCTCTCAGACTGTTTGAAGCGCATGCTGACCCGATGACCAAAGCTCAGGTGATCATCACAATTGTGTCTTGTTGGCTTGCATCCGGCATTGTATTTGGCTTCGCGGCATTGAAGCCCATTCTTGTTGACCAAGGTGTCTATCGCGAATTCTGTTCCGACGAGGAACTCAAAGAGGGTGTCGAGGTCTGTTACGAGCAGGATTTGAGGTATGTTGCCCATCGACGAGTCGTTGCAGGCACCACTGACACCTCGACAGGCTCAACACATTCTTCGCAATTGCGAGTACTACATGTAATGTATCAGCACTTGTTGTCGGCACAATTCTCGACAGATATGGTCCTCGCGTAGCCGGTATCATTGGAAGCTTGAGCCTCGCTGTAGGCAGTTTGTTGATGGCACTCGCGTTTGCCATTTCCGAGTTCGATGGCTACATTGCGGGCAACATTTTTCTCAGTCTCGGCGGCACCTTTATCTTCGTCCCGTCATTTCAAGTCGCTAACGCCTTTCCAAAATGGTCTGGCACGATTGTAGCAATGGTGACGGGCGCTTTCGATGCATCGGTGAGTGTGACAGCCTGTGTTCTTTATGTTAGCGACTAACACAATGTTTCACAGGCCGCAGTCTTCCTCTTCTTTCGTTTGGCATACGAATCGAGTGAAGGTAAATTTGGCCCAGAGAAGTTCTTCTTTGGTTTCCTGCTTGTGCCAGCATTCATCCTCATCGCTCAGCTGACTGTGATGAATGCCGACGGCTACAAGACGTTGCCCGAGCTGGAGCGCAAAATCGAAAAGGAGCAAGATGCGACTCGCGATGTGAGTTGATTCACCTTCTTCGATAACTCAAGATGATAGCGCTGACATCGGAGCAGGTCCACGATTCCGACGACGAGTTCAGCGATGGCGAGGTCAGTCGGCTCCGTGCACAGCGACGCGAGCATCGAGAATCAAACTTGCAGAAGCTCGAGGATCTGATTGGTGATGCACAAGAGCGTCAACTTCGAGATGAGAAGCAGGGAGAGCATCTTGTTGCCAGTGGAGTTTGGGGCGCCTTGCACGGAAAATCGGCCAAAGAGCAGATGCTCTCTCCTTGGTTCATCTTGATCACTCTCCTCACCGTCCTTCAAATGCTCAGGATGAACTTCTTCATTGCAACGATCAGATCCCAATACGAATACATGCTCGGGTCGGAAAAGCTGGCGAGAACGGTCAACTCGTTCTTCGATATTGCTCTGCCAATCGGTGGCGTGGCGGCGACTCCATTCATTGGATTCTTGCTTGACAATACTTCAACGGCCGTTATGTTGTTGGGTCTTGTGGTTCTGATCACAGCAGTTGGCATTCTAGGCTCCCTGCCATTCCTGTGGGCTGCTTATGGGAATGTCATCTTGTTCGTTTTGCTGAGACCGCTGTACTACTCCGCCATGTCGTAAGTCAACAAATCGAGTTCAACTGCTTCAATCAGTGCAGCTAACATCGCATTAGTGATTACGCGGCGAAAGTGTTCGGCTTCGCCACATTTGGGCGAGTGTATGGAACCATCATTTGCTTCAGTGGATTGATCAATCTCAGCCAGCCACTGATCGATGCCGCGAATCACGAAGTCTTTCACGACAACCCGATACCCATCAACGTAATACTCGCTTCTCTCGGGTTGGTCTTTGGTGTAATGCTGGTGGGATATGTCTGGACGCAGGGCCGCAAAGTTGAGATCCAGAATCACAAAGTGGATGAGACCACTCGCTTGTTGCCCGAGACGATCGAGGAGGAAGTGTAACGATGTTCATGATACAGTGACGGCATGTAGAGTACAGGAAAGAACCTAATAAAGAGTCTAGACCGAAATGGCAAGAGTGTGGTTGAAATACACTTCTAGTGCAAGAGCAGCCCATCACGCAATTCGTGTTCACTGACAATCAATGCCTGACCGGCCTGTCGTTCGGCTTGTCGTTCCGGAAACCTAGCATCACGTGCAGCCAAATTTAGACACGATCAAACAAGCTGCCAAGCTCAACTTCACGACTTCCATCATTTGCATCTGTATCTGCTTGACTCCTACTATAACCAACAAATGCTCGAACATGCAGCGGCACCTCGATCCATTATCTTCGCCTTTCCACGCGCTGGTGGCTGACCCGCAGTCCTCCCGTCGGCGCCGAAAATCCTTCAGCTCCTTCGCCCTTTAACAAGTCCTAAGTGTGTCGAAGGATTCTGCAGGTCCCACATCCTGCTTGCACATTCCACAGTCGATTGGTTACATATTGCTCAGCCGCACGTCGCACCATGCCGCTTTTATTAGGAAGACAGCAAGAGCCCTGTCGTTGTTGTGCCCGATGAAGGGTTTGTAAGTATGGCGGTGTTCGCTTCAGTGTAAGACGGACGAATTTGATGTTTTCGCTTGATTTCTGTTGTCTTTCATACTCTCACTCAGTCTTGCCTAGTGGTCTTCTCTATTGATGTTGCGGGTTTGAAGTTCTCACAGGGCAGTATAGGGCCGATATGAAGTACTCACTACTTGCCCTCGTGGCAGCAACGGTTGGCGAGGGGCGCGTGTATATCCGACAAGGTTTGTTTTCTCGAGAGCCTCTACCTTAGCGATACTGAACATCTGTAGAGCTGTTGAACGCTACAAGCGTAGCAAGTACTACGACCACCAGCAGCAGTCCTGCCACCGCCGCGAGTCTAAGCTTGCCTTCGGCGACAAAGGCCACAAACACGACGACCAGCATCCGCTCGACAACAACAGCCCCTCCGAAGAGCGAAGCAGAGACGTGCTGTTACATATATCCCCACGGAGTCGGGATCAATACATGGTGGACCTCGAGTGTGGATCTGACAGTTGCGACTGTAATTACAACATGGTTGCAGTACAACAACACGCTCGTTCCTGGCAACTCAACGACAAAAACAGTCATCAACGCAACAGAATTCTATGGTGCACATCACATGCAGTCACTAGAATACACCCTTTCTCCGATCAGTGCGACAGCAACAACTACGGACTGGTTCTGTGGAGGTTTCTCGAATGCGACATGCACGTCGACGGTCCCGACCACGATCACAAAATTCGACTACTCGACGATATACTACAACACCACGAACATTCTTTCCGGCGTGCCTAACACTCTTTTGCCAGCAAATGCAGTTCTTTACGGCAAAACCTCGATCGATGTCACGACTGTCACGAGTTTTCCGGATCAATCGCTCACAATCCATGCTCCCACTCCGTACTTCCTCTTCTCTGCGATCAATCTCCACACCAGCAAACAATGCATGGCTACTTACGAAACTACGGACTATACCTCTTACTCAGTGATTACACCCAGCGGCGGGTTCGCGACTCAAGTCTCGAGCGTCTATCCTACGGCAACCATCACTGGCTTCAATGGCGCCTGGCCAGTTATCCCGGGCTCGTCGGGCGATGTCTACATCAACACAACCTTTGCGAAATCCTTTCCAGACGGGGACTACAGCGACTTCAACTTCACCGACTGGGCCGAGGGAGTTGTGTTTGGGGTTCTGCCTGGACCAGTCGATGCGTACATGTTTCGACTGCCAGAGGATTTCCCAGAATTCCTCGCCGGGATTCCGAAGATCAAGAGCGAATTTCCGGACATCGCTTCATGCACAAACTTTGGTGGAGACGGCGAGCCGACTGTACACGTCCCTGTCAACCAGCTCACCGATACTAGCCATGTCACGATGACCATGAACGGAGCATTGAAGCCCTCAGCCGGATCACCTAAGCCGGAACCAGAGATTCATACCACGACTGATAAGGCACCGAACCCGGTCACTCAGATTCCAGTCATCGAGACGACAGCAGATGAGCTGGACACTCCTGGACCTACCGAGACCCCAGTCGTCGCGAAGCCTGGCACTACACTCGATAGGCCCCCGACTACCATTGTCGCAGCGCCTACCGTCATCATCGCAAAGCCTGAGGACCAGCTGGCGACACCGACACGAGCAACAGCGAGTCCAAAGGCGCCTCAGCTTGGGAGGCCTGGCACTGCCTTGGATACACCTAATGCGCCTGCTCAACAGCCAACAACACAGAACATCGGCGATATCATTGCCAGTGTGATTGGCATGAAGCCTGCCGAGGAAGCCAATAAACCAGATGTAGTCACAGGAGACAACCCGGTCTTCACATACGTTCCTGTCCCTCAACCGAAAATCACGTTGGGCGACAATGTGATTACTGGAGACAGCAACACAAACTTCATAGTCGGTGACCAAACGCTAAGTCCAGGAGGCCCGGCCGTGACTGAAGGTGGAAACACGATCGAACTTCCTTCGCAAGCCACAGCAATAGTCGTCAACGGAAATCCTACGCCGATTGCACAACCTCAAGCACCCGCGAATGTGCCAGCGCCAGAGTGGACATTTGGACCAAATACGATTACTGCCAACGCTGCCAATGAGTTTGTGATCGCTTCTCAGACCCTTACTCCTGGCGGCGAAGCTGTCACGATAGCAGGAACGACCTTGAGCTTGGCCACTGGTGCTTCTGCAATTGTGGTCAATGGACAGACCTCAGAGCTTGTAGTCCCAGCCGGCGCGCCGGTGACCTTTGGCGGCGCAGTTGCAACTCCTGTTGCAGATGGAGCTTACGTGCTTCCTGATGGCGAGACGTTGAGTGAAGATGGGCCCAGCGTTGTCGTTGCTGGAACTACGTATTCGCTTGCCGACAGTGGAAGCTCCATTGTGGTGAATGGCGTAGCATCGCCTTTGCCTACTGCTGGTGGCGTGGCTGTGGGAAGTGTGACGGAGCTGATATTGCCTGGAACGACGCTTCTGCCTGGGTCCGAAGTTGTTGTCTCTGGCACAACTTATTCCCTTCCCGCGACTGGAGACGGCATCTACATTGATGGGCAATCTTCGACCTTGCAGGAGGCACAGCCGGGTTCTCCGATCACGCTGCCGAACGGTGTTGTCGCTACACCAACTCTGGCCACGAATATCGTCATCGGGAGCCAGACCCTTCAACCTGGAGGCCCAGCAGTCACGATATCCGAGACGACTTTCTCCATCAGCGGAACTGAGATCATAGTTGCGGCATTTGGGAGTACGGTGACAGCAGATCTCGTGACGTCGGATTCGTCAACCACAAAGACAGCTTCGAGGACAAGCTCGCGGTCCTCTTCATCGACAGCGAAGCCTTCGGAGAGCAACAGAGCGCCATCGGAAACAGCAAGCGCGCCAGAGCCATCAAACACAGGCGGCGGCGCGAAGGCGAGTGCGCTACAACATACCAGCGTGATTGCACTTATCGTGGCGTTGGCATTTTGCTTGTTGTAGGCGAGCGGCGAAATTTGGCGAATGAAGAAAAGTTGTAATGTATTGAACGAATGAATAGACCAGATATGAATTCTCATGTATGATGAATATGTAGACTTACCTGTGTTCCTCATTAGCACTGTTCCGTCTCCGTGACGAACGATGATATGAGGTGCTCGAACAGTGATCAGACTTTGCCTGTTGTCCGCAAGCCCAACCAGAATCTTGAAAAGTGTGTTGAAGCGGTTGGGCGAAAATTGGTTTACCAGATGAAAGCTCTTCATGAGGTGTCATCATGAAATGGGAAGGGATCCTTGTTCGAGGGCTTACCGTGGCGAGGTGTCTGGCGCTGTATGCTCTAGATATTGAGCTCGTGAGTGACGAGGCTAGCAGGGTCTGCCTCACGCCTACAAATTGCTATTCCAATTTCACAAGTCGCGCATGTTGCAAATAGCGCGATGCAGCTGGTCGCATGGAAAGTACTGCTAGGCTGATCGCAGCTGCTGAGCTCGAGTCAGTTCGGAAAGCATACAGCGGAGCGTGAAGCAGAATAGTATGTTCCATCCTTTAGGTCGACAGCCAATCATGGGAGCCATCTCTTGCGAGATTACCCTCCAACAGCCGGTTTTGAAGGTGGTGTCACTCTCGACCACATTCGGAATCGTCCAACCGCACGTATGGTAACCGAAGTTGCGGGAAAGCCGAAGATTTGAGTAAATGGTCTTGTTATTGAGAAGAAGAGGAGGGAGCGAGGTCAAAGTCAAAGATTTCATCAGCCGGCATGCCAAGGCGCGACGGGTAAACTGCGGGCCTGCCCTCTTTGCAGGACCTACCACTTCGACTTTGCGGCAGCTTGAGGTACCTTTATCCCATCAAACACGCAATCGCTGCCGCTACACCACACTCTTATTTGCTGTATCACCATCATATTCGCTTTCAGCGCCGCTTCTTACCATAGCCCTACAGCGCATTTACGAACTTTCGCTTGCGACGAGACGATTGCCAGTGCCACGACCCCCAATCCTCCCCACCCACCGCACGCATATACGCATCGGAAGCCCGCATCGCCTGTCCCGCCTCGCGCTTCCACCACGCTCGTAGACACGGCAGCCCATTCTTGTGCGACCGGCTCCTCTTCCTGCTCCGCCCCGAGGCCTCAATGGCCAACAAGGACACCAACGACAGCCCATCCAACCTCTGGGCTCGCCGATCAAAGTAAGTGTGCCGCAGCCCACGTCATGCGACAACCGCTTCACAACGTCTCGTTCTCCCTCCATTGTCACCACGCGACTTGCCTCTGTCAATGACACCTTTCGTCCCGCGCCGCTCATACCCATACCACATACCGCGCTCCCGCTAACCATGCACGCGACCAACAGCAGCAGCAAAGTTAGCCTTTCCACCACCAGGAGCGACCGCGCAGACAGCCACGCCTCACCTTCGATCAAGCGCGGGTTCAGCTCGTCTGGCAAAAGCCCGTTTGGCTCCCTGAGCGGCATCAGCACATCTGGCGTGTCGTCTCCGACAGGCACGGGAGCGTCATCCGCATTTGGCCTTGGAAGTGGTGCATTTGCCAGTTTTGGAGGTGGTAAGACGCCCAAAACTCCCGGGGGTACACTCGATCCGATAAAGGCCGCTTCTGCTAGGCAGGATTCAGGTGACGAGGCGAAAGAGGCATCTCGGCGTCCTGCTCCGACATCGAAGAAGTCGCTGGGCACATTATCCGCAGCCGAACCGCAAAATGCTGCGGGAGCCGATCTCTCGGAGTCGGGTGCGGAACACCCCATCAAATATGCATGGGTAGTATACTACAGGCCTCCAACCTCGAAAAACTCAGACTACGAAAAGTCTATTCGACCTATGTTCAGGATGGATACGATAGAGAGCTTCTGGAAGGTATACACACACCTCAAGCGCCCATCGCAACTCCCGCCCGTTTCCGATTACCACTTGTTTCGTGAGGGTATAAGGCCAGTGTGGGAGGATGACGAGAACAAGCAAGGCGGGAAGTTTACAATGCGCTTGAAAAAGGGCGTGGCAGATCGACTTTGGGAGCGCCTTGTCATGACAATGGTCGGTGATCAATTCAACGAGGCCAGTGACGAGGTCTGCGGAGCCGTCGTGAGCGTTCGACAAACGGAGGACGTCATCTCGATATGGACCAAGAACAACGGCGGCAGGAATGTCAAGATCCGGGAGACGATCAAGCGGGAATTGGAGCTTCCAATGGATACAAACATACTCTTCCGGTCACACGACGACTCAATACAATCTAGGGTTGAGGTTGATAAGGCCAGGGCAGAGAAGACTGGTGGGCGACGCAACACGAACGACAGGCTCGAATTCTAGAAGTCTCAGAGCCTGTCAAAATTATCCCCCTGCCTTGCCAGATTCCCTTGCACGAGGTCACCCGGGCGCAGTGTCGCGAGATTGCTGGCTCGAGGCACGAGCATGCTTCACTAGACCTCTGCACTTTGGACTTGTGGCACCTGGTCGCCTGTTATGACGCTCCTTACACATTACTAGAGAACGCATGGTCGGGATGGCACAAGACGACTCCTCTCATGATGGACGATCTGGCTACATCGACGACAACGATTGCAGCGGCTCGGTTTATTGGAAGTCGAAGCGTTTCTGGGATACGCATCACGGTTTGTCGAGCGTATGGAGTTGTGCGAAAACATCATTGTTGTACAATATGGATGGGCAGACGATTGGATTATGCGCGCTGCATTTTTAGCGGACTTGAGTCAGCAAGCCATAGAGCGCTGCTCACTGCTGTAGTACATGTACTATCAGGCGTCTGGCTTGGACCAGATACATGGCATGTCCGTGACACTTGACAGAAGCGTACTCTCCAAAAAGCTGACAACAGATAGGCGATCGGCCAAACGAAGTGGACTGTAACAAGCTCCCTCGCAGCAAAGTCCAAAGTTGCAATAAAATAGTTGATACCGCACCGCTAACAAGTGTACAAATACTGACATAGCACATTCCTCATTACACATCATCCTTTCAATACAATCATGATCCCGCACCGATTACAACCCCGCAAGAGCAACAGCAGCCATACCAACAGGCACCAAAACCTTATACACCTCCTTCACCTTCCCCACAGCCATCGATCCCGCATCATTCGACTCTGGACTAGCCTGAGCACCAGCGCCACCATTTCCAGTCGGCCTCGCAGCACAAGTCTCCGCTCCGGCATTATCTCTTCCAGCCGTGAGAGAGAATGTCGCAACAGGAGGGAAACTCTCGGTCGCGTAAGTCGAAGTCGTGGATCGAATTTGGCTTGTACTTCCGCCGACGGCGATCCAGGCTGATTCGAAACAGGTTGCGGCGGCGCTGGGAGAAGCTGTAGGACCGTTGAAGTTGCAGGTTTGGGTTACGGTTCCTGAGCCGCCGTTTTGGCGGGTTGTGTAGAGGGCTTGGTAGCCAGTGGGGTTGGCTGTTACGGTTATCTGGAGAGGAGGGCGATGTTAGGATGGTAGGAAGGTTTTGCGGTTGGGGCAGGGAGGAAGACGAACCGAAACACTGGTCAAGAGTGAGCAGAGGGAATTGGGAGCGCTTGTCCTGGCGCAGCCTAGGACGAATGTTGTATCGTCTGAGTCTGCGCAGAGGAGCGAGGCATCGAAGCCGGTCAGGGCTCGGTTCTCGTCGAGGACGTAGAGACCTGTTACTTGGGGTGGAGCGGTTGTTGAGCTCTTGGAAGATGAGGTCTTCCTGCTGGAAGTTTGTGTTGGAGCTGTGGTTGGGTCGGAATCTGCTCCTGTCCTTCTTCTTGTTGTTCTCAGTGGGTCTGGGGCGGCGTAGACCTGAGTTACTGCAAGTGCAGTAAGAGTGAGAGTAGAGGTGAGCTTCATGTTGTGAGTTTTGGTTCGAATTGCTTCGATTGGTCGTCCTGGGTCTCTTTCTTCTCGTTGCGAAATATCTGAACTGTGCTAATCTATGTACGAAAAAGCCATCACCACTCACCGCGACATCGTTCTAATATACCTTGCTCGACTACACAGGATTCATTGATCTTCGCCCGGCTGTGATCGATCAACACCAGGCAGTGTTGCGTTGTAAAGGCACGGATCTCTAAAAGTGACGTCTGTCTACAGTGCTCAGGAACAAACTCTTTCCACTTGCCACTACACAGCCGGAAGAACTCCGTTGGGCGAATCCTTCAGAATTTTGAAGTCGTTGATTGGATGCGAAGAAGCCAACACTCCATACCACATGCTTCTCCGACTGCCAAGGGATCAACGCTGTCAATGCTGCTGTTGGCATAGCATCCCATCATTCCTTTTGCTGCAATGCGGAATACGAGCAACAACCAAGAGTAGCTACAACAAGGAACGGTACATGACAGGTGCCGAGACCTTGTTTGCTGGTTCCCTACAAAAATTTAGGTGAACTTAGGGCTCTCGACATTAGCGTCTCAGGGCTTGTTAGAAGAAATCGACACGAGTGGACGACAATGCCCAAACATCTGACCGCTCGCTTTGGCAAATCTTGTCCGAAGCAAGCTTCGATTCAGTCTGAAGCACAAGACTGGGTCAAATTGACTCTTTTGTTGGCAATTGCAATATCGCTGGTATCATGGTATTCGTCTGAACAAGTTCCATCTCTGTCGATCAAGTCAAGAGCAGACAAGCTCTGCGTCACAGCTCTCAATGGCATGGCGCAGTCAGCTTCAACTTCACAGACGCCACATGATCGACATGCTCAGCCCAAGTCTGGCCAGCCATGAGGCTTCTTCATTTTGCTATTTCTTGACGCTTGAACATCAATACTACAATGTTTGCAACCTCATGAAGCACTGTCGGTTTGTAGAATCGAGTTCCTAGATGGTTAGTGAAACTGTTTCTCCTATCCTCTCTGAAACGCCATTGCAGGCACAGACATCGTATGTAAGAATGTATCTGTTGGTCTGTTCTGCCGAATGCGCTGTCTTAGGGGTATCACAATGAATGCTGTTCTTTCGCTCCCTCTCGCTGACCCTCTCTCACTCTCGCTCGCTGTCATCGTCATCGTCATCATCGTCCGAGTCCACATCACCTGCCACCGCTTGTGGCTTTTTCTTAGTGTAATCCTGGGCATGAGCACTTCTCATAGTGCTACCCATCCTGTGCAACGCATGTGTAATAGGTGATCCTGTAGGCGCCTCCTCCGCACTGGCGCCTGCGCCTCGCCTGAAACGCAGCGTACCACTATTAGCTGTTTGCTGGCGCTCAAGATCCACGTCGCGACCAGAAGCACTTTTAGTACTGTAGTTCGAAGGCTTCTTTGGCGAGGAGGCATCCAAGTCAAGTTTACTGATTTCAGAAGTAGGGGCGCGGTTCCGTCGATCGCTCTCAGGCATCGTAGGGTATGGTGTTTTGCCAGGTTTAGGTTTCACATAGGGACTACCGAACCTGGCTGAAGATGATTGTTGTTTGCCCGAAGAAGAGTTGGGCACCAAATTGCCAGTAATTGCTGTGGGGTCGAGCTGCGATGTGCTAGGGGCCCTTTCTTCATCAGAACCCTGCTCGCTGGATCCATGCACCAAGCAGGCTGTAGAACCACCCATTGGCACCTTGTATGGAAGTGGGACGTCTCTGCTTGCCTTGGCGTTCTCGACGTTGGTGCAATGCTCGTTTTCCACGCGGAAAAGTGTCCACATACCCCTGCGAAGGACCTCTGACAAGCTGACTAGAAAGGATACGATGGAAGAATGTTGTGTATCCGAGGTGTATATGGCGTAGAAGATCCAATTGAAACGCAGGATAGGATCGAGCACCATAGCAACGTAGTACATCCAGATGTGCTTTCGGAACGCCAGAGTGGGTCTCAAGAATCTGTGCTTGGCATAAATGTCTCCCAGACTCCAGTCCATGAACAAATCCCAAATGCTGGTAGCAACTCCGTTGAATATGGCGAAGACTATGAAGATAGCCTTCATCTTAAGGCTTTGGTCGATGCGATAAAGCGACAGAGTCATGTACTGCGATATCGTGAAAATGTATTTGAGGCAATTGGCCATGTGGGGAAACAAAGCTCGAGTGTCGTAGTATCGGCGAATGCACTGGCATGCACGCCATATTCCCGGGAGGGTTGTCAAGAAGCCGAGCAGCCGACTATGACCACTATTGCAGAAAGCTGGCGAGTTCCAGTTGCCACCCGCGAAGAGGCAGAAAAAGACCTCAATGTTGCCGATTGAATATGTCAGAGAGCAGAGCATATCTCCCGTGAAGAAATCCCGGAACTCCACGGGATAAAGACCAGCGAATAATAGTCTCCATATGGTATATATAAACCATCCTCTGGCCTTGTGGTAAAACGTCGGAGCGGGTAGAAAGAAGGATGCCACGGCCAATCCGACTAGGACGACGATCCAGTATATGAACATGGTATTGCCGCCAGCTTGGACGTCGAAGTTGAGCCACATGATGACCCCGAGGAGAAAGTACAGGAATGCTGGAATTTCGAGGAGCTGTAGCCAATTGAGTGCTCGTCGATTGTCCAATTCGAAGATGAACTGGTAATTAACCCGGTACTTGTTGAATAAGCCAGCACAGCCGCAAAAGAGCAATGCGAGCAGGACCATCATGAAATAGCCGGCGTACAGTTGAAGAAGATATGAGGTATATGTGGCTTTGGCCACCTCGGCGGTGAACAGCAATTCCACGCCCTTGACAAGGCCAAGTACTCCAAAGACCGAGCCGGCTGCAAGCATGGCTGAGCTACGTGCGACGGCTCCAGAAAAATCACCATCGTGGGCCATCTTGGTACGGAGCTTACTCACGGCTACTTTGCGGTTGCCTTTCTCGAAGTATCGCGCGTAGAGGTCCTCAACCGAGGCCATGAGCTGTTCAGGAACCTCAGAAGTGACGAAGTGGGACGTGGCCACTTTCTCGTCAAGATATTGCAGCGGCGGCTTCGCTTTAACACATTTATCGTACTTCTTGTTGATCTTGCGGAAGGCAGTGCGGTTAAGGAGAGCATACGACTTAAGAAGCTCCAGTCCTCTGTAGAACTCTGCCATTGCTTGCTTCATCTTGCGCTTTGCGACACGATATGGCACGTCTTGAGGGGCTCTTTTCGCATAGTCCTTCTGATTCGGATCTGGTAGCCAATGTGCCTTAGATATTTCTGGAGAGCCGAGAGCACCCATGGACCGAGAGGTTTTGCCAATGTGGCCCGGTCGCACCTTATCGAGATGCGTCGCAGCGAAATCAATGGACTTGACGAACGGTTTTGATATGATGTCACGTGTACGCTTTCGCTTTGCGCCATCTTGTTCTTTTGAGGCACGCCCGTTTGCTTCGTCGGTGGAATTTGCGCGATCACGCGAACGCTCTTCCTCGGCCTCCATGATCTCCTGCAAGCGATATTCGCGCATAATGTGTAGCTGCTGTCGAAGTTGCTCAAGTCGCGACTTAGCTTCTTCCTCTTTGTCGTGGTAGAACTTCTCCACCTTCATAAGTTCTTTATCCAAGAACAGGAAGAACTCGGCTCTGCGGAAGTCTACCTCGCGATACGCCTCAAGAGCAACATCGTTGCCATCTTGTGCTTGCGATGAGTCTGCGCCGCTCGTGAAAACGCGCTTCATGAACGGACGGCCGCCCGGCGTGGAAGTAGTTCGTTTGGCGAACATGTTGCGCAGACGTGGATTGGTTGAATCCGCATTGTCTAAGCTCTGATCGTGAGGCGCACGAATCTCGTATGCGTTGCCAGTATGTGCCATCTGTGTTGGAGGCGGGTGTAACTCAGGCGAGTCTGGAAGCGGATGCGTCGCTGCTCTCTTTGCAGGCTGTACGACACGTGGGGGCTGCTTCGGAAAAGTAGGTGACGTTGGCGATGTTGGACTGAGAGTACCATCGTCCCCATCGTCGTCATCTTCATCTTCATCTTCATCCACGTCATAGTCCTCGTAGTCTTCGTTCCCGTCACCGACAGCAGGTGGTGGTAGTTCGACTGATGGGGCTTGGCGCGAATTGAAGCGCGTCACCTCGTCGCTATGCGGAGGACTGCCGATGATGCTACCATAGCTGGTCAGTTGTGGCTGGTTCTGCTTGTCGTTCTGCGCATCCCCTTTTGGTCGGAGCGGACTACGCTCGTTTATGGGCCGTGGCTTCGAGGCAGTGCCATTGCCGGCGGCCTGAGAGAAGGTAGCTTCATTGGAATCGCTGTAGGACCTGACATGGCCACGGGGATGTTGCGCGTTACTTGGTGCGAGCGAACTCTGACGCCTCCGTCGTAGTAGAGCGGCTACTGGAGCATCGGCAAGGGAGTTGCCAGGCGTGCTTTGCGTCTTCGTAGATCCTGGTACGCTGCGCACGGCTCTGTTAACAGCTTTGAGCTTCTTTTTGGCTTCCTTGTAATTCATGTACTCTTTCTGCGCTTCACGTCAGCATTGTGTGCAAGAGAAGTGAGGTGAGAATCTTACCCGCCATTCGGCGATTGCCTGCTCGTCCAGTTCCTTTGCGAACTTCATCGTTGCTCCTGCAGCAGGAACTTCCCGCGTGAGTGTCGTCGTATACGCGCCTACTGTAATCTGGCGCACGCGTCTGTAACATCAAGGTTGATTCTTATGGATGGCTTTGTTCTCAAGCTTGAAGTGCTGTGCTATGTTCTAGAATTGGTCGAAAGTTTGATACGCTCCATAGACTCCATGCTCCAACGCACGTGGCATGGCGCGCGCTAGAGACGCGCCAAGAGATCACGTGGCGTCACTTCTGCGTCAGCCCAGGCTAATCTCGCTTCCATCTTGAAAATGGCATTGAATATCAAGGTGCGAAGGAGTTGACTACTGCAGGCTTGAGGCACATGATCGAACGCGTCTGTCTCCCTTCTTTGCTCACTACTGGAAACGAACAAAATACTGCAGACTCCATTCTCATACCTTCGCGGCCCGATCATGCTGCAATTGCGGACCCTGGACCACTTTCGACTCAGTTTACAGCTAAGTGAGCCTTGAGGAGGCATTTATTGGGCGAGGGCCGACGCCATCGCCTACTCTATAGGGTATGTGGAGGTTACGATATCTGTTGGAAGGAGGCTTGCGGAATAGGCTCTTGAACCCGGCAAGGAACGTAGATATCAGACTCTTGCGCGGAATCATGACACACTATGCCCCAAAGACTTTGACCCTATCCTCAAGCGGTGCATACGTCCTCTCTTTCCTCCTCACGAGCTGCCCATTCTCTGGTGCCCCAAACACCAACTGAGACTTCAGCTTCCATGTACTGGGCAGCTCCCATTCCTTCTTCACAGCATCCTCAAACTCGTCCATGAAGTTGAAATGCTGCAAGTTACAACCCAGTCCCTCAAGCTCCAAAGCCGTCCAGGCAATGAACTGATGCATACCAGAGCTATGATCTCCCCATTGTGGTACTAGATTGCCGAACAGGGGATTCTTCGCTGCGAGAGCATCAAGCGCTTCTTGATCCTCGAGCCACAGAACAGTGCCATAGGCGCCTGCAAAACCTCCAATCATCTTCCCCAGCATCTTCTCGTGCGCTTCGGGATGTGTGGATTTGGCGACGCTGTCCGCAATGGACCAGAGTTTGTCGTGGGAGGATTTCAGTAGGATGACGGCTCGCGCGGATTGCACATTGAACGATGAAGGAGCGTGCTTGACTGCGAATGATACGATCTCTTCGATGCGCGAATCGGGGATCGGAGAGGATTTGGTGAGGGTGTAGCAGGAGAGTCGCGTCTCAGCTGCGGCGAAGAGGGAGGCAGTGTCTGCTTTGGAGGTGGCCATTGCTGATTTCGCGAGTTCCGAATCTGCTGCTGGAGTTGAGCTCGAAGACTGAGAAGAAGCATTTAGCAATGGAGCTGTGTATAGCTCAGCAACTCTATAGCTATGGCGCAATTGCTGCCATGACGTTGCCTGTGAGGTCCATTGTCGAGGCCGAACTTAGCGTGGGAGCTCCCTATGCTTGGTGTAGACCGCAGCAGTGTTGCACAATAGCAGTGTATGCTGTATTTATCCGGTGTAAAGAGTAGGAGGTGATCACAGTGCAAAGTCCCCTGTCTTCGACCTCGGCATGGCGGGGTTGGCACAATGCTTGGGAGCAGAGTCAAAACACACGTCCTGCCTTTTCCAACTCTTGCACATCGATCTTTCCATTGATGTGCATATCGTTCCCGCTCAAACTTCTGGCATACTACCAGCAATGGAGCCGCAATATACTGGAAGACGATCGCGAACAACACACCCGCCCGAAAAGCGTTCGAGCCAATCTCGTCACGCTGGACCTCGAGCTCCCTTGACTTGACGGACAGCATGTCGATTGTCAAGGTGCCGCGACTGTTTCTCCAGAGGGGCAGCCTCCGAGACTCTGCGGCAGACCATGTCCTCGCATCTCCTGAACGAGAGGACTAGCAAGGTCTTCGGACGTTGAGATGGCCGACAGCAGACCAAGGAGCGCGGAGCTGCCACATCCGGAAGGCCGACGTCGCAGCTGGGAGTGTCCACAGACCCAGCCAATGACTGGGACCACATCTTGTTGACGTCCGCCAGTTGCCATTTTGCGTAGCGTGGCGATGTCACGGCTCCACGCAGCTTCTCTAAGTTAGCCCTAGCCCATTGGCACGGCATCGACACGATTCAGCCTTCTCAGTCATCAGGCTCATAATCACTCCTGTCACATCGATGGAGGCTATGCGATTGATGCAAACAAAGCGCCTCGTTGCTCGAAGGCGGCTTCGAAAGAGAGCACGAAGAGTGGTCCTCGAACCTTTCCATCTCGGCGTCTACTCGGTGTAAAGCTGCTGCAACGCTGCCGAAGTGGGCGAGCCGATGCTACCAGCTGTTGTGCCAGTGCTCCTTTCATCATCCACATGGCACGTGGCAAGGATGAAAATTCTCTAGAGCCACATTGGTTCCATTCATGCATCACCAACACGGGGCTCCGGTTTCTCACGAGAACGAGAACATGTCGTTTGGTCAATGCACTGGGGTTGGTGAATCAACATTTCCGCGCGAATTATTACGCTGCTGGCCTATGATTGGAAGAGCACTATTGACATGCCCCATAGCAATACTGTCTCCACTGGAGTGCACCTCGAACGTCCCCACGGGTCGACGACGGACTTAAAATTCGGCTTCCATTAGTGACCATGATAGAGTGATGTAGTGGGGTTTCATGGCATGAGCGCGCAATGCGCGTTCCATCGTCCGGCGCGGCAATGGCGAAGGGCAAGTGTATATAAACTGCTCTTGCTGCGCCAACCTTTTTGGCGCACGCCTTGTCGAAGTCTTGCTCATTTCTTGGCTCCTTGTCCTGTCGAGCGAAGTCCGACCGACCAACACCCGCCAAGATGACTCTCAGCGGCAAGCAGCTCGAGCTGATTCAGACGCTGTTCATCGCGTTGCCGTCCTTTATTCTGTTCGGCTACAACCAGGCTGGAGTCGGAGGACTGCTGTCGATTGAAAGCTGGGTGCAGACATTTCCGGAAATTGACACTAAGCACACAACTGGAAGTGTGAAATCCGAACACAGCACCGTCCAGGTCAGTAGAGCATCCTTCTTGCACGTTTGGGCAATTCACTGATGTGTTACATAGGGCACCATTGTAGCTGTCCTCACACTTGGCGCACTGGTCGGATCTCTTGCGTGTGCATCCATCGGCGATATTCTCGGACGACGCAAGACCGTCTTGATCGCAGCGACTTTGACCTTGATTGGCGAGATCCTTGAATGCAGCAGCTTTGGCCTAGCGCAGTTCACGATCGGACGCTTTATCCTTGGTATTGGTGTTGGCGCACTTAGCACAACAGTGCCCGTCTGGCAGTCAGAATGCTCGCAGGCGAAGAACCGAGGACGACATGTGGTCATTGACGGTCTGTTCATTGCCGTGGGTTTCGTGCTACAGGCTTGGATCAACCTCGGATTCTACCAGTAAGTCGGCTTGCCCTCATCTTCAACATATCTCTGACATTGGCTTCAGAATCAAGACTGGCACTTTGTCATGGCGCATGCCGCTTATGATCCCGTGCATCGTTTCCTTGATCCTCATGGCATTCACCTACGTTGTGCCCGAATCACCTCGATGGCTTGCAAGCAGGGGCCGAATGGAACAAGCTCGTAGCAACCTTTCCAAACTCCGGGACGTACCTGTGGACAGCTTCGAAGTCGCGAACGAGATGGGAGCTATCGAGCACACACTGGAAGCAACGAAAGACTCTGCCAGAAAGCGGGATCTGTTCAAGATGGGAGAAGACAAGGTGCTCTATCGCTTCATGCTCTGTCTCGCTATTCAATTCTTCCAGCAATGGTGCGGATCGAACCTCATCAGCTCATACAGCACCACGATATTCGAACAGGGTCTTGGGCTCGACAGCCAAACGGCACGAATCCTGTCTGGCGGATGTCTCACGTGGAAATTCCTCAGCTCATTCGTGGCCTTCTTCACCATTGATCGATTCGGACGACGCAAGCTCTTCATGGTCAGCGGCGCGGGCATGTCACTCTGCATGACTGCGCTGGCGATCACGAACAACTTCCCAACAAGCAACAAGTCGGCACAGATTGCCTCTGTGTTCTTCGTCTTTTTCTTCAACTTCTTCGTGCCCATCGGCTTCCTCGGATGCAACTACCTCTACGTCACAGAGGTCGCTCCTACACGGTTGCGAATGCCCATGACTTCTTTCTCAACGGCAAACCACTGGCTCATGAACTTTGCCGTGCTCATGATCACGCCGGTTGCTATCGAGTCAATTGGCTACAAATACTACATCTTGTACGCTGTTCTCGGAGCTTGCATTCCGCTCATGGTCTTCTTCTTCTATCCTGAGACAATGGGACGAAGTCTTGAGCAGATGAACGCGCTGTTCCAAGAACACAGCTCGATTACTGGCATCGTTAGGGCATCATTGAAGAAGCCTGATCCCGAAATCGAGCGTTTGGCCGAGGCGGCTGCCAGAAAGGAATACAACAACAAAGAGTTTGAGAAATCTTCGCAGATTGAAGAGCGAGTATGAGGATGACGACATGATCCAGCAAGAGAAGAGAATATATACGATCGACGATACGAATTACGCTTCATTGAACCCATGTCGGGTCCAGGTTCCACACCGCCGTATAGACTACTCTGGTCAATGTGTAGGTGTAGTCCAGCCACCACCCGACCACAGTTATGGCGGTTCGAGCAACAATCCTTGTCGCATCCTACGTTGGCATGGCTTCGATCTGATCCGAGAAATACACCTGGCCGTCTCTGCAGACTGTAATGCCAGTTTTGGTCATGGCAGGCGACTGTAAAGGGAAGTGCAAGTGCGGTGCTGCACAAACGTAGCCATTGCATGGCATGACCAGAATCTCGACTGCCGAAAAACGCTGATGTAATCAAGGATAAACCTCCCGGGTCTTCACGGCTTTTCCAGAAGTAGAGCCCTGATTGCTCGAGCGGACATTCAGGGAATTCTCTTTCGGTAGTCGCGTGCTTGACTCGCGAGATCAAGTTTCTGTACAGCGAATCATGCTCGCCACCGGTTCTTCCTGGGTGAGCAACTGAACATTTGGACAAAGCCAAAGCTACGGAGACAGGCTCATTCATGTCAAGAAACCCGCGCACGTGTTCTCACGCTAGGTGCTCCATGCTTACATGAACAGGGCTTCCATGTCTTCCGGAAACTGTCTCGACCCCTGATAACTTTCGGCATCGTCACCGATAGACGTTCGGTGTTGCATGCAACAACAGTGATACTACTGCTTACTCGTGGCACCATATGGTCAAGTTCTGCTGTTTCTCATATATGCCACAGCGATCTCCCGCAGCGATTATCCAGTTCTGCCACGAAATATAAAAGCTGTTGAAGCCCAATACACCGACTCAGTGGAATACACAAGCAACACAAGTCTCTTTCTGCCACAAGAACAAACCGACCCCATCAGCAGACATGCGCTTCAACGCTCTCACCTTAGGTGCTTTCGCCCTAGTAGCCACGGGCGTCTCTGCCCTCCAACTATCCAGTCCATCCGGATACAACGACGCCCCTCTCCCAGCAGCACCCTACTGCCCACCCCAAGACGTCAGCCCCGCAACCCAAAAAGCAATCCTCCAACGCTTCCTCAACAAATTCTTCTTCGAAGGCAACGCCACAGGCGCACTTCTCGATCACGTCTCCGAAGGCTACATTCAACACAACCCATTCATCAACTCCACCCGCCAAGTCGCTATTGATTTCTTCACGGCAATTGGAGATGTTACTGCCGGCTCGAATGTCACTATCTTGAATATGGGTTTGGACAATAATACTGGCTTCGCGCATACTAAATGGGACACACCAGGGCAGCAGCCGAATATTATTGTGGATATTTGGAGGTTTAATGGGAGTTGTATTGAGGAGCATTGGGATGTGATGCAGAGGAGGCCGGATAATGCTACGAATCCGTTGGCGATGTTTTAGGCTTGTGAATCGATGATGCGCCAATATCTGTGTACATAAGTGGGCATTATCGCGAGTGGTATACTAGGCGAAAAATTGAGCAAGGCAACCTTCGCCATACAATCAGCTTGCTACACTGCGCGTATTCGAGTGCACCCAAAGTCATCCTATGCTCTATCTCAGATACCTGACAAATGGTTAGGGAGGCGAGACGAGGGTGCCGGATGGAATGAAGAACGTTGAGAAGTCATTGCCAGCGATGTATCATTTGGACGATGTTTATCCCTTCCAAAGAAGGCTGACTCGAAAATTCCGCAGTAAGCGCCATTTCCCAGCCCAGCGTCTCTGTCATCTATCGAGAGTAGGAAGTGCCGTTCTTCGTCAAAGCGGAAATGTCGAGTGTCTCACTCAGTGGCAACTTTCGAGATGACGAACCAACGTATACCTTCTTCGCGTAGGATGAGATATACCTAATGCTGTTAGCTGCATTCACTATCATGCGAAAGACGAGATAACATACCAATTCTGGGTGCTAGGGTCCCAATTGCTAATATCCCTCCTCGTCAGTCCTACATTGAATGTTGCACTTGCGCCGGGTGCAATAGTAATTCGGTCGAAGCCTCGAAGAACCTTGGGGGCGTCGTTCGGCCCACCAAGGCTGACATAGAGCTGAGGCACTTCATCACTAGTGCGGTTGCCGGTGTTCGTGATCGTCGCAGAGACAGTGAACAGGACATTCCACAGAGCAGGGTTGCCACCTGGTGCGCCTCCAGCAGGGAGACGAGATTGTGTGGTGCCGTCGTATGCTCCATCTGGGTAGGAGACTGGGCTGCCGTATTCCGGATCGTTGCTTGCAGTGGTGAAGTTCGTTGTGTTCAGGCAAGGATAAATGTAGCCCTCGACGAAGTGCATATCTCCGCACAGATATTGAGTGGTGTCATTTGAAGTCGATCCGTAGGTGGGTGCGGCAGACGTCTTTCCAGATGCAGGTGTGTAGCTGAAGTTCGATGGAACAGGCGTGATCTGTAGATCAGAATAGTTGAAAGTCGACCATGACAGACCATAGCCAAATTCGTAGATTGGTGTCTCGTTGCGTGCATCAAAGCCTCGATAGTCGGTGAAGATGCCTGCAGTAAAATCAATCTGAGGCGCGTCTACGCCATTGTTGAGCCTGTACAGCAGATCCGTGCCATATGAGCTCCGAGGTGTTCCCCAGGTAAATGGTGTGCGGCCAGGCGATGTCTTTCCGTACAGGATGTCAACAATTGAGTTGCCTGATTCTTGGCCAGGAAGACCTGCCCACACAATTGCAGTGACATTTGGACGATCATAGAATGATTCGACGTCAACTGCGCCCACAGAGTGGATGACAATAACAGTGTTGCTGCACTCGGACGTAACGTTGGCGATGAGCGCATCACCTGCATGCCACAGCGTAAGATTGTTTCTGTCGCCTTCGTTGCCGTCGACAATGATGTAACCTTCGCCGGCATCAGAATTGACAAAGGCGAGGCACACTCCGTTGACTTGCTCGGCGCGACGTGCGAGTGCAGAAATTTGGGGATACGCGTAGTCATCCAGTATCGACTCGTAGAAGCCTTTGCCGTTCTGAGCGACCTCAGCCTGGATCGCTGAGTCCGGCGTAATCAGATATGGGAAGTTTGCGGAGCCACTACCCCATCCCAGCGCCAGAGTACCGTTATCGCACCCTCGATCGCTACATCCGTCAGGACCCCACGGGTTTGGGCCTGCGTCTGACCCCACTACGATCGTCAGCTTCTCCTTGCCAGTCAGAGGTAGGACTCCGTTGTTCTTGAGAATGACCGTGCCTTTGGCAGCACTGTCGCGGATGTTGGCACCATGATCTTCAGTGACATCGACGTGGTAGTTGACCAGACCGTAGCCTTCCTGTGCATACTCATGTTCAAAGCCGTAGGTGTCAGTGGTCCAGGAAGAGAAATTCGGTGCATTCTCTACTTGGTTTTGGTCACGGCCGACATAGTACCAGCCTGCGACAATGCGAGTGGCCATATCGTCCAGGCGCCATGCAGGGACCGAGCCGTTCAAGACAGCGATGGTGAGATTAGTGCCTGCGTTCAAGTCAGAGTCAGCTTCGAAGGACTATTTTGCGTGTTTGACATAGGACTGACCCCAGTATGAGGTTCCAGAATCGAAGCCAACGTCACCTGGCATGCTCATGTCCATGCCTGCAAGCGTAGAAGCGACGCCAGAATGGTGAGCACCCCAATCGCTCATAACGAAACCCTGGAACCCAAGCTCATTTTTTAGCAGATAATTCAGCGTATAGCTGTTCTGGCAGCCATAACTGTTATTGATCCTATGCCAGAAGTCAGGAATGGCCTCAAATGCGCTCAAGGTAACAGCCAATCGACTTACTGGTTGTAGCTGCACATGATCGAAGCCGTTCCAGCCTTCACGGCATCAGCGAAGGGCCAGAGGTACAACTCGTGCATTGTGACGTCGTCCAGATTCGATGAGTATGATGCTGTCAAATTCTGTGGTGGTGGCGGTTGTCGGAAATGCTCCTGTTCGTTCATAATATAATGCTTTGTGCAAGCCATGATACCTGCGTCTTGAATGCCCTTGATTGTCTCTGCAACAGCTATACCAGACAATACAGGATCAGGAGAGAAGCCTTCCCAATTGCGGCCTCCCTCGGGTGCAGTACCAAGAGGACCGACGACGGGACCGAGCTGAACATCCACGCCCTTGAGCTTGTGTTCCGTCCCCATGTCGTAACCCCTCTGATATAACAGAGCACGATCCCAGGTCGCTGCTATAGAGACACCGGCCCTGCAACAATTAGTGGCTGTGATCTCATCTAGTCTTTGGCCACTTACTGGAAGGCTGAATTGAAATCAGTATCACGCACTCCGAGAGGGGAGTCTTGCATGCAAAGTGCTTTGAAGCCAAGTCTTGGGATAGATCCAACATTTCCAACACACTTCTGGCTTTCCCAACCAGTTCCGGTGGTAAGATTGACCTTCTCCATCAAAGTAAGGCCCGACACGAAGGCTTGCGCTTTCGCGTAGGCATCTGCCCAATCGCCGAGACCTTCTCCCCATGGTGAGGGATACTCTGGAGGCGATGTCTGGTTCGAAGCCGCGCCCGTGGAGACTCGAGTCGCATTGGGGTAGACAATGTCTGGATAAGGTGCAGCTGAGGGCCCGAGGTCACCGACTTGAGCCGAAACTAAGGGCAGCAACGCCAACCAAAGCTTCGCAGCAGCCATACTGGATTCTCCCTTTTCAACTCAGAGTAGCAGATTATCAAGGCTCGCGTCCCGATGAGGAGGTCGAGACCTTTAAGTCAAAGGGCCTTGCCCTCGAATGCCCGTATTGGAGCGGTGACGGCGCCAGCCCGCATTTGCTGGCCGAAATACCGCACACCATCCTCGCTGAGCGCATCGGCACTTGGACATGCACGCTTTGTACACGCTAGCTGGTACTCTCGTGCCGTTCTTCCTTCGAGTTGACACGATGTGACGATGATGGCTACTACTTGAGGGGCACCCTGCAAATCGGCACCCATTACGGGCATTCGGCGCAGGCAGGCGAATCATCGTAAATGAGTTGTCCAGCGCGAATACTATTGGGAAGTTCTCCGGAGTCCTCAAGCTTCACTAAGCCTTTCAAGAAAGACTTAGCTTCCTAAGCCCCACGGGGCGGCTCGGTTACCCCATTGACCTAGAGCGCGGCAGTAGTAGGACTTCACGTGGTGATGACCAGATGCTGACGCGTCAAGGCCTTCCGTCGAGCAGCAACTAGCTGCGGCATTGTGGTCTCGTGCTTGAACGTTTTGCCTGAACCTCGTGATCGTGGAGCACACTGGAGTAATGTGAGTTCCATTGCTGTCAGCTGCTTTCAAGTGTCAGCGAACGAAAGGAAAAGGATGATGATGAGAGCAGCAGGTCTGGGTCAGAGAATCGAATCTTGCTCGATCGCTTGTGCCTGAGTCAATTCGAGCGAGCTGTAATGAGAATCCCTTCATCGCCGTCTGTTCGGCCGGAGACCACGCCTGCCACCGCGGAGCATTTGACGCTGGCTTTCAAGAGATGTTAGCCGCCGAAGCGAGACGTTGCTAGTGGAAGCGAAGGACAGACTTGTCTCAAGAGTGCAAAGTGAAGTTGGCAGGGGCCGTCAATTGCCGCGACCGAGATCGGATCACCACGACTTCTGACAAGTCTGCTTCTGTTGACAACACGGAAAGGACTTCACAACGCGACAGCACAACAGGCATGGGCCTCAGCTCGTCTACATTACGAACCTCAGTAATACATCTCTACAGACTTACCAGCGAACCAGCTCACACCATATATTGGCACACTCGAGTGAGGACGCTATGAACAGATACCAGGCCACCAACACGCCTCATTCTTTCCACTCTTGAAATCGCCTACCCTCGATGTCCGCCTTGATTTGCAAAGCCAGGAATCGGGAGTAGAATCTGCACTGCCCAAATTCTCCCGCTGTGTACCATAGTTTGGGATCTGGACCAACAGTTAGCATTGCCAGCAGCCTCAAGCAGGAACAAAGAATCCGAGACTTACGGCCTTGAGGTTTCCATCCACCACGAAGCTCTCCATCGAGGTCGAAGCCACCACTATCCTCTAACAGCTCGCCGATTTCGTTCCCGACAATTGCAGCTACTTGGTTCCGAATATTGACGTTAAACCCTGTAGCAAACACGATCAGATCGGCCTCTATCTCGCTGCCATCTTTGAAGCGCAACCCGTGCGGCGTGAAACTGGAGATCAAGCCATTCTTCATGTGTATCTTCCCATCGATGATCTTCTGCGCCGCTCCGACATCAATATAATGACCACCAGAGCGGTTGTGAATCGTGACCAGATTTGGGATTTCCGTTTTGAAGCCTTGGCTTTCGAGATCGTCGTATAATGCTGGATCTGTTTTTCTCCAGTGCTCGAACAGAGTCTTCGAGACTGCGCCTTGGACTGGGAACGGCAGGCCCCATTCGGCTCTATCAGAGCTGGCGAGGTCGGCATCGGCATGATATAAGCGACTGTGAAGTGGCTTGAAGACTTGCATCGGGATGACCATGGTGCGAGTCCGCTGCGTCATGGTCACTGATGTTAAGCCGGAGTCCACCATATCTTCCGCGACATCGTGTGCTGGGACCTACTGTCAGCTCTCTGGAGGCACATGTGCAAACGGCAAGGACTTACCAGTGTTTCCTGTTCCGACTACAATGCCCTTCTTGCCAGCCCAGGGAATGGCATTCTTGAACGCGGTCGAGTGCACTGCTGTGCCCCGATAAGACTCCTCGGAGGGGATCTCTGGCCGGGCTGGAAACGCTCCTACTGTGCCAATGGCGAAAACAATGTGTTTTGCTCTCAAGGACCACTTCTCGTTTTCAGTATTTACAGTCACAGTCCACCTCTGTGTCTCCTCGTCCCACGTCGCAGATTCGACTTTGGAGGAAAGCCTAACATCAAGGCCATAATCGGCAACATACTGCTGGAATCCACGAGCCAGGTCTTGAGGTCGCAGGTAATACGGCAACTCCTCGCTATTGAAGTGTTTGCCGAATGGAAAGTTCGAGTAGTATCTGCTAGTATGTAGCTTGACTCCATCGTAGCGTGACGTCCAGTTACCGCCGATGGTGTCATGGCTCTCGATTGCCAGAGCTTTCAAGCCGATTGCTTTGAATCGTCCAAGTGTCGATAAACCACCCTGGCCAGCTCCGACGATGGCCACATCAAATTCCTCGAGACTATGATGCCCGTTGACACCATTGCTAGACGCCGTGTCTTCCCGGACACCGTTCGCATGATGGCCGTTTGTGATCGAGCCATCCGTCTGCACGACCGGCTCCAAAACATCTGGACTGCCAAGTCCGTCTACTGACTCAAGAAAGGTGGACAGGAACCAGATTTTCCAATCCCCATTACTGTCAGGATAAAGCGCCACGATCGCAGATCCAGTTCCAGTCCAATCTCCTCCAATATCGAATGTGAAGCGTCCGGGAACAAATCCTCCACTGCCAATCCTGGCCGCATGTGCGCTCCCACGAACATAGGCGAAGTTGGAAAGCTGGCGAAGGGCTACCAATTCGTTCCATTTCAATGCGACTCGCGATGAACCATGGAGGTGACGCCATGTCCCAGTCAGCGCGAGAATGTCTCTCCAGAAAGCTTGGTCATCGAGTTGCTCGGCCTTCAATCGTGGAAGGCTCGCCGCGACGGAGTCAAAGATTTTATCGGCATCGAAATCTTCTGGTATTGGATTTGTCGGTATGTTTGCAGTTGGAACCTCATCGAGCTCTGCTCTTGGAGCACGCTTCCAAGACGAAAGGACTTTAGAGGGCATTCTTCAAGTATTGTGGCCGAGAAGACGTATTCACGAGAGATGCGCATCGAACCTCCGTCTCACGTCGCTGTATATCTATGCGGTGAATACTAAAGTTTAGAGACCCGACTCTTGTGCCGGACTGACTCTGCTTACACCGTCCGAAAGGAACGATGTTCTCCGGACATACCGTAGTGTTTGTCAGAATGCAGAGTCGCCCGCAGGTGTGTTGTTCTGGGGCCTCGTACTGTTCCGCGGAATTCGGAACTGGGATGGGGAGAAGTCATCAAGCGCCTCCACATCTCCACAACAGCAGGGATACCTGTGTTGATTGCGGGAGTATTGGATTCAATGTCTCATTATTCCTCATCGATGCTATAGGCCACTAATTTGGAGGCCGCCAACTTGTAGGCGACCGGAGTGAGCCTAGCTCGTTTGCGCGAAAGGCTTCAACGCTTCGGGTGTCCACATTCGTTGGCATTGTGACCAATCAAATTTTTGGAAGACGAACGAGATCAATTGTAAACGATGACAAGCACTGAAATGTTTTGGTTGCCAGAAAAAATCGTATATTTCGATTCCCACACCAAGCCTTGCGACTAGAACTATCAAAGCAACACTACTGTAGACTCTGACTCCTCTCACCGGGCTCCTATGATACCATATGAAGCTGAGACTGCCAGGGTGTTGGCCTGACATCTTGCTTTACGGGAGCCGTCAACGAGGGTAACTTCTTCCCCGGATGCGGATTGTCAACCCAATTGCCGTGAACCTGCTTCCTCATCGCGAACGGTAGCACTGCGATAGCCAAAGGCTTCGACATATCGTTGGTGTCCAGAATTACCAGCTCGCCCTTGTTTGTGCTTGCTCGTGTCGTGTAGAAAATTATATAGCCATCGCCTTCTGGCGCGTCTGCAGAGCGCGGAATAAACGCTGGCTCCAACACATAGCTCTCGTCACCAGCATGGAATACTTGCTTCTCCCCAGTTTCTGTATTGAGTCTGACGATTCGATCGAAATCTGGTCTTCGGTTCTCGAATTTGTTGGCAAACTCGGCCATGATGATATATTTCGTTGGCTTTGTGGTGAAACGCTCATCCCACACTGGGAAGTCATAAATGCCTTCCTGAAGAATAACAGGAGGCGCCACTTTGGTTCCATCTGGCTGACTGAGGTCAATAGTATAACGGACCCAATTCGCTTTTGGAAGAGGGGGTTGTAACCTGGAGGGTTCCAAAATGGGAAGACGTTGAAGCTCAGGAAGTGGCTTTCGAGCTGCAGCGTACCATCTTCAGCTTCCCAGGCGTTTCCAGCATGGACTATTAGACCGTGATCGGTGACGTACTTGCGGAACTCGCCAACTTTCCAGGAAGAATTTCGAGGTGCGCCAGACTTTCGTGGTGCGACCAGGAATTCTTGTGGCTGGCCATCGACGAATGTCCAATAGTGACCGCCTTGCTTCAGCACCTCTTCCGAGTTTGTGGTGAATGGCATGTTGGCCAAGATGATCCAGTTCTCTGTGATCCAGCCATCGTGCGGCCACCCAGTCTTGTCTTGCTGATACCAATTCTCGTTCGAAATGACGCTGTCTTCACTGATAGAGTATGTGGCAAAGTCACGAGTAGCCAGTCCTTTTGCATTATAGCTCCAGGTCACCAATTCGTTCTTGAATGGATCCACTTTGGGATGTGCTGCAAATGTTTTGGCGCGAGTTTGTCCAGCGAATGGATCTGCTCCTCTTGTCTCTAGGGTATCAGGATCCATTGCATAAGGTAATCCGCGCTCAGCCAGCGCGAGCAGATTGCCTCCCCAGTAGATGATGTTCGTATTGCCTGTGGCATCGTTCGCGAGTCGAATGCATGGATGTGCATCATATGGATTTCTGTACATTCCAAAGAGTCGTCGACCAGCCTTGCGTTCCAAGAGCCATCTTTCAGTTTGAACATATTTGGTTTTCATCGAAATTTTGCCATCCTGAATGCGAAACGCGCATAAGTGCCCATCTCCCTCGACAAAAGGAGTGCCCTTGGCCGGAGGATAGTGTGGATCATTGAGCATCCGGTACCAGGTGCCATCGATTGTCTTTGGTATCTCGCCATACACGATCACTTCATCCAACTCGCACTCGAAACGTCCTTGCGGCATATCCGCTGGCGAAGGCAGGAAGTGGTCCCACGATGATTTCAGACCAAAGCGGTTCTCCATCGACGGTTTGTCGCCGTCATCATACTTGGCATCGAAATCACCTCCATGGGCAACACTCTCGACCTAGTAGCAGTGAGCGTCTGCGCAAAGGCTCGAATGAAGTGACTTGAATGGAGACATACCGCAGCGACAGCAGACTTGATCAACTCTTCAGCCCTGTTGGAGCCCGTCTCGATAGTGGTGATAGTTGTGGTGGACATCTTGCGTGATACATCTGGCGGATCAGTACAACGGCAGATAGTGAGCTGCTAGCAGTACTTGAACAGGAGGAGGGCATCATGCCGCATTCCGGCTCAGCATCCAATAGCGCAACTCGCAAGCTCCGAGGACGTATCTCGCAAGCTTCTTAGGCCTCGCAAAGGAAGGTCTCATGACGCTTCATAGTAGAACAGCGGATTTCCAGAATGCTCTTGGCTGCTGGAGCCGTGCCGACTCTTGTCCGCGGTCACTCGGATGCGACTCACGACGCTCACAAGGATCTCCTGCAGCTCATTCACGATTCCGCGGTAGGACCAGTGATACAGTGTTGAAGTAGATTGTCGACAGCCAGAAATCGTCGTGCCCACCGGCTGCTCATCCTTTCCGCGGAATTGTCAAGCATTTCCGGTGCTTGGCTCGTGGTCAGGAACAGGAAGCACGATTCGTTGGGAGAGGTTGACGTTCTCATTCGGCACTAGAGAAGCGAGAGAAGAGTGTTTGACACATCGTTCTATCGTGCGATATGTTCATTCAGATCAGGTGACTTTTTAAAAAGCCGAATGCCTCCACGATCAGGTCGTACACCGGTTCCCCTTCCTTGGCCTTCATATCGAATGCGTGAGGCGCACCGTCTATCAATCGCAGCTGTACCTCATTGCCTGCTTTCTTGAGATCAGCCTCCGCTTGCACGCTATGTTGATGAGGCGCCACTGTGTCCGCAGTTCCTTGCAAGATGAATGTCGGTGGAAAATTAGGCTTCGACAGCAACGGCGCTGGGTCGATCGCATCGTAGTCATCACCCTGCACGATAGACGAGATATAATCTCCCTTCTTATTGTGAGCGAACATGAACGCATTCCTCGGTTTACTCAGATCTGGTCCATTTGGTCCGAATGGCGGAGGTGTCGCAGTTGGAGGGGGTACTTCTTCGAAAACTTTGTCAATAAATGACTGATCGAATTCCGGAAGCTTTGCCATTGCAGCTGATGGCTGAGTCCAGAATGGATCTCGGAAGTATTTCATCCCGAAAAAGTCGATGATTGCACGAGGAGGATTGGGTTGACCACCCTGGGATGCTCATCGGTTCGCCGCTGTAGCTGAAGCATTCCCCCATTAAAAATCAACTAACCGTCAGCAATGCCAGACCGCCGCCACAAGAGTGACCCAGTGTAACTGTATTGTTCGGGTCGATAACGATGCCAGTATCGGCTTTGAAAAGCTCAGGAAGTGTGTTCCGAGCCCACTGGAAAGCATCGATTGCATCCGCGACAGGGCCGTCTTTGAGCGAGGTTGTTGGCACCAATCGGTAATTTGGGCACACAATAACGAACCCATTTCGATGCAGCAACTCCAGCTCAAAAGCAGGAATCATATTGTAGTTTCCTGTAATGAACCCACCGCCATGGTACCAAACAGCTATTTGGTCATCACTTCAGCATTGTACATGGAATCGAGCACTACCAGCAACTCACCAATAGCTCTCTTTGGAGGACCACTGAGGCCGTACGCCACCTTGGCATCAATCGGTCGGCTTTCACCGTCCGGTGATTCAAAAGTCTTGAAAGTGTAAATCTTGTGCTCGAGCGAAGACATGGTGGAAGGACTGTCGACAGTTGCTGTTACCGGATTGTCCAAATTGTGATGTGTATCGTCTCAATCCACGAAGTCACGTTCACGAACGCCACCTTTGAGGTTGGGCGTTGTCTTACTGGAATGTCTTATCACCTCGGAATTGATTGTCCTTCCGAGGTGGAGCTGTCATGCAAGCGGTTCGCCCGGCAAAACTTCATAAAGATCGCCAAAGTCACCGATCGCCACGTGGGAATACATTCGGAGTGGTCTAGGTCTCAGTGGAGCAGTTACCTTGCTACACACTCTGACATAACTTTGTCCTGCACTCTTGATCGGCATGGCGGAGAAGATCACTGAGAGCGACCATGTCGAACGTGCGGCATCGCGCAGTCCAAGTACTTCCGGGAAAGAAAAGAATGTCAAATTCAACAAGCAGGGCATTGCGCTGATTCCGCAGCCGAGCGACGATCCACGGGATCCTCTCGTACGTTGTAGCCGTGTGAGGGCTGGGTCGCTCTTGGCTAATGATGGAATCCGTGTCCTTACAGAGTTGGAGCTCAGGAAAGAAGACCGCGCTGACCATGGCGATAATGATGTCCGGATTCGCCACGGCGATGCAATCGGTCACCAATATCTCAGGTTACGCGCCACAGGCAACGCTCTACCGGCAGTCAGTGGTAAAACTGACTTATAGTGTGGGTCTTCTGGTGTCGCTCAAGCGACATTGTGCTGATCTGAGCCCATAGATCGCCGTCTGCATGATCGGCCTAGCATTCGGGGCGTACCTCTTGTTCCCACTATCCACTCGATTTGGCAAATGCTGGCTGCTGTTCTGGGGAGTTATCGGGACGATGGCGATGAACATCTGGTCGGTGGCGATGACAGGTAGCGGAGACTATGGAGCCTTCATGGCTTCTAGGCTTTTTGCAGGTATAATGGGAGCGTCCGTCAGTATTCGTGAGTACTACTCCCGCATCTTGCTCGACCAGACTCGACGAGTTGACAAGCTCTTTTATCATAGTGGGACCGCAATTTCTCTGCGAAATCTTCTTCCTTCATGATCGTGGCAAAGTCATTGGCGTGTACTACGGCATGATTATGTTCGGTATAGCAGCCGCGCCATCCTTCTCAGGGTATATTGTGTACTTCGCCAGCTGGACAATTCAGTTCTGGTATCAAGTCGGTCTCCATGCGGTCTGTGCCATTCTGGTGTTTCTGTTCGTCGAAGAGACTGGCTGGCATCGTGAAGGAGGACCCCAATGGCCAGATCAGCCCCGAGGATGGTGGGCGAAACGCCAAGGACTATATTTTAACATTAGAGGATTCCATGTTTCGCCGTATCTGACGCCAGCGGAGGAGAAGAAAGCGGCCTTGCGACCTCTGCTTGCGACATTCAGCCCAATCATGGTCCTAGGAGGCTTCGTCGTTGCTGTCACGATGGGCTGGGTCCTGGCAATCCAAACATTTATCGCGATTTACCTGATGACGCCAGAGATTGCTGGTGGATATAGCTTCACGGCCAAAGGTGTCGCAACATTCATGTTCTGCAATTGGATTGGCGTAATTGCTTCGCAGCTCTATGCTGCGGCAATATATGACCGCCTGCCATTGATCATCTGCAGGCGCTTCTACAACGGTGTATGGCATCCAGAGTTACGCCTACACGCGATCTGGCCCATCATGATCATCTATCCCATCGGCCTCGGCTTGTTCGGTGCAGGTCTGCAAGAGCAGTGGCATTACATGTCGCTGGCTGTGTGTGTCGCAATAAGCCAGTTCAGTGGCGCCGCAGGACTCGGAATTGTCAGCAACTATCTGGTCGAGGCCCTTGGCTCGCACGTGGCCAACGAGGTGGCTATTGCAGTCTCTTGCTATCGTCTGGTGCTCGGCTTCTCCTCCATCTTCTTCCTCACTCCATGGGGCAACGCGGTCGGTCCCAGATGGGTATTTGGCACGCAGGCCTTCCTTCAGGTGGCTGCTGGTGGAGTCGTTTTGTTCATTGTGAATTTCGGGCCGTGGGTGCGATCGTTCAACTTGGTTGATACTATGTATAAGGAGGAAGTTCAAGTGTTTGGTCGGGATGAGTGAGAACGGAGAAGTGGTCGGAGAATTGGAAGCTCCGGACGCCGAGAACCGGCAGTTCGGGTGCTGTTCCTTTCAAAACTCCGTACATACCGCAAAGTGATCCCGACCTCTTTTTGTCACTGAATAGATAGTTCTCTCGCGCAACAGGCACAGCGATCTTCCTTCCAGGATGGCCTGTCGTTCGAGCACGCAAGCTGCGATTGTCTGCATAGCAACACCCACGACATAATGGACTATTTCCGATGCTTCCGAGCAAATTTAGAAGCATCCAACAACTACTGATATAAAATGTTCAGTCGTTCTACTGTTTAACAGACACCCCCATCTGTTGGATCTGTTACGCCCGTCATGGAACAAATCAAGGTTCTCGCCACTCAAGATCTTCCAGGCGTTGTACTACCAACATGGAACATTTACGCGCCCCTTCTCAATGCCAACGCCGCAGCTATTACGTCAACTCCCGCTCAAACGTACTCATATGGTAGCCATGAGCGACAGAAACTCGATCTCTACACGTCGCCGAATTCGTCTCCCGAGAAATCCAAACACAAAGTGCTGGTCTTTGTCTATGGAGGAGGTTTCATCCAAGGAGATCGCATCCTCCCTCTCCCAGCCTTCAACAAACTAGCTTATGCCAATGTCGGAGCTTTCTTTGCCAACAATTACGGCTTCAGCGTCGTCGTGCCAGATTACCGACGGATCAACGACGCTGGCGAACCCAAGTTCCCAAGTGGAGGCGAAGATCTGGAGAAGACACTCGACTGGATCGCCCTGAATGAAGACAAACTTGGTGCTCCAGTAGGCTCTGACATTGAGATTTACATCGTCGGCAATTCAGCAGGTGGTGCACACACTGCCACTTTCCTCCTGCATCCTGACTTCAAAGCCACTCGTCAGAAGCTCACAGCAGGTGGTGCAGGTCAACCAAATCTGAGAGGCATCATTTTTCTAAGTGTTCCCTTCCAGTTTCCACCGCATTTGGCTAGTATCATAGGCTCCTACTTTGGACCCGAGCCCGATGCTCTGGCGAAGAAAAGCCCAGTGGGTTTACTTCGCTCACTCGATGTATCAGGCCAGATGCCCGAATTTATTGAAGCTGGTGTACCGACTTTTCTGCTTACAGCAGAACTCGACTCGCAAGAATTCCACTCATCTAGGGACAACTTTATCACGGAATGGAAGGAGAGATTACAGGCAAATTTTGGGAACAAGGCACGCTTGGACATTGCCAGTATCAAAGGGCATAACCACATTTCTCCGCCTCTAGCTCTGGCGACCGGAATTTCAGAAGAAGAGGAATGGGGACGTAAGGTTGCGGAGTGGATCGCGGAGAATTGAAACCCCTTCAAACATCTCGTGTCTAATAGAGCTGTATAAAGCTGATCTCACAATTTCTGAGAAACTATTCGAGCATCCAGCAACGCAGAAACGCCTCCTTGTACTGCGGCAATAGCTTCTGGTAGCTTGGCGGCCAACTGTTCGACAGTACTAACCTGCTCTGCCCAACATGTCCCTCTCGATCCTCCTTTGGCGATTGTACAATAGTCCGGGTTGGGCGAGAACGATATGTTCAGCTCTTGATTATCCACCTTCGACCCCAGGCCATCCGGATGGACCAAGAGCATACTCTGCCGCGGAGCATTCCACCCATCATTGTTCAGTAAAATCGTCAGCACGGGTATCCCATATCTTTGCGCGATCCAGTAAACGCTCGATGGCATAGAGAACATGAAACAGCCATCTCCCACTATTTGGCACACAAAGCTGCCTTTTCCTGCACCGCCTTGCAACGCGTCTGAGGCCAGCTTGATTCCAAGTGCTGCACCTCCGGACCATCCGAGGCCTCCTGAGCCACAATTGAACCAGCTTCCAGGTCGGGTAGGTTGTATCTGATCTGCGACGTGGAAAGTATTGGTAACAGCCTCCACTGCCCAGATCGTCTCAGGTGGACAGTGCTTGCGGACCTCAGCGAGGAGATAAGGAGCACCGAAAGACCCATCTGAGTTGGGCACAGCCACTGAGGCAATGCTTTGGAGGAGAGCTGCATGGGATTTCTCCAGATCTGACCTTCGCTGCTGGTATTGGTACTGCTTGCCTGAGATTCGCTGGGCGATGTCCTTGTCTGTTTCCACTGCTTGAACAATTTGTCGCACAGCAGCTGCAACACTGACACGGCAACGCAAGACAGCGTCGATATAAAACAGCGGCATTTGCTGTTTGAGCGGATCGAGATCCAAGTGGATGATTGTGGCCGTCTCTGATGGCTTGCATCGCGTGTTGATCCACGGCACATCGCAATCGAGGACCAGAATCACATCCGCCGTTCCAATTGCTTCGTGGGAACCATAACGTACGCTGAGCCAACCTGGGTGATCAGATGGAAAGCACATGCTCGAGCCTCCTGTATCAAGGACTCGTAGACCTGGACACTATCAGTCACGCTGAGCGAGATGTAAGACGTGAATTTTTCACATACCTGGAAAGATATCGGCAAGCTTGACGAGCAGAGGAACAGTTTTAGCATCTCTTCCGCTGTAACCAGTAACGACCAAAGGTTGCTCAGCATCGATCAGAGTCGTCACAACGAAACCAAGCTGTTCAGAATTGAGCCCGCCGAGCTCAGCGGGTTTCCAGAACTTCTGCTTGATCTCATATGGTTCGATTACTTCTTCCATGACCTCTCGAGTGCCTTGCAGGTATACCGGGCCTTGCGGCTCACTGTTGAAGATCAACATCAATTTCGCAAAAGGAATAAGAAAACACGTACCTTGTGGCAAAACTCAAAGCTCGATTGACCATCTGCTTGACGTTTCTGCCTTTCTTGAGCTCAGCTGAATATCGACAGTACTGCCCAACAATCGCTTTCTGATCCGGCACATCCTGGAGCCAGTGGATAAATTCAGTTCGACTTCCACGATACTCTCCTTCTTGAGTGCAAGGCGAGAGGCCAGCAAATATGAGCACCGGAGTTCGTCCAACGCTGGCATTGTGGACAGCACATCCCAGTGCTTGAGTGCCAACATCGACGTGGACAATGACTGCTTGCGGCACACCAGTCACTCGAGCATAGCCGTCTGCAATCGAAAGTGCGACCATCTCACTTGGACAGGTAATAAATTTGGGGAATTTGTCCCGTCTTTCTTGTTGCCCTTTCACCATCGCCTCCATCATGGCGGGATGGTCTGAGCCAAGATTGACGAAGCAGTAACGAACGCCGGCCTGGTGGCATCGTCATTAATTCGTCTAAAATGAGAAACCTCGACATGTTGCTTACATCCCATAGTGCTTCGAAAAAGGCGAACGAAGCCGAGTATTCTCTATAATTCCATTAGCATGCATGATTACAGCACACGACAGGTGGTTTCATACGTAGCCATAACGTTGGACGATAAAGACCTTCAAAAGTTGAATAGTTGTCGATTAGCTATACTGTATATCAGTCTGCAGCGACCGAGTGGTATTTGTTCCGCTTCTCGGTTGCATGATCGAGCGACCGGGGTTCCAGAGCAACGGTACTTGATGCCGGCCAAAACTGCCGGTCTGACTGCCTATATCGGACCCTGTGCCAATGTTCCGCGGAATCGCCTGATGTAGTTGTCTTCGACACAGGCAACATTGTTCGGCTTCGTGAGGTCGGTATGCAGCAACGAGCGAGGTAATGGATATATCAGGAAAGACACTACGGTCCATCCAGATCTCCTCGCCCGCACAACGGATTCAGACATTTTTTTCTGAACCATTTCAATTTATTGTACATGAGCTGTGGTAATGTCTGCAAACCGCATAGCTCTCGATCAATATCGTTGCACATCTCTGAAGCTCGAGAGACGAGGCAAATGGTTATGACCAATTCTGCTCTAGACAAGCCCAATTAACATCCGACATGACAGGTCCAAAAAGCTGATTGAAATCAAGTGCCATCCAATCTGAATCGGAAGCCTTGTCAATCGCAGAAGGAGCTTGCAAAGCTGAAACAGGCGATATTGGTGTGGCAAGAACCTCTGAGTTGCTCACTGTCGACGCTTTGATCGGTGCACAGAGGTTCGCTTTAGCGGCAAGTCGTCTAAAATTTGCCATGGAATAGCGATGCCGCGCATCTGTGCCTCGTAGCTTGTGTGGAAGAGCCTCTAGGATTTCCAAGCCGACGTTGAAAGGGCGTTGGCATTGTACTCGGTAGGTTGTCGGGTCGTAGGTCATAGCAAGAAACATGCTCGAGATCGCTGCCATCAAAAAATGATGGAAAGTGGACTGTAGTGATGTCGGGATCGGCCCATTTTCTTTCGTCTTTTGACACAACCAGACGTTCTGCTCGTTCGCCGCCATGAGGGCCTCCACAGAGTCGCGCCTGGACGCAGCCACTTGAGCTGAACTCAGGCATCCTCGACGGACCAGGAAGCGGAGGTGATTAGCTCGCAGGTTGACAAAGATTCGACAACATGATTGCACAGATGTCAGCGGATGCGATTGGCCAGATCCGATGCCGTATAGAGATTCGATGTTCTTGAGGCGGAAATCCAGATAGCTATATTTGTCGGACGATATCTCTCCAACGACGCGGGCTTCCCTGACTAACACCAGGATCTCGTCGGCAATGCGATCCATTTCGTGCATGGCGCGAAGATGGCAAGTAGGATCCTGTTGATTTGCGCTTAGTAGGAATAGTGCCGGAGTGACTTCGCAAACTTACCAATGCATTCAAATGCTGCTGCTTGATCTGATCCTGCAGGATGCGTGGCAACCCAACCATTAGACTGCTGCGGGAGTCCAGGTTCGAAATGCAGCAAAACAGCATCTTGCGTTGTTTGTCAGCGTTGGTTTCGTCCTCTGGGTCCACTGACGACTCCAGATCAATTGATAGCTCCAGAGCAGTTCTAGCACCACATCCTGCCATTCGCCATGCCTTCTGCCTTTGATCGCGTTGGGTGTAAGATATACTCTGCTCGAGTCTTCAGCATTCTTTGATCACACAAGATACAAGCTTGAGCAAGACTTACAAGGAGACAGGTCATCACCAGATCTTCGACGCTCACAGCATCCTGACCAAAGACCGTCTCGACACTCCATTGTATACTGGACTCCAGCAAAGCTACGAGTCCATCGTCGTCTGACTGTCTAGCACATGCACCCACTAGCAGGCATGCTTTGATGATCTCTACATCCATGAGGCTCAGAGGAGCCTCGTCGTCTTGACGTGGAGGAGCAGAAGCTGTGTGATACAAGGTCAACAGATTCAGTGAGATCTCGGGGATGCTCACACAAGGGTACATGCATATGACATCCGAGGCAACCAGATCCAGCAGTGCCTGAGTCGTGGTTTGAGGCAAAGAAATGATCGCTCGGACTGCATGCGACCATTCGGGATATGAACCACCTTCGAGGTCTTCTTGTGCGGGTGTTGATACCGAGAGCACCTCTTCGTCACTTCCAGGAGCGATGCCAGCACTCGTCAGTGACGATTGTGCCCAGCCAAGAATGTTCTCGAAGCTGGAAGGACATGGCCGAGGGCGATTTGAGGAAACGCGACGACCATTCAGAGCTCGATTAGAGGCCGGTAGTGGGCTGGCGCAACTGGCGACTGCTGTTAAGCCACCCTGAACCAGCTGCACAAACTTTTCCAGTTCGTCCAGGCGATTGCGAGAAGGCCTACAAGACCACCATTCTGTTAGCGATTTGAGGCTAGCAAGTTGTTGGCGCGCTCGACTGACTTGTTCGCAGGTGTAGAGCGCTTCTGTCTCACTGCATAAGTGCAGGCCGTGTTCGCATCGACACAGCGACTGCAAGGAGTATTGCCGCTGCATTTGATCTTTCTTGCCTTGCAGCTATCGCTGTAGGGTACAAAGCTTTCATCAGCCAGGGCACGGGAACGTTGCTCGAGGCAACATACCATGCTCGTGGAGTGTACACGTCGCGCTTGTATTTGCGGACTCTGCCACTTCCATCATGTTCTTGTCTTCGGTCGCTCATGTTGGCCCGGAATGCAGGTTGATGGGATAGCGATCATAGCGTACACTGGCTACAAGAAGGGCGCATTAGGGTTTGCTGTGGAGGAGGCTTTGGTCTAATGCGGGGTGGCCGGCCTTTCCCTGCCTCCACACCCTCTCGTTGTCTGCCGTGTTCTGGACCCGGTCGACGCTTTTGCCATCATGGTTTTGGCGGCAGCCTCAAGAAGCAGAGTTCCATGATGTTTGTTGAGGGCAGTGTCCAATCCTGGCTGCTCAGAACGGCGACAGACCTTCCCTCAAAGTTCCCGCAGAATACGACGACGCAGACGAGTATCACTGGCCCGATGCTGAATGGCGACCATCTGTGCTCTGGAGAAGAGTTGCGAGCTAGAGTCCCGACCACCTGCGATGTCCACGAGGCTCCGGTAGATCAATAAGGTGCAGCGGTCTGCAGCCACTCGGGGGGGCAGAAGTCAGCGCCTAGTCGTCCCCACGGGGAACTTACGCGACCATCGGCAAGTGAAGACGACGACAACCTTCCAAGGTCGTGTACGTCCTCGAACGTTTGCATCCGGACGAGGAGGTGCGATGTGCCGAAGGATACGTGAAGTTCCCGCGCCGAATGCTGCCAAGACATGCCGAGCCGATTTTCTATTTATATCCGGAATGCGTCGGAATTCTCGTCGCGTCACTGACTTCACATTCACAACACCGTCTCTGTCATGGCATTCGTCTTCTTCACATCCGAGGACAAGCTGAGAGTGTGGCGTCCTGAGCCCACACTGCTCTGGGGCTCATCGCCCGAAAGGCAGTCGACCTCGGAAGCATTGCCATTGCCATCGTTATGGCTGGTATAACACAGCAGCCTTGTGCGAAGACATGGTAGGCATTATTGAGACACGTCTCTGAGAAAGTATCATGCTCTTTTCCTCTTTTGTCCCATTAGCAGCAGTCGCTGTGTTGTATGGATTGATCTCACTACTGAAAGCCTATTCAAGTACCCTGAGAGATGTCCCTGGTCCATTTTTTGCCCGTTTCACTCGTCTCTAGGAATTTTACCATGCGGCCTGGCGGGAAGATTCCGAAGTTGTACTCCAGAACCTCCATCGGAAGCATGGTCAGCTGTGAAGGCTATACTTTGTGTAGAAATCCGCTGATGGTAGGCAGGCAACATTGTCCGCGTAGCACCCAATCGGTATAGCATCACAGATCCCGCGGCGGTCCAATTAATATACGGCGCTGGCTCCAAGTTCGCGAAATCTGACTTCTACTCCTCTTTTGGAGGCACGAACGCTCATGACAGAGATGTCTTCTCTGAGATGGACATCAAGAAACACGCGCAAAAACGAAGAATTCAAGCCAATTTCTACGCAAATTCTACTCTACTCTCCTACGAGCCCTTCGTTGACCAGACCAATGAGCGTTTCGTGCAGACTTTGGATCGACTGGCCGAAGAAGGCAAACCATTTGACCTTTTCACCTGGATGCAGCTGTACGCTTTCGATGTCATTGGCGAATTCACGTTCGGTCGCTCGTTCGGGCTGATCGAATGTGGCTACGACAAAGACCATCTTCTGCACACAGTGGACTGGCTAAATAATCGCTGGGGTGGGCGAGTCGGTCTGATCCCTGAATTACATGTGCTCTGGAGGCTGGTCATGAAGTACATTCCTAGCATCCATCCACTTTCCACCTTGTACAAGGTCATCGGCAGAGAGGTGAAAGCCAGGTTCGAAGGGAAAGCTGACCCGACCGATCGAGAAGACATGATGGGCAAATGCATCAAGTCTATCGGCGCAGGCAAGATGAGCAGGTATTCGATGCAAGAGATTGTAGCTCAGAATTTCGGCGCAGGCTCTGACACGACTGCGACTGCCTTGAGCGCCACGATATGGTTTCTCGCACAGAATACCAGGTGCTTGGAGAAGCTCCGCGCGGATTTGGAAGAGGCGGCTGAAGCAGGCAATCTATCTGATCCGGTCACCTTCGCTCAAGGCCAAAAGCTCACTTACCTGCAAGCGTGCATGCAAGAAGCACTTCGTCTGCACTCGCCAGTCGGAAGCACACTCTATCGAGTGGTGCCCGAAGGAGGAGCGACAATAGCAGGGAAATACTTTCCAGCAGGAGTTCGTCAACGACTATCGATCGCACCATACTCTGATTGCTGACAATGTTGAACAGACACATGTAGGCGTCAATCCTTGGGTGATCTATCACATACCGGATATTTGGGGCGACGATGTTCTCGAGTTCAAGCCTGAGCGATGGTTCGGAGACACTTCCACGATCGACAAATCTTTCTTAGCTGTGAGTTACACTCCTCCTACTGCTATTTTATTCCCTCGACTGACCGGATTAACAACAGTTCGGAGGCGGTGCAAGGACCTGCATCGGTAGACACATTTCCATGCTCGAGATGTCGAAATTACTGCCCACAATCATTCGCAAGTTCGACTTCACGCCAGCACAGGACACGGGTTTGGAGTGCAGGAGCGGCTTCTTCACAAAGCCGACTGTGAAGGTGACGATCAAGAGAGTTGATGAGAAGTAGAACAGCATTCTAGTCGCCCGCCCGGCTAGCCACACGCGATTTCTTCCCTCAAGATCCGCATGGCAAGACTGCTTCCAGCACAGCATAAGTCTCTGCAAATAACGAAGCGTCGTACCGAGTTTCCGGCACATGATGGGCACTTACCCCACAGAAATATCATTGTCCAAGACTACAAGTGCTGGTGCAGAGATCTTGCTGCCGAATGCGCGAAACATGCCCGCGGAGACACATTGCCCAGCAACTAACCCCAAAGACTTCATCTCGGCAAAACCCCCATCCCAGAGTCATGCACGACATCAATCCACACCTGACTCGGGAAGATCTAAGTAATAGATGACGATACCACTTCCTCTTCTCCGCAACCAAAAATCTCCCGTGCAAACGTGGAGGAACGAGAACTGCCCGAAAGTGAGGCGCAAAAATTCAGCCAGGGCAGGAAACTAGGATACCCTTTCACGATTCACTCATCTGACATCGCATCTATGAGCTTGGCTAGCTTGTTTTCCTCATCCGGATCCAGTCGGTCCATTTGAGAGTTGTTCCATGGTGTTCCGAAGCAGGTAAGTAGTAGGTACATGGCGGCATTAGCAGGTACGACAGGTACAATGTACATCCAAGTGTTGAGGGTGGTCAGCTTATGCGTCGGCAATTGTGTGTTGCTAAAGGTCGCACAGTAGACCGGATTCTTGCGTCGAAGATTGCCGGTCGCTCTGATGAGCATCGGGTTCCAGGGCTACTAGCAGAGAGTCGATGCAGTCTTGGATTTGCCCAATCATGCGTATGCCTTGACGCACATGCTCATAGTCCCAGCGAACTCCATGAGCTATTCAAGACTAATTGAGCACTCTTCACAAACACCGTAATAACGATCACCCCAATCTAGGATCTTCTGCTGTAGCAGCAGCAGCTATCACACCACCTTCCCTGTCACTCCATGGTTCCTCCACACAACCAGTAATCCGCTGATTCCGCAGCACGATATCCTACAACCAGCACAACCACAAGTCATGACTGATGACTGCTGACAGAACAATATTGTACTGTACAACCCTCAGACTCCATCACCATCAATGTCCTCACCATCCCTGCCGCCCAGTCCACCATCGTCAACCTGCACAACATACATCCCTCACTCATCTCACACAAAAAGGTCTCACCTCTTATCGCCAAGTCTCGTCTACTCTCGTCTCCGAAAATCAACCCTCTTCTACTTTCCCCCATCGCGTTACATCTAAACAAACCCATCCCAGCATCCCATCAATTCCCACCCCAAAACTAGTCCTCACATACCTTAGCGCTTACACTCACCATCAGCAAATCTTACATAGCAACACCAGTCATGACTCGAGAAATTTGTAGATCTACGAGAGTGCTGCACCGAATCTCACCCGCCCCCTTCCGACACTACGAAGATTGCGTCAGACATGTAAGAACTTCGGCATCGGCAAGCTGTGCAGAATGGCCGTAGTGTAAGCTAGCGCGAAGTGCAAATGGAAAGGGAAAGGATACCCCAGATTTCACACTTTCGTACTTCCAAAAGAAGTTCAAAGGAATTTAGACAAGCTTACAAGGTTCTTTCCTGTTTGTGGTCGCAGATTTTCTGTCACATCACATGCGGGTCTCGACGGTAAGGGCAGCTCGAAATCTCGGCCAGTTTGGACCGGATCGTGGTCGGTAGGAATGACCGGTCGGGCGTTTGGCGGGTAATACAGTACCTTTTGAGGTTGATGTTCAGGTGGGGTCCGAATTTCAATGCCGGATAAAGTGGAGAGTGGAGGAGAAGTGGACATGATTCCTGAAGAAAATGGGGCTTGCAATACTGTATGAAGGAGTGTCGATCATGTGTGGGCATGGGTTTTGTAGTTGGCATTGCGTGAAGGAGGATGTGGTGGAAGGAGTTGTGGTTTTGGCGGCAGGTGCGATACAGCGTAGCAAGATCGAACACAGCACGAAGCAGCACATCAATAGTGAGAAAAAAGAAGTATGATGATGATGATCGTAGATATTTCATATCGTCGTTAAGGTGAGATGCGACTCTGCAGTTCCTCTATTGATACACATTCTCTTCATCATCTTCTCATTCTGCAGTCGACATTCTTCTTCCAAAATTCTCAAACAGCGAGCGTAGCGTCGTGAACATCCGACTGGGATCGCGGTATATCTTCCCTTGTTTTGAATAACCTTTTTCCATGAAGAAACTCCGGGCTCGTCCTGCCATGGGTATCTGAGAGAGTCATTACTCCGCGCAAGCAAACAATAATAAAGCGAAAGTGGTCGAGTCGGAAATAGTATGGTACAACGCCCCGACTCCTCGCCTGCAAATGCATGTAAACAATAATAATATGATGTGCCATCTTCGGAGTGCGAGATGGTGGTACTGCTGGCAGCAGCGGAAGAGGTCCGCTTTTTCTGCTGCAGTAGTGCTGATGAGAGGCGCGATTTGCCGCGCTAAACGAACACGCGTCTCGTTGCTGCAAAGCCAACATGACTGCATGGCCGCACGATTCCGTGGTCGTACATTGTTACTCTCCCGGAAACGGAGGTAACACAATCGGAGGTGCGCGTTCGTTCGCGGCTCGTGCCACGAGTTTGGGCCGGCCGCCGGAGTAGCGATGTTGTGCTCCTTGCCGTTGCAGTGTGAGCCCGCCTTCGGCTCTTGCGACGCGGTCCAGCACACTCTCCATGGTGTCTTCTGAAGGATCTCTTCGACCGAACTTTGATGCGAAGCCGGAAGCGAAGTTGCGTTTCCTCCGTACTGACTTGGTCGATGGGGCGTTGGTCGACAGTTTCCTGGCTACTGGAAGTGGTGCGGGTGAGATGGGTGTGATTGGAGTCTGAGGCAAATCGCGTACGGCATGCATGAGGTCGATGTGTGACACCCGGTTCTGTTTCCGTTTCGCGATTACCTCATCCTCCATCTCGTCGTACACCGAGCTTGGTGCGGTTGACAACGGCGATTCTGGCGTTGTCGATGACAGAGAGGCATTTCGACTCGATGAGCCGGTGCTGTCCTGGCTGGTTCGAGTGTTCAGAGGCATGCGAAGTGAGAGATTTGGCCTTGGAATATCGATGCTCTTCGCCTTCGATGATCTGGAGGAGAGACTGCTTCGCGGGGAGCGGGCAGCTTTCGACATCTCAATCATCCTGGCTTTTCCGGCGTTTTGAAGCAAGACCAGTTGCGCACATCTGAGATGCTGCACTTCGAAGACCTCAGCGACGGAGATCTCGCTACACACTGAGTATTCGCTTGCAGAGTCGTCGTCCACAGGTGAGGCTTCCTCTTCATCGGAGGTGTATGTGGGCCAGAAATCGAAGGATTCGTGAGGCTCGGACATTGGCTGTTTGCCTTTATTGTTGCCGGGCATGACCAATTGACTTTTGGCCCAGGCCATGTCGGAGGCCTCGATGTGAGCATCGGCAGACATGGTCGGGTTGATGATGAAGTCGTCCATACGGCGGATTCTCGCTGCACTCGCCATGTTGGATGGTTGGGGTTGTTGAAGGAGCAGTCGCCGGAACTACTGGTCGTCTGGGAGGATCGAGACTACTGATGGGCAAGTGTCAAGTAAAGTGAGACCAGGGTGGACACGCGATAATGACGCTGCAGGCCTCGATATCAGGGACCCAGCTGGGTCTGGGGTGAGGCTGCAGGGCTGGTGCTGGGATGACCGCAGTGCCTGAGTCGGTGTCCGGCTCTGGAGCTGTTCGGAAGCAGGCTCTAGTGATCGAGGTGTTTCGTGCGGTAACTCGATCCCGCTGTGCTTGCAATTGAGGAAGGTGTTGGAGACGTGTCGCAGGTGTTGGGAGCGTCCTGGGAGAAGTGTTCGTGCCAGTGCTCAAACCGCGTCGCCGCAACGCGCCTTCATTCAGCACGTCCGGGCTGACAGAGGTGCCGTGGCCGATGAATGGCTCGGCGGCGTAGCACAAGGCGTGTCGACGAGAAATGTCAGCCGCAGGAATGCTGCAGGTGGAGTGGAAGCGCGGCACTCCGCTTGGGTCAGTTCGTGAGTGGTGTTACACGGCAGGCAATCTCAGCGATTCGCCGTCGTCGGGCTCGTGGTGGTGAGTGTGGTTCGGACACCGGTGGTGCGTTGAAAAGCTGCACGAGGGCGGGAGGGCGTGTATAGATGAGCTCTGCAGGCACTTGGCGACCGGCGCATTGGCCTCACTCCCTCGGTGCGCCGGACGCGAGCTACGGACGACGGCTCGCTGGGCGATGTTTCTGACAGAAAAGCAGCTCTCCGTCCCTAGGGAAAATAGTGCGCGAATCGAGGAGCGTAGGCGTGCAGCACCCTGCCCTCCGAAGTCTGATAGCGATAAGCTCCACCCCACTGCCCTTCCCTGTTGGCTTAACTAGGGCGATCCGCTAGCGTCGCTCTACTGCCAGGACGCTCCTGCCCTGTGCGTGACGGGGGGCCAGCAGCAGCCCGGCAGAGCAGGACCGCTCGAGCTCGCGGCAGCAAGAAGCAATCACTGCTGCCGACGGTCCTCCGTCGCCTTCAATATTGCCCTCAATCAAACAATATTGGGCGGGCACTCTACTCGCGGCCGGTGCGGGCTGCCTCCTTCTCGTGCTGCAGATTGCGTGAGGCGTGCGCTGTCTCATCGGCGACCATGAAACACGTCGAGGCGAGACCTGAGCCACACGCTGCTCTGCGCGGGCGAAGGCGCTCATGGCGGATTCACCATCGCTTGCCGCTCCCGCACGTAACCTGACGGCAGCAACAGCATGCGGCGAAGCGCACCGAAGTGGCATGTCGTCTGGCAACAAGCAGGCAGCGTCACCAGCCAACTCCAACCAAGGCGGCCATGTGGACGGATGTCACAAATACATGAGACGATGTCTGGCCATGTCTGGCGACTGTCCTCGACGTCGACATCTCGCCCCGATGCCAGACCGCGAAGATGGTCAAGTCGCGATACGAGTGCAACCGTCACTCCACCTGAAGCCGACCACTGCTCACCGCACGTGGTACGTGTGCCTGCACGTGCGGACGTGGATCGGCAGTACTCTCGCTGCAACAGGCTGCTCGCCGGACTATTTGCGCAAGCTGGGAAGGTCACGATGAGAAGTTCCTCCGTCGCTGCCTGCCGCGCGAGAGCTTCGTCTGGAAAACAAAGCTGTTTCGCTGCACCTTTCTCGGCGCATTACTTGTGTGCAGTACCTCCAACAGCGCGTCTGAAAACTCCGGCAGAAGAAAACTCTACTGCATCATCAGACGCACTGCGCGGTCGGAAACTGCAGCGTTCCTTCTGCTCCGTCGGAAGCCGACTCTGGTCATGCATGAAGCCTCAACTCGCGCGCTGCATCCTGCTGTCGTGCTCGATTCGCTCGCGGCCGTGGCTCGATGAGGCATCCGTGTCGTGGCAGTGCCACCGCATTGGACGACGTCGCAAAATCTCATGTAAGCAATCGCTCACTGGGCCCGCCCCACCAGCGATCTTCGTGCCGCGAATAGATCCGGCACCTCGTTTTCAAAGTTACGAGCTGCCTCATCGACAACAATAGATCTGAGATTCGACTTCACATGTTCAGCATGCTTTTGCCTGACATCACTGCACTTCTTCACGCCAACTCTGACATCCAATGCGCGACGCATTGAGTTGCGGCTGTCGATGGATTTCGCTCGTCGCATGTCGCCCATCATGCGATCGCATCTCGCGCTCTTGCTTGCATCGCCCAGCCTGCTTCCTGCTGTAACCTTCCAGCAACAGCAGCAACCCAAGAACACCCAAGCTTCGCATGTCTGCGATAGGCAGCTGCTTGTGAGCTCAGCTCACTCAACCAGGCTATCTCGCTCACGACTGGTGGAATAAGGTCAAGCAATTCGGCGAACGTAGTATGCAAGTATCCTTATGTCCTGCGAAAACAAGAAAGATTTTCGTGACCTCTGTGCCTGTGTGCGACCGTGAACAGAGCCACCATCGGAAGAACTGAGGATTGGCTGACGAGCTGGCTGCATCATGCAGACGCATCCTGCGCCTCGCGTTTGGCTGCGAGCTCTCTTCGACAAGCTACCAGCAGAGTTCGAGCATGAGTAGAGTTTTCGCTTCTGCATCCCCTCGGGGCATTCGGCGCCGTCCTGCAGGAGAGGAAAAGGCTTGCATGTAGGGAGTGGGTGAGACACCACGCCGTCAATCGTGCTGTTGTCGACCGTTTGCCTCGCTGTTTGGTACGGTTTCATGCTTACCATGTCGCAGTGCACCGCATGGCTGACGAGCATCTTCACTCAGATCCGGTGCCTTGCGAACGATAGGTCTGGGTCATTCCAAGAACGGCAGTCGCTTCAGCGTTGTGCATGAATTCTCCGGAGTCAACGACGCCTTCAAGTCCCATTGAATTCCCCAAATAGCATCGACGACGAGGAATGTCTGCCAGGCTACCAGTCTGGATAGTGCACCGATGTTGTCGTCATGGGGAAGGATAGGACCTGGTACTCTTGAAACAGGACCCCTTTGTTCCAAAGCGTCTCAGGCGGCTGTGAGCACAAACAACCTCCTGATGGGCACGAACAGATGCTACTGGACTGATGAGAGATGTCGATTGACGAACCATTTTCTACAAAGCCACCTACCTCTCAGACCTTGCGATCAGCAAGCAGAATATCACAGCTCATGATATTGAGACACAGCTGCGCATGACGATGACGAAGTGCGGCAAATTCTACACAAGGTATGGAAGGGAAGTATGCTGCATCTCCGATGATATTGCCTCTGATCGAGCAGAGGAACAACTCTCGATCAAAGAAGCCTGCCAGAGGAATCTGTGTGCTACAGTAAGTGCGTCACGCTCTCATTGCTTCCCTATCGTTGGTGTGCACATCGAGATGGGCGAAGCTCTTTTTCAGCTCTCCCGAATTTGATCATGATTCTCAACAATTACTCTCCTTTGCTGCGATTCTATACGGCAGGCTTCCTTCTTCCCAGCAATCATATAGTTGTTTCATTGCTTCGGCTGACATGATACCGTCTTGCTTTTGAGGACTCTGTACATGTCATATCATATTTGGCGAACACTGCTGTTGCACAATCGATCGAAGTTTCTCACTTTCTCTACATTATTCCCCCCTTGGCAGCTTTCGTTTCGCGTTCTTGTTTGCTCCAGCTCTATCTCGATGCAACTGTTACCCGCTCCTCTCACACACACGCATCTTCGGCATTTTCACACCACGTCACACACATTTTTTTACGCACGAGAACATCTGAACCTGGCGTCTAAGTACATGTCTACTCGGTCTTGGCTTCCGCCACGCTAGTCTCATATCTGCGATCTTGGGAGTGAGATCTGACTTGACATGGGTTTACATACTGTATTTTTGGATCTTTATTCACTTGCTGCAATCTAGTGTCACTTTGAAGCTTAGTCTGGAAGATGGAGACGGTCCTGTGCGGAGGTGTTATTCTCGGTTGTGGAGCAGGATGGTCGAGAATCGTGAAACGTTGGGCTGGTTTGAGAGTGAGGTGCTTGCCGTGCTTGCTTGGTCTGTGTGTTGAACGAGCGGAGTGGAGCGGAGCGGAGAGAAGGGATCCGAGCTATGGCGTGCTGAGGTGGAGACTGGATGTGGGTACTGTACAGTACAAGAGGGAAGAGTATGGAGAAGCACTGCGAATTGCTTTGGGAATGCTTGGTGAGAGAAGATGATGTTGTGCTGATTCGAGCACTGCAGGATTTCCAACGCATGGCGCTCGATGACAGCAACGCCTCTTCATCCTGCACAACATCTGTCGCATCGATTCTTCCACTCCAAGATCTGAAGGCTCTAGGATCCGACTGCCGCCTTTTGCAATTCGGCAATTTCGTCTACGTACCGAATGTACATCATCGGCTTTGGATCCGAACGAGCTTACGTACAAGTATATTGCACTCCGAGCCGTCCCTATACATGCGAGATGAGAAGATCATGAAGAATTTCTATACTCATATCTTTCCCGTACTACAATGCTCTAGTCAAGGAGAAATCTGGACAACGAGAAGTTTTTCGCCATTCGGCTATTTTGATTAATGGTCGAATATATTCGAAACAACGAGAAGGTAGAAGCGGACTTGGCTGCGGCACGAAGATGTCGGTGCGTACAATATACAATGATTGAGTCTCGTATTTTGCCGTGTTGTGGCGAGAGGTCATTCGGGTAGAACAGGATGTCGTGTGATCGATGATGTACAGCAGCGAGTGCTGGTCGGCGAATTCGGCGGTTGAGAGGGGACACTCATCGAGAGGCTTCTGCCTCCCATGTCTCCCATCAACCACCACTGAACTCACAATACCAACTCTGAGTCTGTCTACAGTTGTACGACTGCGACTGACAGCCCGTATGCATCAATGCTCGTTGTCAATGCAACTCCTCCATGAGCTTCTTTTACTCGATTGCCTAATCGGGTAATTTACAGGCTTCAAATTTTCTTGGCCATCAGCACACGCGTGGCGAACAATCAAGACGCCACTGGCTGCACAGCTATTATCATCGGAATCTTCAACACCTCGTAATATGCAGATTGATCTTGGACACTTTATGATCTCCAGCGGAGCTAATGCCATTTAGCGATGCACATCTGCTATATTGAACACTTTCATTCCAGTTCAGTAGCCCCAAATTAGTGGGTTGTATGGTATGAGCGCAAGGAAGAATATACTGGAACTCCTTCGCAAGTCAAAAACAAATTGTAATTAAACTATGCAACCTTTCTGCAATGCTACCTTCATGCTCTCATGCGATCGTTCAATATGCTGTCGTTTCATGCAATGCAATGCGTGTCCCGTGCTCCATTCAATGCAATTGTTCTGTCTCAGATCGAAGTAAAATCTATGGCAAGTTCTGTGGAGCGTAGCTCTGGTTTGGCTTGACAGCCTTTCCGTTCACCAACTGCTTGTCAGTGTAACCTGGGTAGACGATCCTAGAAGAGACAAACTATCAGCGAGATATTCTCATCTGTCATCATGATGGTGAAATGAAACTCACTGTCGACCCTTCACAACACTCAAAGTCTGGAAACCTTGACCAGCACCAAACTGGCCAGACCAAGTGCTTCCGATGCGGAAATCACCGCACTGGATGTTCTGGTAGGTGGCGCGGGATGCTGGCTTGCCGTTGACGGAGTAGTTGCATCCGGTGACCTTTTGGCCGTTGTTGGTGTTGATGCCGAAGCTGTACTTGCAGTTGCTGTCGTTGGCGTTGCAAGTGCGAGTGAAGTTCTCGATGGTCCATTGGGGAGTGGCGGCGGCCATCATGTTCTTTGATGCCTCAGCTGGGACTGGGTTTGCGACAGAGGCGCTGGCTGCGGCGAGCAGAGCGAGGACGGTGGTGGTGAATTGCATGTTGAAGGTTGGTGGAAGTTTTGAGAGGTGGTGTTGATGTTGATGTGTTGGGTTGGAGTGTGTTAATGTTGTTGTAGCTGTGAGATTGTGTTGCTGGATGATGTCGAGAAGATGGAGGCCTTGAGGATACTATTTGTATGCTGGTCTGCTGTTAATTCCCTCAGTCTGCCTTGATGGCGGTGTCTGGACAGCAGAGCAAACACGAGGTCACCGTCACCATCTCTCCACACCGAGAGTGCTTCGTGAAGTCAGACTTGCATAGGCTCCAATCTAGATGTCCATTTTGAGCGTCAGTGGAAAGCTACTGCGTCCCGAAGTGGAGCGTAATCCGATTCCGAGCACTGCTTTGAGCATATTGTCTGGAGATGTTTTTCAAATACGGCCAAGATCATCAGCACCCAATACATCATTCCTCGTATTCTCTTGACAAACCATGCTTGATGTGAGTGCAGCTGACCTATAGCTCCTGGTAACTATTGCGGCCAGCAGTACTGCACCGATTTGCAGTCTCAGCCATACTGCAGAAGGTGTACACTGGCCACTTGCAAAGTTCAGTGTGGTTGCATGCCATACGCAAATACGAGTGGCAAGTCAAACATGTGAAGTCGAGACGGTGGGCGGAAAGAAAGACCTAGCGTGAAAAGAGGTTAGGCTTGGCGCTAGAGTGCCGAAAATAGCAACACATGTGGAAAAGCAGGGGTCAGATGCCGTTGCTCCGATACTACCTTCCATCACAAATGCATACTGTGGGCGTAGAATCGCCTGGCCGCTACTTCGCTCTAACAACGCCCATTGTGTATTTTTGAGCATCTCAGCAAGCCAGAAGGGCCACCTGTCTCTGTGCGCACACGGGGACGACCTGGAATAGAACGCCACGAAGCCAAAGACAATGCCATCAAGCCAACAGCAGTATCTGGAGTCCGCCGAGTGAGACCAGAGACACGGACAACCCGACGAGGATGGAGTCAATGTCTTCGGCAGTTACATGTGCATCGTGCACGATGCGCTGCTAGCCGAAGTTGAGTTATGTCGAGCGCGCAGCAATCCCAGCCCAACTGGACACTCAACTTCATGTAGAAGTGCCTCGTTGGAGCTCGACGCGAATGGCACCAGCTAATTCGTCTTCAAGCGGCCACCTTGTATGCTGAAGGTGACTGTATCCTCACTTTCCAACACAACAGGCGGTATTGTAGTATTGTACAGCTCATGCGGCACACGATCTTCCCCAGACCGCGCAAAGTCTTCGCAAGAACCAAGACACCACCACATTCCTCGAGGCTCGAGACGAACGCCGTATTGCCCGTCCGGTAGGCCTGAAATACGTGCTGAAAGATCGATACGCCTCTCCAGTGGCTTACCTGGCTCAAGAGTTAGTAGCTTCGCCAACTCTGGCCTGGGATCATGCTTCTCGGTGAGGCTGCAAACACCGGGTTGAGCTGCCGCGCGCACAATTTGTCCCGATGTTGTGTCGACAACCTCAAAGCTTGAGGCAGGCGCTTGGCTCTCTGGGTCGATTGCTCGTGGTCTCGAATCCGCTGTTGAATCTTCTTCAGGCTGAAATGGACCCCATGGCACGAGAAAGCGTTGTTGACCTCGCGTCTGGACAGTAATTGGCTGAGAACCAGTGTTCAACACCGATGTGTTCACAAACAGCTGCTGGGTCTCATCGTCATCTGCGCTTGTCTTCTGCTCCTCGCGGATGTTTATGCTTGTTCGAAGCCGTGGCGGTGCTGGCAATGTTGGGACAACAGTAAAACTTGCTTTGCCGGCTGAGCTTTTACTGTTGATCAACTTCGGCTTTTCACAGAATTCAATTGCTCCGAGATCAGTCGACTGCTGTTCATCGTACTGATATCGTTGCACTCCGAGGTCTGGACCGGCTAACTGAATGGTGTACCTTTGCCCAGCTTTGAAAAGAGCACCGAGTTCGCTTCCAGGATCGACAGGATACTGGAAAATCGCGAAAGCATTTCTCCAGTGCTGAGTTCGGCCCACTGGAGAGCTCAGCGTGATTTTGCTGCCCCCTTCGCTTCTCAAATGAGCCAAGCGACTTTTGTCGACCACGCCATCAAGACCTTCCTCCCTTCTACTCTCGTGGAGGGTCAGCAGCCCACTAGCGAGTGCATATGGAACATCCAGAGCGGACTCTGCAATGTCTATGATCAAAGATCGAGGATCTGTGTCGGCTGTCGAACGGCGACAAAGGCCAAAGACGATGCTGAAAGGCAGGGCTCCGGAGAGGTCGAAGACTTGATAGCGGCTGTGTATCGCTGTGTGGATCTTCAAGTCGGGCATTTTGGTGGATTCGTACAGAGACTGGCTCAACAGCGGATAAGTACTCTCAAGCTCGCTTACAAGGCACCTGCTTCACTTGATGAGTCATCTCATGGCCAAGTTCCTTCGGAGACTGAGGATCAAATCGCGCGTCCTGTTCACACACCGGAGTTGTTGGTATTTACGAGATGGATGGACATGCTTGTTACTTCAGTCGTTGCACAACGTTGTTCGACCTGCTTTCTCTGGCCTGCACAGCCCATATACGCCAAGCTGAACGTCATGTCTGCGTATGAGAAGGATCGGGACTCCATACCAACACAACTCCATGTAACAGTTCTTTCAGCGATGTTCTATCGAGCGAGCTCTGTCACCAGTGCGTTCTATAACGGTCGACTATCGATCTTCTCTTGGCATCACAGCCCCGCCACGCTTCGAGACGAAATGTATTGTCGTCCGAGAGGCACCACTGTTACGGTTCCGCATATTGCAAGACCTGCCGTCTCTCGAAACCCTCGCCCTCGTCCTAGCACTCCGCTCAGCTACTCAATATAGTCTCAAATCCTATACTGGCCCCGTTGTTGGATTAATCAATCACTATGGCAGTGCGAATCCGCGATGGGTCGGCAAGAACGCCATGCAAATGAGAGCAACTCGAAGATTATAAGACATGAAAGCATCACTGATGATGATGATACAATCACTGATGATGATGATACAATATTCTGAAGCATATCGCACCAGCCACAAAATCATCTATTTATTCGAAGATGGTGTCTTCATACCCCTTCATCCTCTCTGCAATCCTTGCGATTGCCAACGCAAAACCAGTGCCCAATGCACCGACCAAAGTAGCTCGACAGACAAGCGCTGAACCATCATCTTATCCTCTCGGAGGCGCCTGTGGCAACGAGTGGAAATACCTCAACTTCAATAAAGATGACGCAACAGACAAGTCACGTTTACAAAAACTCCACGATATCATTTGTGTCGGCGAAATGCGAGCCTTGTCAGCTTGGGGCGCTAACGCTGCTGGTCTGTAAACCCATGGAACAGCAATGCTTCAGATCACAGAGGACTGACGAGGTTCTAGGCAAGGGGAATGAAGTCTACAAAACATTCTTCCCTCTGAGTGATGATGAAGACGACACGCAAGCCAATGTCGAAGAGGTATTGAGAAAGATTTCGGGACAAAGCAGCGCAGAAGGCATGGTTGGGAAGATCGTGGGAAGTTTTGTTGTGGATAATAAAGGTAAGCATTCAGCAGGAGTATCCAAGTATTCACTGATGGTAGTCTCAACTAACAACCCTCCCCAACAGACTTCGGCGTCGACACAGGAAACACCTGCTCCAACGAAGGAACCCTAGCCTACACCGACATCGACCCCTCCGACAACCGCGAAAAAATCCACTTCTGCCCCATAGCCTACAACCGCGGAACAACAATCATCGACGTCTCCTGCTCCAAACTCGACAATTACGCCAGCACCAAAATGGATACTTTCTCCCGTATCGCTTTACATGAAATGTTACATTACAAAACCATGGGCGTGGATTCTGGTGTTGGAGCACAAATTGTGGATGTGAATAATGCTGATGGGGCCAGTGCTTATGATCCTGAACGCTGCTTTGGGTTGGTAGATGAGGATCAGGATGATAATCCGGGGGCTGCGGAGATTAATGCTGATAGTTATGCTTGGATGGCGTTGGATGCTTGGGTGAGTTACAATTGTATTGCGGAGGATAAGAAGGAGGAGTATGATGAGTTTTTTGAGCTTGAGCCGCCGGAGTATGGGGATTGAGTGAGAAAGGAGGACAGGCGTATATGGGTGTGGGCATGGGTGGTGAAGTTCGCTTTTGGCACTTGTTGGGGGCTGGCGTAGCTTTGCTGGCGTCTTGTGAAGGTTATGAATAGATTTTCATATTTGCAATGCTGGTTCTCGTGAGAACTTCTGGCCTCCAATTCTTGTCTTTGTATGTACATGTTCTCGTTACTCCATCAACGGGCGCTCTACAATTCGTAGTGCCCATCCGTCTTCGTTGGCTCGTAATACCACACGCCACCAGTAGCATTGGTGCACCCACTGCGGCTCGTCTGATCGACAGGCACGTATCGACGATCCTGCGGCCTACCATAAGTATGCATGTAGTACCAAACCTCACTTAACACCGTCCTGCCCGAATCCGTCGAGTTCTCCCTCCTGCCAGCTTCCGTCTCATTATACCTGGGGCCCGAGCACCCGACATACGGCACCGCACCATGTTCCGCAGCAAGTGCATTCTCGAAATCCACCTTGCTGTATCCCGTGCTATTACTCGGCAGAATGCTGTGCTTGGAAAGCCACTCCCACGTGGGATATTGCTTATAGTACCAAATCGTTGTCTCGAAGAAGTCTACGACCTCTTGGTGCTGAACGTATTGGGGTCCGTAGCAGGGGATATCGAAAGTCGAGTAGCATGTCGCGTGCTTGGAGAACTCGTGAGCCCAGAAGTCGGCGTTGGGACCGTAATTCGAGATCCAGTACTTTTCCATCCAGGCTGAGAGGTCGTATTTGCCGAAGGGCTCAAGGAAGGTGCCGATGTTGGGACCTGTGTAAGGTGAGACGACGGTGCCATTGGGAAGGCCGTTCGTGGTGTTTGGCGATGGGACGGGGTCGTATTGGCGATCTAAATCGCAGTACTGAGTATAGCTGCCATTACTTTGATGCGTGTCAGTTAATAGATGGGGAAGGCTCAGAAGGTTTGCAATACCAGAAGTCAGGCCACAAGCCGTGCAAGCTGCGGAGCAGTGTCAGTGACAGGTTCAATGCATGATCTCGAACGGCATAGTCCTTACGTCCATGTGTTCTGAGGAATTGGCTTATCGGCGTAGACGTTCCAGAATTGAGTTAGCAAGACCAGTCCGCCGAATGTCTCAACACAGCAGGTATCGACATTCTTCGTGTTCGCCGATGCAGAGCACGAGAGGTATGCAGGGTCGAGGACGCAGGTGTGGTTCTCGTTTGATATATTGTACAATGTGGAAGCACAAGCAGTGGTGACAGCAGCCGCAATGGCCACTAGTGATGTTGAACGCATTTCGAAAGATGATTCCAATGGCCGGGAAAAGAAACAGAGAAGTCGGAGTCGCCGCCTACCACTTATATGTTCAAGAGATGGATAGATCTACAGTATCGGCGAGCTGCGTGGTGCAGATGGCCCGCAAGATGGTTATAGTGCAGACCGCGTGGTGCATGTTCCCGCAGCGATAGGTGGATTTTCGGTAGGATGATGACGGTGAAGTTGCTGAAGGAAGACAAGCTGCCGGAGCAAAAGGCTGAAACGGGCTGCGCGATGCTTATCGCTCATTGGCTCCTTCCTGCGCAGCTAACTCCGCGCCGCTAACTAAAAGGGAGGCGGTATGCAACGGCCATTCTGGAAACCTCATTCGTCTTCCTCGTGCGTTCGCAACTCCTGCCATCATGGCTGTGCCGTTGCGTAGAAGACGACATATACTTGGACTCAGGTAAGTCTGCTGTCGCTGAACATGTCAGCTTCTGCATCTTTCGATCTCGGCAGCGCGCCTACGGTACGCCACTTTCGTAGACAAACTCTCTTCTCTGCAAAGAAGATACAACCAGGGACTTCCGCGAGCGCCCAGCGCGGTGTTTTTGCAGCATTATCCAGACCTACAGGTCGAGTTGTGAGGCAGGCAGGACGAGGATGGCACCGCAAGTCTTTTCCTTCATCGGCCAGGAAGATACCGAGAAGTTCAAGTCGCGAGGGACCAGACGAAAGATCAGAAGTCATATCGCCTCCACGCAGCATCGCAATAACCGTTTGGCAGCAGAAGGTCCGAAACAGGCAAAATTTAGGGCGAACTTGAGCATCTCCGATTTTCCACAAGCTGCTCCTGCGCGTTCAAAACGCGCAACTGCCCCAAAGAATGATCGTAAAGTGCGATCCCCGCAAATCAAGGCCACGCGGCGACACCAGCAACGCAAGAGGAATCCTTCATCTTCCACGCCCAGGAAGGGCTCGCGCGCGCCCGCCTCGCCGCATCGCGAACGCACGAAGAATGCCAGTAGCACGGATCGTACCATGTTCCTCATCAGGCAGTCAGATCTGACCAGCCAGGCCAATGCCGCCGCGCATCAAGTGCCTTTTGAGCCATGGTTCGATTGGCTGACTAGCTATTGGTACGAACGGACAATGCCACGAAGCACCAGTCTACTCAAGACCAATATGCAGCAAATTCAACTCTATACCACCTGGTCGAGGAGGATGGAGTTCTCAGAGCCTGCTTTGTACTATATGTCTCTATTGCTCGCGACCGGCATTCCGTGCGTATCTTGCCACCCCGGCTTACTCGGCGCCTGGGCTAACAGCGTTGACAGTGTTGCAAATGGAAGTTTTCCCTTGGTAAAGGCACTATGGCTGCGCGGCAAGACGATTCGAGCCATCAATGATGCATTGGATGACCCTCACCGAGCCACGAGCAACGCCTTAATCGTCGCAATGGGCCAATTAGCGTTGCACGAACACATCTACGGCGACAGAGCACTAGCCCACAGAGGACACCGTCGAGCGCAGCAGAAGTACGTTATGGCCTGCCTATGCTTGCTCAGTGGAAAGCACTAACATCACTCTTGCAGAATGATCCAGTTGCGCGGCGGAATTCTGAAGTGTAACTTACCCTACTTCACCCTGCAAGTCATGATCTGGTATGATAAACTCATGGCGGCCGAGGCAGGAAATGCAGCATATTTTGAATATCTGCCTGCATTGCTGCAAGAGGTTCATTCGTATAGCGACGCCGAGGCTATCAATGTTACCAACACCAGTTCGCCGGCTCGTTCTAAGCATCCTGGCTATGGTGTTCCAGACGAGAATGATGAGGGCGCGAAGATCGGGGAGCGGTTGGAGCGGCATTCGCCACCACCCGGGGAGCATGATTGAAAATCAGAACATACAGGTTATGCATCGGGATGTATAGAGCTGGTGAAAGACCACTACGAACACTGCTTAGATTCGATCTACGCTGTGGAACATCGCTGAAGCACCTGCTCAGTCATCACGCACTTGAGCAAACGCGAGAAAACCTTTTCTTGGCCCACCAGACTTGCGAACGATCCTTGCCGAGCATCATTAGACATGCTTCCTCGCAAGACCTCGTATCATGAGGAGTATGGCGTGGCAATTGGCAGTGCACGGGGAAAAGGTACGGGAAAAATGGCCCCGGTCATGAGTTTGCATTCTAGAGGATCTAATGGGCCTCAGACAACCTCATCGGAAACCGCAATCGTCCCATTCAGATCCATCACAACCGCTGCACCAAAGCCTCAAAAATCTCTAGCGGTACTTCACCAAACAAGTCAGCTTCTTATCCTATGCTCTGCGCGAACCCAAAGAGATTTGCTGCTCACCTTATGAAACCCAATATCCGCCGCCTTCTCACGAAACGCTTGACGAGACATATTCAAGCCATATTTGCGAATGACACCGGACTTTTTCTTGTCGCCAGTGACGCGGCTATCGCAAGCATGATCAGCATGTACTTCGTCGGGAGAAAGAGAAAGCGGGAAAGTCTTGGCATTTTCTGGTTGAAGTGAGGGAAGGATGTAGCTTACCAGCCACGAGAGCCTTTGCCGTAAGTGCGTGGACGCGAGTAGAAGACTGTGTCGTGGGACATTTTGATGTTCTTGATGGCTTGGGTCGATGCGGTGAGGAGGTGAGATGGGATTCGCTGGGGTCAAATTTGCAGTGTTGGTGGCCCATCAAGGTGGTGAGATGATGGACTGGACTTCAACGTCAGGTTTCATCTTGGCAGAAACGTGATGCTTTGACATGATCCATGATCAATGTACTGCGCTGGATAGTACAAGAATACGGTGCGCATTATGGAGTCGAAAGACCAAAGAAGTACGTCAATATTGCTACCGGTAAACCAAAATGCAGCACTACTCGTGTACATACCGCAACCCGCCCTCGCACCTTCTCTCATCGTCCCATCACGTCTCCTGCCCAAACGGCGTCGTAAACTGCGGCGCGGTAGTATTATCGCACGACCTCCTAACAATGTACGGCGAAGCTCTCGTATTCCTATCCCATGCAACCTGCCCATTCGGATCCGTGACATTGAACCCCCAATTCGCACCACCACCGCCTTGCGAGAACGCCACCCGCATTGCATAGTAGTCTCCCGCTACGAGGTCAAGTGTAAAAGGCTGAGCTGAGGCCAAATAAGCCGTCTGCCTATCAGCATTATTCCCAATCCAGCCTGTTCGAGCATTATTTCCGATCCATAACCATGCGCGATCATCGTTGGCTTCCCAAAAGAACGTGTAAGTGCCGGTCATGTAAGGAAAGAGATAGAACCGATGCATGATGGAGAATTCTACGCAGGAGAAGGACTGGGGGTTTCCGTAAACTGTTACGTTATCGCTTGGGTTGGGCCCGCAGAGTTGAGGGAAACCGCCTATGCCGTCGGTTATGCCGGATGTGTAGATGACTTCCCAGGTACCGCCTGCGGCTCTGGATTTCATGAATTCGGGTTGGAAGTTGCCGTTGTTTTGGTAGCCGGGGTTGTTGCGGAAGGCGGCGTATTCCACGCCTTGGTTGTTGCATGTGGTTGGGGCGGGGAGCTGGGAGACAGTCACCACGCCGGATGCTACTGTTGTCGTTTGGGTGACAGGCGGAGGTGTCGTTGTCTGGGTGAGCGTGGAGGTGATTGTGGGGATTGTGACTGTTTGAACTACAGTGACCGTTCCTGGATTTGCAGCGGCCGGGCTGGCTGATTGAGTAGTGGTTGTTGTGACATAGGTAGTGAGAGGTTGTGTCGTGACGACAGTTGTTGCTGCAGCCAAGTACGTTGTCACAGTCGTGGTTGAGGCTGGAGCAGTTACTTGATACGTTACTGTGATTGTCGTTACACCAACCGTGGTTGTAGAAGTGCTTGTCGCTAGTGATTGCTGGATTCCATTCGCAAGAGTTGTGGTGACCACATACTCAGGCAACCTGGCACAAGACGATGCAACGAAGAGCATAAGCCTCGTATTGAGACAGCCTACTGGCCTCGCAGCTGCGCGAAATACTGCATAGATGGTGCCGTCGTCCATTGAGCAGAATTGCGCTTGTCCTGAATCGAATGCAGCATTTCTCCAGATGACTTCTCCGGCAGCTCCAAGCCTGAAGGTCCGTGCGATGTTGCCTGGATTCAGTGTTGGAATGAATGGTTGCGCATCCACACTTGAGTTGGTTGTGTAAAAGTACTGCGTATTCCCTAGGAAGACGGATAGAGTGCCATTGCGGATCTGGTAGACAGGTGCGGTCCGACAATCATTCGTGACTGTGCCGTTACCATCGCTGTATGCCTGTCATGGTCAAGGCTGTATGTCAGAACACTGGAGAACATCCATGGCGACCAAGAGGTGCGAGACATACCGCATTTGTTTGACGTTTCCTTGTGCCTCCTGTCTGTACACTCATCCGATATGCCTCGTCGGCATCTAAAAGCTCTTGCTTGGACCGCTGAGCCCAGACCAATGAATCGCGCGATAGTTCAGTATTCTGACTGAGTGCCTTTGAAGATATATGCGCATCTCCAGTCGAATCAATGCCATGATCTGCGATTTCTCGTTCGCTCTTCGGCGAGCCTGTTATCGATGTCGGATTATCCGTTATAGGCTCATTGATATGGCTCCCACTCAATTGAGGTTCAAAGTCGCTATTCAGGGTGCTGGGCGAGCTGATCTGTTGGTGCGCGGCTGATTCGAGAGCATTCCGGCCAGCGTCCTGCCGTGCCGCTGTTGTAAGGTTGACTGTCGAGAGTGCAATGACGAGCAGGCCCTTGAGAAACATCTTTGCACAGGCTGTCTACCACTTGGACAGTCGCGATGCTTCAGGCGCGTCCCCCATACTCATAACTGCTGATCAGCAGGCGCGTCGAACATAGTCCGCGTTCACATTCCGTGCCAGCCGCCTGGGCTTCTCATCTGACCCATCGGTTCGCGGAGGTCAAACAAGCTTTGAAAGTGGATATGGAACGTGGAAGGTGTGGGAAGGGCATGGTTGCGAAGAGTTGGTCGCGTTCAACATGTAGCATCAAGCTCCTGTATGGCCTCCTCGAATTCTTAAAGAGTGGCCGCTTGGATGAAAGCTTGCAGAGGGAATTTGTTCTCGACTCTGCAAGGGATGCCATGAGGATGTGATACGCGCGGTCGTGACACAGCGCCGGATAAATGCGTCTATAACTTCACTGTTATTTTAGCGCAGTGATCATCCCATGACCGTTCGCAAGCCGTTTGGAACGGGAGGTTCGAGGCGCAAAGAAACCGCGCAGAAACGTCGCTCAAGGCGATGAAACTTTTTGCTTTTCGTGTCGCGTCGTATCTATCGTCTGATCATGTGGTAAACATCCTACATCTTCTTACCAGTTGGGATCTGGAAAGCAACGACCGGCTCGCCATGCTTGAAAGCCTTGTCAATGCGGAAGTAACCCTTGCGATCGAACTGTACGATATCGTCCTCTTTCAGCTCAGCAACATTGCAGTCTGCGAGGGCCTCAGTCTTGAACTCGGTCTCTGGGTTGAGAGACTTCTCGAAATCGTCCTCCTCCTCGAGCTTGTCCTTCTTGATGAGGTAGTCGAAGTCGTACATGACAAGAGGCACGAGCTCCTGGTCTGTTGAGAGCCAAGTGACTTTCTTGCTCGTCTTCTTGACATCGCCTTGAAGATGCAGCTCAAGCTCCAGCTCAGACACGGTCTTGTTCTCCTCAGACTTTACCAGATTGAGTGGATTCAGAGTGTACTTCTTCTTGCGCACGATGGCGTTGCCCCAGTTCATGAGGGTAATCTCCTCGTCCTCGGCAAACGACTGCGCATCGGCCTGGTCAAGAATGATAGTCTTGCTGAAGACGACCTTTTTGTTGCCCAAGTCAGCGTTCTTGGCGTGCACTGGCTTCTCCTCGGTGCGTGGAGCCTCTGGTGCACCAGTCACGGTGACTGTCACCTTGTCCTTGGACTCGACAGCAGTGTAGCGCTTTGCGATTGGGTCAATGTGCTTCTTGTTGGTCGCCCAGAAGGTGGTCCAGTCCATCATGTTGATGTTCTTCGATGGTCCCTGCTTCACAATGAACTCCTGCAGAGCCGGAATGGTCATACCGCGGCGACGGATACCGCGGACAGTAGGCATACGCGGATCATCCCAGCCCCAAACCTTGCCCTCATCGACGACTTTCGTAAGCTTGCGCTTCGACAAGAAGGTCTTGATGAAGTTCATGCGGGAGAAATTCCAGTTGTGCACGGGACGCAGCTTGAGGGCCTTGATGAACCACTGGTACTGCGCATCACGATCGTTGTACTCGGTGGTCCTCAAAGCGTGAGTAATGCCCTCGTCTGAGTCCACAATCGGGCAAGCAAAGTCGTAGGTTGGGTAGATCTTCCATGTGTTTCCTGTGCGGTGATGCGCCTCTGGATTGCAGCGGTAGATGACGGGGTCTCGCATGGCACCGTTGTTGCTAGACATGTCAATCTTTGCACGAACAGACCACTTGATGCCCTCATCTGTGCCAGCCTTCATCTCCTCGAAATGCTTCAGGTTCTCCTCGACTGAGTCATTGCGGTGAGCACTCTCAATCCTCTCCATGCGCTCCTTCTGCATCTGCTCTTGAGGAGTGTTATCCGTATAAGCCAAACCATCCTTGATAGCTTGCACGCATCGCTCGTAGAGATTTTGGAAGTAATCGCTCGTGTACGAGACCACGTCCGGCTCGATCCCAAGAAGCTCACAGTCCTTCAGAATAGAGTCTTGATACTCCTCCTTCTCTTTCGACGGGTTTGTGTCATCAAAACGCAGGATCAGCTTGCCTTTGTACTTCTTGTGGGCAAAGTAGTCGTTGAGCAGAGCAGCCTTAGCGTGTCCGATGTGTAGGTATCCTGAGGGCTCTGGCGGGAATCGTGTGACCACACCATTCTCCGTGTCAGGCAAGCCAATCTCATAGTTGGCGCCATCGTCCACCACCTTCTTCTCGGCCGGGCGAGTTGCCAGTTCGATGGCGGGGGCTGCTGTTTCCTCGATGAAGGTGAACCATCTGGTCAGGTTGACCATCAGGCCTTGTTTGATGTATGCATGAGCCACTCGGTTGCCTCGCAGCGTCTTCCATACCGTCGTGTCGGCGTCGGTGGCACTGTAGCCCACGATGTAGCTGCGGAGGGTGAGGTGGGCATCGAGTTCGGCGAGCGGCTTCTCGATCTGCTTGAGGTTGAGCGGCTCCAGGGCCTTGGCTCGCTCCTGCCACTCCTGAATCTGCGCTGTACGATCTGCCATGTTTGCTGGTGGATGTAGATGTGATCAGCGAGGAAGTTCATCAGTCAGTCACAAATGTTTGAGTCAATGCGGCTCAAAATGCCAAGCTTCGCGTTTGCCCCTCATCGCGTTCTCGTCACCACGACACGTCTCTCTCACCGCCGTACATCTACGTCCACGAAAGTCGCGAACACGGCGAGAGCAATATTCGTATGCAGCTCTCTGTGACTCCAGCAGGCCGGTCAGGCAACCACAACCACGAGGCTGGCACTGGCACCGGCTGAGATGCGACCCGACCATTTGGCAACGACTGCTCACGGCTCCCTCTGCACGACTCGTCTTTCACCACGATATCTCGTCACCGCCTACACGGACGACCTCCGACGCGATGCCATTGTGCAATGTCCCGTCCTGGTCCTGGTCGGATGTGGCACGGAGTCGCGTCCGCACGTTGTTGAGCCTCACGGCGCCACATGCGCCAACGACGTCGATTCCGTGCTGATCATCCTTCCAACAAATCTCTCCGCTGACTCGTCAAACAGACGCGAATAGAACAGAGATTCGTCCAATGGATGACGAAGCATTCCGCTTTACGATTGAATGTGCTCTGCCATTTAGTGTGCGCGCGGAGGCTACTGTTCTTCGCAGCACTAAAAACCACGCCGCACCGCGAGACAGAAGAGCAACGAATGCTATAACATCGCCATCATCGCAGGCCAATCCTAGCATCTGCCGGACTACGATTTGAGCGCGCGGCACTTCGCTCGTGTCTCCATACTTTAAGGCGGCTCCCGCTTTCGCCGCGCCCTCAACTCTGCACCGCAAACTGCAGATCCTCGATCTTTACACGATCTTCCATGTCAACCATAATTTCTCAAGCGGTGCTTCGCCAATCGCAGTCAGTCCGTCTGTCAGACTCTGTCGTGGTTCCGACACGTGCAAGCTGAGTTGGCACTCCACGTCTACTCACTTTGTCGCTGCATGAGATACTATGCACCATGGCCTCATACGAAGAACACCGCCCACCAGATTTGCGGCTCGTCCATGGCAAGATCTTCCGTGTCGTAGGTCAATGTCCAGACGGTGAACGCGATATTTGGCGATCCAATGCAATGAGTCTGTCGCTGTGACGTTTTTCTGACGACTGGGAACGGCACTCCTTTTATTTCTACTCGAATACCGTTGCATAGCTTGAAGGCTATACTTGTTCAAACCTCTGTGCTTCGATCGAAGTGGATATCGTGCATTCACGGGAGCGCACGACTTACCACAAGCGGATATTCCACAACGGCTGCCAGCACAACAATAGACGATCTTCTTCTTGCGACGACTTCACTCAAGTTAAGCGTGCGGCGACCAAGCTCTTCTCAGTTGCCAATCCGTTCTACCGGCGCTGGCGCGAATGCTGATTGCTGTTGCAGATATGCTGGGGGCGCGGCTTGAGGATCCGTCTGTTGTGGCATCACGATCTGGGATCTGATGCAGTAGATTGGTCATGTCATGGTCAAGGTATTTATGTCCGTCTGCACTCTCCAGAGACGAAGAGACGGCTCTTCACCTCGCTCTCATTTCTCCTCCTTGCTCTCACGCCTCCTTCGACTGTCAATATGAAGGCTTCTACACTGTTGGCTCTCCCGGCACTTGCCTTGGCTTATCCGGGTCTGGACAAGGAGACGGCTGCTGCTGACTTCGAAAAGCGTCAGTTGCGAGGACTCGTCACTGGACTGGTCGAAAGTGTCTCGGGCTATGCTGGTGCGATAGCTGCGCAGGTGAATCAGGACAACCTTCGCCCAGAGCCAGGATTCGAGTTCCAGGAGCCAGGACCAGACGATGCTCGCGGTCCTTGCCCAGGTCTGAACCTTCTCGCCAACTATGGCTATCTGCCAAGGTTAGTAGTATTGCTGTGATGGACCCATAGGGCTGGCACTGACACGGCTTCGCAGGGATGGCATCGTCACCATGGGTGAAGTCATCGAAGCAGTGCAACGTGGTTTCAACATGGGCATCTTGCTCAGCACCGTCTTGTCTGTCTTCGCCATTCTGACAGACGGTGACATCGAAACATTGTCATGGTCGATTGGTAGCTCACACAATGGAATTGGCGGCCTCAATCGACACTCGACAGTTGAGGCAGACATCTCGCCAAACAGGGAAGACTACTACAACGGCTGCGGAGACAACCACCACTTGAGCTCGCGCATTTTCAAGCAGAATGTCGAGTTCGTCGACCAGGATCCCAACAAGGAGTTCAGCTATGATGTTATGCGGAAACAGTAAGACTTGCCTGGCTCTGTCAAGAACACAACATGCTTACAGTCTTGCAGATACGAGGCCAACAGCAAATTCACGCAAACATACAATCCATGGATCTACTACTTCCCCTTCCCATCGATCGTCTCGGTTGTCGCGTTCAACTTTTACCCGGAGTACTTCGCAAACGGCACATATGGTGCTGGTGGTGTCGCAAACTACGAGTCTATCTCTAGCATCGTCGGTGCCAAATATGACGAGGAGACCGGCAACTTCGAATACGTCCCAGAGAGATGGCCAGAAAACTGGTACCGTCGCTCAACATCATACGATGCCGTCGAGGCTCTCGTTGATGGGTTCACACGCATCTACCCAGTCAACCCAGTCGCTATGCCAGTAGGACAGATTGGGACACCGAACCTCAACGCCAGCACTCTTCTCTGCAACGTGTACCAGGGACTCAACTCCATCGCACCTCTCGCACTCGCTGGTCAATCCCAAGCCGCTCAAGCAGGTGTCTCGAGCCTTCTGGGCAAGCTTGTCGACCTAGGTCTTGATGGCACCACCCTTGGTTGTCCAAAGGATACCATCTCGGCCAACTTCTTGTACCCAAATGCCACGACTGCTGGTGGCCCACTCGGCCCAAGCCTGGATCGGGTGTCCAACAATGGCAACAACGTCTACTACAAGACTTATCACACTGAGGCACCAAAGTATCCTAAGTGCTCGTACTTGAATGAGCCAGAGACGCCGGAGGAGCAGCCTGAAAATGAGCCTCCGACTGAGGGCGATTATCCTTCGCAGCCGTACGACAACTAGAGAGCTGTGGGAACCATTGACGAGAACAAAGAAAAGATACGAATTCAAGGATATAGATCACGACTATGAAATTGTAATTATCACCCCTAATGAACGAACAATGAAATCTTCACCCCAATGAACGATGCAGTTCCAGATGCGAGTGGTAACTTAGTGGAAGACAAAAGAATGGATGTCTTACGTAAGCCCAAAAGTTCTGGTCGCAACGTCAGGCAACCTCAGCTTTGTCCTACACCCTGTTCTCCTGCTCCCTTTCGCTTGTAGATATTTCCATCGCAGCTCTGAGAGCATCTATACCGCTTGATCCAATGCTTGTGGAAGCTCAAAGTCGCGCATCGGGTGCCTGCCACCGGAGACGGTGGATCCTAGTACGGAAATCACGTCCACAATGCCTTCAAGATCACACTTCACAACAATGACAAGACTTTGGCCAAAAGACTGTCTCTTCATATTTGAAAACATGCCTGTGGAAGACTCCACGTCAGGCGATGGCAGGAGACAGCGCTGAATGCTTGAGAGAAAGACGATTGTGATGCACACTTGTTGGCCAGCAGTGTTAGGGAGAAAGTACACGGATCTTGCCTCAGACTGCGGAATGCGATGCAGTTGTGCTTCTTTGTCAGGCTCATTAGCGGAGAGTCTTTGGGGTCCCCAGAGAGACAGAGCTCATGGCCTCATGCCTCGGACAGCTCGCTCTGGTGGGCTTCTGCGACTCATCCAGGCTAGGGAGCAGGGTATCGTCCAACCTTTCGGAGATAATAACGATCCGCAAATGTCTCCTACAGCCGACTATGGTGCTCTTGTGCGATATGGCTAGGCTAAGGAGCATAGCGAACCTTGCCTTTCGAAGAGACAGGGCCGTCATATCAAGCTTTCCAGGACACAGCTGCGCTGCACATTTCGAGCCTGTCTCGACAGGTGGGCACGGAAGTCTCTGTACCTTCGGAAGCAGGTGAACCTTCTGAAAGCCGAAACTGTGCCCCTCGAAAGGAAAAGAGCTCGAGTCCACTTTACTGAGCTGGCGCAATTACTGGCACACAAGGCTTAGGACACTTAAACTGAGAGGACTTTGAGACAGGCACGTTGATTTATGTTTTGAATGTCATTATGTCATAACGTTTCTAGCGTTCTGACGAGGTATGCTTATGCGATGTGCTAACCTCGTGCGCGCTGATGCTAGGAGAGCCTGCAACGTGCAGCAACTCGATCCAAGCCTTTCGTTGATTCGATCCGTTCCCAAAAGTACAAGAAGAAGTCGTAAAAGAGAGCCAGCGATCAAGAAGACAAGAAGAAAGCCTTCGATCGACATGACCTACCATGCTGGTTGCCTGCCCTGGTGTCTGCTTCGACTACCAGCGGCGATGCGGTCCAATCCGCTCACCTCTGCGCGAGCCCGGACAAATAGACGAATTGTGGCGAATGGTAGAAGGTCCACAGGGTAGTGGGGAAGGTGAGTGCAATACTGCTCCCAGGCTCGTGGAGCTTTGGACTCGGTCCGCCTACAGGCGTCTTTCGCTCTTCGGGATACGTCAACCTGTTTGGAACCTTGCGGTTGGGTCCGTCTCTAACGACATAGACATGCCCCTCGTACTTGAACTCTCCGCGGACATTGCTCATGTACACGGTAATGTGACGGTCGTCGTCGGCAGGATCTCGCTCCTTACGAGAAACCCTAGGATCGTACGCTGTCGTGCCAGTCTTGTCGACGGACCTTAAGTTTCGAGTCAGTCAGGAATCAGCTTAGCGGCACTGTAAGGCATACCTAATGTAGCACACAGTGTTGCCAGTGTACCAGCATGCGTGGCGGCACACCTTCTCAATAGCCTCGATCCTACCCGGAAACTTGGATTCCTTCGGTAGCACGCAGATGAACATGATCTATTGGCGTCCTGGTCAACGACCTTTGGCGCGCGAGCTCAGTTGCGTATCTTTCGAAGACGTACCAAGGGATCTTGGTGAGTCCCACTTCCAACTTCCTTCGGAGGGTTGCGGATCAATTCGGGATCAACTTTGATCGCCATGCTGATGGTCTAGTGTTTGGGGACTCGGATTGATGTGCGTTTGTACTGTTTCCCGTTCGAGTATGTCCTCGTATGCCCGGCAACGTCAATACCAGACTTGCTTGTGTCTAGCAATCGGTTGTTTGATGGGTGTCGAGTTGTTGTTGCTGGGTGTCGAGGGTCATGGTAGGTGGCATGAAGCATTGCCATTCTTATTGCCCCGGCACAGGTGTTCCTCAGGTGAATGATGGCACAGATCTTGTCACATGTTTACAGCCATATTCACCAGATTCACCAGGATTGATGTTCACTCGGCGTCCCACAAGCTGCGCATCTATAGTATAAGGCCTCGCTCGAGCTAGGAAAAAGACAGGTTTCCTTGTTCCACTATCGCCCTACACACAAACAGATACAACAATTGTATGCGTGGCGCACTTTGGCGAGCGAGCAAAATTTCTGGATTGGGCGAGGCAGGAGTGAAAGAGCCGGTGAAGTGTTTGGCCCGTGACTTCCTCGCTTCTCTAGCTTCTCTTACCATACAAGAGACCCTTTGTTCTCTCAACAAACCAACCACTCGAAGCAGACAACTGGCGCTCCTCGTACACACACCTCTACAAATCTTCGCACAATCTGAACACCTGTCATCGCCGACAATGTCCACTTCAAGCGCGCCAGGCGACCCTATGACGCCAATCTACCACACTCAGGAGGGCGACCCGCGCATCCTGGCTCAACTCATCATTGGTGGATTGGGTGAAGGCTGCGAGAGCTTGTACGACTACGAGAAGGGCGGTCATCATCCTGTCCATCTTGAAGATTTGCTTGGACCTCAGAACCGCTATCGAGTGATACACAAGCTGGGTAAAGGAGGATTCGCTAACGTTTGGCTGTGTCGCGACACTCAAGACGGGCCCTCGAGATACGTCGCACTGAAGATTCTGATGGCGGACTACTCTCAAGAAGACTGCCCGGAGCTTCGTGCTCTTGAGCTCAACAACTTGCTCAAGCATGACTCGAAGGGCAGACAACATGTCTGTCTGCCACTCGACAACTTTCGAATCGAAGGACCCAACGGCTCCCACCTCTGCTTTGTATATCCTGTATTGGGCCCGTGTGCCTCGAGCAGGCCAGCGAAATTTGAGTATTCGAAGTTCTCTTTGCGGCGCTTCGCGCTGCAGGCAACTCAGGCTGTCGCAGCTCTCCACGAAATTGGTCTCTGTCATGGAGGTGAGTAATCCGTAATTTCAAAAATTCGGGCACGCTAATATTTGCTAGATCTCAGCGCTTCGAACATTCTGCTCCGCACCATAAGATACAACGAGTTGTCGGAAGATGAGCTTATTGAGACTCTCGGCCAGCCTAGACGAGAGGAAGTCAGGACTATGGGCGGAGATCAACATCAGAATCCCAGCGCACCACAGTATCTTGTGTACCCCATCGACTCCACTGAGATGGAGAGCAAATTCTTGACCGGCGACGCATGCATCACTGACTTGGGCGAATCTTTCGAAGTACAAGAACCTCCAGAAAACCTGGGCATTCCAATATCATACCGTGCACCTGAACTGCTCTTGGGAGGCAAACCAGGGAGAGGCTGTGATCTATGGGCTTTGGGCTGCATACTTTTCGAGATTAGGATGGGCAGGCAGCTTTTCGGCACGTGGGACGACGACACCGGAGAGTATCTCCACACAGTCGCTATGACGTTGGGCAAGTATCCAGAACCGTTTTGGTCAAATTGGGAAGATCGAAGCGATACCTTGGAGGAAGAAGCCGACGAGCAAGGCAGAGTTGTTTTGACCGCAGAGGTACTGGGACGGATCGTCGGACACGATACTCACTCTGCAGATGGACTCGCTATTGAACCGCGCTCTTTGCTAGAGGCAATCGCGCCGGCCTTATTCTACGATGCGGCTTACAAGCCCCGCAATCCTCGCAAGCAGGCCAGCAAGATTTCTGACGAGGAAGCAAAGCTCTTCGCTGATCTACTTGAGAAGCTGTTGGCATATGAGCCAGAGAGACGTTTGTCGGCGCAGGAAGCCAGCGAGCATGAGTGGTTCAAGTTCAGCGACGAGGAGCAACAGGAGACCATCGTGGTGCCAGAGCAGACGAACGACCAGAGCATGGACATAGAACAACAGACAGGCGTAGATGAGCAGCCTGCCAGCGCTGAAGAACCAGAGCTGGAAGTCAAGGCCCAGGAGGCGAGCCCGGGAGGACGAATTACAAACCAGGCAGCACCAAGCCCGATGGAGATCGAACAGAAACCGAGCGAGATCGAGGAGGGCAGAAGACGGATGAGAAGACACAGCATCTGAGCGAAACGAGCAGAAGCTGAAATGGAGATCCAAAAATGAGCGAAGGAGAACATAAAACGGGCGGCGAAAAGTAAAACTTGCGCAAGGCCAATAGAACTACACCAAAAGTCATGTTTACACAAAGAATCAAAGCTTTCTGCACAAAATCCTTTCCAGCGACCTTCCGTCTACACATCCTCCTGTACAGTCCTCTGGCCATCTCACATATCCTTCGGCCCATCCAAATCCTGCCACTGCTCCTTCAGCAACGCCACGGTATGACTCGTCATCCAACCCATAGACTCCTCAACCTGATCCAAAAACTGTATCACACGTGTACGTTGCAATGGATTTTCAATGCAATATCCCCCGACTCGAAGGAGGTGCGCTGCTGTAAATCGCGCGTTCTCCACGAAAGGGTTGTGTTCGGCTAGACCGACTATGGCTGCGAGATGGAAGGTTACTTCTCTCTGCGAAAGGTCAGTATCATTGTATGATGGGATGCGATATGTGTGAGGAGATTGGGCTTACCTCTAATGCTCGTCTGCGTTTTGATGCATGGAAGCCAGAACTGGCTGGTTCAAGCTGGGGGCCGAAAAGCCGGAGAAATACTTGACATGCGTTGAAGTACTGTAGTGCGGCGACTGGAGTCTTTTGTCAGCCAACGCGATCTCAATGCAATGGAATAAGTCACTTACCCTGCGGAGGTGTTATGCAATGTATGATGGGAAATGGCCGATTCTGCGACGCATCCAGATCCTCGTAGTAAATAGGTTGGAACAGCCTCAGGCGTCGATCGTTCCACGCCTCGACGTCCTGAGCCATGCGTTTCCAAGCTGCGATATTGTTCTGCTCGCTTTCTGTATAGGTCAATCGCAAGATCTTTGCGAAAAGCAGAATAACGACATTCGCGCACGCGCCGTCATCTCGAAACGTAAAAACTGATGAAAGTTCAAAGTTTTCCAGGTTGAAGCTTGGTGGTTTGCTTCTCGTCATAGACACGTAAATGTCCTGTCTAAGCGATTGCCAGCACGCTGCTTCCCCGAGACCTCCTGAGATGGCGAAGGTAGGAATTGCACGCATCAGCCTGTCTGTCCCAGCCAAGTGGTGGGCTTGGTCATTCGTGAAGTTAATTTCTTCGTAGATCCGGAGGCAGACGACGCTGGCGAGCAGACTATCATCATACAACGCTTCCGGGCCTTGGAGCTGCTCTATCACGAACTTTAGACACTGTCCGTGGTAGAACGCTGCTTCGGCTGGCTCTTCGCTTTGCCCAGACATGATGCCTAGATGGCGGGAAGCCAGCGCTAGTATCGCATACAGCACCATGGGTCTGGACATGGCTTGGCGAGGTAATCCATGAGTGAAATGCATCTGTGCATCGCAGACATCAATCCATGGCCCAATTTTGTTAATGAAATGCTGAACCAAATAGGCCTCACGGCGAGATAGACTTGGCTGTGTCATCGTTCCTGGTGTGGCAAGACTTATGGGAGATGCGCCGCTGGCGTTACCAACAGGGTAAGCCGCGATTGTGGGAGTCGGAGTGACACCTGGGCCATCTTCGTGCCTCCTCTGGAGCTCTGCAATGGAAGAGGGCGAGGAGAAATCCAGAGGGTATGTCGCAGCTGTGGCAGATCGTGGCGTGCCGCTATCGCGGTAGCTTGAAAAGTCCTGGAGATGATCCCATGTCATCGAAAGCGGCGCAGTATTTGGGCGAGCTTCTTGGTTGCTGCTGCGGGCATCTCCTTCTGCTTGTGAAGCCAAGCCATATAGATTTGTTTGGCCATTTTGAGCTGGAGCAGAGCTGTCCTCGGATATGAGCAATCCTGTAATGGGCACTGCGCGTCCTGGCGATTCCCCTACAACAGGCGATGGCACATGTACTGCTGATGTAGCACTCTTTGCACTCTCGCCATCTGGTACGCCATATTCCAGGCCGTTCCCATCCTCGAGAATGAAGCTCACTATTGGCAGATCGTAAGCGGACATGCCCTTGAAAACTCTGCATGATACAACTCACATCTCTTCCTAGTATTCACCCAAACCTGCTCCTCACCAAAGTTCAGTTCCTGCCTCGCACGTACGCCATTGAAGCCAGAATCGACATGAGCGACCTGCTTAAAGCGGTACTTGGGCCCGAAATGGCACGCCCGATCGGATTCGAGGCAGCGCGTGCACGACTCACTGCCCTTCTCGACGACGCATTTGATGTGGCGCGTGCGACATTCTTCGCAACCCTTGCCGGGCCTCATGACAATTGCATGTCGGACATTGGTGCCTCGTCATGGTGATGCCGAAAAGGGCGCGGCCATAGCGCAAGAGGCGGCGAGGAATGCGGAGAGACAACGGATGGGGTTGAGCTCGGCGTTTGAAGGCGGGGTGTGGCTTTTCTGGGGTTGTCTTCGGCACAATTTGCCGATGAATACCGGAAGTGTACTCATTGAAATGCTCGGGAGGAAAACCGAGGTGTGAACAAGGGTGATATACTGGTGAAGTTCGTTGGACATTTTGAATTACTGATCCTGCTTTGATTCTTACGCTTCGGTGATTTGAATGCTCTATCCAAGCATTGCCTGAACCCATGGCTTCCACCACTGTTCAATCCCCTCGTCGTAGTTCCACCCATTCCACTCGTAATTGCCCAAGGCCCACGTGTCGGGCACACCCTGGCCTCCAGATCGGATTCGATACGACCCAGCAAGACTCCACACTGACCAGCTGATGTTGTTTGCAGTCGTGTAGTTTCGAATAAAGCCTTGCAAGGTATCGTTCAGAAGAGTTGCGTCCTGGGCATGACCGAACTCGCTCATGATGACGGGCGTCTGTCGAACTGCCTCTGGACAACCACCAATAGCCTCGCAAGCTGCTGGCTTGTCGATGCCCAGAGCATTGAACCCGTTGCGGTACAGTTGAGCTTCAGTAATGTTGCTGTTCGTAACGTCCAGATCTTCTGTCATGCTGTATATGTGCAGCTCGTAAAACACCTTATCGGCCCAAGGATGGTCGGCAAGACTGAATATAAGTGGCTCGTCAGCATAGCCGTCACGGATCGCATCACATTTGTAGCAAGGTGCCGTGCGGAGGTTGAGACCGCTGGTGACAGCTGAAAGATCTTGGTCGTATTGCATGCCACTCCAGCTGACCAAAATGTCGGGATTGACTGAGTGAATTGCATCGGTAGCAGCAGTGTTATTGCCAACGAGAGTGACCCAGTTATAGTCGTAGGTCTTTCCGCCATCTGTCATGTTGATCGCGCGTCTGAGCTCGTTACGAAGTGCCATGCTCACTACGTTCGAGTGGCCCTTCGCCCACTCTGCCACAAACTTCAGACCTCGATGCCAGTTGTCGACCGGGAAGTTGTAATCATCGAACCAAGCATTGCCATCCGTGTTGTTACAGCACCACTGTGCCTTGCCAACATGCACATCCGGATGTACATAGATTTCGCGGGCAGCTGCAGCCTTGGCAATGTCGTCCCAGATCTGGAAGCGTCCAGTGTCTTTCGTCCACCCTGGATTCTTCTCAACAATTTCTCTTGTCACCTTGGTGCCGTTCTCGTAGCCTAGGGCATTAATCATTGCAACCTCCAAAGGCACATCGCTCATGTTGCGAAGATACACCTGATCCACCTGCTCGATCGCGTAGGTGAGGCGAATGAAATTGAATCCCACAGAGTGGATCTGGTCAATGATGTCCTCAACAGAAGCCCACTCCAACCCTTCTGGCACCATTGTCTCGCCACTGCCAGGCCAATTGACACCAGCCCAGGTCACAGCTTCTCCTCTGGCGTTGACAACGTCGCGTCCGCTGGTCGAGAAAGGTCCGTACGGCCATGCCGCATCACTGATACCTTGCCTTGTGAAGAGCGATCCCGAGAAATCTGAGCCTGGCAGCGCGTAGGAGCTCGCCAAACTGGCCATCGTCGCCAGTCCTGCTGCCTTCATCCCCATCCGTGATTTGGCCATCTTGGATCGCTTTGCTTAGGGAGAATCGGGGTGAGCACATCCAACACCACATGGCGGCCACGAGCATTGAAGTACGGTGCCATTGCGGCTCCACATGATGACCCGCTCACGAGGGGAAGATCTTAGCACGGGTAAATTGCAGCTCTTCCACCAAAGAGAGGTTGGTCAAATAGACTTGGCAAGAGGCACACGTTGCCGAGGAGATCGGCTTTTGACAACTCGCTCCGCATCGCACCGAGATAGAATGTTGCGTCAGTCAAATTCAGATTCAATGTTGATTAATCAAATTGTGGCAAGACGACATGTCGAGAATAGCAATGGGAGATTTCAGTAGCAAACAGCAGTGGTGTGGTTACGACCCGGTGTGTGGGAGACTGGCGAGAACACAAACAGTGAGAGACAGATGGCAATTTGCATGCTACATGCTACTTTTTCCTTCAAATCTTTGGCTCATGCACACTCTGCTCGGGCTTGCCAACGTCGGCATCCCAACTCATGTTCTGTAGACCCTCTTTCTTCTCCTGTCGTCTTTGCAAAAGGAAGCAAATGATAGTCATGACCATCAGGAAAGTGCCCATGGCAATCATAGCGCAGCTGCCCTCGTACCAATTAGGTGCCTGCGTAGTATTGTAGAACAACAAGCTCCAGAACAGATATACAGCCACGCTGAACATGTTCATGCTCGCAATTACGACCGAGCGCTTCGCATCATCCTGTCGAGTAAGATCGTTGGCCCATGCGAAGAACACGGTTTGGCCAGCATATTGGCAGCCATTCATGATCAAAGCAACAAACTTGGAAGCTGTGCTCGGGGGCGAGAGCATGATGGCGCCAGATATAACTGCTGTGATGGAAAGAAAGACTCCTACGTGCCAGCGATTCTTGATATTGTAGTCGCTGTACCAGCCCAGTACGAGTGTTGCTACAATGCCGAGGCCAGAGACTGAAGTAGGGATATAATTGACTTGTGGCGTGGTATAAAATCCAGCATCGCCACTCTTGAGCCAAAGCTGCATGACGGCGTTGGTGGACCACATTTCGGTGTTGGATCCCGCGATCCACAAGAGGACAAATGCCCACCATTGCCACGAGAGAACCACTCGTCTAATCAAGGACCAGCCTAGAACGCCTCGCTGCTTCGCGACCTCTGGTAGCCGTTCTACAGCAAGAGTCCTCTCCTCGGGAGTGAGATACTTGGCTGTTGTGCTACCAGGCGTATCCGGGAAAAAGAGGAACCCGTAGATGGCCACTGGGAACGTGATGAGAAAGTCGATCACGAACAACCATCTCCATCCTGCCAGGCCCTTCACGCCGTCCAGGTTAGTGAAAATGGCGCCTTGCATGATGCCAGAAAACATTGTGCCGGCAAGTCCAGAGCTTGTGAAGATGGCAGTCCGCTTTCCAATCTCATCAGGCTTATACCAGCTGCCAAGAATCCATTGTACGCCAACGAAACAGGAAGCTTCGAAAAATCCTTGGAAGAATCTTATCACCATGATCTGCCAAGGGTGTTGGACAAAGCCTGTGCCCAGTGTGAGGAGTCCCCAGCAGAGGCATGTTGTCGGCAGCCAAATTCGAGGAGGGACTTTCTGCAGGATGAGGTTGTTGGGAATCTGGCCAAGAAGATATCCTCCATAGAAAATTGTGTTGATCTGATTCAATTGAGTTCCCTGGAAGTTGAGATCTTCTCTTGCGCCAGAGACGTAGGCATTGTTGAGATTTGCTCGGTCCAGGTAATTTACCCAGTACATGAGACATACGTATGATAGGATGAACCAGTCAATCTTGAAGAGAAGGCGCGATTCTGCTTTGGTCGCCGGAGGTTCGCCCCAGACGGCAACTCGGACTTTGTGTAGGGCGCCCATTTCGCAACGAGGTATGTTACTCGCGTCTCGTGGGAGATCTGGTTCCGTGTCGCGCAGAGGTCTTGTGTAGGTAAATACCACAACTCCAGAATCTGCTATCACGCCTATCGTCGGTGCCAAGTACGTGCGTGGCGACGCCTATCTCGGCCGGCGGATCAAGGTGGCAGCTCTCGTAGGGCGTCAGGTACGTGTCGCGTGCAAGATGCGAGTTTGGAAGCGGCGCAACAGCACATTTTGCGCTCCATACTGGCCCAGTGTGGTCATTCTTGTCGATCACCAGAGGGGTCGACGACAGCGAGCTCGGTTGCCGGAAGGTTGTCGGAGAAAAGATGAAGCGAGAAGCGAGGTGATATTCTTGGCAAAAGCGGCCATCTGTTGACTTCAACTTCCTTCTGTAGACAAACCATGCGACACCAAATTGCGCGACAGGCTGTTCAGGCCGCCATCAGCATAGATGCCTCAATTCAGTATATCGCATGCCAGTATGCCCAGCCATGGTGTGCCAACCGAGAACGAGGGAAGAAACCAATGGAACGAAGGTAACCACACGCTGAGCAATGGAAACTCCTGAAGACATGGAACTGCAGAGCAGCAAAGGTGCAACAGTCAAGCAGCACTTTGCAACGAAATGCACATTTTGCCATGCAGCAAAGTCTCCGTAACACATTACAAGATCGCTTACACCCCTGATCTGAGGCCGTCTGCTTAGCCGAGATCTCACGGTCTTGCGGAGGGTACCTCGTTCCGAGCACAAAGAGGACGAGTGAATAAATTCACTGCTCCATGCTTGGTCAAATTTACGTCGGAGAAGTCCTATGTCAGATGCAGCGATGGTCAGACAAAGATGAAAGTGGACCACTAACGACGCACCCAGCTGGCCGCGAATACCTTGAACCCTTACTACAGCTTCCATCTCTAACTCTGCAACCTGCCCACATACCGACCAGTTCATTCTCTGGCAGTCACGAGCGACTTTCTGCAAGAGCCACACCATCCAGCTTTCCTTGCGATTCGCGAAACGAGTCTTGCTCATGCTCCAGCTCACCAATTCAACGGGACATAGTCGTGTACTAGCCAGAGGCGAAGACTACTGATAGCGTGCAGTCGCTGCTTCGAGAAGCCACTTGAACGCGAAATCGCTCGAAAATCTATGGGATCAGTGATCGATGTCCGCGGTGCTGGAACCTAGCTGCGTCTAGTCTCTGCTGCCTTGCAGGTCGCGTCAGCAATGCTAGTGGATCTCCGTACTTCCAAGAATGTCGTCTACTTGCTGGTCAGACTTGGGCATCCGAGGACTTGAAGAGACCGAGTGCTTCTCGGGTTGCACGTGGATCGGGATTGCCAGATTTCGACATACGAGTCCGGCAGAGGTTCAGCCGTAGCGTCCGCGGCTTAGGTGTATGAGATGCCAACTTTTAGCTTGCATCCTGCCTGCACCTAGCTCACACACGCATGCTTCGAGCTGCATACTGCAGACTCGGAGCTGCAAGCGTGAAATTGTGCTAGCTCTGGTGTCAAAGTTCTGGTTGGGAACTACTTGACGTGCCGAGACGCCAGCTAAGTGCCGAGACACTTAATACCACACCAGGCGCATACCATAGGCGAGGGGCTTTTCTGGAGCTCTTGTCTGGCTGTTGATAGCCCATCTGCTGTTGGGAAGTGCTGCCGACGTCTGCGTGACTAGCGCTCGCTGTGCAGAAGGATTCTGTAGACTGTGGAGGCGTGCATAGCGCTGCGAGTCATCGGACACGACCTACCTGTCTCTCCACGATCAACTGCTTTAGCACATGGAGCCTCGAACATCACTTCATCTGGGACGTGCGGTCCTGAATTGGTGCAATCTCAGGCAGATCTTTGCATTTCAATCGCTTCAGATACTGTGCGCCTCACGAACCACGGGAGCAGAGAGAGACCCAAGGCAACATCAAATGTTCCGATGATGTCGTCGACGCCATAGCCTACGCCACTACAATCTCATGAAGGCTACAAGCTGCAGCTTACACTTCGTGGTCCGCAACGTGGACCGGCATTCTCCGTAAGAAGCGAATGACAACCACATGGCTTCAAGCTCTCTGCTTCATCACAAGCGCCACTTACACGAAGCTTGCTCGACTCTGGCAGATAGGCGCTGTACGAACCGCACCTTCGATGTTAAAAGGCATTTTTTCATCAAGTCTGCAGTAAGCAATCACTCACGAATGCAGTTAGCCAATATGTCCGTGGTCTTCGCTTTGCTCTACTGCAAGGCCTCTCGAGCAGCGTAAGACTCGTGCGGTCGCTCAGCCATCGTCAATCTATGTTCGAGCCTCTACGTAAAAAATCCCGCGGCCAATCATCTTGTCTTCCGTGGACATCGAAAACTTATCCTCCGAGCATTTCGAAACTATTCGGACACGATGAAGCCACGTGCGGGAGATAGTGAGGTCGCATTCGATGAAGCTTGAGAACACCTGCAAAAGCATTTCAGCTTCGATAGGGCATTGTGGTGCAGCACATCAACGAGCTCGACTGATACGAACCCGGATCTGGAAGTCACGCACACACAGGAAGTGCTCCACATTGCATCTCATATCACACCAACACTCCTAGTCTCAAGCAGCCAAGGAACGACTTCCTGCGACCAAGAACGACTTTGCTCTATCTGTCCACAAAAAACACCTCCATTGGTCTCAAAGACGAATCGTCTTCCGCAGAAGCGTGAAAAAGTTGATTGAATCAACGATGTCTGCTGCTCGAGCATGTACGATCTCTCGATCAACGCGATCCTGAGCGCAACGCTGCCGTGGACGCAGTAAATATAAATGTCCAGTTGTAGCCAGAGCAATAACGAGACCAGACCCAGAAGCCCATCAATCGTTGCAAACAATCGCTCAAAATCGCAATCTCTTCAGCCTACCATTTCAGAAATATCTCTTGCCCCTTCACTCAAGACAAAATGCAGATCTCGTTCATCATCGCTGCTCTCTTCTCAACTGTTCTGGCTCGTCCAGGCTTCAAACGTCAAAGCGGCGACAACAGCCCCTGTCAGCCAGGCGACGAACTCGCATGCTGTGCTTCCGAAAACGACAATATGGATACCCCAATCATGGGCACAGCCTGTGCACTAAACATCGGTTCGTCCCTTCGTACTCAAACTCACACTGCCACGTTAGCCAAGGCTAACACACGTCCTTAGCCGGCAAGAACTGCGGCGACGGAGTTTACCAATGCTGCAACGTCCATCAAAACGTACGTCAATCGTGACTAAACCTTCAATGACTACATAAATCCAGCCAAGGCAACAACAAAATACAAAAGGGGCAAGCTGACATTGTGACTGTTAGGGCACAATCAACGTGAATGTCGCCTGCCTTGCATTGCAATTGTGAGTGGGCAAAATTCCCAGCACAGAAGCGGGTGGGTGCCGTCCCAATTAACAATCAACATCCCACTTTTGCATTGCGTCGCCTTTTGCCTACCAAGCTGTTGGGAACACGTCAGCTGACACCCGAGGCTGATAGTTGCACAGTAAGGGTAACCCCGTTGCGGTCCTGAATCTCACGCGAGAAAGGGAAGAGGGGACTTTGTTTAAGCTTTGAAGGGTCCTCAGTACCGCAGTCCATGTCGCAGACATACAGCTACATATGCATAAAATTTCACTGCGATTAATTCAATTCTATGCACCATGAGTTTGTTTGATCGGCACACACGCGAGATGATGTTGTTTTTGCTCCGAGAAGTCTTTAGGCCAGCTACACTACTGTCTCACTCATCTATCTCTCTCTCTCTCTCTGGTGCTCTGCCTACGAAGACTGTCGATACTGTCGATGCCGCAGCTTCCGGAGGCGCATGTATATAACAATGACAAATGCTAATTCCCTTGAACGCCACTGATGCAAATGCAAATGCAACCCCATGCCATCTATGTACAACCAAACAACATCTGACGTGGAGGTCAGATGCTCGCGCGAACAGGTAAAGTCAGACTTAGACGTTGATGTCGTGGTCCCAAACGCTGTTCACTGGGCGGTCGCCGAAAGTGCTAGCCCTCAAGAGGCTCTCGGTCTGGTCGTCAGAAAGCCAGATGATTTCAGGCGAGATGAACCAGCGGATCCCCTCAGAGCAAGGAGGAGTGGTAAGAGAGCCCTTGTAGGTCCAGAACTTCTTGTAGTCCTTGGCCTCCTTGACAAGAAGGTTCAAGTCCAACTCGACACCCTCAAGAGTGTTGTTGCTGAAGATATCAGGAAGCTCGAGTGGCTCAAGTTGTCTGTAGAAAGCCGAGCCGGTGGCATCGATAGCTGGGCCAGTGAAGTTGAAGTTGTAGTCATCGTACTTGCTCTTGCGATCGAAGAAGAAACCGATGACAGAGCGAGGAACGCCGGCGTCGTCGTAGTGCACGAAGTGAATTTCGCCTTTTGGTCGGTAGCCGTCGATAGTGTGTTCGGCCGCAGTGTGCACGTGCCATTGTCGGAAGTAAGCAATCTCTGGATCGCCGTCATGGTCGAACTCGATGTAAGCAGCGGTCTTGTTGTCGTCATCGACTTCGACTGAGAACTGCGGACCAAAGTCCCAGTTGTCAATCTTGCCAGTCAGGTTCTTGGGGTAGTGGAAAGTGGGTGGCTCCTGGGTGTAGTAGCCCCATTTGCTTCGAAGATTGATGGGCGATTGTCGTCTGCCAGAGTAGCAAGTGCTCCACTCTAAATAAAAGGAGTGAGTGGTTGCGAGGCTGAGGTCATCGCCTATGCAACGTACCTGGGTTGAGTTGATTCCATGCCTCAGCGAGCTCGAAACTCCATGTTCTGGCTCCTGGCTCTGCGCGTTTGGCGAGGTGTGCTCCGCGCCATCCATCGCGCTTGAGGAGTTCTGGTGCACATGCAGAGGCGAGTGCAGTAAGGGCCGCAAGCCCAAGAAATTGATGAGCAATCATGTTGGCAGAGGGTTGATGCGAGCTCGAGGCTGTGGAATAGAAAAGAAGTCGTCTTGTGCTCTAGATCAGAAAACAACGATGCGCGAGTGCTTCACTTATACTTTGAACCGAATCGCCGTGACAGTATTCATGCGACAACGCCGATGCTGCGTACGCGTTTGCCATGCAGTCCGCTCGTAGCCAAGCAGTGCTACGATAGAAAGGCGGACATCAAAATGCCACTGGCGGCCAGGGGTAATCGACCAGGTTTTCTCGCGGCGATGCTTGGAAATCCCTTCGGAAATGTGTGCATCAGTTCTGCACAGCGATGTCCGGTCAGTGGCATCACAGCCTCAATCAACGACAACATTCTTGCACTCGAAGGCCGTAGGACGGGTCCGTCTTATGGCCATCTCTATTGTCAGCCTCGTGTTGGTCATCAAAGTATATTTCTTTGGCCTAGGTCTGCACAGTTCGCAGTGTTTGGAGGCCAGCTGCACGTGGCTACCATGCGGCCCGACCACAGCTTGCCAACACTACCAGCCGCGAACGGGCTTCTTACCGAGCGCGCCAGCACCCTGGATGATCACAAGTCATGGAACATAGCCAATGCTGGGATGTTTGAGCTTGAGCACGCGATTTTACCGGGATAATGGCAGCTTAGGGGCTACTCTAGGTCGACTCCATCTCCAATCGGACTGTGCGATTTATGCAAGTTCCAGAACTTACTCACAACACGTGCCTTCGGTATACAGCGCCGAGATGCAAGATTGCCGAGCTGCACTGCGATTGCAGGACGAAGCGCCTAAGGACCATGTCGCGATGCCCGCTTCTGGTGTAGATGAAGCGCGACAGCTCGTATCGTTGAAGCTGAGCCTTTTCCACCATACCACTGTGAGTTGCCGTGCTCTTGTGTATCTTAGGCTCTTAGCGCGCTATACCGAAGATTTCGCTGCGCCGACTCCAAGAGATTCAGATAGCGCGGTATACCTCTGGCCAAGAACCATAGTGTCATTGATTGAAGCACGCGGCCGAAAGGAAGTCCGGGCATGCACCGGCAAGGCAACAGCATAGACATTGAATGTGTGAAGAGATTGTGTTAGAGTGCTTGGCTTTGGCGGCATGCATTTGTGGATTGAAACAAGGCGTCTAAAGAAACGCAGAGGCCGTCTCGAGCCAGGGATTCCACAGCACTGAAATAACCGCGAACCCACTTCTTTGAGGAGCGATTAGCAGCAGAGAGAGCCGTGGTGCCAGCCCGCCAGATCTGATTATGAGTAGCGAATCATGTAGGGCAGAGTAGCACGCCTTTGGGGTATCCTGTTGTCGCAAGTCTCCGGCGTGGGACTAGGACAAGGACACGTGCTTATCACCCCTCAAGAAATTTTGAGATGCATGGCAGGGTCGCAGATGCTCTTGTTATGCACGAGCGGAATTGGCAGCATAATTGGCCAGAAGGTTCCATGTTATACTGGCGTCGCTACGGCCATCGTAAACCTCGTGACGCCGCGGTCTAAGCTCTTTCTAGCGGTGCTCCGATGGATGCACTGAATTGATTCGCGAAGGCGTATTTCGTTTGCTGATCGAACCTGCAAGAATGTGTTGGGCAGCCGCTGTCATTTTCATCATTCGTGCTTCTCGGAAGCACTGAAGCAATTTTGTGCAGGCTCGTGAACAGAGTCAAGACAGTGGATTACTGATATGATGTATGCTCGGGGTTCTTTCCGGATATTGGCGTTTCCATATGTCCGAAGCATTCTGATACAGTCGCTCCCTCGAAATTGTTAGTGTGCTGACCGGGGCGCCCATTCCGGCGAGACGACCGCTCCGAAGCAATCTTGGCAGAGGTTGACTGCCTAAATAACCTTTGCCGAAGCAAATGTCCGCAGGCGATATCGGTATTTGGTAGTGCCATGTGAAATCGACGGCAGCAGACAAGAATACGACGAGTCCGAGCTGTGTGTGGGTGAATATTCCTCATGATAGGGAGGCTGTGCTGTGCTCATCCAGTGTCATGACTCGCCCGTCCGTACGAGTGCAGAGTCGTCAGCAGCTCGTACTGCTTCTTGTCTTCCGACGCAGCCGAAGTTGCACGTTTCGGCCAGCGTTGCGCGCCTGGACAGCGGCGGCTAACGACTCGGGTTTCCGATGTCACTCCTCGCCCGACTATCCTTGTGCCATGTGGCCTGGCACTTCATGTCGTGCACGAAGGCGCAGGGGAGTCAGTTCGCAAACTGCGTGTTGCCTGGTGTGTCTTGCGGTCTCGAGGCGTGTCGCAATGGCGTTCTAGGCGCGTGCGGTGTCGGGCCGGGCGTCAGGATGACAGCCGCAGGGGCTGCGAACAGGCTGCTTCTGATCGTCGTCGAGGGTGGCAGCGGCGAAGCGGTCGTGACCTGCGGTGCGGAATTCACACGTGAAAGAGGACGCTGGACGAAGAAGACGTGAGGTCGTGCAAATCGTCCCCGCTCCTGTGCTCCTTCGTGTGGTGGAGACTCTGGAGGTGGAGGGCGCCAAGCCTCGGTTGACGGAAAAGCGGCAACTCCACCTCTGGCAAGTGCTCTGCACAGCTGTCGACAGCTTCGTGAACAGACAACCAGATCACCATTGTACTTCCACAGCACCAACCGTGGCCTGCACTACGCACATACTGTACCCCTAGTGATGCTCCTCGTCAGAATTTCTGGTTGCTTGGCGACCAACTCTTGGCACAACAGCGCTGGCTACGGCGGAGGCGCAGTATTTTTCCTGGCTCCTATTCTGGTCTGAATCATGGTTCTGAGAGCGTATCCCGGCTGATCGATTTCCACGGACGACAGTAAGCCAGACTCTCGCAGCATAATCGCCAATTCTGCCGCCGTGATATCTGCACACAGCCTCAGAGATTGCGTGCGGCAAGCAGACGAATTCGTCCCGCAAATCACTAACAGAAGGGCGCGAGTGAAGCCGTCATGCGACAAGTTATCACAACATCATCCATCGTGGCGTTGGTGGCTCATCTATGTGTCTGCAACGTGGCTGGCCCGAGAATGCCAATGTCAAAGAAGACCTGTTTTTGCAAGCTTGTCATTGCTTGACGCCCTCGGCACGAATCTTATCTCGGCGGACTAGCCTGAACTGGAAGGTGCCATTGTGCGAGCCGTTCAAAATGCGTGTCGGGTGGACATGCGACACCTCTGCATTGGCCATCGAGCTCAGACGGACGTATCAGCGCTCGCCGTTATCTACTACACTTCTGCGCTAGTTCCTGCACAGGCGAGCCCCTCCCCAGCTGTTCGTCTTGAACGACCATGTGGCGTGAAGTACATGCTCTGCAGGAACGCCATGGACGGATCTCGTGTCGTTCTCAGCACTAGAGCTTTTCTCAGGCCTACCAATGTACCGATAGCGGCAATGCCGCTCGTGCCGCTCACAAGTATATGTTGGACCAGCGCCGCCCGATGGGCGCACAGCTACGTTGCTTGCATCATTTTGTCTCCCTCGAGCCTTGGGCATAGCAGCAAAAGCCGGCCATTATGGCGAGCTCTTCCAAGAACCCACTCAAGAGGCTTGGCTTCAAGAGAACGAACACTAACGATGGATCAATTCAAGGCGTCGAAGTGAACGGCAAAACTGGAGCCAGCACAGAAATGACCGATCTTGGCACGGGCGAGCCTGTTGTGTCCAAGATCGCAGCTGAGTACGCCGGCGATGTCAAGCACGACCACTCAGACGCAGTCAGGAATATGTCTGAGGTGGAGGCAAATCGGACTCTGAGATCGTTTGCCGCCGAGCATAGCTTCGACCCTAATTTGCCTGATACCGCATTCGAGGCCATCAAGGATGTCACGCGAGCCCACGATCAGAAAGGCGAAGCAGTTCTGGTTGACGAGTTCGTCAATGACTCGCCATATCCCGAGGTATGATTGCGAGTGTACTAGACCAGGAATCTGCCACTGACCTGCTTAAATAGGTCCGCGCTGTTGTCCGCAACTACGACGAGGACCTCCCCACTTCCACCATTCGCGCCTGGACCATCGGCATGCTGTTGACCACAGTTGTCTCAGGTGTCAATGGCCTCTTCTACCTGCGGTATCCCATCATCAACATCACACCATATGTTGTCCAGCTGGTTGCATATCCTCTAGGTGTGGCCTGGGCGAAATTCATGCCTGAGTTTGAGTTCGCGCTATTCGGCCTAAAAGCAAATCTGAATCCTGGACCATTCAATACCAAAGAGCATGTTATAATTGTGGCAATGGCAAATGCTGCTTTCGGAGGTGGTACTGGCTACTTCGTGGATACAATTGTTTCCCTTCAGAAGTTCTACAACATCAACAGCTTCGACTGGGGCTACAAGATCTTGTTCGCCCTGTCCACACAGTGTCTTGGATTCTCTCTCGCTGGTACAGTGCGTCGATGGCTGGTAGAGCCGGCTTCCATGATCTGGCCCGCAGCCTTGGTCAACGTTGCGTTTATGTACGCACTGCACGACAAGACTCCTTCTGACCCTTCGCAAACGAATGGATGGTCCATCTCTCGGTACCGGTGGTTCCTGTACATCATGATCGCGATGTTTGTCTGGTCTTGGTTTCCAGATTTTATCATGCCTGCTCTGTCCTATTTCGCATGGGTAACGTGGATCAAGCCTAACAATGTGATCGTCAACCAGCTGTTTGGCCAGACAACCGGCATCTCGCTCGGCTTCCCGTTCACTGGGTTCACGCTCGACTGGGCTCAAATCAACGGCTTCTACGGCAGCCCTCTCATTGCGCCTTGGCATGCCATCGGTAACACGTTGGTTGGCATCATATTCCTCCTATGGATTATTACCCCAGCGATTCATTATACGGGTGCCTGGTACGCTGACTATCTCCCAATCAGCCAAAACGGAATTACGGACAACACGGGAGCGACTTACAATATCTCGCGAATTCTCACTCCTGAGCACATCGTGGACCCAGCATCTTATGAAAAGTACTCGCCGCTCTTCTTGTCCACATCCTTTGCGCTAGCATATGGAACTAGCTTTGCCATTATCGCGGCACTGATCAGCCACACATATCTGTTCCACGGCAAAGACATCTGGCGCCGATGGAAGGCATCCAGAGGCGAGCTTGACGATGTCCACATGAAGATCATGAGAAACTACAAGACTGTACCTACCTGGTGGTACATCATTCTCGGTCTGATCATGATCGGCTTCGCGTTCGCGTCTGCCAATGCGTATCCAACTGGCATGCATGCGTCCTCTGTGGTGCTCGCTCTCGTCATTGCCGTGGTCTGGACGATTCCAATCGGAATCATTCAAGCCATGACCAATATCCAACTTGGGTTGAACGTGTTCACTGAGTTCATCATTGGCTATCTCCAGCCAGGCCACCCAATTGCCATGATGATGTTCAAGACATTCGGCTATATCACCATGACCCAAGCTCTCTACTTCACCCAAGATCTGAAACTCGGCCACTACATGCATGTGCCTCAGCGATCTCTCTTCACAGCTCAGCTAGTCGCCACTGTATGGTCATGCTTCTGTCAATTGGGCACGGTCGAGTGGGCTTTGGGTGCGATCTCCAACATCTGTACCGAGGAAGCCGCCAACTACTTCACTTGTGGCTACATCAAGACCTTCTACAACGCCTCGGTAATCTGGGGTGCAGTCGGTCCCAAGCACTTATTCTCCAGTGGCGCCATCTACCAGGACCTGCAATACTTCTGGATTATCGGATTCTTCCTGCCATTCATCGTCTACGGACTCGCACGTGCCTTCCCGAAGACATCGATTTTCAGAAAGCTGAACATCCCACTCGTCTTCTCTTCCATGGGATATGTTCCACCATACAGCGCCATGAATATTGTAAGTCCTCCGCTCATCTCATTTCCTCAGCGCATCATACTAACTTTTCTGCTTAGCTCGCTTACTGTTCCGTGGGCTGGATCTTCAACAAATATATTCGCGACCGTGCTCGAGGCTGGTGGATGAACTACAATTATGTCACATCAGCCGCCATGGATGTCGGATTGGCGATTTGCGCCATCGTCATCTTCTTCTGTGTCCAGCTTCCAGGCGGAAGTATGGCCCCATGGTGGGGAACGAATGTCATCAACACATTCGACTACAATGGGACGGCTGTCCAGAAGACTGTCAGCGGCGATGAGAAGTTTGGGCCTGCGGTGTGGAAGTGGTAGATAGTACACGATTCATGAAAATTCAATGGATTATGACTTTCTCGATTGGTACCGAGTACAGTTGCAGTCCTTCGAGGGTGCATATAAAACATCATGAGGGTGAATGCAAGCCGTAGTGGTGATGCTTCTGCGTGAAATGTCTGAGCGAGCCGCTCGTCCTCGTTCGTCGCCTTGGTACTCCGCTCGAGCTGCACAAGGCGTGGGAGCTAGAGCGTCCTCTCCGCAGACGCACAAATCTCGCAAGCCGAGCGTTCAAAGATTGACGCCGCGCCGGATTCATCCTGCGGTGATAACGCAATATGGACGTGAATGAGCACTGAGAGCTGTTCCGCGCTGGTACTCATCGCAAATCAACAAATTTTCTCATGCTTGACAGCACCAATGATCGCGGTATGCTTTGGTGGAAACAGCAGTGCAAGTGTAAAGCTTAGTTGTTTTAACAGAGTGGTTCTTCGTGTAATGGCGGATGTTCATGTTGCTTTAAATCAAGTCACTTCGAGTGACTCTGTCCCGAATCTGGAATCATGAAATTAAGTTCATCGCCTATCTCGCCTGACGTTCTCTGAACATGTACTGCGCTGTAGCGAACAATATCACATTCTAGCCAGAGATAAAGTGGCGAAGCTGATGGCTCGTATACAAATTTCCGGGGACGCTGCTTCTAGATCGCGAATGCTGGTGTGAGCCAGCAGGTGTCGATGAGTGCTTATGGGCTCGGAGCATCCTAGTCGAGAGTATCGACATGGCTTTGCTCTGCTCTCGACTTCTCGTGGTTTCAGCGCCGCTTTGGAAGAACATCAACCGGATTTGAGACGCGAGAGCAAGGACCGTCGGATAGTCTTGCTTTGGAGGCGATAAGTCCATTTTTCCAATTCGATGCATTCTCCTCCTTTTGTATATTGCTCATCTAGCGAGGTTCTGGCGACTTGATGGCTTGGAATCACCCAGCTGCCGCTTCTGAGTCAGAGATTCAGTGCGAGTGTCATACCAGCTTGTATCAATATTGTACGTTCGCCAGCGATGCGGGCTTTGCTTCGAATGGCACTCAAGTTTCTCCGACGCAAGTCGTGTTTGAATGCGATCTTTTGAAGACGCAGTTGCACTGATGTGCAAGACTACAAGACCTTGTCTATTTCCCGCAGGCAGGAAGAAGAGCTCAAATCGCAGTCACAATCCCTAAAGTGTGCTCCTGGAAAGCGTACTTGCCCAAAGTGGAAAGAGCAACGGTACGGCTTCCGTAGCATCGCCCACCAAACGAACGTCTCCGAATGTGCACCACTAGCAACACTCGAATGACATCTCAAAGCACCAAAATACAATGTTCACGAGTCATCAACGAACCAAAACCTAACGCTCCCATGACGACGTTCAAGAAAAGATCAACAGGGGCCGGAGAAGCGGCCGAGAAAGTTAAGATCTCATCAAGTCCAAGAAACTCACGCTCAGACAACAATGACACCTGTGGCACTGTGGCAGAAATTCCAGAAGATCCTTTCTCGAAAGTGCCGAAGCGACAGTGAACCCAAAAACATTCACGCAAAACATCACTTTTCTTACTCTCTACGCGATGCGCAGAAACTTGCAAGCAACGCCGCACACCTGCGCGCGTGTGTAAAGTGCGGGTGCGGCCACTCGTCGGAAGCCCCGTCGCAGCTCCGCAATGTGTTCAATTCCAACCATCTGCAGCGAAGCAGTAAGCGCCCGCCAGGGCTGCAGCTGCACAAGCGATCGACTTCGCAGGGCGGCACGCTGCGAAGCTGCGTTAGACCTCATGTTGCAGCTCCACAAAGCTGAGAGAATATAGAATGGTTTTACCATGCTAATGTTGTCGAGAGGCACAGCCAGCGCGTAGAAGAGCGAGGTCTCCGCAGAAAGCGTTTGCGAGAGTGGTATATGTAGTGGTGCAGAATGCACGACAGGTGAGGTAGGTGAAACCACCATTGGTTCTGTTTGCATTTTATTTTGCCAATCATGTTGTCGATTTTGTTCCTGCTGTGTGCGGCGGTGCTGGAGGGTGTTCGTGCTCAGGTGGAGGCTAAGCCGAAGAGTACTGTGAGGGTACAAATCACACAAAGAATCCAACTCACGAAGACGATATTTCCTTCTGGCGTCTCTGCAGGCGTGCAAGATACAACAACTGCTACACCTGCGGTTGCAGGCGGCGTGCAATTCACCGTCGGTGCTGGAAATGATGCCGTTCCAACAACCACGTCTGACGAGCCGAGGGTCATACTTATGGGAAGCATTACCTTGACGGAGGGCGGCCCAGCTCAGACCAATGCCGGTCAAGTGTACAGCATCGATGCATGCACAATTTACGCGGGCACCGCGAGGGACAATATCTGCGACAGCAACGGGCGTCCGACGACTGAGAGCTGGACGACATCGAGTGCATACCCAGGTATCACCTCAGATCCTGCAACGCCAACGACCACATCATGGACCTTCACAATTGGCACTCAAGCGTATACCATGGTCAGGGATCCAAATGTACCCATCGCAACCATTGGAACAGCGGTAGTGTCCTTAGAAGGGCCGAGGGTGAGCCTGAAAGGCGGCCACGCACTGATGGCAAGCGACGGGTTGGTCCACGTCTGGGTAGCGAATTGGACGACATCGAGCACGACCAGAACAACGACAAGCACGCTGCGGACGAGGTTGCCGTGGACGAGGAGCAGTACAACCGCGGCATCAACGGACGATGCCCTGGTCTCAGCCACGCAATCTGCCAGTAGTGATGAATCAGCTGCCTCCTCAGTTCGAAATCACACTGCGGTTACTGTATTGGGTTGGACAGTGGTAGCTTTGATTGCCAGCCTTCTGCTTCGCACGTGATGGAGGCTGCGGTCATGCCCGAACTCTATGTCGAGCTTCACGTCTGACATAGAGTTGCAGACCCCGTGCTGATGTGTGGGGTGTAATGTATCTTGCTCGGTGGCGGTCGCAGCATAATTGCTTCATGCAAAGTCAGTACCCAATCATTGGAGCAAAAGGCTGCTTCTCTCAGATAGATCAATTCATGTACGTCGCTCATGAACAAGCAAACTGGAGAAGCCTGTGGCGATGGAGCTTGGCAGGAGACTTTCTCTATGCCGTCTGGCAACGCCCACTTCTCAACGCATCGCGCTCCAGCCTCCAGGCAGTCGATTTCTGGAACTTCATCGGGCCCTTCTGAATACTGCAATGCCGTGCGCGACACGTGTCTTAGTCGAGATCAGGGCCACGCAATGCCGCTGTCTGTGTGCTGGTTTTCGAACGACCTAGGTCACGGCAAACACCGCAGTAATGATCACCAACAGCGGTATGTCGGCTGCAGCACCGGCCTCGCACGACAGAATCGTCTACGCGGTGTAGCTGTTGACGAGAACTCGAATCTGCACGTCTGCGCTTTTGCGGTGCGTCGGCTCCCGCATGAGAAAAGCGTTGGAAATCGACACAGCCTTCCTGAAGACTGCCGTGCTCTGTACGATACGATCTCCGCAGTTCTTCGTGTGACAAAGGGTCTCAGACCTGTTGGCTTGGTTGTGTCGGAGCTCGACAAGGGTGCTGTGGCGGCTGGGGCATCCCAAGGCGGGACGATGTTCAGCCTATGAAGCTCATCTCCAGGCTCATTCGTCGGAGCCCGCTTTTGAGTAGAGCGAAGGGAAAGAGCCCGGTCGATGAGCTATTGGAGCGAAGAGACAATTCTGTACTGCTCCACGTTCCTGCATTCAAACGAGATCAGCTCTGCGTACATTCGGGTGCAGCTTGCCGCAATGCATGCCGACGCCGAGAGAGGTGCTCCTTCACCAGTCTATGTTGGGTTCGTGCGCCGGGCAAGTGGACATTTTCGTTCTTGTCTCGCGTCTCTTCAGGAATCGCAGAGAAGAAGTCATCTTACGCTGGCAACGCATCCCGAGACCAAAATGAGTGTCCGGTCGTGCGACCGCGCCGCGTTGACATCGGAAATAGAGACAAACGGCTGCGTCATCAGAAACCATCGTGGGCGACCACGAGACAGGCGAAGCTTATCACGATGCCTTGCTGCGGTCGGAAACACGGTCCAAGCACCCCTTGCTCGACGGCGGGCAGTGGGCAGTTGAATGGAGATCGCCATTCGCGCACTTTGGCGCAGCAGCGGTGATGACGGTCGCCCGCTGAGCTGGGCGCGCGCAGTCTTTCGCGCTCTGGTGATGTCCCATTTCTGTGTCCGGCTGGGGCGCGTCCAGTGGGCTCGCGAGGTAGCGTGCACAGCGAGCGCTATGGAGTTGGCAGGTCGCTGAGGCGGCGTGGTGTCGTGCAATCAGAGGTGTAGGCGCAAAGCGTAATCTTAATTAGGGAGAGCGGAACCCCTGCAAGAGCAACGGCTGGCGGCATTTAGCCGCATTAGCTCCAAACGCACCGACGGCCTCCCTCGCTGCCCTGCCGCCAAGTTGAAGCAGCCAGCACCTCGCGCCTCATCACCATTGTCACTCCTTCACCACCACCACCGCCGCCCGCCCACTGCTGTCAATCGTTCACCCACTCCCAGACTGCTATTGTGCCGGCCCAGCGCTCCACAATACCAGTCGTTCCATTCCTTTGGCACTGCTTCGATCGATCCCATCCCCATCACCGACCAAACACCAACACACAGCCGACAGACATTCTCGCGCCAGGTGCATACCAGAGCCAGCCCCCAACACACCAGGCACGCACGCGAACCCGACCGCCCGCACGACCGACGCGCACATGCAAACATAGCTTCTCCGCGACACCCACCACCGCATCATCAATTCACCATCTTCGTCGCTGTGCGCGAAGAAGCTTGTGCATAGACTTTCAGCCACTGGAATCCCTTCCACCTCTGCGCCGGCAACGCAGATTTTACGCGCAGGCGCTCAACTAGCCGCGAACATCTACAGCGCCCGGAGCGACCTCAGCAACCATGAAGGGAACATTTACCTCCGTCACCGCCCTCGCCCTGGCCGGCAATGTCGCCGCCTTCTGGCGCATGCCTTGCCGCTCCCACACCGGCATTGCTCGTATTGATCCTCTCGTCGCGCCCGCCGACGTGGCCGACCACTCTCACTTGGTTTTCGGTTCAGGAAGTGAGTATCTCTATTCGGATGTGATTGATTCGAGCCACTGACTTTGCCAGACTTTGGCAACAACGCCACTTTCAAGGATCTCACACAATGCCCCGATTTGACCCACGACTGCTCATCATGCGCTGTCACTCAGGACAAGTCGGCTTACTGGACGCCTCCAATGTACTTTAGGCACAAGAACGGTACTGTCGAGATGGTGGAAAACGTCGGTGGTATGCTCGCCTACTACCTCTTCTACCTTGACGACGTTCAGCCGTTCCCAGAAGGCTTCCAAATGATTGCTGGTGACCCAACGTTCCGAAACTTCTCTGGTCCTTTCCCAGACGAGCCATTGAGCTCCTGGCCAACCGATCCTTCTGATCAATTCTTCTTGGAGCAACGTGCCATCGGATACAACTGCTTGAACTACGCCAAGGACCCCGAACCGTCTCTCTACCGCCACGTGTTCCCAGAACGGAGCGTCATGGACAGCCAGTGCAAGGATGGTCTGCGTCTCGAGATGGCCTTCCCATCGTGTGGTACTGGCGAGTTGGATTCACCAAACCACCGATCTCACGTTGCTTACCCTTCGCTCGTGAAGGAGGGCAACTGCCCCAAGGGTTATGACGTCCACTACCCATTCCTCTTCTACGAGACCATCTTTGCCACGCAGAAGTTCGCTGGCATGGACGGTGAATTTGTCCTCTCTACCGGTGACCCAGTCGGAGCCAGTTACCACGCTGACTTCATGATGGGCTGGGACTCCGCTGACTTCCTTGGCAAGGCCATCAACACCTGCACCAGCTCTTCTGGCAGAATCGAGGACTGCCCTCTATTCAACATCCAGAGCGACGCTGAGGCTGCCAAGTGCAAGTTCCCTGTGCCAGACTACCTCGATGGCGATGACTGCACCGGACCTCGTGAGGACCTTCCAGTTGGTGTCCCGATCCAGTACGGCCCAGAGCCCGCTACCAAGTACCCAGTCCAGGGTGCCAAGGGTGGCCCAGCTACATCCGCACCAAAGCCATCCAGTGCACCAAAGAATGAGCCTCAGCCATACAAGCCAGCCGAGGCGCCCAAGCCATCTGAGGTCAAGCCAAACCCCCCTGCCTATGCTCCAGCGGAACCATCGGTCACTGCTGCTCCATCTGCTCCTCCAGCAAGCAAGGGCAACAAGATCACGACCAAGTATGTGACAAAGGGCAACGAGGTTTACGAGTACATCATCGAGGAGGTCGATGTCACAGTCACCGAAACCAAGACTGCTACCGCAGCCGCTGGTGCACCAAAGGCATACGACACTCCGCCAAGCTACAAGCGCCACGTCGAGCGCCACGCCCACCACCACAGACATTAAGCAAGATACCCCCGAGACGTCTCAGAACAACATTCCTCAGAATTGTTGTCATGTTCAAAGAGCATTAGGGCCGGCGCAACTGTTTCTTTGCAGTTATTCAAATTTCTTTTGAAGCAACAAGCATCAACAGTTAGCCCGTGTACTCTGTTATTTCCTTTTTCGCGTGGAAGAGTGAAACCTTTTTTCTTTGGACACTGAAGCAAGAAAAGAACAAATGTTCTACAGGGGAGCAAGAGGCCAAAACGACGACACAGAAGAAGTCACATATAGGTGTCGCCACCTCTTTTTACGTGGAATGCGCGGTGTGGCATGGGCTGGGCCTTGCAGCCAGCAATCAACAACACAAAAACTCAACAGAACAAATCAAACCAAAGAAGAAGAAAATCATACTTTTTGTCGTTTTTGCACATATTTCAACGAATGCAACAAGCACGCTCTTGTGATGGTAAGATGAGCCCGACGGCATCTTTTTGAGAATAGGGAAGGATCCCGCTCTCAAGCAAATTCAAGATATAGTTTACATTATACCCGGTGCGTTCTTTCTTACTCACTCTTTCGATCTGGAAGAGTGAACAAGAATGAACGTTACTTTTTACACGGATGGATATGGCAGTGAAGTGGTTGGATGGTGGTCCGAAGAAGAGAGTCAGAGTCAGATGTTTCTGAAATTTCAGCCTCTTTTGTGTCGTGTCAAATCTCTGTTTCCTTTTTTCATTTCATTTTCGATTCTGTTTGTGGTTCGAACGTCTGTACATATCTTGCGACTGCGCACAAAATCCAGTTCTAAGTTGAACTGAGCTGAGGGCTAAGCTTCCACTTCTCGTATTCCAGCATTTCTATTTTCATCATCGTGCTAAGTGGGATGACTCGTATTTGTGTTGTGATCATGATGCATTATGCAGAGCTAGTATGTAGCTCGATTTGGAGGGTGGAGGGAGAAGTGTATGCTGGATTTGTCAATGTGGCTGTACTTGTACTTGGACATACTGCAATGGACCAAAAATAGGGAGCGACTCTGAGATGGGACTTGCAAATTGTGTGAGGTGAGCGGCAAGTGCTTCTCTTGAGATACAAATTGTTCTAGCGCGATCGACTCCTCATGACCTGTCTCCGCTGAACTCTGCCTGGGTAGCTATATTTGTTGGGTCAGCTATTCGTTGTGAAAGAGAGTTCAAGCTCGCTGCTTTCCCTTTCAGAGCGTGAACCTATTCACTGAGAGGTTCACTTAAGATGGAGACTAAGGGTTACGTGTCACAGCAACAGAAGTAAGCGTGGCTGATCAAGTGAGATGATGGTCTTCTGCGAAAGCAGTGGTTACCAACTGGCATGATTTTCACACGTTATCGATACCGTTTCATATGGAGCATATCGCAGATATCGTCCAAGCTAGAAGTTCGTGTAGATCTACGCTGGACTCCCTCTATTCGCCTCTGCGCCGGTCTCCGTCTTCAAATCCTCCTTCTTCACCGTCTCACTAGCCTTGATGCTCGGAAAATTGAACGGATCGCTCATGCCACCCAGTAAGCCTCGCCACCTGCCAAACGTATTCCAGTTTGTCCAAGTCAAAGCCCCAACATATGGTTGAACGTTCCAATGCAACGTCAAAGTCGCAAACTGCTTATCCGCAATCTTGCCTGTCACATCTGTGATCTGATACTTTGGCTTCTGATTTTCCAACTTGATGATGCCTGGCTGCTTGCCTTCTGGATATGCCTTTCCGCCGAGACCTAGAGCGCGCTCTTTGCGCGAAGGCTTCTTCACTTTCTTGCCATCTTTTGATTTCGAGGTGGGATGGATCCAAGTGTTAGGGTGAAGAGGAGCATTGTCGGCGGGGATGATGGCATCCCAGACTACGATTTCGGAGTCGGGGACATTTTGAGGGTCGTCGGATGGGTAGGAGGCGGTGATGTAGGCGAAGATCTGCTTGGTGTTCCAGTTGAAGAGGGAGGAGAGGTCGGCGTCGAGATCGAAGGTTACGTGGGCGTATTCTTCGCGTTTGGTGCTGTAGTAGTGTGGACGACCTCTGGCGCTGTGCGATGCATTAGCCTGAGGAAGATGGCTATGTGTATAGATATGGCAACGTACACTCGGACATTCCTGAGCTCGAGAGATGCGGATGGGTCCTGAGGACTGAGCAGCACGCTGACGGCGATTGCTGCGGCTACGGCGAAGGCGACGGAGGTGAAGAAGCCAAAGACATTCTGAATGCGCACCAGGCTGGAATGCATCGTGGGTGGTGGGCTGTGATGTGGGAGTGGAGGCTATCGCATTGTGCAATTGAAGTGCTAGTGCCCGTGCAGCTGCATGTGAATAAAGTTGGGGGACCAGCTGGCTTCAAGCACCGACGTCCCGTGCCTGCCTCAGAATCTCCTTCGCCTGCGACTTTCACGTCCAATACACCAACAAACTGCAACTTAACGCGTCTACTGCTTCATACACCACTGCTCTGCTCGCCTTTTCTCACGAATGCACGTGACGCCCCTCTTCGCGCTGGCGGCGGCATCTCTGACACGGTGCGATTCATGACCGAGCCAACACCGACTCGGCCGCCGTCCCAGTATTGATCATCTCACATCGTCGCAAAGGCAATGGCCTCAAGTGCCTCTCCAGCAGCAGGGTCATCCTGTCCAGCAGTGCTCGCTTGCGAATTCTGAATGGTGGCAAGCCCGGCAGAAGCACCTCGAGGAGCAATTCCACCGCCGAGCAGTTCGCTTCTTCAGCAACACTCAAACACTCCGCTCCAAGGTCAAACGCCACCTCGTCGAGTCTTTCGCTCACATAGTGTACTACACTCTCCGTGTCCCAGCGAAGAGGGAGGGTGTCCCAGCGAAGAGGGAGGTGTAAGAGTACGGCTGCCTGCCACCACACAAGCTTCCGCAGAGTTGGAAGCAGAGCAATGACAAGGCGCAAAGGTTTGTGAGCGGCACAGTTCTTGATCTCATGACACTTGCAGCAAACGTCAGTCGGGACATGCCGTACAGCCGTCCCCAGCGGCGTCTACTACATCTCTTGATACCTGATCCTGTTGGGCCTTCATCTACTTCGAGTAATTCGCCCACTTCCGTGCCTGACGATCTTGACTTGATGCAGCAAATGTGCACATGCAACGGAATTTGACCTCTCCACCGCACTCCTTCCGAATGCACGCCGATTCCCGACATCACAGCTGCTCCACCAGAAGATGAGATTTCGCTGACAATCCCGACGACTGTTCGAAGCACACAGCAAGCAACCCAAGCAATGCCAGTAACACAACACTTCCTGCGCGTCGTGCAGCGTAGCCGACTGGTCACAAATGCACGAGTCAGCCAGTTACAGTCTTAATACACGACTTGGCGACAAGGGCATATACCTCCGCCTATCGCCACTCCCCATAACGTTCCACCAGAACGGAGCCCAGATCCACTGCGCGGATGTGCAACCGTGTCAGCCACTCGCTCCTTGCCCATCGGTGACAGGTGGTTGAGGTCAGCATCCCGCCGCATCACGAACGGGAAAATCATGTTTTCGTGCCACTTTCCATTGTGCGTCTGCACATATGCTATCAATCTACTCATCCACGTGGTTCGGCGCACTCCAACGACATAAGGTTGTGTCCACGGGTCGATCTTAACCCTCCATTGGGCTGAGTCTGCCTCGACCGCGGCACGGCAGCGCTGCCCTTTCGACCCATCTGTACAGAAATCCGACAAAGTCAAAGTGATGCAGGGCGGGTTTGGAAGCTTGTAGTGCTTGTTGCACGACTGGACTTGAAAGCACACGCCCTTTCCGATATCTATGGCGGACGGATCCCCTCTCACGCGCGTGGTGGCTTGATCTCGTACTGGCTCCTCGCCTTCCTCCCAAGCCTTTCGCATTCGCTACCGACCCAATCTCGGATGCTCGATTTCGACATAGCATTCTCGACATGGCTGTTGGCCACGCACCGGGCAGCGCTGTCGTCGGCGTAACCGTTGCCTTTACTATCCTCGCTTTCATCACCACAGCTTTCCGGCTGTTCACCCGAATAGCAATCGTCAAGCAACCGGGCATCGATGACTTTATCATCACCATAGCACTGATCTTCACCATCGCCCTCACAGCATGTATGGTACTACAAGTCAAGTACGGCATGGGCAGGCATGCAGCTTCATTGTCGCCCAACGATAACAAGTACTCCTTGATCTGGTTTTGGGCCTCCGTATGGATCTATTATCCTGCCCTCATGTTCGCAAAGCTATCGATCTTATTCCAATATCTTCGAATCTTCCCAGACAGGCGATTCCGCAGGTGGTGCTGGATATTAATGGCCGTCATTGTCGCCTGGACTGGGTGGGCATTCTTTTCTGCTCTATTCGCTTGCTGGCCTATACAACATTTCTGGGACGACTCTATACCAGGCGCATGTCTAAATCGCTTGGCAGTATGGTAAGTTCAGCCCTCAAAAACCATGCTCAGAACAGGAACAACTAGCTCATGCCGATTTCTAGGTTCTCCAATGCAGCCATGAACATTGTCACCGATATCGCAACCACCGTCCTCCCTTTGCCAGTCCTCAAATCTCTCAACCTTCCCAAACGCCAACGCTACATCCTCATGGTCGTCTTCGGCATGGGCGGCGTCGTCTGCATCATATCCATAATGCGCCTCAGCGCTCTCTACGCCATCTCCGTCAGCAACGATGTCAGCTGGGACAACCCTCTTGCCGCAATTTGGTCCTCTCTCGAGGTCAACGTTGGTATCGTCTGCTCCTGCATTCCAACCCTGAAAGGTTGCATCACGCGGTACTTTCCCCGACTCTTCTCTTCCGTCCACGGCGGCAGCAGGCCCTCAGGCGCGGATTTCGCTGGCCTGGAACTCAGCGGTCGCGGAAGAAAACATCATGCCGAATGCCATATTTCCGCCAACCATGATGTTCACCGCAACAATCGAGATATCGAAAAATCTTCCACAGGCTCCTCATCTGCTGCCGGGAGCGGCGGCGTTGGAGGAAAAATGAAAAGAATGGCCTCGAAGCTAGGGAGAGGGAGTAATAAAAGTGAGAAGGATATCATCGAACATCACAGTTCTTCGACAGAGGATGAAGACAGCCTTCGCGGAAGGCTCACACCTCCGGACGGGAGGGGAGGACACCACCATCATCCACATCCTCAGCATGGCATACACGTCACGACGATTGTGGAGCAGGAAGAGGAGAGAGACTCGACGAGTTATTCGAGGAGGAAATTGGAGGAGACGGAGAGTGTGAGGGGTTTGGTGAGTGAGAGGCAGCAGTTGGGATATTATACTGCGCCCTGAATTTGAAAGGAACTGGGAAAGTTTGGGGATTGGTGTTTTATGGAGTAGTTGACCGTCTATTGTGATACCAGGTGGTTTGGTTGATTGCTTATGTTGGAAACGGCGGGCAAAAGAAGTGGACGCAACAGGACCACATGTCGATGAGGCAGGTTGTATTATTATCCAGAGCGCAGGCAAGCGACCCGAAATAAGAACTCGTGATTGACACACAGACTTGTTCCATGATGGGTGATGATACAGTTTATGCTGTTCTCTGGCTTGTACTGCCAATTTATTCATTACACCTCTGCCTACAATCAGGAGGATTCTACCTTTCACAACGCACATCTATACCGCGACCTCGGTACTGGGTCCGGCCGGAGCCTTCAGCTTCTTCGCGTCGGGTTGTGCGGCGCCAGTAGGTGTCTCCTCCGCCTTACGCTTATCGCCCTCTCGAGCCGCACGTCTCGCATCCCGCTCCTGTCTCTCCTTCTCCTTCCGTAGAGCCTTACTCTCAAACTCGTGCCAATCACCTTCCAGATTCGCGAGCTCGACCACCTGTGCCGGCTCTGGTTCTTCAACAGTGAAGTAGGGATGTTCCAGGACATCTGCAGCCGTAGGACGATTCGCTGGATCGTACAGGAACATCGCTTGCAAAAGCTCGAAAGCTTCGGGTGAGACACGTTCGCGATACTTGTCTGCGAATGTCGATTGGACGCGCTGCGTGGGCCGCAGGAGTTCGTACCATTGCAGCTCGGTAATCCCAGGCCACTCACTACGCGACGGCGTTCCGAGTACATTGTAGATTTTGTCCAGTTGATGGATTTCGCTGCCATCACCGGGGAAGATGGCATGTCGTGTGAAGATCTCGACCAGGACGCAGGCAGCACTCCATATGTCAACCGCCGGACCGTACTGAGTCTCGCCGAGTAGGAGTTCTGGACTGCGATACCAGATAGTGATGACACGATTGGTGTAATCTTGCTTTTGGCGCTTTTGGTAGAAACGCGCAAGACCGAAATCAGCAAGCTTGAGCTCTCCAGTCTTCGAAATCAAAATGTTCGCAGCTTTGATGTCGCGGTGCAAGACTCCTCTCCTATGAAGGTAGTCGAGCCCTTCGAACAGCTGCTTCGCAAGGTGCTTCTTGTGCGCATTCGTGAGAGCAAATGTCGGGTGGTTGAGTAAGCCTGTCAAATCGTGTGAGAGATATTCGAAAACCATAAAGCAATCATTCCGCTCGACCATGACCTCGAGGAGCGGGACCACGTTCACGTGGTTGAGAGACTGCAGCAACTTGATTTCTCGGATTGCAGTGACGGGAAACTAAATTGATGTTAGCCATGAGGATGATGAAGGCGAGCAAGAATTTGACTTACGCCATCACGTTCGCCTTCCATACGAATCTTTTTGAGTGCGACCATGCCTCCGGTGTAGACGTGTATTGCTTTGTACACTTTGCCATATGTGCCACTACCCACCACTGACTCGTTGCCAGTCTTGCGGTAATAGACACTTTCGGATTGCTTGAAATCGTCGCTCAGCTCGGGCTTGGGCTTGAGCCTCTTCTTTCTGACCTTTTCTTTGCGAGTGGCCGGCGGCTCGGGACGACGAGGATGTGACAAGTCTGATACGCGAGTGTTGCCGACGTAATTGGAGCTCTTCGCGGGCGCATTGCTCTGCACCAGTGGAGATATCACCGCAGGCGTCTTCTTCGCGACCAGTGGGGACGTCTCCGTCTTCGGTATGACCGGTGCCTTCTCCTCGGCAGCTACCCTGCTTGCTCGACCTTTGATCGAGAAGCTGATCTTATTCTTTTCTCTCTCTGCTTCCAACACCTTTTGCTCGGCCGTCTTCTGGTCCGCACCAAGCGCTGAAGGGGCTGCAAGATCAACCTTGCGCTTCTTCGCTGCATGCTCATCCTCGGCACGAAGCTCCACCGGCGGCCGATAAGGGTTGCCATCATCGTCGGCCTCAGGCGCGAGAACCACGGATTTCGGCTCAGAGGTCTCCTTAGGCTTTTGCGGCTCTACCAGGTGACCTCCCTTAGTGCCATCACCGGGCGTCCATGACAAGTTTGCGAAGTGAGCTCTGCCAGTGCCTCGAACTGGTGCTGCGCCCCCGCGAGGTGGTGCACGGGGGAAGCTGTCACGCGAAGCACTGCCATACTGTTTTCCAGGTTGAGATTGGTAGTATCCGGGGCCAGATGAGGGGTAGCCATAAGACTGCTGCTGTTGCGGATACGGCGAGTTCGAGTTGTAGCCGCCTTGGTTGTAGTGATTGTTGTGGTAGCCCCCATAACGGGGCCCGTACCCTCCACGACCGTACATGTCGTCGTCTTCCTTTCGCTCGGTCGCCCGGGATAGATGACTTTCGCGGCTGTGTGATCGCTGGGCAGTTTCCTCGCCGGGGTTGGCAGCAATCAGCGAGCCTTCACGGCTGACAGCTTGAGATGGGTAGCCGCGAGGTGATCGTGTTTCGCGTCGACTGCTTCGATTGCTGTCTCGAGGTGGCGAACCGCGCCTCGAGCGAGATTCACCTTCAGTATATCTCTTGTTGTCGCCCAGGCCTTGCTCAACTTCTGCGTCCCGAGGGCGGCGTGGTGAATGTGAGGCCTTGGGGCCGTAGCCTCGTCTGTTGCTACGATGTTCCCCGCGATGTCGCTCGGAGGAGTGATCTCGTCGCCGACGACCACCGTCCTCGTAGTAGCTTGATGATGCCGATGGCGATCTTCGATGAGCTGCGTCGTCTGGCCTTCCGCCAGTGCGCCTATTGTCTACTCTGTCACCGTCTTTTGTCGTAGTCGGCGATCGCGGTCTCCTCTCATTCCACTCTGCTGAACGATGGTGATGGCGGCCCGAGCCCGATTCGGGAGCAGTGTTTTCGGTGCGATGATAGCGACTGTGGTGAAAGGAGCGGTCGGCGGATGCGTCGTGGTTGTGCGACGTGGAGAAGTGAGACCGCGAGCTCCGGTGGTCGTCTTGGCGAGATGAAGGACGTCTCCAGTCGTCGTCTCCGCCCTTGCGTGCGCCGCGAGAGCGCGAGCGTCGCCTGCTCCTACTTCGACTCCGCTCGCGATAGCGGTGGTGGTGATGGTGATGATGGCGGGGCGGCGGCGACCTGGAATAGCGCGATGGCTCGGGTTGTGGCAGAGGCTCAGAAATGCTGATGCCCTCTGGCACGGGCGAAGGCAGCTTCACAAAACTTTGCAGGTCGGGCTGCACGGTGCGAGCAGGTCGTGCGGCGGCGCTCTTCGACTGCGTGCTGCTCTCTTTCCCCGGGGCCACTCCCGAAGACGTCTCTCGATCCATGGGGTTTTCGGTGAGGTGTCGAGGTAGAAGAGATGGGCGCAAGAGAGGTAGAGATGCGGCCCGACAAAGCAACGCCGATCACGACGACACGAGGGAAACGCGATACTGCCGCCTGCACTCGATTCCCATGCCCACGCTGGCTGTCTCTGTCTACGCGCAGACCTGTGAAATGTTCAATCCTGATGCTGGAGGTGTTGACTCGGGCGCGCGCTGTTACGAGATGCAAGTCGCCCCTCATCCATCGGCGAGCCAGGCTTGGCGTAGGCGAGACGAAGCCACAGTCGGATGCGAACAATGATACCCCTACGATAGTTAGCACAACAGCTGCCTCTCCTTGCCTTCGTGCTGCGTGAAGCGTGTTGTCGGCTGTGAGGCTGTCGAAAATTACAATCTAGTTCACGTGCTTGCAGGCCGGCTCGCGGCGAGGTTGAGGTCTTCGTCCTCGACCAAGTCCTCGGACAGGTCAGGTCCCATGCTACTCACGCATGACGGCTCACTGCATGTCACGCCTCATGCGAGCCACTGATTCTCTGACAGTGCTTTGCCAGTGTGTCTGATGGCCTCTATTGCCGTCCGTGGTGCTCTCAAGTCGCGGGAGTCCGAAAGACTGACGCTGTCAACTGCAGCGCCAGCAGTTATGTCCTCAGCGGAACGTTGTCGCGGGCGGTGCTGTGCACTGGACGCTGGCCGATGGGCCACCTGCTCATCCTCCCTGTCGAGTGCTCCGGAACATGTAGGAGTCCGCGTCTCAGTAGGTCCATGTCCTTTTGCAGTTGCTCCGACAGTCCGCGCGTGCGTCTGTGAGGGCAACACGCACTGAGGTCCACGTCCATCTTTCAGCTGCCGCTGCTCTAGCTCGCGCGTAGGGCGCTGCTATCGCAGACGAGCACTCCCATCGCCCGTCACTGTCGCGGCATCAAAGCATCACGTCAAGTAAAACTATCTAGGCAGCGAGCAACGGGGTTAGATATCCTGCACTGGGCAGCGCGACGCGACGCGACACGGATGCTTCGTCCTTGGTCATGTACTTCGAGCCGCGCAGGGCGTCTTCGTGATAGAGATGAACAAGAGCTGTCGTCGGAAAGTGACGATGGGTTTTCTTTTCCAGATCCGCGCAAAGTGCGCGTGGGAGGGACTAGGACAAATCATCCCGACCGGCGAAGCAATGGCCGAGCGCGTTCAGCGATGACTGGGAAGAAGGAAGAAAGACGGCGAGTGAAAGTGCCATGACCCTCCCGCGCAGAGTATCGAGATGGCGCCGCAGTGAGAGTTGTGGGTGGGTGATGGGTGCAGGAGCGGAGTGGTCTGAGGCGGGCAGAGGGCAGAAAACCGCGACGAGAGCGGCTTGCCAGCGCCCTGCATCGGAACTCGGCTAAAAACGGGCGGCGCAGGTCCCGTAAGACAATGACCGAAGTCTGTAAGTTTTCGCGCGCTTCGTTTCGCTCTCTCGTCTGATCGGTCGGCGAGTGTAGTGTTGGATATTACGATGGATCGTCTGTTCTACTACATCCAAGCCGCCTTCTCCAACTATTTCCTCTAGCTCGACCCCACCGCGAAGACGTTCTGCCACAATCCACAATCTAAAATCACCACAACCCCGCGAGTCACCCTTCTAGTCCACACCCATGTCTGACTCCGAACGTGAGAGTGTCCTGGCCGCAATCCGATCGAGTGGGCTCGGTCCCCGTAGAGAACCGATTTCGATGGACGAACTAGCGCAGACCGTCCCGCTACACACATCGCAAAACCAGTCCTCGAGACAATACGAAGAGGTAAACGACGCTCAGATCGATGCCCTCAAATCACGCGTAGAGCCCCGCGCTCCAGTCGACCAGGCACCATTGACCCCACCCACGACCAGTCGCTCAATATCTCCCTCTACCGGCGCACCATCAATCGACTTCGACGGCTTGTCCTTCCCCAGCGTGGGAGCACTCGATAGACTGCAAGAGAGGGAAGACCCCGAAAAAGCAAAAGCAAGGCTTGACAAGCTGTCAGGTGCAGTGCGAACGATCCTAGAATGTATAGGCGAGGACCCAGAACGAGAAGGACTGCACGGCACACCGGAGCGTTATGCGAAGGCCATGATGTTCTTTACGAAAGGCTATGAGGAGAATTTACGGGACATTGTGAACGGTGCCATCTTCAAAGAGAACCATGACGAGTTAGTGATTGTCAAGGATATCGAGGTCTTCTCGTTATGCGAACACCACCTGGTGCCCTTCTTTGGAAAGGTAGTCGCGTCGACGTAGGTATCACAGGATCGCGCTGACCCGAAGTATTAGGTGCATATTGGCTATATCCCCTCAAACCGAGTCATCGGGCTCTCAAAATTGGCGCGAATCGCCGAGATGTTCAGCAGACGGTTGCAAGTGCAAGAGCGGTTAACGAAGCAAATCGCCATGGCACTTCGGGATGTCCTCAATCCTCAGGGAGTCGGCGTTGTGATGGAATGTACTCACATGTGCATGTGCGCGCGAGGAGTGCAGAAGTCTGGATCATCAACAGTCACAAGCTGCATGCTTGGCGCCTTGAGGAAGCGCGCCAAAACGAGGGAGGAGTTTCTGAGCCTGATCAAAACTTGAGCGGCATTTGGCGGTCCGTGCCACAGGAGTCGCGGCCACCAATAGAGCAGATGGACAGCAGCGGCGACTGCATAAAGTCAGTGGTGGAGCGTTTTGGGGTCTGGTGGAAGAGCAGCAACCGGTGTGGCTTACCGGTACTGTTCAGGCGGAACGAGACTCGTACCTCGGACTTGTGAGGAAGGCCTTGGATTTTTGGATTTGACCGGCGTTGAGGAAATGTACAGGAAAAGGCGAAATTCCGGCGGAAGAGGTCTTTTCAACAGGCCTGCGCTTCAACAGGCCTTCCAGTGATACCAACGCTCAACCAGCGTACGTTTGTTTGGAATTAGCGAAGAACACGATCAGAAGCTCGCAAGAGCATTGTACAATTTGGATACCCGGATGCGAGAATTCACACTGTTCCTGATCCAGCTGAGCGGTTCTTGGACAATTTATTCACTCCTGACAGTACTTCTGACTTTGACAGCTCATCCGCTTTGCCTTCTGAGGCACTGCAGCTTCGCCACACTGCCGTGGAACTGCTCACTCCTGATGTCGAATTGGGGTCCCTTCAGCCTCTCGCAACAACGCGTCTAGCCGTACCACAACATGTGCTGCCCTTAAGCTCAGTCCCATTGGACCATGAGCACGGCTTCCTTGTCCCGCCACCGCATGTGCAAATGAGAGCCTATTGCTCTGCATCCGCAAATTCACCGCGACGTTCACTTGGTGTCACACTCGGCAAGGCAACAAAAAGGGCGGCCTCACTACGTAAGAGCTTCGCGACGCAAACAAACAACATCCCTCAGCCCCACTGCACTTCTCGACTACAACATCATTCTCCGCACAAGTGAAGCGGCGACTCGACTCGAGCTACTACAAATTCGACAACAACATCAAAAGGAACTCTTTGAACGGCGACGACGGTCAACACACAATCGCGAATGCGACAATGGGCATCGGGTCACTGTACTACTTCGCCGGATCCCTCCTCCTTGCCTCTTGGTGCTGTAAGTTTCTCGGTAGCACAGGATGGTGGTCGCGCAGAAATATCTAGAACGACCCTCTAGTGCATTCGCGCGTCTCCTGCAGCCCACATTGATCGACCAGCAAAGTTGAAGACTGATGAGTTCTGCAGGTTGGTCGCACTACGAGGGATTCGATGGAGCTTTCCACCGACCAGGAAAATCTCGCAAGAAGGCCGAGCGCCAGGCCCAAGCCCAAGCTGATGCTCTCGCCAAAGATATCAGAGAATCCAGAGATCGGCGCCGCAGCAGACAACGTGACGATGAGACTCCACCAGCCCGCCATCCGCGACGACGATACGACTCTCGGAGCGAGCGCAGCGGCCGCCGCCGCTCCCAATCCCGCTCCACCGTGTCCTCCAGCGGTCAAGGAAGCGCCATCAGAAGCGAGTACAGCCACCACGGTCCAGAGAAGCGAGTCCAGCCAACCCCGTACTCCGACTACGTTCCAGAACACTTCATCCTCAAGCCCAACGCTCGTGGCGCCGTTGCACCACTCCATCCTGTCCACGGCACGCAGCACGACTCGCATCGGCGAACCCCGAAAGACTTCGACATCCCAGATCCCAAGCACCCTGGGAAGACCGTCCGACAGTCCCACCCTCAAGCATTCAACCACCTCTTTGGCGCTGATGATGACCAAGCCAGGGGCGGCGCGGGCGATGCCTTTTGAGGAGGGCGGCGATGCGGTTGGAGTGCAGCTATCGCCAGGTTCGGTGACTGCGAATGGAACACCAGATTCATATCCAGCGGCCGGCCTTCGAGTACCACTGCAGAAGCGACGTCGATCAGAAGAGCGCGTAGATCAGGCCATCCGCCAAGATAGAGCACCTCCGCCCCAGAAACGCTCGAGGCCTGCATCAACAGTCACCATCGAATACGACGAGAACGGCGTACCACGTCTGAAACATACGCAGACTCAAATCCAGCGCGAGACCATCTTGACGCCGGTATCATCCGCCCAGTCACCAGTTACCCCTTTGACAGCTTCACAACACATTTCTCCAGCGGTTCAAGCATTGGTAGCAGCCATTGCAGATCCCGCAAGTCCTGTAATTGGCACTTCGACCACTCCCGCAGCGCAACAAACAAAACGAAAAGACTTCAGTCTCCTCGGCGCATTCGTAGATGATAGCTCATTGATCATCACGCTGGTCAGTTATCTGGACATTCCATCTCTGATTTCCTGGTACGCCATCGACAAGAAGTTTCACTGGTATTACAACAAGAACTACACGGCTTTCATCTTGGCCAGCGTCCGAACATGGTCACCCGGTGCGGAGCTGATATTCCCATGGCGCCACTATGCTGATCTCTGCATCAAAGACCCGATCAAGAGACAGAAAGCAAAGTCAGACCATCTTGGCCCGGACATCGCGCAAATGAACCTCTTCTCGCGCGACGTGCCCAGTTTGCGTTGGCTTCAGATGGTCGTTTGGCGTGAAGGAGTTGTGAAGGACATTTTCATCCAGCTTGCGACCAGAGCACTCAGAGTGCCACCAAAGACTAGAGACGCGATGAAGGTGAGCCACGTACATCTTGCATTGAGAAGAACCCCAAGCTAACACTCTCTCAGCGCCTCTGGTTCATCATGGACCTCCCCCTCAACGCCCACCGCATCTTCTGCATTCAAAGCAAACGCTACATCGCCCCTTGCCACCTCAAACTCGCCACAGTCTTCTTCCTCAAACTCGACATGTTCTTCACCGACCCAGGTTACAACCTCTTTCCCGTCAATCACCCCGCTCAAACCGTCTTCCCCAACCGCTGGGCAAACGGCATGCCCTTAGGCTCCGCCCTCAAAGAAATCCTCCTCGCCGAGAACTCCCTCACACCCCTCTGGCGTGTCCTCCGTGGCTTGGCGCCCGATGGCGCTGGTCACGGTAGACCGATCGAAGAAATCGACATCCTCAAATTGTGGATGAGGCACAAATACCGCGGTCCGACTCAGCCCAGCAACAATTTCAACAAGTCCAAACCCATCCTGGGCCTCCGCTTGGAGAAGTTCGTTCAAACAGGATACCAGCCCTACTTCCCGCCGAAGGACGGCAGTCCTTTCCGCCCCGTACCGCTCATGACAATTGATTTGCTCGTCATGAGTGAGGCGATGCGGAGGAAGATCAATGCGCAGGAAAAGGTTCTTGAGATGATCAATTATGGTTTCTCGAGCAATGGACGGCGAGCGAGGGTTTATACGGAGGAGCAGATTATGAGGCAGGAGAGGGCGGTGTGGAATCCGTCGGAGGTGAGGATCATTCGGAGGAATGAGGAGAGGGAGAGGAAGGCTGAAGAGGCCAGGAAGAAGAAGTTGCTGGAGTTGCAGGAGGCTGAGGAGGGAGATGAAGAGGAGAGTGGAGAGGAGAGCGGAGAAGGGAGCGAGGACGAAAGCGAGGACGGAAGTGAAGATGACACGGATACAGAGACTGCGACCGCGCCAGATGCCAACGAGCAGCCCGGTGAAGTGACCTCAACGACTTCGTGATCGGGTTGTGGTCCACCGGCCGCGGTAGTAGTGTGAACGGCCGCGTCCGATGAGACGAGAGAAAAAGCTTCAGACTAGCTTCAGATACCCACATGGTTTCTCTTTGATCTGCACTACTGTACGCTGCTGCCAATTGCTTGGGTTGTTTTCCCAAATTTTGCCGTTTTTCCATCCATGAAAGCGGCCGCTCGAGCACGTCTTGTATTGCGGACCAGCGGACAGCTGAGCAGAACACTACCCCATCATTCCATTTGCCTGTTTTAGAACACGATATCCTAGCATGACAAGCGCGATTAAATGTTCCTGCTATGCGGCCGCGGCTTCAGTAACGTAGCGTCTCCGATAGAGTGGAACCTCTCGCGCTGAATGCCTTTTTGTACACACATCCCACGTTGCTTCTATTGAGTCAGTCATCTCTGTACTATAATGCTCGGAACCTGGATTTGGTCATGCTGGTCCTGCTTGACTCATGTTCACCGTCTGATCACTCCGCTCTTGGCCCCCTTCTTGGGCGTGGTCTTGATGGGCCCGATCCCACAAGTACCGCTCTCATCCACAGGAACATCTTCGTCATGCTCGTGGTACTTGCAACGAGCGGCCGCCGAGGGGTGCGCGTATACCGTGGACTTGTCCCAGGAAGCTTGAGCCCAGCCAAAGGTCAGACTGCCGATGAAGGCCGATGGCAGGTCGTTCCAGGAATCTTTGAGAAACTTGGGGTAGCAGGAGAAGAGGTAAGTGTCGACCAGCAACCGACACAAGGCGCTGCTCTCTTGTGCGTTCGTCTCGAAGGCCAGTGTGATTGCTGCCGCTGTTGCGCCGCTGTCCAGGAGCTCGTTGAGACCCATCAGGTAGTCGATAATGCTGTTCTTCAGATTACCATCGTGAAGATAGTTGGCGAGGGAATACAGCTGCACCAGAATCTGAAAGCGCATGACACCATCCGGGTCGTTGTCCTTGCCGTACTCTTCCCCGCCCTCATGCTTGGATAGGACGATGTTGCCGCTGTAGACATAAGTTATGTAGATTTGGAAGATGCCGACATCGACCTCAGGCAAGCGGGCGACTTTCTCATATGACTCTCTGAATGTATGGTTGCTGAAAATTGCCCGGAAGAAGCGAGAGTGGTTGGTCAAGATTGTTGGATGCACAGTGTAGCTCTTGACACTCGGTCCCACCAAGATGATCACGGTCTCCTCCGAGAAGTCGCACCTGGTAGAATGTCAGCTGGAGATGAGTCAGCACGGTGAGTGAGAGACGTACAGTTTGCGCTTGCGTGGGCTGATGTTCGACATTGTGGTCATCTTGTGCTGACACCTGTCTGTCGGAAGATGCTGTGGGAATAGAGAAGTGGAGAGAGGTTGTTTAGGAAAGTAGGCAGTTTATGGGGGCCCAAGTGAGGTTTTGACCTGCTATTGGGATCTTCCTTCACTCACAGCGCTTTACAATTGGACAGGCATCCACGCTCAAAGCTCACCTACCGTTAGGTTGTCTTTACTTCACTTGGGAGAGTGATGAGATGTCGACCTGTATCAATTCTGACATCTATGCAGTCCTCTGAGCACTTGCGAGACTCTCCGTTCCTGTTCCGAGCAACGTTGTAAGCATTCTTTACCCTTGACGGCATTGTACGCATGGTGCCCGGGTGAGAGGTCATCTCAGGAAGATATTCTTGCCCAGAAACTGGCTTCAAAAGCCGTTGCGGTTTTATGCACGCACTTGCGCTTCTCGCGGCTTTCGGCGTTGGTTTCGACAATCTGTAGAAAACGGTTTCTCCACGGGCGCGAGTGCGATGCGATAGTTTGATGCCGGCTCTCGCAGCAGAGATCTCTGTTCCAGAGCTTGATGGATTACCGATGGCGGCATGAGAAAGCAGTCCTCAGCGCGTGAGGAGCGAGAAGTGAAGACGCGTTGGAGTCTGTCGTGCCAACGTGCTTTCGGCTTTCCAAATCGGGACTAGTGCCAGATAGGCGACGTCTGCCTCCTCTCTTGCCCGAACAACAGCTCCATCCTGACAAAGCAACACGACGATTGATCATGGCTTCTCATCAGCTGTCATCCGCAGAGAGCACTGCGGCTCCTTGGCAAGAGCTTTGTGAGCTTCCAGAGAAGATTGAACCCACCTGATCATGGAGCATTCCAGCGAACAAGATATCACCTTTCTGAACGCCACCATCTTTGATGGTTCCGGCGAAACTCCCCGATTCATTGCAAGTGTCCTAGTCAAGGAGGGCTATATTACTGCCATCCGTGATGCGACGTCTTCCATTGAGCCCAATGAGCTCAAGCAGATGAGGGATGCCGGAGTTCACATTGTCGATTGTGAGAACGGCAGATGGAGTCTTTGCCCAGGCTTCATCGATATGCATGCGCATTCAGATCTGTCGCTCCTTCATACCCCATCTCACGAGGCGAAGATCACGCAAGGTGTAACGACAGAGGTGATCGGACAGGATGGCATCTCGTACAGCCCTGTAGATGACGCAAGCATGGCTCGCATCAGAGAGCAGATATCTGGCTGGAATGGTAATCCTACCGATCCTCCAGACTTCTTCAATCGATGGAAGACTGTCGGAGAGTATCTGGATGTACTGGATCGCGAACGTATTGCAACTAATGCAGCATATCTGGTGCCTCAAGGCAACTTGCGAATTCTCGTCAAGGGCTGGGACTCAAGCCCAGCGACTCCCGATGAGATTGCACAGATGCAACGGATACTGGCCAAGTCTCTTGCGGAAGGTGCTGTGGGTATGAGCTCAGGGCTGACCTACGTGCCCGGCAACTTCGCTTCAGATGATGAGATCGCCGAACTCTGCAAGGTTGTTAAGCAGTACGGAGGCTATTACTGCCCGCATACCCGATCCTATGGCAAAGGGGCACTAAAGGCCTATGCGGACATGATTGATATTGGAAGAAAGACGGGCGTACGTCTTCATTTGACACATGCTACTCTGAACTACGCAGAGAACGCCGGAAGAGCCGACGAGCTAGTCACGATGATCGACCAAGCTATCAGCGAAGGCGTCGATATCAGTCTGGATACATATCCCTACCTGCCCGGGTCGACAACTTTGGCATCAACTCTACCCAGCTGGGCTGCATCTGCGGATGATAAATTGGAGGTACTGAACGACCCCGCAAAGCTCGCCGAGATCAAACGACTGGCACTTTTCGAGGGTACAGATGGATGTCATGGCTGCACGTTACATTGGGATATCCTGGAGATTGGAGGTGTGCAGAAACAGGAGCTGGCGTCAGCATATGTTGGCAAGACAATCGCGCAGATCGCCGAAGAGCAATCTAAGGACCCGTTCGACAAATATGTTGAGATTCTGAGAGAAGACAACTTCCACAGTACAATCCTGTCCCACTCAGGCCACGAGGGCAACGTTCGAAAGATCATGCGTCATCCGCGCCACACAGGGGGATCTGATGGCATCTTGACTTCTACCAAACCGCATCCTCGGGGCTGGGGCACCTTCCCAAGGTACCTAGGACACTATGCACGAGATCTTCCGCAAGGCAAATCGAGAAATATCTATCACCCAAGAAGCAGCGAAGTATACGACGCAGTCGAGCCCGAGACAGTGTTCCAAGGTGGTCTGGAGGAAGCCATTGCCCATCTCACTTCACGTCCAGCGAAAGTGGTGGAGGTCTCGGATCGTGGCTGGATCAAAACAGGCTTCCGAGCGGATCTGGTCTTATTCGATGCTGAAATTATTCGTGACGCAGCCACATACGCGAAGCCGAGACAACCTGCAAATGGCATTCGAGCTGTTCTTGTCAATGGCAGATTTGCGGTGGCTGAAGGCAAAGCTACTGGAGAGCGAGCCGGAAAGACCATTCGTCTCAGGAGTGTTCAATCTGGCGAGCAAACTGCCTCAAATTATGTCGTGTCCTAATGTACAAAGACTCCTTGTGCGAGCACAGCTGGTGTGTTCTTGTCAGAGTCATGCTAGACTCACGACCAAGTCATTGCTTTCAAAAGTTCCTTCTGCGATATCGCCTTCTATGGACTCCAGCTCGGCATCGCTAATCTCTGAAATCGGCTTCCTCCACACGGCTCTCCATGATCCTACGGCCCGCACGATGTACGCTTCCGCATCCTGCGGAAGCCAGGGCCCTTTTAACATCACTTCGTTGGAAGTTTCAGATTTTGGTGCGATCTCAGCCAGATCTTCTCGTCTGGGTGGCATAACACGACGGGCTAGTACTCTAGGGCTCTCAATCGCCTGTCCGGAAGACTTCGATCGCAATTGCAAAGTGCCTGTCGCCAAGGGACTCAATGAGTCAAGCACGGTATCCCAGGTGAAGAATGTGTACGTAGTGGAGGTGCTGAGGTTCCGGACTTTTGCTTTGACTGTCTGTGACTGCTCGCTGGCGCTGAGTGACACCTCCAGGTCTTCAATAATGGAAGTTGTCGCCATGTTTTGACTGCTGGCGTGCTGTTGGATCCAGGTGCGCGTGCGGAGGACTGCCAGAACAATGACACTGGATGCAATGTGTCTCTTCGGTTTGGCGATCAACTATGCGGAGCAACACTGTTGACCACATGTCTACGGAGGCACGCATTCACAATCGGCGAGCTCCGGCAGTCCGCCGACGAGCCAGCTTGACGCGAGACTATACCTAGTGGGTCATTCCAAGCCGGATAACGTCCATTTCGAGAAGGAGACAAGAGAACACACAGATCGGTAACACTGCATGGCGGATGCCGGCTCCCATTTGACAGCAAAGACGTTCCGTAGCCGAGACGCCTGCATCTGCAGTCACCAATGCTGCTATGGAGTATGCCTGAAACATTGGTGTGCCAGAAAGAGCCTCGTTCATGTCGTGCATTGGTTCGATGTCGATGACCGTTTCTCCAATTATTCCATTGCTGCGAGAAGGTCCAAGCACAATCCCTTAGTGTATCACGCATTATGGGTGCTCTGAGCACGCAATGGCGACCACCAGCGGGTCTTTTCGCATCACTGACATGAGTGAAAGTTGCTTGGAACCTTCCCCAAGCGGAGACGCTCGTGATGCATTTGGCGAAAGCTTCCTTGCCCTGCAACGAACCATCATGGTGGACCTCGCCGTCTTTCGTGGCAGCAAAGACACTGATAGGCGTCAGGACTAGCGTAGGGCAACGAACAGATGTAACTCGCCTGTTTTCGATACGAGCGCAACAACTCCACACCAATTTCCTCCAATAGGAAGCTTCACAAGTCGATTTGAACCTACGCCAAGGATGCAGGTTGTTACATGTCCTTCGCCTCGCGTAGAGACACTGCATTGCATGTGGTATGCATTCTTATGCAGAACAGGACTCTTGGCATGACAGAGATTCCAAGCATATTCACACATGCGATGAATCTCCTACTCCAGTAAATACTGGTCTGGAGAGCGACAGGCTATGGCATCCACTCATACATCGAAAGTTGCGACATATTCAGGAGCAATTAGATTCGGGCGGCAAGTTCACGATCTGAGACAGGTCACGAGAAGCATTGCCAAAGTGCGACAAGACATACAGACGGACCATTATTGCCATGGCGAAGCCAATGCCGAGCAAAGTATATGGGCTTGGGCTGGACCTCAGACCAGCCAAGTCATCTAGACGTCTTGTACTTCTCGACGAGTCGGACAACGCATCGTTGCGACTGGTCCGACTTGAGTGATACTTTGATAGCGATGGACGATTCGGGAATGTCGCGCTGGAGAACACGATGCACGACATCTTCGATGTTCAACCAACACTTGTCGAGTCTTGTCAACTGCCTCTTGGGGCATACTCGCCGTGCTACGAAGCAAACCTACAGACTGCAGGCGATACGGCAAGATCGCAAAAGGTCCGCTGCGCTGTGGACGCTCCATCTACAATAAACATCTGGTGAATATGTATAAAGATGGACACAATCACCACAGTTGTGCTGGACTCATCATCGTTTCTTCAGTCCATCAATCCGAGGCACCCGCATTTCCATCCCGAACGACAAGATGAAGTTCACTCTCGCGACTGCTGCTGCCCTGGTGGCCACTGTTGCTGCAAGCCCTCTGGATCGGCGAGCAACTCCTCTCGAAGCAACGTTGACTCAAATCGACAACACCCTCGTCCGAGTCGCCCTCACCAACACCGGATCCACAGCCTACAACCTCCTGGCCGGAGGCACTATCCTCGACGATGCACCAGTGGACAAGCTCTACGTGACCGGAGGCAGTGAGTAATGAATCTCAGATACAAAGTGCACATTGCTGATTTCAACGTAGATGCTACGGCCACATTCGTCGGAATCACGAAGCGCATGTCGCTTCAAAACCTCGATGCAGATGCCTTCGTCACCCTTGAAGCAGGAGAGACCATCGAGAAGGAGATCCAAGCGGCCCAGATCTATGACTTCCCAGCCTCTGGCATTTACGAATTCTTGGCAGATGGAGTCTTCCCATATGCGGAGGCTGGTTCCACCGAGCTCACGGGTGATGCTTTAATCTTTGAATCCAACACTCTGTCGCTCGAAATTGACGGCGAAGCCGCTGCTGCTGTTGGCGATGTTGTTCGTCTCGACAAGCGCACAATCATCCAGAGCGACTGCACTGGCACTCGCCGCACTGCTGTGGTCAATGGTCTCCGTAACTGCGCCACTCAAGCCAATGCTGCAGCTAGCCAGGCCGCCTCCGGATCCGCAACTCGCTTCAACACTTTCTTCCGCACCACTGCTTCCGGAACGCGCAACACTGTTGCTGCACGTCTGCGTGCTGTCGCTGGAGAGTGCTCTTCATCCACTAGTGGAGTGTCCAGAACATACTGCACTGACCCTTACGGATACTGCACATCGAATGTACTCGCTTGTAAGTTATCACCTGCGGACCCTTTTCCCCCGCGCCTCCAGGCTTGAGGTTCTCCTAGAAGGTGATCAGTCCTGGAACGAACTCCAGAATATGCTAACATCACCCCTCGGAAACCAGATGCCGTCCCATCTGCCAGCAACGTCAACTACTGCCCAGCCTTTTATACCCTGCCTGCTGTCACTGGAAGCTGTTTCGCCCAAGATCAAGCTGGAACTGTCTTGCACGAGACCACTCATCTTTCTGCTGTGTACTCGCCGAACACGATTGATTACGCGTACGGCTACGCTGCAAGCACGAGATTGACTACTGCTCAAGCCGTGTTGAATGCCGACAGTTACACCCTGTTCGCCAACTCAGTGTCGCTCGGATGCTAGATGGTGGCTTACGGATGTCAGTGGGCAGGTTTGGGAGTTGGCAAGCATTGAGATATAAAGAGCTCAGCCAAGTACCCTATAGCTCTTGGAATTGAGCTCACTCCTGAATCAATGTTGTTCGCCTCAGGCAGGTGCAAGTGAGAAGCATGGAAATAGCATGATGTAGATGAATTGAAGACTAAAGAACTCAAACCCCTGCTCGGCCGAGTCTTCGGAGTAGGGATGATGACGACCAGATCTTCATGTGAACACACCAGCTGTCGTCGGCAAAGGTTCCGGCATGCAGAGCTTGCCCTAAAGCACCCCGACACTGCCATAGCCACCTCCTGTTATCCTGCAAAGTAGGTGTTATCGAGGTCGTGAGAAGGTGCTTTCGTCCTAATCGGGTATGGCGCCTCGGCCGCCACAGCAATGATGGTCCGAAGACGACGCATGCCCACATGGCTGAACTATACTTCCTTCACTCAACACAAGCGAGACGTGGAAGAGTGGACGCGTACATGCGGGGTCCCCAGACTCACAGGTCGTCTAGAAAACGCCTCGCTTGGTCGATCGGCAATTGGGTGAAGATAGTCTCCTATGCATGGCTACGATCATGTATATTAGCGCCTGGTTGTGCTCAGACAGGACGGCATTGCTCTCCTGGATCGTCTTGTGCAGAGCAATCTTTCACAGAATTCGATAGACGACCTTTGCTTAACAATGTCTCGGTGGAGATACGCTTTCAGTCTGTCGAAAGCAGAGGTAGCGGAGGCTGAACCGCCTGGCACGGTTCGACTAATTGGTCCGTTTCCTATTCTGCATCGATATGCTCGTAGAATATATGGCTGACGTTTGCCCAGAGCACGAGAACAACGATCACATCGCCCTCATCCCTCCGCCAACTCTCAACCCAGCCGACCCCCTCAACTGGCCACGATGGCGAAAATACGCAGTTCTACTCACCATGTCCTTCTATGCCCTCGCAGGGACATTCGCCCAAGCAAATATAGCATCTGCTCTACCCATCATCATGTTCCAATTGCCGCGAGCGGCTAATACACCACCACCTGGCTATGGCGAGCTCTCTCACCTCATCGCGTACAACGTTCTGATGATCGGCTTGGGAAACATTATTTGGGTTCCTTGCTCAAATATCTTTGGCCGTCGCCCGGTCCTGATCCTGGCGTTGGCAGTCACAGTCGGCGCGACGATTTGGTGCGGCAAGGCAGACTCGTTCGACTCGCTCCTTGCTGCTAGGATCGTCCAGGGATTCGGAATCGCACCAGCGGACAGCGTAGCTCCACATGTGATCGGAGAGTGTTTCTTCGTGCATCAGCGAGGAAGAGCGATAGTGAGTGATCCAAAATTTGCAGCGTACCTGTCTGTGCTGACTCCTTCCTAAGGCTTTCTATAGCACCTTCCTCAGCGTCGGATCCATCCTTGGCGGTCTCGTCGGCGGATATATCGCTGGCAACCTTGGCTATCGTTATCTCTTCTGGATTGCTCTCGCTCCTCTGGCCTTCACCTTGGTGGCACAGATTCTATTTGTGCCGGAGACAATCTTCGATCGCCAAGGACAGATGGAGCAAGATCAATTGCAAAATACTACGATATTCGAAAAGGCGGAAGTGGATACAGTCGAAAGGGTTTCAGATGTCAGCCATTCGTCAGAACAAGAGCACTTCACCTTTGCACGAAGCCTGCGAGTTGGCGTCTACCGTGGCCACATCGTCAAGAACTTCCTGGCGCCATGGAAATCTCTTCTCTTCCCAGGCACATGGCTTGTATGTCTCCATTATGGCGGGATCCTCGGCGGTCTAGTAGCAACTGCAACTGTGGGCCCCCAGTTTCTTGCTGCTCCGCCATATCTATGGGGGAACAATGTCGGTTTGATCAACGTTGGCGGTCTCGTCGGGGTCCTCATTGGTGGTGCCTCTACCTACATCATCGTGGATGTCCTCACCAAACGCTATGCGAAGAGAGATCGCACTGGACTTGCCGAACCGGAAGCACGTTTACCTATCATGTTTCCTGCTCTGATCATCGCAACAGCAGGAATCTGGTGCTTCGGCTTTTCTGCTGGCAATCCTGGAACTGGCGTGTGGGCAGGAATGGTTGTTGGGTTGGGTATGATATCTTACGCCCTCCTTTCGGTGCCCTCCGTGGGCTTCAGCTATCTGATCGACTCGTATGGCCCATTGGCAGCTGACGCTTTTGTTATGACAACGATAGCCCGAGGAGTCGTCTCCTTTGCCTACAGTTTCTTTGTGAGCAACTGGGTGATGAGCGCTGGGCCAGAGATACCTTTTGGCGTATTCGGTGGGATACTGGGTCTTTTTACCATTTTGACTGTGCCTGTTTGGCTGTTCGGAAAGAGGATGCGAATTGCCACGGCTGGCTTGCTACCTTCCATGGCATAGTTCTGTTTGCTAGGAATTAAAGCTGTACTTCAGACGCGATCTGTCGAGCCATTTCGGGTTAAGACCGGAGGCAAGAGTCTTCCGTTCAGGTAGTCTACCTAAACAGGCTCTTCTTCGATTATACGTTCATCATCGTGTAGAAGTTGTCCCCCCTCGTCTTGTGTATCCTTTGCCCGACTCAAGCCGTTTGATCATTCGACCTTATGATGCGCTAGGTCTTCCCATCGCTTGTTATCAAATAGTCCGACGAGCTCGAGCATGCTGTAGCCCCATCCCGCGACAGTCAGCACAAAGCCAACAGCGTAGACCTTCCACCGGTCCAGACGACTAGTCAAATCAAGTCCGATCATGTCTTCGCTTGCTTTGACCATTTTGAACGCACGAGGCAACATCTCTGCTTCGAATTTCTGGACGAGATCCGGCAGCGTGGTTTGCAGAGACGCAGGATCAGAAATCGACGATTCGTTGAGGAGAGCCACCAGCTTCGCAGCGTCGATGAGTGCCTGATTAGCACCCATCCCTCGACTTGGCGCCATGGCATGGATCGCATCGCCGAGAAGGAAGATTTGAGGACTTGCATTTGCTGTTTGACGCCAATCAATGGCAGGTTGGACCGAGCTTGTGAGCAGCCCAACTCTCATGTTGGATTTCACACTAGTGGCCATATTTGTCAAAGGATGTGAAGGGCCTAAAGCTTGATCGATGTAGTCGACTAGCAGCTCTATCGATGCTTCAGAATCACTTTGTGCCATCTCAAGCATAGGCTGTCCAATCTGTGAAGGTAGCATGACAGCCCAGTTTAGCGTGAGATTGTCGTTGTTGGTTTGCACGTCAGTATCACATTGGCCGCCATATACGGTGACGTATCCAGCAATCTTGCGTCCGCCAAGGTATACCACTGCGCCCGCAGTCTTTAGAGATGCAGGCAGAGCTTCATATGTGGCTTGATCGATGGGTCCTCTTGCTTGGATAGAGACCCAGTCCTTGAGCTTGACTTTGTTTTTCAAGCCAAGTAGAGCATTTATCTTACTGTTGCTTCCATCAGCGGCAATGACGATATCGGCGCGAGTGCTGGCTTTGTTCGTAAAGCACAGCTCGACATCCGTCTCATGAGTGATGAGTCGATCTAGGCGATGGTCGAAGCGAACACAAGCTCTTCCCAGTGGGCGATCCAACAGAGCGCGTCGCAGACTTGTCCTTGCAATCTGCTTGCTTTGAGGATACAACTTGAGTTGGGAAAGGTCGAGAACCAGGCCGAAATCTGCTGGGTTCACTAGCGATGGCGGTCGTGGATCTTTCCTGGTCCAGGATTTCTGGAGGAGACTCCAGCTGTACTGATCCAATACTTGTCTTAGAGCTTCGAGGGCGGTAGTGTTGATGTGGATCTGATATCCCCCTCGATCCGAGCTGAAGGCGATAGAGTCCCGCTCATAGACGGTAATATTGTACCGCTGCTGAGCATCTTGAAGTAGTCCATTGGCAACCGCGAGGCCAGAGACACCAGCTCCGACAATCGCCACTTCAATAGGTCGATCTCGTGTCTGTGCCATTGCCAGCACGAGTCATGAAAAAGCAATATTGAAAAGCAGGGAGCGAGGTCGTCCTGCCGACTTGCTAAATGCTAGTGGATAGGCAAGACCATTTCCTGATTATGCCGTCCCCGCAAACCAACCACACAAGGTACAGCAGGCTTGCGCGCGGACAGACTCTTAGACTGCAGGCTCTGCGTCTCTAGTGGAGTGGGCCATAAGAAGCAAATGCTATCCGTGAATCCGCAAATAGGACGAGAACGAGAACGTCAATCGCAGTACTGCTCTCTGGACCCTCATGTCCATCCTTGCCTGGCTTACCTCATCTTCCTGCATTCCCCAATTCACAGGGTCATCGCTGTACCCGGCATATCCGAGTACGCACGAACAAGGCGAACTGAAGTCTCTCCTCGGCGGCCGGCATTGTGACCCCAGAAATGAGTCGATGGGGAATGCTGCCTTTCACATGTATATTGCAGAATTGTTCAGTTCATTCGCTTGTCAGCTTTGCATATTGTTCCTCTTCCGAGGGTGAGAGATCCGTCCTATGAATCTGCTTCGATCTACGCTGCAGCTGCAGCTCACTCGATTCCTTGCCATTCCATTGAGCAGGTTTGCTAGGCTGTTTCGATCGCATGACAAGGAAGTGCTATTAGACCCCATATCGACAACGCGAGTCATGCTTTGATTCCCAGAATCGGGGTCTTTGTGAGCCTGAAGCCCTATGTCGAAAGAACACACATGGAACCAGGCAGAACCACTCTCGGGGCGAGCGTAAACGCCACCGGCAGAGACAAGGTCTAGTCTTCGATGTGCGGAGCACACGCCCGCATTCCAACTCCATCTCGTATTCCTGAATGGGTTGGTCCTTGAGATCTGATGCATTGTGCTTCTGTACGAATCTGTGTGATCCAAATCTTACACAGAGAATTAATCTCGTACTACAGAGTTTGGGAAGATGCGCAGTGCATTTCGCGCAAAACATGTCGACCAGTTTCTTGCTGCAATCCAGAGATGTCCTGCCATCATACTCCCCTACAGTAGCTTGTATGCTCCCTCTCCAGCGACAGTAGATGTTGCCGTGCCTCACAGTGTCCAAAATGAATTGGAAAACCGTGGCCTCTCAGGTCATTGTCGTATAAGGGTTGCGTCTGCCTTGTCGCACCAGGCCTCGGACGAGCGTGAAGTCTTATCTTTTCTCCGTGTACCACGCCACTTTCCTCGACACGTCGACTCAATAAAGGAGCGTGACGTTCACCCGAATAGCGATTGTCTTAGCCGGCAATTCTGGAGTGCGTTGCGCCTCTCGCCCTAAGATTTCCGACAATCGGTAGTTCTAGGGCTAGATTAGGGCTGAACACACCAGGAGTGCTGACTGTTTGAACTTCAGGAATTTCGACTTGGTTGAATTGTGCTGGCCGAGCCATTTTCGCCTCCGGTGGGAATGTGCCTCCAGCTCTCGTCGCCACAAACGATTCGGCGTAAGAGATCTCCTTCTGGCCCATTGGATCCAAGACAAGCCGTACCGGACGTGTTTCAGTTGATGAGTGATGGTGCAACTTCTACCATGAGGAAGTGGATCTGGATCGCGGCTGCCAACTTTAGGCGGACGTCACTTCCTGCTATCGGCTTCGCGCTTCCGCGGAAAGCACGACAAAGGACATCGCCCTCGCTCTCGAGGATCCAACGCACGCAGTGAAGCGGAACATCTGGAACGGCTGGTCGTTATATCGGCAGTCCCACCTATCCCATCAGCAGTCGTGGAACCTGTCACTCAGACGCCACCTCCAAAATTTCCCATGCTAGAAGGAATGATGGCGCGCCCAAGAAGCACACGGAGGACTTGAGGCCCCAACAGCCACAAGACAACAGAAGCCTTTACATTCTTTGGTCAAAAAGTCGACTTCTGCTCTCAGTGGGCGCGATCACTGGAAGCATGCTCCTGTATACGTGATCTCGGTGTTCTCCAGCAAGCCGAGGTAGTCATTACAGGCCTGCCACTGGTTTCGAAGTATGCCCAGAACACGGCGAATTGTATTCAGGTTCTCCAAGCTCGCCTCGTCTCCGGTCTCGCGATGTCGCCAAGCCCATGTGCCAGCGGCAGCGTACAGACAGTTGAGCACCAGAGGGCTCATGCTTGCGGCCGGATGGGAGCCCAGATATGCCTCAATCTGTTTCGCGAGGTCCACAGTTTCTTCAGACATGGCCCTTGACCCATCAATCGCAAGCTGCTGCAGCTCCAGACGCCGACCTCGGTTGCCGCCTGCCGCCTCGACATGGTCGACCTCAATGCAGCTATGAGTATCATACATCAGGTGCAGTGCTGAAAGACACACTGCGCGTGCAGTGATCAGTCGGTGCGGTTCTCGTATCGCGGCATTATCGTGGTCGAGGAGCACTTTGAATGCGGTCACGGCTCTGCAAATATGCGCAGCCTCTTCCAGATGCAGGTCAGCATCTGCCGCACTCGGGTGCTCGTTGACGTGCTCGCAGACCTTGCCAAGGAGGTGAGCGGCCTGGCAAGTTCTGGCAAAAGGTCCTACAGCAGCGTTGGCTTCGATACTCATGACCAGCAGGGCATTGACGGTGAGCTCACCATTGTCCCAGTCGCCATCTGCCGCAGGAATAATTTCGTCCGGTGCGATGGTTTGCGTCGACAGCGGGCGAAAGCGGAAGCCAGCATGGGCCATCCGATCTAGGATCATGGTCCCCCACCAGAGTCTTCGCCTCTCCTCTGTTTCCGTCCAAGTGTCAACGACGCCGAATAGCTGCGTCGCCTTCTTCTTGTCATGCGTCCCGAGACAGTAGAAGATGCGAGCGCAGTGCGAAATGGTGAAGTAGGCCACGGGGAAGATGCCATGTCCGTACTCGTACACCGCAAGCAGCACGTATGCTGCGCAGTAGTCAGTGGATAAGATATTGCGTTGTTCGCATTCCGTCAGCGCAGCCTTGATGGCTCGATACCTGGAGTAGGAAGTGTCGGAAGGGGGTAGCGATAGCAGTCGCATGGTGAACAAGAGTGCAATCATATCGGCAGCCACGACCTCATTGCTGCTGTACACCTCGCGAGCCAGCCGCTTGATCGACACCACCGGGAACCACAGGTGGCTGGTCACGGCATAGTGGTCGATTATGGCGCGGGCATCCGCGATAGATGGCGGCGGAAGATGGTCGATGATATCGGTCCACAGAAGTCGGCGGTTCAAGCTCATTTCTGATCCTCTCGTCGCAACCGAATCGAGGAACCACCGAGCGGGTCGTATGGAGGCGACGCTATCATCGAGACTGCTTGGAGTGCCCAGATGCGCAGTAGATATAGGAGGATCGCGTGACTGCCTGGCTGGCTTGGATGAATGTGCTCTCGACTTCCGACCAGGACTCTCCCTATCCCGCTCTAGCGTCGCGCTTGGGTCTTGATAGTCGCAAAAGCGGCCGACTCTCGAGCACAGCGAGCAGGTGGGGAGTGATTTGCTGCATTTTCGTTTTAGGCGGCGGCACGACACGCAAGCGAATTCAGCCAACCCAGGACTGTTCATGAGCGGCCGCTTGTGAAGTGGAACGGCTGGCGGCAGGATGCATTGTCAGAGCAGATGCGGTGTAGCGACTATAGAACAGCTCGCTGGAAGAGCGGGCGCGGGCGCGGGTGCTGTCGACGAGTGCGTTGCTTGGCGCCCGCTGGGCGGAAGTCAAACATCGTCATCTGCCGCGATGTGGGCTCGACATGATCCTCATCCCTCCTCGCCACGTGAAGCCAACGAACAAGGCCTACGTCGAGATGATAGCCGCCGCTCGAGCGGCTACGGAGGCAGTCCATCAGTCCTGCGTACCGACGACCATAGCCGCCTCCGGCTAATCTCATCCCCTCCCGTGCTCGCGACACAGTCCATATACATACCCGATCAAGGTCGCCCATCCTGGTCTTGACCACGGCATGTACCGAGCAGAAAGCATGAACCATGAGAATGTGCACGAAAGCAGATGATGCCTATGCTTCTCCATTGGCTTCGCCCGACTCAGTGGGCCGTTATACAAGGACTCAATCCAAAAGGACCAACAAGTAGCTCTGCATCGTCCACTGCTATGCTTCTCCACGGAAGAGGGCCTGAACTACATTCGTTGCTACGGTCTCCTGGCTCTTGACTACGACGAGTGGCCCAGCCGCAAGCAGAGGAAGGATCTGCTGGAGCAGAGTAGACTTACCTCTTGCACATGCCGTATTCAGCCTGACTCCAATGATACAACGAACGGCCGGCTTTATGGTCTGACAATTCAATGGCATAGCGACAGGCGGGTTGTCGGGAGACCAACGCATCATGGCATTGAGTCAGCGGACGCCATGCCCAAGCCATGCTATCGACAGCTCGGCAGACTCTAGTCCTGCCATCATACCATAGCTGGTGACCTACGGTAACCTCGAGGTCGATGAGAAAGAGCTGTGACAACCACAGCTTGGCTTGATCGCTGAGCCACTTCAAAATTGCGTCCAAGGCCCTCTTTCCGTCTCTCCACATTCCGACTTTGCTTTTCGTGGGATTCACGCCACAGATGAGGCAGACCGTGATGATCTGCGAACCATAAGAAGCGGCTGATGTCCGGCCCAAGGCAGCAACGTAAGTCGCTGAGCTACTAAGACGCCGACTGAACCTCTACAAAGCAAAGCTGCACTTGGCACAAGAGGCACTTGTGGCACCGCCTGACTGCAACAAAGACACTCTTGCAGATTTGTATGATCTGCCTTGGCAGCAGCAAAGGAAGAATTTGGTCAACGCAGGCTCTGGCTGATACTGCTGTACTGGGTGCGCACTCCCACGCTCCTCAGAAGAATAGAGATCGATGGACAGGGCCACAATCTCGATGTCGAAAGTACATTCGACGTGATTGCCCCATCGTTGGAACTTCGTATCACCATCGTATTGGAAGATGACATACATTGCGTGGGTACGTCCTCAGGCTGCAGGGGTTGGCAAAAGAAGCGTTGGGGGCTTCTCAGCACGCTCAGCCGCGCAACAATGGCCGAGCTAGTCAAGCATGCCAGAAATAAGTCGGTCAGTGAGGTGCTAGAGTCGACGTCGTCTTGTCGCGAGCCCAAGTTCTGCCCTCCGACACTTGTGTCGTCGGACCTGACACAATCTTCACCAGAGGTGCCGTTGATACTCCGACGCATCGTCGAAACTTTGCTAGTGCATTCCTGGCCCCGGGCATGATGAGGAGGCGGATCAAGTGGCACAAATGATGGTGATTCTCTTCAGCAGCGAATACTCGTTCGACACAGAATCGCAGCACCGCGTCTTTGCTGGACGTCCTGCGAGGGCCGCATCTTGCAGACACATGCGAAGTGTCTCGGGCCCGATCGCCATTATGAGCGTCGAAATAGCATCATTTGCACCAATTGATCATGTCAACCCTTTGCCTGGTGAACGCAGTGATCAGATTCAAGGTTGTGGCAGTGTCCGGCGGAAAACCTGACATCTGCCGGTTTAGCCGCAATGTGTCAGAGTGTGACAAAATTGCCAAATTCTCTTCCCATCTCACCTCAATGACTGTTATTCTTGCTCTGTCTCCAGAATGCAGAATTTCGCGATGCAGCGTGAGGAGTCCCTGTGTAACCCGAGTATGGTGTCCGCACAACGGAGTTTGCGGCGTTTGGATGCCGTTCCATAGCTCGCCCAAAATGGACAATGCTGCCGTCAATTCGTCACCAATTCTCGCCACCTCACTTCACCAGACATCACGAGATTCTCCCCCATTAAGGACAGACTTCGCTCATCGACATGGCACCCACGCCAATCGTTGTTCAAAAAGTGCAGTCCCGTATTCCGGAGGCTCTGACCAGCGTCAAACAACACCACATCGGGAGCCCTCCCGAGAGCTTCAAGAATCCATGGCCGTCGTTCCGTGAGCATGGCAGGCTTGAACTCTTTAAGCTCCGCTTCGGCAACCACCCAGAGAAGAATTTCGTGCCTGTTCCAGAAGGCCCTGGCGGGACTAGATCCAATCAGCTTGTTCAAGTTTTGAAGCCTACTTGGGGTGTGGATCAACAGGCTAAACTTCGAGCCACTTGGATTGGACACGCTTCATGGTTGATTGAGACTCCCGTGCAAGAGGGCGATGAGCGGGGCGTGAGAGTTCTGTTCGATCCTGTTTTCAGCGAAAGGACTTCGCCGTTTAGTTTTGCGGGGCCGAAGAGGTATACGCCGACACCTTGTTCGTTGGATGAGTTGCCAGAGCCGGACATCATTTGCATATCGCATAACCACTATGATCATTTGGTTGGTGCTTTTAGATATCGAAAGAACGAAAATTCTGACTGACTCGCGCGCAGGACTTCTTTGTCATCAGCACTTTGTATCAGAAGCTCCGAGGACGTCTGCATTTCTTCGTAGGATTAAACACCAAGAGCTGGTTCCTCCAGCATATTGGATGCTCTGACGAAGATGTGACTGAAGTGGATTGGTGGGACGAGCACGAGATATCGGTCGAAGGTGTCGGCAATATCCAGCTGCTGTGCTGTCCGACTCAGCACTTTCCAGGTCGTACTCTATTCGATGCTGGTCATGCGCTGTGGTGTTCATATGCGCTGGAATGCAATGGCAAGAAACTTTACTTCGCCGGAGACACCGCCTACCAGGCTGAGGGAGCTCCTTCGCCATGTCCGGCCTTTGCCCAGATCGGCGAGCACGTGGGACCTTTCGATTTGGCCTTGATACCCATCGGACTTTACAGCCCTAAAGAGGTTGCGGCATCAGTTCATGTTCATCCCGAGCAAAGTTTCGAGATACACAAAGCTGTGCGCTCCAAGCTCAGTATTGGCATGCACTATGGCACGGTACGAGGTGGTCTCAGTGCCGTGTTCGAACCAGTTACGGATCCTCCTCGGCGATGGAGAGAGGTGGCTCAGAAGCAAGACCAGTGGCGTGGTGGTGGAGTAGAGGGTGACGGCTCACCCGTCGATGTTGCGAGCTCAGATGGCGTCGGCCTGTGCCATGTTGGCGAGACCGTAGCTGTTTGAAGCGGTAGGCTTCTCACTGACAGCGATTGCGATTGCGATTGCTTCGCACGGACTCTTCCCAAGCATCTCGTTGGAAATTGTGGATCTTTCTGGGCCTTCTCACCCGTGGCTTGATCGTTTCTGGTGTATGCTGTGCCACATGCATCTATGGCAGCGTTCCGAAATCAAGGCCAGCATTCCGAAATCGTTCCGAAAGGAAAACCAGGGACCTGGAAAGAAGTCCAATCCAACCAGGAGAAAGTATTGCGCGGCCGAGGAACCAAACATGTGAGGTTCCTGTTCGAGCAACGAGATCACTCATCGAGTGCAATGATTTGAAGGCAGAGAATGGCGAGCGTGATCAAGCAAGAAGTTATCTGTTTCTGATCCCCCACTTCAACCGAGCTAGCAACCTCTCCACTCGGCTAGGTGACAGTACCGGGGCCTGCAATGGCTTCATGTGGTTTGTTATGCCGATTGCGGCGAATTAAGTGCAGACACAGCCAATCATACAAGATCAGAGATATTCAGTGTGTGCGCTCCTAGATCAGGCCATGCCTGTGTCCGAAGTGGTGGCACGTCGACTGAGTCATTCAATACTGACTTCACCTTGCGCACTGGTACGGATGGCCCAATGAGCTTCTTGATCGATTGATGGTGCCACAATCAAGTAGCCTGCTTGGCATGCAATGATACCTCCGCCACAGTGACGGTATGGCCTTGGGGCAGAAAACAAGAGTTGGCTATATCACTCGATGTGCGACTCTGTATGCAGATGAACCATGGAACCGGAACAACGATTGTAATTCCATACCCCAACAAGTTGTCCGCTTGCCCATCCTGCGAAGCTCGCCCGATTCCATCGCGAGACACAGACTGCAACAGAGGACAGGAGGCCACACCCGACTTCTCAGTACAGTACTCGAGTTCGCATCTGGTCCGAAACTCTAAGGGTTGGATTCCCACGTGCAGATGAGGGCTGCAGACCGTTCCGTGAGCGCATCGGAAAAGAGTCGGAAAACGGCCCCCACGCCCGCATCTGCCATTTTCATAGAGATGCGTCGCAATGGTGTCAAGGCATCTCTGGCAAGCTGTACGGGTCCTGGTCGATGTGGTAGCCACGAGCCACTGCATGGCACACTGTCCGGCTGAATACTAATCAAGATGATCTGATCACCTTCGGCTCTTCGGGTTCTGCACAAAACCCATCTTGCTAGCGTATCGAGGCAGATGCATGGGCGCAAGGTTATACACCTGGAGTCTGGGTAGCGCCCTTGTAGCGACTGAGTCACTGAGCATTGAAGGCAGCGAGTGGCCTTGCTCATGCTCGTGGTCTTTGCTTGTGAACAGATACCTATGCTTGTAGTCGATGCTGGGAAGGAGAAGAAGAAACCTTCATGCCCCGTGGCATCCACGCGCGGCATTCAGAGACCTGTGGCTCGAACCTGGATCGGCATGTGGCATACGCTACTCCTGTGCACGAGTTGCTTGCTTTACGTGCGTCGGAAATGCTGCAGTCTCTCGAGGCACGTCCCTCTCCTTAGAGGCCAGGACGAGGTCGACCCCTCGCTGCGATAATACGAAAAGTACGAAAAGGAGATGTGCACCCATCTGCCGATTGTCCCACCGGCACCTGCTTGATGAAGCGCTCTCGTGTTCAACGGCCGTAACATCGCAAGCAAGGTTCGCTACCATGTGAGGTTTATGATCAACAACATCCTTCTCTCATGAGTCGTGTGAAGTCATCGATAGCCCTGCGACGGACTCGTCTCGGTGTCGATGGTCTATGCCATTTGAAGGAGGAAAGTTGCAGAGACGCGCGGGTGAAGTTGATGGAACAACGCTCGGCGCGGCCGCGAGCGGTCTTGGCAAGGTCGGCAAATAAAATTTTGCTGACAATGCCATCGTCCTCATTGCTCAAAATTCCAACCTTGCATGTCCTCCGCAGACGACATGCCGTCAACATGAATGGCTGGCCTGGTGACAATCCGGTGCTGGAAGCAAAAACTGGCATCAGCACCGCACATGTCTATGAAAGGCAGCTTCAAGGCGAGGAGCTGAGTCTGAGTTGACCGGAGCACTGCCAAAAGTATCGAAATGCCTTCTTGCAGACAGTTTCAATGGCATGACTGGTACCGCCCTCAGCTCTCACTTTCGGAGTATCACAAGTCTTTTCCAGATCAGACGATTCTCTGTTGATTTCTTAGCGGCGAAGTCAGGCGAATCGAGGCCGCTCCCGAGCAGGATAGCGCATGAACTGAAGATCCGTGGCCAGCTGTCTTGCGAGACAACTCAATAGAAACAGATCGCACTCGTAGGCTAGAGTCGGTGCCCAGTGTTTGTGGAGGTATTTTGCCCTTTCACTCCGCCATCTGTGAGCATCGAGGAGCAGCCTCTGCACAGCATTGCTCCAATTCAAACGCAATCCACAAATTTAGACGAATTACCTTGAGTGGCATGACCAGTATTGGAAATTCGCAAAGCACGTTGCTTTGTCTGTAAAGTGGAGGGCATTGGGCGAGCATGATCATGAGCATGAGCACACTGCAGGCTCCATGGCGGTATGCAACCACGCATCGATCAAGACACCAATCAGGCGCAACAGAAGGCATCTAGGATACGAGAAATCGAGAAGTTCTTGCGCGGCTGCTGACAATGCTGAGACATGCAGAGTTGTTCATTGGTGGACCATCACAGTGCGGAGGCCATCCAGGTGTTCCGTTGTGAACTCACACAAGCAGTATTTCAACATGAATAATCTGAGCAACAGAAAATTGTACACCGTTCACGTCAGCATCAACACCAGCTCGACAAGATGCCAAAGATCAAGACTACAACAAAAGCCAGCAGCAAAGCTGCGGCGAAGAAAAAGGAATCAAAGCCGATCAAAGCACTTCCAGTGACACTCCTTTCCGGCTTCTTAGGAGCAGGCAAGACGACATTGCTTCAGCATATTCTTCGCAGCGAACATGGCCTACGAATTGCCGTCATTGTCAACGACATCGGAGCGTGCGTTCTCCTTGACGGCTAATCAACACCATCTCACTGACTGCAAACAGTGTCAATGTCGATGCCAACCTGATCCGAAGCACACATCGCTTGACCAAGACGCAAGAGAAGGTCATTGCACTTCAGAATGGCTGCATCTGTTGTACACTGCGAGGAGATCTTCTCGAAGAACTTGTCCGACTCTCAGAATTGGCAGAGTTCGACTATATCATCGTCGAAAGCAGTGGTATCTCAGAGCCAGAGCAGGTGGCTGAGACATTTGATGCTCGTCTCGCCGAACAGATCAGCCAGCTAGGAGAAGGACCTGAAGGACTTGACCCCGACACCTTGGCTTCGTTGAAGCGGATCAAAGAAGCTGGTGGATTGGACAAGTTTGCGAAGCTAGACACTACCTGCACGGTACGGCAGATGTATCGAAGATACCATTCAGCCTGGCACTGACAACTTCCTTAGGTCATTGATGCCTTCACCATGTTCCATGACTTCGAAACAGCAGACTTGCTCTCCGCTCGACGAGACGATGTTACACCAGAAGACGAAAGGACAGTCTCCGATCTCATGGTCGACCAGATCGAGTTCGCGGATGTGATCGTGCTAAACAAGATTGACATGGTTGGCAAGAAAGATCGTGCTCGTATCCTGGATCTGATCAAGAAGCTCAACCACCGAGCGAAGGTCATTGAGTCGAACTACGGCAAGATCGAGGTCAAGGAAATTGTCAATACTGGCATGGTAAGCTGGCTATCAGTAAACATCACTGGCAATCTTCAGCTGACATATCTCCAGTTCAATCTAGAAGTCGCACAGACCGGATATGGCTGGCTTCAAGACCTGCATGCCATGACTCTCAGAGAAGTCAATGGCAAGAAGATGGTCACTCCCAAGCCTGAGACAGAAGAGTGAGTGAGCGCCGCCTCGCTCTGACAGCACTGGCTGATCAATTCCAGATACAATGTCCGCAACTTCGTCTACGTCCGCCGGCGGCCCTTCCACCCACGACGACTCTTCGCCCTCTTGCACGACAAGTTCATCCTCCAGCACCCTCAAGTTGAAGAGGAAGAAGCAGAGGATGACGTCGAAATGGAAGACGACGACTCAGGCTCATCCGACGAAGAAATGGATGACGAAGAAGGAGAAGACGAGGAAGACCCCCTCGACCTCCCCTCCAACCCCACAATCCTCCAAAACAAACGCCAACACCCCCTCTTCTCCCGCCTCTTCCGCTCCAAAGGCGAATACTGGCTCGCAACCCGCCCCGGTCGAGCCGGAGAATGGAGTCAAGCAGGCGCAATGCTCACCCTCGCCGGCGGCCGTCCCTGGTTCTGCACCCTCCCACCCTCCGAATACGAAACCGGCAGCGAAGGAATCGACGAACTTGTCCGTCACGATATCGAAGCTGGTGGGAAATATGGTGATCGTAGACAAGAGCTTGTGTTCATAGGAGAGAATCTTGATATCAAGGGGATTGAAGCTGAACTTGATGCTTGTTTGTTGAATGAGGAGGAGTGGAAAGTTTGGGAGGAGGTGATGGGTGCTGGGGAGGGGCCGAATCAGAGGGAGTCGATGGGCGAGAAGGAGAAGTTGTTGCAGGATGTTTTTGATGATGGGTTTCCGGATTGGGATGATGGGGAGGAGGAGCATCATATGGATCATGATCATCAAGGACAGGGACATGTTAAGCGTGTGGATTCGCACAGTCCCAGTCGACCTGCCAAGGCGAAGCATGGGGTGAAGAAGGATGGCACTGTGTATTGAGTGGTCGTACTATCAGCGCTTAATCAAGCGAATTTAAAAGTCTCATCATTCGTCAGCGCGCTCCTTAGAGTCCCGGTCCCTCGATGTACTTCCTGCTTGTAGATGTCAACCGTGGCAACAGAAGTCCAGAAGACTCTCAATCTTTCGTGGCCATCAATGCCATCATGCCCTGGCCTCAATCGTCGCACATTCTTTCAGAATGCCCTTCTTCCACTTCGCATAATCTGCTCTCCTCTCATCGCTCAACCAATCAATAGCAGGCTGGAACATCGTACCAAGACCTGGCAATAGTCCAGCAGCACCGAGATCATCTTCCAAAAACCCATCCGCCGGAAGCGCAGCTTTTCCGCCATGTTTCTCTTTTCTTCTCAGTGGAGTCTTCGTAGGTCGTTTGCGAGGCGTGACAGTTTCTTCTTCTTCACCTTCTCCCATCTCAACGTCCTCGTCTTGCTGTTCGACTTCGTCGATATTTTCAGGCACGTTTCTGTACCAGTCCATGTCCAACCAGCCGCAGTCTTCTGCTTCTAGCATATAGAAGTCCACAGGTTTCTTGAGACTTCGCATGGTGATATCCCCCAGCTCTTGTGGTAAAGAGGCAGCGTTCGATATCACGTACATTTCCACAGCTTCGCAAGCTTCTTTTCTGACGTCTGAAATCTCTTCCGAATCGGCCTCTACTCCTCGCATTCTAGCAACAGCGTAGAGCAGCAAAGCGACAACCAGCGCAGGCCACTTCTCAACGGCAACCGCGTCCTCGGCGTTCTCAGCTTCTGCTGCTACGGCTGCCGTCTGCGTTCGCTTCGCCGCACTCTGCGGTGTCCTCCTCCTCCTCTTCGTAGCAGGCTCAACACTGCTCGCTCGTTTCGTGACCCTCGACGCAATCTCCCGCACCACAGCTTTCGCCCCCACGACCACATGCGGGACAGCCTTCGGCGTTTTCGTGGCCTTGCAAACATGCCGCACAAGCGGCATAACAAAATTTGGAACGCCGTCAATCTCCTGCCCAACATCTTGTCCTTGTCCCTTCTCAACAACCTCCCTCGCCCTCTTCATCCCACTAACACTCGGAGTCTTCAACTTCGTTGCACTATCCGCCTCCCCTCTCCTCCCACTCTGCTGCTGCGGCGTACTCCTACCCACACTCCCATTTCCACCAACCACATCCCTCCTCCTCTCCCCCCTCGGCGTCCTCGGCGGCGGCACAGGAGCACTCAAAGCCCCATCAAGATACCCATACAATTTCTTATAAACCTTCGGCGGACACGGAGGTTTCGGCTTATCGAGTTCAAGATCTAATCGCTTCTTGAGTCGTTCCGCTGCAATATGCGCACAAGCGTAAACGCGTCCAATTTCTTCTTCGGGTTTCAATGAGGCGGCTTTGGAGCGCGATTGGGCGAGGAGGCTGCTGGCGAGGGAGACAAGATCCGGAGGGAGGAAAGATATGGTGGGGAGGAGAGTTGAGAGGACGGTTTCGGTTGGGGTGGGCATGGTGGGTGTGTTGGAAAGGACTGGTCGTTCTGGGGAGAGGAGTTGTAAGTTGAGAAAGCTGGGTGACGCGTGTTGGAACACTAAAGACGCGAACCCACGTGACTCATTTCATACTAATATTGTTTCTATGTACTCTGCCATCGCTATGATATGTCTGACAGTCCCGCCGAGACGTCCAGCGATCGCTGTCTATCGTGCCAACAGTCAAGCAGGAGCCAGCAATGTCGATGATATCACTCCAGTGCCTCACTGCTAGTTACTATTTCTCATCTTAAATATTGTACGCCTGGGAAACATTACGGCACAACGTTTCTCGTCCACCGATCGCTTCGACCATGGTCTTCCCCTGTCTTCTACAGAAATATCCAAGATAAGTTTACGGTGCAATTGATGCATTGCCAGATCTGGTTCGCCCGATGGTCCCTGCTCGTAAGCTTCGCGCAACGTCCTTATGTGGAGTAACAACAGCTAAGGCGCCGCAATTGCATGTTCTCCACGTTGGGCAAATGCTAGCATCCTGTCGTACGTATTCCAGAGATCGGAACCTGGTCGTCAGCCGATTTTCTATTTTCGCGCTCGAATCCGGATCGACCGGTCTCTGGATGGTTTATGCTTCGAATGAGTCTGACATATCAGAAAACCAATTGACGGAAATGATATTTTTTGCATTTGTATGTGTCTACACAGATCCTGTATATGGTGCGTAGCGCCAGATGCGAGCCTTCATATCTCCAGAACCGGTGGCGAAAAGTGTACCCATTGGGGAAGGAGCAACGCTGATAACTGCGAAAGTGTCAGTATGTGCGCAATCAATTCCTGCAAGACTTTGACTTACCCGAATTCTTATGTCCCTGAAGCATGAGTTGTGCCTCTCCTGTTGATGGATCCCAGAATTGAACTCCGCGATCCTTTGACCCAGACATGACCCAGTTCCCATCAGGCGTGAGCGCGACAGAAAGAACAAAGTCTTTGTGGCCTTCGAATGTGCGCACGCACTCGCCACTCTTAGGGTGAGGGGGCTGCACACTGCCTGGGTAGCCACTTCGTGGGTTGAGCCTCCACATGCGGATCGTCTTGTCGAGCGAGCCAGATACCAAGTGCTCGCCATTGGGAGAGAAAGCAACGGAGTAGACACTGTCCTTGTGTCCTTGCTCGCCTTCAGTGCGCTCCACGAGCACACCAGTCTGAGTATCCCAGATTCTGACACTCTTGTCCAAAGAGCCTGCAGCAACATAACGACCATTAGGCGACATAGCGACAGTAGTAACGCCGTCCTCGATGGCCAGAGAAAGCACGCATTGATTGTCCTGAAGATCCCAGAGCCTGATAGTCCTATCGCCAGATCCAGAAGCAATGTATCGGCCATCAGATGCAAAGTCCAGCGAGTAGATGTCTTGGTCGTGACCAGCAAATTGATGCCTAATGACCTTCGCTGCGATGTCCCACACACGAATGATCTTGTCCTCAGCGCCGGTGGCCAGGTATCGTCCATCGGGGCTGAAGCAAACGCTTCGAATGTACAAGTCGCCCTCTGCGGCAGTGTTGTTGTCTTGGAGATGGCAAACTTGCTTTCCACTGTTCACATCGAAGATCTGGGCGGAGCGGTTGCAACCCGTTGCGACAAATCGTCCATCTGCACTGAATCGCACACAGCAGACCACACTCTGATGAGCCAGGCTGTGAACGAGATCGACATCCAGTCTGCGCGGCATCTTGGGGTTGAAGACTGCATGCCAATCATCGCCCTGCTTCTTGAGGTGTGGTGGCAGCTTCTCCGGCTCATATTCGCACAGCTGGTTGCCAATCTGTTCGAGTTGAGCGGGACTGTACTGAAAATCTGCTGCGATGGTGGTGTGTGGGTTCTGGTTCATGTGGTTCGGTGGTGGCGTTGGGCGAGCGACAGGATGCGGGGAGCCTGGGTAGGCAGCGGCTGGGTTTTGCTGAGGCGTTGCGGGTCCTCGCAATGGGCCAGCGGCACCCAGGCGTGGCTTACCACCGCCAGGAGAAGACGTTGGCGGCGGAGGCTGTCCTCCATAGCCATTGACACCTGGCGGACCCTGCTGTTGTTGCGGCGCGCCATAGGCGAAAGGATTGTGCGGCTGTGGGGGAGGTTGATTCAAGCCCGGCGGTCCTTGGCCTTGCATATGACCGGGCATACCAGGCTGACCCTGCGCATCGGTGGGAGGGGGCGCAAGTCCTGGACCGCTTTGCCCGCCAGCCATGATGCCTTGGAATAGATTCGCGGGACCATGGCCAATGGCGGGAGGCGGCGGTTGTGATGGAGCAGAGTGAGGACCTTGAGACGGACCGCCTCGCTGCTCGAGCTCATGCTTCAGGCGGGCAATCTCCTCTTCATATCTGCAGTTTCATTAGTGCTGTTGTAGCTTCGCGCGGTGTTGAAATCCCACCTCTGTTTCATGGCGACATGTGAAGCCTCCAGCTGATAGATCTTGGTCCGCACCAGCTCCATCTCCTGGATCTGAGCATGCACTGTAACTCATGAACTATGTCAGCATTACATACTGTGAAGTTCCGTCCCCTCCGTGCCCTGGTTGCTGAGTAGATGGATCGTGAGAACAGCAGTTCAAGTTCTCGCGATACAGGCCACGCAGCATCCAACACGATTCCGCGCCGTTTCCGCCATGATGAACCGAGCGAGCGCGACTCACATGAATGCTCATTTTCGTTGGAGCGCGCAGTGTGCTGCTCGAACTCTGCCCGCACCTGATCCAGCAGCTCCGCTAGCCTGTTTCCAGGCTGCGGGCCTGGGGCCATGCCGCGATGCGCATTGTACATGTCGCAGTGTCCGGCTCTTCGCGCGCGTTATCTGCGCGCCCTGATCTCAATGTAGCCGTGCGTTCTTGCTGCGACGATGGCGATGATGTACAGAGCCCGGTGCAGACGAGCGAGGAAGGGGAAGTGCGGAGACGGTGTCCGCAGCCCGTTTGGTCGTCAGGTCGGGTGAGGGTGGGTGTCGAGAAGGGGGATTGGGATGGCTGGGTGGATGGGGATGGTGGGGAGGGGAAGGAACCTCTCCGGCGACGAGAAACGACAGAGAGAAGGAGGACTTGATGCGGTAGGGGAAAGCGAAGCGAAAGGCAGCTCCACGAGGCGACGCAGCGCGCGAGGGAAATGCAGCTGGGTTTTGACGGACGACCACAACGTTAAGCTTCGCTGCTAGCACCATGCAGGCGATGCAGCTGTGGCTCCAACGACGGGACCCACTTCGCATAAACATGGGTCGTGGCAGACGATGGCGCTTCTTGCACCTCTTGGCGGCGAAGAAGAGACGTCCGCTGTGCAGCCATCCCCAAAACGCGCGCATCCCTGCCCCGAGCGCGCTTCTGCATGTCCGCCCTTCTGGCAGCGCATCCGATCCGAGAGCCCGCTGTTCCCTCCGTCTCCGCCCCCTGGCGTTGCGAGGCAGCGATGTCGTGCAATCCCGCAACAGTCACCACCTGTGTTCATGCGCGCAGCAAAAGCACCAGCACCAGCCGGGCAGCGCCAGAGACACGGCAGAGGCCTAGTTAGTCTGACATCCATGCGCACGGATGCATCGCACTGCCTTGCTTGGTCTCTGTTTCTTCGGCTGCACGTTCCGACCTGGTCGCCTCCAACCCTTCTGCAGCCCGTACGCAGGAGCAGCATCAGAATATCGATATCTCCCGCACTCCGGCCGACGCAGCCTCACTGCCCTCTCAAACACGAGACACTCTCGTCGAAACTCTGCCGATCGGCGCGCCCTGATGATGACAGCGCCATGTCATGGACACGGCCAGGTGTCGTCGACGCTGTGTCTGCTGAACATGGTACGCAAGCACAGCAGATCCGATGCAGCGGATCCATGCGACTGCACATCGTGTGTCAGCTTGAGATGATTGAGGCAACACAGACGCGATCTGCCTCGCTGCCGCCTGTGTGTGGGGGTATCACGGGAGGCTGCACGCTGGTTGCATAGACGACATGAATGGTACAGTCCACGTTTTAGACGCCCAACACAATGTGACCGAGGGGAATTCTGGTAGCATCACCAAAGCCCGTGCTCCAGAGCGATGTACAAGTCTTCTCCTGAACTTGACTTTCGCCGTCCGTGGGGAGCCCTCTACATCTTCATACGATAACGTTTGCGGGCGCCAGGGTCAGGATATGATGGTGTGTGGTGGTGGGCAACGGAGAAGCACGCTCATCTGGAGTGCAGGAACATTTGGCTTTCGGGCTGATTCGACAAAGTTGCGGCTGCCGCTCGCACCTGAACGTGGTGCATGCCAGATGGCGCACAGGCAGAGCCTAGGAGGTAGGTTGCGAGCAGCTTTCTGCCGATTGGACCGCTGCAACATGTATTCCATCGTCTTTGGTTGTCGACTGCTCTCGCGGTGTCGTCCTCTTTGACTTTCTACCTGCTGCACAACCGCCACCCCGTTACATGCAAGTTCGAGAGTCAAGTCACGTCGTTACCGAGAACAGTTCTTCGGCCCTTTAGACTTCTGAACGGCTATGCGAATGATTGTACAGTATCGACTTCCCCCCAATGAGATGTCGTGTTCAACCTGGAACCTTCGACAAAGTCTATCGTCCGTTTGACAAGCAGCACCGCTACCAACGATGCGGTCCGCCGGTTACAGCGAAAGCCAGGTCAAGGCTGCATGTGCCGCGTTGTCCGACCTTCGCGCCGTGCCCTATAGATGCGTTGTGTTGCACTCGACACATTAGGTGGGCAGCGTGTGATCACAACTACCCGCGTCGCCTTACCGCTGTATACCTGGCACCCTCGCCCTGCACAACGCCTCGATCAGCAGCAAGACTGGCCGGCTATATCAGCGCCTCGTGTCTCTCTGGTCATGCGCACCGCCTCGAGGGACTTCCTTCACTCCCGTGCATACAATTACATCGCCGTACATATTACCCGTGTTCTTTCCCGGTGAGATGCATGTATATTGCCAAAGCATATTTGCCGTGCCGTCTTCAGGTGAGATTGGTCTGGAATCGATCTGATGCCTCATACAACCATTTCTCGTCTTCGAGTTTCTGCATCACTTGTTTGCGGAGACTCGCCATAAGCTGTGGCCTCTCTTGCTCAAATTCTAGGGCCTCACAGATTAGTGATATATCGCCAGATAGCACATGTGAAAACTGACCATCCTCCATCGTCTTGCTATGCCTCCCACCCATATGAGCTCCTGAAGTAAAATACCTCCTCGCAAGCTCACGATGATACGTCTCCTCCTGCTCCGGCGTCCTCTCTCCATCCTGCTGTGAAGGCGCAAACATAGCTTTCGGCGCCGCAATCCCCAACGTAGACGCGCCTAGCAAATAACTCCCATCCGGTTGTCGATTCACAATTTCCTGCTCCTCCGCTTGCTGCTGTCGCGGCCTCAATCGCCCATGTCTGCCCGTATCAGGTGATCCATGCCTCGTTCTTCGCGTCTGTGGTTGTCGTGTCTGCGCCAGCAAGCTGACCTCCACTTCGGAGTCTGAATCCGGGAGCACGACATCTTCTTCTACGCGCGGCGTGGTCCGGCTCGTGGGTCGGCGGAGGAGGGAAGGTGCGAAGAGGTTTGCAGGCTGTCGAGTGCGCGTAGAAGCGGTGCTGGGTGCATTGGATCGGAGGTTGGTCTGTGAATGGTGGGATCGCAAGGATGAGGCTGCGGTGGTGGAAGAGGTTGTGAAGGGATCGTGAGCTGTTCTGCTTAGAGGCATGTTTTGGTATTTGAACTTGAATTTGGATTTTCCAAGGCTATGGAATAGGAAGAGGGCAATTGTATACGACGAGGTTCATGCGATTTCCTGTTACGGACGGTGGGATGCGGGATTAGATAACGCTGGTGAAGCTTTTATGGACATGAGCTAGTTCTACATACGCGACTTGTCGAACCAACCTTGTCATCGCCTACCCACATGTCATTCACAATTTTTACCTCCAAACGTCCAGCGAAACGCTGACTCTCGACTCAATGTCTTACTCAGGATCGTCGTCACAAGCAAATGCTCGTGTCTCAGAAAGCTCTCTGCCACGATGCCTTCCTCTTCGTTACGTTGAGGGGCGGAGACCTCTCTCACTTCTCGGAGACAATACCATATTTTGACACTTGCTTCTACAGAAGACTGTCGCGCCTCCGACAGATTAACGCGTCACATTCTCGTCCAGAGCCAAGCCAGTAGGCAGAGAAGCGTCCTCCACGTTGGAGAAAATCGTGCTTTTTGGCATTTGCTACACTTCCCAGCGTCGCCCACCCAGTAGTGGAAAGCCAGCGACTGAGTTCAGCTGATCGTTGCTAACACATGCTGAAGGCTGAAGCTTGCGATAGTGTGTCTGGGCATGAACAAGCTCAGCATTCCGATAACGACGAGTACATGTAGCTCAGCTCAGTTCCTTCCCAAAGTAGAGTCTTGGTAGTGGCACAGTGCGATCACTCACGGACACTGTCTGCCTCGGCCATTGCTGTATACATAGTCACTTGCTGCTCATACCATCTCCTGTCAATTCGTACTCTCTAAGGATATTAGCAGCCCGCTCAGAATCTACTAGAATTGATTTGGAGAATCAGCACTCTCGTCGAACATGAAGCGAACAATCACAGCTGATCGGACTGTCTTTCACCTCCAGGCCCATGGCAATGTAACATTTGATTTTCGAGGGGGCTCAGCTATTGTGATCAAAGTACCTGGCGGAACTGGATGGAGAATGCCTTTCCATTGGCATTACCATAGACTCGATGCCCGTGAAATACAATGCTTGAGCGGACGACTGCATATACACTTGCAGAAATACGACCGGCCTGGGAGTGAAGATGCTTTTGGCTTTACCGGCTTCAGCAGAACATTCAAATTGGACGACTGCGCGTCGTGGTGACCAGGATACAATCGTGAGGACGCCTTGGATCCAGCTAGCCCGTCTCTTGAAGTCGTGCTGGCTGCGAATCCGATCCTGCATCGGAATCTTTGCAGTATATCACTTGATCACGATGTCTTTCCGAGCCTCGACTCTACCCCTCTGTGGTTGAAGGTTCTGTTCGGATTGTCCGCCAGGTTGCCGTTGTTGCGACGCTATTTGCTGGAGCTGTCGTCGCACGTCCAGCGCCAGCTCACCCTGTATGCCCATGACTACTACGAATATCATGGCTTCGTACAGTTCACCTTGCTGTGGCCATGGATGCTTCCTGGTGGGACACCGAGGCTGTTGAGAACATTGGAGCGGCGCAGTATGTATTGGATCTCGATCGTCGTTGGGTGGTTATGCTACTGGTTTGGGACACAGGTCTGTGGAATGAAGCCACTGTATCCGGAGTACACTCCTTCAGTCGTCGAGGATGATACTCGCGGAATTGTCGAAAAGACGTGAGTCTCAAGGATGAAGGGAGGCAGGTTCGAGTCGACACGGTAGAGGTGGACAGCGTCCAATGAGGGGCAACTGTATCCGGCGCTGACAAGGCCCGCTGTGCGTGCGCGAGTACGGCCATGAAGATTTCCGCCTGCCATCAAGATGTCAGCGCACGACTCGAAGATACTCACCACAGAATTCCAAATGCCGCGAGACACGAGCTGGCCGCCGCCACGACTGAACCAATCCGCCTGGAAATGCGTGCTCATGTCCTCCAAACCTGGACAGACTGCCGAGTCCGAAACTGTCCACAGCCATGACCGCCATTGACACCGACTTCTGCGTCACCTCCACCAAGTAAGTCCTGCGCTCAAAATGGATGCCGCCTCTTCTCCAACTCGATGCCTGCTGGCGACGAGGCTGATGAAAAGTGAATTCGCGTCGGCCGGCGGTAGTGGAAGGCCAGCGACACGGTGCCTCTGGACATGAGCAAGCTCAGCGGCCCAGTGACTGGTTCAAAAAATAAGAATAATCTTGAATGTCACCGTAGTGACGTTTCAGAGATTAAACTGAAAAGAACAGATACCTTGGAAAGGTACAATTAGCAAGCTGTCGAACGATGAAGGGGATGTCGCGCCAAACTCACTACACTTGATCGTGGGGGTTGTTAGCTTGTTGTCGATGGTCGAGTGGTCTGATGTTGACATACCTAAGCCAAAAGGCAAAGAGAGCTGAGGAAAGAAAGTGGAAGAGAGTGCGAGAGTGCGCGAAGTTTATAGTGGCAGCGGGGCCAAGACGCTAGCGAGTCGGCGGGTTCCAGCCCGCGACTTGCACATGACTCAAGCTCAGCACTGTCGCTCAGTTGCAAGATGTCGCCAATGCACCTTCATCGCTCACATCAGGTCGCGTCACCAGGCCCAGCAGAACGCCGCCCACTCTCGTCGCCTGCGGTATCAAGTGCAGTTGCAGTCATGCAATTGATTGCGATACAGGAAAGCTTCGTATCTGCGGACAGCAGAACGGCACTCCGGAATCCTCCTCGCTCTGTGACCTCTCCACGCGACCTTGATTCCACGCCTGCTTCGCTTGTCGAGATGGAATGCCTCGAGTACGAACGATGAGGCGGAGATACTAGGCGCAGGAGATTCGAGGCCTTCCAACAAACGCCAGATCCAAAGTTCTGGTTTCTATTCTGCTCTGCGGCCATGAGCTACTCGTGGACAGCGAACCGGAGAACCAGAAGCAACCTCAGTTGACATCTCTCGTGTCGAACGAAATACTCTGTCTGTCTCGCTTCTCGACACAAAGTATCCTGGCCATGCTGCACAAGGCAGAGCCACAAGATCGAAAAAGTAGGCAGCGTGGACCCAAGTTTAATTTCCTGCCATAGAGAAGACGCGGGCGACGTGCAACTTTTCACTTCACAGATACATTCCAACTTTAGTACTGCGCCAGTCCTAGCCCAACGAAAGCTATCGCGACCGCGCCGCCGCATAGCCCCAGGACGCCGCCATCAAAGCCTCTCGGGCCCTGCGCTGCGATCCAAGTATCGGTGACACAGACCAATATCCAAGCAGTCAAGATAGCGCCCATAGCCCTTTGATTGCTCTCGTGATGGAACCAGAGTAGACTTGCCGCTACAGCTATGTCGCGAATGCCCAGGAACCGCATCCCCTTGATCGCCATGGCTTCTCCCTCCTCTGTAGTCAACCCCACGACTCCAAGCGACTGTGCAGCAGACAACGGTGCAATCATCGGCCATGTTCCGAGTCCCAGAATAAGGTAGGCAGTGCCGAGGCCCAGATTCCTCCAAGTCGATCGGGATAACAAATGATTTGGGAACGTCATTTCGCTGATTGCGTCGGCTGTTCTCAAATGTCAGCTTTGGAAAACCACGTGGTGGACTTGATGAGAGTAGCTGACATAGTCGCAGGTCGTTCGATTCCGGGTCAGACGAGCTTTTTGAGTTCTTTGATCGAAGTGGGCGGCTTCGGTAACTGACATTCGTCACTTGGAGAGAACTTTCAGGCAATCGATATCAGTGATACCTGTTTACTGACGGATCTCAGCAATACCTGCTTTTATTCATCTACGGATGCAATCTACCAGGTCTGACAAACGAAGATGCGGAACTTGACCGCGTTCACAAAACTGATTTGACATCAAACTTGCCTTCGATTAATCATCAGCCCGGATTTTGCTGGGCGCACGGGTGCCGCTCCGAGCATAAAGTGTCCATGTGCGGCTAGCAAGGTCAGCATCGTCCTGCTGCCACGGCACCGCTCTGTTGGAGTAGCCATTAGAATTGGCAATATGTTTAAAACAGGGCAGCACCGCAACAACATTCACCATTAGACGCGAGGGCGTAAGAGGTGATGATCGACTCAAAAGAATCACTTCAAACCCAGTCAATGTGGTAATCGGCACATGCGACGACAGCTAGGGTTAGGCAGTAGACTGAGTTGCTTGGCCAGACTGTCGGCCTCGTAGTGCTTCTTGCCTTTTGCGTAGTGGAGAACAATGTTGACACGCAGATTTCTGAGCAGATCGATTAAGTTGCTACTGTACTGCTGCCTGGAGCCCAGAGAGACAGTTCGATGTGCTCGTACCACAAACGTTCCTTGCCCTCGGAGAAGCGGCAGAGAATCATGTCGCCTGGGCGACATCACAAAGCGGAGACAAATACGAGGGACAGGCAGCGCGAGATGACCATATTGAATCAGACTTGCGAGACCGAAGCCGCGTCACACGCAATTGAATGCTTGCCACCCTGGTAGAGTACCAGTAAGGCTTATCTCAGCTCACTGACGCACAGTTGCATTGAAGTCTTGGTATTGGCAGAGTCACGATCTTGCAAATTCTACCGCCTCTGCTTATTCGTACACGCCCGAAGGTTCTCTATCATGACTTTGTGGACTCCGCGCTGCGATACGAGAGACTCATACAAGCGCCCATGGGGTCGGAACAACGATTCTAGATCCCTGTTCCCAAAGCAGCTATCAGAAAGCATATGTGTATCCAAAGACATAAATGCTTTCCAGCCTACGAGGGCAGCCACCCAGTCGCTGGAACAAGCACCTTCCTCCAAGAAGATCGATAATCCATTGACCCGAGAAAGACGCAGGGTAGGATGGCTCAAGTTGTCTGAGACACGAATACATGTCCCTCTTGTCGCCGACTTTGGGTGTGCTGCTGTCTTTCAGCTGGCTCTTGCGGCGCGGTTGTCCCCCTTTGTCATACAGCAGATGATGTAGCACTTGCGCCAAAAGCCATTAGCCCTGATGTTCTTGTGCAGTTCCCAGACTGTAACGGCCAATTTGGGCCGCGATCAGCTGAAGTCCACCCTATGATTGCCGAACAGTGCTACTTGGACGGCGCACACTTTTGGTAGGCTGATTACGAGGAGACCAACTGGCGGCTGGAAGTTTCAGGCCTGCAGGTTTTCAGCATTTGGTAAAGAGATGTACCAATAACGTGCCAAGGGGCTTCATAGCGGCAGCGAAACCTATGTCTGCGGGGAGAAAGGTGTAATATCAGGCGATTGCTTGAATGAGCCTCAGCACAATCCATTGTCTGCCACATTCCAGGGCGATAAGACACCCCGTGTGGCGTTTCGAACAGGCTGAATAGCAATTCGATCTTCCGGCGTCACGCACGCCAGCAGCTTACTTCGCAAGAATTCATGATTAGAGCAAGGAGTGGGCGCAGCCAGTCCTCTGATTCATTTATATCGGTAGCCATCCATGCTCCGACAACCTCAGTGGATCTCTGCTTATCAATGTGGCTTGGTGAAATTGTTCCCGCGCTGCTGGCAGGCGTTGAGATCCCACGAAGCCGATTGATTCCTGCCGCGTAGAGTCAATTGAGCTGTGGAGGCAAAATTGAAGTCACGGAGCTGAATATGCGGAATGATACAATTGCAAGCGCTGAAATCCGAAAAGTGCCAGTTTGCCATGAAGAATGGCCAGACATACATGTGCTGTGTGGAAGGAGCGAAGTGAAGTGGTGATGTGCCTGAGGCATCTTTGTTTCCGGGAAATCACGCACAGCTCTTCTCCACGCACGCTGATGCAACTCCTACCTCAATCACACTCTTCTCACAAGGACCATCACAATTGAGCATCTCCGCCGCCATGCCTTATCGCATGGAGACCGAAATCCTGCTCCAGGTATGGTCATCGCCTTGACATATTCCTGGAACACTCCACCAGGACCACCACCTTCGGGCGACAGGGCACCACCAGCAGCGGCCATACTCTTATCTCTGTTACTCATCCGCTTTGCCATGCCACCATCTTCTATGCAGCGCGCGAAACTACGAGCATGCCCGACTTGCCCTTCGATGGTTCGTGGAGGCCTCACCTTGAAGAAGGTTCGACCTGGAAGAAGGCCAGCTGCATCTCGTGGGATGGTGACGAGGCTGCAGCCTGGCTCATCCATTCATCACTCACGGCGCTTGTGCGGCACCCGTAGTACGCACGGCGGAGAGCAATCTCCAAGTCTTGCGAATGTATGCGCTGCGGGCCGGCAGGCTTCTCGCGGTCTGTACTGAGGACCGCGTGGGTTGTCCTTCCATTTATATCAAGCGGATTCCCATCGACTTGCGATGGAGCGACAAATCGAGGCGCCGTATCTACCATCGGCGCTGTGTCTCAATTGTTCCTGCGGGCGACACGGCCAGCTGCGCTTGTGGCGTGCGTTCTCGTGGAGGCCATCCCCGTCCAAACAGCAGCATCCTACCGCGCAACGGAGCTGCACACTTACATGCAATGCCGGGATCACTCTACGGTAGCGCCAGCTCCGCCATGCAAGGACAGCCAGTGCAAGCGACATGCACCTGCCCACTTGTCCACCTGGTGCTTGCACGGCCATCGCCTGTTTCGCCTGTCGCTACAAGGCTGCGCAGGATGCCGACGTGGGTGCGGCGATCTGCAACCCCACCTCTCTGCTATCTCGAGAGCCTCCTGTGTCCAGTCGCTGCATCGCCAGATTCCAGGTATCCCAGCTGCTCAAGAGTGAGACTCCAGGACCACGCGCTCGGACGCCAGCTGAGACAGTGATTCGCTGTCAAGCTCTTTCCGGGATTGAGCAATGCAAGTCCGACGACCTTGACCGCGTGCTGCCACGACATCGCACGAGCTGTGTTCGACCGTGCCTGATCAGCCATGGCATCAGCGATGGCGCTCGGTTCGCGCTCCGCGAGCGGCTACCCGACTGTGTTGGCTGCTCAACATTCGCATAGCAATCGGATCGATGAGCTCTGCTCAGCGCGCCACAACTGGTCTCACAAGCCCGACCGCGCTCGGGCTTGGACGAACGCGGGCTGTTCAATATGCAGCGCATCGACGTCCTTTGCAGTTCAGCGAGCTAAGCAGTCAGTGGCTGCGCTAGGCGAAAGATGTTCTGCAGAGCTAAACGCGCATTCGGTAAGGCCAAACCTATGGCGCATGGGTGCACACCTCACATCGCCTTCGCAGCCGCGTCTGGGTGAGATGCACCCGCAGGCATCTCGATCTCCACTCGTACCTTTGTATCGTTTGACTTTCGTCGCTTCACCCTTCACCCGCCGTGTTGATTCTAGCTTCCTTCTTTAGTGCTATGCGCATGCATGATGGGGCTACTGTGGCATAAACCCGTCCGCGCTAGCTTGTCGTCATCCTCGATCAAGAGCAATGGACGAGTGCGCGTGCGGCTTTGTATCGTGGGCACAACGATCAGGTACGCGATCGCACTGATGCACGATCAGGAGCTGTCGCCGCTCTGATCTTATAGCTCTTCAGTAGCCCTCGCTGCGCTCGTGCTCTGAACCAACATCCTGGGTCCAGGTGTAGAGCATTGTCACCCTGGCGCAATCGCTCGCAAAGCCTTATGAGCACTTCCTAGACAGCAATCTCACCAAAGAACATACTATTCCAACATGGCCGGTATGCGCCCTGGAAGACCACCGAGTCAACTGTTGCAACGACGATTGAGCCAAGCACACTACAATGCGACGGAAGTGCAAGACATGATGGCTCAATTCAGCATGGCGTTCAGGCCAGATGCCAACGCAGCCCTATCGCTAGCCTATCTTCAGGAACAACAGCGTCTGGCGATGCAGACAGGCTCCATAGCACCAAGCGATCTGGTCAATCATCATGCGACCCAGGACATGGACATGCTCTACGCCGACAATCCGTCATATAATGCATACGCTATGCCGGAAGGGTACAACAACGCGACCTTCGGCACTCTGTCCTGGGCAGCACCGATCAATACGGGAGTGCAGCCTGTAAATCACCCGTCGATACTTCGAAACGAAAGTTACAGCAGTTCGAATAGCAGCGAGCCAGGCATTAAGAGGGAGGATCTCTCTCCTGTACAACCGTCCCAAGTGTTTTTCGATGCTGCGGCATATGCTTCAAGTCCGGACTCCCAGACAGGAAGTGACGATACGGAAGAGACTAAACCAGTGGTGTTTTCGACCGAGATTGACACATTGATGCGAGCGATACAAAGTAAGACCGATGCCGCAAATCAGGAGGACACGCCTCAGAGCACCAGAGCACCTGAAGCCAGCCCGAACAAACCCAAAAAGAAATACTTGTGCGACGTAGCAGGATGTGGGAAGGCGTTCTACCAGAAGACACATCTGGAGATCCATACTCGGGCACACACTGGCATTAAGCCATTCCTGTGCAAGGAACCATCATGCGGGCAACGATTCAGTCAGCTGGGCAATTTGAAGACACACGAACGACGACATACTGGCGAGCGACCATATCATTGCGACATTTGCGGGAAAACTTTCGCGCAACACGGCAACGTTCGGGCGCACAAGATTGTGCACACGGCCGCAAAACCTTTTACGTGCAAGCTGGACAACTGCAACAAGCAGTTCACGCAGCTTGGCAATCTCAAATCACATCAGAATAAATTCCATGTGGACACCATCCGGCGGCTAAAGACTCGCTTCGAGAACTTCAAAGAGGGCGACGTCGTCGATGCGTGGGACAAGGAGATGTGGGAGTACTTTGCGAGCCTGTACAAGAATTGCAATAAAGGCATCAAAGGCCGAGGCAAAGATCGAAGGATCAGTCTCGGACAGATGGCTATGCATCGACGAGACAGCATCACCAGTGCGGTATCAATGAATGGTCTCGCTTCGCCAAGCGATAGGCAGCAGACTTCGATGTCACAGGCCATGTATTGATATTCGACAGGGAGTGGTCATGTGGAACAAAAACGGAGGTGTTTGGAATAACAGGCCGGCGCAGTCTGGCGAACAACTGATTGACTGGCGTTCGGAAACCACTACAACTGAGATGCCAGGAGCTCCCAGCAGGAGCTTGCACGATGATGTTACGATGAGATGATTGAGATACCCTACCTGAGCGAATGATAGTCTAATGCGAAGCTTCTCCAGTATGCTTTCAAGGCGGAGGCGAAGTCCTTGCCCGCCTCTCTCTACGAACAACATCTCCTGACCTCTTCCTCTGGCCCTCTCAGAGGCCGCAGTTCATGCTTAAGCACATCATGTGCCTGCAGCTTCGTGCTGTCAGAGCTCCACGCCGCATGCTCGCTTCACAAACCTTCCCCTCACTCAGTCGTGAACCTTGTTTGCAGAGTAGCAAGCAGAGCCGCCTGCTGCAAGCCGCGAGGAAGCGGGCTGATCTCCTCGAAGCTTGTTGGAGCTGTTCTGGCAAATGCCAAAGAAGGCGGTGTCGAACTCTCGCCAACCTGATGAGCAGCCCAGCGTCACGAGAACAGCGGGATAGAGCTGGACATGCAGATGAGCTGGCTGAGAACTACGTCAGACCAAGACTGATCCTCCAGCGGCTGTGAATCACCCACCGGCTTCAACATCTGGTATACCACGAAATCTTGGTGGTGACGACCAGGCGTCCGCGAAATTATCTCAGCCTTGCGATCTAAAGATACGTAGCACCTCTCCCAAAATTCGGCCCTACCACTCAAAGACTGCGACACATCCATCATACAACCAAGTATAGACATCGAGATCGCAAAGGCCGTACAAGGTTGCTCCCGCCGGCACTACTCCCTCTATCCCATACCACAAACGCGAGCCCTAAGGAGCATGCGAAAATTCGACTAGGGAGCATGCTATCCACAATTTGATTAGGATCTTGAACTGAACTTTAGACAAGCGAGGCGAGCTTGCGAGCGAAGTAAGTACTCGGAGCTGCGAGCCTGCGAGCAATAGCGACGACGTACGATACCCGAGCGCGTAAGGCAAGCACGTCGTTCGAAGTAGCGAGCATATTTCTATTAGGCAACGAACGAGCGCAAAGCGCCGTAAGGCGCGCGCGAGAGAGGCGGCAGTGCACCTGGACGACATTGAGACAGCATTAAGCAACATTGATAGGTATTGATTAGTTTGCCAGTTTGTCATGCTCCCTAGTCGAATTTTCGCATGCTCCTTAGGGCTCGCGTACCACAAACACGAGGCCGTGCCGCTTTTCAGCCTCCAACGGTTAACGATAAAGCATCAAACGTCATCGCCCTCAACTAGGAGTAGCCCAACCTCAACTAGCAATCGTATCGAGCAGATCGCCCGACTTCATCAATCGCAGGTCTTGCCAACCTGAACTAAGTCTGCACCTCCCTCCATAGAAGGCCACGATATGCAGCGCAGAGCTCTAGAACTTCTGCGACCATAGCATGGCGTATTTGGAATGGAATTTGTACTGCATGCCAGTCCGTGACGATTGTGGCTCCCCGCCTCGTCGGGGAATTTCCCTCTCCAATGGGTCAAATTGAAGAGCGTCGATTAATGACTCGTGGCTTGTGGTTGGATGACTACGAGTCGATTGAGCTGGACATTTTCCGTATCGGTTCAGCCACTGGATTGATGACAGGAACTGCATCTTCGATCCTCTGTGGATAGCGGTGACCGTGAAGATGCGGCGTCGCCAGAAGTTGATTCAGACTTGATTGTGCTCTCGTGATTTTACCCAGCCACCGAAGCACTCACAGGCACTGCGACGAGAATGGCGTCGTTGGCAAAGAATGAAGGGCGGCTAACATTTTGTCACTATCGCAGAAAGAAAGCCATTTTCTAGAAAGCGACGGTCGCAGCTACCAATAACAGTGCATCTCGCAACCCAGCAAGCAATATACACAGTGAGATCTCAGCAGCCTTGGAGGCCACAGTCGCGCCAACTTCAAGCGAACGTACACGCAACAATCCAAGCTCATTTCTCGCCGGTTTTCTCTCTGAACCGCTCCGAAACGTGCTTCTTGTGCGGCGAATCGATGCCCAAGACTGAACCCACCCAGTAACAGGCCATCATGACAAGTTCCGACGTCCAGAGCATAGTGCGAGCTTCCAATTCTAAGATCCATTCCGGCGGATGCGAAGTATCTGACCAGAAACGCCATGGCAGCGAGAAGGGAATGAGCCCGCAGTAGATGTGGCAACCCATGGCATATAGCAACATCTGACTCCGAATGTGATGTGCTACTTCGAGCACAAGTCGTCTCTGGGTGTTGCAGGAGAAGCGCAAGAGTACTGTGAGCCAGTATGGAGGAGAGCACATGTGGGCACAAATATAGTCGTCGAGTGCGGCGTCGCGGAAATCTCGATTGTGGTCCATGTCGGCGACAAAGACGATAGTAATTGGTGACTTGATTACGACACGGTCGTGGCCAGTATCGTGGGTGCTGATGACTGCAGACACCGGAGAAGTATGCTGAGAAATTGTCGAGGCCTCTTTCGAGCCAGACTCGTCGATTGATGCCAGGTTCCACCGACTCTCGCGATGGCATGTACTGACCACCAGGCGACCGGATATACAGCGAACACTTCGAGCATCGATCTTCTGGAAGCGCCATCGAGTCTGCATACGTGGAGAACTGCCGTCCGGAACACTGATCGTGACAGCCTCTAGCTGAAGGAACGAGAAGTTGGCGACGTCGGAAGCTGGTAGCGTCAGGTCCACATTTTCTGTCTTTGTCCTTCGTTTCATGATGTGCTCCTTGGAGGCTTGATAATTGGAAGCTCAATGCCTGCCATCGAGACACTGATCCTCGAAGATATATCGCATACATTACGTGCTACAGCCTTTGACTCTCAATGCGACTGCGACGTACATACTGATGACCAGCGTGCGAACGCTCGACCAAGTGGTTGCCTTGAAGCTCGAAGTCGACTAAAGAACCTATAGCATTGTAGTCTTCAATGCCAAGCGCCATGCAGCTCGTTCTCGCTCAGCTGTACCAATTGTCGTGAAGACTTGGGAGTAGCAGCAGTCTTGAATCTCTTGTCTTCAATCCTTCTGAGCTTGGTATCAACCACAGACGCCATATCCTGCGCGATAACGAGAACGACAACGCCTAGTCAGAGAGGCAATGGAAAGTGTCGAGAGAGTTGTCAGAGAGGAATATGCTACGCTTGGGATACATTTACGTCTATGACAAAGTTCTGGGTATCTTGTTCTGTTCACTGTCGTTCAATCAGCCCACATCAAGTTTTCTACCATGCTCATCTGCCATCTCTTATCCTTAACCCAGAATCAATCTGATCCACAACCTCTTGTCCCGTAAATGCGAACCAGTCTGTACAGGTCTGCGCCATAACTCCCGGGATATCCATATCTCTTTTGATATCATCCGGTCGCTCCAGAATGTTCAGATAAAGCCCTCCACTCACATGCCACGCAATGTGGCAGTGGAAAGGCCAGACACCAGGATTATCCGCGTCGAATTGAACAACAATGTAGGTAGGTTCGTCGGCGCTGGCACTATTTTGCAGTATCTGAACATCTCGTCGTTGAGGATTTGTGGGGTTGGTGATCTCGCCGTTCCAGGTTCCGGTACCCTGGGCGAGTATGTACATGTTATGGCCGTGCATGTGCATGGGATGACTGCCCGTTTGTGCGTGATTATAGATGACCATGCGGATAGATCTGCTGGAGCCAAAGTTGAAAACATTAAATTCGGCGGGGTAATTCGTTTCGCCGTTCTTTGCTTCAAGTAGTACTGGTCGGTTGTAGTTGGCTCTGAATGTGCTATTGTTCATGAAGAACAGATTGTGTGTGCCGTTTGACTGGAATGTCACGGCGATGTTCTGGACTGTGGTTGGCTGCGGCACCGGCATCGAAAAGTATGGGATCGTCTGGCTCAGAGGATCGTTGTTGCAATTAGTGAGCGCACTTGGCGGCACGGCGGACTCTGTATCTGGCACAGCAGTGCGATTGGCGTCCTGGTAATAGATAGCTGCCACGGCGGATGGCGACACCCCATCGTGCAGAGAGCATCCTCCCTTGAAAGCGCTGGGTCCCAGGTCCGATCTCATCCAGTACGAGTCTGTGGGCTTTCCGATCGCTTTCACGACTACATCAGAACGCTGGCCGACTCCGAGAGTCACTACATCTGTCTCATACGGCACGATGGGAACTAACAAGACCGTTAGTTAATGCTGGTGGCTCAGAACGCTTGTGACGAACCGAAATCATTGGCGAACACTATCAGCTTGTGGCCATCGATGCTGAACTTCTGCATGCCCTCGGCACCAGCATTAATCAATCGCAAACGATACGACTTGCCAGATTCGAAGCTAAATTTGCTTACGCCAGCGTTTGGTATGCATGTTGTGCTAGATGTACTGTTCTCACATGGATAGTTCATCTTGCCATTGATCAAATTGTTCTGTGAGAGTGGCGGCGGCTTCTTCTCGTCTGCTGGAGCCATGACCTGTGATAACGTACTTAGTCAGTCACTGATGACAGAAATCATGATTCTTGAGAAAATACCTGTTCGACCAGCGGAAAGTAGCTCTCGTGGTACCAATCGCTGAGCAGAACTGGGCCAAGATCGACATCGTAGTCCTGGTTATCGTGAGGTCCATGAATGACCATCGGGCCAACAAGACCACCAGCCAATTGCGCCGAGTAATGGCTATGGTACCAGGTACTTCCGTACAGATCAGCTCGGAATCGATACGTGAAGGTCTTTCCCGGTGCGATCGGGCACTGCTGAACGCCTGGGACACCATCAAACCAAGGCGTCTCTTTTTGCAGCAGTCCGTGCCAGTGCAATGAAGTCCCCTCATCGAGCTGATTGTGCACAGTGACTTCTATCCAGTCACCCCAATTTGCTTCAATAGTCGGACCCGGATATTGGCCGTTCACAACGAGGCCATCTTTCTGAACTCCATCTGGAGCGATGGTCTGGCGTGTAATTGTGAAGTCGTAGTGTTTCGTGACCCCAGTATTGGGGACATCATGGTAATAATTTGTTTGCTTGGATGTTCGCTGGCCCCACGGAAATCCGGAAGAGATCGGTCCACCTTGCAAGAATTGTGGCAGTTTGGGTGCATCAAACATGCCTAGCCTGCTCCTCCCGTTCGTTTGTTCTTGAGTCAATTGCGGGCTTAGAGCTTGGCCTAGAGGTAGCCAGGCAGGTCCTCTGAATTGTGCTGCATTCGGCCCACCTGCATTCGGTACATGATAAGTCTTTGTGCTCGGAGAAGTACTTGAGGTGCTTGCTTTCTGGTACGAGAACAAATTTGAAAATGTCTTTACGTACCGAGGTCCTGTACTGCATTTGGATCGCTGATCATCACAGCCTCAATCTCGCTCTGTGGTCCATTGTCGGTTGCATTAACTTCGGCTACGTTCATCTCTCCTGGTGCCGCAGGTGCAGGAGCTGCCAAACCAGAGGCTAGAAATGTTGCAGCCGCAAATATGCTGAATAGAGCCATGATGACGGAAGCCCGAGGGCAGAACCGGCCAGGTAGCACAAGGCAGAGAGACAATCCGCTGGTCAAGCTGTGTGCAACAGCAAGGACAGGTCTTATACACTCGCGAGAGGACGCCTCTGCTGAATTTGGCGGCGCTCGCTTTCAAATGTGGCATACGCGATTCGCCCTCGTATTTTGCAGGCGCCTTGACCATCAGTGGAAACCAGCGATCACACTTCCCAAGGGCTCACACCTTGGGCGGCAGCGTCGGCGTCCATTATGTTGGATCATGCCGCATCGGCTTGCTCAACCACAGATCCTTCGATTTCCTGCAGTCAGATGTAAGCATGGGCTAACGATGTTGAGGCTGTCTCGCGTCTTGAGCTTGTTCCAGCCAAGCTGCATCAAAGAATATGCGCCAAGGAGGATTGTTGAAGCCCACCATAGCGCATATACTGCTCGATGCAACGCGCCAAAACGCTGTTGAGAGGTCTTGCGCGAGTGACGTCGAATCTTCGATTCGCTAAAAGCTGCGTGATATTGCGCCCGGTCGCGATGCAATCCGGGCGTGCCGTAGGGAGACGTTTCTGGCATCTCAAGTACGAAGCACGCGAGAGATTGGTCAGAGTTCGGGCGAAACGCGACAGATCTCGCATCCCTGAGATCATACCATGTGGCATGAGGTCGGCCGGCAGTGTAGGATCGTGACTCAGCCCTCCAATAGTTCCAGAATCCTAATTGCATCAGCAAGACCGAGAGCGAACCTTCACTCAGCACACCGCTGGTATGTGTTGTTTTGTATCGATAAATGACGTCTAAACGTGCAACATAATGTGCATCAGGAGCAGCGCAATGCTATGTAGTGCATGGCATTGATTAGTATCGTGTGGGCCAAAGCAGAAAACGCGGCGCGAAGTCGAGGCAAAGTTCCAGGCACAGATGCCAAGTGCTATAAAAAGGACGTCCGGGTAACTTAAAAGTCGACTGCAGATGATCCTAATCTGGTAAGAGATTATAGGTGATCCTTGAATGATGTGGCTCGTATCGTCATCTTTGCAGTGAGACTGCCATCTGATTGGCTTGAACGGCATTGTACTTCCGGATGTGTAGGGAACAGCAATAGCAGGCGTATCCGTGTCGGCACATCGAGACTACATTGCGACTGCGTCTGCAGAACCGGCACGGGCATTGGACCATTACTCGCAATAGCGTTGAGAATGTCGAAAGAAGCGATTTCTCATCAGAAGCGGTCAGTCTGACAGCTTGGAGACGAATGTTCTACCGTGTGCTGTCACCTTCGATACTTCGCGGGACGCCTGCGTCAGATGCTTTGGTGACTCGCGAGCGAGACTGCCAGCGAACTTCCTACAGCTCGCAGCTTTCGGCCGATCCGGGGTGCTCCGTGATGGTCTGCAAGGCATGAGTCCACAAGTCAATATTGAGGATGCGCAGATGATCACGTTGACTCGGAGCTTCTGCTGCTGGCAAGTGAAGTCCAGCAGAAGACGTCACTTGACTGCCTTTGGAAGCTGCGTTCATGCGGTAGCTGTCGTGTAACATCGCTAGTAAGCGGTCAGACAGCAGGATGCCTCGGAGACTCTGGATGTCTGCCTGCCCCATCGTGGAAATTCTGGTCCGGCTAATGCACTGCAAATATTGCATCTGGCCGTACGGCCGAAGTGGTGCTTCCTCTGCTAAGCATTTCCGGCATCCAGATTATCACGATGTGATCGTCAGAGCACTCGCTACAGCTTGAATGAATCCAGGTTTTGGTCGCTGTTCTGTGCCGAGCCACACGCCTGGTTGAGCCCGCCACATGCTAAAAGCCACCAGAGCTTGATAGAAAGATAGTTGTTCGGTTGCAGGAGGAAGACTGCTGTGCGTTAGGCGAGTCTTGTGACCGGTGCTGACATGGAGGCCTGACCAGGCTTCAATGAGGAAGGCTCTTGCCACTGCTTGGTGGACAATCGGGAAATCTTTTCGCACCGCCGGCCGTTGCGGCAACAGTCTGATACGGCCACCATCTGCCTTACGTGGTCGTATCTTCAGAGCTGAGTCTTGACTTGATGATGCCTCCAAGGCCGAGAAATGAGGTACAAAGCGGCGTCGCTTGGACAGGTTGATGCCTCTCATTTCTGGCTGTGAGCATCTAGCCTTGCCATGGAAGTTTTCTGTACGCCTTAGCAGCCGAGCGTAGTGTCGTTTCCAACTCCAAACCCTCCTGCCAAAAGTCAGCTCCGACAGCGCCTGTTCCATTCGCGGCTTCCAAGTCTGTTCGGCGGTGCAAGTCCAGAGAACTCTCAAAGTCAAAGCATGTCCAGATCAGAAAAGACAAGAAGAAGTCGCGTTTCATATACTTGAACTCTGGATCCTGTGCAGCAGGATAATCGGCACCGCGGCTCCAACGCGCTCAAACTCACGCACTGCTTCGGGCCAAGCCTTCGGGCTGCAGCATCGCAGGGCTGACGTGCGGCGAACTCTGCAGTGGAGGATGCTTCTGATGCAGAACTTTGAAAGATGGCGTTGGGTTACATGTCGTGAGTTTGGATGTTGATGGGATGAACTTCGCGTCTTCGTCGCGTGTTGCGAAGACCAACTTCTCATGGATGATCGGGCCGCGCCGTTGCCTAATATGAGGTCTTGGTCTTGGTCTTGGAGCTCGGACATGGCCAACATGTACGCAGTATCTTTTCTTAATGACTTTATTATCTATGAGTGTGATCTCGCGAAGACTTCGTAGTCAAGTGTTGACAATGTCCTCCCTTTGTTAATCATTCCCTAAGCTTCCAAACAGCCCAACAAGCCTAACTTGTGCTGTAGTCTTGCACCTAGCCATGACCGCCGACCTCCCCTCCCAAACCCAGCGTGCCGGAACTACCAGCCAGCTTCCGCGTTGAGGCCCCTCTTCCTCTCAAGTCTGCTTCTTTCCTGACTTTCTCCCATGTCGCTTCTTGCTCGATCGCTTCTTGTTCTGCCCCTTCGTCTTCCCGTTCGCAGCTTTGCCACCTTTGCCTCCGCCAACGTCCTTCTGCAGATCTTCCAGGAGGGCCAGAAGGTCCCTAGCTTCGGCGGGCGTATAATAGTGAACATTTTCACCCAGTTCCCGATCGCCACGAATCTCACTGTCTTCCAACATGCTCAAGACCCTATGCTCAGCGATACTACGCTCGAGGAATTCGAAGATCCAGCCAGAATACTCGCCCAACGTCTCGCGTCCCTTGAACTGCTCCCACATCTCGTACGAGAGCCGTGGACCTCTGCATGACACTAGATATCCGTTCCTGTAGTAGTTGGGGCCAGGGTAGCGAAGCATCTTCATTTCGCGCCAAGAGGCAGTTGGATGAAAGAGGCCGCCAGTGAAGACTCTTGTCTTGAATATCGTGCTGTGTGGCACTGCTGCGTGCTTCGGTTTTCGCTGCCATGAGAAGTCCAAGGCGCCCGTTTCCGAAGGTGGAGTATCAAAAAGCCAATTAACAGCAGCAAGATTGTGGTCTGAATCAAGAAAGATGTTTGGACTGTCGGCGCATCGGATGGCGCGTCTTTCTTCTTCGTCGGCGTGTTCGAGAAACATAGCTCGTCGGAGAACCATGGAGGAGGCAATAGCATCGTTGAACATGTGGTTGACTCGCTGTAGGACAAAAAGCTTCGTTACCGGCCGGAAGGGCTTGAGTTCTTGTTCCGAAGCGGCGTACTCGAGGAGAATCATGTCGAGCAGCTCTGCTATGCCGAAAACTTGGGTGCTCGCGGCAGTCGCCATATTGGTGCGGTCGAGGGTCCTCGAATGATGGATCTCCGTTGGTAGTCTTTGGTCTGCGATGTTGAGGTCGTATCGACGAGGATGCGCCTTGTGGTGGCTGTTGCTGCGACTGCGTCGCTGTTGATGTTGTTGTTGAGGTCGCATCGCTGACGGACGTTGCACTCTACTTGAATAAATCAAGCAAACGCCGCAATGCCGCTCCATTCACTTTTCACACAAACAAACAAACACTTACACGTGAAGTCCCTCCACTGGTAAATGGGTCGACTGGGTCGACTGAAGGCGGACAGTGTCTTTGGCACGATATCTGCAGTCTCTCATTACACCTCGCAGATACAATGTACCTTCCCAACAGTTCAATGGCCATGTCCGCCGAGCGCTTCCATCATTCCGTTCTCTGCCATAGCCTCAATTCTATTTACGCGGGCGCTTTCTCTGTGTATCATCATCCACAGACATACTACAAACTTGCAATGCAGGTTCGCTGCTGCCCCGGTGCTCCACTCCCACGAGCGTGCTGTCTTCGCTGTTTTATCCACGCACATCTGCCCGTTCCTCTCGAATCGGCGATTATGCTGCTACGAGCCATGTTGTGGTTGTGTCGTCATTTTTTAGCTAGAGTTCTTCGATCTGTGTCGAGATCCGGAGGACCTAATGAGAGATCAGCTCACGACTTTCGAACACTCGCAAAGTGGCGTGACAGTCGATCAGATGCCAGTCTTGGCTCTTGGTCTGCTGGGCAGCGACTTGTCCCTGCGATTAGCAGGAAGATAAGAAAGATCGTCCACTGACATTGATATCCTCCTGGCAACACCTTGCAACTGCTGATCGTTCTCAGCGTCCCGTGAAGCACGCTTGAGTGCTTCATCGCGTGCGTGCTCGGTGCTTCTTCGCACTTCGTCGTGACTCGGCGGCAGTCGCTCGTTCTGCAAGTCGATCTTGCGAGCATCTTCGAAGTTCGTAATGGCTGCCTTGATACCTTCAGACCCGAGCATGAGCGTACCAGCGGGCAGACGACCACCGGATGCAGTCTTCAGTTCCGTCACCCGCTCAGATTCCTCGCGCAGGACTTGGAACACACGTGACAATCTGCCAATTGCCAAAATCTTGTTCTTGATAGCTCTCCGCTTGTACTCGACGCTATCGGGGTCCATACTTGCAGCCGAACCGTTGCCAATGAGGGGTGGTGATGAAGGCCCTGACGAAAGTGGTGTTTCATCCTCGAGCTCCTCCTTACTGCAGGTGTTGAGGATCGCTATCAGCATGTCTGTGATCTTCTCGCCGACGAAGGGTAGAGACCATGTAAAGACGTCCATGAAGTTTGGCAGCCAGTATGGGTGGGGTGTGCAGTTGAATTGCCGGATGTTCATGACATTGTTCTCATACTTGAGCACAGCAGCCTTGTTGTTGTACACGTCCAGATAATTGGGTGCAGAGAAGATCGTCATTACGGATGGAAAGCCAGTGGTCCTCGTCTTTCTGTACATGCGGTATCCAGCGTCTTGCGCTTCGTGTGCTCGGATGATGGAAAGCAGGTTGTTCTTTTCAAGGAAGGCGCAGGCTGCAGGGTAACTGAAGAAATAGGAGCAACCTCGCACATGGTTGTGGACGAAGTATTCCTGTGTCTTCTCTTGCCCGAACTCTTCCAGAGGATCTGCCCAGAGAATGTCGCACATCAATCCATGTGTAGGTGGCTCTCGGAATCGGTCCAACGACTTGAGATCGTCAAGGGTGTGAAGTTCGGGGCTCAGTCCGCCGTGGATGCAAAGGAACTGCTTGTTCATAACCGCCGCCAGAGGAAGCGCGCAAAAGGACTCCATGCATGCCTCGTAGACCTTCTCGCTGTACTTGTGCTTGCATTCAAGCTTGAAGGTGAAGTAGTCTGTCAAGTGTCGGCACTCGTGGTTGCCGCGCAGGAGCCAGAGAGTGTTGGGGTACCACATCTTGAGTGCCCACAAGTACAAGACGCATTCAATCGAGAAGTATCCACGGTCCACGTAGTCACCGAGGAACAGATATCTGGTTTCTGCTGGGTCTCCGCCGACCTCGAAGAGCTTCATCAGGTCAAAATATTGTCCGTGGATGTCACCGCACACTGTGATAGGCGCATCCATTTCCAGCAGATTAGGCTCTGCGCGCAGAACTTGAGCGCCTCCATTGATGATCCACAGAGCCTGCTCTTCGGTCAGACGACCTTCGCGGTACAGGTGTTGTTTTAGGAATTGTAGGTTCGGTTTCGAGGGATCGGTCGGCGAAAGGATTTGTTCTTCGGTAGGGACGTTGAACGCAGGCGCTTGCACATCTACAGTCGCCGCCGTCAGTCATGTCACGCTGGGCCGCCCCTCCCCTCAGTACGCCACTTTGAGGACTGCGCGACTGCTCCAGTCTTGTCCGAACATACCTTTGCACACTCGCTCTTGCGTGCTCACTTGGGTGCCATCCTCCATAGTATGCAAAGTGAAATCGATCTCCGGGATCTGTCTGTTCTGCTTGTTCTGCACCGCTCGCGCCGCATTGTCGGCCCATTGCTCGTCTTGCCCGTCCATGTTGGGCGGCTGCGGTTGCCTGATTCTGCTGTACTGGTGTTGTTGGAGCACACGAGGCCGATGTTCCAGACAAGGCTCAATTCGTGGTGCGGTGAAGTTGTGGCTAATGCGCTCTGCCCACGCGACTGAGCTCGAGTGGCGGCGGGGTGGAACCGGTGAGAGAACGGGCGGCCCAATGTGCGGTATAGGGGCCAATGACGTGCGTTTCGCGCGCTGTCTTTCCTGCAAACCAGTGCGCCTTCGTGGGGAGATGTTATTCGACGATGTCAGAAGACGGCGAGACTGCCCGCTCGTGCATGTGAATTTCGGTGCGGAGTGTTGTCGAAGATCCAGACCTTTGAGCGTGTTTGTCCGGGCGAGGCGCGCCACTGATGCAGCCGCCAATCACATGCGCCGGCAAGAGTTGGGTGGAGTTGGCTTCCACAGCCCACAATCAGGATGGTCAGCAACCAAGCAGCATGGAATAATAGGGCTGATGAGGGTGAGGCACTGGACTCGTGGGTGAGATCGTACACATCTTGGACTGACTGCCCGACAACGGCATGCCGAGAAACAGCACTCGGTCACTCGGTACGTACGAAATGGTGACGGGAAGCCGACGACGATATCGACTTTGAGCAAGCAAGATCTTCGCGTGCGCTCCTGCGATCTAAAAGCAGAGGACGAGACATGGCATCGGCCTCCAAGAATACCACTCGGAAAAACGCCTGATGGACTTGCCTCTCATTATGCCAGACCCAGCGTCCTGAAAGTGCACATTGCAGTCGCGCTGATAGCACGCCTTCAATAGGCTGATGATGTGACTCTGGATTCTCCATGACATGGAGCGAAGGCGTAATCCAGTCTCCAGACGAGACTGAGAGCTTTGCCTCTACCGCAACCTCAGCGTCGTTCATGTTCACTTGGACCAGTAGGCCACGGGATGCCTCACAGGCGTCCGCCGGGACAACAGCGTCAAGACCTCACGTCGGTGGCATGTCTATTGCACAGAGCTGCGTCCGCAAATGTGAAGCAAATGCTCATACGAACTCTTTGGGGCTGAGTATGCTGTCCCTATCCGTAATTCTGCTCAGACCAGTGGAGGACGTGCGTGATGCTACCATTGCACCAAATGCTGGCACAATGACGTTTCCTCTAACACAGCTCCTATACATGACATCGAGCCGGCGAACACGCGACGTGTTGTACCTGTTCCCCTCAATGCCTCGTCTCAAACAACTCCTCACGCTCACGCTTCAGCTCAAAACGTCTTTGCCAAGCCATCTAAGCGCTCACATCTCAGCCAGTGCAACCGCGCGCCTCTTTCGAGTATGAAACACAACTTGCCATCTATCTTTGTGACACCCTAGTAGCCACCGCTCCTTCTCACTCGTGGCGTCTTGCAGCAGCTTGCACATGTGCGGCGTCGCAGCGGCAACTCTGTGAAACAGTCCATACAGACCCTTGGGATCAGCATCGCGATGGGGCTGATGGAGCTTGTCTGTCAATTTACACACGGCCTCAGGCGCCTGACGGTTGCGAAGCGTAGTACCGTGCCACAATGTTGCAACGAAGACGTGTTTAGAACAGAGGCCATGATAAGTATGAGGTCGAGGTCATGGAGCTGAGTGTCCAGACGCTCCTTTGCGATCAGCCTGCTACACAGTATTATCTTGCATATCACATCATGCCTCTCAGTTTGCTGGATGAACATCAGTGCTTCTTGGAAGAACAGTATACCATCTCAACACCAGACCTCAAGCAAGGCGAAATGTTCGAAAGCTGGACGCCGCTCTTGCCAAGCACAAGCAACACGTACCGTCGCACTCAAGAGAAGACTACGATGTGGAAATCAGTTCGACAGCGCTTGAGGTCCATCAGTCCCAGGAGGCGCTCGAACCCCTCAGGAAGGGAATCCATGAACAAACGACGTTCCATACAGCTGTCGTAGCTTGAGATGAACATCTCGATGAACAGTTGATGTGGCTGCCTGCACGGGAGCACATCACAAATTTTGAGACAAGCAGACGTCACGAGAAAACATGTTCCCCACGTATAACTCCACACACAGAAGCATCCCCAAGATATCTCCGACAGGTCTATCTCCAGGCCACCCGTGGAGTTGAAGGTTGATCACATTCGGATCTCCTATCATGACCGACAGCCAGCGCCACTGGACACGAATCACTACATCAAGGAGAAGCTGTCCAGAGAGCGTTTGCGATGTGACAAGAAGGACCACACAGAGTGGTCGTCGGAGGAGAAATTTGGCGCCCGCGACGCCAACGCGTTTGATCCACGCAAGCTCGGCCAGCTTCACAAGATGGCGATATTCACGGTGCGAAGATCAATCGGGTGTGTGATCCGGAGTAGTAGCACGTGTCAGTCAGTGCTTGTTTGTGGGCGCAGGGCACAATGCCATTGACTCGTGCTTGGCTATTTTGAGGAACAGCAGGCAGGAAGGAAAAATTCGAAGGTTGTGGAGTGCATGACATCAAAAAATGTTTCGAGAGTCGGAGGAGGTTGTCCTTGCAGGAGACTTGTTAAAAGCGGTCAAGGTGGCTGTATGGAGCAAGGTGGATCGCGGTACGAGTCGCGTCAGAGTATACGGTATACGATCCAGTGTTGATGCTTTGCCTCCAGTCCAGCCTCGTGTTTCCTGCGGAAGCGCACAATCCGTGTGTGTGGCGAGGCGCTGCACTGTCCCCATCCGCGTCGCAAACTCGCAGTCACGATGTGATGTGGCGGATGTGCTCAGCTGACCATGGAAGGACAGGTTGGTGAAGCGTGTAGAGCCAAGGTGGTGAAACGGGGCGCGGATGTTTCACTCGCTCGGTTCCACAGCCGAGAGCCGCATGGAAGCAGGCTCGATTGGAGGGAAGGTGCAGATCCCTTGGACGCTAACGGCATCAAGCTCCCTCCTTTTCCGACCTCACGACACGACTGCGCCGGCTGATTGGACACGCCGACTTCACCTCTCCGTCCAGCAGCTGCACGATGAAAGCCAACGATAGGCACAGCCCCGTCGCTGCCCCTGGCAATACTGCACGCAAACTCGCTGCCCGTCGCGTGTTTCGGTGCGCCCGCTGAGACAGCAGCGTCGCCGTCACCGCGCGGACGACGGGACGCTACCAGCAAACCAGCGAACGCTGTCTGCTGCTCCGCCCTCGCCCTTGGCGGTGGAGGGCACAACCAGAGGTCGGCGTGCAAACTCTCGCGCACCGCTAGCGCCCACTGGACCTCCTGTGCTGGAGCGCAGCATATGCAAAACATGTTGCAGCTGGCACTAACGCGCTCTGGCGACCACCATTCTCCCGCCGCGCAGGAGATCTGTCCCACGCAAAGGCCCGCCTGCCATGGACTCGCCATCGCTGCTGCAGCGGGACGGGCGCGTACGAAGCCATCGTGCAGGAGCCTGATCCATGCCCACACAGGGGCCTCTCCAGATGCAGATCGCGCCAAGGGCAAGTCTTAAGAGCGTCGCAGTGCTGTTTGCTCGCACCCTCTCTCTGCTTCCTCGCAACAAACGCGTCGTCGAAGTTTTCCTGCTCTACATCCTCTTTTTGCGCTGTCGCCGTTGCCAGGAGCATCGTGCACACACACTCCTTCACTACACTCCAGTGTCTCCGCGAGACTTTTGACTCAGAGCCAGACTCTCATTTCGCTGCAGCCCCCACCGATTCCGACAGACAGACTCCTCTTGTCGCAGATAGACACCCTCTCAAAAGCCCAGGTGAGCAGATCTCCCGAGGTGTCCCCCCTTCTGTCGAAAAAGCTTCTACACAAGTCCCTACCTTCCGACTACCGAAGATCTGCGATATGTCTCAACTACTCGAACAGGGGACAGAAGCTTGTCGCACCCTCTGTCTCGCACTCGATGCTCGAGAAGCACATCGAAGACGAACGCTTAGACTAATGACGCTCAGATCTCACTCTCTAAGCAGTACTTAGAGTTCCAACGACGACGTCGGTTTCGATTTATCGCTCAGCCGGTCTAGCGATACTACAGCACTTCCAACGCCAGTTCACAGCTCGCATCCAGTCTCTACTACGACAGTTTCGCGCGATGTTCTCCAAATCATTCCTTACCGCAGCTGCGGCTTGCAGCCTGCTTGTTTCTTCCGTCAATGCCCATATGGTCATTGTCAGTCCTGTACCCTATGGCGTGGACAGCCTCAACAACAGCCCTCTCGAACCAGATGGATCCGACTTTCCATGCAAACAGCGATCTGGCGTCTACGATATCAGCCAGGTGAACCAGATCCCCGTTGGTGTACCACAAAAGCTTTCTTTCAAGGGAGGTGCTACCCACGGCGGTGGCTCCTGCCAGCTCTCAGTCACTCTCGACAAGAACCCCACCAAGGATAGCAAGTGGAAGGTCATTCACACCATTCTTGGTGGCTGCCCGAATTCGAAGGCCGGCAACGCCGATGGTTCTCCAAACTATGAGGGCAACCCAACCTTCGAATACACCATGCCAAAAGGCATGCCAAACGGACAGTACACCATGGCGTGGACGTGGTTCAACAAGATCGGCAACCGAGAGATGTACATGAACTGCGCGCCAATCGAAGTCTCTGGCGGTGCGGATAACGACGAGGTTCTCAACACTCTTCCTGATATGTTCGTCGCAAACATTGGCAATGGCTGCACTACCGACGAGAGCCAGGACTTTGTCTTCCCACAATGCGGACTGAATGTTGAAACTGCACAGAACACTGCTCTTGGCAGCAAGACACAGGGCACATGTGCCGCTGCGACTGGCGGCGCAGGTGGTGGCTCTGGATACTCAGCTCCAGCTAGCTCTCCAGCTGCACCAACTGGATATGGCTCTGCTTCAAGCGCTGCCCCTGCCGCTCCAAGCTATGGCTCAGGCTCTGGTTCCGGTGCTGGCTCCAGCCCTGCGCCTTCCGCACCAAGCTACGGCTCTGGCCCATCCGCTGCTCCCAACGCACCTTCGTATGGTGGAGCCTCTCATGCTGCTCCTCAAGCACCTGCTCCTACAGGCTATGGTAGCGGCAGTGCGAGCAGCGTCGAAGGCGGTGGTGCAGCAGGCGGCATCGCCACCACATACGAGGTCCACACTGCTACCGAAATCAGGACTATCACTGCCGACGGACCAGCACCAACTGGATACACTCCGCCAGCCGGCCCAGGCGGCAACTCCGGAGGTAGCCCTCCAAGTTACGGCGGCTCCAACAAGGGCAAAGTCTCTTCCGACTCTGGCTCATCGTCAGGCGGATCGTCCGAGTCGTCCGACAACAGCACTTCGCCATCGACATCTTCCGGCGCCATCGCTTGCACGACACAAGACGAAATCATCTGCATGCCTGGCAACAAGTTTGGCATTTGCGACAATGGCTTCGCTGTGCCAATGGCTCTTTCTCAGGGCACAGCATGCTCCAATGGCGTCGTTTCAAAGCGAAGCAATTTCAGCCGCCACCTTCGCCAACACCTCAAACCCCACGGCTCCAAGTTCCGCTAGATATTCTCACGAGACCTTCACGACATGTACAGCTGGCACGCACGCATGTACTTCACAGGTTCTTGGGGAACGTTCGTTTTTGTGGTGGAGAAATTTCAAATGGTGTTGGGTGGAGGATTCTTGGTTCGAGCATTTGAGCAAGGCAAGGCGATCGTTGCATTTGCATTTCGGATTTGACGCGATGAGGTTGTAGCTTTTATCCACTTTCATGATGACGCTTTTGACGGAATGATACCAGCGGCTCTCTGGCAGGCTTGCACAAACAGGACATTGGAAATACAAAAAGGGCATTGAGCACCAGATTCAGCGCTACCACAGAGCCATGACAGACGGCATACAACTGTTCATACAGTACTCACAAAGCATTTGTTATTGACATTGCATCTCCCATTCGAACCACCAAAAATGTCGTTGGTACTGACAAATCACAGTTCGTAAGGTGCCCTACCTCTAAAGAAAGAGACATGCTGGGCAGCAGGCTTAGACGAACGAAGATCGACGTCTGTTTCGAACCTTGTTGCTGTTCCTCCCAGTATCCACTCCCCATCCGTGTGGACCGCTATCATGCATTGTGGAGAAGAGCCATGCGGCCATATGACATGTGCTCTTAATTGCTAAACGCTTTCAAACCTCCTCATCTGTAATTCACACCATCTTCCTCGTAAGGCGGAGGCTCTTCACTATAGCGTCCGTCATTCCCAGAATACATTCGTTTGACCAAAGGTTCTCTCTCGATCCCCAATCGTACACTGCCATCCACTGCCACATATTCTCCAAATCCCCATCTCCATGCCTTCCTGCCCTGGCGTCTGTCACCTCGCCATTCAGCCATATCTCTGAGCGACTGACTTCCCGCGAAAAATGCAATCTGGCTCGCAATTGTGCTGGGCAACCTTGGTAAGATTCTCCAAGGACGTCGAGCGTAGAAGATGATAGTGGTGAGGATGTACAGGCCGAAGATGGCCTCTACAACGACGAACGCGGGTGTTGAGAATAGAATGCGGGTTTCGGGAGTTATTATTGTGGCCTGGATCGACGTTCCGGCTTCATTGTGCTGGAAGAGATACTGGTGATTCGTGGAGACGAGAATGGGGAAGAGGCGGTTGTACACTCGTGCATATTGTTCGGCGGCGTCAGTGGCCTCCGGAGGAGGGGCTTCGGGATTGAGTAAGGTCTTGGTGGTAGCCGAACGTGCTTGTTCGATAAGATAGTTGTTGTAGTCTGATGGGAAAGAATCGTTGTGCCATGTCGCGCCGCTGTCGACCAAGAAGCGGTTTGTCTGAGCGATGAGGTCGGAGAATAATGTCTGGTTTGGTGTAATCAAGTCGGCGGAGAGTTCTTTCGTCACTCGCCCGGCCGCGTCGAAGATTGCACTCGCATTGCCAGTCAAGATCGTGGGTCTACAAATGATGAATGTCGAGTTGAGAGAGTCTGCTTGGAAGTCATAATTGCCCCTGCTGTTGCGTCTGCTGGTTTTCGCTCGCCAATCGGCTCTCAGCCATCCGGACACGATGTGCTGTCGACAGAAGAGGTCACGAGCATCCGAGGCATCTGTGGTATCTTGTCCGACGTCGAGTTCAGATGCATAAACGCTACGAGTGGACAGCATGGCACTCATCTCCAGTGCCTGCCGACCTGGCTCCGGGTTGGATGTCGAATTGAGGCCTGAGACACCAAAAGCCCGAGTCCAAGACTTGAAGTTGCTGCAAGTGACGATCTCGCTCGAGCTATATTGGAGTGGCATGTTGAAATTGACAGAGGACGCGTCTTCCGCGAAGTCAAGCACATAATTTTTGGCGCCTAGAGGGTAGCAAACAAGTTCAGCAGCCAACGCAGAAGTGTTGATCTCCAGGTGAGCGCTTGGACTCAGCGCAGCCGTGTCCATTGGCCAGTATGCAATGTTTTCACCAGCCCAGGGCGGCAACGGTGTGTCCGCAGTCACGTTGGACATAGCTCGATAGAAAGGCTCCACAGTCCCACTTCCATCTGAGTTCTCCCTGAGAGCGCCGTTGAAAGGCGGCCCTGTGCCCCGAAGCTCCACTAAGGAAGGGAGGTAGGGCATTATCATGCCGGACGTATGAGTTATCAAGTTGGTTCCTTCGTACATCAATCCGCTGAGGGCAACAGAAAGCACATTAGCAAGCAACACCATGAAGCAGACTGCTGCCTTGGTGAAGTGGCGCGCTTTGATTGCCCTCATAAACAAGAATTGAGGCGGCAGGGAGGAGTAGTCCAAGTCGATAGACCTCTGAGCTGTAGCGCTGCCTTTGCGCATCTCCTCGAAAGGCTGCAGTAGGCCAACGAGTCGATTCAGAATTAGCCAGAAAGGCTCGATCAATGTCGCAAGAGCGATTGGAACGTAATTCTCGAGTAGCTGTCGAACAAAAGTCGATGTCGATGGTAGTGCCAGGCCTAGGGAGTGTCAGCGATGACCAGACTGGAATTTCGGCAGCTTACCATGAGTCTTCCTTGCTTTCGCGAACAGGACTGCGAAATTCACGACTGCCGCACACTGTAGTGTCAAGAATATCGCCCCGATGTACGCTTTCATCTCGAGAGGTCGAATACCATAATTTTCAGAGCTCGGTCTTTCTATTGCCATTGGGCTTGGCTCAACGTTGACTTCATGCAAGCGGACATGCGCATCGCTATGACTCGCTACCGTATCGTCCAAAACGAAAGTCCTTTTTGACAATGCCTCTTTGAGATGGTCTTCGTCGTTACGGTCGTGCGAAGCGAATGTTGCTGCTGTACTCGAATCTCCTGCCGTAAGATCCATCAAAGCACCGATCGTTGCAGGATCGTAACGTAACTTGTTCGCCCTTCTGGGGCCGCTAAGAGTAAACCAGACGGCGAGGAGCATGACCAGACCAAGGACCGCCAGAGCAGCGTATGCAAACCCAGGAACGACGATTACAGCCTGGGTGACATATTTGTAGGCGCCGTGAGTCTGCGTGGTCTCGTTGATTTCCACCTTGAGGAGATCGACTACTTGTCTCGAAAAGAGCAAACGATAAGCAGACTCATATGATTGCCGAAGATTCTCAGGATCCAGATACTCTTCAGCAGAAAGTTTGTTCGTAGCGATCGCGAATGGTGCCATTCTTGGTAGCCAGTCCAGATTGATCGGCATGTCAAGCAACTGCGACTTCTGGTCGGGGAAGGAAGTAGTTGGCCATTCACCTCGAGTGGCTACCTGCTCCTGGCCTGAGTTCATGGCCCACTCGAAAGAGCTGATGTTGAAGAGATCGGCTGGCAGAGGAAGCTTCACGCCGATTGGGTTGGCCTCGATTACAGCATTTGACGGCACGCTGATCGTGGCATTGACCTGTTGTTGATAATAGGAAGCCTGGCAGAACAGCGAAGTATCATTTTCAGCTTGAAAAGGTTCCATACTGCCCGTGTTCATGGGCGTCTGGATGTACGCCTGTGTCACCTTGGACCAACGCACGAAGAAGAGGTGGAAGAATCTTTCATCACAATACCCTTCGAGATAATACTGTGCGAAACCTTCACGATTCTGATAACCAGCATATAATGTGTCGAAAGGTCTGTTCGTGTCGTTACCGCCGAATGGCCGAAAAGTTGGAGCCTGCATGCTACAGCCTCCCGTACTGTTGTAGTAATACCCACCCGAATTATTCCAGAATGTCGCTTCCTCGCACGAAAGATCCACGCTGTAGGCTGTGGTAAGCCCGGTGAACGTAGTGTTGACGCCTTCGTGTTTAGATCCGCTGATCGCCTTGAACGGGCTGAGTACGTAGTCCTTCGTCATGAAGGGCGGCAAGGTCTCATTGAGCCAAGCTATATTGTAGACCGATTGAGCGTATATCGACGAGGTGTTGCCTTGCTGACTCAATGGGATGTACGCGGTGGAATATACGCCCGGAACAGACTCGTGCATAGTGATCGTCCTGACTGCGAAAATACCAGATTGTATGGGAGTGAGACCCCAAATCACCGCAATTATTACCAAAGAGCCCACAAATACGTTCCATTGACTTCGCTTCAGTGCCGAGAAAGGTATGGTAAGTAGGAACTGCAACGGATATGCCAAGTTGATTGAGTTGTCACCAGAGGCGCCACCGTCTTTCGACATTTGGAAGTATGGCTCGAGCCGTTTGATGTCCAGGTCCAGCCAGGTCCAAAGAAAGCCATAGAAAACCGAAATAATGGTAGGAAGGTAGAGATAGGTGAATGACTTGCTGAGCGGAAGCTCGTTGATATTGGCTGCGAAAATGATGCCTTGCTCTCTGTTGCTTACGACCAAAAGCCAGGCAATGACAGCTATGAGGATCCATGTCAAGACGATGAGAGTAGCCAGGTACCAGACCTTGAAAGTCGGCGGTGTCCAAGATCCTGAGTGCTCTTCTCGGCCATCATCCTGTATCGCTCGAACAACAACATCTGGCTGTTTCGTCCTAACACCACCTCGGCTCTTCGACTTCGTCCATCCTCCAAACGATCCAGAGTTTCCAGTGATCGATCTGAAAAGTCGCATTCTTGTCTCCAGAGTCCCAGTATCAGTTCCTAGATAGGGCCACGCTTCAGGCAGACCAGCTGCACTCTCAAACCAAAAACAGAAACGACAGAGGAAGTGGAAGTGTACAAACTCACCGGACCGAGCGCGTTTGCGCCATGTCTTCTATGCTGCCTGCCAAATGCAGCCGTGAGGCACAGTACATGGCCTATTTTGGGCGTGCAGGATGTAAGCGCTGCGGCGGGCGCTTAGGCTGCATGATGCTTGACACTTCCTGCACTGGCCTGGATCTCGCCTACGAAGGTGCTCGTCGGCGCAAGCATGAATGTTGGATGATGCCGTACAGATGTTGCCGGCATTGCGATAGAAACAACCATGGCAGAGATGGGTGCGAAGAGATGGTCGAGGACGAAGAGGAAGAGTGCTTGAGGTGGGTCAAGACGATGGGCAGGCTTGGCAAGAACCCTTGATTTTACAGGGCAATCACGATCACCGAACAGTATGAAAGAGATGTAGAGACATTCCAACGGGATGCAACAGCATTGAAAGATCTGAAATGTCTTCATTTGCGCTACACTGAACGCCATGTAGCGGTCCCTTTCCAGCCACAATGCCTGCTCCCATAGAAAGTCATTACAACGACAACAGCGCCCGCTTAGTTCTCGTGGAGAGTAGCCTCGAAAGCCTGGTCCTTGACGATCGGCTTGTCGGTGCTCTTGACGTGACCGAGACCTTCGCTTGAGTAGGCCTTGGCATATGGGTTGAGGCGGAGCAGGACCTGCTTGTTCTTGAGCGGGTTCTTCTTTTGCACAACAGTGCGCTTGGTGATGGCACCACCCTTGACAGGTCGGAGCACGCTCTGGATTTCGCTGCTGTTGATGATCTTGGCAATATCTGCCTGTGCGACGGTGTTTTGTGGGAGGAGGAAGTCGCGCTTGAGTGCCGAAGGCTCGGTGGTGCTACCGTAGACGCTGTCGAGGGCGGCGAAAGCAGCAGAGGTCCAGACGATGAATCGGCCGAGGTGACCACCTGGAGCGAGCTGGAGGAGGTTGAGAGAGTAGACAGTGCAAGTCTCAACACCTGGGATGTTGCGGAAAGCGCGCACAAGCTCCTTGCCATCCTTCTCTGGCTCGTAGATGACAAGAGGACCGCGGCGCTGAGTGTGGCGGCGGTTCCTCAGCTTACCCTTACCAGCACGGATCTTGCGGGAGTTCTTGACGTGCTCGAGGTCTGGACCAGCACCGACGGACTTGAGGAGAGCGACGGCAGCGGAGGTCTTCTTCACAGCGGCGTTGGAGAAGGCGGTGGAAGAAACGACGAGTGGGACCTCTGGGACCTCGTTGACGCGGTGGCCGCGGGCGAGGAGAAGAGCAGCGCTCGAAGAAGCAGCGATGGCAGAGGCAGTCGCGAAGCGCTTCTGGTTGAGGTTGATCTTCTGGTGCCACTTGCGCCAGACCTTGGTTGGTGCGAACATGCGTCCAGAACGGCACATGTTACCGAAGGCGGCCTGACCAGCGCGGTGAGTACCACCACCGCTGACACGAGGAATACGGGCGACAGCGCGACCTGTGTTTATCCGTCAGTATATCTGTACTGACTTGTCTTCGACTCCTCCACATCCAGTGCCTCTTTTCACGTACCAGTTCCCCACGACTCAGCAGAGGTCTGGTGACCGGCCTTCTCGCTCACGGCGTATGGCTGGCGCTTGTTCTTGGCCATGCCAGTGTGAACCGTCCTGCATTACCATTAGTATTTTCTCTTTCTTCCATCGCAATCGCATTCGTCGCTGCGTTCGGCGGAGGTGGTGGGTTCGTACTGGACAATGTCCGGGCGGATTGGCGCCTTGAAGACATTTGGGAGCGGGTGGGTGTCCTGGGAAGGAGCACCGTCGGCGCCAATGATGGTCACGGTCGGTCGGCTGGCCATTGTGAGGACGGAGTTGTGCTGTTGGTGTTAGTAGAGTGCAAATCGACCTCGTCGCCGTGGACTTCACACAGCTACGGCAGAATCCAAAAAGTCGGCGAGTGCGATGGAGACTTGGCGCGGGCGCTAAGCCTGATTCAGCCGGACCTTTCCACACACCTCCGAGCTCCTCCTCACAACAAACAGTCTCTACCCATCTCTCAGCATCCGCCGCTCTATTCGCGCCAGACTAAGGACTTGCCACGGCACAATTACGCCTATGTGGCACAAATTTGTGCATTAGGCTGGACTCATCTGCGCCTCAGTCCGCAGCAATGGTTCAGTCACGATCAGATGAAGTCACGTAAAAGGAAATACGAAGCAAGACTGTGCAGGTCAAGAATTCCTCTCAGCATTGCGCAATCATGATCTTCGAAGCCCAGGAACCACCATTAATTTCCTCTCTGATGCCAAACTAATCGCAGATGTACACTAGATATCCTCCATAACCTCGCACAACCCACGCGAACAGCCAAGCTCCGCACCATGCTTGATACCGTCGTCTGCCTATTGCATACAGGACAACTTCTCGAACAAACCTCTCCAAAACCGAGGTCTGGCTTGTGAGTAAAAAAGCCGGACCAGTCCTTTTCCGTTCGGTCTACATGTGCAGCCCGCCACTTTCCCAGGCACCTTCGCTTTACGAGGCACTATATCTACACCACTCCTGACAGTCGTCCTCTTCAAAGACGACCCATCCGGCAGATCATACACGCCGATCCATGTTCTGCGATCCTCGCTCATCCATTGCTCTGCCGGCAAGAGTCCTGTGTTTGTCCACTGTGGCGGTTCCGAGTCAATGCGAATAACAGCTTGTTTGACCTCTGGAACGGGCTGGATCGATGCCACGCGTGCCTGACCTCCGCATGCAGTTTTCTCACCGCACGCAGACTTTTCATCTGTTTGGAAGCCGTCTTCGCATAATGTTGACGCTACAGATATGCAGCTTCGACTTCCTAGTTTCTCGTCCATTGGAAAGTGGTCTGCGTACGTTTCCGAGCTACATGCTTCGAGTTCCTGGGCCATAACTGTTCCGTGTGTCTTCAACCTGTTTGCGTCGACTTCCTTGGCCATCAATGCTCGACATAATGCTGACGGAGTCTCTGCTGCGCGACCCCGACTACCACCGAATCTTCTCCAAAACCGACGGGGCGGATAGCAGATCATATGTTCAACCGTGCCATTTGGCAAGACGATCCGACATTCCGATGGAACGTATCTGTCATGTTCGATCCTCACATACGCCCCATCACTGTGTTGCTCCGCGACACGAACTTCCTTCTTCTCTTGGCTGGGCTCTTGAGATTTGGCCATGGTATCGCATGCCTTCGACAGACTGACGATTCTGCCTGCTAAATACTATTGAGGTCGCCAGAATCATGGAATCTTCGATGCACATCTTATTGCCCCACAGCTGTTTGGATTGTGTAGCTCTCTCCAGCTGCAAAACCATTGGCTGGTGAGTGTCCAAGTTTGTCAACTACCACGTCTTACACGACTGAAGCTTCCGCCAGAAGCCGAAAATACCAAGTCCTGCGACGGACCACTCGAAACGGCCGCGACATGGCTTGCGATAGTATCGTCCCGGACCAGATAGAAGCTGACTTTGGTTGCAGTGCTTGGGACCGCGGACATTCTCGTACCTCTTCTACCCAGGTAAGCCGTGATAATTCGCACAAACGCGAGCAGTTCATCGCGCATAACCTCGTTGCAGGCTGCTTCGCCAGGCCTCTCCCGTTTCGCAGACTGAAGCTCGATCGTGAACGGCCTGAAATGGTCACGACGAGTATTGCTAATAATCAAAGTCGCGTTCAAATTGGGACGAATGCTTAAGGTCCATCGAATGGATCGTGCCCATGATCCAGCGATCCTGAGAGAATGTCCTGAGGCTTGGTCAAGGCAGTTGTGTTCTTCGTGGTTGACTCGTTGGCAAGCTCATCCGTTCCCTGACGACAACATCCATCTTCAGCGATGAAACTCTGCTTGGTGGCACCTTCACCTTATTGCTACACCGACATTTGTGATCCTGGGAGGCTTCGGTAGCCACTGGCCGCTTGCGAGAGTTCTGCGTTGCCCGATTTGGAGAGCTGATGCTGTTGTCGGCCCCGTAACCATGAGCCTGAGCTTCGTTGCTGAATTTCGTTCACAGTTTCAGGTTGCACAAAGCTCCATGCGCATCCGAAAGTGTGGGGCGCAACCGCACTTTGCTATCGCTGGCGCGGATGCAACAACGTCTGTCAAGAATTCATCGACATAGATGCTTATTGACAGTAGGTGAAGTCACATCCACGACTAAGACAACAAAGCCCGTATCTACGATGCTTAATGCTGCAGAGTCAAGAGATGGAGCATTGAAGAGACAGGTCTATAAGCGTAAAGTTTTGCCAAGCTCTGGTTAGGATAAACGCTTACAGTCCAGCAGAACGACATACCGGCTGCCCGTTTCCAACCCATCGGACAAACAAAGTAAAATGATTTGCGGTTACCTGTTGCAGCAAGCATGTCCTGTTGAAACCTCGTGAATAATGGTTGGCCGTGGAAACCACAACGTCTTCGAATACAAGTCTTCTCGACGGTCGATACTGCTCTCACATCCTCGACACTCGACTTCATCATCAGTCACTCCACCCAACAACCAAGATGGGCATCACACAAGTTTTCCGAAAGACACAAGAGCCTATGTTGGATAAGCACAACGAGGCCCAAGCCACCGCAACATCAGAGCAAGAGGCTGCACGACCTGGAGCAGGAACGATGAGTAGGTGTAGTCAAGTCGGCTATCCCACCGAGTGAAGGCTGACCTAGGACATAGGTCCTGAGCAGTGGCTGTTCTACACTCAGCTCAGTCAGCATCTCAATAGCGGCGCAACAAGTCCTGCCAGCACAACTCACTCGGGAGGTTGGGGCTATGTTGCTCCGGACCATTCACAAGGTTTAGTGCAGTATCACGCAAAGCATTCCAGTTACCGCACATACGAGAGCACCCAAGCTTTCGAGCGAGATGACTTGCCACTCGCCGTCGTCAGAACTCAATTGACATCCGGTTCCGTCCCAGTCAACACCCCCACATACAAATCCGGACCCAAGATTCGGAGGTCGTCTTCCAGCGCGACCCACATCTCAAGGTCCAGTAGTATTGGAACGGTAGTGAGGCAATCGTCCTACACGCTACCTTCGATATCTGAAGTCGTCGACAATAGTTTCAGCCACTTCATGAATAACGTACCCAAAGCACAATCACTTCTTCCAGCTGCGCCAATTGTGAGGGCAAAGACTCTCCCGAAGAACAGTAGGACCTCTTCCTTCGGCTTCCAAACTGGAGACTTCAGGATGCCCGGTGACAAAGGCAAACAACCGATGGTCGCGGTGCGCTCCGTAGCATCGCCCCAAGAAGAGAATGACATCCACATGTCCACCCTGGCCCGTCCTACACCTTCACAGCTGGGCATAGTCAACTACTCCACGCCTCACGCAGCCAACCAAACACCAAACGGTATATCGTTCTCAAGACACCTCCCGGTTACTGAACCGACTTTCAACCCTGCTCGCTACACCAATAGCAGACCTGCTGCTGGAAATCAGCCAACTACTTGCCTCATCGACTTTGTTCAAGGAGCTCCAATTCCACAAGAGTGTCCCAACGAGCCAGATGTCCTGCAGCAACAAGATACAGAGTCATCAAGACTCGCATCGCGGAACAAGAACCAATGTATTCTACTGCGACTCTTGAGGAGATTGAAACTCTTCAGGGACAGGATCGAGCCCGAAAGTAAGAGGAGGGAGCGAGTTGCCGAAGAGCACATGCTAGAGGCCAGACAGAGCTACATGGACGAGATGTCTGATGCGACTGATCGAAGGACTCTGACAAGGCAGGTGGTCAGGATTGAGGCTGGAAAGAAGTGAAGGGTGCTTTGGTGGGATCAATTTGACGAAGCTACCAGGATACAAGGTAAGCGACTACGGGTATTACGATTCATCTGGATGTAATTTCGACGATGGACATGGTTAACGGCAGGCCGGCGTTGGATTCGGAGGGTACCTTGATGAACAGCAGACTGTACATACTAAATCACGACACAGAAATGTCACACCAAAAGCATAATTTGGCAACATAATTCCTCCTGTCTATGGACTCCCCGAAACACTTGTTTCTCCACTTCCATTGCACTGCTGTGAGTACTCCTGACTAAACGGATAGTCCAGATACCCTTCTCTGATCTCTGGTGTGTAGAATGTACTTCGATCGTACTTGTTCAACTCCAGCCCCTCCTTGATCCTGTACACCAAATCCGGATTCGAAATAAAATGCCTCCCAAACACCACTGCAACCTCACAGCCCTGCTTTGTGTACTCGGTTTCAACCGCCTTCTTCGCCAGCTCCGGTGTGAGACCCCCAGCAACCAATACCGGACTGGTCTTCCCCCAAATCTCCAAAAACGGCTCAATACCCTCCTGCTTCTCACAATCCACATTATTCACCACCCGACTCTCAACAACATGCAGATACGCCAACCCCAAATCCTTCAACCTCCTCACAAGATCCCCAAACTGCTCCACCGGATCATCCATCTTCATCCCTTGAAACGTACTAAACGGCGAAATCCTAAACCCAACTCTTTCTTCCCCAACAGCTTCTGCACAAGCCCTCGCGACTTCAACCCCAAATCTCGAACGATTCTCCACACTTCCTCCATACTCATCCGTCCTCCGATTCGTCACATCTTGCGTAAATTGATCAATCAAATATCCATTCGCACCATGTAATTCAATCCCATCAAATCCAGCTTCAAACACAGCATTCTTCGCCGCTTGCGCGAATTTCTGCAAGGCGGTCTGAATTTCTTCTTTCAACATCTCCTTCGGCACAACACCTCCTTCGACTGCATCCGGAAAAGGCACCTGACTAGAGCTCTTCACATCCCAACCTCCTTCGTTTCGCAAAACTTCAGGATCCGCGACTCTTCCCAACGCTATCAATTGCGCGAAAATGTAACAGCCTTTGGCGTGGACTTCGTCGACGATTGGTTTCCAGGCGGAGATTTGTTCTTCGTTCCAAAGTCCTGGCATGTGTTTTACACCGCCGTGTTCGGGGGAAATTATGTTGGATTCGGCGATGATGAGGCCTCCGGGCGTGGAGCAGCGTTGGGCGTAGTATTCGGAGACCATGGAGGTGAGGGGGACGTGGGAGGATGTACAGCGGAAACGTGTTAGAGGTGCCATTATGATGCGATGGGAGAGGGTGAGGTTCGAGCCAAGGGAGAGAGGGGTGAAGAGTGTCGTCTTTGTTTGGGAGTCGGGCGGAGACATGGTTGTTGGCTGTTGTGTTGACTCTTGATTGATTGTCTGGGGGATAATAGAGAAAGTAGGAGTGAGTCCCGTCGTTCCTTCTTCTGACTTGCAGCGATCTTTGGTGATAGTGCTAGAGTGGAAGTCGCGTAGCTCGGTAGAAGCAACAGAAAGAAAGCAGCAAGCAGTATCGAGAAAGATAAGGAATAGTACAAAGCCTCACATGTCCCTTACCAAGCCCTTCTTATCGTTCGCAGGACTCAACTCTCTAGCCGATGTCCTCATATCTCAAAAAAGCTCGACCTCCGACTTTCCTGCAGGAAATCTCCATGAAAGCGACACTGAAGGATCTTTAAGCATTTTCTTGATTGATCATAATGGCCCGAAAGACGTTCACGAGAAATGTGGATTCTGCCGAGGGACGAGTGATGTGGAAGAAGCAGGTGTCAAGGTCTGGAAAAGATATCTCGGAAAACTTCGGAGAAATTGATAAGTTTACGTCGTTCAGCACTCCACAAGATCCACGACGTGACGTGGGCCGTTGATGCATCCAAGAATAATCAAAACCTCTTGGGCGCCGCGGCGCCGGAAGTCCTGAGCTGAAAGCGGTGTTTGCGTCAACGCCTTGTGGTCGACGCAAAGAGAAAGACATTCTCTCATACCTGCTGCCCACCCACTATTCGCGGCGTGGACTGATCTTCAACTTCTGTTCGCGCGTCCCGCTGGACCAGCAGAGGTATCGCAGGTTTCTGTGGACTGTGGCTCGACAGCTTGGTATCGTCGCATCATAATCGACTGCGATCAATCGTGAAGGTTTAGCGTTTCCATAAGTCATCACCGTGCCATCCAGCTTCACTCAAATCAATATCCCGTCAACGCCCTCGTAGTCGTAAAAGGCTTCCTCGCTCTCCTCGCCTCCTCGGCCGTCAGCCTCGTGCAAGACCTGTGTCCTGAAGAAGCAGGAATTTCAGCGGGATTAGAAGTTGAAGATGACGAAGGCGCAGCAGTCTGCGCTCGTTCAGGTTGTTTCGGGCGAGGAGCTGCTTCTCCCAGATGTGAAAAGTAACCGTCCCGATCACCTTCGAATCCTCTCAATCCCGCCACTCTGGAGTCCGCCATCTGATCTGTCGCGTGCTCGTGGCTCAGCGCACTGGGCGCTTCATATTGCTCCGCGAGAGCGCCCGGACTCACAACAGGTTCAACAGCGGGTTTGGGGCTAGGATTGGCACTACTGCCGCTGCTCCCGAGTGTGAAACTTGACGCTCGACCTCGCAGTTCTTGGCTTGAAGTCCGTTCAGGCGCCATACCTCTCGCAACGGTACTTGACTGTCCTAACACGGGCGGTGCATCACTCATCGGCCTCTGCTGCTGTTTTTGATGCTGATGCTGCTGCACTTCCTGTTCATGCAACTTCGCCAAGGTCATTGAGTTGCCCATTTGTGAAGGAGACTGAAGTGTCTGGTGGTCCTCAGGTAGAAACCCCATATCAGGATCATCGTCACGACTAACGTAGCCACTATCAGGAAACGCAGGAACCCGGAACGCCGTGTCGAATGCATCTGGTGAGGAGTTGTAAGGAGTTGGTCTGCTTCCGATCCCGCTTCCAGACCGGCGTCGGTCGCTGGCAGAGAGACCCGAGCCATGACGGCGATGGTTGCTCTGCTGAACAGCAAATGATCTCCTGGCCTGAGGTTGTTGGGAAGAGCCCCTGCAAAAGAAAGAAGATGACCGCGAGGGAGGATCGATCGGTTGTCGTTGAGAGGAGTTTCGACGTGAGCTTAGAAATGATAAACTGGCGAGTCGAGAACCAGGTCGAGAGGAGCTGCCAGTACCAGACCTCGATCTTGTGCTATTATCAGTTTCCTCTTCGGGATCCGCGTAATATACAGGTTTGCCGTGGTCGCCGTGCTTGTGCAGCCATTTGTTTTCGAACTTCTTCTGTATACGAATCAGGACACCCATGCTTAATGTATAGCAACAATTCCCCCAGACTCGAAAGGCCTATGTGCGAACTTCTGACTGTGGAGTGATGCGCACACTCGTGTTTACTTACACGCCCAGAGGAGAAGTTTTCGGTTCGCCAATGGCAAGGATCTTTGTTTACAATGTAAATTGCACATATGTCGTGCATGCGTCAAGATGCATATCGTGCCGCCGATTCGCCGAATAGGGATTTGCCTTGCTTCTGGCCCTTGTGCGGAGCCGGTACCGATCTCATGAGAGACGGAAAGTCGGCGGGCTCGGCGGGTTAGAAATGGAGACAGTGAGGCGAGTGAGTCAGTGGCAAGATGTTGTCTGCCGAAATCGTCATGTGGATACAGTGGAGGATTGAGGCAGGGGTAGACCGCAGAAACGAAGTCTGACGTAACTCAAGGACCGCAAGAGGATGGGTTTCATAAATCCTCGTTGTACTTGCGTATACGAGCAGAACAACAAAGCAGACAGAACCGAAGGAGTCGGGAGTATATAAGACTTACAGCAACCAGAAGTGAAAGACAGCAGAAGAAATTGTACAGACCGACCGGACAGAAGTATGGTCGAAGTCGATCCTGAGGTTCTGCAGGCATATCGTGAAGCGCGTGCCAGAGAGACAGCGGAAGCATTAATAAGGACCGACGCAAAGCCAGACCAAGCCGAGCAAGCACAACAGATCCTCCAGGACGAAGGCCCGAAACAAGCTGCGGAGCTCAAAAGTAAGACGCCCCGTATATTGTTCGGGATCCAGATCGATTGGTCTGACGGTTCGCAGAAGAGGACGCTGCTGCGACGAGTGATTCCGCCAATGTGAGTAGATAATGCCAGAGTGTTGTTGAACACATCTGACGAATTGTTCCTCGTAGATGAACGAAGAGCGCAGAGAGAGTACGGTCGAGAACAAACTCGGACTGGATCAGGATCGCATGAAGTGACTGGGTCTAGGTCTAGGTCGGAAGATGGAGAAGCGGCGTGGAGTGCAACAGCAGGTACAAGAGCACATTCCAGACGGAACAGCATGGGTGGCTGAAGTCAGCTGTAAGAGGCGGAAAACATGTACGCACCTGAGCTCCTGGACAGCATTTGTGGAGTACGTCAGAAAGCCGCAATGATCGATGTTGAGTGGGCGAAATGAAAAGGCTTGGGACCGCATATGGGCTTTGTCATGTGAGCAGTGGTCCAATTGGACTGACCGATATGAGCGCACGACTTACGATATCGTTACATTTGCCCATTTCCATCCCTAGTGGCCGATTGCCTGTGAAAGACGCCAAAAACGCCTCATGATGACAGACATAGAGTATAATCTACTCTGTGCCTTCCTGTTAAGGTCACATCGCTCAAGAGAGCAAGTCTGCCACGTTCATTGGCATCTCGTCGATCTGGGTCGAGTAGTACACTATGTGCGGTCAGTTGGAACTCGAACAGGCAATGCTTGCGGTTGCTTACACTCAATATCACGCAGGATGCGGACATCGTCGCTCGTAACGAAGTTGATGGCCACGCCCTTGCGTCCAAAACGACCGGATCGACCGATGCGGTGGATGTAGTTTTCACGATTTGATGGCAGGTCGTAGTTGATAACCAAGCTGACTTGCTGCACGTCAATACCGCGAGCCCAGACATCGGTGCTGATCAGCACTCTGCTATTGCCCTGTCGGAATTCGCCCATGATAGCGTCGCGTTCCTTCTGAGGCATTTCGCCGTGCATGCTGGACACTGTGAAGTTGGCATCACGCATCTTGTCGGTCAGCCAATCGACCTTTCTCCTCGTGTTACAGAAGATGACGGCTTGCGTAATGGTCAGAGTGTCGTAGAGATCGCACAAGGTATCGAATTTCCACTCCTCTTTCTCGACAGCAATAAAATACTGCTTGAGGCCTTCCAGAGTCAACTCGTCGCGCTTGACCAGAATGCGAACGGGATCGGTCATAAACTTGGTCGTCATGTCGAGGACATCGTATGGGAGCGTGGCCGACACAACGACGACCTGAGTTGCTGGCGGCAGGTAGCGATACACGTCGTAGATTTGTTCTCGGAAGCCGCGATTCAGAAGCTCGTCGGCCTCGTCCAGGACCAGCATCTTGATGTGACGCGTGCGCAAGTTGCGTCGTCGGATCATGTCAGCGACTCTGCCCGGTGTGCCTGACACAACGTGCTGGCCATAGTCCAGTTTGCGGATGTCCTCTCCGACATTCGTGCCTCCGATACAGGCGTGACACTGCACATTCATGTAGTCGCCCAAAGCCAGGATGACGGACTGCGACTGGGTTGCGAGTTCGCGCGTGGGCGATAGAACGAGGGCTTGGGTTTCGCGCACGGCGGTATTGATGACCTGCAGGATGGAAATGCTGAATGTCGCCGTCTTTCCCGTTCCCGACTGCGCTTGAGCGATGGTGTCGCGGCCTTTGCAGACTTGCACGATGGCACGCGACTGTACGGCCGAGGGCGATTCGAAGCCGTAGGCGTAGATACCGCGCAGTAGATTGTCCTTGAGATGCATCGCCTCGAAGGTCGGCGCAACGGACACCTCCTTGGACGTGGAGAACTCCATGCGCTCCTCCGCCTTGCGGTCGATTCCTCCTTCGTCGGCCATGGTGACTGTGTGGGTGGTGATGTGGATGTCGTGATGGTGGTAGAAGAGGTGATGGGAAGAAGCTCGAGTCCAGAAGTGTGGCTGCAGAAAATTGGCTCGAGCTTGTCTTTCACAAGCCACCAACTGCGCGAACTTCTTCAGTCTGCCACTCCACTTCTTTGGCACGACACTCCCTTTTCGGCGGCCTCACTCTTCATTCTGCTGTCGCTTCACCTTGACTGAGGGGTGATTGCGAGAATCAACAGGCAGCCGCGCGGCAGTGGGTGGCAGACGGCACGATGATTTACGAGGACATTCGCGCCATCCACGAGGACGTGGAGCGCCTGGAGCAAGCCATTGCAGACCGCATTCTCGACGATCCCAAGCACGTAGGTATCTCCACACAGTCCTCACCTGTGCGGCAGAGCTCACAACTCACAGATCCGGAGTTGCCTCGTTCGCGACCATGAAATCGCAAACTTCCTGCAACGCATTCAAACGCAGTCACAACGTGCCGTCCAACTATACGACGACCACGAATCGCGAACACACGAACAGCAGCAACTGAGCACTGGCGACACATATGCCACCTTCTACGACGAACTCGCCAAGACCAAGGACTTTCACAAACGCTACCCCAACGAGCCCGTCGAGAACCTGGAGCGCGCATATAAACGTGCTCAAGATGGAGGACCACCAGGGGGTTTTGCTGGCGATATCGAGACCATGTTCACGGGTGAAGAGGGCTTCGGTCGCTTCTTTGATCTCACATTAGCCCATGAGCAATATCTGAACTTGCCCGGCGTCAAGGGCGTGCGCAAGTTGACCTACCTACAATATCTCGACACTTTCGACATCTTCACGCCTCCCAAGTGCATCATCACCCGGCAGGACAAGATGACAGAGCAGTACTTTGCATACGTCGGCTCATTAGCAGAGTACCTGGAGGGCTTCTTGAGAAAGATCAAGCCGCTGGAAGATCTAGACAAATTGTTCAAGAGCTTTGATGACGAATTCGAGCAAGAGTGGTCAGAGGATACGGTGCCAGGCTGGGAATCGATCAAGGCAAGCGCGAACGGCACATCCTCAAATGGTCCGACAACAGAAGGCACAGGAGAGGGCGTCTGGTGCGCAGACTGTCAGAAGGAATTCAACAATGACAATGTCTACAAAGCACATTTGACTGGCAAGAAGCACATCAAAGCTGCAGAAGCACGACAACAAAAGGCGGAGCACGGGACAACGGACACAGAAATGACGAACGGAAACGGCACAGCAGGAATCAACATGGCGCGGTTGAAAGAACGCGCTGTCGCTGAGCGTGAGCATCGCGTGCGTAGCCTCGCCAAGAATATGCAGACTCAGAGAGAAGACACCCGCGTCAACGTTGAGCGCAAAGCAGGCATGACGGACAAGGAGCGCCAGCAAGAACTTGCAGCGTTGTACGAGGAGGACAACGAGGCGATCGGTAGGTCAGTCAACCAGGAGGAGGAGGAAGATGAGGGCGAGGAGAAAGTCTACAACCCTCTCAAGCTTCCGCTCGCATGGGACGGCAAGCCGATTCCTTTCTGGCTGTACAAGCTGCACGGCCTTGGCGTCGAATTCCCCTGCGAGATCTGCGGCAACTACGTCTACATGGGGCGACGAGCGTTTGACAAGCACTTTTCTGAAGCGCGGCATATCTACGGCCTGCAGTGTCTGGGCATCACCAAGAATACAGGCCTATTCAGAGAGATCACCAAGATTGAAGAAGCCGAGAAGTTGTGGGAGAAGCTGGAGCGCGATCGCGCCCGAGACTTGGAGAAGAAGGGTGGAGATGATGGCGATGGAATCGTCGAGATGGAAGACCCGCAAGGAAACATCATGCCGAAGCGAGTCTACGAAGATTTGGCGAAGTCAGGACTTTTGTAGGACTTTTGACTGAGCGACGTCAAGTCTTCTGGCTTTTCAGCAACGATGCGAGTGATGGGAAGATGCAGTCTGGGAAATGCTTTGAAGCGCACGCCACCGGTTGGCAGAGATGCGTTGGAAAGATACCGCATCGTTGCAATTCGGGGCGTATCCGACAGAGAGCTAGAAGGCGCAGCTCCATGGGATCGATCTTCCATGCGCAGGGCGCCTCAGTCTTCACAGTTGTGTAAGTAGTGTAAAATGACTGCATGTAATCCTACCACTCACGCTGCGATGAAATAGTCAAGGACTTCCACCCGTGATGGATCTGCTGACTAATGACTCGCCTTGAAGCTGCAATCTGAGATCGGACCTCCATCAAGTACGAAAACAACTCATCATCATCGCGAATGTTTTCACTTCGAAACGCAGCAACCCTTCCATCTCGAATCCCAATTCTCTCTTCCTTCCGGCTAAGCTTTCTCCCGCTCCAACAGATTTCCAGCTTTGGCCACCAGCACTTCCTGCGACCTTACAAACACATCAATCATCGGCCTTTTCAAAGCACATTGTCCCTCAAGATGCCCTTGCGGCCAGCAATATCCTCTCAATCCCTCGGTCTTCCAGGCACTCATGCCCTCTTCCCCAAGCTAAAAGCTGCGTCCGAAGCAGGTTTCCAAGGTGTGGAGATTTTCTTCGACGATCTGAATGTTCTGGCGAATGTCTATGCGCAGGAGCGACTGGAGGATCATGGGGCTACAGAGAGGGTTGACGGCGAGAAAGATGGTGAGGCCGGCGAGTCAGATCTGCTGAAGGCAGCGGAGGATGTCAGAAGGTGGTGTGATGGGTTTGGAGTGAGTACTCCTCCTTGTGTCACTGGGTTTGATCTTTGAGAGTGGCACTCCCGATTTCTCAAAGAAAGCGAGGCTGACTGTAATACCTTGTATAGCTCAAGATCGTCGCTCTTCAACCATTTCGAGATTTTGAAGGACTGAAGTCAGCTGCGGAATATCAAAAGCGAGTGTCCGGCTTCAAGCTTTGGCTCCGACTCTGTCGGAAGCTGGACACACAGACAATCTTAATCCCTTCGAATACACTACAGGCGGATGAACTTGACGACTCGAAAATCGTCCCTGCTCTCCGCGAAGCAGCAGACCTCGCAGGAGCCGCTGATCCACCTGTTCAAATCGCGTTTGAAGCTCTCGCCTGGGCCACACTTGTCAACACCTGGGATCAAGCCTACTCATATGTGCTCGAGGCTAATAGAGAGAACTTGGGAATATGTATCGATACGTTCAATCTCGCTGGCAAAGTCTACGCGGACCCTGCTTCTCCTGATGGGCTGACATCGAACGCGGATCAGGATTTCGAGGAATCGATCAGGCGATTGAAGGAGACTGTGGATGTGAAGAAGATTTTCTATGTTCAATTTGTCGATGGAGAGAGGTTGGATAAGCCTCTAGTGGAGGGGCATCCTTGGTACCAAGAGAATCAGCCTGCAAGAATGACGTGGAGTCGGAATGCGAGATGTTTTGCGTTTGAGAAGGAAGGATATTTGCCTGTGGGGAAGGTTATGGAGGTTCTGGTGAAGGATCTTGGATATGATGGTTGGATCAGTAGTGAAGTCTTTCACCGAGATCTGGCGGATGAGACGAGAGAGGTACCAGTTGAGTTTGCTGGGAGAGGCATGGAAAGTTGGAAGAGGCTGCAGAGAGAGTTGGGGGGTGGAGAAGTGATCTGAGTTGAGGTCTTCTTGGTAGTCTTGCCAAATATTGCCAATGTGAGGGGAATGTATGTTACCTTTTAGTGTACCTGTATGTTCGATCAGTCATCATCGTTCTTGTTGCGCTGTACGGTTTTGGCAGAATGCCCATCCTTGTCGACCAAGTCGTGCAATCAAGACATGCCAAGAATTTTGGGGGCACCACTTGGGTCTCCACTTCCCTTTCTGCAGGCGAACTCTTCACGCATCCATCACAACACGCACAAAATGCATAAACACGCTCCGTTCCATCATCTCCGGCCGCCATGAAGCGGCCACGTTTGATCATCCCGAATGGTTCATCCGACCTGCGTGTTTTGTGACACTCCTTCCACACCCTGGCAAATTGCTCGCATGAAGACACTACCGCTTCAAGAACACACTCCACGTACCTGCATGCCCGCTCTGCGACCCTGAAGGATCGCGCGATATTGCACCGAAGTGCAGCTACTCCACAATGTATATGCATATGCATCTAGGTCAAGCTAAGTCAAGCGACGCCAATTGCAGAACAGGAATGGCCTTCGACAAAAGACGATGTGTAGAGCGACAAGCCTTGGCAGCAATCTATTCGATACTACAATTCGCGGAAATTTGTCGTCGAACGTGGGCCAGCCTCCGGTTCTGCCATATGGCTACAACGTGGGCGTGGCGAGACGGATGGTGTAACTATCTCAATCCGAGCCTGTTGAAAGTTGTATAAAGCGTCGTTGCCACATGGCGCAATTTATCTCCTGCTTGAATTGACTTCACAGCAGCCATTGCTAGACACTGATCCAGCAGATTCAAGATGAAGCTCCTCTCGCTGCTTGCGCCAGCTGTCGTTGCAGCACAGTTGACTCCAGAAGATTACCTCAAATGGACTGCCGACACACACATCAAGGAAGGTGTGAAGAAGGACTACCACTACACTACTTCGGTCCTCTACACCGGCTATGAATTCGCCATCGACTTGACTGGCAACGAGACCTTGGTCGACTGGTACCGCTCTCAAATCGATGGCGCCGTGGTCCTGGACAATGGCACCATCTACGACTGGAACTACACCTACTACTCACTCGACGACTACCGCATGGCGAACAACTACCTCTGGTGGTACGACCGCACCGGCGAGGAGAAGTACAAGAGCGCCGCAGAGATTGTCCGCCGCCAACTGGATCGCCACCCACGCAATGACGAAGGTGGTTTCAATCACCGCTACCCCATCTACGAACACCAAATGTGGCTCGATGGTATCTTCATGGCAGACTCCTTCTATGCTAGATGGACTGCCAAATTCGACTGCGAGAACCAGACTGCATGGGATGACATCGTGAATCAATTCGATCTCATTGAGAAGTACACTCGCAACCACACCACTGGCCTCTTGGTTCACGGCTACGATGAGAGCAAGAGCAAAGTATGGGCTGATCCTATCACGGGAGCTGCGCCACACGTATGGTCGCGAGCAGTTGGATGGTACTTCATTGCCCTCTTGGAAGTCATTCCTCTTCTCCCAGCTTCACACCCGGGCAAGGCGAGATTGACTGAGTACTTCACGACTTTGGCAGCCGCAATCAAGGCCCATCAAGACGCAGAGTCTAATGGCTGGTGGTTGATCATGAACGACCCTTACCCAGGAGCAGAGGGCAACTACATCGAGAGCTCCGCTAGTGCCATGTTCACATACGGCCTGCTCAAGGGCATTGAGGATGGATATATCTCCAAGGACGAGTACTACCCAGGTGCAGTCAAGGGCTACGAGCTTCTGACTGACAGATTCGTTGTTGAGAACCAGAATGGTACTCTCAGGTGGGAAGGTACCGTTGCTGTGGGAAGCTTGAGCGGAAATGGAACATACGAGGTGAGTTTCCATCCTTTTTCGTGCTTGCTATCGATCTGTTGCATTTGACTGACCTATATTCACAGTACTACATCGGTGTTCCTCTTGCTGTGAACGACTACAAGGGTGTTGGACCATTCATGTATGCGAGCCAGCCTTCGCTGTGGTCCTAGATTTGCACTAGCTTTGCAGCGTAATTCAATCAGTCTCAAACACCCCCAATGGCAGGAAATCCAGCTTCAGGCATAAAATTTCTGTAATTCATTGCACAGCGAGTCCATTAATATTGCAGAGTGGATGTGATATGCCAGTCAGTCTGTGATACTCTCCTAACACATCATCAAAGCCAAGCTGAGCAGTGTCACGACAAGACCACATAGCACAGGCCATACTCGCCCACTGCCAGAGCTTGAGCCCTCCTGCTGACCAGCATCATCAGTAGTATTATACATCATCACAATCTTCTGTATCTTAAACACAGCATCATTCACCGGCGGTCCAACAGTAAACGAAGGATCACCATTCCTAAAACAAAGTCAGCTCCCAACCTCCCTCCAACCAAATCACCTACACAAGACAGAGAGAAAGAAAGTCACTCACGTCCAAGCATTCCAAACCCACTGTCCCCCCGTAGTAGGCACATTCATCTCCATCTCCTGCTGAAACACCCCATCAACAAAAAACCTACTCTTCCCTTCCACCCAATCAACTCGATACTCATGCACCTCTGTCGTAGCGTCCTCCGGCGCAACACCATTCACCTCTACCGCGTCTTCCGTCCCATGCTGTCCTTGATTCGTATACTGCATAACTCTCGTCCCATTATCATTCGACACAGAATCCGGATCACTAATCCACTCAATATCGATTTCTTGACTATCAGAATGGTAGAAGAACATCCCATTACAAATTCCGGATTCGTTCGTCAAGATTGCCGAAGTACGGACGCTGGCGTATAAGATGTTGGAAATTTGTGTTGAGATTTCGGCGCATTGGATTGGAGAGGTGGTTTGGTTGCTTGGGACGATGAGGTGGAGGAAATTATCTGAGATTTGAACATTGGAGGTGTTGAATTGATGGTTGTAGGTTGCTGTTGAGGAGGGGTCTGCGGTGTCTCCGATTAAGTCGGAGGAGGCGATGAGGCCTGTGGGAAGTGTGTTGCCTGAGAAGGTGTAGGTTGTGGTTGAGACCCATTGGGCAGAGGCGGATGTTGTGACTAGGGTTGTGAGTCCTAGATACCATGGTATGGAGTATTTCATGTTGATCATTTTGGTAGTACCGGTATTGGCAAGGAGGTTTGGGACAAGCAACAGACGAAAGGCTTGTCAGAGGATGATCTCGTTCTTGTATAACGCGGCGGTGGCTGAGTGCGCGAGGCCATTCCAAACAAAGTTTCCACATCGACGCCACAAACTGCGTGGATTTTGGGCAGCTGAAATACTTCCAAATCCTTCGCTCCGAAACCTCTTAAGGTACTTGTGAGAGATACTTTCATTGTCTCAAGCTAGGCATAATCGGAGATCTGCACCTTTCCAGCCCAAGCTATATAGCACTGGCTCTCCCATTCAGTTTCCAGCATTTCCATATGTACCTCCGATGCCATGACAAGCTCATCCCGCGACGACTTGGTCAGGCAATTCGGTTGTGTTCACTTCGACTATTCTGTCTCCTTTGCTCATGTTTGCCGCAGTCGCAGATACCATCTGCGTAACCGAAGTGGCCTCATATTTCGCAGTCTTGATCTCCACAGACTCAACAACTCCGCTCGGCTTAGCTTGCAGAGAATTCTGAGCCCCGTTTTGCGAGAGGAGCAATTCTCGTATATACTCGACGGCCGTGTTGGCAAGTAGCTCAGTCTCGCTCGATGCTCCCGCGATGGGACGAGCCTGCTGCTCCAGCAATGCCTTGAGGACAATTCTCGGGATGTGAATGGTATCTGGTATCTCTATCGGAGGTGAAACTGTGGTGTTTGTGGTGACTTGTTTCATGACGACCGCAGACTGTGGCTGTGCCTCATCGGACCAAGTGACCACGTTGGTCTCCTGTTTAGTCTGCTCCAAAGTCGTGACTCGGGCCAGGACAGGAGGTTGCCAGCACTCTGCCCAGAAATCATCTGCTTGAATGCTATCTCCATCATTGTCCTCTGGATTCAGTTTATTTAGCGCAATGTCGGCTGGTAGTTTCTGTCGCTGCGGAATAGGTTGAAATATGGCAGTAGAGGTTGCCGGAAGGGTAGAAGGCAGTCCTTGTGGCGTTGGCTTGTGATGCTCGCTGACGAGCGAGGATGCAGCGATAGCATTGATGAACTGCTGATTTTGATCTTCGGCTTCACTCGCAGACAGTGGAGAGACTGGCTGCTCTACGACGACCTGTTTGAATCGCTTTCCAAGCACGGAATCATTGACAAGCTTCCGACCCAGTTGCGCGCTCACGGGCCTTTGTTTCAAAGATGTGGCTGCGGCTCTCGGCATCTCATATTTGGGCGTCCCCGGACGGGCCCCAATTTCATGGCCTATGGCGAGCTCGGCCTCGACGTCGACATAGGTCGTAGACAACCGTTGCCACTGGAAATTGCCCATTAGTCCAGGACTCAGCCCGTCGTGCTTCAGCCAATCGTTCACGTCCGGTCGACGTCCTTCCATCAACGTTGATATATTAGCAGGCCCGTATGTTCTCACGGCTTTGTCCGCATCAGCAGACTCAGAGGTAATTACCGAGCCCGAGTCATCCACGCGAGGGTCCAGCTTCTGAACGTAATTCAATGGAAAGATGCCCGTCCGGCCATCCAGACTTCCCCGCCACCAGTCTTGGAACACGGACTCAATCACGCAGATAGTATCACCTGCCGTGAACGCAAGTTCGTCAGGCTCGTCAGGTATGAAGTCAAACAAAGCAAGCACATTCCTCACTGTTACTGCTGTACCAAGCGCCTCGAATGTGTGCTTCGTACCCATGCTCAGGGATGTATCTTCAAGCTCATGGAACCATTGTGAGTTATAGCCTGTTGCCGTATCGTGAAACGACCAACCGCTCCCATATCGGTGCTTGAGTTGCGAGTTGAATGAAACAAGCGCAGGTTCTTCCTCAATTATGCCCCAATATTGGTCTGTGGTTCCGGTGTTGGTATTGACCAACGTCGTCGCACCGGGACTCAAATGAGTCTGATGTGCGTGCGGCGCAATGCCACTCCTCAGCCCGGCGACATAGGCTGTCATTGATTCGGCCGGAGCTGAAATAGCACCATCTTCGTGATATATGGCCGAATCGAGCCCAGCAGGTGTCAAATACATATCCGCATCAGCCGGAGCTGAGAGAGCGCCCCTTTCATCATATATGGCGTTCGCGCTTTGCGTATACCCTATATAATGAGGCGCGGACGGCAGGCGACCGCTTGCAGAATTCGTGCTCGGCAGCGATCGTCCAATCTGAGGGGCGGACGGACGAGAGTCGAACCTGGCACTCGTGACTCCCATGCTTTGTCCCGGTCGCGATGTTATCGGCATTGACACAGGTGGGCGAATCACAGCACTATCGCTGTGCACTGGCCTTTGAGAAGAGGGAGCAGACGTGTAACTGCTGACAACAGCCGTCATCGTGGTGGCAGACGCATATCTCCCTTCCTGTTTGGCCTCTTTCTTCGCGCCACGCAGCCTGAACCACATGGTGCTCTTCGATGCTTTTGCAGCTGGTCCAGGCGTCTGTAGCGACTGCTTGTATTCGAGCGCCTGGACCAGCCTCGCCCATGCATTTTCGCCTTCTCCATATATCGGAGAGATGAACACATCCAGAAGACCCAGCAAGCAATATGCCTGATCCTCCGTTCGAGTTGTGACTCGTTTCTTCGCCCACGCCAGTTTATCTTCCACTGGTACAGCACGCAATTCGTGGGCCATCGAGGAGTTGATAATGTTTTGTGGGATACCTGTAATGTGTGCGATCGATTTGTTCAGGCGGTCGCCAAAGCCCTGGCAAATGGAATTGCACACCTTGTCACTATAAGCGCATTTGTGCCCAATGACAGTCCAATCATTTGCGACAAACACGACTGTACGTGGAGCGAGCAACTCTTGCAGAGTCCACCCTCGCTTGAACCACTGACTCCGCATGAGGTCCAGCTTGCTGCTCCAGAGCTTATGCGAAGGCTTGACATCCGCAAGGTACGCATAGCAGATAGACGAACTGCCATACCATGAGAACATGGAATTGATTGACTCTGATAGCTCCGCGCCATCCTGCTTGTTGATGCACGCGGTATCGATCCAAAGCCAGTCGCATTGTCGTCGCAGGCCAAGGTCGTTCAAAGCTCTAGCAGGGCCAATCTGTACGTTCATGCGATGGACGAGACGGCAAAAGCCCATAATCTTCGTGTATCCTTTACTGGAGGCGCCTCCATTTTGCAGCATGTCATGGTAGGTGGTTTCCTTGTCTTCCCAGCGGTGGCTTGCGATGGCGTATGGTGGCCGATCATCGTCGCCGAAGGTCTGAAATTCCCGTGTCGAGATGTTGAGCAGCCGCATCGTGGAGCTGATGGCATGGTGGTAATCTTGTCATGAAAGAAACCACACTCCCAACACAAACTCATGGAAGATGATGTTGTCCTGCGCGTGTACAGAGGTACAGCAGACGCCCGGCCTAGGCTGCGCCACCATCATGGAGGCCGCCTCCAGGTTTCGGGGCCGCATTCGCATCCATCCTTCAGCTCGGATCTGGGCATACTGAACGGTAGCTGGTGCTGGTGCCACGCGCCTGGGCTCGGCAGCGTACGATCCTCATTCGGCGCAACGTGCGACGAAGATCTTTGCATGGATGCGCAATCCTGGAGTGGTGCTGCCCGGGATATTGCACGCACTGAAGTGGAAGAAGTCAGTTGCACGTGCAAGGTGCATGAGGAAAGGAAGGTGAGGAGCGGAAAGAGTCTAGACGCGCCACAGCGCCAAGGCTTGCTTTGGCTTCCACATCCATGCATGTTGCTGACTACGCTACAGCTCCGCAAGAACGGCCTTCTGAAGGACAGTCCTCCCTTTGAGCTCTCTCTGCACGATCGCTCGCATGTTCTCGTGTTTTCTATTCAGTTTGTCTTCCTTATTCCACCCTAAATCCTTCAGCAGCTTCAGGACACCTACCACTTTTGCAGTGTCCTCTCCGAATATATTCAACCATCTACCGCTGACGAGCCACAGCGGCGGCGCTGTTGTCCTTTGATGTCTGAGGTGAAGCCGTGTGAATTTTCCACCTGTATGGTGCAAGTAGCGTATCATTTTTTCATTCTGCGTCGCGATGGCCAGATGCATAGGAGTTACGCCATGCACAAACCTGCCCTGCTTCTCACTGTGAGCATCGCAAGGTTCGTTCACCGCAGCGCCACGAGCGATCAAGAACTTTGCGAGCTCGACATCGCCAAACAGTGCCGCCATGTGCAGCGCAGGGGCTCCGACTTGCGCGTCTGCGGCTAGCAAACACGATGCCCTCTGCTTGTCACTGTGAACAAGAGCCTTTCGGAGAGATTGAGAAATAGTTGAGCCCTTTGTTGATGTTAGGTTGAGACTGTTCAACCGCGCTTGGCGGAGTTCGACATTGACAGAATCCGATGTTTGTGGTGGTCTTGGAGGTGGAGTTCCTGGCTGCTGCGCCTCTGTCGCATCTTGCTGTTTAGCTGTGGCGCTTTCTTTCTCCTGCTCGAGAGCTTTCTTCGACCGAGTAATGGACTCATTCTTGCTTGTTGTCGTTTCATCGAGTCCTGTGATCTTCTCGTTCTGCTTCATGGACGTCTTGTCAAGCGGCTCGCCTCTTTTTTTGTGAGTGGAGGCCCCCTCTATGGCCCCATTCTTCGTTGTGCCTTCCTTCTCTGTTGCACGTTTCTGATCGGCGAGGTTGTTCTTCACAGATTCAACCTTCACATCCTGCACAGCCGCAGCCGATTTGGCGTTCTGCTTCTCCTTTTTGACTTCATCTTTCAGCTGTGCAATCGACTCGTTGTCAGATGCTACTGTGTCTGCCAGTCTCTGGATCTCGTTCTCCTGGTCCCCGTCCTTTTTGTCAAGCTGTTCGATGTTTTCTTGCTGAGAGCGGTCTATCTTTTTTTGGATGCTACGTCCTCTTGGGAGCTGTTTGATCTTTTCCTTCCGAGAGTTGGCTTCCTTCTTTGGCTCGTCTTTCGCCGCAGTTTCTTCCCCCGTCGCAGGTCTCTGATCAACGAGTTCTTCCTCCGTAGACTGAAGCGCCGCTTTGTGTTGCCCTAGGAGTTCATCATGCTGCAATTTGATGTTGCTCAGGTCCGCGAGCACGAGCTTGATGTGCTTCTCGCATTGCTGTACGCGTGTAACGAATCTGCCGACGATTTCTTCCATGTCTGCAAGAACTGATGCGTTCGACAGACAAGAACTGACAATTCTCTTATATGCTTATGATTAGCATGATTTGAGTCAGACAAACAATGATCTTTCACCTTCCAGGTCTGACTGGAGCAGGATATCTCAACAGCATCAAACCTGGCACAAACCTCAACTTGATTTCCTAACAGACATGATTGTTTCTCGCTATTGCCTCGCGAAGACCGGGCGCCTTCATTGTTTCTGGTGGCGCAGTCTACAACGTAGAGCTGCACCGTAGCCTGCAATTGGTTTACTGAGGACCGCAAGACCAAGACTTAATGGAGTTCCTAGCATGTTGAAGTGGCAGCTGAAAAGCTAACATGCCATTGTCACGATAGCCTGAGAAGTCACGTCGTCGTGCTTAGATGAGATGTTCAGGACCCATGGATGTAGCTTTCAGGCATTTTAAAGCTGGCAATTTTTCCCGGGCAAATATGCTTTCTTGTAATGTGCGGGTTCCACTGCGAGATACCTAAGAAGACCTGGAGGCATATTGTGCGGTCGCGGTCGAGATGATTCGGTGATGTTGTTGGCACGTCGAATTGTTTCACCGAAAGGACGCCGACTCCACCACAGCCCCGGTCACATGGGTTCGCGTAAGTGTGGTGAATGACGATGGCTGGGCACAGCCTCCATCGGCAATTCCTCGCCAGCCACGCTTGCCCTCTACGATGTCGAGTCCGAGTCCGCACGCGCCTGCCTTTGCGTCACGCAGGCTCGCTTTGCCATCCGCCGCCGTGAAGATGATGCGGCGGTATAATAGTTATCTGCCAGGTAGGTGAAGAGCGCGATCCATCCCTCAACCATGGCCAACCACTTCACGAACACGCCGGAAGCCCTCCTCGGCAGAAACGACTCGAAGAACCCGGCGTCGACCTGCAAAGGCATTACGAGCAGCGGACGGCCATGCCGTCGTGCGTTGGCAGCAGCGAAGACGTCGCCGTCGGGCGGCCGGAGGGGCTCGGCGGGCGGAGTAGTGGCGGTGGTGGAGGAGGACGGCGCGGTGACAGATGCGGAGTTCTACTGCTGGCAGCATAAGGACCAGGCGCAGCTACTGCAGCAGGACAGTCCGGGAAAGCGACCCAAGAAGAAGCGGACGACCGAGTTGTATCCGCTGCAGGAGAGGAGCAGTATTGATACGCTGGTGCAGAAGCTGGGGATTGAAGCTGTGCCCGATAACTTGCGGAAGAAGACAAAGACAAAACCGAATGATGGAGTGAAGCCTCCCAGAAGGACATCGACTGCAGATTTTGCCGAAAAGCCTGCTGGTGGTGCACCGCCAAAGCAGGGCTCGAGACCCAAGAAGACGGGATTCTGGGCATCATTGTGTTGCGCGTCAGGACAGGACGACGATTATGTCGAAATTGTGCGCCACAAGAGGCGTACGGAGCAGAGACCGTCGCAGTTGCAAGGTACAACAGGCCCGAGCGTGTCCCAATATTCCAGTCCATCCTCTTCGCAAGTGCCACCTCGAAAGTCGGCGCCGTCGAGAACAAATGGCCATCGGAGCAGTTCAAATCCGCTCACAGGACATCTGCTATCGCTACTACCACAGGACTTATCACCACAAACTACTTCGACACTACTAGCAGAACTGGTCAAGCCGATCAGTCCTGCAGATGAGGATGGCTACATTTACATCTTCTGGTTGACTCCGCAATCAATGGATGGGCCAGCACAATCGACAGCACGGTCTCTACTTTCACCACCTTCAGACCGCGCGACTAGTCGCCGTATCAGCGATGTCATGACAGAATTCTCGTTCGATGGCGACCAGGAAAGGTCCCGCCGAGGCAGAACCGGTCAAGGCAAAAAGACAATCATGCTCAAGATCGGCAGAGCCAACAATGTGACCCGTCGCATGAACGAATGGCAACGACAATGCGGCTACGCTTTGAATCTCGTCAGGTGGTATCCATATGTGTCATCGACGCCCTCACCTTCGCCAGCGAATACACCACGCAAGGGCTCCAATACCGGAACTCCGGATCGTTCAAGGCCGGCGAGCTCACGAGGCGATAGTGGGAATGTCCGCAAAGTGCCTTTTGTGAAGCGCGTGGAGCGGCTGATTCATTTGGAGCTTGCGGAACAGCAAGTCAAGAAGCAATGCGAAACGTGCGGGAAGGAACATAGAGAGTGGTTTGAAGTCGAAGCTAGCGAGCAAGGTGTTCGCAATGTCGACGCTTGCGTGAAGCGTTGGGTTGACTGGGCCGAGAGGGAAGCGGCGAAGTAAGAAAGAACTATCAGCATTCACAACATTATTCAATGCGAGTCACGATTCGCACTCCACTCTTGTTTGCTCCTGGCTTCTCCGGTCCTTTGCCCTACGTGTTCCATGTGGCGCGCAGATTTACAGGCTTCGATGATCAAGAAGAAGGGCATCCCTGTCGGACACGTACGCAGCACAGCATACTGTACCTACAAGCGATGCAAAAGAGCAACGAGCGCCTGTTCTAGTGATCATGGACCTCGACCCAACAGATGGCACCGCCTTCCACATCGCAGCATTGCGGATTCTATCGACTGTCCTTACAGTCTTCGTTGCAACCTACATCCTTGCCACGATTTCGACCAGCACGGGCGACTTGATCCAAGATCCGCTCCTCCGAGGCCGATACTACTATTCGCTCCTTCACACAGAGCAAGAAGGTTGTCCCAATCGAGATATTGAAATCTCTGCTGCAGTGGCAGTCTCAACGACACACATCTTTTTCATCTGCTTTCACTTCTGGACTGGCGATGAGCAGATCAGTGCATCAGCTGTCGTCATGTACGCGGAAGCGCTCTGTGTTTTGCTGCTGGCGATCGAGGGAGCGATGATGCTCATCGTGGCATTGATCTGGCTTCTAGCGAGGGGATTACAGTGGTATATCGATACAAGACTAACGTATGCGGCTTGGTGGGAGGACGATGGGATGTATGATTGAGGCAGCGCACGCACAGCCTCCCTCATTTTGGGAACCAGGAAACCGATGGCACGAGCGACAGCCATAGTTCCAAAACTTTACGACTCCTCCCAGGCACTACGAGATAGTCTGCCAAAGCCACACTCTTTCTACAATTGGCTAACTGGATGTCACTTCAGTAGGAGCTCCCAGCCTCACATCATCCCTCGTAGAATCTCCGTCTTGGCGCCGTTGCCCAATCTGAGCGCAAAGACCCGGACCCTTTCATTATGAGAGGCTGCATCGATCTGATTACCAGAGATCGACTGTGCTTCTGGTTGAGAAGGATTATATTCAGGAACATTCATTGATTCAAGATCTTGCTACGGAACAGGCGTCATCCCTAGCCCAAAATGCTCAAGAAAGATGTGATGTTCAGATCAGGCATCTCTTCTTCACATCCACGAAGTCCACTTTCTCTGCTTCCGCTTTCCGGCATCGCTATCTCTTCATGCAACCATAACCTTTGCCACTCGCTGCTCAGACCTTCGTGCAAGGGGGCTGCCACTAGTCGAGAGCCCTTGATAAGCGTTCGTGGCAGTGACGATAGACTTGGCCAATGTCTCGCCCAGAGTGTTGAACTCATCGCTTTTGCTTGGTACAAACCCGGAAAGTCCAAAATAGTATGCCTGAAGAGAGTACGGGTCAGCTCTGTCTGCCATATCTTTCATCCTCCAATCTCTCCTGTGAACTTACGTCAAACACCGCTTCATCTTGTCGCAGAGCCGTAGCGACCGGCTCTCCGATAAATGGTACGGTCGTGAAGAGTCCGGCTTTGGTGGTAAGAATGCTCATGAGATCCGAGTGTTTGGCGGCAAACTGATTGATCGAAATTTGTTAGCTTTTACCGCAAATAGTATGGCAGACGATACTTACGGCGCTGTATGCGTCATATACTTTGTCCGCTTCAGCTCCTTCTGGGACACGATCGGGGCTGTTTTGTTGACTGATATGGGCAGAAGCTGTAGAGATGATATCGACCAAGCCTTGGATGATTGTCTGAAGGATAAAAAAGTCAATTGAGGATCAAGTCGTGGACTCTGCGTCGAGTGTGAGATCGTACTGGGTATGGACCCTGTCCGATAATTACAATGGGCCATTGGTGGCAGAGATCATGTTGGCCTCTGGAATGAGCGCCGCAGACTTATCTGTGAGAGTCTTGAGGTTGGCGGCTTGCTGGTCTGCAGTCAGGGAGAAATCGGGGGCTGCCAGTGCTGTCAAACCGACAACAACGCTCTTGAGGGAAAACATGTTGGAAAAGATTTGGGTCGGTGATGATTGGTGGTATGAGTTGTTGTTCGCTGGTAGGAGGTGCGTTGAGTGATGCTTTCAGACTTGAGGAATTCTTGATAGTTTATATACCTTCTTGAGGCACCTCTTAGCCGACTATCAACAGTAAATAATGTCAATCGACACGGTGATTGTGCACTTGGCCTGCAGCATCTGTGTTTGCTCGAATAGGCAATAAGCCAAGCTGTACACTGCATGAGGTTGTGGCGGTGCTGATCATCAAGACGCTTGTCTGTATCTGCTCTGGGCGGAAAAGGTTCCATCACTCGCAGCACGCAGGGTCTATGTACGCCTCGTGCTCCACATTGTTCATTACGTCGGTGAGGTCTTGGCTACGACTGGCGCAGCCACAGGTGACGACAGCACGGACAGGTCACAACCTTGTCTAACTTGCTGCAAGCTTGGAGAAGGTGATGAGGAATCGGACATGGAGGTCTAGCTTCCAGAGAGCTGTGAGTGTTTCTCATGAAAGTAGCTGCTGATAGCAGTCTGATAAGAAGGTACTCAGGTCTTTGATATTCCGATGTGGCGTCAAGCGTCGGTGAAATGTGATAGCCTTGTAGCAAGAGTTCGGTAGCTGCAGTCTGGTGAGCGCAACGCACACCTGTCCCACACGACTCTGCAATTCCTCACCGCAGACGCGCTGCTCGCAGTCCACAGAGGCGATCATCATCACTGCGATCCAGCTGGAGACCAACCTGCTGGTACGCAGATCAGCGGCGAACTGCCCCGCCCACAAGGTGAAGTGATAAAGCTACCAGGCACGTCGGACAGCTCAACGTGCGTGGACTGCAGTGCTTGTGCGACATTCGTCTGCGATCTGCAACAGCCATCTGCTCCACGAGCTTCGTTTCAACGCGAAAGTCCCGCTAGCAGCGAAGTACTGTCCTCCAGCAGCCCGAATGATGCCTTCTGCTGAGTGCCCAGTGGGTCGCGTGCAGCAGAATTTGTGGGAGCAGTGTGCGATTCCTCGGGGGAGTCGCCTTCACGCCATCTGCCGTCCGCAGCAGACTAGCTCCTTCCGGTCTGTTCGTGATGCCCAATAGAGGCTTAGTGCCCTCAGCATGTGCAAAGTCCTAACGTCACTGTCGATCGCCCTCAACCCTAGAAGATTTTCCTGCAAGTCGCGAAATAGAGGCAGCAAGGCAGGTAGGCATATCCCGCCGGGTTGGATGACCCATCGACATTTATCAGAACACCCTCACTGAGCCGTGCTTCGTGTGCGGACAGCGAGCTGCTGTTCTTGCCCGCAACAGGAAATGTCTTGACAACCACTCTTGAAAGCTGCAGAAGTGTTGAGCTGTGCATCAGCTGTCCTTCGGAAGCTTCACGAATGGTCCAACAGCTTTCAAACTCAAGTGCACATGTTGCCCTGTTCTGCCGTGGGAAAGACCAGATCAACGTATGGCCGCCGGCTCTCACCTTAGTGCCGACGATGATTGATGATCGCAACGTGTTTGATATGAATTGGACATCACCTGGGCATTTGCTCGAGCATCTGTGGCTCAAAACCTGCCTATGCAGTCATGGATGAACATTGCATATTTTGTGTTTGCCGATTCAAGTATAGAAGCAACGCACCTTGTTGATCATTCGGAGAGGCTTGACAAGTCCGATTGAGCGATGCACGAGTTTGGCATACCACCTGCATTTGGCCAATGGAACTCTGTCTTGATCTGCCACAAACTTATATGCTTTGGGACTAAGCTGTCTGGCGGGCGATAGTCTACCTGCAGTAGTGTACCGGTTGAAGCATGTCTGTGGCGACATTTTCCGGCATCGTGTTCCTGGACGACCTCGTGTCATGGTGCATTGCTAGCTTCCTCAAATCTACCATGTTTGTACATCTGGAGTAGTATAGACTTGACATACTGACCGCCCCCGGGTTCTTGCGTCGTTGAACCATCACGGAGTCATGGCATTTTCTGGCCTCGCACATGCTGATGAGCCGAGCATATCATCGAGATACCCAAGAGAAGTCGTCAAACGCCCGGTCTTTATGAATGGTCTTCTCTCACGTCTCCTCAGCGGCAATCTCAACGAGACCCCAGCCGCCAGATAGCTCCTGACCCAGCAAAGTGGCCTGTTCAACAACGACGAACGCTTCAATCTCCGTGCGATTGATCGTAGGACTCACGAGGTGCATTTCCTGTCCAAGAGCAGGTTGTCTCACCGACAGCGAGTCGCCCGACGGAAACTCAAGCACCCAGTTACTGTAGTACGATTTGCCAGTCTTCTCCGAAGTCCATCGGGATTCTTCATCCTCAACCAGGGTATAAGGTGTGAGATGTGTTCCATACGGCGTCTTGATAGTGGCAAACCGTTCTGTCTCGTTGTTTGGAAGTTCAATGGACCAGATGCTAGCATAGATCTCGTCTTGCGGGAAGTGCAGTTCGAACCAGGTCCAGAGGCCGACAATTGTACTGTTTACGATTTGGCGATCGTACCAGGTGAAAGAGCGTTCAGGGTCGATTGTCAGAGTCTCGCCGTCGTTAAGGCTGAAAGTGCCCTCGACGCGATTGCGAGGAGAACTCCATTGGGTAGTTGGATCATTGCCCCATTGCCATGGATTGCCACCCCAGTTCAACAGGGTTTCAGAGCTGGTGGTGTGTGTGATGTTGTAGGTGTACGCTTCGGTAATCGATGTCGTCTGGAGAACACTGATGCTGTCGTCTGACAAGGCCTGGTAGGTGAAGTTGCTGTATTCGACATCGAAGCGACCATTCGGAGATGTGATGAAGGGTGTGTCGGTCACAGCCTGAGAATGCGTCACGTACTCCGAGGGATTGCCAATATCCAGGATTGATCCGCTCCATAGTCCCGAAAAGTTGGCGACGGTCAGGTAGTGGGAGAGAATCAAGTACTGGCGGTCGTTCGTTGCTGTGACAAAGCTGCTCGACCAAAAGGAATTGCCTTGCACGTTCTGTAGGGCCGTCCAATTGGTGGAAAGGGGAATGCCAGCCTATAACATTCGATTAACAAATATGCTCGCACACTCTGCATTTGGCGAGCGGATGCTTACATCCAGCGGCTGAGCGGCATTATCTGGAGTAAAATCGTATGGCGCACCAGCATAGGCCGCAACGCCAGAGATGGCGACAAGGAAGGTGGTTGGTATGATCATGCTGCTGCGTGGTAAAGTTTGTATGCCTGTTCAAACCCATAGCTTCACATGAAGGCGTCGTCTTATATAGACTTCATGCTCTCCAGGAATTGAAACGAGCATATCCTGACACGGTTTTTGGCTGCCAGTTGCTCGGAGACATTCAATGCGGATGGAAGACATCCGGTTCTTGCTTGTCGGGGTACGGTTGTCGAGGTGTTCGCAACGCTAGTTCGAATCATCTTGGACAAGATTTCACCTCCCTTAACTTAGCCCTAGACCTCACTAGACTTCACCACAAATGATCGGATTCGAGGCTTCGCTGGAGATCCACGGCGATTGTGTACCCAGGTAAGAGCTGAGCTAGCGATAAGCAGCTAGTTGAAGCGTCAGCTATGGACCAGGGATACGTGCACTTGTTCGACTACCTTCCTTTGCCCTGAATTTGAATTCGGGCCCGTAATCACATCTAGGCCGCAGTGGAATGGTACCTGGGGTTCTGAGATCCTGAGCAATACTCGTGGCAACTATGATGGAGATGAAATGATTCCTGTTGCCGCAGCTAAGACAAGTGCGAATCATGTAAGTGCGCTATCAACGAGCCTAGCACGCAACAATACGTCAACAGATGTCTAGCCCCCAGACTCAGCCACTATTCAGACCTTACGAACATTTCCTGACATGTGCATTTCCCGGGCCGTGTCTCGCCACGTCGATTCCAAGCCTTGACATCAAGACAGCTCGCCGTACTCCGATCGTCTGCTCGAAAGTAGTCATGGGTGCCACCATCAGCGCCTACCCTCAGTCATCAGCTCCGCGCGGCAACCGGAGTCTAACATGTCCTCCCAACGAATGCTGACCAAATCTTGACGCAAGTCTGCATCACGAGCTTGCCGTTCTGTTTACCGGGTTTACTGTGCACCTGCACAACGCACCGATAAGACATACGCGGTTTTGGGAGTACGCCTTGCACCCTAAATGGACGGACCAGCGACTACCTCGATGTCCTCAGGACCGATGCTGTCTTCACTGTCATCGTCGCCCTCCTCCTCCTCCTCCTCCTCCTCCTCCTCCTCTTCTTCTTCTTCTTCTGTTATTGCTTGCCGCTCCTTCCTCGATTCTTCGACTTTCCTAAGTAGCCAAGCTCCCACGGTGCCGTTCCCCTGAACTTCGAAGTTCTGGGCACGCTTCGCCATTGAAAGAAGAGGCGCCAAGCATTCATTCTCACCAAGCGTACTGGTTTCGACCGCAAGCACAGATTCGCGCCCGAAGACATGAATGCTAAGATCATCCCAGAAAAGATTATCGCTCGGCGCGATCACGACGAGTTTCTTCAGTGACATTTGAGCGAATCGATGAAATCTCCATATCGCGAATGGAGGATGATAGTCCATGACTATTTTGAGTTCGCCGATATGCTGGAGAGCTTCGTCAGTTATCATTGTGAACATCCTACGGAGGTACCACAGCGAACCGAAGTGGAAGCTGTTTCGTCCATAGAACAGATGCAGCGCCTCTTGACGAATTTGCTTCGAAACCCCGAGGAGTCCGAGGGCGTTCGACAGGTTTCTCACTGTGATGGTGTTCTCCTGCCCTAGATCTGCCGAATTGTCGTACACGGGGGCGTCTACGTCGTTGTAAGACAATAACCCAAGCTTCGTAACTCCATATTCGTCGCCATCCTCCGTCACTGGTCCAACCCAGTGTCTAAGTCCAGGTTTCGGGAAGACAAGGGTCATCTTGTAGATCTTCTCACGAAGCTCAGCAGGCAGTCCCATGAAATCGAAAACGCCTTCTCGCGGAGGTTCTAAATACTCGCGCAAGAAGATGCGTGCAGCACCAGCAGATATAGTGTATCTGTCCAGGTCTTCTTTCGCGTCGTGCATGCAACTCAGAGGAGTGTTGAAGTCTCTCAGAGCTGCATGGTAACCGCTCAGGATGTATTGAAGCCGATCGTCTGGGTCGTAAGTGTCCTTCGATTGCTCCTCGAGATAAGCCACATATGACTTCACAGCTGCCCTGTTGTAGTGCTTGAAAGCAGACAGAATTTCCACGTGGATCTCGTGCATTGACTGGGGTGCCAGATCTCCCATAACGAGTGTGATCACTATCAGCTCGCCAGCAGTGAACGGTGGCTCATTCATGCTGTCCCGCCATGGCTTAATGAGCTCCAGCACCTCTTCCTTCAGAGGACGAAGTACACCCGTAGGCTGGAATCGCGGACCTCCCGTAGTAGATCGACGGGCAGCGGCAACAACGGCGCTGTGCGGTGAAATTGCGTGCGATGCGTTGTGGTTCATTGAAGCCATATTGTAGGTTGTCCTTCGGTTGGAATTTTGAGACAAGGAAGTTGCAAACTCGATGGGTAAGGTGCGGAGGCCCGAGAGATGTTTGAGTGTGTGAGTGAAAGTATTTTGACTTGCTGTTTGTTGAGAAGTCAGGAATTTCGCTCTTTGTTGGGTTAAAGTATGGACTGCAAAGGTAAAGTGCCCGTGGCAAGTGAATGGCTATACTGTAAGTGAATAAGCACTGACTAGCAAGTGAATGAGCGACCAAGTTTGCCACAACAAACACTGTCTCCCTCACAACAAGTGTGCCACACTCAGGAAGTAACTGGACGTGAACAAGGCAGCAGCTGACACCCACAGTGAAAGCAAGCAGGGGTTCAGCAGCATCGTATCGGTGCCACATGTTCCCTAACAATCCATAAAGAGGCTCGATTCATATCAGAAAGTGTCAGAGCACAGGGATTCCATCCACGCCGAGCAATACTTTTGGCTTGAGAATTCGCGGGCATTGTTGGGGCCGCGTCGAGTGCATAGATTCTTTCTTTGAAGCTCTGCCACCTCAGTCGGGCGGATGAGAGCGTTGACCGTTGCTTCATCGCCAAGGGATAGATCCGGAGTGTTCCTCAGTCTACGCTGTGCGCAGCATCATGTCGGTGACCTGGGAAAGAAAAGAATGCAGAATTCTGGTTGACGTGAAGTCGACGAAACGCGACAAGCTCGAACGCGTACGGAAATAGCGACCGACGTCATCGAAACAGGGGTCGCTGGCGCGTAACAACAGTCCAAAACACTGCTGCACCTCTCCGAAGAACATCACTCGCGTAGACTTCGTCGGCTGTCGCATCTGGCGCTGAACACCAGGCTGAGTACACAGGATCGTCTGCTTGGCATTTTCCATTCCACTTCACTCCTTCACTCGTTTCACAGACACAGACACTTTGATACAACACACAGACACCTCGCCGAAAGGCCCCCAGCTCCTCAGCACCATGGCCTCCAACTTCACCCTCCAAGTCAACTGCTCCTCAGCCCCCCAAACCGCCCGCACAGACGCCGGAGTCGCAGGAGCCGGAATCCTCATCGCCTTCATCATCACCGCCGGCCTCGCCCTTATCCTCTCCGCCTTCATCGTCTTCTCCGAAATCCGCGGCCGAACCTCTCGAAACATCACCCGAAAAATCCTCTCCGGCCTCTCCGATCAAATGATCGTCGAAGGAATAGCAGTTCAAGTCGTCGCGCTGGCGCGAATTTACTCGACGATTCCGTACCATTTCTTCATTGTTTGGATGCTCTCGCTCTTATCGACTGCTACGAATTTCGCGGCGCTGTTGGCGCTGGTGCAAGATTTGAAGAGGGATTGGATGTTGAGATGGTTAAGGCAGTTTGCGATGTTTGTTAATATGGCGTTGGGGATTACGATGGGGATTTTTGTGTTGAAAACGAATATTGATAATTTGGCTCCGACTTTGCCTATGGCTTGTGTGTGGCAGGCGCATGAGAAAGATGCTGATGCACAAGGGAATAAGACACTCAGTGTTGTGGGTACGATCGTGGTCATTGCTGTCACCTGCATCATCTTTGTTCTTGGTACCTGGTACCTACATCTTCGGAAGCAGATTTGGGGCAAGACAGTGAGGATAATATCCTTGGTTGTGCTTATGGGCATGGCCATAGCAGGTGAGTTCATGCCAGGGGCGACACTCAGCAGCTGCTCGAGGACGTACAAGAGGATCGCGTCGTTGCACACGCTGACCATTCGTAGTCACTGTCAGAGTGATTCTTATTGCCCAGGGTCTCGGTGGCACGCCGTCCGTGGACCTTGCTGACAAAGGAGAGACCGAGTGGTCATTCGGCCAGCTGCTTACGCTCATGCTTCTCATTCTGCCATTCGTCTCTGCATTGGAGCTTCTCCGAGGTATGGACGGCTTCGTCATGTCTCAAGACTTTGCTAACAGTTGGCAGGACAAATGGCCGTTCCTCGGGCGGATGCGCAATGCGACTCTGACCAAGTGCCACTGACCGGCGGCCACGGTGCTGAGCTGAAGCCAGTGTCCGACAACAGGTACGCTTACCAACCTAACCCAATATTTAGATCATAGCGATACCATGAGATACCCCTTCGCCTTTGGCGAAATGCGAATTTGATATTACACTTCAATGCGCGGGAGAAGAATGCCTGGTCAGTCACTCCTGGCTCTCACCAATGCACGTGAATCATCGTGGGCACTCAAAGTCGCAACGAGCACACTTTCCGACTATACTTCATTGCACGCGTCTCTTTATCTTGACTTTCAGGTCGCCACCAGGAGAGAGCGCGCCACTGCCTGGGTATGCCTTCTTCACACCTGGGAAGTCCTGCATGGGCTCCTTGTTCTCATCCACGAAGCCCTTGACATCAAACTCGAAACGAGACAGTACCATGGCCAGAGCAGCGAGCGCCTCCTGCTTCGCAAATATCCTTCCAGGACAGATGGTCTTGCCGCCACCGAATGGAAAGAACTTTCCACCTGGCTTACTGAAGACAAAGCTGGCTGTCCCAGTTTTTGGGTCTTTGACCAGAAATCGGTTGGCGTCAAATACGTCCCACGGCACTTCAGCACTCCAACTGTCGTCATGCTGTGCTATCCATGAAGGAGCAAATATGTTATCGCCTTTGCGGAGTTGCACTTGTAGCTTTCCATCTTCATCCAGCGGTATTATGATGTCCTCGGGCAAGCTGCGAACTACTAGGAGGTCCGAGTACAGTCGCAGAGTCTCGATCCAGATGCTCTGTAATAGTGGTTGATTGACAAGCTTGATCACATCGAAAGATCCATCCGGCTTTCGTGCTTCGTCGATCTCAGCCAGCACTCGCGGGAGTAATGTCGGCTCGGCCAAAGGACTGACGATATTGAACAGCATCCAGGCAGTGACAGGAATCACATTCGTCGCCAATCCAAACGTGATCCCAGCATCCAGTCTCGCGCCAGATCTTGCATTGAGCCCCCGATTCCTATAATCCAGCTGTCGTGCCCGATTCAACCGACTCCCATAAAACGGCTCCCACGCCGGTCCTTCCGGATCAACAGGTTCATCACCACTCAATCGCAACATCTCCGTACTCCATTTCTCCAAACTCGCATAAATTCTCTTCCGTCTCTGATCCGCCTTCCGTTGCAAAATCGGCGGAATACCAAAGAAGAACCCCAGAAAATCATTATCCCACGCGAAGAAATCTTCGCACCAGTTCGGATACATTTGCAATAATTTCTCGCCCATCAGAGCCGTGACTGAAGCAGTGAACATTCGATCTCGTAACCATTCGTACAATCCAATTTCTTCCAATTGCACGATTTCTTTCGCGTCTTTCGATAAAACCTCATCTAAAACTTCCGTGAATTTCGAAGTCAATTCATTCACCCTATCGAAATTCGTCATATACTTCGCATTCATCTCCACCTCAAAATGCTTCCCCTTTTCCGCATTATCGATCTGATCCTCTGGCATTTCAAACACCTTAGAAAACAACTCCCTTTCGAAGAAATCTCGACTTGGAGTTTTGGCTTTGAAGAGAGCGGAAACTGCGGCGGGAGAGAATACGACGTGGGTTTTCCGGCCGCCCATGAGGATTGTGAGGATTCCGTTGGAGCGCGGGTAGAAGGTGAAGAGGGATAGGTAGTAGCCGCCGGGGGTCATATTGAGGAAGGAGAGGGCGTTGCCGAGCCAGGGGATTGTGTAGGGGATTTGGGGGGATTGGACGAGTTTGGGGCCATTTGGGACTCTGGAAGGTTGGGTGAAGGTGCGAAGGGCGAGGTGGTATTGGAGGGTTGTCCAGAGGCGGGTGAGGGTGAGAATCGTTGTTATGGCCAGAATTGGTGTGAGGAGGGTGTAGAGGGCTGAGGCTGAGATGCCTGTCCAGCTGGATATGTTGTTGAGGAGGTCCATTTTAGCGTTCTTGTGTTTTGGGCTTGTCTTTCTGGGGCTTTCTGTTCTTGGTGACAGCGCCTCGATCATGCGCTTGTATTACTTGAGGTGACCATGATGTTGTTCGTGTCGACGGACGAGAATCAGAACAGGAGGTTGAGACGGAAGCTCTTGGCAAAGTCGGTTGCATTTTGCCGCGACACGGAAGGAGCTGCTCCCGGGCAAGCGAAGGCGACTTCGTACAGACGCGAACTTGTGCAAGCTCATCTTGCTTTCTGTCTCTACAACGCGTCTCACCTGAGTCGCTTCATCGCGGATTCTGAGCTGGAGTACAAAGTGACAGCGATCACGTCTGTCGAGCTGCACCGCGTCGCGCCATTCACACGCGTCCGGAGAAGATAACGCGACATCTTGGGAATGACTGCAGCCTTCGTGTGCACAGAAATGGGAGCTGAAGCAGAGTCTCACTAATGCATGTGACTACTCCGGATCCAACTCGCTCGATCCGTCACCGACAAGAGCATGACTCCACGCGCTGGTCTGATGAGCAGAGCCATGTAGTTGGACCTCCGAGAGCACAGCAGACACACGATGCCTGGAACAGCCGCATATTTGCGTATATTGGCGAGCAAAGCGGAAAGGGTAACACCTGCATGGAGACTACTATTTACCATCTTGCCAGTTGTAAAACTACACCGACCGATGCCTACAAAGCTCTCTGCTGATACGCCTTTCCGACTTTCCAGAGCATATCCCATCACCACTGCTCGGTATCAACTCCTTCGCAGAGTCGCCCTCTTCCGCCGATGTCTCTGCGATCAGCAATCCAGCATCTTTTGCATCTTCCGCTTGCGTGTCAGCTTGGCGCCGGTGCTCCAGCCAGAGATCCATCGTGGCTCGCGCATCCTCACTCGGGTTGTGAAGTCCGCCAGCTTGGATTACCCTACCGAGTACCTTGAGAGCGGTGTCTCGGAGTCCTGGCTGACCACTTTCCGGCTGCAGATGGCGATACAGCTGCTGCGTATCGACGATTTCGCTTTGGTCGAACGCGTCAGAGATGGTGTAAAAGGCTTTCATGTCGCCTCTCCGGTCATGCATGATGACTTTCCGACCCTGAAAGATGCGTCTCAGTGTCGCCTCTACCTCTCTGCCGTTCCGAGCTCCATTGTGAGCTTTCAGATCTTCTCGCAGTACGCCGAATCGGATGGGATCCATGGCCTTCTCAGTGCCAGGCTCATTGTCGTAGAACACGAAGCAGTTGAAGATCTCCTGGCCCGCCTCACCAACGACACTGAACCACCCCAGTCGAGATTGCCACACCTTGCGTTTCTCTGTCGGGTTCTTGCAGATCCTTTGGAACTCGACGTCAAATGCAACGGCTTCGTCGTCTCTCAGCAGATGGAAGGCAGGCTGTACCTGAGTCGCCCGGCAGTAGGGCGGATCACGCTTCCTCATGTGGTCCTTGATGTTCGTGCTCTCGGAGAGCGGGTTGAAGTGCGGCTTCGACTGACTGCTCGAGGGTTTCGCCGCGGCCTTGGTGACACTGGATGCCTTGGTCGGCCCACTCTGCTTGGAAGAAGACATTGCTCTCAGCTTTTCTAGTTTCGAATCGTGTTGGGGCGTATATGCCTCAGGCTCAGCGGTGACGAGACCGTATTTCGGAAGCAGGTTAACTAAAGGTGAGTGCTGACGGTAGTGATATATGTACCCGGCACACTGAGGGCCGCTTTGTCCTTCAAGTCCTGGATCTTAAAAACCTTATTCTCTTACCACGGAAAAGTATCAGTCTTATTTACTAGAACATCAATCACTGGCTGGTCGCATCGCTGTGATCAGAAAATATTTTTGCATAACGTCTGAACCTGTGGCTGGTCCAGATTGGTGTCCCGCAGTGGGACACCAGTTCGCACTCACGTCAGAGTTGTGCATACGCGATAAGAGCGAGAGGCTCAACATTGTTCTAGCAACTCTTCGAGAATACGCGATCGATAGTCGATGCTGGAGACAGTCCTTACCAGTTCGAAACAATTACATGAACCAGCAATGATGAAGCATTGACGAGGAAGAACCTACGAACTTACCTTGAGTAAATGCGATACATTTGGTCGGGCAATGTCCTCAGGTAGAGAGTATATGCATGGCTTTAGAGGACACAGAGCAAGGAGCTTAATTCGAAGCAGTACTTATCACCGCATCATTTCGGTATTGATACAAGGTCAGAGAGCGAATCGAACAAGGAACAAGAGGAGCTAGGAAAAAAAGTCTTTATGTCAAAACACTGGGTTGTGATATTCTCAATTACACATGCTGACATTCTTGCTGCAGATTCCGTACAAGCGTGTGAGACCTTCAAGCTCTATCAGCCGCGATACACTGCCTGCCACCTTGCCGCTTCTGCAGCGCGGTCGTACGCGTTTCGCAAGAGGTAAATATCCATCGTTGCCAATGCGTCCTCTTCCGCCGTGTGGTCGTTGCCAACCTGGATAATCCTGTTCAGCAGATTCTCTGCCAACAGAGCCAGGCCCGGGCAGGGCTTGTTCTCACCTGCCTCGCTATACCGGTATAGCCACTGCGTGTCACGAACAGTCGCTCGAGCGAACGGGTCTTGGTAGTACCACGCTCGTCTGTCGTTCGAGCCGCCATGAAGCACGACCGTGCGGTTGGCGAATAGCTTCTCACACCATTCCTCGACGATACGACCATCTACGGCGCCGTTCCTTGGGTCCACTCGCTTCCATGTGACGCCAAAAGTCTTGCCTGGAGCCCTAGGCATCTTTGCTTCTACGTTCGCCTCACTAGGGTAAGAGACGAACGTGTCGAGAACGATCTCACCTCGTGTGTTTACGACACAGATCCACCCCAGACGATTCTGCCATCGCTTGTTGCCGGCTTTCTTGTGCCAGGAGCCATGCACATCGCCAGCGATGTGATAGTCCTGGAATTCGATGTCGCATGCGAGTGGCTCTCCGGGAAGTACGAGGTCCCAACGAGGCTCTGTCTGGGTGGCAGGACTAGGTCTGGGAGCTGGGGCATTTGGTAGTCGAGGATTTTGTGGGTTGGCAACCCAGCTGGTGTTAGGTGTGGGTGCGTGACCTTGTCGGGGCATCCACTTCACGAAGGTTCGTGGGACGGGCAGGATCTGGTTGACCATTTTGAACTGTTGATTGTGGTGTCAACGACTGACAAAGTGCAGTGTTTATTCTTCGAGTGTCTGAGTAAGGTCGCAAGTGGCACTGGTAATGCTCTGTCTTCGTAGGTTGAAGGTAAGGTGTTTGGAATCTGATTTGGGCCCATCTGCGCCATCTTGTCGGTTTATAAGTCGCATGCAACAGGCACAAAATCCGTATTCCGTGTGTACAGAGGGAACATCAATGGTATTGTGGTTCTTTGTTCGCCAGCTTGAGTGAACGTAGCCTCTCAAAGCAGCCATCAAAGACTCCTGGCACCAAAGGCATTGTGGAATTTGGAACAGCAAGCGAAGCAGTTTGCACAACAGCAATGTTGATCATCCTGCAATGATACATCGAGATGGTCTCTCAGAGGATCGGTGCAAGTAGTAGTACCAGCGGTCATTCTTGCTAGTAAGCAGCAGGAAATCGAGTTGGTCTTCGAAATGAGATCTCCTTCTTCTTGCCGCGGTGGGCGGGTCCGAGGATTGGGGTACTGACGCCGTTTACAGAGGGAGGTGTGAACATCGCGTCGATGTCGATTGTGATTTCTGTGATTTCAGCTGTTGAGATAATGTCGACTGTCCTGCGGTTTGGTGTGAGCTTCTGCGTCGAGCAGATCAGAGCATCACGCGATAACTCCTCTTGCGTCCTGGAAATATATGCATTCAGGCGATGCATGCTTAGATATGCATATAGTGAATAGTTGAGAATAGTATAATAGTAAAGGTTTGGAGGAAGGTTCAAGTTGGAGGGAGAGAGATGTCAAAGAATAAATAATTGGATCTCAACAAGACATGTCTAATTCATCCGAGACCAATGACTGCTAGCGCGCAGTGAGCTTGGTGCTAGGTACTGCATTAAACTGCGCCAGATGGGCCAGATTGTGGACGACTTTCTGCGTATTGGCCGCAGGGCAAGACACTGCAGCGCCTCTCCCGATAATCTATTCAATGAAGTGGAAAACACGAATTATGTAAGTTCAGCTTTCAATTGTCGCGTCTTGCAATATTCTGTCATTGTTCCATATCTGCTTCTTTTACAATCACTGATTGCTACCTGGAAGTAATTCTATAGCGATCAGATTCAGCGCTCATCAATGAAGTTTACATACGTGACTCAGGTGAATCCAGTCTCTGCCCGTGACACCATGATTAAAGATTCACAATCAGCAAGCTCACCGGTACGCATCTAAATTTCCCAGCATACAGTGCATTTAGGAAACACGTTCCATCAATGTGATCACATCACCAAGCCCATCCTTGACTCCAGCCTGCCCATGCATAATGGTAAACTCCTTGGTAATGTGCCACCATTCTTTGCTTTCCGGATCACAAACATAATACTGCTCATTTTCCGGCAAAACAGAATCCAGCAACATCTCATCATCCTTGTCTTCGGTCGCTTGGACTTTGTACAAACAAAGTCGGTTGACGTTCATTCCATCGCGGATGTAGTTGAAAACTCGAATCCAGTCTTTACGAGGCATTCGTACACCTTCGAAATGAATGCGATTGAGCGAAGCCGAGAAGTTTCTCAAGACAGGCATAAGCTGTGAGGCCGAGTTGATGGAGGCGCCATGGAGGTTGAGTTCCGTGAGAGGAATCTTCGGTACAGTTGCGAGGAAGGACAGGAAGAATTTCGCGGCTGGTACGCACTGGAATTTGACCGAGATGGCACGGAGAGACGTCAGCTGGAGAAAGAAGATTCGGAGACGAATTCTGCATTCGATGGAAAAGTCGTCCTGGTCAGACTCTTCGGAAAAGGTGATGCGCTGAACGTAACCGCCAAGGTCGTTCTGTTCGATGAATTTGACCGTGGTTGAGAACTCTTCGTCTACTAGGGGGCAAGGTAGGCCGGAAGAGAATGATTCCTCTTTGGTGACTGGCAGCTTCAGATCAAGAACTTTGAGGTGTCTCTTGGCGAATTCGCTGGCTGTCTTGTCAGCAGCGTCCTGGGAGGTAAGACGAAGGTTGCTGAGGCTTTCGTTGTCGGTGTACGATGCAATGTGTGCTACAACCTCTCCGGGAAGTTGCTGCACGATATCTTGCGTGGCGTTGATTTGGTTGTGAGAAGTCATGTTGGCAAGCTGTATGTTTTAGTAGATTCTTAATGGTAAGGCTGCTTGCGAACTGGCTATGCTTCTGACATGAATCGAACTGACCCCGTGGCCGAATATATATGCACTGAACAAAGTCGTGCGGGAACAAAGGATAACTCTTACTACCCGTTCACCCTTGTATCCTAATGTTTACAAAGGGACAATTGAACAAGGAGTATTGATCAATCCTTTGTTACTGCAAGTAGGGACGTACAGAACTCCCTTTGTCGTGGAGCTAAGTAACCTGAGAGGTGACGACCCAATTGGCAGGTCTCCGGGCAACTGTATTCCCGGCGCTCGAAAAGCTACCTGTAAATCTAGCGTCAGTCGTACATACAGAAAAGAAGTCCGAATCAACACAGCACCCACGATTAGTACGAGCAATGCCTGCTAGCCTGCTGCCGCTGCAGCCCATCTGTTGAGCAGTATTGATATATTCGTAATATACAGCAGACACTAGTGGTACTAAGCTAGTATGATTATGTTTGCACTAAACATAGAAAAGACATTGGCACATGATGATCCTTCTGGTCCGTATCGTACAATAGGCCGCTACTTGCGGACACGACAGAATTGTGATATTTGTGGTCCAGCCACAATTTAGCTTCGTTTCCTGCGCCACGCTCTGCCTTCGGCACAAATAGAATTCTCGTTTCTCAAAACAAAGTAGAGCAAAGCAAAGCAGTGGGTAAGCTCTGCGTAACCTTTTCTTCCCGAATTCCTCCTTCTGTCGATCTCTCATGTCATTATTGATAGTCTTCCAGTGCCATGAATTGAGGAGTCCTGCTGTGAACCTCGCCGTCCCTGCCCGTGTGCGCCCAAATCAGCGAAATGCCGCCGCTGCAGTCGAAGAGCAAACTGTGCTGCGGCGTTCATTCCTTTTTCTGGCGGGTCACTTGAAGGTCGACAGGAGCCATGGCTTGTCTCTGGTCTTTTGGGAACTGCCGGGACGCTGTCGGGTCGTATTAGAGGAAGATGAGCAGAGGACTTGGCTTTTTTCAGTTTGTGTTTTTTCGTGGAGGCTATTTTACTGATGAGAGCATTCATTCCACTTTCTTCGAATCCTTTCCGCTTTGCTTCGCGGTCGTAAGGGAATCGAAGGAGGTAGAGCTCCATTGCTGTTGTGGCGTCCTGGTCTGGTCTTCGTGTATCGTCACATTCTCCGCGGATGCTGCGTCCAAGTACGAGGCGTGAGACTGTTGACAAAGTAGGCTGCCCATCGTTTTGCATGTCAGAGTACAGTTTTTGGGTATCCCAGACGAGGCTGTCTCCGAGTGCTTCATCGTAGAAGTAGAAAGAATCTGAATAGCTTTGGCCACCGTGTACAACGACTGTTCGGCCATCGAGAAGCTTCGTCAAATTCCTTTCGACTTCTTTGCCGTCACGTGCGCCGTTGCTGAATAGTAGGTCTTCTTTGACGACATCGTAGCGTTTGTTGTAGAAGTACTTTTTTAAGCCGTCCTCTTTGGGATATGTCACGAATGGGTCGTATATGATTTGGCCTGCCGTGTTTATTACTGATATCCAGCCTATCCGGTGATTCCAGGACGTCTCGGTGGGGGCGAGGTAGCGTTGAGGTACGATCTTGATGGAAATAGGCTCATCAGGATAGAGTAGATCCCATCGTGGTTTAGGAGCTGCTGATTTGGTCCGACTTGATGAAGACGAAAGTAGTGGAGTCGGAGGCAAGATCGACGCGCTCGACGCGTAGCCGGACGGAACCCTCTTGAAGAGGACATCTGCCGACAGGCTCTCATCTGATAGCTGGAGTTGGAGCATATTCTGCGGTGTTGTGTCCACGATGACGCGTGGCAGGTGGTTGATGAGAAGAAGACAGTTTGTCCTTGAGCAGCGCTCCGTTTCGTATCCTCAGATTGCGGGACTGCGCGACCTGCCCACTTTCCAGACGCGATGGCGTCTGCAGACTGCGGCCGGAACGGCCATGGTGTGGAGGCAAGGGAGAATTAGTACAGCTCAAAGAGTCGTGTGAGGGTCCGTCCCGAATCAGTTCGGCACCCTATTTGCAGCCGTTTTTAGAGATCATCAAAGCTTATTTCCTGATTAGGGGCCCGTCACCTTTTCACACTTCGCTGCAGAGTGCTGAGATGCATGAACTTCATCTTTGTTGCTGTCATGCACAGGAGTTGACGACGCGCTGCCGGCTCGCAGACGGATTGCACAGCGGCACAGGGCGTCTGCAGTCAGCGAACGATTCACATCACGTTCTGGTACCGACTGTTACGGTGCACCTTCGCCACGCGCATCGATCGGAATTGCAGACTCTGCTCCATGTCGTGTGCTGTACCTGTGCTGAGTCGCCATTATCTGCTCGCTACGTTGCGTCACCAGCCTTTGTTGCGTCCCAAGGTCCCATCCTAACGCCAAAGCCGGGAAACCGACGCCCAGGGTATCATGAACTCCCAAAACCTTTTTTCGCGTGCCGTCGTTAAGTCTTGCGAGCCCAGGTTACGCCCCAGCCCAACAGCCGATATACCACGATGATAGCAATCATAATGCCGACCCATTTGCCTTCGCGGCCCAATGCGTAGCCATACTCGGAGAGAACTGCGGTTCCCGCAATCCCGCACTCGTCTTGAAGCTCGCTAGGATACATGCAGTAGCACTGTCCCGCGCGTTGCTCGCAGGAATAGCTGCGATCTTTGAACTCATTGACCATCATGCCTTGGAAGACGTACGCTTGGTAGTCGATATAGTGGAAAACATACTTCCAGAAGGCGTTGAGCACCGGCATTGACACGAGAAAGCCGCCAACGCTCATCCAAAGTCTGGACACAAGGTTAGCCGCTGCAGCGATCACTGCATGTAGCATGCAACATGTAACGTACCCATTGGCAAATGCAATCAGGGCCAGTGCAACCACAAAGTTGGGGAATAAGCTCGACATGAAGACAACGAGCGACTCCGCGGCAAGCAGATCCAGGAAGAGCCACATGATCCAGGTGAAGAAAGCACCAGCATCTGGTCGCAGGTTGATGAGCCAATAGGACACAATCGAGAAGAGCACAGAGATGAGGACTAGTAGCACTGTCAGCAGTAGTACGACGGCGGGGTCAAGTGTTGTACTCACACAGGTACGGCAAGCCGATGAGGAAGTTCGCCACCAGAAACGCCGTAGGACCGTACAAGCCATTTGCGCGTTCTTTGACAAAGATTGCGCGATCTTCGAGGAAGGCCGGTACGTAGGCAACAGCCATGAAACTCATGAAGGCCGACCCGAAGAACTGGTTCCGCACAGTCAGCTAAAGTTGACCCATGAGTCGATGTGAACTTACGATGGCATTGACAAATGGTTGTATGTTCCGCTGCGTTGATCCGAGGCGCAACCATACTGTTCCCATCATAATCGCAAGGCCCATATACATTGCCACGCGCACCCAATATGCGACCAGGTCACGGTAGCTCTTGATGAACGATCGATGCAGGAGAGTCATGGTTTGGGCGACGAATCCCGGCTTGTTGTGTGCAGTGAGATGCAGTTGCTTGCGGACCGAGAAGCCTTTTATTTCGTCGTTGACTTGCTGAGCACGAGGGGAATTTCCCCATTTCGCAAGGATCGTCTCAAGGTTGGCTTGGGCAGCATCACCAGAGAAATCGACGTTGATAAGGTCGAGAGCCTCCTCGGCAGGATTGATGTGCGATGGTATTGGATAGCCAGCCTCGGCGAAGAACGCAGACATTCCGGAGACGTCGCCATTGTACACAGTCTTGCCCTGCGAAAGCAAGGTGACTTTGGAGAACAGATCGAAAGTTTTAGTGGAGGGTTGGTGAATACTGGCGATTACGATCAACTGAAACAATTGTTAGCAACATGTACCAAGACAATTCTGTTTTGATGTGGCTCACCTTGTTGCGCCGAGCGATGTCTCGAATGAACGAGATGACTTCGTAGCTCGCGGTCGAGTCTAGACCAGAAGTCGGCTCGTCCAGGTATAGAACTCGTGGACCTGTAATGAGTTGCGTAGCGACGCTTACACGTCTCTTCTGACCACCGGATATGCCTTTCTGTAGTGGAGTACCAATGAGAGTGCGCCGCTGGCCAGCCAATCCGAACGACTCAATGAGCTTTGAGACACGTTCGCGTGCTTCGTTCCTGGTCACCGAGCTAGACCCATGTCAGCAAGCATATCGGAAAGACTGATCATGAAGCCAAACGTACCGTGGCAAAGTCAAGCGGGCTGCGAATCTCAATGTTTCTTCGACAGTCAAACTGCCGATCAGCGTGTCCTCTTGCTCGACGTAGGCAGAGATAGCTCGATGGGTGGCAAGCGACTGCTCCTCGCCATTGATCAGGACTTGACCTCGGACTGTTGCTGTCTGTCTCTGAGCCAGTGTGTGAAGCAAAGTGGTCTTGCCCGAACCGGAAGGTCCCATCAGAGCGACCAGCTCTCCAGGTCGTACAATGCCCGAAGCATTCTCCAGGATGTTGCGTTGATGACCGCTGGTACGGTCTTTGACGTTGACAGTCAGATCCTTCCAGACCAGACTGTCGACGTCTTCGTTGGTGAAGGCCGAGCTGGCATTCGCGTGCTTCTCGATGTCGTCCATCTGGACGTCGCCGGCGGTGGAGTTCGAGTCTCGTTGCATCTCTCCGGGCACAATCAGCATCTCAATATCGGAGCGATAGGAGGTTCGTGCTGGCATGGGACAGCTGCGTTGACGGCGGAAGTGAAACTCGCACTTCCTAACCTCACTTAGTCCTCCACATGAGCATCGTCATGTGTCGGAGGAGGAGGTTTTGACAGCGCGTCCTCTTTGCGGCGGGTAGCCGTTTGGCAGGAGTGGGCAAACGCGAGTTCGGCGAGGTTGTGTGTCGCCGCATCAGGGACTTCCAGGCCCATGCTCGCGTGCGGTGGGCGGGCAGCAGCATCCTGGACGTTTGACACCGCAGTCACGCTGGCTGATCGCCGGCGTCACCGCGCCACCTCCCTCCGCGCCCCCTCATTCGCCTTGTCTGACGCGATGCGCGATGGACTCGCGGCAACGTGAAGTCGGCGAAGCTGCATCCCGGTCTGGCTGCCGCTCTTGCGCACATCGCCTGCCGCAGAATCGACGCGATCCGCCGTCTCCAAACACCGCGGAGCTTCGCCTCGCGTCAAGATTCACGTCCTCTCGCCGACGTTGGCAGAAGGATGGTACCTGTTGGTACACATGGCTCAGCTGCAGCCATCAGCAATCCAGGCACGCTGTGAAACGGTCGTCAACGCAGTGCTACCGGGTTCGCTTCCATCCCCAGACTCTTCGGCAGCAACATCTCCACTTGTACGCAGGGCAGACGATCCCGCACCGACAATCCGGTTTCATCACAAAAAAGAGCACGGCGTGAGTTGAGACGGCACGAGGGCGCAGAAGCTCGGTGGCATGAAGTGAAAGAGGAGGTGGACAACAGGCAATGTGACGTGCTCTCCGCCAGGAACGTGGAAAAGGGTTCCTGCCGCGATGATCTGCACAGACACGCAGCCATCGTGAACAGCCTCCTCTCTCCTCCCTTGCCGTCCTTCTGTTCGTCATCTACACTCCAGCCGCGCAGGCTCCAATTGTTGAGACAATGAGCTGTTACATGCCGCGAAAAATTGTCAACGAAACGCGCTCAGCCGTATGCACATACAGGCATCACGCAGTTGCGACTTGTGAGCTGTTGGTGGCTTCCTGCAGTAGCGATCTTGCTGGCAGCACAAAGCCGATTTATCCTCCACAAAGCTTGCTGCTCCTGAGAAGGCAGAACTTCATGAACTAACAGCAGGACGGCGCAGCGAAGGTCTAGACAACACCAGCGACTCGACTGACCGGTCTGATGCCTGCAGCACACAGCGCAATGCGCAGACGAGCTGAGAGTCGAAGCAAGCTCTCAATTGGGCGAGGCCGGGTACTTGCAGCGACTTTGGGAACATCCTTTGTGAGCAAACAAAGCTCCTACAGGATCCAGTTGCCGTCCAGAAGCTCACACCGGTTTCCGGCATCTCTGCGGCAGCAGCGACCTGCCACTCACAGCGTCCACCTCACAAGCGAAGAAGGTGAATTCTCGCTACCGGGAAATACACCTGATCCATCTTCTGACTTGCGCGACTAGAACGAGAAGGCCTCAAAATTTGTTCGGTCGCTGGCTTTCTGACAGGAAATTATGAGCATTCAGCACACCTCCGTGTGGTATGTGGGCTCCGAGCGGATCGGGATAGCAATCCATGAGGCGCTTTGCTTTACTCCCACGAGTAACTAATTATGGATGATCGACATCCTCAGTCTCGGACTTCACATTGGGCTGCCACCGCAGAGCCACGAGGTTTGGGGCCATGGAAAGCATGGCATCCATGACGACGTGCATTCGTGGCCTGTCTTATTGTTCGTCAGTGTTTCTGTCTATTCTCGGCGTGTATTGTCGACGTTTTGGAAGCGATCATGTCCTTGAGCTCGAACTTAGGCACACCTGCATCGCTTAGTTCAGGTCGTGTCACACATGGTGGGCTGAAGCGGCAATCTCTCCCATACTTCAGATTGTTCCCCAGCATTCGACGAATTCGCTTGCCACAGAACTCCAGGATCTGCCACATCGAGCAGCGTATGCGATATCAACTGCAGCGGAGCTCAGCGAGTCAAACAAGGCACTACTGCGTCTCGTCAAGAATGTGATAAGAAGGCTCGCCAGTGCGATGTGTCGAGTCTTGACAAACTAATCATCGCCTCCCTGAACTACGTTCTATTCAGGCCAAGCATGTTTCTGCTGTGCCAAGTCGAACATTGGTGCGCTGCAGCATAATTTGAAAGAAGCGACTTCAGTAGTTTGACAGACTCCAGCAACGGCAACCGATTGACCGTGTTGGGAACACGAATTGGCATTTTCCCAGCACATATTCTCATTTCTTGCATTTCCGCCCTTCTTTCTCGAAACGCAAGGCAGGCCGACTGTATGTAATAACTGAGATCTTACTCCTCGGGAGTCTGCCTGATTTTGCGGATATGGTGCGATTGGTAGTTGTGGTTGATCTATAGTGACCAGATTGCTTCTGCCCTTGTCAACTTCATGTATTTTTCTCAAAATATCGATAACAGAGCAATACTGCTTGAATCCATCGTATATCCATGAACCTGTTCGCAAATGATGCCATTCTGACAAGTATTCACCTGCCAGACCTCACTTTCCCTCACTTTCCCTCACTTCATTCCCGTATGCAACATATCATCCCACAACCATAGCCATCGATGCCAGCACACTTTCCATCGTCTTTCCGCAGTATTACTTGTATAGCAACGTCGCCGGAAGCCCAAAACTCTTGGCGTCCCCGCCCACAACAAAAATTCAAAGATTTGCGAGTATACCACCGACATCTTCACCACGACGATGTCGACAACGACGTAGTGAGCAAAAAGCGATGCCCTCTACTGGATTCGAACCAATGACCTCATCATGTCACTGTTGTAGTACTAGTGATGCGCTCTACCCCTGACTGTGAAGATGTTAGTGAAAATTCCAAAGTGAAGGAGCAGGGGTTGACGCGTACGCTAAGAGGGCTGGGAACTCCTATTGGATGGCAGGAGCTAACTCATAATTATATATGATTATGCATCCAAGGGGCCACGCGCGACGGTAGAAAGAGTTTGTCTTGATTGTCGGACACGGAAAGTGACGCCACAAAATCTTAAACCTCAAGTTGATGGTTACTTCCTTTCTGNCGAGGGTTACTAATCACTCTGCATGAGTTTTCCTGAGTTTCCTGCTCGAACATAGCGATTTCGACGTTGTTGATCGAGACTGTGAGATGCCAAGTTCACGTGATGCGGGCGCTAAATGTGTCCGACAATCAAGAGACACTGTAGAAAGGATGCGCCGTGAAATTTTGCATGGCTTCGGCGAGAATCTCAGGCAGATAAAGGCCCCCGACTATCAGCGACGGACCTGATCGCGAAAACTACAGCACATATAGATGTAATCTTCGAAATATTGAAACCGTCATGCAGGAAGTAGAAATTGGTTGTGAATGATTCGTGTACCGTACACGGCGTGGACAAAGTATACCGGATCCGCAGGCTTGGGTTGACGCCAAGACTTGATCCAATCGATGAGCCGAGACTGAACTTGACTTCTGTAGCGTATGGACTCGTCGCAACCTTGAAGTTAGAGAGCAATATTGCAGGCGAGGTGAGTCGAAGAGTAATAATCTGCGGCGCAATCTCGTTCATGCGAGTCGGCGACGTGTGGTTGATGCCAAGACTTCCGAGTCGCCGAACAGAACGGCAACCTGAGGCTGCATCTGCTATTGTTCCGGAGACGAGGTGATGGCAGATAATCTCAAAACGAAAACTCATCGCACAGACCAAAAGTATACGGGAGAAGCGCCAGCACCAAGATGAAAGGGCATCTTACGTTCTGTACATCGTGCCAACTAGCAACGTCGGCCAACAGAGCACTACATCCGCCTTCACCATGTCTTGACCAACGAGTCACCTTGTTGACACCCCGACATCATCTCCATTTATCCAATACTAGCCACAACCTGGTCTAAAGCACCTTGCTCCCGATCGCGATCTTCGACCCACACCAGCCTTGCCAAAGCTTTCAAATCCTCAGGCGCATATTCGCCCTTCTTCGACTCCACCACGATGGCCTTGGGCTCGCACAGTCCATAGAATTTCGCGGCGAAGTCCAGACTCGCGTCTTGCTGCATCGCTGTCTTCAACGTCTGCTGCAGAACGAGAATGTTGAGACCCATACGGTCTAGCCCGTGCCCATCGAGTGCAGGGATACACCCGACGAGAGAGACCAAGGCGTTGTTGGCGAGGACGTGCAGGTTGGCAGTCAAGAAATCGTACTGCGCAGCGAGCAAGTTCGTGGAGATGGCAGTATCGTAAGTTCCCAAACTTGCAGCGAGGTTGAGAATGGCGGGATCGGGATCGTTGTATGGTTGGCCGAGAGCATACGTTGTGTCCATCGCGGCGTATATACCATGCAGCAAGTGCAGGCGAAGGTCGACATGTAGGGTTCGCAATATGAGTGATGACAGTTCAGTGAAAGATGCAATGACTGCATCAAAACCTGCCGCGGTCTGCTGGTCCAGAGGCAGGTAAGGACCAGCGGGCGCCGACCCAACGTGAGCGATTTGTGTCCAGCGCCTGCGGTCATGAGCTTGCATGCTGGATGTGTCAATCGCACGAGGTGAAATATAACGCAGCTGTTTGCATTGCGCAGCAAGCCATTTCATGCTCGTGTGCAGTGTGCAGAGGGCTGCAATGGCCTTTCGGTCGACAATGAGGTCTGCCTCTTCTAGACGAGTGTTTTTGATCTGCCGTAAGAGAAGTGCTGTCTCCTTCTCAGCGAGCACGATCGGATCACGAGCATCTCCCTTCGATAGCTCGATTACGACCTTGTTGACCTCGCCATCCGTGGCAAGGTGTGCGGCCAGTCTCATCTTCGCATTGCCGTTCTCGGCAAGGGCACGCTGTAGCAGACTCTTAGACCACTGGTAGCATTTGTCGTAGTATGACCGCATTTGCGTGATGATGAGCTGACTGAAGCTCTGGTCGTGAGGAAGACTGTCTAGCATAACACAGAAGGCCTGGATGAGCTCGTAGAAGCGAGCAGTACCCCTGAATATTGGCCGCTGTGCGTGCGTCTGCCATTTCGGATCTGCCTGGAACGCATCAATCTCCGTCATGCTGCGACTGCACAGGTCCAGCAATGTCTCGTCCAATTGTGGGTAGAAGACGTTAATAAGGAAGTCGTCAAGAAAGGACGTCAATGTGCTCGGCACAACACCAGAATGTGGTGGCACGACATCTCGCAGCCGTGTCAGGAAGTCTAGCGATGGCTTCAGTAAAATGCCCATGTTGAACACACTAGGTTCGACCAGCAGCTTGTGCCCGGTCGCTGAGATGTCTGTGACCGTATCGCGATCCTGCTTGGCATTTTGTGCATTACTACCAACCAGTCCAGGAACTGATTGTTTAAGTATAGCCTCAAGATCCTCGCGCTCTGTCGCGAGCTCGGGCGACTTGCTGTCGGTGTCCGTGAGCTTGAAGAGCCTGCGAGTTTTGTCACGAGGCTGAGGCTTGAAAATGTTCGTATTAGGGTCGTTCTCTTGCCGCATCCTTTGTTCGAGATTGCCATTCGTTGCCAGGTGGTCATGCAGAAGAGACCTTATCTCGCTTTGCAATAGTTTCCACAGTTCACGGAAGCTTCGATTCAAACCGGTCGATTCGTCGTGATCATCGCGTTTGATAATGGCTGCAGTCACGTCATAAAGAACGCGATGCCCTTCTGCGATGGCTTCGTATTTGGCGAACAAAGTTGTGAGCAGATCTTCGAGTGTCTCCTTACGCTCCCCGTCTGCTCCCCATGTGATTCCTGCTTTTCCGGTCTGTCCTTTTGTCGCATTTCGTGTGACAGACGGATGTCGTTGCTCGACTTCCATATGTGATCGTTCGACGACAGTGAACAGCTCCACCGGAAGTCGATGCTCGATTGCATCAACTGCATTTTCCAGCCTGTTCATGCGGTTGAGCGACTCGACGATTAATTGGATGTATGCGAACGTATCTGCTTCTGGGTTTCTGGTCGTATCCTCCAGCATCGGTTTGGAAGCGTCAAAGTTCTCGAGGAACTCGAACATGGCCCGCTCGCCATCGTCGAGTGCGGTGCTGGTTGTGTCCCGCCGGGTGTGTGCTTTCCAACGCTCTTCACAATACGGGCTCTTCAGATACAAATGGTTGTGCAGCTCCTCAATGAGGATATCTGTTAACGAATGTTCCTGGTTGCTCAGATATACCTTCAAATCACTCAGCGCACCAATCTCCTCCATTTCTGGCTTGCGCATCATTTTGAGCGCATCTTGCAGTATATCGACGGCACCTAAAAAGCGTTTCTCGGAAATCTGCGCTTCGAGCTTCTCTGGCACCTGCTGGAGTTGTTCTATCGTCCCCAAGACCTGTAACATCTGATCATAGCTCTGACTGCTTTGTGCAAATGCCTTCAGTTCCGGCCTGCCCGTCGCCAGACTACCTTTTGCTTGTACCAATCCCGCTCGCAATGTCCGCACTCGCTGTTGAGAGGTGTGTATCGCCGCCTGGATTTTGTGGAAAGTACCAATACTACTGTTGAAGCCTTGGTGGTGCTCATTGACAATGACTTTGAGTGCATTCTGCAGCTGGGTGTGCGCTTCTCCGAATTGCTGATACTGGTCGGCGAGACCCAGTGACGAGTTGTCCATTAATTGTAGGGCGACCTTGACGGGTACACAGCTGTCGTTGGCCATGAAGGCCCATTGTTGCTCGATGTAGCGGAGGATATCTGTTGGTCTGTTCAGCGCAGTCCATCGTCGGCTCAAATGGCTTTCGTCGATATCAAGAGCCATGATTGCGGTGCAACGACGCGCTCCTACTCGCGCATGACATGGAGCATTGGCAGCAAGTGGTCGGCGACATTGCGGCAGTCCGCACCCATGTTCGAGGGAAAGTCTAGGTTGAATACGCACCTTCCACCTGCCCACTTGCAGGTCCATAGCGATTCGCATTCACTCGACTTCTGCTGCGGCTCTGACTCTGCTGGCTGTAGCCGTATGGATCCTCGCGACTCCGTCCTTGACTGCGATCGAACCGGCTCGCAGGCTGCTGTCCTCTGGCAGATGCGCCCGCCTGGTATCCCCGCGGGGCTGGCGTACCCCTCGATCTACTCCGTTCAGCGTCGCTAGTCTCTCTGCTGCTGTCCTCGAAGTGGAAGCGGTGCAATGGCCCATCGCCGCCATTCAGGTAGCCATTGCGATGGGAGGACATGTTGCTGGACCGCCTCGAGTCCTGGCTGGCGGGGGATCAATATGGGTGCTATCTCGTCATCGTGTCGGTTGCGTATCAATGTTGATAAGTGTCCTGTAATTGCGAAATACCACTACGAATGCTCTGCCTATGCTGTTGCCGTTCTACTGACGAGCGCGCTTCATCCTCCTCCTCCGCGTCCTGCAAGGTTGCGCCCGTTCGTGCATGTGGCAGGCGGCAGCTCCCGAAAGAGCCTCATGCAGCCGAACTTCGTCTCGAAGCCAAAACGCGACCTTTGTTCGCGTTCGCAACTTCACATCGAACGACCTCACCCGCCCATCATCATCGCCGTCGCCACAACTCCGATCGCCTTCAAACAGTCTCGTCTCCCTGTGACAGACGACTCCGCGCCAAGCCGACATGCGGTAGAAGGTCAGCAAAGCTCAGCAGTGACATAGAGGGAGCTTTGCGCTTCCTCAACTTTTTGCCGACCTCGCCATGGCGGCCGTCACGAACGGCCACACGAATGGCGTCAATGGCCATGCCTCCGCACCTCTCTTCGAACGCTTCTCCGACGTGCCCACCGTCATCGATATCCCTGTGCGCGGCGAAGATGGCGACGAAGCTGTCAATGTCGACCTCAGCGACGCCCTTGACGACACCGGCGAGTTGTGCGATTTGCTGGAGAATGAAGGCGTCGCGAAGAGCTATTGGATCACTATCGCGCTTGCCTACGTCAAACAGAAAAAGCCGGACATGGCCGTTGACATTCTCAAGCGAGGGCTGGAGGCTTTGCGCGTTGGCAAGGATGAGGATCGACTCAGTCTTTTGACGTGCATGTGCTGGGTGTACCTCTGGCAATGTCGCCGCGCTCCTCGAGTGAAGCCAACCCAGCCTTCGGCCGATGAGCGCATCAAGGAGAACTGGTTGGCCCAGGCGACCAGCACCCTTAATGATGCGTCGCGTATCAGTCCTTCGTATCCACCGCTGTTTCTCGCCCGCGGGACGCTGTTATTGCTCAAGGCATCCTTACAAAATCCGAAATTCGGGCCTGGTGGTGATCACTCGGATCGCGCAGACACCTTGAAGCAGGCATCAAAATGCTTCGACGATGCCTACCGAACCTCTGGCCAGAAAAACTTGCTTGCTGTTATGGGAAAAGCGAAGGCACAATTCTCGATGAACAAGTTTGATCAGGCGTACATTCTTTACCAGCAGGTGTTGGAGCGCGCACCGGACATGATCGACCCAGATCCTCGCATTGGCATTGGCGCTTGTCTATGGCAGCTAGGGCACAAGGAGAACGCAAAAGAGGCATGGGAGCGTGCGTTGGAGCTCAATCCGAGGTCAACGATTGCCAACATCCTATTGGGAGTCTATCATCTCGATCAGTGCAGCCAATACAACTCCGCCGATCCGGCCTTTGTGGATACCTACAAGAGGGCAATGACCACATATACACAGACTGCCTTCAAGCTCGACGACATGCATGCGCTGACATGTGCCACATTCGGTGGGTATTTTCTTCTTCGACGCAACTGGGCGAACGTTGAGCGCCTTGCACGTCGCTCCATCGAGCACACCGACGTCAATGCGGTTGCTAGCGATGGTTGGTACTTGCTGGCGCGAAAAGAGCACTACGATGGTGATCTGCAAAAAGCCCAGGACTACTACAGCAAGGCCGACCAGGCCAGAGGGGGTGATGATCGAGGTTATCTGCCAGCCAAATTCGGCGCCGCTCAGCTCAAGACGCTGATGAACGATCTGGACGGCGCCAAATTCCGACTGGAGAAAATGCTTTCTACTAACAAGAGCGTGGAAGCCATGACCTTGCTTGGTATACTGCATGCCGAGGATGTTTTTGCGAAGCAAGCTACCGGCTTAAAAGAGGAACTGGCCGATTCAAGGAAGAAAGCCATTGCACTCCTAGAACAAGTGCGTGTCGCGTGGAAGGACTCTAAGAAGAAGATCTCCCCAGACTCGGCCGTGCTCTTGAACCTAGCCCGTCTGTATGAGCTTGATTCTCCTGACAAAGCATTGGCGTGCTTGCAGCATGTTGAACAGCTCGAGATCGAGGAAATTAGCGACAACGATCTCCCCGAAGGTCTTGAAGACGAAATCGCAATCGCGGCTGCAAAACGTGAGATGCTGAGTCCACAGTTGCTGAACAACATTGGCTGCTTCCATTTCCAAGCAGAACGATATGCACAAGCACGCGAGAACTTCCAGGCTGCTTTACGATCTAGTGTATCGATTAGCAACAAGGACGAAACGGTGGATACTGACGCCCTTGTTTCGACAATCAGTTACAACCTCGGCCGGGTGTACGAAGCAGAGGGCATAGAGGATGAGGCCGAAAAGATCTACAAGAGCTTGCTGGATCGCCATCCTGATTACATTGATGCTAACATCCGTATGGCGTGCCTTCAGCTGCGATCCGACCCGACGAAGGGCGCAGAGGCGATCAAACAGCTCCTTGACGCCGATCCAGGAAACTTGCAGGTGCGAGCTTTGTACGGATGGCACCTAAATCGCACGAAAAAGCGCACACTGGCTATCAATGAAGATCAGGAACAACGACATTACAAGCACACGCTCATGACATACGACAAGCATGACATCTACTCACTGACAGGCATGGGCAATCTGAACCTCGTCATTGCCAGAGAAATGCCTCGCGATACGGAGCAACACAAGGACCGCCGCAGCAAGACCTACCACCGAGCCATCGAGTTCTTCGACAAGGTTCTGACCCTCGACCCGAAGAATGCCTTCGCCGCGCAAGGCGTTGGCATTGGTTTAATTGAGGACCGTAAAGATACCTCGAACGCGATTCAGATTTTTGCCAAAGTGAGAGAAAGCGTGAAGGATGCCTCGGTGCACATCAACCTCGGACACGTCTTCTGCGAGCTCAAACAATTCAGTCGCTCTATTGAGAACTACGAACTGGCACTGGTGAAATCGCGCGAAAAGGACCCACACATCATGGCGTGTCTAGGGCGAGCCTGGCTAATGCGTGGTCGGGCTGAAAAGAATCTTGAACACTACAAGATGAGCTTGGACTACTCGCAACAGGCGCTGAAGCAGTCACCTGAAAACATCAACTTCAAATTCAACGTGGCATTTGTGCAGATACAGATTGCTCAGCAAATGATCACACAGCCTGAAGCGAACAAGACGCTGGTGGACGTGGAGGCTGCTAATCAAGGCTTGGATGAGGCAATTGAGTCATTCATCGCGATCGCAAAAGGACCCAATCCACCATTCCCAAGGCATGACATTGAACAGCGTGCAAACATGGGTCGCAACACGATGAAGCGCCAGCTGGCCACCGCGATCGAGAAACAAGCTGAGTACGAGCGCAAGAATGCGACGCGGCTTGAAGAGGCCCGCAAGCGCCGGGAAGAAGAGATTCGGAAGCGCGAGGAAGAGAAGCGCATCGCGCAAGAAAAGGCTGATGAGGAGAAGCGCAAATTGCGTGAAGAGCGTGAGCGCATCCAAGAAGAAGATCGTTTACTGATCGAAAAGCGTCTGAATGACGAACGCATTGCGGAAGAGGCACAGTATACCACTGACGAGGATGGGACTCGTAGGAAGCGAGAGAAGAAGCCCAAAGAGAAGCGACAGAAACGCAAGAAGAAGGGCGACGACACCGACACTGACGCTGACGTTGTGGCCGACGGGACTGGGGACGAAGGCAGACGAAGTCGCCATCGCTCACGCGCTACCAGTGCTACCGCCAGTGACGGCGAAGCACCACGAAAGAAGAAGAAGAGAAGACTCGAACGCAAAGGACAAGCCGTCAAGAGCAACTCCAAGTACAAGAGTGCCGAGACTGTGGAAGATTCAGACGAAGACGACGATGGCGGACTTGCAGCTCCCGGTTCGACACAGCCCAAGTCGGACGACGCAGGAACGCCTCGTGCAGATGTCGAAGACGATACTATGGCAGATGGTGGAGACGAAGACGACGAGCCTTCGGCTGCACGATCCACGCAACGGAGGAAACCTGCTCGTGTTCTCGACGACGACGATGAGGACGACGACGATGCAGCGGGCGATGGTGAAGCTGTTGCAGCGGGAGATTCTGATCATGGTGGGGATTAGGAGAAACTTGAAGCAGAATTTCCGGATAGTCCGCAGGCTTCACCATCATCAGGCTCACCATAGTTGACATCTGTCTTGTACTCCATAGCGTTGTGTACTTTTATCTTTTGAAAAAAAGCGAGAATGAATCTTGGCCTTACCTGCTTGGAATAATCCTTCACTTCATTCACAATGCTTCCCTCTCCAAGAACAATACTTCTGCCAAATTGACGCAAGTCACGATTCACCACTCTCACTTAATAAGTACGCACGAAAGCAACCGCACATGCGATCAGATCGCCACAGTGGGTAGTAGTATGGTAGTTTCATCTCATTTCCACATCCTGTGGAGTTCTGGGGAATGTTTCACTCGACGATTTGACAACTTCCGTTAGTGCGTGCAATTGCACGACAAATGAGATTCTCAGAACGAGCGTCAAGACTCGTGTTCGTTGACGGTGATGTAAAAGAGACTTCGCGTAGCAAAGTCTTGTTCAAGTTGGTCTCGGCCGATTGAGAGGGGCCGGTGGAGATGATTGTGAGACAAGCGCGGTGGCGGAGGGGCATGACGAATGTGCAGAAAATCAGATTGACGATGCACTGTGATGAGAGATATGATGGAACGCGGTTACTGTATTGAGAATTAATGTTGGGTGGGACTTCATGAGGTGAGTTCTCGGTTTTGAAGTGTGCGAAGAGGTGACGTTATGTTCTTTTCGTCGTGGTATCGAGTTGTGATTTTGTTTAAGTAATCATGATTTCCTTCTCTCTAGGCTATCCCTTCGGGCTCTTGCGCCCAACCCCATTCTTGCATCAGTTCCTCACAACGCGTGCCCGTCGAATGCCCCGTGTCTTGCTCAATAGCGCGCAGCAATTCGAGCACGACTTTCCTTTCGTCGTTCTCTTCTAAACATGCTCCTGCAATGGAAAGCGGTAGTAACATCTCCACTCGAATCGCAGGATGCGGTCTCCCCAGTGCGATACCAATGATCTCATGCGCATGTCTGATCGCTTCTGTGGAGACTTCTCTATAGGCTTTCAGACGATTTCGGAAAGCGCTGCGTTCGGTCGCTGTTGTTATTGGGCGATGAAGGAGGAGCAGGATTCGAGTGAAGTGGTATAATTGCATTGCGGCGGCGCATACATCAATGCTGAAGAATGCTTCGAAGAGTTGAGAGCGCATTGTTCGTCCTGAAGCGGGATGTCGTATGTGGGCGCAGGGTTGAAAAGTGTCTGGTAGGTTGCCGTACCAGTGGTCTAGCTGGCGCGTGAGCATCTCCCATTGTGATTGTCGAGCGCTCGAGTTTTCATCACTGGCGAGATAGTTCATGACTCGAAGCACAAGCCAGAGAAGTGTGTGTGCTACTAGCTCGGCCAATGCGCGGCTGTGCGTGGGATCGTTCTTGACGAAATCTGTGGACTTGTATAGGCTGCCATCTTGTTGAATTTCCAGCCCACAGCTATGCCATAATGCAAAGTCCTCGGTATTGAGAAGAGTCGTTTGCTTGTTGAGATAAGCTGCTTGATAATCTGCTCTTGCAAAGTTCCAAAATGAGGCCAGTCGTCCTACTGTCAGTGAGGGCACCACTTGATTCTGTACCTGCTGTGTCGGGCTCACTGCCCCAAGTAACGATTTCAGGCCCGCAAGATGTTGTAGCCAGCCAGTTTCTAAATTGTCCAGGGACTCGTACAGCGAAAAGATGGACACTGCGACCAAGAGGTCATCGGAGTTGGCCAACGAGACAGCCATCTGTGTATTGGGGCTCGGAGGATTACTGAGCTCACCAGATACTGCTTGTAAATATTGACGTGAGAATGCGATTGCTTTGTCGTAATAGTTTGCGGCCTTGTAAAACCAGTCCACTTCCGTTGTTCCATCATCGAGGACTTCCATAGCTGAAGGTTTCTGCGACTGTCGGCCTGTAAAGGGCTTCTGGCCTTTGACACGACCCAGCTGCTTCGCTGCAACTGCGGCTATGGCGTTACGTAATAGGGCATCTCTGAGAGCTTTGAGCGGTACTAGATGCGTAAAATGTTTGTCTCTATCAAAAAGATCCATCCTGATCACTCGTTAGTAAACACCCTCGACATGGTGAGTTGTACACTGACCAGGGACCTATCGCCTCCGTAAAGTGTCTTATCAGATAGGCCATTTCGTGATCTCGCTCGCTAGTGATTAGAGCGCTCGTGTTCAGTTGCGATTCGGGCGCCCATAGATTACTATCTGAGAATGATCCGGAAAATATTCCAGTTGAGAGTGGTGTTCCAGAAGCTGAATTGCTCAGCAGAATGTCACTCTGATCGACCTCATCCACAATTTCAGGTATGTTGGGCAAGAACCCGCAGGTATTGCCAGCAGCAGAGTAGTATGCGTCTGGCTGCAAGTCGAAGAACTGGGGGTCGAAATGCTCGTTTTTCCATAATTCGTCTAGCATTGCATCGTCAGTCGTGAAAGCCACCTGCATAGGCGGCTCTGAAAGGAGCATTGCGTCTGCGGGCTCAACATGCGGCGCTGCTACGTTTGGGAGAACTGTGCCGCCAGGCCCAGTGCGCTGTGCGAGTATGGCATGGCTCGGTGTGCCAAACGTAGGAAGTGCAGGCGAAGCTTCAGTCTTTCCTGGTGTCCCGAGCGCTCCAGGTAGGTTGTTTGGCACTGCTATGGCCGGCGACCCTGTGCTGAACTGCGCATGATCGCCATTACTACTTGCCTGGGCAACTGCAGAATTGGGGTGCTGAGGAAGTGTCAGCGCAGCGCGGTGATTTGACGTGCGAGATCCATGCTCACTGGAGATGAAATAACCTTGTCGTCGCCTGGAGGCCGGTCGCCCGAGCTTTGGTACTTCTTTCGCAGCGTCACGCCCTCATCAACGAACTTGCGTTTCTTGTCGTAGCCTGGGCATGGCTTGCCCAGCTTCTCACATCGCAGACATGTCGGTTGCGTTTTGTCGCACTACCAGAAGGTGTAAGCGGAGGCTTCCCAGCGAGCATGTACAAGCTCCTGGCTCATCCGAAGACTTCTGACCTTTACGCGTCGTTCTCTGCACCTATCGCAGGCCCGTTCAGAGGGTTCTTGGGCCATTTCCAGCGTTGATCGCCCAAAGCAATCTCAAAGTGCCCGAAAAGCCACTCATGGAGGGTTCAGCAGCAAGTATACCGTCTGAGGTCCTTTCGCACACCGCCGCGCCGCTGTTGGGGGCATTCAGCTCAATTGCGTCGGCAAGAGATCCATGGACGGGAAGTGTCGAATGGCGTGAGAGCTTTCAAGTGCTGATTCAGATGCAGCTTGTATGCAGCACGCATCGCCGTGGCTAGACCGAAGAGCGTTAGACGACGAAAGCTGCGCCAAGAGCGGCGTGACGGTCGTTCTGGACCGAAAGCTTGCTGACTTCCGTCATCGCAACACCCACGCGAGCCACTCTCTCTGCATGGACGGCGACGCGGCGATCCAGACTTACTCTTCTGTCGCCGACGTTTCATGAACCACCGCTGGGTCCTCCTCTCTTCCCAGCCACCACGAAACAGGGCCATGCAGCAATAACAGCCATGAAGATCAAACGCGTACGTATGCTTCTCCAACACCACTGGCTGACCGTGCTTCGTCAGCGTCGTGCTTGGTAGACTGACAAGCATCACATAGATTTTCATATACCCAGTCAAGTCGTTGCGGCCCGTCGAAGTGAATGCCGCAGAAATCACAAATGAAGGGCTACGCTTCGATCGCCAGTATGTTCTCGTCAAGCCACCCACCGAGGAGACCAAGGGACTGGCAGAGCACATAACCATCAAGAACCACTTCGAGCTGGGCTTATTCCATACCATGATCGATAAGGCCTGGTCAAAGCTCACCATCACGCACATTCATGCTGAGGAGAGATCAGCCATCACTATTCCGCTCACGCCGTCTCCCGTCAGCTTGTTCAACTCGGAAGTATTCCAAGTGAGCATTTTTGGCACCAAGGCGCAAGGCATTGACATGGGAGACGAAGTGTCACAGTACTTCTCACATCACCTTGGAAAGCAAGTGAAACTACTCTACATAGGTGGAAATGGCCAACGTGAGATTCCCGGAGCTGTTTTCATGCCCAAGCACAAATACCGAGCGCTGTCCATCGCTGTCAACGACAAGCTACAACCACAGAGAGTGCGTTTCGCGGATGCAGCACCACTGCTCATCACTTCAAGTGCGTCAGAAGAAGACGCAAGACAGAGATTGCCACCCTCGGCGCGAGGCGAAGACCTGATCGTACGATTCCGGCCGAACATTCACGTCGATGTGGGGAACGAGGTGCCGCCTTACGACGAGGACCGCTGGGATCTGCTAACAATCAGATCTAAAATTGATCGGGCGCAAGAGGTGTCTGTTCGCTGTCTATTCCGAACTGTACGCTGTTTGAGTCTGAACGCCGACTTGACCAAAGGCAGCATGATCACTACGAATCGACAACTATACGGGCTACTCGCAAAAGACCGCAGAGTGAACGAGCTTTTCCCACGTAAGCTGCGATGAAACACAAATTTATCCGCAGTTGTGTGAATGTGACGCTGACTTTGCATAGATAAGCCCGTGTTTGGTCAATACGCATGCGCAGGACCCAGCGGCGCCGTGTTGCGCGTCGGTGACGACGTCGAAATCACGGGGCGTGTCAGCCATCCTCTCTCGCCAATGAGCCCGGGTTCTCCCATCACGCCCATCATCAAGGATGAAGACGATACGTGAACCTCCATCGTGAAAATACGACTATGCATATTATCACACAGAGGTGTTCAGCCATGCTATGGCGTTGCATGCCCACCAAGTTTCCTCTGTTGCCCTGCCATCTGCGTGCTGCGCGACTTAGCCTGGCCATTGGAATCGCACAACTAGAGCCACATGCAACCACTTGGTCATCAAAACTGCGCTGGCCAGCGCGCTTGCAAAATGGAATCGCTTGGTTTCCAGCAGGAGCTCGTCAGCAGAATCGGCCTCAAGCTCGAGCTCGGTGTGTGTTTCCTATTGCGGAAGCTTTTGAGCGAGCTACCTCCCTCTGACAGCTCCAATGCTGGTACTCGAACAGCTGGGCGCTTTCTACACGGGCGACATCGGCGCCAACGTCATACGACAAAATGCACAGCGTGTCGACGACAGGGATGTCCCAGCCGAACATCATCAAGGACGTCCGCAGCACGTGCGACTTGGAACGACAAGCCTTTGGACAGAAGAAAGCTGTCCCGTGACAGCAAAATTTGGTGGTATTGTGGTCGTAAATCGTGATGCTACAAAAGATCAAATGATATATCGGAATTGTTTGTTCTGTCAACAAGTCAGCAAAAACCCTCGAGCGAGACTGGCCGAAGCGGAGACAAACGACTTTATCTGTTGGGTCCTCAAAGGCATGATCAAAGCCTTCATGCACTCCTTCTCTGTCTCGTTTGCGATTATCATGCTGGCATATGAGACGATATATCACTCCCATCACGCCAGTCGCTGCTGCTGTGACGAAGGTGATGATGAAACCAGTGGAATACTTTGGTTTCTCGTGATCCAGGAACACGAGCGGTCCAACAAAGTTCCCGAGACAGTATCCAATGTAGATACCTGATGACGCCAGGGCACGTTTGGTATAGCCCGCGGTGTTGGCGATTTGGAGACCCATCAGTATAGCGTAGCTGCGGGTCACAGGTCAGCAAGCGCCCGAGACACGATTAAGTATTCTCTCTTGGGATTCAACTTACGTGGCACCAGTGCTGGGCAAAATATACAAAGCAAAGAGCAGACCACCTTGTGCATCTCGCGGCAACTGCCACAAAAGGATGGCGGAAAGTGTCGTCATGAATTGTGCCGCAACGATCAGCCAGGTCCGGATATGGTCGAACTTCATGGCGCAATAGGTCGAAAGCAAGATCAATGTGCCCGCATACGCTGCCGCCGGCATAGTGAGCAGTAGCGAAGTCAGCGAAGAATATCCCCATCCAGAAACAACCACGGGCATGAATGTCGACACGGCTCCATTGTTAACCATGCCGAATGCCGCCATGAAGAAGACAAGCCAGAATTTGAGATCGCAGAGCAGTTCGATTACTTGGTCCTTTTTCCAGGTCTGGTTTCGAATGCCGGAATTGTTTGTTCGCATACGAGCAATCAAAATGTATCGCTCGCGGTCGCAGAAGAAAGTCGCACGGATGGGATCTGGTTGCAACACGAATAAGGTTGCAATTCCGAGAACAATCGTACAAGCTGTGCGCAGAGTCAGCTCAGATCGACACGAAACTTTCCTCTGGGAACCTACCTCCAGCAAAGAAGTACATGTACGTCCAATTGGATAGTGAACCTTCGATATGACCCAGGCCGTAGTTGATTAAAGGCGAGAAGATCGAGACGTATCCCGTTGTCGAGTACCAGATCCCGATGCGCAACGCCTGCTCGTTCTTCTTGTACCACGAACCGCAAATCATCATCCACATCGGCGACACTCCAGCTTCGAGAAACCCCAGGAAGAATCGCTGCGTATACAGCCCCTTATAGGACACGCAAGCCGGCGCAGTCAGAACGCAAGCTCCCCACAACACGACAATGGCAGCCGCAACCCGTTCGAGGGGATACTTCTGAGCCAGAAACATCGCAGGATACGCACCTTCACAACGGCGCATTAGTATTCAACAGGACCAATCCAGGAACAAATCTCCCTTCATCCAATACGATAATGCTCACCAGCCATAAACCCCAAATAAAAAATCGCCGAAGCCATCGAAAACCTCGTCCCCCGATTCAGCCCCAAATCCTCCTGCAACCCAAACAAAGCCGCCTGCGAAATCATCGCTTTATCATAATAATGCATCCCATAAATCAGACACAAAATCGGCATCAAACGAAAATCCACTTTTCGTTTCAATTTATTCTCTTCATCTTCCGTCCAGCCTGTCAGATGCGGATTCGCAGCGCTGTAATTGATCAGAATTTTCGCGGCTTCATCGTCGGGGTTTAAGAGGACGTCGAGTCGGAGGTTGAGTTGGTCGACTTCGGCTTCGCGGATTATGCCTGTTGTTAAGCCTTTGGTGTCGGAGTTCATCTCATAGTCCATTCCTTTTTCTGTTTTGTTTGCATGATCGAGGGGATGCTTTGTGGATGTCGTGGTGTTACACGGTGTGGAGCGAGGATGCGATCGATGCTGGTATAGTCGAGGATCGGATTAGGAAGATCGATGGAGTCGGTTTCTTCCCATTGCGGAAGATGGGGAAGGTCGAGTGGAGACAGAATACAATGCAAGGCAATATATTTCGAGAGGGACCGTGCTTGCTCGTGCGCGCGCGAGATGGGCTGGTTTTACACAAGAACTATTTAAGACTGGACTGGACTGGGCACTGGACTGTTCTTGCTGAAACGAGCACGTGACGGGTCAACTTCGCCGAATGTATCGTGGTCTTTTATGCACTGTCGGAGCGGATAAGGCTACGACCGCTAGGAGTGTTAGTATGTGTGAGTTGTTTGGTCCGCGCTGCTTATCACTTGTGATGTTTGAGATTATGAACAGGGGACGGCGGACTTGCCGAAAATTTCTCCCTTGATCCTGGTTGGCCTCCCTAGGCTGCCTAAGGTCTTAGGGGCTAGACTACAGAGAGACAATTCGCCTGTTCATCACATCGCATCACCATTTTGGACTTTCGGAGATGTGTCCGTGGTTGTTTCTCTGCTTTGTGGAGCGTTCGATGGCTATCGTTTGCATCATCACTGCTCGCTTCACCCTTGAAGACGATCGATCAAGACGGGCTTCGGCAGAATCTGATCGAGGTCCTGCGGAGTAAAAGCAGATTGCCGACTACGCAATATGTCAGACTCATGATGCGAGATGATACGACGGTGTGTATGGCACACGGACATCAGGTATCCTCCGGCTTTCATGACCCAAAAGACTGACCGGCCCCGTAAATTTCTTCTCCTATTATGCCTGGTCTCACCAGCGAGAAACATGTTCGTGACTACTCAAAGTGCCAAATGATCGACATCGGATCGATCATCATTCACTGCAGCGCGCAGCAATCGATTGTCTCTCGATCGCGTACAGTATTGTTAAGATGCAGTATACTTCCGCTTAAAAGCAATCTTGAACATTGTCCAGGACCAACTCACATCATATCATGTATACTCAACTAATTTGCGTTATACTATGTATACTCTGCCTCCTCGCGGATCGCATAAGTATCAACTTTCCCGTTTAGTAATTTCGGCGGAATGCTGCTCACCCGCATCTGAACGAAGCCCCGTAGGAACGATATCACAATGTCCAGCGGATCCTCTACTCACTCCAGCGGATCCTCTACCCACTCGAATAACTCCGCACAACAGCTACCTCAACCACAGCAAAACATGAACGGCCCCGGACCCTTCATGTCGATCGGCCGCGGCGGAATCACCATGATCTCACCCGGTGGCCGTGGAAGAGGCAGCCAAATCATGACAATCGGCGGGAATGGATTCATCAACCCGCCTGGTAGTTCTATCATGCAAATTGGAAGCCCCGGCCGCGGCGGAATAACGATTGTGTCAAATGGTGGCCGTGGCAGAGGAAACAATAGTGTATTTCCGGGCGGAAGCAGCGTAAATTTTGGTCAAATCCAGCAAATCGCCATGCCAAATCCGATGACGGGAGCTGGTGGTGGCATGTTTATGAGTATGCCAGGTATGACCATGTCCATTCCGTTTCAAGGAGGACAGGGCGTGGGGTTAGGTATGGGATCTGGATCATCGGGTTCCGCGAGTGCAGGCTCGACGACTTCAGGTTCTAGAACATCAGGTTCTAGGACATCAGGCTCGAGGCGAAGTGCAAGTTCGAGAGCTCCAAACTCTGCTGGTGCCGGAAGCGTTTACGGAGGTTCTCAAGTTCCATTCGGTCGAGGCGGCGGTGGTGCTCCGGCTGCACCGTAGTTTTGCTTCTCGTCGAGCCGGTCATCTCAGCGAACCTCTACCAGAGTCAGCCACGTAGAATGAAAATTCGCTTGAGCAATGCGGGAATCAGTGGAGTTTGTAGAAATACTTTCGAGCATAGCTCAGAAAGAAGAAATGATATCATCATCAAAACACGTGAGATATCTACAACAGAGTGCTCAGCCGCCTACGTTCCTTGCAGCGCAGCCACAGCCTCTTTCTGAGAAAGACCAAGTGTGTTGGTGAGGTATTCGAGTCTGTCACGGGAAAGTCAGCAAAATTTCGAGCTTCACCATCAGGTATGAGGAAACAACTTACTGCGCAGTCCTCGCGATTCGCTGCTGCACACTCTCATACTCCTTCACACACTTGTCCCAAATGATCTCTCGCTTATCCGGATCGACAGTTTTCACGCGCAGCCGTAGCCGCCCACTCACGGGCCGGTGATCGCTTACTCGGATCTGATCCCATCTTCGATACTCCTCCATCTTCACTTTGCCCAGCCCGCGATACAGAATCCGATCGCACCAAGCCGGAGATCGGCGCTTCTCCGAAGTGTCGTATTCGTCAGTATGAACATTGTATTTGTAAGTGGGCGCGAACTTGATCGTGTTCTCTTGGAAAGCTCGTAGACGGAATCCAGGATTCTTCCTTCGGCTAAGAAGAAGTTGATCGCGCTCGAGTAGTCTGGCGAGATTGCCTTGCTGAATGTGTTTGATCACACTGTCACGGCCCATCGTATCGATGCGGTAGTTGAGGTCTCCATTCAAGATGCAAATCTCGTGATCCATGACCATGCTACCATCGCCGCCAGACGCGAAGACATCGCTGTGCTCAGCCGTCTCGCTAGAGTTAAGCGGATAAGACGGCAGTGTGCTCGACTCCAGGATCTCGGCGATGTCATTGTTGCGATGCATGGTTTGCGTCTGCCCAGCCGCCAGATGGCAATTGACCATACAAATACTGCTGTCGTCAAGAACCATGCGAACAATGATAGCGCCTTTGTTACCATGATGACCACCCATGCCACGTTTGACCTCCGATGCATGCACATTGCGTATTCGATTTCGTTCCGTGGATCTCACAAAGATGCATGTGAACAAGCCCACCATGCTCGCCGTATGAAGCAGTGTGTAACTTGTGTTGGTAGGCATGAAATCGTCAAGACATTTACCCAGGTAGTCTCGCCACGCACGGTACTGATGTGACATGTGCTGCTGCTCGTCGGGCTCCTTCTTCTTACTCTTGAAGAATGACTTCGCCGTAACTTTCTTGTCTTCCAAATCGACAAGTTCTTGGAAGCCGAAGATAAAGATGTCTGGCGCCTCGCGAGCAGTAAGGTAATCTCGGAAGAAGTTATTATCTTCTTTCGTATGTGATAAGTGGCTTGGTTTGCTGGCACCTGCATTCCAAGTAAGCACCGCTGCTGTGAGCTCCCGAAAGTTGCAGAACTCGGAGTCGCGCGATTGCATACGTGCTTCGAGCCAGTCCTCTTGCAGCATCCCGTCCCAGATTCGTAACAGGTTGTCAAGACCCAGTGTGATCACATTTAAACGACCCATCTTCCACATAGCAGAAGGGTCGGCGATTATGCTGCAGATCTGCTTCTCGTGCGCCTTCCAGTCCTTTTTCACGACCCAAGGAGTCGTTGACGTGTCATAGACATAAGCCATACCTGTGCTATAGCCAGCCCAGAGATATTCGCCAACGCCAGCCATGCAGGCAATGCGGTAGACACTCACGTTCACCACGGCCTGACACGAAAAGTCACGCCTGTTGTATATGCTGACCTTCCCATCGGAGTGTCCAAAATATATGAGCTCCTGGCGATGGTCGAGAGCGGCCCCAGCAGTCACATCTCCAGTTCCTGGTTGTGACAAAGGTTGTCGCGTCAGCTGAAATTCAGCATCTGAAAGTGCTCCGGGCGCGAAAACTCGGATGTCCTTCCCCGTTGCTATCCAAAGCTGTTTCCCGCAAGCAATCGAGAATGTGTGTCCTTTTGGGACTCGCCAGTTATTGTATTGGGAATCCAGACTCGGCATGCCCTTATTCCCTGGCTTCCACACCAAAAGCTCACCGCTGTCATCCAAAGTCCACAGCTCTGATGCATAACGGAACATGCGTATCACCTCTCTTCGTGTATGAGCAGCAGATCTCGATTTGACAATTTGCTCTGAAGGCACATCAATTTCGTGAATGTCGCCAGAATTTGTTCCAATCCAAATGCGGTTGCCCTCGCCCTCGATAGCGGGAGATGGCTTGAATACGACTGAAGTGACCTTGATGTTCTCTCGATGTTCCATGTGCAGCAATTGTTCTCCGGTTTGAAAATTCCACACTTTGGTAATATATCCAGTGGTACATATGATCTCACCACAGACAGCAAACAGGCGTGTATCATACTCGGTCGGAATCTGCCAGGGTCTCGACTTGAATTTAGGGGCCCGTCGGTTTGCCCTTGTTCCGTCGGGGTATTCCGAAAATGCCATTCCTTGCTCGCTGCTAGAAGGCGGAATGACCTCCTCTTGATCGTCCTGTCCACGATGAATTACGGCAGGGGGCGGTGGAGGAGGCGGCCCTCGTCTTGTGTCGAGTGACCTTCTCGCATCGACGGATCTCCGGGGTGCAGGTATTGCAGGAGGCCCGGTAGGAGTCGCTGAAGCAGGTGATGCCGTTGAAGTGCTGAACCCTTGCGATAGCGCTGATTTTGTGTTGATCTTCATCGCAGGTATCGCAGATATGCGATTTACAGTGTCAGGTTCGGGTTTGATTGGTGCTCGTCTTAGTGCATCCACAGATCGCTTTGGTGGAAGCATTTGCTGTTTGAGTGGACTAGTTCTTCCAGATCGAGGTTTCGGGGGACTCGTCCGGCCTGATCTCGTCTGCAACTCAGGCCTGGCGGGCATCCGGTTAGAATGGTCCTGGAGGTTCTCCGACGATCTTGCCTCCCCGCGGTTAATGTCTCTGTACCTCGCAGGCATTGTAGGGGCTCGCTGGATGGACTTAGGTTCTTGCTCCCGCGCAGGAGGCCCATTTGGCCGCGGAAACCAGTTGTCGGGCAAGGAAGACGGCTCCACGAATGATGCGCTTGACGCATTGGATTCGGCTCGGCCACGCTCTGTCATCGAGGCATCCGAATCTCCGCGTATCCGCTGTACCCAGGAAGCATCCGAGTCGGCTCGGATGCGATTCACAGCTGAAGTGTGAGAGCCTCCAACGTTCCGTTGGTGCCCATTCTGGCCTGGAAACCTGGCAGGTGAGGACTGGCCACTGCTTGGAGGTGTTGTGAAAGGCGAGGGAGTCTTCTCGGTAGCTTCTGCTTTCGATTCGGGGGCTGTCAGGTTACTCGACTTCTTCGCCAGAACTGGTGGCTTGACAGGCACTTTCGGTTTCGCCGCTCGATTGACTGCGGGAGGTCCAGTGGCAGTCTCTGGTTTGGTGTCAGATTTCGGCTTATTGCCTGGAAGTGGAGGCGGAGGAATATCTTCAGCCGCGGGTGTCTTGGGCAGGTCGGCAGCTTGTAAGAATGCGCTCATGCGTGCCTCCAGAGCAGGAGTTGTAGCCCTGCTGATAGCCCTCGCGTGACCTTTGCTAGCCGATTCGCCAGTACGGTCCGGTGTGAGAGGGGCCACATACGGACTGCCAGTTGCCGTACGGAGGTCCAACGAGCTCGTCTTGTGCGGTGATCGAGGCGAGTTGATCTTGAGCAGCGGCGGGGAGGGTTTCGTGGGAGTGACAGAGGCCATGGACTGAGGCCTGTGCGCCGGACTGACAGACCTCTGCAGACGAGCAGGCGCAACAACGGGTCTCGCGCCCAGATCCGCACTCTTTCTCCCTCCCTCTGCGATCGTCGGACGGCTCGGAGGTGTTGTCCCGTTCACGCCCAGCATGGCAGGACCGGCGCCCACTGGCGTTGTTGTTATAGCATCCTGCTCTTTGCCCATACTCTCGAATTTGGCGCGCAGCGACGACATGGGCTTGATCGACGTCGTGTCGGGACCATCTTCCGCGCGGTCCATGGTGATGACGCTGCCTGGGTGGAGGGCGAGGGTGAGGTGTTCCAGGCAGGCTCGGTCAGTCGCTGGGAGGCAGCAGTGCGTCTGCCATGTGGTGGAGGGTTGTTGATCGCGCGTCGGGGTCCATCAAGTAGTCAACAACAGGTGGTGTCTGAGAAGTTGGCTTTTCTGTATGCCTGAAGAATCACATCACGATGCATGCCGGCTCAGGCCATTCCTGCACGCTCACTCATCCCTGCCAGGCACGCTACAGCCACCTTCGTCTTGTTGACTGACCGTATTCGCCTACCACTTGTTGCAATGGCACGATATGGCCGTGTAGAATGCCGTCCGGAATAGCGGCAATGTCCCTGCTATGCACCTCGACAACAGCGCCAACAAACAAAGGCAACAAGTTTGCATTCACTTTTGCGTGCGTCAGTGACGCGCGGTGTCGATCCCTGTCAGGTGAAACTCAAAAGCCTGGAGAAAATGGCGTGTTTCAGGTGCGCGTGGGCACAGATCGTCTACCAAACCCGAAACTCTTCCACCCCTCCACATCCCATACTGTGCCGCAAACCACCAATATGTGGTAGGTCGAGCAGGAAGACGGTAATTACTGGTGCAATAAGTACTGACTCCCTCAGCAAACACATTCTCAACGCACAGGTCTCCATCCGCTCGCCCTGCTGCAAGCAGTGGTTCGACTGCGCCGAGTGCCATGCCGAGACACAGGACCACAACCTAAAGCAAACCATGGAAATGGTTTTCGCATGTAAAAAGTGCAAAAAATGCTTCCGCAAGGATATGAACGAGTTCGAGGACAGCGACGAATACTGCCCGCATTGCGACAATCACTTTGTTATTGAGGCGAAAGAACCAAAGGCGCGATTGGAGGTGGAAGGAGAGGACATCAGAAAAGATGCTAGGATGATCAAGGACGAGCGTGTGAAGCCTAAGCCTGACCTAACCATATGGGATGATGAATTGGAGGCTGCTAGATTGGGCTGAGGAGGCGGGAATGCGACCGCACACATTCTACGAGTCCGACGAAGAGCGGATGGGATAGAAGGCTCCGGTCGAGTGAGATCGAGCATACTATGCTACAGGCAAGATATGCTGCACAGAGGGCGCATGATCGCACCGTGCTGCTATCACAACCTTGGAACATTCGCAAGCACTACCGCCGCGACAGTCTCGAGCCGGACAGATTTAACAGCAAAACCTGTACAATTCGACTTGTGTTTTCAACTTAGCGGAGCTCTTCATCTACCAAAATAGGTACGTCGAGCAAGCTGCACCGAGATGAGACTGGAGTCATACGCTCTCGCTATCACCACTGCCTTTGCCCTTCAGCAGCCACATTCTCCCACTGACGCGAAGTCCAAACGCATCAACTGCCCAGATCAGCCCGGCACCATCGTACGCCCGAAGCCCGTATCACGCATCACCATGCACAAAGTCCTCACGATCCGGCCAATAGCTATGGGTCTGCATGCGGCATCGTGCTCTTTCCCTCTTCTCCAATCACTTCAACCGCCTTCTGCGACGTTTCGATCTCTTTGCGAAGCCAGTCTCCGAAGACACCATCGCCTTTGACCTCAACATGCCCCGCCCGCTGAGCAAGATCGATCAAACATCTCAACTTCCTGCCATAAGCGAAACCCATCTCCTTGCTTTCGCTTGTAAAAGTCTGCTCCCAGCTAGGATTGTCGCGTGGTACGATTAGCACCAGGTTCACCGGGGAAAGGTAAGACAGCTTTACTGGCGTAGGACGAATATCTCGGGACAGATCAACGTACTTGACGACGACTCGAACGTCTCGTACCTGCTGAATGGTCTCGCGCGACATGAGCTGGAGAGCATCGAGCAAATAGTACAGAGTCCCGAATCGAAAGCCATTCTGGCCATAGAACACCGGCAGCGCCTCGTGATGGACCTGCTTCGAAACGCGCAACAACCCGAGCGTCGTGGTAAGTTTCTCGACTGGGGTGTAATTCGCTATCGTCTCTGCAGAGGCCTGGAATGTCGGCACATCTGCATCGTCGCGAGGCCGCAGCATGGTCTTGTCAAGGAACTCGACATCCGGGTTTCGGAAGATGACGTGCCTAGCACGCGTAAAGCCAGGCTTGGGATAGACCATGACCATCTTGTAGATTTTCTCGCGAAGCTCCGGTGGCAGCCCCATGAAGTCGAAAGCTCCCTGTCGTGGAGGCTCCAGGAGCTCCCGCAAGAAGCAGCGTGCCGCAGCATTAGAGATCGTGAACTTGTCTTTGGTAACATCTGGATGGTCCTGGTCGGCCGGGATACGCGTCAACGGCAGATCAAAGTGTTGCACAGTACGATAAATGTCGCCAATTACGCCGTACATGCGCACATTGTCGTCGCTCGCGTAGTTGTATTCAATGCTCTTTTCGGCATTCAGCTGCGTGACAAACTCCACCAAAGCGTCCTCCCCATAGTAATCGAACTGTTGGAGAATCATGATATGAATCCTCTCCACAGACCACGGTCCCAAGTCTCCGATGACGAGAATCATGACGATCATTTGGCCAAGTGTGAAAGGTGGTTTATCCTTTCTGCCACGCCAAGGTAGCAGCAACTCAAGTACCTCGTCCTTCAAAGGACGTAGAGGAGCGGTATGATGGAATTTCAGACCTGCTGCCACAGCACGCGATGGGATTGTCGCCACAGCGGCGCTGTCCGCCTCGACTGTAGGCGGTAAGCTGTCACCGGTACTCGCCATGATGATGTGTTGCGAACAGATTGTCCAATGTTTCTTCGTGTTTCAATCGATGCAACTTGTGGGACTCGATGTGTGACTGAGCTGCAATCGTTGGATTCTGGTCGGCCAGAATCGTTGAAGCCTTTGCTGTGTGGAGAGAGATGTTGTGCTTGGTCGAGGTCGAGGCCAATTTTGAAGTCGAGGTAGAGGTCGAGCAGGTAAAGGTAACACCAGTGAATATACAATCGTCAGTCACCAAAGAGTGAACAAGCGCGTGCACCAATTCACCGAAGGCAAGAACATTCAATCACTTAATTACTCAATCACTAGCGAAGGCACGTGCCTGACTTGGGAGGTAGGCTTGAGAAGAAAGCAGATTGAAATTTACAGTACCGATCCTCAAGTCATGGTCTTACAGCTCGTATGCAGACCATGTCTACACGCTGTCGCTATCACTGCCACCCTTGCTCGTCGAGACACTATCGACTCTCTTCGCACTCGCATGACCGGACGTCGCAGCAGCAGAAGAACGTCTTTGCCGGCGGGACATCAAAGCCCAAATCAGCAGAGCCACAAGTCCAACAACGGCCAATGTGACCCCAGCACCGATGCCTCCCGCAGCGGCAGCTGACAGCCCACCCCTTCCAGAATCCCCTCCAGTCGCTTGTTCCTGCTGCTGCGTCTCAATTGTAGCATTAGCAGCAACACAGAACTCCGCCAAACTCCCACATGTTTGACACCAATCTCCCACACTCAGAACCGCTTTCTCTTCCATCATCTCCTTGAATTCACCAAATCTCATCCCACCCACATCATCCACACCTTCCAGGCCTCCAAGTGTCCAGCTTGTCAGATCATCTCCCTCATCTGTCCCGTTGCGGAACAGAAATCTCACTCTCAAATCTTGGTCAACAGTGCCACGCTCTGGAAGCTCTGCATCGTCTGCTTCGGAGTACAGCTCAAACGCCATCGAGGCAGCATAATCTGGTAGTCCTCGGAAATCTGGACTTTGAGACGGAAGCTCCGTGAGGCCGAAGAACGCAAGAAAAGTGTCGTAGGAACCTGTCATGAGCGAGAATTTCGTAGCAGCATTATCTTCAATGACGGATGTGAGCTGGCGGAGGATACCGCCAAGGAGAGTGGAACCACTGATCGAACGAAGCGGTTGCGAAGGGGAGTAATTCATGTCTATGATCGTCAATCAATACGTTTGCTCTCCAGACCAAGAGGTTGGAAAAGAACTTACTCCACTCCCACTCATCAGCCAACCACTTCGCCCTCGCCAAATTGTCTTCCGAGATCTGATCCGCAACACCACTACTGATGTTCTGAGTCTTCGCTGTATTCAACAGATCGAAAACATCATATGCCTTCGCGTAAGAAACATTCTCCCTTCCTAGAATCGGCCCCAAAAGATCCTCAAACTGCGCGTAGAAGTCTCTTGTATTTCCCAGCGTAGCTTTGTATTCTTCCGAATCACGATACGTCCTCGAAGCAGCTGTGTAAGCAGGACACTCATCGTCGCCTTTCAACCAAATCATATCCGGAGCATTGTCTGCTTCGCCATGAATATGAACATATTGGTAGCCGTCCAGAGGAGCGTCGCTGTTCGCTTCAGATGACGACAGTGTGCTCAGAGGAGGATAAAGTCCTTGGAGGAAATTCTCTGCGGTTTGATACAGGACTGGTTGATCGGGCGCCGAGGACCAGATTTGAGTGTGATCGACTTGGTTGGGGGAAATGTCGCGGATTTGGGAGGTTGAGTTGGAGGAGATGTAGAGATTGCGGTAGAAGGTGCCGGAATTGTAGCATTGTTGTGCTCCGAGAGAGGTCATTTGGTAGTTGGGAAATACTTTGGAAGTTCCTGGGTGTGATGGAAGTTAGACTTTTGCTTGAGTTTGGTGGTGGTTGGTGGGTGAGGAACTTACGGTCGCCATGACGGCTGAAGACGAGGACGCTGTGTACGGTTCGGCACAGGACTGGACTAGCCAGGGCCGTGAGAACGAGAACGTATTGGGTCAGCATAGCTAGAGGAAGGTTCTGGCTTGAATGTTGTTGCTGGTGCAGCTGTCACCAAAAGAAAAGAGGATAAACCGGGTCTTCCTTCACTATATGTGCTCTGCAAATCTCCTCATGGCACAGCATCTCCGCTCTCACGATATACTTGCAGCTCCTCGTCCACTCGTTACGGCGATCGTCGGCGGCCAAGCACGTTGCAGCCTGGGCAAGGAACCTTGGCGAGAGAAGTGAATGATAGCTCTTGTTCGTTGATTGTGCATGTTAAGACATAAGTATTGAATCTTGATTGAAGTTGCTGACACATGAGCACGCATTGTCGTGTATCTGTTGACCTTACAACCGAGACCCAGGTTACTTGTGTATCAAGACTGATGCTGTTGGATTTTGGCCAAGTCCTGATAGCTCGCTGCCCCGCACCACAAAGAGAATTCTGTACCAATCGGGAAAGCAGCACCGAGCCACCGACGTTTCGTGCACCACTTGAATCTCACGCCGGCAGGGACAACGGGCAGAGCTGTATATATCAGTCACTGGGTCTTGTAAACTTTGTGGAGCTTGCTGGGCAACAATGGGGAATTTGAGCTGCAAAGGACCTAAATCAATCAGCCATCTACTTATGATCTCAGCATTCATCGTCCGCTATTGATCATCCTCCAAGCCAACCATCTTCAGCGAATCCTTCCACAGTCTCTTTTCCTTCTCCTCGTCATACGCCCAAGTCTGATAACCATCATCATTCGTAGCCAGCGCACCGCCTGCGGAGGCGAACGGCTTCTGCTCGACACAGTTGCTCAAATACCTACCACCCTTGTGCTTCCACTCCTCGCTCAAAGCTGCGTAAACCGAAGTGGCAGCTCCTTGCGCTGGAGATTTCATATAATCCATGACTTCCTTGTTGCCCTCATACTGCTTCATCATATCGGCTACGTGTACTTGGAGGCCAGTCACAATACCGCCTGGGTGGAGGGAAGTGCTGTGTAGGTTCTTGGCTCCGTATCGACGCTCGAGTTCGTTGGAGAAATAGATGTTTGCCGTCTTCGCTTGGCCATAGGCTTGCCAGTCGTTGTAGGACCCAGCTTCGTCGTAGTTGTAATCGTGGAAGCGAACCTCACCACTTCGATGGCCAATGCTGGAGACTGAGACAACTCTTGAAGGGAAGTCAGATGTGGCGGATTTCAGTAAAGTATCTTTCAGCAGCTGGAAGAGATAGAAGTGGCCTGTTCGTCGGAACATAAATGTTAGCATAGTGCATTTCACAAAACCTGCTTAAGACAAGCTTACCAATGTGGTTGGTACCAAATTGCGTCTCAAAGCCATCTTTAGTCTTGCCCTCAGGCGTGGCCATGACTCCGGCATTGTTGATGACAACATTGATGCGGTCCGTCTTGCTGAGAATGTCTTGAGCGCCTTGCTTGACAGAAGAGAGATCGTCCAGTGTCATTTTCACGAGCGTGATTTTCCCACCTTGGGTATGGGCGGTGATCTCATCGACGACCTTCTGCCCTGCAGTATGTCAGCTTTGTGCTCAATACTGACAGTGGACGGCCTCACCTTTGGACACGTCTCGCGCTGTTCCAAAGACATGAGCACCTGTGGCATACAGTGCTCTCAGAGTCTCTATACCAATGCCGCTGCTGACACCAGTGACCACGAATACCTTGTCTGTCAGCTTGCCGATGAGGCCTTCGTCTTGCACGATCTGTAATGCAGTCGGCCTGGCATCGCCGGGACCTTGCGTGTTCTTGTGGGCATCTGCGTAGCGTGACATGATTCGGATGGGCTGATTGGGGAAAGTGATTCGAGTGAAGTGGATGGGTGATGTGATTGTGGTGCGAATGCCAGAGAGTAGTATGCTCCTTGCCATCTGCAATTAGCTGGGAGGGTCGCTCCTTACTTATACCATTTTCAGCTTGAGAGCTCTTTCTGAGCCTACGCAGCGTCAGTGGCACAAATGTCAATGACGGGTCGTATAAGTGCATAAGCTATGCACCATGTGCATAGGACATGTCAGCCGCGGACCATGTAATCCTTTGTTCACGGCGATGTAGGGCAACTGTGAAGTGGGCGCGTTGTGCTGACTGGCGTTGCGGCCGCAAAGTCCGCACCGCCAAGCCCTTCGCATTGCTCGTATCTACCGGCGAGTGCGAGTACAATATTTCATCGCTCTTGCACAAACCGCGTCAGCAAGAGACACAATTGCCTACCGCTTACTAGAACCTGGTAAGAACTGCCTTGTGTCGGATCGCACGAGACCGGAAGGCCAACCTGAACCAGGACGCGGCGCAGCATTGTCCTTGATACGTACGACCATCATATCAACGCTGCTTCGAAAGCCCGTTTTCTGCGAAGGCACAGAGCTAACAAAACCTGGGCCGGGTTGAATTTGCCAGGAAATCAGGAGGGCCCAAGTATGAGTGAAAACTTTCGTCACACAATCTGAGCTGCCAGCTTCGCTCTCAGCATTCAGCAGCATCCTCTGCCATTTCCAGCGATTCCGCACGCCATGGAGCGAAATGAGGAGGTAGTTCAGTTAGCGATATTGCTCTGAGTGGCAACATGCATAAGTTGCAACTTGCAACACCAAGGAACACGCGAGGCGATGGATTCATACAGTAGCAACTCACGCGGAACCGAGACGAACCCTCCTGGTCAACAAGCTTCACGGCAACGCTTCGGTGCCATAGTCTTGACCGGTAGACCACTTCGAAGTGGCATGACCCGAGCAAAGTAATGCTCGAAAAAGGGACAACTTTGCATCCTTCGACCCACTTACTCACAGGCACCAAAGGATTGCCATTGGCCGATCGTCCATCATGGAATCCTGCGCTCACCTACTTAATGCCGCTACACCCGCTCAACATCCCATCAACGAGCGAAACACCGCGTTGCAGATGCTGAAAATGTTCTCGAAGCGACTGAACAGGCAGACCATGCTGTCGATCAGCTCGGAGAAATGTGGAGATGCCCTTTTGGGCACTTCATCTGGCAGGCTGCATCCAGTCGGATAGTTGCAGTATATTGAATTTTGGAACGATGAGATCAAAATAGACTCTGCGGCCTACACTAATGAGCGTCAACGCAACCGAGCTGGCTTTGAAGATCAAGTATAAGTACTCGCGTCTTTCTTCACAAAGTCGAAACTTCATCAGCATACATTCTCCAACAAAACACAAGTCTACTACTCAATCCGCTAAACAGATACAAGCAAACCTTCCAACAATGCAACTCCAACTCCTCACCCTCGCCACTTTGGCCACCACATCTCTGAGCTCCGCCCTCCCAGCAACCTACTACGGCGAACTCGAAACCCGCCAGAGCAACAACTGCACCCAATACTGTTCCGTCTCCGCCGGTTGCGTCTGCACCGTCCGCCCCTCCGACTGCTCAGCCTTCTACACCGTCGAATCCGGCGACACCTGCCTCAGCATCGCCAAATCCTTCTCCAACTTCACCGTAACCCAATTCTACAAATGGAATCCTTCCATCGGCCAGACCTGTTTCGGTCTCCAGGCTTATGTTCCAGTTTGCATTAACAGTAAGTCCTTCGACCCCACTTTACCAATTTTTTGGTCCAATGTGTTCTGACACGTGAACTAGCACCATGGTACCAATTCACTCCTCCCGTGCAACCCGATTTCGGCACGCACTACACTCCAGATCAGACTCCAGTTCCTGTCATGCCAAACATCATTTCCACGTGCCAAGAGTATGAGTTGATTGAGCCTGGAAAGAGAGTTGACACGCTTGCTGCGGAGAATGGATTTGAGGAGAGCCAGTTTGCGGAATGGAATGGAAATTCGACGACCGCGTGGGCTGCGTATTGGGCTTGCGTGAAGGCTTGAGCTGAACAACATGTGCAATTTGATCACAGAAGGGAACCACCCTGAGAGCGGTAGAATCAATGGTAACGACAGCATATAATTGGGCAGAGCATGACTGCATTTAAAACAGTGGCATCTTGCAGGCGTCCAGATTGGAAATACAGACAACATGTAAAGGGATGTTTGACAGCACACAGAATTACGATTGTGCTACGGAAAGTGTTGAACAGTCAATTCAAGATATTGCTTAGTCGCTTTTTATCAAATCACAGCATCTCTCTTTCATCACAATTCTTTCAAATCCTTCCCACTCGTCTTACTCTTCAATGCAGCCTCAACTCTGCGCCTAAGTTCCTGCGCATCAGGAATAGCAGCAGCTTGCGACCCCTTCCTCTTCTTCACCTCTTCCACAATCTCATCAACAAACTCATCAAATTCCTTACCCGGTTCCGACGGTACACCGAGCGTCGCGCCAGACATATGCTCGTAGCTGTCCGTCTTTTTGAGCTGTGGTCTGCCACCTCGTGCTTTGACTTGTTTCGATAGCCAGGCTTTGCCGGGTGTGGCGAGGAAGCCGCTGGAAAGTGCAACGCCGACGACGGCGTAGAAGTAGACGCGCCTCCAGGCCAGAAGACTGTCGTGGATGGAGAGTAAGATGAAGGGTGTGGTTGTGAAAGAGAAGACCAGTTGGGTGACGAGCCAGGTGAAGACGTCGTAGTAGGGCTTATATTTGGTCGGTTTTGTGCCGTCTGGTGACATGAAGAAGGGGCGTATGAGGCGACGCGCGTCTGCTTGAAGTCAGCTATGTTCACTTCTCAGTTCTGAACTGACTTACTCTTTGCCACGTTCTGAATGAAGCTTGCGAGCACAAATGCCAAGTAGTAGCCTGGTGCAAAACCGTGCCAGAAAGCACTGGTAACGAAAGTCGCCATGCTAGCTCTGAAACCAGGCTTCTTTCCCTTTGGTGTGACACGCAGGTAGATGTAATTTCGCAGCCAGTGGTTGGTATTGATGTTCCAGTTGCCAAGATAGGCATGAGTGTTTTGCGCAAGCTCAACGCCCCAAGGCTTGATATTGGTGAGACGATCCCAGTCAGGCTTTCCAGTCTTTGGATTGAGTCCTTTGTAGCCAATTCCCGACAGGATACATGCGCCTTCTGTCAATGTCCACACGCCGTAGTACTTCATTCGCTGAACAAAATTCATAGCATACATGTGAAAGATACGCTTGAAGATGTTCATTTTCGCATACTCGTCACTCAGAAGTAGTTCTGGGTAGAAGTAGGCCGACAGCTGAAGAAAGCCAAGCGTCCAGAGCAAGCCAGTAACAAGCTTGAACATGGCTGGAGTAGCACTTCTGGGAATCTTGCGTTTCTTGCGCGTAGCTGGGGCCTTTGCAGGGTCCGTACCTGGAGGGAGCTGGAACATAGTCGTATTGAGCCACCTCTCGTAGTCGGCATAGTCGAAAGCAGGACCGATCATGATTGAGGGAAAGAACGCCACAAATCCGGCATAGTCCAAGAGGCCAGGCAATTTCCTAATCGCCCTCTCCTTTTGGACGTCATTCAGATCCTCTTCCTTTTGCGTGCCATCCCAGACATTCCAGCAGAAAGCAGAGAGCTTCATCACGAGGACCATTTGGGCGCCCGTGATGTCGACTGAGCTCGGACTGTTCTCGATCATGCGATAGATGTGGCTGACAGACATATGACCCATGAGGAAGGTGAAGCCAATCCATGGCATGTAAGGTCCTTGGATGTGTGCGGCGATCAGGTAGGTTCCGATTGCGTCGAAGAGCACAACTGCCAGGCCACTCCAGAGGTCGAATAGCCCAACCAGGTAGAATAACGCCACGCTGGAAAAGGTCAGCAGACAGGTCTACATTGGCAAATTTGCGGAACTGACGATATGCTGAAGACATTCTTCAAATGTGGCTTCTCGTCAGGAAGACGCTTGAGAACGGCCGCGAGTGGATAGGACAATAGGAACGAAGTTATGAGCTTGACTGTCAATGTATTCAGCGAGGGCCCAGTCCCTATCGAGAAAGAACGTACGTTCATCTGTCGAGGCCCCGAGCTTGCCTGCGACAAAGTCGAAAGCTAATACAACGTCAGTACTCGCTCGCTTCCAAGCATGCGGCTGTGGTTCTTACGAGCATTGATATATGGCAACATCTCCGCTTGTTTGTCGAGCCAACTGGCCCGTTTGTGATGTCGAAAGCAGTCTTTGTGAGATTTGCTCAGTCCATAGCACGATTGCAAACTTGTCTGCGCACGGTGAGTGCTGCTCGGCGCTTGTGTTTGCTAGGCTGGCAAGAAATGTGAAACAAGAGAAGTCGACCAGCAAGCATCACGCGGCAGAAATCCGCAAGCCTCTCTACGTCAGGGCTTGGCGCTCCGATATGCGCTGACAGTTGGAACAGTGAAGATACGAAAGCGAGAACGACATGCTAGATATCACGAGGCTTTGGCAGTGAACATGTGTATTCTGATTCAAGCATCTGACATATATCAAGATAAGAACTGTCCAAAGAGCCACGTCCTCATCCGTGTCTGCCTCCAAAGTCTGGTGTCATCACATTCCAAGACCCAAAAACAAAAACTTCGCCAGACGCCTCGCTGAGCACAACAACAATGATCATCCAGAACAAGAAACAACAACTTCTTCGTCCATCCCAAGCGTCAGCCCAATCCTCCCCAAGCTCCACGAATTCTCCGTGCCAACTGTATGTCCTTTTGCATAATCGTTACACGCTTCGCGTGAATAGCGCAAAGATTCGAATCCTCGAACAAATGCACCAGAAAAGCCTCGGCGGCTTCTTGTAACGCCTGGATAGCTTGTGATTGCCACCTTGTGACTTCCGATCCAGGAGGCGCAACATTCATACAAACTTCGCGGACCTATGCCATCATGTTAGTCCTCCGACAAGCACTTGACCATTCACAGGAGGGGCCTAAGGACATACCAATCGCGAGAACGGTAGCTTCGCAACCAACAACTCCGTAGACTTCTGATACCGACGAATCTCCTTCAAAGCCACCGTGCCAGGCTTATATCTGCGCTTCTTTCGCGGACTTTCTGCTACGCCGCTACTTCGTCTGGGCTCTTTCCCTCCGCGACTTGCTCTTCCTCCTCTGCCTCCTCTTGTGGGTACCATTCTGCCGCGCGACGGAGTTCCTGCCGAGCCCGTACTCGTTCTCCCACCTCTTGATGATGTGGCTGCTGTACGTGCCATCATGGCTGACGCGGATTTTGAGGTTCAAGTTTGGTAATTTTGCCAATTGTGTGTCCAATGTTGCGCGGTCGTGTCGTCTTTAGATGGAGCTGTCTTCTCGAGGGTGAAATCAGACGCGTCGCAAACGTGAACCGAAGGCTGTCCAAGATGCGCTTCTGTTCTAATCACGATCGCATCGTCGTTCTGCGCGAGATGCGGTAAATACCAAGCGATGGCAACGGTGTTGTGGTGTCGATTGCTGCGTTCAATGCCGTATGGTAGCGACTTCTGTTTACGCTTCGGAATGCAAGCCCAGCCACGGTTGTCCCTGTTTTCCGGGAAGGCGCGTGGCTGGTGCCCGCGCGCTAATTCACGATAGGGCTTATCGCGTGCTGGCAGTGACGGCACCCGGCGGCGGCAGAAGGTTCTCCAAACAAAGGAACGACTGACAGCTGGCCATTCGATTGATCAATTCACTGATCGCAACAACGACTCTATCGCGGACACAGAAGCTTGCGGGCCTTGATCGCGAAGATCAGAACAACATCGCACATCGAAAACTCCGCTACCGCCTCGACCGCGACGAAACCCCCTTTGCCTGACAGCATCAGTCAGCATGGCCGCCATCATGGGCGGAGATGGCGCGGGCGCTCTACCGCTAGAGCAATGGTTCTTCGAGATGCCCGTGTGCACGCGATGGTGGACCACAGCGACAGTCGTGACAGGTGTCTTGGTACAATGTCAAGTCCTCACACCCTTCCAGCTGTTCTACAGCTTCCGCGCCGTCTTTCATAAGCAGCAGGCATGCGTATCTCCCAGACACTTCCACTTACGAAGACTTGACACTGATATTATGTGAAATAGTTCTGGCGCCTCATAACAACATTCATCTACTTCGGCCCACTATCGCTCAACCTCGTCTTCCACATATTCTTCATCCAACGATATGCGCGAATGCTCGAAGAGTCGGCAGCTTCGGTCGCACATTTCAGTTATATGCTCGCATATACGGCTGTTACACTACTCGTCGTCGCCCAACCGCTTTTCAATCAAGCTTTCCTCGGGACGACGCTGAGCAGTACAATGGTCTACATCTGGGCGAGGAGGAATCCGGATACGCGGCTGAGCTTCCTCGGCTTGTTGACCTTCACTGCGCCATGGCTGCCATGGGTGTTGATCGTCTTCAATGTGGTGTTGCATGGACATTGGCCGAAAGATGAGCTGTGTGGAATTGCTGTGGGACATGGTAAGTTGGTGAGTACAGCTTGTGGTGGGAGCAGGAAGACTAATTGTGTTTACAGTCGTGTACTTCTTCAACGACATCTATCCTTCGACGCACGGTGGTCATCGGCCACTGGATCCTCCGCAATGGTGGATCTCGCTCTTCGACAGACGACCGCTAGCCGCACCCGAGACAGATGTGCACGCAGCGGCTCTGAACAGAGACATTGCTGCACCTGCTGTGCCGAACGTCGGTTGATTACAGTCTTGCACATATCATGAATGAACGAATCTACTTGTCCCTGTAAACTTGTCATCGGTGTACCTTTTCTTTGAAAGAGCAAGTGCACTTGTCTCGTTCGATCCTCCAGGGCAAAGCTTCGGCAATTCGAGACCCTTCATACTGACCTGATCCTCTGAGAAAAATCGAGATTCGGAGAGCACAAAAATTCAAAGCACAAGAAGAAAGAGCGATGTCTGAGATTCATAACATCAGAGCAATGCTCTTTAACCTTGGATTTTGGGTCTATCTCTATTTGCATTTACCCAAGTCAGAAAGATCCACTTCGGAAGAGCTCTATTCAAACCTTTCACCAGGCGCTCGTCTAAGCCAACGGACGGCGTGCATGAAATGCTCGAATACGCTTGTTGAAGAAGGCTGTCTAGTCTAGTTTGAAGCTCGTGGCGTTGAGAGGACCGCTGGATCTGGGAAGCTCGCGCATGTCCGAGGACGTTTTCGCACAATGCCTGGCATTGACATTGATTCGGCTGAGCCATCCGCTAATGGAAGCCATTGATTATTTATACCTCAAAGGCTCGGCTCGAGAAGCGCCACAGGTGACAGATACTGTGCGCAGTCTTTTCGTGCTGGATAGCAGCTGTTTCAGCTGGGGTTTTGGCATGTCCAGCGATGCGCAGGTGCTATTAGCTGGAGGCGCGAAATGAACGCAGAGCTGATTGCCCTGGCCAACTTCACGTGTAGAACGATATCCCGGGCATTTTCTTTTGGCTGGGTTTTTAATCGATGTCAAGTCGCTGCATCTTCGTCTTCCACCCTAGTGCTTCCGTGGGGCGGGAATCTTGCAAAGACCAGAATTACGAATGCCAGCACCGCAACACCACCATTGACAGCAAATGTCAATGACGGCTGTCCGATCGCTGCGAAGGCGGAGAAGATATATCCAAACAGTCCAGTCGTCGCCAGTCTCGCCGCCATTTCTACCAGACTAATCGCGCCCAAGGCATCTGCGCGTTGCGCTGGAGAGCACATTTGCAGAATGGTGCCCTTAGCAGCAGACCCCGTCCCCGCTGCTAGCGGTAGCACGATGGAAACGACGTACATGTGCCAACCCTTAGAACTGAAAGTCGCCAGAGCAGTCAGGACACCGTCGACAAGGATACTGTATCGTGTGTAGTACAGATCGAAGACAAAGGACTCTTCTTGGCCGTTATTCGGCCTCGGAGGCTCGATTGGCTCTTCCCCGCCAGCGATTGGTTCTGGCTCAAACTCATGAGCATCAGTAGGCAGATCAGGAATATCAGAGTCCTCGATCTTGACCCTTTCATAATCGGTATCTCGACGCTCCGTCCATCGTCGCCCTGCTGCGATGATTGCAGGGAACGCAAAGGTCAGAAAGCAACCTCGAATCAGAGAGTTGATCGAGATGAGCCAGCCATTCTCTGTCGTGCCAAAATCGAGAACGTCCGTTGCGTACATCTGAAGCAAGACAGGAATGTAGCCTGTAGCCAGCAAAGCTGTGAATGCACCAGCACCGAGAAGTATTATGCCGTACTCTGTCGTGACACGACCGTCTTTCAGTCTCCACTTCGATGGTACAAACATGCGCAGCGGATCGAAAAACGAGGACAGTGACCTGGTTCGCTTTTGCATTTCCGGATCGAGATCGACTTTGATCCATGGAAGGAAGAGAAGAATGTAGACGGTGGAGAGTAGAAACAATCCGAGAGTAATCCGGAAGGGCCATATGATCCCGAGCAAGTCAGCAGAATAACCTCCCAGTAGAAAACCAAGTGCGGTGCCGAAGAACGCACAACCTTGCAACCGCCCAAGAGTAGCTGTTCGCGCAGAGGGCATGATCACTTCTGTTGCAAACGAGTTCAAGGCCAGAAGATACCCTGCAGGCCCGCCAATAATTGTGATCGCCTGCGAAGCCTGAATGATCCAGATGCCCAAGCCGCCCCCGAGTTGTACACCAACATTTTGTACAGCAAGTCGAACGGCAGGCCAGAAAACGCTGCTTAGGAGAGCGGACTTGACGCCGAATCTTTTGATGGTCCAGGTCGTGTAGAAGAGGTTGAGCACGCCGAACAGCGTCGTCCCGGCTCCAAGTAGGGCTACTGCTCTCGCTGTGCTAGCTTGAATTTCTGTAAGATGGCATCGATCAGGTAATGTCCCAGGGTCACGATGGTGCTTATAGTACTCTTCACATGTCATCGTTCCAAACACATAGATCAGCCTGTTCTTGTCAATTAGTATCTTGCTCTTGTGTTGGTTGTGAAAGGACTTACGGAACTTGCGTCACGCCGAAAGACAGACTGACGATTGTGCTCGTAAACAACAACTTCAATACAACGCTTGCACTCCATTTTCCACCATCGCCCTGCTGTACTGGGCTGCGGTCACGGGGCTTGTTGCCGAGGAGTGGCGCACGCTCCGATATCGTTGACTCGGCTCTTGGTCTTGAGTGATGGCCAGGACGACCTTCGTCTGCTGCTGTCATATTGAATGAAATCTAGAGTCAGACAGAATCGCATCCATACGCATGGTTAAGCCAAAGCAAGCAGAAAGTCAAAGAGAAAAAAAGAAGTCTGGTTGGATGTAGTCGCGATTGCGTGCGTGTTGCATCTGGCTAACCCGACGTTCGGCGGTGAGCTTGGCCGAGATAGCCCGTGGAGGTGTGGGACTTGAGCGAGGCTATAGGGCAACAAGCACTGGACGGGTAGTCGGCAGAGGCTGCATGTCTTTGGGGATTGGAGAAGCAGATAAAGAAAACGACCAGAGGCCATTTTTGCAGTGCGTGTGACGCTTCCAGCGCCCAGGTTGCACTTAGGTTCTGCACTTTTTCAGACTGACCGCCCTCACCTACTCCCGGCCTGAAACATTGTGGTCCTTGGAGGCCTCATTGATCGGAGTCCAAGGACGACTGAGCTCCATGGCGACAATTCCATGTTGGGTGTTATGCTGGAGAATTGATGAAGAAGAGGTGTGAGGACAACATTGTGGAAGAGTTGAGTTGCACGCTCGGACGTTGTGGCTCAGGTGTGCGACGGTTTCGGCCAGGCAGCCACAGCCCCGCGTCGTGGCTGCGGGTGTCGTATTGGCTCCTTCCTTGCCATTGGTCCTCATCTTCGACGTGAACTCCGACCTCCTATCTCACCACTCGTCTCGCCGTCCAGATGTTAAGCGCCTGCTCGACCCCAGCAACCACAGATTGTTTCGCGTCAAGATCTGAAGAATCATACAAGCCAGCAGTTGATTGATTGTGCTCCTTGCACTAGTCGCAGTACCTGACGGCGAGAAAACGCCTGTTCCTATCATACCAGCCAGACGCCCAAACAACTCAAACTACGATGGCCGCCTCGGTACTTGTAGCGTCTACAAGACGTGCTCGGTGCGTCACTGGAACATCTGCAGCCGTGCGAGCCAGACACACGGCCAATCAAGAGACATCTCAAAGGAAACTTCTCTTTCCGTGATCGACATGTCTTTAGCCCTGAAGTCAATGAAATTGTCCATACGCCACTGTACTATCGAACTTGGCATGGCGCGACAGGAGGCCAACACGAACCTCAGAGTCTCAAGATGTATACGGGGTCTGCTGTCGCAGATTCCCCTCTGCCACAGATGAGTCGCAAACATGGCCGATGATGCATTTGCCCCAATCGCGGGCTTCCTCACGAGCTTGCTGGATCCAAAGTCACCGAGAACGAGCAGAGAAGACCCAGAACCTACGACGAGAACCAGGCGATCACGGACACAGACTGAGCCTGAACCAATTCCGTCCTCCGCTGCGACCGCGCCCACGCCCGCAGAGCCATCGACAAGCACTGTGGTTGTGGTGACATCGACCAGCGCGGTGGCCCCCAGTGCCACAAGCACAACGAGCCTAACGACGTCTCTGGAGCAGTCCTCGAGCACTACATCTTCACCGGCAACCACGACCACCTCTGTGCCGACTGCGGCAGTCTCAGCGAGTCCTCCAAGTCAGAATTCTCCAAACACCGGCGCTATAGCCGGAGGTGTCGTCGGTGGTCTTGCGGTGTTGGCAATCTTGACCTTGGGTCTCGTATGGCTGCTACGGCGTCCGCGAAAGACAGCGAACGAGAAGGCGGTCGGCAAGGACGAATATCAAGGCTCAGTGGTCAGCCTAGTAGCATATGGGAAGGATGTCCCAGGTGGGTTCCGGCGAAATTCACACATTCTGCGCTCGCATATTGACACCCGGTACAGAATCGCGCCGCTCAGATTCAATATGGGACTCTCGTCCGCACTCCCCTCCTCGTGCGATACCACCGGCACATCTGCCTGCTCCTCCTTTGATCTACGTGACGGACGAATGCGACACGAGGCAACTGTTGTGCGAGCTACCTGGATCGGAACCGGTGGCTGAAATGGAGAGCGCGCAGAAGTATCACGCATACCGACCCAAACCATCGTGAATCTGCATTGTACTTCATCAAAACGTGTTCCTGGGTCTTCGAATCGTTCCCAAGGGTATGAGACCATATGCTTTCCACGGCCATGAATGGATGGGAATTCGGGTCGTTGCCACATGTCCAGAAATGATTGGCGACACTGGATCAACTCAGTCGCACTTTCGACCAAAGCACAATTGAGCCTGCTGTGGTTTGTCTTTGCAACGCATAGACCGGAGCATTGAGTGTCGAAGACACGGTTCGGCCCAGGCGCAAGGCATCCCATGTCTTTGAGCTTTCAAACCTTTGTCAAGCTCGTACAAGAACACGCTCCCGAAGCATCTAGAGGTTTACCTCCACGTGGGCAGGGGACGTGGATGACAGGATGTTCATGCATGAACACTTCCATCGCTGCTGATCAGCAATCGATGCTCCCAAGTCTACAAAGAATATTAAGTAGTGCAGAGATGTTAACGGCGACAATTTACATCGTGGACGACATTTGACAACGCCTACAGCCATCGCCAGGGCATAAGTTTGTCGGACAAAACTTTGCAATGTCTGCCACGAACTACGCTCGGGGTTCCTAAAATGAACGTGCAGAACACGCCGCGAACACGACCAGACAGGCGTACCGTTCAAGATAACGGCGGCGCCGAAACAGAGTACCCACGAATGTGATGAGAAACTCTGTATCCAGATACTGCATCTTGAATTGATCGGTCTCCGCTGCTCGCGCGACCGGCACACCTTGTCGCACCCCAGGACTCGTGATCGGAAATCATCCTACTGCACAGCGCGATGGTATATTGCAGCCGACTTCGCAGCGCAGGACATTAGCGCAGACCAGGGCATCACAGCCTGCGGGGCTCGTGTATTGACTGGATCACCTCCTCTCTTTAACAAATTTCCATACCGCAACATCAGATATGTTCTATTACAATATCATAACCAAGTGAATCTGTTCTGTGTTCCATCTTTACCCATCAACAACCCAATCCGCCAGGATTCCTTGGCCAAAACGTTCTCGACTGCAGCCCCGCTATCTGGCTGGCTGCAGGGAAGATCTCGCCACCAACGACCCCCGTTAGCCGTTCTTACCGAAATGTCGCCCATATTGCTACAGAAGCCGAGAGCGGCAGATCGTGGTTGCCATTGGTTGGACACGAAAGAGTGCAGGACAAGCTTCATGGCACCTTTCCTGCTACGGCAAAGCTGCTGTTTGGATGCCGGTTAAGCACAAATCTTGTGAGAAAAACGTGCTTTGCCTTGCGGGAGGGGTGCAAGTGTGTATCACGCGTGGCGCGGCATGGTGTGGTGTTCATGTTACTTTCAAGTTCTTTCTGCCGGTGTAGCAGTAGCACGGTCTGACCGCACTTGCACTCGAGCGTGAGGCGATCGTCGCTCTTGCTGTTCTCCAGGATCTGCGACGCTGGGCATCGAGACTGGTATCTCGTGCGTTGGTCAAGATGCCGCGGGATCTAGAGAAGCAAGTCCAGCATGGCGAACCACAAGAAATCATGATTGAAGAGGCTCCCCGAGCGACAAGACTCCCTCAGCGGCCACTGACTATGCAAGAGAAATTGGATGCGACAAGAATACAGTCAAGAGATATCGATTCCCGGGACGCGTCTTCTGCTGGGGATAATGGACATACATTCGATCACATCCCACCAACCCAGGACTCAAACCCGGACATCTTCACCAAACTCCGCAACTTCGAAGCCGCCCTCGACAGGAAACTCGGCATCGAATCCGAAGCAATTGATCGCAAGCTCCCAGAAGACCGTAAACCCCAACCCTGGCACGCCCAACTCAACATGGCTCTAATCTGGGCCAGCGGAACACTGAACATCAGCTGCTTCGCCACAGGTTTCCTCGGCTGGCAATTCGGCCTCAGTCTCAAACAATCCATCCTCATCGTAATCTTCGGATCCCTCCTCGGCGGCGCTTTACCAGGTTTCTGCGCAACAATGGGAGCCCCAACAGGTCTCCGACAAATTTCCATTTCGAGGTATAGTTTTGGCTGGTATCCTAATAAAATCATCGCTGCATTGAATACGATTCAGCAACTGGGATGGAGTGCAGCGGGTTGTATTACTGGGGGCCTCGCGTTGACTGCTGTGTCGAACGGGAGTGTTTCGATTGTGGTCGGAATTATCATCATCGCGACTTGTAGTCTGGTTGTCAGTTTCTTCGGACTACGCGCGATTTTGGTCTATGAGAAGTATGCTTGGCTCGTCTATTTCATCATTTTTATGGTGATTTTCGGACAGACGGGGCAGTATACCGACAACAGTACACCTTCGTCACTTACTGGAGCGGATTTTAGCGGGACAGTACTCAATCTACTGGCGATTGTCTATGGATCTTCGGCTTCGTGGGCTACGATTGCGAGTGATTATTACGTTCACTATGCTGTGGATGTATCGAGGACGAAGGTCTTTTTGATGACGACTTTTGGTGTGGCTATTCCAACGAGTATTGGAATGCTTGCTGGCTGTGTGGTCAGTTTTGCGATGAATAATCGACCGGAGTGGCAGGATGCTTATGAGAATCGCGGGCTTGGGTTCTTGATTAACGATATGCTGACACCGAACGGGTGGGCGAAATTTGTCCTCGTGCTATTGGTGTTGTCTGGGATCAACAACAACATCATGAATACATACAGCGCGGCCCTGTCATGTCAGCAATTCGCTCGACCTCTGGCCAAGGTTCCGCGGATCTTCTGGACGGTTTTATGCTATGGTGTGGTTATTGCTCTCGCACTGGCTGGACGCAATAATCTCTTGGCCTATTTGCAGAACTTCCTCGCTTTGCTCGGGTACTGGTGCACATCGTACTTCGTCATCGTCTTCAGCGAGCATTATTTTTTCCGAAAAGGCGACTTTGCGAATTACGACCTGGCGGGATGGAATGATCCTGCGAGGTTACCTGTAGGGATTGGAGGGGCTACGGCCTTTGGACTAGGTATCGTTGTCTGGGTTTGCGGCATGGTGCAGACTTGGTTCGTGGGACCGATTGCAAGACAAATTGGAAGTTCGGGAGGTGATGTGTCGAATGAGTTGTGTCTGGTTGTGACGTTGGTTGCGTATTGGCCTGCTCGTTATCTTGAGTATCGGTATGTTGGTCGATAGCATGAAGACATGGAAGTTTGCGGCTCGAAAAGGAAAATTGCCTGTCACTGATTGTTCGTTTTCTGTCTGTTGTATCTCACACTGTGTCATGTCGTCTCAACTGTGGTGTTGCGCTGTAGACAGTCCCTCAAGCAGAGCCTATATGCGGACAAGGTTGCTGTACCTGATTCTTCAAAGTCATTAATTCATTCCGCCGTGCCTCATAAGACATCCTTCAATCATCCCAGAAGTCTCGATCGCTCTGTGATAGCTTCTTGTTCACTTTGCTTCGAGAGATCAGGCTCAGATTTCAACCAAGCGCGTAGTCTGCTGCCCAGTCCAGGCCTATGCCACTCATGTTCCTCACGAGTACCATCTTCCTTGACCTCAAGCTCGGTACCAGCAACCACTCCGGAGCCAAAGAAAGGGTTGAGATTCTTCAAAATCCATATCAAAGCAGCCAAAAGTAGCAGTCCAGTTACAGTTGCGAAGACGGTTACGATGATACTAAGGAGTGTTGTAGTCGAGCATCCACATCCGAGAGCTTTGGTTCTGAGTTCCCATCTCTCGGAAGCAAGTGGACATATGTTCTTGTTGTTGACTGGGTCTGTGAGGGCTGAAGCAGGTACACAAGTCGAGGAGAATGGACACCAGCCACAGCCGTGCTTGTCGTGTGTGCAGGAATAGCAGTCTTGTCGCCTCCAGCAGGCAGCCTCGCGGTCCATGATGGTCACGTTGGAGGCTAGGTCACGGAAAGTGGTGAAGGGTGCCTGGGAATCCATCTTGTGGTATATATGGCCCTCCCGACGTCGTATCAAGTGATGCTGTATTCTAGTCGTTGGTGAGCAACGATGTTCGTTGCAAGTGCTGTTCCAGCCATGTCGTGGGCCATCGTCATTGCCCAAGCCAAGCACTGGGATCAAGCTTGCGGAGAGCACGAGCCGCCACACGCTTCGCGACTTCGATGCCGAATCTCACGCGACGACGAGTTAACGGCGAAGAGCAGCGAGCCGCTCCAACAACGCTGCGAACGGCCGGAACAGTGTGTACGACATGTCGCCGAACGACTGAACGATCCTGAACGACGCTGCGCACCATGGCAGCTCTCACACCGATCACCGCTCTCGATCCCGAAACGAGACCTCCGCCGGACAAGACGATTCGTGCCGTCGTGTCGTTATATTGGCCGTACAGCTCTTCGACGAAGCAATGCGCCTTTCTACTGACCGATCCAGACCCTCGGCTGAGAAGCCGACGAGGACAGGTCCGCGTACGCTTCACTTTGGCCAGCGCGACTGCAGTGGCACAGGGCAAAATTGGTATTGGAGATGAGGTCTTGCTTAACCTACGTGGTGCTCAATGGTCGAGCTACAGCTCCACAGTCTCGACGCCAGGCAAGAGCGTTGAAGGGGAGCTTGTCTACAGAGGAGACTTGAGCTTGCGCGTTGTGAAAAAGGCTGGAAGCAACGAGGCGATCGATCAGCGCATCGATGTCAATGTGTCCACGCCACCTCCAGATGAGGACCCGCCAGTCCATCAAACACCGATCAGGAACACAAGAGTGGCGAGCTTAAGAGACAGCTTAGGAGCAGTGGATCTTGTGCCGATATATTCAAGTCCAGCATTCATTCGGAGACAGCGGCTTTCTGGGGACGGCTTCGGCGCTGGACCTGAGTACGATCCTTTCGCGGACATCGATCGGGAGCTGGACGATGAGCAGCCGAGAAAGAGACAGCGTATCAGCGATGTAAGCTTTTGGAGGTTCGCGGACAGAACGCCTAGCCCACAGAAGCGAACGGCGAGGGAGGGCGTAGAGGAGCAAATTGATATGGCTGCGGCAACATCAGGTGTCAGACATGAGGTCGACGTCTTGAACGGGCGAGGTGGAAACGCCAGCCCCATTTCGAACACTTCACCGACACCTTCATCGCTACCCGTCAAGCTCTCGCCGCTGCCACCTGCGAAGAGCGATGTTGCACAACCGCTTCAAGAGCCACCCGCATCAATGTTGCCACCACCTTTGCCTAAGCTGCGCATGCCAGATAATCCATTCATGATGCAGTCTGAGGAAGATCACGACAACTCGACGCAAGACCCCAAGCGGCCTGTCACGCCGGAACTCAAAGCTGTGCCAGGTTACACACTGCCGATACCTTCACCGTTTCCACAAGAGTCAGCACAACCGTCAATCGAACCCGATCTCGCCACAGCACAGAAGATTGCCGAACAGCAAGAGCCAAGCACTTCTCCGCAGCGGGAGGACAGAGTCAACGACGAAGTGCGGCTTGTGATCAACCCTACCATCGCTGCTCTGGCTAGCTCGCCATCACAGGGGTCACCGCAGAGGTCAAACAAGAGCGCGCAAGGGCGAGCTCGAGGACGCAATCAAGCGTCGCGGTCCTCCGGCAGTCCAAGGTCCATAGGTGCTTCCAGCAAGCAGTCACAGGCGTTTGGTAGCCAGACCGCATATCAGTCTCAGTCGTATGGAATGCTTAGACAACCTCCCGACAGCAGCCAAGAAGTCTACCCTGATCATCAAGGTTCAGGCTCGGACACAGAAGAGGATGAAGAGATGCAGAAAGTGTACGATCAGCGGGCTCTGAGCCATGCTCGCGCAATGCTCGAGCGTGAAGGCGTCAAGATTCGAGATTGGGTCCATCGTGACGATGCTGCTGAAGTCATCGAAGACATGGGTGAACGGCCGGAGACGAGTTCGGATGAAGATTTTGATGAAGAACATGATGACGAAAGTAATGAAGACGATGATATGCTAGACGCCGAGGACGATGACTATGAGGACGAGATTGACGTTCATCTCGTTACTGGTTTGCGTTCTCCAGACCCTTCACAGACTACAGCCAGACAGAGCGTTGCAGACAGAGCAGCGGACCCCCCTATCAACGTCTCAGGCCGGATTTCGCAAAGACCCGCGCACGACAGACCGAAAAGTTCACCTCCTGAAGGACTTGATGTTGCTGAGCCGGTCGAGGGACAATCAGCCGCAACTTCGGTCATGTCTTCCCAGCCTGCCACCATGTCCAAGGAGCTGGCGGCAAATGAAGAGGTATCAGCGAAGATTTCCGCATCGAGCGAAGCTGCTGCAACTCATCCAGTGGCCCAGAGCGCCTTAACACAGCCAGAGCGAAGGCTGCCGCCGAAGACGCCAGAGAAGACAATACAGAGCCTATTTGGGTTTGGCTTCGGCATGGATGGCACGAATGACGTGCCATTTGAGCCAATAGAGGTCACTAAACCCACACCACAATCGGAGAAGGAACGCATAATGAAGAAGACCTACAGCAGCTTGTTCGGCTTCAAAGCATCTCCGTCACCGGAGAAAGAACGCACGCCTGCGCCGCAGATACTTGAGACTCCAACCCCCTTTGGTGTTGTGCAGCGAGAAGCGTCAGATGTCGAGGTGCCCTCGGCCCAGTCTCAGAGCGCTCCAGTGGCCCCACTCAACGATTTCGTCGGTTCTCAGACTCCCTCTGATACAAATCACATCTCCTCAGCTGCTGCTACAGCTGGTACCATAGCTTCTAATGCCGTACCCCCGCAGCACGACCCTTTGCATATCGACGAGCCGCTTGCTGAGTCCCAAGGGGATTCTCAACTCATAAGTGAGAGCCAACCAGTGCAGTCAATACCAATGGTGGATGTGGCAGCATCGCAGCCTGGAATTGATTCGAATTTGACCAGTCAAGATACCTTCCCTTCACTCGAAGTGCAGCTTTCCGAGACATCTCAGCCGGAACAGGAGCAACAGGAGGACCATGTACTGCGGAACGAGCGACATACCGTTTCTTCAGTAGATCAGCCAGCACAACTCTCTGAGCCAACATCACAGATTGCAGTTCCCCTTGACTCCCACGCATTGGATGACATGCCATCTGCAGAGTCGATGTCTCAGCAGCAGGCCTCTGTCGAGGACGATGCACCTTTTGACGACGAGGCGCTCGTAGCATCAATGCTGAGGGATGCTACACCCGTGCTACCCAGCTCGCAGGTTCTGATTGGCGATGTGGCGACACCCGTAGACAATCCAGGCGAACGCAAACCACGATCCTCGCCAGCGATTCCGAGAACCAGTGAGGAATCTTCACATACGGCCCCGAAGGAAGTCAGAAAAGATGCTCCTCTTCCCGGTACAGCTCCAGTCCGGTCTCTGGGATCTAAAAAGGTCGATGCTCCTCCAACCAGTACTGCACCCAAAAGGGCTCAGGTGGAGGTCATCGATCTTGACACAAGTGATGAATCGGACGCTGAGGATGATGTAGCACTGCCATCTCAGCCAATGCAAATTGATACGATCGAATCGCACGATATTCTCGCTGACATTGACGACCTCGATGATCGATCATACAGTCCTACCGAGGTTGCCTCCTCACCCGCGGTAGAAGAGTCTGCCGATGTCGACATGCCGGATGTGGTGTCTGACCTCGACGCCTCGCACGAGCTCATTCCTGAGCCAGACTTGCAACATGCGGACACTTCAGCATCAGCTGCGAATGAAACAAGCTTCTTTGAAAACGAGATGCAAGCCAGTGGGATCTCAGTGCCTACAGTAACGCCATCTAATCCACCGCCTCAGAGCCAGATCAGTGAAGCACCTTCAACTCAATCGAAGGGTAATAAAATGGCCGACCACTATCACTACTTCTCATTCCAGTCCACTGGCTCGGATGATGAGAGTTCTGAGGCTGAAAGTGAAGACGCCCGCGTTGAGCTCACTGAACAGGCACCTCAGTCAGTGGCCGTCAATGAGCAGGTGACGACAAAGCCGCAGGCTCGCCTTGGAGTTAGGGAGTCATCGTTTCCCGACGACCTTATTAACTCGCAATCACAGCCTGCGGCACAGCAGTCACAACAGCCAGCACTGCCCAGCCCCAAGGATTCTCAGCCGCGGCAGCAGACATTCTTCGCTGAGACACAACATCGCATTGAATCGCAACCCTTTGAAACCCAGCTGCCGGTCCCCCTGCCGACTCCAGAGATCACGAATGAGGGGCTGAAACTCGCAAAGGAAGCACCTGTCGAAGAGAAAGCGCCACCTGCCACTCCTAAGAGGAAGCACACGCGCAAAACATCCGCGAAAGAGAACATGGCCGCCGTGGTGCGAAGGTCTCCCCGTAATGCTGAGTCTCTAGCTGAGCAAGAGGTGCAAGAAACAGCTGTGCCAAAGCGCCAAACAAGAAGTCAACGCACGGCCTCACCCGAGCCTGCTCCAGCGTCTACGAGGCGACAAACAAGATCGCAGCGTACGGCGTCCCCTGAGCCCTCCCAGATCAGCTCTAAGCGCCAGACCAGGTCGCAACGCACAGTTTCTCCTGAGCCCATTCAGCGGCAGACAAATGCACAGCGCACGGCGACTCCTGAGAATACAATATCAAGTATGGCCTCGTTTGACGGCAAGCTGCTTTCTCCAGCCCCTCTAAAGCCTGTGAGACGGTCACCTAGGAAGTCGCGGGCGCTGACGGAGTCGTTCGAGGAGGCTGCAGAAGCGAGAGGTGATAATACTACTGAAGTGAAGTCGAGGCAGCAAACCGCCAAGAAGTCCACGAAGAAGCAGCTGAGTCAGCGACAAACTGAAGAGGACGAGCATCAGCATGCTGGCGAGGATGCGACGCTGGTTCCAGAGCAGGTGCATATCGAGAGTGCAGAAGGCAAGCCCACTTCGGCCGTGGAGACGCCAAGCGCTGCTGCTCCCAAGACGCCTGGCAGGAAATCACTGGCTGCTCGACTGGGCCAAGTGCCTGAAGTGATCTCCTCTTGGTTTTCTCCTCGTCGCTCGACACGTCAACAGCTCGAAGAAGACTCTACTCTCGTGGCCGATGCCACCAACGAGAAAGCGGATCTACTGCAGAGAACAACGTCAAACGGCCTGATTACTTCATCTGCATACTACACTCCACTGTCAAACCTTCATGAGAAGCTCAATCCTTCAAGCCAGCCCGGCGTAGACAACACGATCGACATCCTTGCAGTCGTGACAGACGACACCAAAGCTCCCGAACGCGCTAAAGGCGGTCCGAGAGACTACTTCACCATCTTCAAGATCGCTGATCCTTCCACTTCCACCTCGGCGAAAGTCTCGAGTGTCCGAGTCGAAGTCTTCCGTCCATGGCACGCGACTCTACCCGTTGCTCAGAAAGGCGATGTCATACTTTTGCGCAGCTTCGCTGTCAAATCCCGTAAACGCCAGCCATACCTCTTGTCGACAGATGCGAGCGCTTGGCTTGTTTGGCGATTCGGCGAAGATGCACAGCGGCCTGGAAGTGCGGGAAGTCCTAAGCGGTCAACGAGAAGAGGTAGTTTGGTGGGACCGGGTGTGAGGGAAGAAGTGAAAGGTCCTCCGGTTGAGCTGGGGAGTGAGGAGAGGCAGCGTGCGAGGGAATTGAGGGAGTGGTGGCAGGGAGTGTCGGGTGATCTTAATGCTGCAGCGGTCGAGAAGTAATGCGCAACCTTCTATGGTTGTTCAACTGCAATGCTCAATAGCTCATGGCAGCAGCTACCCAAAGTGTCTTGGACAGAATTGGTATCATTATCAAAGCAGAAGAAGGTGCAACGAAGCGCAATTCTCATCCTAAACTTCGTCATACTGTGTGCCACTGTACTTCTGATCGAATCATTCGTATTATTACAGAGGAGGACAAGTCTATTCCCATACCAAAACCATGAATGCGCCCAATGGTATCTCCATGCGCCGCTGCCGAAAACTGAAAAACAACCATCTATAGCCTCCCAAAACGAATTCCGCTGCATGAGTGGGTAATCATACAAAAAGTGATTTCCTGCCTCGCCCTGGGAATAGACGAATCCCAAAAGTAAACAGTCCTGGGGATAAAGAAACAAACCTCCCGAAAAGTCAAGCGACCGCCTTGGCTGCTCCGTGAGGAGCGTGCGAAACCACGATAGTGTTGCACAGTGCCCATTGCTGGGCTCTGTGCTGTCGTATTGCGTGTCCACGAATCTCTTGTGCTTCTGTGCAGGACGCCCTGAGATCTTCTCTTCATGTGCCGTATCGGTGGTCCGGTTGTGGACGCGTAGCAAAGATGAAACGCGCGACCCAAGCTCTTGCCCAAAGCATTTTGCTCGCTTCGAGCACCATGCCCTAACGTCTGTGTTGAAAATGCACTCGTGTCTTCCCTTTCCTCATTCCCTCGCCTGCTCACTAGCGAGCTGAAGCGAAGTCCTAGTTCTTTTCCGTAATTGATTTTCTTCCATCCTACTCTTCACATCACCGCGCACTTCGAGTTTCCCTCCTTCGGTTGACCGGCCTCTTGACCCTTTTCAATCTCGGCAATCATGCCCTCGAAGGCTTTTCCGACATTTTCGTTATAACGTGCCGAGGCTTCGACGAAACCGCAGCCGAGCTCTTCGGCGAGCTTTTTGCCGTCAGCGGCGGAGACTTGGCGTTGTTCGGGTCGCAGGTCGGATTTGTTCGCTACGATCATGATTGGGACTGCTTCGGCGCCCTAGATGGGAAGGGGTGGGTCAGTATAGATTGTTGTGAGAGGGTGTAGTGTGCCCGCCTGGGTACACGTTGGGAGCCATTGGCGGAGCAGATGGAGCAGAGCTCGGAGCCGCACGCGACGCGTAGACGCGGCTGCACTGCCCAATGCCCATTCTGCCATGTCCTGCACCCTTCATGCTCATGCTGATTCGCGTGCATGTTCTTTCCTTCTCTCCTCCTCGCATTTTCCTTCGCAATTCCCGCCCAGCAAGCTCCGGCGCACCGCCTCGCGCTTTCCTCTTCCCAATGCCGCAACCGCAACGCGCCAGAACACTGCAGTAGAAAGAGAAAAAGCACTCACCAAATGATTGAGAATCTTATCCCGAATGATGCGCACCATTTCGAAACTCTGCTTGCTCGCCACCGAGTACACGATCATGTAGCCATGAATGCCAATAAAGTGCTTGCTGTTCAGAATTGTGTACTCGTCTTGTCCCGCCGTGTCAATGATTTCCACGCCAAAGTCCTGATTCCGGTATTTGATGACTTTGCTGAATGTGTTTTCGATGGTGGGGTAGTAGGAATCGACGAAGTGGCCGTCGACGTATTGGACTGTGAGGGAGGATTTGCCTGGAGGAAAGAGGTGTTAGAACCGGAGGGCCATGAGAGGGGTGGAAGGAATGCGCGTGGGCTCATTGTGGGAGGTGAGAATGACGGCTCGATCCTGTGAACAGGTGTGCTGGAGGGCAATGGGTTGTATTATGTGAATCGCTGTTGGCGCGACTTACCGACCGATCTGCTGCCTACAATGGCCATCTTGCGCTGCTTCTGCTTGGGTTCTTTGGACGACATGGCTGCGGGTTCTGCTCGATCGCGGGTCCTTTGCTGTGGTTATGTCGCTGTTGCGTGGCGAATGGCAAAAGATGAAGAAATGCAGGCGAAGAAGGTGACGGGTTAGGAGAAGTGGTTGGTGTTCGGTGGTGGTGGTCTGACCGGGAGGGCACGAAGCAGATGTGGCTAAAATAACGTAACTCTGGGATGCTAGCTCTTGACTAGTTAGCCCAGCGACTCGGATCAGCTCCGTCGGCGCCGTGCCCAAGGAGCCTATTCTGCGGCAGGCAGTCGATTCCCAGATTCGCGACGCTGGTTGTCGTCGATGCAGGGAGAAGAGCGCGATTGATGCAGGCAGTTCGCGCGTGTTTCGAAGCTCTTTCGCTTTCGCGGGAGTCGGGGAAGAAGCCAATGCGAGCGGAAGGGAGAGGGAGAGGGGAGAGCGGGACTGGGCATCGACATCATCAAGTTCCATCCGCCGCATCATCATCAACGATCCGCGAGCCTTCAGCAGCAAGGGGACACACGCACGATTGGCTCACTTTCATCCATCCTCCTCTCACATGCATTCGAGTTATTCACATTCCCGCTTCTCATCCCTCCTTCTCACCGAGCTCGAGTCCTATTCGTTCCAACTTCCGCTTGTACCACATCCGTTGGGTTGTACACAGACATCGCCAGATACGGGAGTCTCCATCAGTACCAATGTTTCCTGTGCCAAAGAAAGTGACAAGGACGTAATTACATGCTTCGTGATTCGCTATTCGGCTCGCACGCCCAAGTGAGCTAGAAACCTTTCTCGCGAAAGAAGAAAACCAGAAGAATCGAGCTACCGGCCCGCTAGACCGCACACAGGCAAAGCCTTGTACATGTGTGACGGCCGTGGGAACACACTACCGGACACATATGGCTAGCGAGCTGACATGTGATAATCATGTGATGAGAGACACGTCGGACGTTGGACTTCCCTTTCGACTGTCGGCGTACTGCGTTCATCATCTCGCCTGGAAAAACTTCGACTAGAAGTGATACAGCCTCTCTATCTGAGACTTCATCACGGAATGACCTGTTTGCATGGCATGTAAGTTTGCATGGCAAGAAATGCAGGAACCCAAGGCAGCGGTGCAACCTGAGGCATCCCGCATGGAGCATTGAAAGCCAAAGACGACTACGAAGTGCACCACGACTAGCAAATCGACTACCAAGTCTACTTCTAAGTCGACGAGCACTACGGTATGTTCGCTTTTGCTTCCAACGGCTCTTGTGCTGTTGGCAACGATAGAGACTAACGTTGCTCTTTTTTTTTTTTTTTCAATTAGACTGCGACAACCACACCAGTCACCACGTCAACTTCATCGTCCACTACTTCCTCATCGTCCACGACAACTGATAGCACCACGACTAGCAGCACCACGACTAGCAGCACCACGACTAGCAGCGAGAGCACCACGACTAGCAGCACTACGACCACAGAAACAACGGTGAGAGACGATCGATACTACTCGATTGGCTGATTCAGTACTAATTGTGTCAGACGAGCACAACCACTACCGACTGTCCCGTCCAAGCAACTGGTACTGGATCCAAAACGTATTTCATCCGATGTGACGTAGCTTTCACAGGAGACATTATCGCAAACCCTGGTGTCGGAGGCGGCGGCCGCCGCCTCAGACATCGTGCCGTGTTGACGCCGCTTGAAGAATGCCAGGAGGATTGTGACGCCCTTACAGCATGCGTTGCTCTGAACTCGCAGGAGGCTCTAGGTCTTAACGGCTGCACGCTCTTCTCGAGAGTGAACGACAGACTGGTTGTTCTCCCAGGCAACGTCGCTGCCAGAGTCATCAGTACCAGCACTACGACCACGACTACCACGACAACTGTATGCCTTCTATCTCCGGCTTCATTACTTGATTTTGCATAGCTGACCTTCCATTTCAGACCCCCTCTACCACTCCCTCAACTGTGAGACCGCCGAGAATCGATATGTTATATGATTCAATGCTGACCAAATCACAACAGACTCCGAGCACTACGCCCAGGTTTGTGGACGGCTGCAGAATTTGAGATTGTGAGGCTGACTGATTCAAATTAGCACCACTCCATCAACAGTGAGCCTCTGAACGGTCTGTTATATGACTCAATGCTAACGAAGACGCGTCAGACCCCGTCAACCACACCGAGGCAAGTTCAATGCTACAGAGATTGCCATTATAAAGCTAACTGAATCACAATAGCACCACACCGTCTACAGTACGCTTCTGAACATTCTCATACATGTCTTCATGCTAACAACAGGCGCGAAAGACTCCGAGCACTACGCCTAGGTTTGTGAAACGCTGCAGAATTTAATATGTGAGGCTGATTATCTCGAAATAGCACAACGCCGTCTACAGTACGCCCCCAAACATTCTAATGCATGTCTTGATGCTAACAAAAGTGAAAAAGACACCGAGCACTACGCCCAGGTTCGTGGAATGCTGCAGAATTTGATGTTACGAGGCTAATTGATTCAAAATAGCACTACTCCCTCTATGACCGTGAGAGACAGCTAGGAATTGCCCAATTCATGATCAAATGCTGACAAGAACAGACCACTGCTTCAACTACGACCAGCTCGAGTGTGAGTAGATTCCTCTTTGCAGCTGAGTGATACGAATATCAGCTAAACTCATCCAGGCTCCACCTGTACCAACTTGCGCGATCTGTGGCAACGGTGGAACTGCTCTCTGCGGTTCAGATGACTGCTTTTGTTTCCAACCGGTAAGTAATGCGGCGGCTAGATGTGCCGGTGGGGCGACCTGCGAGCCCTGCAACACTGACGGCGATTGCACGGCGACGGATGAAGTTTGTGCCCTTGATTGTTCAGGCGCTTGTGGCCAAGGTGTAGGAGCGAGATTATGCGCCTCCGTTAACGACGGTTTTTGTACTGTTCAACCCGCATCGGCCAAGAGGGATTTGGAAAGAGTTTTCGACGTGTACAAAGGGGTAAAGCGGCCACACCAGCGTCGCAAGCTCATTGGAGACAGACTTCAAGCTGTCTAAGTAGCTTGGTGCGTACGTACTGAGATGCTGTGGAAGCATGATGCTGTTTGCTTGATAAAGATCTTTGTGGAGGGAGCGGAAGTGCTCAGCAGAATATATGGATGGGGCCGATCCCGACTGTCTCAGCCTTTCTGAATACAAGTTTTCGAATATACTTCTCTAATACAGTGGCATCGTCTGGACTCTACGGCGAGAAACACTCCTTTTGATTCTACAAATTTACGATCCTCACAAGGCGCGTGTTGCAAGCGCGAAGCTCCCAACAGGATGGCAGAAAACGGCGAACGAGGGTTTCTCACCGCGGACAACGCTTGCATGGACATCAAGTTCGACAGTATCAGCGATCGAGGACGTTCAAGCGACGAGACTGAAGAGATCTGCTGGTGAGAATGCCAACGAACTGAGCATAGATCGCAGCGGCATGTGAAATGAGAGTCTGGAGTGACAGCTGCAGTCACAAATCGCACCTTCCTGGGCGATATACCGGCGACTGGTAGCAATGAATGGGTATGTCCTTTTCTCACGACGGACGTAAATGGCAAACGCATTCGCTGTGTTAGCACATTCACATTGGCACATGCACTCCGCCGCCACGCCAAGCTGGACCATTGATTTCACGAACGATACAGAGAGAGCCACACTGGGCAAAAAGGAGAAGACTGAGTTCATCAATCTCTTCAAGCACAACACGTTGCTGTCATTGGGTGTGCCGATGGAAGTCGACCAAGTGAAGATGCTGCGCAACATCTACTACAACCAAGGCATCAAGAGTGTGTTGGCAGAAGTGCGGCAGAGGAAGTCGCCAATGCCGAAGTATGTCCAGAACCATGATACGCACACTAAACTCGATGAGGCCGACCGAATTGCCATCGGAAGACAGATGTTCTCCGACGATACGTGGCGGGAGAAAGAGCTCCTGCCAGGAGTTCACGAGATGATGGTGAAGTTCGAACCAAACCTCCAAGAAGTTCTTCCGGAAAATTTGCCGAATTATTTCGAAGATGCTTTCTCGATGCGGACTGCTTGTTGGCCAATCGAACTCCTGATGAATCATAAGGCATCTGGTGGGAGATATCCTGACTCGGTGTACGGCCGAAAGAAGGGTGGCTGAATTCCAGTCGAAGCAATTCTCTTACAAGCCACGTGGATGGAAGTGCAGAGTGGAAATCAAATTCCAGTGGGCGGCGTGGGTTTTGCTGGCTTTCAATCGGTAATCTGTCCTGCGACACAGATTGTGATCTAGCTGACGCAGCACAGTTTCGATCTCGAGTCATGGATTGGTAAGTTTATGGGCAAGAGAGAGGTCAGCCATCTCTGTGACATCTCGGTCGGCTGCGTCTTGATCGGTCACGCGGAGATGGAGAGTCAAGCCCGGAACAGAGCCTGACAGGCTTGCATCGAGAACGATAGGAGTGGCAAGGACTTCTGTGAAACACACAACACGACAGTGCTCTCAGGTTGGCGCACGCGCTGCAGGGCCTGGATCTTGGAGATTTTCTCGGTGTCCCAGATCATGCCCCATCCATCATCGCATCGGACGTCAAAGTTGCATGCGGATTCACGGGTTGCCCGGAGGTTTTCGACGACATACCCGACCGTCGCTCTCACCGGTTCCACGCCCATAGCCTCTACGCGAGAACGGCAAAGGGCCAGACGAAGTTTGATCTGTTCCCCATTCAGCTCGTTGATTGAGCACTCAGGGAGCTCATTCCATGTTCGACATGCTCGTCTTGCACTCAACTGGCTCTTCCCCATTCAGCTCAGTGTTTAAGGTCGAAGCAAAGCCCGAAGGTTCTCTATGGACAACGATACGAGAGCCAGTGACTTTTGCGAAGATCACACCGCTCATAAACGACTTCAAGCGAAAGAGCACGAAGAACTCGGTCTTCTTTTCCTTGTACTCAAACTCGTGTTCAGTACGAAGACCACCACACAGTGACTCCTTTTCTTCTTTTTGTTCTTGTTGGCTAGGACGGCGATGTGACATACCCAGCCATTATCGCCAGATTCTTTTGCAAAGATCGCGTCGTCTGGAAGTTCAGGACGCTGCGCTTTGTCATTGGTTCCACTGGTGCTCTTTGACTTCTCAGCAACGTGGCCGCGTGCACGACTCTCGTCGCCGAAAGAGCGACGACGTGTTGGTCCAGATGCAGCCTCATCTGGAAGGCATCCTTAAAGCGTCGTCAAGCTGGATACTTTTTGCTCAAGCTCAGCGACCACCCCTTGAAATACCTTTCCCCGAAGTGTGGGGTCTTGGAGACCAATCGTACGACGGTCGGATTCACACCATATGCACCGATGGCTCGACCCCGTGCCGAATGTCGTCCGGGATTTGAAAGTCTTCAGATCCTTTCTCCAGGGCAAGCTCGATGAGCATGAGTCCGAGGGCGAACAGCGTATCCTCGCGGATGGAATGACATTTCTGGAAATACTTCGAGCCATTTATGGGCGCTGAGACATCAGCGGACACAAAAGGATGCACCGCATTCACTGCTCCGGAGTCCTCAAAAAGAGTGCTCTCATTCTTGCCCCACTGAGCGCCATGCCAGGGGGTATGACAAAGTTGTAACATGCCGTCTGCTAACGCAAATGCGAGTGTTCGTCTTTGGGAGAGGATTAATCGAAGTTTCCTTCTGTCGCTTATGATAATCGAAATAATATAGAACTCAGAATCGCGACCACGAAGTCGGTATGTGTGAGTTGACGCCACAGCAAACAGGGAAGCAGGATTTCCAGCAGGCAGGGCTGGATCAGAAGGCATAACTTTGCCGCATGTTCCAGCGAACTTCTTCCACGGCATGGCTGCCTTCGCTCTCGAGTTGATCTTCATCCTGTCGCGGAACCGAGGAGCAATGCAATGTCAGTGTGCCGATGCCGTGCTCACCAGCTGCACCAAAGGCTGTCTGAAAGCGGTCAACAGACGTGACCACAGCAAGGAGTGGCAGTAGCGCGGACGCAGGCACTGACGACCGATCAGATTTGTGTTCCGGTTGACGCAGTCATTGTCGAAGGTGAAAGCCAGGAGCTTTGTCAAGGACCAGAGTGTTGGCAGGTGCGCGTGTACACGCGTATCTGAAAGTCGCATGCCTACTGATGATATCTCCCAATGCTCCTTTGGTTCCGCCCGACTGCAGTCACGGATGGACCGCGACCCGTACCACGATTCAAGGCCAAGCTGGCAATGCCCTCTCGCCATCTTCCAGGCAAACTTCATGAGTCTGTACGCGACCATACGACAGTTCCAACAGCAGCGTGGATCGAGTACGCCATATTCGAAGCACGCGACGAAGAGTTAATGGCCACTCTGGTCGATGCAGAGTGATGAACTCTTCGCGCTGCACGAGCGCGTGTCAAAGCCTGCCCTCGTGAGCGACTGGATCTGATCCGACTCGTCCGTTCGACCTCATCACTCGCTTGCGCGAAACACACACAACCCGCGGCGTCGTTGTCCAAGCAAGCGGAGTGCCCGAACCTGGCGGCGCCGCCCTATGCACGCCGTGGCACACTTCACAGGTCGCCACGTGGTCGTCGAGATTGGCGCGTCGAAAAGACAGCCGCGGTTCGTCTATCACCTCAAAGCAGACCGAACTAGGCCGTTTCAATACACTCCATCACGCTACTGACTCCCTATGAGGCTTGGCTGGAAAAGATAATGGCCCACTAGGTTCTCGACCCTCGAGCGCTTATCCAATTACGGATGACTCTCACTACTCCGCCCAATTCTCCTCTGCAGCCTTCCTTCCCGCGAGACACTGATTCGCCGCCAACTTCCTCGCGCGAGTGCATGTTTGCTGCATGTTCTGTCAAGCGGTTCCCGCGTGACTGGATTTCGGCCGAAGGAGACCAGTGAAGATCAACGCCTGTGATTTTAGTTCACAATTGCAGATCTGTCGCAAAGTCTGGAAGTTTGCCTGAGCAACGCAACACAATGGACGCTTCCTCAAAAGGCATTCTCTCTGCGATTTAGTATCATGCAGCTGATGTGAGCAATATTTCGCAACGCGACTGGCAATGCGAGGTCGTTGCAATCTCGCGTGGACAGCCACGGTACCGACAAGACAACATGCGCTTCCACATAAGAACGCCACTGAACTGCCAATCCACGCGGCAGACATCTGGCCCAGTACCGAATGGACCAAGGGCAAGCCACAACATTCGTGCACTTGGCCAAATAGGCAAAGCATAGAGTTTCGCTCCCTTACTCTGCGGCGAGACGCTTCGGTCGAGAGCGGTGGGACGAACGCCCTCTCACCACAAACGACTCGGCAACGGTATGGCGAGATCTGGGCGTGAAGGTTTGCCTGTGCCCCATGCTTTCCATGTGTCTGCTTTATATTTGCCTTGCGCCTCTGTACCGTTGTAGTTCTGTACATACGGTTTTCAGTCATCCCCTTTGATCGATTGCGCTTCATCGCTCCAGTCACTCGTTAAGTTCACTCATCCTACCAGCGACGATGAAGGTTGCAGCGATCACCGTGGCATTTGCTGCCGGGTCTGCTCTTGCGTCCGCGCCAGTGTTTCCATCAAATACCCAATGGAAGAAGACGCTTTTCCTCGACGACTTTACTGGACGATCCGGCACGACCTTCGATGGCACCAAATGGCAAGCTGCGACCGGCACTAGCTATCCAGGTGGCCCTCCAGCATGGGGAACAGTACGTCCAATGATTTCAAAGGCCCTCCAACTTGTCCGTTACTTCTGCTAACCCAGTCTTGTTTTAGTGGGAGGTCCAGACATATACAAATTCCGTGAACAACGTTCGTCACGCAGGAAACAGCGAGCTGTGGATTGTCCCAAGAAAGATCAATGGCAACTGGACAAGTGCTCGTCTCGAAACAAGACAATCAAACTTCAAAGCCCCAGCTGGCGGCAAGCTGCGCGTCGAAGCAAGAATCAAAATGCCCGACGTTAGCGGTTCCACTGCTGCCGGATACTGGCCGGCCTTCTGGGCTCTCGGGGGATCTTTCAGAGGCAACTACTGGAATTGGCCTGCGGTCGGAGAGATCGACATCATGGAGAATGTCAACGGTCAAAACAGCGTGACAAATGTCATCCACTGCGACAAGAACCCAGGAGGAATTTGCAACGAGGCGACAGGTCTGGGCGGCACTTATTCCTGCGATGGAGGCAGATGTCCCGGCAGCTACCACGTCTACCAGTTGGTCATTGATCGCTCGGTGAAGCCTGAGCGCATGCGATTCTACGTCGACTCGCGTATGGTGCGGGAGGTTTTCCAGTCTACGCTTGGAAGTGTTTGGGATCAGACTGTCAACCAGGGATTCTACCTGATCCTCAACGTGGCGATCGGTGGTGCTTTCCCGGATGCCGTTGCTGGATCCAAGACTCCTACTGCCAGTACCGTCGGCGGACGCCAGATGGCTGTTGATTATGTTGCTGTTTGGTCGACGTAAGAGCGCAGAATAAGGCATTAATGGAGTAATTGGGAGGCATTTGTTGTATGATAGACTTATGATACCCATGGGACGAGCAGAAAACCACATAGAGCAAGAACGGGAGAAATGTTACCTTTCCAAAACGACTTGAATCTCGAAAATATACCGCATGTCGTTCTTGGAGATCCTGGCAAGCTACGCACCCTGGTCTGGTTGGATGTGGGTGAGCACTTGAATGGCAGAACTCAAGTCGTAATAAGCGCCGTATAACACTTCGTGCAAGACCGCAGTCTTTACAACCGGATTCATGCATGTCGAAGCGTGCTCTCGAGATCTGCGGGCTTGTTGATGGATACTGATGACATTCATGGAACTCCGGAGCCCAGTTGGGCGGAACTAGAGTGCTTTTGCATCAGCCAAGTGGCGTGAAATGGGGTGATGTTGTGTGACTTTAATGGCCGACTCTCTTACTTTTATTAACGCGGTTCGTCACAGGCACTCAGAAGATGATGGACTACACTGTCACTACAGCTCATCACGCAATGTTGTCGACAACATTGTACGAGTCGCTTCGGGTCGGCGGGTTTGGACCCGTTCATTCTGCCGAGGACCGCCAACGAGGGGCATCGTGATGCAATCAGCGAGCAGGTGCCAGACAATTAGTCAACACTGCATAGCAACTCCTCGTCATCTCACAAAAGTTGACATTGGTTGATAAAGATCACTTCAAAAAATCTGCACTGACGCACTAGAACTACGCACAGATCGGAAAGTCCTGAAACATCATGCCAACCCAGCCTGACAATCCGGAGCCCGCCCACCACGAAGTCGACTCGATGCTCTCACGAAAGTTTGGCAAGGAAGTCGCCAACTACTTTTCCGGCTCGCCATTGAACAGAGTCGGCTTCCTGCGCGGCGACCACTCTTTCCTCTCGCAAGCACTCAAACACGCTTCGACCAGTTTTCTGCTCTGCAATGAGCTCCAGCCGCTCGTCCAGCCTGGCCTGCCCGCGGGCAAAGGCAAGCTGCAGTACGTCAAGTACGAGGATGTGAAGCCTATCATCGGCGAGGATCCATTCGCGTTATCCGAGAAAGAGTTCATCGAAGCATACTCGAGCGATAAATACATCCCACAAATGATCTTTTTGGGCATTGATGAGAAAGCTACCAACGGGCTGGAATACCAGGCGAAGAACTTGTACAAGGGAGCACCATACTTCGCTGTCGATGTCACACCTCGGGAGAATGTCGCTGATGCTTGCACAACGCTTATCGAGCGACTGAAGAGCGAGAAGGGATATGAGTTTGGAAAAGGGAGAATCATGGACATTGAGCCTCAGGATGCTGCCATCTATGCGGAAGCAAGACAGCTGCTGGATTGGAATCAGAGAAACCCCTTCTGCGCAGCTTGCGGGCACAAGACACTTTCTGTGAATGCTGGATTCAAGAGGACGTGCCCGCCAACGGACAAAGCTGCAGAAGCGGATAAAGTTCAGCGACCATCTTGTGTTACACGAACGGGAATCTCCAATTTGTGTTTCCCTAGGACAGATCCTACAGTCATCATGGCTGTGATCAACTCCACTGGCGACAAGATTCTGCTTGGACGACAAAAGAGATGGCCACCGTACTGGTACTCTACACTAGCAGGTTTCGCAGAACCAGCAGAATCGATCGAAGAGGCTGTACGAAGAGAGGTCTACGAGGAAGCGGGTGTCCAAGTTGGGCGAGTAATCATTCACTCTACACAACCTTGGCCATATCCAGCGAACTTGATGATTGGTGCTATCGGCCAGGCGATTCCAGGCGATGGCGAGAAGATCGATCTGGGCAATGATCCGGAGCTGGACGATGCGAAGTGGTTTTCATTCGACGAGGTCCGACACAGCTTACGAGTGGGCACAAGTGGGCTGGGAGAGGACGCTGGACCGGAATACAAGGAGGGTGATTTGCGTCTGCCTCCTCATACGGCTATTGCTAATCAGCTCATGACTGCTGTGGCCAATGGATTTGCATCTGGCGAGCCGAAGATCTGATGAACGACAGCACATTGCGCATGAGTCTTTGAGACCTTGGCCGTCACTGCCCACCAGCCTCTCAATGTGCCTCTCTGGACACTAAGGAATCTTGAAAGAATGTCATGACATTTGAAGCGAGCATCCAATAGAGTGGCCCGAAGTTCGCCACGACAAAGCTCGCAGCTTCATTTCAATCACACCCCGGTTCCTATTGTGGCCATGATTTATATGCATGGCTTTCTAAGTCAGAAAGGAAGTCACCAACGCAAAGTATAGATAGAGCGTCTCATTGACTGTACAGTTCTTTCTGTCATAAATTTACAATTCCATGCATCTTCTTCCCCTGCTCTTTCTCTTCGCGACACAGCGCGCTCGAGCTCTCCCTTCTCGTATGGAACTTTCAGTGATCCTCGTGCTGAGTGTGCGGTTTTCATGTCCTTGGTTCGTCCCATGCTCTCACCTCTTCCATAGCGTTTCTCTTCAATTACTCACAGCCAATTCACTCGGATCAATCGAGCCCGTCCCCCTAAACTCCCCACTCAAACTCAAACCCGGCCCATTCGTACTCGACAACACAACCTCATGTATATCCTTCGGCGTCTTATCCGCAACCCCAGCAATATCCTTCCTCACTTGCTCCACAAAAGCTTTGATATTCCTCTGCACGTCCTCCGGCTTGAACCCCAACTGCCCAATCGCCAACCTCACCACACCCGCTCTCTCACGATATTCACTTCCACCCACCATATCCCTCACCGTCGCCGCCACGTCTTTCACCACAGTCCCCAATTTCGCCGAAGGCATTAAACCCCTCGGGCCCAAGATTCGCGCTACGCCGGATTTACCGAGTTTGGGAAGGGAATCGACGTGTGCGATACATCGGTCGAACTCGATGTTGCCGGCTTTGACGGCTTCGAAGATGGAGTCTTCGCCTACGAGGGAGGCGCCAGCTTCTTTGGCTGCTTTTGCTTGGGGACTGTCTTCGGGGGCTATTACGCAGATTCGCAGGTCGGTTTTGACGGGGTGAGGGAGGCGCAGGCGGTTTCGGACTACGGCGCCGTTTTTGGGTGTTTTGAGGCGGAGGTGGAGTTCGTATTTGGATGAGCTGGGGGAGCGGCCGACTTCTGCGGCGCGGAGATAGCTGGAGGAGGAGGTTAGTCTGGTTTGTTGTTGCATATTGGGAGAGAAGTGCTTACCGCATCGCATCTACGAGAGAGAATTGGATGGCATCTTTTAGGTTGGGTGCGTCATATGTTGTCTTCGCTTTCTTTCGCTTTTGCGAGGCGGGCACATCTTTCCGTTTGTATTTTGCGGCATTGGCAGATTGGACTGCTGTGCGGATTTGTGTTTGATGCTGAATCGGAAGGAGAAAGGATGGAACTATCGTTGCTGTTCGCGTCTGATTCGTTGCGGCGCGTGATATCGAGGAGAGACAAGAAGGACAGTATCGCGCACCGGATGCCATTTTCGAATTGTGTATTGAGGACGTCGACGTTGTCACCTGGAGTACTGTACAGGTCGGCTTGCTGTAGTCGAGATGGCGTTGCGGCCAGGCTCGGGAGTGCCAGTTTCATTCGCCGTTAGTCAATATTTGACGATCATAGCTACTTTCACATGCGCTGCTCCGGACCACTGTTACAATGCCTCACCTCGCATCTAATGCCTCCTACGTGTGACCATGTCGCGCTTCCAGATTGGCGCAACGCCAACGACTGCCTCAGCAGTCTCTACACCTGCCGCTGAACCTTCGCCAGCTTCGACTCCAGCTCAAAGAAATTCATCGGACGACTACGATGATGATGACCTCTCTACACTTCCATATCCCACTGAGTTACCACGTTCAGACTTCCTGAAACCCGACTTTGACGCGCAGACCTATCTGTCGTCCTTACGAAACCGTCATCAGACATTAGAAGATCTGCGCTCGGATCTACGCTCACGCAGCCAACTGCTGAACAAGGAATTGCTGGACCTGGTCAATGGCAACTACGAAGAATTCCTGTCTCTTGGATCTGATTTGAAAGGTGGAGAAGAGCAGGTCGAGGGCGTCCGAGTTGGTGTGTTAGGGTTCGCGCGCGAGGTTGAGGGCATCAAGAAGGCTGTCGAGGAAAGGAGAGAAGAGGTCAAAGAATTGCTGGATGAGAAGAAGAGTATCCGTCGAGAAGTCGTGATTGGGAGACTTCTCTTGGAGGTCAATGAACGTATTTCTGAACTGGAGACCAGTCTTGGTATCAATGCAGATGCCGAGGACGATCAGGATCTGGACGACGACGAGGAGGAAGACGAAGACGGATCCGAACCTGCAAGTGCACAACTTCGGAAGCTCCAGAAGCACACTCAACAATATCTTATGATTCAGAGAATGATTGACCGCATCGGCGCTGAGCATCCATTCTTCGTTGCCCAGAAGGGCCGACTGGATGAGATCAGGAAAACAATGCACCTGGATCTTGCGGCGGCGCTGCGACAGGCGAAAGCTGAGAAGTCTCAAGAACGCACCCTGCAAGTCATCAAGCTTTACGCGGACCTTGGTGCAGAGGCAGAGAGTGTCAAAGTGCTGAAAGCCGGCTGAAAAGATGGCGTACAACATTATTACTTTCCAAGACACGTGTCGGCACGTCTCGAGCTCGAACCACGAAGTATCGCACGCGATGAGCAATGCGTGTGCATCTCATGAGCCTATGGGCAATCGCACTGAGCCCTCAGAGCGTGTTGAGCTTTGAAAGCGTCATCAAGAAGACCGTGGTCTTGGAGGTTGAGCATTGTCCGTGCTCGGGACCTGAGCTTCGTGGCCTCTGGAGCGGCTACACTTCGAGCACGCTGTCTCCACCTGACACATCAGGCGGTCGCTTCCTGTGTGCTAATGGGCTTCTCTCATGCCAGGATCAGCCCATGGTCTAGGATGTCTCCAATTTCGCACTGCACGGCGCTACGCCTTTCGTCTGCGCACAATAGCAGTAGGAAGTGGGATCAGTAGCTCTCAGTCGCCTCGAATGAAGGGCCAGCGAAGAGCGCCACGCGGTGGGTCAACGATGCAATGGCTTTTGCACGCCGTCGGTTCGGTCCACCACCCGAGAGATCCATCTCAGACCCTCATCTCAAAGCTGCTTCGAAGAAGGAATATCTAATCAGCCATGTCTGAGCGTATCAGTTAGACAAAGCACATCTGACAGCCCATCACCACTATGTTGCAAGCATTGTTCGCAACTGCTTTGCTATATAAGTCTACAGAATGGATTGTCTGGTTCGTCCTCCAGGACATTCACTTCTTTCGCCGCTGCAACAGGCTCTCCACAACAGGTGCTGGCCACCTATTTCAACTATTATTCCCCTTACCTTCTGTCTCCCATTCACGGAAAAGCCGCTCACACTACCCATATTCATCCTCGAAGAAATTGCATCTACAGCTGGTCCCACGAAGTCTTACAGTTACGATCTTCTTAGCAACACCATTTCTACGCCACTAGGATGTACGAGACCCAAGAAGAAGTAATCGCTCGCTTCAGCCGGCTACAGCATCTCAGCCCAGCACAGTTGGCGCAGTTCTCGCGAGACATTGACACGCTACGTCCAGGAAACTACCATGACAACCGAGAGATTCGGCGCAAGGCAATATGCAATATAGTTGGGCGTCTTGGGCTATGCATTGAGGATGCCGCGGCTGTGGTCAATGACCTGATGATGCTCTTCGACGCGAGGCATGGGTGGGGAGTCACACACCGTGATCCACATCCACCAGCCCGAGCGTACAGACGGTCTAGAAGAAATCGAATGCCAACTCCTGATCCCGAAGTGATTGACGAAGAGGAAACGATTGAAGGTAAATCACGGCATACATGTAAAAAGGAACAGTCAAAGGCTGATATTAGCATATTAGACTACCAGCAAGGACTTGGACCTCCGCAGGGACCTCCTACTCCAGATCCAACTCCGTCTCGGCTGTCCCTAGAACCCGGAGCACGGTTTGATGTATCTTGGCCGCAGCCACCGACGCCAGCTCCATGGTTGAATATCCCTGTCCATCAAGAAACCATTCAGTCGCTTTCTCTGGAAAACAGCATGCTGCGCGCAACGCTCACTGAGCGAGATTACGAGATCTTCGAGCTGGAGTTGAGCAATGGCCGTCTTCAGGTGGAGGCCATGTCGGAGCGAGCGAAGCAACGTAGGGTGAAACAAAGATTTCGAGATCTGGCTAATGAGGAAGACTGAGAGGCATGCATGCATGACTGGAGCCGGTTCTTCAGGAGTATTGTTACTTGGATGGCAGTTGCAAACGTGGCCTTGGATGTATGATTGTGGCAGACATGGACATCATTGTGTGCATACAACAAATAATACTGTACAAATGGGTGGTTGTTTGAAGCACTAAGTTCCAGTCCTCTTCACATCATTTACTTCGTGGATCTCGTTGCGTCTTCCCATCATGGCATTGCTCAAAACGATTTCGATCTTCGATCACAACTTCGCAGCCTTCCTCTCCTCTTTCCACAACCCAACCAACCCCTCTCCACTCGTTCCCAACACTGGATCCCTCTCCGGCTTAGGCACTTTCCACACATCCCTAAAATGCTTCCCATCATCCTCCTGCCCCACCGCAAAATCCCAAGCACTCCCAACCGGATACGCCCCCAACATCGTGAACCCCTCCAACTTAATCCCCTTCAACACCTCACTCGGATCATCCACCTTCCCAATCCAATTCTCATCCCTCCCCGGCGTCAACAAATCAAATTCCGCCTCTGGCTTCGTATCATACGTCTTATGCGCCAACCCCGCTGGTAAAACAAAAACATCTCCAGCTTTAGCTTGGATTTCGATTCCGCCTAACTCCCAGGCTTCACCGTGAGTGTTGGCTTCAAGGTCAGAGGAAGTGTCGGCTACGCCGAAACGAATTGTGGCTGTTCCGGAGAGGACGGCCATGCATTCGTGGGCGGCGGAATGGTAGTGGGATTGTTGCGTGGGGCCGTAGCGGAAGATCCATTGTACGAGCCAGTTGTTGGAGTGGAAGAGTTGGTAGACTGTGCTGGGGTCGTAGGTGGAGGAGTTTTGAGGGTGTTTTTGGGTGAGGAGGCCTGGGTAGTGGAGGAGTGGGTAGGGGTTGTTGGGGATGAGAGGTGTAGGTGGGAGGTGGTAGGTTTTGACTTGCATCATTATGGAGATTTGATCAAGAACTGTGTCTATGTGATAGTGTGGTTATTGAATGATGAATTAGACCTACATTTTGCGAACGCAGCTTATGATATATCTACTACTGTCGTCGGACTTGGTGTGCGAGAAGTGGCATGTAGCGGATCGTCTTGCCTCTTTGGACTGGAAAGGCGGGGTTGTTTGCGGTCGTGGCTCCGTTGTCACTCGGTCTCCTGCACGTCATCTTTGGTATAGAGATACGGAAACTACTCTCTGATCGACATCGGTATATGTTTTGAAGATTGCGATGGAATTGGCAATTCGGAGCTTCTTGTTGTCGATGATAGAGTTCTGCAGCCCCACTCTGTGGCTGAGGTCTCAGAACCTGTTCCCATTGCATGCCGGCTCGGCAAAAAGACGTGGCAGGAATGGATGACGTTCAAGTTCCAAACATCGTGGTGGAGAGGCCGGAAGGGCGGAAGAGTTGGTAGTAGCAGGGCATAAGTGCGCGATATATTGTGCAACCCGTTTTTGAGAGCCCTGCTCAGCCTTGTTCACTCTCAATGGCAAAGCTTTGTTGCTCCTGCGCCGAGTACCCGGGGACCGACCGAGTTGCTGCTTACCAACGGATTACAAGCCAGACCTAGCAGTATAACACTTCGACCTTGGAAGATCTCATGTAAACATAGAAACATCATCACAAACAATCGCTTCCCGGCAGCTACAACCATGCAGTTATCCTTCTTCGAGCGGCTACCCGCTGAACTACGCAATCTATGCTACGAGTATGCACTGTACGAACCCGACGGAGCTAGGATACGGAACGAGCCAAGTCTGCTGTCTACCTGTAAGGCGATCCGCGAAGAAGCCGAGCTGATGTACTATGCTATCAACGACTTCGAGGTCATCATCCACGAAGATCATATCGACCATGATCTGTGCCAATGGCTCGAGAACAAAGCGGGTCCCCGGCTACGTTCAATTCGAAGTCTGTCCTTGCATGTGCAAATGCCATGGATATCCGCTCAGCCCCCGGACACCTCGAATGGCTTGCCAGAGGGCGAGGACGATGAATATGGCTCTCTTGGCTGTCTGCACCTGATGCATATCATGAAATCACTCAGGACGGCCTCTTTCAATGATCGATCGCTGGAGAAGGTGATCAGGTTTACGCTCAATGATGCGCGGGACGACGAGCATTTCGACAAGATCGAACGGATGTCGACGACGGATCAGGACCGGTACAGGGGTGCGAAGTTCTTGATTCTATCGCTGGTGCACGGAGAGTCGACGACGGTGGAGGCTTTGGAGAGCGATGACTGCGAGCGGCGGTTAGAGGAGTTGGATCGTGAGCTTCGGGAAAGACGTGCTGCGGCGTGATGCGCAGCGCCCGGCTGTGGCAGCCATGGGAGCTCATTGGCAAGTCATATACTGCGAGATGCTGCTTCACACCTTGTTATCAGTCTCGTTGGATTGTGATGCGCAGGCGCCCGACAGATTCCAATGATTCTCAATAACGAATTCCAGCTGCGCGACTCGTGGCGTGGTATAGTGTGCCTGCGCAGTACGGACTTCTTTTCTTCACCCTTCAGTGTGCATCAATCTCATCTGTCGGTGCAGTAAGTGTCGGTCTTTCCATGTGATGGTCGCCGTTGTGGTCCAAAACTCTGTCGAGGTGAATGTTTCGTGTTGGTGGTGGGCGGCAAGTGCTTTGGAAGTTGCTACTCACTCCGGCTTGCAAAACTGAACTCCATCTACGCTCACCAACGCCGTGACCGCACAACATCCACGCAACTACCAGCGCACTCCGTTCTTCATCCCACACACCTCGTCTATATCAACCTCATTCGATCTTCAGCGTCTCCTGAGCTTGCATCTCCGCAGCCGATATGTCTGCCCACCCGATCGAGCAGAATGCTGTCGCCCACAGCCTTGAGGATTCGAGAATTCAGCCAACACAGGTAAGCAATAGCAGCCCTCTTCCTCTGACTTCAGCCATTGGAAGATATCTGTCGCCGCCTCGGAGGCATGTCACGGGCCTTCCGTCAAGTGCGCGCTGCGGTAGCACTTGACCATCGAGGCACTTCCTGAGTGCCAGCGTCCGCAATACATCGAAACGCCTGTGGAAGGCGGTACACATGGAGGAATACTACAAGAGGAGTCTCGGAAAATGCATGCTGCGTCGCAGCTGGACACCGACGGCGGGAGGGCTTGGTCGGCTCTTCAGCACGGACTTGTCAAACGAGCCTTCCACGAGGGACGGCCATGGCCTCCAGCCTCAGTCCATGGTTCGGGGTCTCGCTCTATCTCAGCGATGGGCGAGGAGACGCTGCAGGCTATATTGTGCTGCGCTTCCTGCCCGCTGTCGGGAACCGGGTCGCAAAGGAACAACGGTCACCACGGTAGCCTCCGATGAGCTGCGTGTGAGGTCGTCGGGCAGAATGACTTCCCCAGCCATCGCCGTCGTGGTGCCGACGGGTATGCTCCTGCCCATACTGCTGATACGGATCCGTCGCATCGGCCTGCTATCCTGCTTCTGCTGCGGACGCTTCCGAAAGCTGAATATACTTGCTCTTTTCTGAGTACTCTTGCGGCTTCCTTCGCTGCTCCCAGAGCTTGCCTCCGGCACGCTTGTCAGAACTCGGCGCATACCTGGTCGAGGTATTTGTGGTCTTGGGAGGGTGGCATTCGCAACCGTGATTTCGCCCAAAGGAGGCATATGAGATCCATACTCGTCAGCCAAACTCAGTCGTGTTTTTGCGCATATCTCTGCGATGCCATCGATAGCTAGCTGGAAGTCCCGATTGCCGTCGACCGACCGGAGAATGTCCGCAAAAGCATAAGATGAGATTGGGGGCAGTGTTTGCGCATCGTGGATCCTCGCCACAGGTCTCTCCGTAGACCTCTTGCCATCTGTGTATGCTTTTACAAGCACTGGCTGCGCCATAGCGACATGCTCGCGAGAGGTGCAGTAGCACAGAGAAGCCAGAGACGCCCACAATGGTGATACAGCTCCTGAGACACTGGAGCAGCAAAAGCCTGGTCCTCGCGCAGCCAGCTTGGCCAAGAATCGACCGGAAATGCAAGGCAGGCCATTGTCGCATTCAATCACTTATGGAAGCTGACGGCGCTTTTTGCCGTGTCATCGTTCCGGTCAATGGAATTTGAGACCTCCATGACGAATTTGAGAAGATACCCTGCCCGTGCCTGCGCTTGGAATTCATCTTGCGGATCTGGGTCGCTGCGGGTCCCCGACTTGTGGCTGCCTTTCGGTTGAGGTCTTGGCTGGATTCGTCCCAACTTCACTCCTCTTTGCATGCTTTCGACCTGCACACTTCCCGAGAGCACGCATACCTGCATCGAGCTGAAGTTGCATTATGTCGCAAGAAGAGGACTTTCGGATAAAAGGAGCTGCTCAGGTAGCAGATACTGCTGCTCAAGATCCAACAGAGTCTACAGATCAGCCGAAAAAGTTGGTCGAAAATGCAGACCAAGCTGAAGAGGCTGAGCAGGTGAGTTCAGGAACTCTCAAGACATGGAGAAAGGAACTCTGGCCACATCATATCGCTTTAGACGGGCCATGTGATCGCCGTTGATGCATGTCAAGACGATCCGAGCTGTCCGCCCGCTTGCTGTGGCGCGTGTATTGTCAGGCCTTCGCACGTGGACCTGTGCTAGGCGCATTCTTCCGCGCTACAGCATAATGTACAGATCTTGTCCATTCAGGGTGTGCTAACTTGCGGTAGGCCCAGGAAAAAGAACAGGAGGGTGAGGAAATAGTCGCTGGCGAGACGCACGACGAAACGTCGGCAGACCGAGTAAGTGAGAGGCGCTGCACGCTCTTCCTCATCTCCTTCCCATCTGGCATTTGCACTGGTCGCATACCCTCTGGTAATGCTGTATCCTTCCCTCCAAAAGGCCCATTGCAATTGTCCAGGCCTCCTCCGCGCCTCCGCGCAGCCAATCCGCTCCACCAGCTCTGCCCCAGGCGTACTTGGTGCGATCGTATCTCTGGTGGCCGGCTTGGACGCAAGCTGTGCTCAAAGCATCTTGTGCCATGTGGGTTGCTGGGAACAGCCCTCGATGGCTCATGACGGCGCTGATGTTCTCCGAGTGCTCGATGGAGGAGAGGATTGGTGCACGGGACGGCCATTTCTGCCTCGCGCTCTTCGGAGGCTCCGCTGTCGAGCAGTCGCTGCTGGATGTTGTATCGGATTTGCGTTTGCCTGAGCTTTGGCATTGATTCCAGAGGGAAGCCTGTTGGTGCTGCTACTACAGCTCACCGAAGCATCCCGCCAGCTCGCACGGACCCTGCATGTTTGACTCTGGCGATTTTGCTCAACCCACCACCCACCACCCTTTCTTCCTTTATCTCGCACTTCATTAGCACCACCACGCCAACACGTCAGCAAACATGGCGACTGACGGATACCAGAAGCTGCGAGAGAAGTACTTTTGGTACAAATGCGAGAACCCCTCGCAGGGTGAGGGCATTCCCACCCACTACTTCACCAACACGAAGTCCGGCGAATCAAGCTGGACAGAGCCATCAGAGCCATATTGGCTCTACAACACCGAGCTGGGCGGTCCAGACCCAGTGGGTTTGCAATACCCACCAGGCGCTGAGCGTAAGTTCTCTGGTAGATTCTCACACGCTGCGCCAACTAACGCAACAACAGAGCCGAATGCCGCGCAAAAATCTGCAGAAACACATCCACTGCGGTACAATCCAAGAATCCACGGCGACTACGACCCAAACGCCGACTACGCCAAGTACACCGAGCAGCGCCTAGCAGAACAAAGCGGCGCCACCACCTACGGCGCCGCAGCCGCAGCACCAGGCACTGGAAGCGCCGACTACAGCTCCATCATGGCCCTCAACGCGCGCACGGGCAGCGCTCAACCATCACATCTCTCCGCCGACCGCCACAACGACTTCGCAAAGAGTGGCAGGCAGATGAACGCGTTCTTCGACGTCGACGCCGCCGCCAACGCCCACGAGGGCAAGTCGCTCAAGGAAGAGCGCAAGAACAAGAAGCTCAGCAAGGCCGAAGTGAAGGCATTCAATGAGGCGCGCAAGGAGAAGAAGCAGAAGAAGCGGCTGGCATTCTACAAATCATGAGCGGAAAAAGTCGTGTCTTCTTCACTTGTACTTTAGTCCTTCCCTTCACTGCATTAACGCCAAGCGATACCCTGGAGCAGGCGGGCGTCCTCAGTTTCATAGGATACTAAAAAATGGGAATTGCCGATGATATGTGCTTCTGACTACAGGCTCGTCTCAATGCCAACAGATATAAAGCTGGGTTCCATACTGATGAGGCGGAGTTAGGCAGAGAACAGGGAAAGTGCTGCATGCCTCTGGTGGTAAGTACATTACAATGCCTCAACGAGTTTGACTGACCTCGATACTGACGCTTCAAGTTCAGCAGAGAAACGTCAAAATGATGAGTGCTTCTGGCAGCCATTTCTTGCTGATGCCTCCAGATATCGCACTGCCTCCCACACCAGCAAACTGAAGTCCTGTGAGAGAAGGTGTGGGCGATGCTTACTTCTGGTATCAGAAAAGATACGGTGAGTACGAATCTCCGACTCGCTCAAGCGTCGACGGATTATGCCCAGCAGAGAGCACAGAGAACAATGCCACTTTCTGGTTGAACGCTCTGGCCAACGCTCACTAGTATCCAAACGATTTGGATGCCAGCGAACGGAATCATTCAGAGAACGTTTAGTCAGGGTGTAGGTGAGTTCCAGGAACACCAGGCTATTTGCCGAGCGACCACGTTCCAACGCTGTTCACGGACTCGATCGACAGGGTAATTGTTCTCAGTCAACTCGGAAAGATTTCACTTGTTGGTCAGTCTCTGGAAGTCACGGATGGCTCAGGCCGAGCACTGGAAACTACGCCGGTCACAGAGTATGTCTATGTCGAAGAGTGATGCACTCTTCTCGAAGTCATAAGCCGTCACCGCCTTGCATTTAAGTGTGCACGGGACCTGCGGGAACTTATCGCCCTCAATCAAAATTGCGTACTATTTCGCTCGAGGAGTTTCCGGTGACCGCTGCCGTCGACACGACAGGAAACCGAACATCATTGTGGATATAGTAGCTACTTCTGTGGCGGAGGTGAGTTATGATGCAAAGTATCGTTCGAACTTAGCTAATGGGACGTGTAGTTCTTTCTGAAACATTCCGCTTATGCCGCTCGCGCGCAGCGGGTCGCGAACGTCGTTGGATTCGTGTCGGTTACAGGACTTGCTATTGCGGGTATTTACAGCTTCGAAATATGCGACGAAGGCTCGGCTGATTCGATGCACATTCAACGAAGTTCTGCAAACTATCGAACGCGCAGACAACAAGGTCTTGTCAAGACTCACAAACTGCGGCCGTGTTCAAGAGCTCTACAGTCAGAAGGCTGGTGAACGACACATCTATTCTCGATGCAGTCCACAGCGACTTCAAGAAAGCAGCCGCCTATCCGGAGCAAAGTCTCATCCGGAAACGACCCCTCTGGCTGTTGTGGGGAGAAGAGGTCCTCATGAAACGTCGTATGGCAGGAGAGCTGACATGCAGCTTGCTAGAATGAATGCGCTGCATCGTCCTAATGTTAGATGAGCTTTTCTCGACCATAGCCGACCGCCCAGATTTCCTATCGACAACACGCTATGGCTGCTCAGCAATTACAGGTTGCTTTGCCGGGATGTCGGACTACGCGGCTCTCCCTTGGCCGGATGTCCCATCTGCGACGACGGAGATCTCTGCGCAGGTGAATTGCTGAGCATCTCCGGCCTCGGCAACCAGTTGGAGGCAACATTTTCTTGATCCTGGACAGCTCGGAATCTTCTGACAAGCACTTACACAGCTTCGCCAGCATCGCTTTCATCCATGATGTCGTCCTCTTCCAGGTATGGAACCCCGACTATGTTCTGAGTGACCCAGTCTCGGCATTTTGCTTCCACTGTCGGAGTTCAAGACTATGCTGGCTGCTACGCGAATGGCACCCTTTGTGCTCCGTAGGACCAGGTGGAGAGACGCAGAGACGGCGACATGCTTCTGCTGAAATCATCTGGTCAACGCTACCGAACGTGTGCAATGGCTCGCATGGTGGTGGTATAGCTTCAAGAAGTGCGAGCAAAACTCGAATCTCCGCTCGAGTAGAGAGTGATCCTGACTTCCGACGGAAAGTCGATACCATGCACAGGTACTGCTTTATCAACGAGTCACTCATGATTTACTGTCAGGAGCTCGTCGACCAGGACGGCAATCCACCATTTCGGATGCCATCGAGCGATATTGCTTTGCCGACCAGACAGATGAAGACGTCGAAAGCTTTGCCTAGCGTTGCGACAACTGGACGGGAGAGGAGGGAGAATAGCCTACGCTGCAGCAGTCGGCACAAGGCAAGCGCAAATACATCGACACCAAAGACTGTCAGCCTTCCGATGCAAGAGTCAGAGCCGTGCGCAGTGTGGTTTCAAGACTTGAGCATGCTGTACTCGGGACCGGACGTGGCTGCAAGTGGTGTGTTCGTGACAGCGTGGTGTTCCTGGCTGTTCACCATGGAGTGGAAAGAGACTAGAGAGCTGGTTGGAGAATAAGGGAGGGGAGTACAAAATTGGCATTGTCTCACCGGCTTGTAAAGGTAGTATTTATCACAACGATGTCCGATGTTAGACCAGATTTTGGTGTCTCTGCAGTGCTGATTCGTGCTCCTTGGTGACTTGCCAAAGGCCTGGGAGTGTAGTTTTGAGTGGTTAGACGGAGCAAGAGCAAGTGAAACTCCGCCACACGCGACGGATGTTCGGTGCCTCTGAGTGCCTTTGCTTGCGACCCTAGGACCCAGTTGGAGATCTGTCAGCGTTCTGACGGGTGGTTTGGCGGAGACACGAGTAAGATCTCGTACATATTCACGATCCAGCGTGCGCTTCTGATCTGCTCGTACTCGTGCAGCAAGCTCGAGCTCTTCTTTGGTGAGCTCTAGATCGCCCTCGATCCTTTCCTCAAAAGGCGAATGGGAGCACAAAGGATCCCAGCGTGTCGCGTCTCGCTCCTAGCGCATAAGGTGCTTTACGAAGTGATCGGTTGTTGGATGTGGTATAATAGCATTGAACTCGACAGACAATACCGCCTCTGCAGCCTTCACGAGTCCTCTCGATCGTGGACGGATCCCAGGTCTTGGAACTAGCGTATAGCACAAAGTGCCAATGTACGAGATGGTGAAGCCTTCCTCGAAAGCCGAACGTACGAAACGCTGCAGAGTAGCGTAGTTGTCGGGATGATATTGTTGTGTGCGTCCCAGCATGCCGACCGACTCCGGCGTGCCTGAGCCAATGTATAGCTTGGGCTGTCTGCCAGGCATCTCGAAAATGATAATATACACACACCATGTGCCCTTCTGGGTTGACGGCAGAGCAAAGAAATGGGTATGCATCGGGGCGTTGGCGGAGTTGAGCAGCTCTTCGACCTCAGGTGGGAATGATAACGGGCAAGCGAGTGCTATACTCTCCAGCTTCTCGCGTTCGGCGGGCACGATCTTGAAGTCGGCATTGATATATCACTCGGGAGAGTCGATGTTGACAACGCTGTGGATCTTGTCGAGCCACAGCTCTTCCAGAGTCTTCTTCTCGAGCTGCACATCGGAGGGGTGCTCTGTGTCGTGGTCGAGATCACTCTCGCGCGCTGGGTCGGAGCAGCACTCTATCTTCGAAATTGCGTTCGTCATGTTCTCTGTCGACCTGAGATCACGCCCGATCGAGCGTTTAAACAGGAACGGGTGTGAAGACGTGAGTCAGGTTAATGTACACTCTGTTGTTCTCGAAGAGCTCTATACACATGCTACGCACTTCGTATGAATATGCTTGTTGTTTCTTGCCATGCTTGACACAGTCGTCCAGATGTCGGCCGCTAATGTCAGCTTGGTCGCTCGAGGCGTCTTGTGTAGCCTTGCGAGCATTGACATAATACTTCCAGCAGAAGCATGGTACCCTTTACTGCGTCCCTCCGCCTGGTATTTGACATGAGATCGAACGCTGTTGGATGTTAGGGAGCGCAGTTTTGAGGTTTGCTGCTGGAAGCAAAAGATTAAGCCGCCGTGATGCTTGTACTCACGTTTACACAATCTCTTCTTCTTGGTTTTGGCCTTCTCTGTAGATACTGAGTGATAGGAGGACCGGGAGCGTCCGGTGCGTCTTGTAGAGCTGATGCTAGTGATCTCGACGTCGTGGACGGTATCGATATGAAGGGTTGTGTTCAGTATGTGGTTTGAGGTGGCTGGGTAGTTGTAAGGTGAGAGTAGGATGGCGTCGCGACGTCTTCGAGTGACGAGAGTGAGGGCGTTGGGCAAAGAGGCACTGATCGTTGCTGGAGTTGAATCAGCACTGCAGAGACATCGAAATCCGGTCTGACATCGAACATCGGTATGATACATTACTACCTTCCGAAGCCGATAATATGATGCTAATTCTATGCCTCCTCCATTCCTCCCAGAGACCAGTCTTCTCGCGGGTATCCATTTGATAGTACATTTAAAGAAAATTTCAGGATGCTCATTGTTGTGGAATAAGCCCCCAACGATCGTGTCGGTGTGTATGCCTTTCCTCTTCCTTCGTGAGAAAACACCGCAAACACCATTAAAGCCTCCCATCGCGCATGCATAAAGTATCCACCCAATCACCAGATTCCAGCTCCCACACATATCCCAAAGGCAAGCAATACCGGCTCGCATTACCTCTAGTAGTCAATCCGTCCTGGGGAGATGCAGACAAGCATCCATCCGCCCATGCCCCAACGTACAGCATTTCCAAATCCCAATTCACAAAATGCCCAGTCCAACACATAAAGCGATTAGTCTCTCATCGCCACAAATCTTGCTTACTTCCTCTCCGTTGATGAGCGCTATCGCCGAAGATCTTCGGAGGAGCCATGAAGAAACTACTCCGATCGGACTTCCCTCCGCCGAAGCTGCCGAACCTCGAACCCCGGTGCCCACTGCCGTCCGAAGTCGTAGGTCGCGGAGCCTCCTCTTGTGGCACAGCAAGGAAACCGCCGAAGCCGTTTCCTACAATGACGGATTTGCGAGCCTCGCCACCAAAACCGCCCTGTGCCCATTGAGGTCCAAGACCCCGACCTGCGCTGTATGCGCTCAGGGGTCTGCCGCCTGAAGCAATGACACTGCTGCGTTTATCTGAGGGGTTGTTCTGTGGAGTAATGGATGTGAAGACCCATTCCAGCTCGTCCATGCCCTTAGAGAAGACCTCGAGAGTTTGGTTAAAGCCGCCGCCTTGTAATTGTGCAAGATTCTTCTTTGAGTCAGGGCTACCGAAGCCCATCGGTAGTGGAGGAAGGAGGAGCAATTCGGGGAAGGTCTGATCTCGAACGTAGAGTGTGGTAAGCGCAGGAAGAGAGTTCTGATGAAGGGAGGATGCCAGGTATGCGTAATACGACTCAGCGGGTTTCTGCAGGCCGTGGATGTCTTCAGCGCTGCTGATTTCGAAATGCAGCGTCTGCAGCGAGATCGACGAAAGCGCGGGAAGTTGCTGTGCAGCCAAAGACAGCGACTTTGCTACTGTCTCAACAATGGACAAATGTGACAAGTGGCTGGCGTTCCACAGCACTTGATGCAGATCTTGTACAGTGATGCCAGTGTTTTCCAAACTTAGTGAGAAGAGCATTTCCCGAATATGCGGTGCTTCCAACCAAGAATCCAAACCTTCGGCAGTGACTTTCGGAATGTGTTTCAACTTCAAGCGCTGAACTGCTGGAAAATCAGGAAGTTGGCCAGGAGCTGGATGGAACATGCTGTCGTCCACCCAAGGCATATCTGCAAGAGTTAGGTCGTTCAAAGTTGGTAGACTGCCGAGCACAATACGCAGGGTAGCCGGTTCCAAGGAAAGTCCTGTAAGTTCCAACGTCTCAATGGCCTGCCAATGTCTGTGTGCGAGCAGTTCCAGTGCATCCTCTGAGCCGCCCCGGTATATCATTTTTCGGATGTCTGGACAGCGCGCTTGCAGTTCTTGCCTGAGTCCCAAGCATGTCGGATCGCCGCTGTAGAACCCATCTGGCAAGTCGACGTATCTCAGGTTCGGCATGGCAGCCACAGTCCGTGCAAGGTCTCCTTTCGCAGTCTCGCGTGTCATGTAGGGAATTTTGAGGAACAATGTCTGCGTCGCCAAGTTCGATTGCTCTCGAACTGTTCGACATAGCAATGACAATCTGATGTTGGGTATCTCGACAGGCTCTACCGCACTCTTGTTTCGGAAATGCCCCTTCGCCGCCTTCTTTCGCTTGTCTGCCAGTATGTCTTCGAGTTCACAATAGTGCACTGCATCGATGCGTACGCTGGTGTAGAGTTGCTGCTGTGCTGAAGCGTACCACTTCCTACATGTCTGAGCACAGTGTGCGAGGTCTCGGAGATCGCAGAGCATGCAGCCATCGCCAATTTGAGATTGCTCGCATTGCTCGTAGGTGTAGTCTTGGGTGTGGGGGCACACATAGGAGAAGATGTTAGTAAGCACCTTCTCGGGGAGTCGTTTCGTCAGGTCGCGGCCCATGTGTCGAGGGAGCGGCGGCGAGGAAGGGTAGTTGGCATAGTTGGGTCGTGGCGGGCTGTCCTGCTTCAGGCGAGATTTGGAGCGAAAGTGCTTGAGGAAGCCCATGGCTGCGGTGGTGGGCCCGAGGCTGCGGCCAGCGATGCAGGTGGGGGCGGAGCGGAAGTTGACGTGCAGCAGCGGCGGAGCGGTGGAGGTAGGCGGTGCTGGTGGTAGTGACAGTGACGGTGACAGAGAGGTACTGGGTCGCTGCAGGGAGAGTGGAATGTGGTATGCGGGTGCGAGAAGGCGATGCCCGCTGGATTGTATGTGAACAGCAGCAAACGCACAGCTGCACGTCGGTAGCGCAGCGCAGGGTCGTGGAGTCTGTCTGAGCGCGCTTTGAGCCCTGCCGCCCCTCGCACTTTCTCCTGAAACACGGGAAGCCCGCTTAGCCCCGAAGCATAAAATCCTCAAGCGCGCCTCGTCGCGTGCGCTGAAACGGGCTACGAAGACACTCAAACCAGTCGCACCATCCAGCAGAGCCGCTCTACACGTTCACAGACCAACAGCGCCTCCTCGAGCGGCGAGAGAGTACCTCCTCATCCTTCACCCATTCACCACCGCTTTCGCAGCCCCCGGAATGCGGCATTCACAGCCGACGAAACCTCCCACCTCCCGCCTGTCACATGTCTCACAAAGCTTTCCATTTCTGGCGCTGACGATGATAAGCACAGACCGCCTTGTCTCCAGCTACCTGTCCTATTTCTTATTGCTCTTCAGCAGAATAACCTAAACCCATCCCCAGCAAGTCTCACCATCGTTTGCCGGTCTGCCCTCATATAGCCCGCTCGGGCTGATGAGTGATGGCAAGTGAGAGCCAGCAAGTCAATTTTGGGGAGAGCCACTCAGCTCTTCCGCTTTGCCCAGCTTCGCTCTCCGTGCCACGCTCCTTGGCTTACCTGTACGCGTTGCAAACGCGACACTTATCCGCCTACCGTTGAATAGCAATACAGAAATTCGGCCTTTGCCGTGGACCCTTCCAAGAGGACGCGAGGACTTCTTCAATCCTTGTACCTCTGCCCTATACAACATACACGTGAGGTACCGTCTCTCGGAAAGGTGTTGAATCCTGCTTTCGACGAGCGACCTTTAAACGGGGATGTAGATAGATGAGGCAGGCCTTCGAACGTCGCATTAGAGACTGAGTTTTGTAATTACATTATATTCTACAATGTCCTGCCATCTATCTGGTAATGTAGCGACTGAGAGAGCTCGTAAAGAAACGGGTCATAATGAAACCTTCAGAGGCCGTTGGTAACGCTCAATCGCTCGCCCGCTTGATACAAAGAAAATGCTCGACAGTAAACTAGACCTCCCTTCTTTTTATCGTCTATTCCCACTTCATCAGATCAAACAATTCACCACGCCGAGGGAGATCGTCTCTTTGCAAACTTTGGGTCGTACTGAGGCGGGATGTAGTAACCACCAGCGTACCCACATTCGGCATCGTCCCACCCTTGCTCGATCTTTGCACTGCGTTTGCTGCGTGAAGATGGGTTGCTATGCTCGCTCCTGCGCGCGATCCCAGCATTGCCTCGCTCGGTCTCGTCCCATTCCTTCTCGATCTCCGAACTAAGCTTGCTGCGGGAAGATAGGACCTTCTCACCGCTGCGCTCACTGTGTCGCGTGTGTCGCGAGCGAGGGGTGCCGGATGAGTCTTCCGTATGCCCAGAGCGCTCGCTGCGTCGCGAGTGATGAGTACCGGAGGCAGTGCGCTCGGATCGATGACTCCGTCTGCGGTGTTTGCGACCAGATGAGCTGTCCGTACCTCGCCCGCTGTGTCGTGAAGTCCGAGACTCCTCGAATTTCGGGCCCTGACTCGACTGCTTCCCAGACTCGCTTGCAACGCGCTGCTTCTGACTCAACTTGCTGCGGCCACTTCTACCGCTTCCCGCTTGGGTGTCGCGACTCTCAGCTTTCTGCTCGGAGTACTACGCCGAGTTCGAGCGCTGATGTCGTGAAGACTTGGCTGAGCCTGTAATGAACGATACACCACTGCCTTGACTTTGCTGGGCCTCAGGCGGGGCTAAGTTTGAGTTCACAAACTCTTTTGACTCTCCTTGTCGCGAAGATCGCTCTGACCGATGTGAGCTCGTCCGTGGGAATTCGCGGCCCTCCCAAGCGGCATGGCGATACCGGTCGTCATGGTAAAGGCCATTTTGTGTCCTGCTGCTCTCCGTGATCGAGTGATTGTGGCGGAGACGTAATCCATGTTCTTGCATTTGCTTCCACTCCTCATATGACATGGTAGCACCTGTTGGAAACGCTTCGCTTGGCAGCATGATTCTGGACTGAGGCGAGGAGGCATATTCGGTGGATGAGCGGCTGAGCGGATGTGGTGAGATCCAACCTTTGCCAGCGAATATTGTCAGCTCCGGCTTTGCCTGCCTGTAGTTCTTGCGGCTCAGCGGTGAGTCAGGAAGCGGCGGTAGCGGTGGCTCGTCTGCCTGCTTCACAGATGGAGAATGCTGCGCGCTGCCTGGATTGCCGTCATCTCCGGCCCGCACTGATCGAGGATACGAAGTGGTGGAAGAGTGGTGCGATGCAGCACTTGACTTCCTAGAATGATAGCTGTGCATCGAGGGGCCTTGACTCTTGCGGCTTTGATGGGTCGATGCCAACGATGGTCGCCTTCTAGCTTGCTCTGACAAATTCGTGTCAGAGGTACGACCCTGCGCTTCCGGCCACTGCTCTATAATTTGCTCTTGTGGATATGTCCAACCCTGCGACGCCCGTACCGAAGGCGTGCCAGGCGAAGGGAACATTGTCGATCTCGCACTTGCTGCTGTGCTCTGAGGACGACTGGAGGCATGGCTGGTGGCACGGTTACGCGACACAGACTTGAAGCTCATGGTTTTGATTGGAATCCTGGTGCTGCGAGCACTAGCAGCTGCCCACGCATTGGCCTTGGTGTCGGTGCCTGTGGTAGCGCCCTGGCCGACTTCTTCGAATGTGCCACCCGTCACAGCGGCGGATGTCCTGGTCGGAGCCATCGAACGGCTCTTTCTCTTTCTAGAAGGCAAGCGCCTCAGTTGACCAGAGGCTGTGATAGACTTCGAGTCTTTGCTTCTGCCGCGAGTCTCCATGGGACTTTCTGCGCGCCGAGACCTGGCGCCTTCGTCACCTTCGTTCCCACGGAAGCCAAGGGAGGTTCCTGGTCTAGCAGCTTGTCCACTGCTTGCTGGTGACATGCATGGTGAACGTGGAGCCCGCATGACTTGCTTGGCAGCTGCAAACTTCAGGGTGCGGTTCTCTTGCGCGGCTTCGATCCATCCGTCAACAATACTCTGGATTTCGTGCGACGCAGCTTGCGGAGTCCGGCGTGGCGGTACCTTTGACTGGCCGCGGTTCATGACTTCGAACTCAAATGCTTGAGGCGTGGTTGACTTCCAGTCTCGGAACCAGTTGGAGTCGTTCCTGACAGAAGGAGTTTTATCCCAGACACACTCGTCCTCGGGCCACAACACGTCAGATGGCGATTTGGAATCTTTGCGCTCCATTGGCGGCTTTTCGACGGCAGATGAGCGACTGCCCTCCTCTTCGGTGAGATCCGAACCAGTACGCTTCCTCGCATGCCTCTGGCGTTCGAGATCCTCCAAGTCGAACTCCTCGACGATAGGCTCGAAGTTTCTGATCGACGGCGACTTCGACCCGGCAGACTTAGGAATGGTCACCTTTGACGCGCTGACTGGTGTAAGTGTCTGATAGACAACGTTTTGAGCAAAAGACACCTCTTCCCATTCCACGGGGGCAGAGTTGGTCTCCGGAATCTTCAACGCTAATTTGGGGGTGGGTTGCCTGGTAGAGCCTTTCGAGGAATCCTTTGTTGAAGATGCGGGCCGGATATTGACTGTGGGCACCACTGCAGGTGCCTCATCCGCGTGTTCAACGCTGTGCTTGGATGCAGACGCTATAGTCGCTGCCTCAGGGGCTGGTGCCGTCCAAGCCATCTCAATCTCGCCGAACTCCTTCTCCGATTGCTCTCTCTCCTCTGGTGACCCTCCATAGAAGCCCGAAGGTCTCCTCTTGTGCGACGAGGGTGGTCTTGAGGTGCTGCGACCCGATGGTGTCTTGGCCACTGTTCGCACGATGTCGACTGAGACGCTCCTTGTATATTGGACTGATGGGCGTTCGATGGGTGCGGCGGATACCTGTGAAGAATTGTTTGATCGAGCGGACTCGACTTCCGCTTGCAAACGAGCGCGGTCGGCGAAGCGCTTCGAAGATCTTGACTCCCTGTCATGCTGTCGTTCGGAGCGATCGACCTTGCCAGATGATCGTGGGGAAGTCGATTGCGAGATCGATGGGAGTTGTGGTACAGGTTCATCCGTGGGTGTCAAAAGTATTTCAGCTGCAGCTGCTACAGATCGCTTGCGACGCAATTCGTGATGCGCCACTATGGGCTTCTCTTTCTTTTGATGCTTTATGAGCTTGCTGGCCTTCTTCTTGCTTGCAAGTGTGGATTTGTGATCGGTAGGACCAGTATACCGGAGGAAGTCCTGTAGGGCCTCAAGTCCGGACTCTCGATTCTTCGTACGTGCGTCTCGTGCTACCGGCTTATTGGGACGACTGGCGATCAGATCTACCGAGCCTCTTGTCCTATCCCGCACCTGACCTTCCTCTTTTGTCGACGAAAGTGCACGTGCCTTGCTCGCTCCGGACCCGAATGCTGGCGCTTTGAGAAACCCATCTGTCTCTGCTTCATGTTCATTCTTGCTTCCACCACGAAGAAGGCGAGGTCTATCGAAGCTTAATTTTCTGCCCGATAGCTTCAAGGGTGGAGGATCGGAAGAAGCTACAGCACGTGTCGGGTCCTGTTGCACCCGTTGCTTGGCATCTTCGGAGCGTGTTTCAGAAACCGGAGGCGCCTGTTCTGACCCAGCGTTTTGGTTGTGGTCGTCGAGGCTTTGCTTGATACCACGAAGAACCTCGTGCTCCTCGGGGAGAATTGGCGCCACCTGTTCGACTGCTCTCCGGTTGCGAGCTTCCGCGCCGGCTTTGCTTGCAACCTTGGCATTGATGTCTTGTGCTGTCTGCCGCCTGGCCTCGTCAACTCGACGCTTCTCGTCGATAGTAGCGCGAAATAGCTTTCTCAACAAGGTCGCATCCAGAGCTTTCGGCTTGACAGGACGAGGGGCATCGTCGGCTGGCGACTCTGGCGACTGTGGGAGGGCAGTCAAGGCAGGAGTTCGCAATGCGTTGAGCTCTCTCGTGGCGAATCTTTCTGCTACACCGGCTGGAAGGATTCTAGACTCGTCGGTGAGGTTGTGAGGATCGATCGGGCGAGCTCCATATATGGCTTCTGGCCAAGGACTCGAATGGTGTGGCTGCGCAGATGTTGCAGAAAGTGGATGTTCCCATTCGGTTGGACATCTGTCGTCGATGAAGGAGCTGACGCTGCTATCTGAGTCCCACTGGTCACTCGAAGGTCGATCCATGGCGTAGCTGTTGATGATGCTGTCGATGCGTCCTTCAGAAGTCCGAGTGTGTGTTGGCGAAGGCGGATGAAGCCTGAGTGGGTTTGAGACATCTTCCAGCGCCCAAGTCCTCACTTCAGTGGCGGCCATGAGCGTGTTTACCTCGCATGCGGGGGTTCTCGTCGGTAGTTCGGACAGCGCTCCGTCGTTCACTCGATATGCAGTGACGTTATCGGGTAACCACTACGGCGAAGTCGCGAGCAACGCCATCAAGGCAGCAATGAGTGGATTTTGGTGGAGGGCAGCAGCTTGAAGGTATACAGTTCCAAGCTTCTCTAGAAAGTTGATGGCGGCACTATTTCGAACCTGTCCACGACTCTCGTCGAGCGCCTCGTGCAGATGTTAAGGTTACGGTGCGGCAGCTGCGACTCCGGTAATTTTAGACTAGCGTACCGCTTAGCGTGTTTTTGTGGTATAGCCCACTGGATTCACTTACTCGCAGCTGCAGAAGACCTCGAATTCTTATCATTGCCGTCGAACTGCTGTAGGCGTGAAGCGGGAAGTCGCAGTCGCGTGTCGCGTGCGAACCGTCGATGAGCGGGCTCTGGCCAACGGCTGTCCAAGATACGGTGCCGTCCGTTCATGCATAGTTCCTAGTCACGCATCATTCGTACAGACCGTACGGGCTCATTGTCGCCACTCGTCTCCCAAGTAGCCCGCGATCTCACACGTGAAGCTTTGCCTGGCTTCATCGCGGGCGTTTGTGAACGCAGAAGGAAGCCCAATGGTCGCCCGAAGTCAACTAACAGCATACAAGGGCTTCGCTGCCTCATAGCTGCAAGCCTAAAGTCTCGCCTTTTCTCGTACCTGCTCGCTCTCCCGCTGTCTTTTGATCCACCACCCGCGGACGTAGTGCCACGCGCCACTGGCCACGGCTAGAGGCGGGCAGAGCAATAGCAGCCAGGCCCACCATTGCGGGCTACCGCTCTTGACTGTCGCCATCACGGTGTCGATCTGTTTCTTGAGGTCATCTTTGTCGCCGTCGTTCCAGACGACTACTCCCGCCTTGCTGCCTCTCCGCAGGCACCGCTTCGCCTTGTCCCTCACGTCCCACTGTGCAGCAACTCTATTCTTCGCGTCCTCTTCCGTCAGGTGTTCATCCCGCGCGCGCAGACGTTGCATCTGAATTGCCGGGTCGCTTACTCCTACCACCAGTATAGTACCGCAGAGCGGCTCCCATCCGGATTCGAAGAGGAGAGGCACATCCAGCACGCATGCCCAACTTCCGCGCAGGTATGCGAACAGCATCTGTTTGTACATCTCCCTCCTGACAGCAGGATGCACGATTGCATTCAACTTCTTCTTGTCCTCGTCCTTTCCCTCTCCAAACACCCTCCTACCAAGTGCGGGTCTGTTCAGAGCTCTGCCTTTGCCATTTGGACCGTTCTCGCCCCCATTCTCCGGTGTGGGCTCTACGAGTAAGTCGGGCGTGGAAGGTCCAAACGTCGACACGATCTGGTTGTACCCGTGCGTGCCGGGCTCGACTACTAGTCTGGCAACCTTGTCGGCGTCTACGATGGGGAGGTTGTACGGCGGAGCGGCGAGTATCGAGGACACAGTCGACTTGCCGGTCGCAATAGAACCTGTTAGTCCCAAGAGCAGCATCTTCACTGTCGTTGGGTGGAATGGATGTATTCGAGTGTCTACAATTTTGCTACGTAGAGGATCTAAGTGAAGCTCCGCGGCCCTGAGCCGAGGTGACACAGACGTCAACCCCATCATTTCACAAGCGTGCGAGCTCCATCTCAGCCAACATCGTTCACTTCACAACACTCAATATGAAGGATATCGTCGCGACACAAAATTCTCACGACTTTCAACGCAAATGTCGTGATCGTATTGATCCGCTTTGACAGGTGCGCTACACGCCACAACGGCTCATCTCGACGTCTGCTATAGCCAGGATCATAATGGAACCACTCTGTCGGGTCACTTGACTCGTGAAGCCGCGGGCCTGAAACGGGGAGACGGCAGGGAAATCCTCTCCGGTGTCTTCACCGCTCTGCTATACTATCACGATATATGGTAGGTCTGTGGACGAAGAGCTCGATTGCCGTAGAATGTGGCTCTCTGCGCATAAATCTAATCCGCCTCACAATTTCGCGTCACTAAAACGTGACTTGTCTTGAACCGTGGTGCTAGCCCAGGAGCCTTTGGATTCTGTAACAACTAGCACCGCTCTATATTTGTGCTATCTACACAAAGCTCAGATCATGTCCTGGTCATGTGGCTCAATCGGCTCGACTAAAGATGCCTAGGCCTAGCTAGGACCAAGCTACTCGTCAATGACAGCCGCGAACTTCTCAGTCATTCTCTGCACCAAGTCCTCGTACTTCTTGGTGATCGCCTCTTCGCCTTCTGATGGGATCTCAAACTTCATGCTGCGCAGCTCGCTCTGCACATCTGAAGTGCTCTCGCGCACCTTCGACCAGTTGTGGCCTTGTGAAATAGCTTTTTGAGCTTCGTCATGGAATGTCATCATGGCCTTCATCATCCAGGCAGTCTTCCAGAGTGGGCAGAACTGGTCGTATTCTGAGTACCCATTCTGCTGCAGGAAGTCCTCCTTGATCAAAGTAGCAACGTCAAGCGTGATCTTGTCACTGTCGCCAAGCGCTGATTTGCCGACCAGCTGCACGACTTGATCGAGTTCCTCCGATTGGGAAAGCAGCTCTCGAATACGCTCGCGGTAACGCGGGAACTGAGGTGCATTTTCCTGGTAATACTTTTCCAAGGCCTTGGTGTACTTGGAGTACGACAGAGCTGTATTCACTGAAGGGAAATGCTTGCGTTGCGCGAGCTTCTTGTCGAGACCCCAGAAGACCTGCACGATACCGAGTGTTGAGGTTGTGACCGGATCCGAGAAATCACCTCCAGGCGGTGACACGGCACCGACGATGGAGATGGAGCCTTGACGATCCGGCGAGCCCAGTGAAACGACCTTTCCAGCACGCTCGTAGAAAGAAGCAAGCTTTGCTCCAAGGTAGGCGGGGAAACCTTGATCAGCAGGCATCTCTCCCAAACGACCAGAAATTTCACGAAGAGCCTCAGCCCAACGAGAAGAAGAGTCTGCCATCATGGCAACGTTCTTTCCCTGGTCCCTGAAGTATTCACTGATAGTTATGCTGTTGAGAGTGGAGAGTCAGTATGTGCATTGCCTGGATATGTGTGGAGCGATGGGGAAGGGGGTTTTGGATTTCAGCATCTCTGCTTGCGACTCCAGTCGCGGGCGTCTTGCAAGGCAACGGGCCTAGTTGAACGCGCCTCTCGTGCAGAGACAAGCAGAGAGTAGACGGATGTGTGCATGTGTGGACGTTCGGTGTGTGGGTGTGGGGGTATGCGAAGGAAGAATGTCAACTCACCCTACGACGACGTTAGCATTGATCTCCGGCTATGGGCTCCAACCGCGGCAAGCAATGCGACCAAGCCCACAATCACGAAGCGTATCGTAATCGGCGAGGCATCGCAAGAGGGAATGGGGACTCTACTTACCAGTATAGATGGAAGCCTCTCGAGCGGCCACGGGCATGTTCGATGTGTTAGCAATCAAGCAAGTACGCTTCATGATAGGCTCTTTGCGCCCGTCGAAGTCGATAGTGAGCTATCCGAATTGTATTAGTGCGGGTTTGAAAACTTCAAATGCTGCTGTACGCACCTCGGGGAAATCCATCAAGACTTCGGCCATCTCGTTACCACGCTCACCACAGCTTTTGATGTCAGCATAGCTTCCGAATCCTTGAGTCCTCTCAGAACTTACCCGACGTAAACAATCAGGTCACTGTTGGAGAACTTGGAGAGCGACTGCGAGATGACAGTCTTTCCACATCCAAAAGCGCCGGGAATGCAGACAGTACCGCCCTGCACACTAGGAAAGAGTGCATCGAGCACACGCTGACCGACAATGAGCGGGTCGCCTGAGCTCAGCTTGTCGTTCGAAGGACGTGGTACACGGACAGGCCATGGGTGCATCATGCTGTACTCGAACTTTTGTCCCTCAAACTCGACCTCTAAGATCTTCTCGTCGACAGTGTATTCGCCCTTCTTGGGGTACTTTGTGATCTTTCCGCGCGCTCGAGGTGGCAGCATGATCTTGTGATCCGACAGCAGAGTGTTCTCCTTCACGGAACCAAAGACATCACCGCCAGTAATGTGGTCACCGACCTTGAATTTGTCGTTTGGTGTGAACTCCCACTTTCTTGTACGATCCAGTGCAGGTACATCGATACCTCTGGGAATGTAGATGCTGTTTGACTTGTCGCTAATGGCTTTGAGTGGTCGCTGAATACCATCGTAGATGGTCTCCATCAAACCAGGTCCCAGCTCCACGGACAGAGGCTTGCCTGTGCGCAGGACGGGATCGCCAACAGTGACACCAGCGGTCTCCTCGTACACCTGAATTGTAGCCTTGTCTGCATCAATTCGAATGACTTCTCCTACAAGCTGATCAAAGCCGACTTTGACCAACTCGTACATGGCCACACCGATCATGTTCTGCGCAACGATGACAGGACCGGAGATGGAGAAGATGGACCCTCCCTGCTCCTCGCCATCTTGCTGCTGCTGCTTCTTGTCGCCTTTTTTGCTCATGTTTGCGGTGTTGTGTGGTGTATCTGGAGCTGTGCCTAGCTCTGGTGTTTCCGGCTCGATGATGATGCGTGGCGGAGAAGCTTTGACCTGGGTGCCCGGCACCTCGTCAATGACAACAATCGAAGGCCGCCGTTCCTTCGTGGGAGATTCGGGGAGGGGAATGTGCGATGGCGATGTGGGAGGTAGGGTTGCTGTAATAGGTTCGAAGCTGGTTTCGAGAGGTTCAATACTCGGTTGCGCTTGGGCCTCAGGTGACCACCTTGCGCTGTCCTCGCTTGACTGTGGTCGGGTACGGTTCACGAGGTCAATCAATGAAGGACGGTATCGCAGCACTGGACGCGGGCGGAGTCCGATCGCATTCATGAAATCGATTCCATCGGTGTTTGCGACTGGCCGTGAGCTGTTGGCCAACTGCGAGTATTGAAGCTGCCAACTTGGCAGATCATCGTCAGCCTCGAAGGCCATGCTCTGTGCTTTTAGAGCAGTTTAAACGACTTGTATACTGATCTACATGCTGTCTACTCTCGTCTACACACATCGTTGGAAGTGTTGGTGCCTATGGCGTTGGTGCATGATCGCACTGCTCACCGTGTCAATACCATACACAAGGCCATCGCTACGTCAGTGCTCGAGGACCATATCGAGCGTGGGCGGACCTGCACGGTGCATAGGCATTGAAAATGTCCTTCCATCTCAATGGCCAGACTCTTGGTCCATCGAGATGCAAGAAAGTTCGCGCAGCCCGAGCAATCTACAGCCATGATGCCCTTCACAAGCCTACGCTGGGAGTCCTCGTAGGCGATGATACAAGGAGTACTCAGACTTGGCTGATGGTGCGAGGGCAAAGATGCTTCGAACTGGCGTTCAGAAACATGTGTAGTGTGGCCGACATCGTTGTTCCGATTTTACAAATCTTACACTGCCCGTGAAACATCATCTAAGTTATCTCACCGCGCCCCAGCATTTCGGGGCTGCTTCAACTTCACAGACTCTATAAGCTGTGGCTGGAAGTCATCAATCCGTAATGTCCCAGAGATAGGCAGCAGCTTCGGTGGAATTCTTCAGAGTGAGCTGTAGACAGAGGTACTTTATAGCGCGATTTTCATGATCAACAGGAAATAGAGTGCAAGACCTGATTGCTCTGGGTTGATCATGTGGGAGACAGGCAGTACAGAGATTAGTATAGTACATGTATACAAGGAATTGAAGAGGGTGAGTTCAGCCACGCACGTGCAAACAGGTGGCAGGTGGCGCGTGCTTTTCAAGGGTGCTGCAGTAGGCACGACTGACGCAGCGCATGTGTGTTCCTAGGGAAGGCGGCAGTTTAGACAATTCCTCTTCATTCAACAACACGAACAACACTTTTCGGCGAAGAGCGACTTGCTCCCTCTCTCACACATCGTTGTCGCTGTAACTTCAACATCCGTACACTGTCACGAACCACTCCTCCGCCCCTCACCGCCCGCCTGCCATGGCGCAGACCAACCCCAACGCGTGAGCTCCCACCGCGAAGAGACGGATAGCGCAGACAGCAGGCTAACAGGACACAGGATCAACGTCAATGATCCGGGACTCATCACACTTGTCAACAAGCTTCAGGATGTCTTCACTACAGTCGGCGTATGTCGGACAGCTGGCAACAATAGTGTGGCTTGCAATACTGATTTGGTTGGGCGCAGGTGCAAAATCCCATCGATCTGCCGCAAATCGCCGTAGTGGGCTCGCAATCGAGTGGCAAGAGTTCCGTGCTCGAGAACATTGTGGGAAGAGACTTGTACGAACGAGGACACCAAACGAGGGGTCGAGCCAACACTGACCGATCAGCCTCCCACGAGGAACAGGAATTGTGACCCGACGACCGCTCATCCTACAACTCATCAACCGAACACCTTTCAAACCATCCGACAAACCACAGGAAAATGGCACAACGAACGGAGATGCGGTCGAAGGCACAAACGACAAAGAGGCCAACACCGCTGAGTGGGGAGAGTTCTTGCACATACCTGGGCAGAAGTTCTACGACTTCAGCAAAATACGAGACGAGATTGTCAAAGAGACGGAGAGCAAGACTGGACGAAACGCCGGTATCTCGCCCGCGCCCATCAATCTTCGAATCTACTCGCCGAACGTCCTTACCCTCACGCTTGTCGATTTGCCCGGACTCACAAAGGTGCCCGTCGGAGATCAGCCAAGAGATATCGAGCGACAGATCAGAGAGATGGTGCTTAAACAGATCTCAAAGCCGAATGCGATCATTCTGGCGGTCACAGCAGCCAACACCGATCTTGCCAACTCAGATGGTCTGAAGCTCGCCAGAGAGGTGGATCCTGAGGGTCAACGAACAATTGGTGTGCTCACCAAGGTCGATTTGATGGACGAGGGCACAGATGTTGTGGACATTTTAGCTGGGCGCATCATTCCGCTGCGACTGGGCTACGTTCCTGTAGTCAACCGTGGACAGCGCGATATTGAGACCAAGAAAGCCATCTCGTACGCACTGGAGAACGAGAAGAACTTCTTTGAGAACCACAAGGCGTATCGGAACAAGGCATCATACTGTGGAACACCATACCTGGCACGGAAGCTCAACCTGATCTTAATGATGCACATCAAGCAGACACTTCCTGACATCAAGGCGCGCATTGCAGCTTCGCTCCAGAAATACTCGGCAGAGCTCAATCAACTCGGCGACAGCATCCTTGGAAATCCGGCGAATATCATTCTCAACATCATTACTGAATTCTCAAACGAATACCGAACGGTATTGGAGGGCCACAGCGCAGAGCTCTCCTCAATTGAGCTTTCTGGTGGCGCGCGTATCGCTTTCGTCTACCACGAGCTATACAACAATGGCGTGAAGGCCGTGGATCCTTTCGACCAAGTCAAGGACATCGACATTCGAACAATCTTGTACAACTCTTCCGGTTCATCTCCAGCACTATTCGTGGGCACTACCGCATTCGAGCTCATCGTCAAGCAGCAAATCAAGAGGCTCGAGGATCCTTCATTGAAGTGTGTCAGCTTGATCTACGACGAGCTTATCCGGATATTGGGACAACTAGTGAATAAACCAATGTTCCGAAGATACCCTGCCCTCAAGGAGAAACTGCACGCCGTGGTTGTCAGCTTCTTTAAGAAGGCCATGGATCCTACAAACAAGCTCGTCAAGGACCTTGTTGCGATGGAGGCATGCTACATCAACACCGGACATCCAGATTTCTTGAATGGACACCGCGCTATGGCCATTGTCAACGAGAAGCACAATGCGGCCAAGCCTGTGCAGGTTGACCCGAAGACCGGCAAGCCTCTTCCCATTGCCGCACAGCCGCCTAGGTCGTCAAGTCCAAGCCTGGACATGGGCAATGGCGAGTCTGGGTTCTTCGGCTCTTTCTTCGCGAGCAAGAACAAGAAGAAGATGGCAGCCATGGAGCCTCCGCCGCCAACACTCAAAGCATCCGGCACACTGAGCGAGAAGGAGACGCAGGAGGTGGAGGTCATCAAGCTTCTCATCTCGTCATACTTCAGCATCGTGCGGCGAACAATGATCGACATGGTGCCCAAAGCAATCATGTTGAACCTGGTCGAGTAAGTTTCCACGATCTCTGGGGCGCAGCAGAACACTGACATTGCATAGACACACCAAGGACGAGATGCAGCGCGAACTTCTCGAACAAATGTACCGCACGCAAGAACTCGACGATCTGCTGAAGGAGAGCGACTACACAACACGAAGGCGTAAGGAGTGTCAGCAAATGGTCGAGTCGTTGTCGCGCGCCAGCGAAATTGTCAGCCAGGTGCAGTAAGCGTGCGGAGCACCCGTTGCGCTGTGACGAGTGACGTTTGGATTCTGTTAGCGAGCGAACGGTCAAGAAGGATAGAGAGACATGGCGAAGTTGCTGTGTCGCCGCGAGATTACTCTTGGCGAGGCGTTGTATTTGTTGTCGCTGCTTGGAGATCCCACTTGATATCCCTGGTCTGATGGGTGCTACATGGGCTAGTGTTGCGAATGGAAAAATTGGTCTTTATCTCAAGCGCTGTTGTGCTTCCTGTCCTTTCACCGCTGCATTTGAGTTCTGCCTGTATCAATGTGGCTGGCACGATGAAGATGAAGGGCGGAGGAACATTGCGCGCGGCTTCTCCGGAAAGTGCTCCGTGCCGGCAAGACTGCACAAGAGATGAAGAGCGCAGAGCAACGCGCGCGCGCTTCCAAAAGTGACTGGCGCGGCGATGGTCAAGGACGCTGGCAAACGGTGGTGCAGTCGTGATGGAAGTAGCTCAGGCAAAAGCACGCGGCGCCAATGAGAGGTGACAATAGGCGGCAACAGCATCATCAAAGTGCGGGGTGGTGGGGTGACGAAGGCGCAATAGAAGCGAGCTGGTGAGGATATCGAGAATGGCAGTGACTTGAGATAGATACATGAGCTACATGACTGGTATGGATGATGTTGTTGTCAGTGAAGGAAGAGGCTCCAGGCGCCAGTCGAAAGACCAACGCACTGAGGCCCCCTCTTGCCTGCGGCCGCCTTGCGCAGCTTTTGTCTCTCACAAGTCAGAGCCGTGCCTTGAAACGGATGACAACCCAATGAATTTCTGCCCCGCTCGTGATGTTTTTGTGGCTTCTTCGCTGAGTTGAATGTTTTTGGGGCTTCTTTCTGCGGGTTCATTTCAGGCTGCAGTATGCCTTGCTCTTGTGGCTTCTTGTCGGCGGCTTGTTTCTGTGGCTTCTTGTCAGTGGTTTGCTATGGAAGTGTGTTTGAACCGGCCTTGTGTTGGATCCAGAGACGCGTCGAAGCCGGCAATGTGGTGGAGCCGGCGATGTGTTTGAAGCGGCGAAGTGTCAGGGGCCCCTGAAGTGTTGAAATCGGCGGAGTGTTTGAGCTGGCGGTGTATTTGAAGCGGCGATTTGTTCGAAGTGTAACGGTTCTGAAATGGCGATGTGTTTGAAATGGCGATTGGTTTGAAATTTAAATGTGTTTGATTTGGCAATGTGTTTTTTTCTGTGCTCTGCTCTGTTTTTTCTGAAGTGGCAATGTCTTTTTTGCTGTGTTCTCTTTTTTCTGAAGTGGCCATGTGTTTTTTTTTTTCTGAAGCCGCCACGTGTTGATTTTTCTGAAGTGTGTTGCAGACGCCAGAGGTTGGTTGACAACGTGGCGCCCGCGGTGGTCCTAAAGGCCCCGCCGGTCAAGGACCAGCGGGTTTGGCGA